CATCACTCTGAGGTCCTCCAGCCGCTCCACATAGCTCAAAGCCCACTCATCATCAGGGTTTTCGTCGCGCAGGGTCGCAAAATAGAGGCGCTCCTCTTCGGCTGCTTCGATCAGCTGCGCTTCTGTCAGCTGGAGCCGAGGCAGTACAGTGATCAAGAACTCCTCGGACTCCTCGATGATCTTCATCGCCTGTTGGAAGTTGTTGCGCAGGAACACAGCGAGATTTGTATACTTCTCTTCATCCCAGCGACGGAAATAGAGCACAATCAGACTGTGCCGTCGGTACTTGCTCGCGTAACGGATGATCGAAGCGAGCGCGTTTGATCCGCTGAATATGCGCTCCATTGTTTCCAGATCTTCGATGCCGGCGCCGGTGATGACATTAGGATGATGGTGAAGCTGGCAGATGTAAGAGTGAGAGTAGCCGTGGAAAGCATTGACGATGCACAGAGACCCGCGCCTCCGGAACTCGGGACCAGCGCTGCTGCACGCGAGGGTGCCTTGGAACACGCAGCCGATGTCGTACCCGAGGAGTATGTTGCCGGGCAATTCGGTGTTGATCTTGTCCACCATCGCGATGCCGTACTTAGCGCTGTGAATGATCCGTCAGTTACGCGTCCCACCTAGTCATCATTACTTACAGTTCACCACTCCGGATCATGTCCGCGACCCAGAGGATCCTACCATGCCTGCATGCACTGGCGAAGATCCCCGTCTCGTCGAAGCCCCCCCACATGTGCTTCTTCTCGTCTGCCGCAGCCGCCTTCCAATTCGTGGCACACGGGCTCGGTGCGCCCGCCTCTCCATCCGTGGGATCGCCTTCTGTGTCCGCGGGACCCGGCACCGGCTCGGGAGCCGGCTCTATGGCATCGACGTCATCTCCATCATCTCTGAGATCAACGGTCGGCTTCGGCTGTGCCTGGCGCGCCGGCACTTGGTTCGCGAATTGATCAACGAATGGTGGCCCCAAGTAGTAGGTGTTCTTGTAGTGTCGCCGGTCACCAACCATTCGATACTTACGAAGGAGCCTTTTTAGGGAGTTATTTGCATCCATGCTACCCATGCGCTCGAAGCGGAGAGGGGCCTCTCCTTCCAGCTGGTCGGCACCTAGTCAGCCAGGCACGCGCTCGGCACGTCGCGTAGATCGGACCGGAGACGTACCTTGTATCCACATGGCGGGCATCCGAAGCGCGGACGCCAGTTCGGATCACCGCGCCCGAGCCGCTGCTGGATCTCGGCATCGACGTCATCAAGAACTTCTAGATAGATGTCGAAAGCATCTGCGAGTGCCGTGCGATAGTGGCGTCGGTATACCATCTGTTATCTCCAGGTAAGCTTGAAGACTATTAATAAGATCAAGAGGCTCACATAATACTTGTAACAGATGAGCTTAGCGAAGGCCTCTGTGCTGAAGGATGCCTTGACGAGCTTCAGGCACCGGAACAGTTCCAGCGTCTCGAAGGATATCGCAAGCAACGGCCCGACCGGGGTGTTGCCGAGGTATCCGGCCAAGGCCAGTGCTTCCAATGTCCACTGCCCAGATGATACTTCCACTGTGACGTTCTTCCGCAGGCTGTACAGGTCGACACACACAATTGTGTGTTGCTCAGGCGGCGCCTCTTCTTCCGAAGGTGTGTCTTCTTCGGGAGCTGCGCGCTTGCGCTCCTCTTGCCGACGCGGAACACCATACTTCCACCGCAGGTATGCTGCCTTCACATACGGGAAAACGCGCTGCCAGTTCTCGTCTTGCGTGCGGAGACGATCACGCCAGGAACGCTCGTCAGGGCGCATGCTAGACATACTATGTTATTTCTGCCCCTGGTCATAGATCTTTGCACTCACCCTGTTGTCATATTATTTTCTAGAGCCACACGGAAAGCTTCAACATCTGCGTCGTCCGCCCAAGCATTTTCTTCGTCGTCGCCTTCCACTGCACCGCCATCAGTTGTGTTGCTGACGTCTCCGACGTTGATATTGGGGCCCTGCATATCATCTATTTCGAACGCAGCCATAGCAGCAGCCCGATCTAAGCCACTGAGATCTATGTACTGGTAAGTCTCTGGCTGCTGCATATGTGCATGGAACGTACTGTTGACAAGGTCTTCGCGCCGCCTCCGCACTGCATCATCCGCTGCATCTAGATCGACAGCGCGGATCGTCTCCCGTTTGGAGGTACGTCCACCCAGCCCCTTGTTTTTCCCACCTCTGCTTCTGTTGCGTGGGCCCAAGATGGTGACCCCATCTGACACTCGGTTCCCACTGCTAGACTGAGAGATGGGCATGGGGGTAAGGCAGCACTTCCATCCCCCTGTTCATGAGATAAACAGTGCAATCATTATCGATTATCTTGGTGGCGCTTGAGCGCGATCAATCCGAGGCGTTGATTCTGAGGCGCCGGCGCCGGCAGCCTCGCGCTGATGGCACAGGCCTCGCGCTGATGGCGCGAGCCTCGCGCGCTGCATCAATCATTGCCGCGGTGCCTGTCCATGTGGCGGCGCTCGCGCCATCAGAGTTCCGCCCTCCGCCGGGGCGTTGAGTATGCTGACATAACCTCCCGCCCTCCCTACGCGGGGGCGGGGGGCAGTGGCGGGGGGCAGGGGGTGGTCGGGGCACCACAGAGCACGTCTTACACGGACGAATTGTGTAGATAGATGCGCATTAGTAATATAAGTATATACAAAAAAGAACGGAGCGAATCGGGGAACGGGAACGGGAGGGAGAGCGGGAACAGTGAGCTCGTCGTCGGGGACGGCGAGCAGGACGGCGGGGATGGCCATCACGGACGGGCGGCGCCGGGGGGCGCCAACAAGGGCGGCCATCAGGGGGCGCGGCGCGGGAATCCGTTCACGTGAGCCGGGGAAGCGCGGAGGAGGGCTGGGCCGGGGCCTCGGGGAAGTCGGGGATGGGGCCAGGGGACTTGTACATAAGCACCCGTTCTAACGTTACCTTACAAGGTATCTGTAGTCGATATCTGTAGAGGCTCTACGGTTCGCAGGCGTAGAAACATTCGCAGTTACCGGAACGGGAATCACCCCAGGGGGGCGATCAAAGATCATTTGATTGCGATATCGGGAGGTACAGGTGCCGGTCGCACGCGACCGCTCTCGGGTTACCGAACAGGCCCTAATACTCGACACAGGACCCCGGGTTCGAACCTGGTCGCCGAGGCACCTTTCGTTCGCAACCTGAACCTGGACGGCGACATCCTCTTCCATGTATTTGCTGACCTTTTCACTTTGATATCCTCAGGATTCACACCTACCTCGGCTTGACAGCACCTGCAGGTGTCATCCAAACCTCCTATCGAACTTGACTTGAATTCCAAATTCACCTCAAACGGACGATCTCCAGTGCACGCCTTGTCCCACGTCACACGTCTGCTATCTTGACGTCGAACACCACGTTGGCCCGGCTACGATGAAGATTTTGAACTCTTTCCACAACGTGGGTATGTTAAAGTCCTCGACGGTCTGTTCGGTAACCTGGCAGCGGTCGCGCGCGAGCTGCCAAACAGCCCTAGGAGCTACTCATACTTCCTTGGCCGCGTGGACCCCACACGCGGAGAAGTCTTCCGCACAGATTGTTGTCACCGTTACATCGTGCTTCCCACTCTTGCAAACTCTGAACTTTGAACTCGGGAGTCGGCCCCAATATTGATCCTCCTCAGTGGGCGAATTTCACTGCCCGATCGGAATCAATCCCATCCTTCAGTTTCCAAGCGGGTCGTACATACCCTCGATCCTCGGGGCGCCGGGTTTCGTGGAAGTCGCCCGAATGATGATCAGAAATTTCGACGTTCAAGAAGAGGCGTCAGCAGTCTCGAGCCGGCGCAATGCATGTGAGTGATCAGGATCAGCGTCGCTGTGCGGGAGAGCAATCTAACCATAATGGTGGCCGCAGCACAGGCCAGTACGAGCATGAGTCGCAGTGTCGTCGTGGGGCTGAACGTTGAACCTCAGCCTCACAAGACATGCCATGTGGCTCGCCTCTGACCCGGAGGCTCACTTGCTGGGCGTACTCGTGTACCCGAGACGCCCGGCCGTCGCTCGCTGCAGCCTGTACCGCAACCCCGCCACCTTCACGAGCCAGCGTCGTGCTGTGGCGAGGTGCGGTACAGAGCGGCCGGGGACGAGAGTATCGGACTAGCGCACGCGATGATCTAGAGACAAAGCGATCGGTCTGTCGGTGGTTTCGAAATCGGGTGGTACTTCTGCGGAAGCGTAGGCGACATTTGTCGGAATTTCACGAGCAGGGAATGCGGCCTGGAAGACCGGAAAATGCCTGGGTAGATGTACACGTAAAAGAAGTGTGAGCGCTAATGCTGCGCATCGCCTTGAACGTTTGAACCCTCCGTCGTGGGGCACTCTTTCTAGCGTTTCATCATGTCGCGGTGAGTGTTTGGTGCAATCCGAGAAAAACACTTATTCAACTCGCTAGGCACGTTTGTATGATCTATGGATGACACCGTGAAAGGTATACCTCCAGCACGGACACCTCGAGCCCTCTGACGGACTAAGCCGACGAAAACGAACAATCGCCCGAAACTTGGTTGCGGCAGGGTCGGTCTTCTACTTCTTGGTCATCGACAGTTCTCCTGAACGGCCTAATTGGATGATCCCAGGGAAGGTATAGCTCAAATAAATGGGGATGCGGGACTGTCTCGATGAGGATGGCCGACATCACACGTTGCAAACACTATTGCTGGTCAGCAATGTCGTCGGGCCGTGCGATCGGTCCCGCCACATGTGTGTCGCTACGACACCCTAACGTTGGCATGGTACGCCCCTGTGCTGTCCTCCAATTCACGCTGAGTTGGATCCAAGACCGCGGCAGTGCCAGTCCCGAGTGGTATATATGCCGCTGTCGACCGCTGCAGACCCCCAGCGTCTTTCACTTCTTCGCTCACTTTCAACTTCTCCCCTCACCGTCTTAGCCGGCTGCGCCGCCTTCTTCAAACACTCACCCGTTCTGTTTTACACACCTTCACACCTTCTTTCACCATGATCTCTCGCACCCTTGTTGCCCTTGCCTTCATGACGGCCGCCCTCGCCGTCCCCACCATCCTCTCCACTCGCGAGGATGCGCCCACCGACGCAGACCTCCTTGGGTCCTGCCCCGGTGGTCCCGGCTCCCCCAACGTTGAGCACGCCGATACGTGCAATCTGGTGAGCGTCATTCCAAACACACACCCTGCCAGCTCTGCTCTAACCCTCTCCCTAGGTGAACATCGTCAACAACCCCAACAAGCGCGTGTTCAAGGCGCTCGGCGACCCCCAGCTCAACTGCGGCGGGGGTACCGACGCCGTCTCAGTCTCCTTGGGGGGCGAGACGTCCGTCTCGCAGACCGTCACCGCCGACGCCAACGTTGGGATCGACATCGAGGGCATCTCCATCGGCGGGGGCGTCTCCACCGAGAACGGCTCGACCCAGACGCAGTCGAAGACCGTCACGTACTCGATCCCGCCGGGCCGCCAGGCCGTCTACGTCACCGGGATCGACCAGACGTCGCAGTCGGGCAACGTCCAGGTCAACTTCGCCGACCGCCAGTTTGATCACTTCCAGGTGAGCTCTCTTCCCCTTTCTCTTTCTCTTCTCGTGCCCTGACCCCGCTTCTTCGCGCCACAGTGGACCACGGGTTCGACGATCACGCAGCTCACGCCGACGAACAACGTTGTGTTCGACGTCTACGAGAGCGCGTGCGGGTCGGACCCGAACGACTTCTCCAGCCTCCACTGAGACGCGCGAGCGACCGCCCTCGGTGCACGTACACGACCGCACCTCGGCGTTGTCCGTGGTATCCGGAAGGCCCTCCTAATTTATTTGCGCGGTGCTGCACGCAGGCGCTGTTTATGGTCCTCTCCCACTACCAGTCTCGTGGCTCGCTTGTACATAATGTCGGTCAAGGATGTTTCGTGTTACAAACCTTTTCCTGCCTTTCAAACTTTCGCGCGCACATCCGATGAGGCCGTGGACTGGAGACAATACCGGTTCAACGACGTTCACGAGTGCACGCACCCGACAGGCCGTCTTCTTCGACGCGACGCAAGCTTCGGCTCAGGTAGCATTGAAGTCCTGAAAGAGCGCAACCGTTGCCTCCCTTGCCAGGTCATTTCGGAAGCGTAATGCTTTGCATAGGTGTTCTGTGCACGCTTTCACGCATCGCCTGCTGGATCTGCTGGGGTGTAGAGGCGGCGAGGAGGGGTGTGACTGAGGAGATGGACGTTGCTTTTGGAGAGCGCGGCTGCGCCTAGCGCCGTCACGCGCCTTTTCCGTCGCCTGCTGAGACGCCTTAGCGCGCGCGGCTATCTACGAGATTAGATAGCGCACCAGCCGAGACTCGCGAGGGAGATTGGAGGTACGAAAGCCCAAACAGCTTCTGGAGATTGCTCCTCCAGAAGCGGGCCCTTTTATATTCGCTAGCTACGATGTACATGAGTCAATGTGAGTCGCGCGTGCATTCGCGTGCTGCAGCGTTAGCTCGCCTGCTTGCACTCACATGTCGTGTAGAGTCAACGGAAATACAAAGAGCAATCGCACGAAAGGCGCGAGGCGTCTGCGTACGATACTGGAAGAAGTAACTACGTAGTCAGGGCGCTGGTACGCTCCAGGCACAAGAGGCAACGTGCAGGAGCGCGCGGTCACTCTCCACGGCCCGGTTGTACATGAGGCGCTCAAGTGAGCTCTTGTACAGCGCGCGGTAGCCTCGTGGCTGGGCGTCGGAGCCGCGCGCTGCTTACTAACACCGTGACTTGCGTGATTACTGGAAAAGGCAAATTTCCGTAACATCACCCCCCTCTCTAACATCGTGTCCTCACGATTCAGGCCAGAGTCCAGACGCGAAGCGGAACAGTCATCGTTCCTTTCCATCTGTCCCATTTGCGCGACCACTTATCCCATTCGTGATCCAAAGGGTCCGTGATCTGAACTAGACGCGCGCGTGGTCCTAGTAGACGGAAAGGTCGGGGGGCGGTAGGATTATGCTTGTGGTAGTCGTCGATTAGATCCTTGTACTTATCGAACAACTTTCCACGGGGGACCCAGGTGTTCTCGGAGATGGGCTTGTCTTTCCACTTGACGAGGTATTGCACAGTACCGGACTCGAACTTGGAGTTTACCACGGTCTCGGGCTCTTCGGGCTTGTCGACACCTTCAGGCGCCATGGTCTCTAAGCGCTCTTGGTTGTTGAACTCGGGGGCGAATGCAGGGGTAAGCAGATCTTCGTTGAACACGGGGTGGATACCACTGAGAGCCTTGGGTAGCTTCAGCTTGTATGCACTTGCACCGACTTTTGCGAGGATTTTGAAGGGACCGTAGCGCTTGTGCTCCAACTTTTTGTTTGGACGCACAGTGGTGATGTTTAGCGCTTCCAACCACACGAGATCTCCTTCTTGGTAATCTCGTGCGGGATTGCGGTGTCGGTCGAATTTCTCCTTCATGATTTTCTGTGCTGCCTTCAGGCTTTCTGTAGCGGCTTCAGAAATATCATCCATGCGTGTTTTGAACTGTTCGGCTGATTCGCTCTTTGCCGGCTTGTGTGTCTCTACCCCAGTGTACGGATGGAAGCCGTGTGTCATGTAGAAGGGGGAGAACTTAGTGGCAGAATGTTGTCGATTGCGATATGCAAAGAGCGCGAGCGGTAGCCAGTCGACCCAGTCGTCTTGTCGGTGATTGATGAAGATGCGGAGGTAGTTCTTGATTTCCCGGTTCATACGTTCAGTTTGCCCATCTGTTTGTGGATGGTACGCCGTACTTGGGTTTCCCTGTATTCCTAACTTTTGGTACAAGCTCTTCGTGAAGTTGGATACGAACTGTGGTCCTCGGTCCGATGTGATCTTGCGTGGGAGTCCATGTTGTGACCAGACGTGCTTGAGTAAGATGTTTGCGTATCCTTCTGAGTCTAGTGCTTCGAGGCATGGAACTGCAATTACGTCCTTGGACTTCATGTCTACACACACGAATATGGAGTCAAAGCCGAGGCATCTTGGTAGGTGCGTGATCAGATCTACAGAGATGTATTCCCAGTTTCGACTAGGAATCTCGTGCGGATGCAGTGGGGCTGACTTGGCTTGCGTGCGTATTTTCGTTCGTTGACATGTGGTGCACCCTATGATGTACTTTGCGACGTCCTTGCGTAGCGTTGGCCACCAGTATGAACGTTGCACAAGATCTTGAGTCTTGCTCCGGCCCGGATGGCCAGCGCTAACAGAGTCGTGATGCGCGCCGATGATGCGTCCGCGGAGCGCTTTGTCATCAGGAATGACAAGCTTCCCCCTCCTATAGATCAGGCCGTCCTCGGTCTGAACGTAGTCTTCGTTTATGCCCACACGGTTACGTATATCTTCATCCATTTTAGACATTAAGTCTGTCACGGATGTGATGATATTCGTAGTTCCATCTATTGTAGTCTTGCGGAATAGATGTGGTTTCAACAGTACTTCGTTCTCGACTTCTTCCTTGTCGGCAGTGTGATCGGGTCGTCGTGATAATGCGTCTGGCTTCCCCATGGTCTTCCCTGGGTGGTGGCTGAGTTCGAGATCGTATTCTTCTATTGCAAGTAGCCACCGGACTTGTCGGGGACTTAAGCGCTGAGGGTTTCGGAAGTATTCTAGGTTCTTGTGGTCTGTCCAAACTTCTACGGGATGTGCGGCTCCAAGTAGGAAGTGCCTCCATTCGTCAAGTGCGTGTATTACTGCCAGCATCTCACGATCGTAGATCTGGTAGTTCTTTTCTGCACTTGTCAGAGATCTCGATAGGAAGGCTATGGTTCGCCACTGCCCGTCTTGCTTCTGCGATAACTCGGCTCCTAGCGCGTAGTTTGAGGCGTCGCACTCGATCTTGAATGGATCTGAATCGTTGGGGACAGCGAGGACAGGTGCGCTCGTAATCAGTTTCTTGATAGCTTCAAACGCGCTCTGTTCTTCGTGTGTCCATTGCCACTCTACGTCGCCTGTCAGGCGATTTAAGGGTCCGGCTGCTTTCGAGAAGTCTTTGATGAATCGTCTGTAGAAGTTCGCGAATCCTAGAAACCCTTGTACGTGTTTCTTGCAGGTTGGAGTTGGCCACTCGGTGACACCGGCTACCTTGGCGGGGTCCATCTTGATAATTCCTGGCGCTATGATGTGTCCTAGATATTCAGTTTCTTGTACTTCAAACTCGCACTTCTCGGGTTTGCAGGTGAGTTTGTTGTCTCGCAAGATCTTGAGTACTTCGCGTACAACGCGTCTGTGTTCGTGAAGATCTTGCGAGAGTATAAGAATGTCGTCTAGGTACACAATGACCTTGCCTTGCAAGATGAGGTTGCGGAAGATGTCGTTCATCATCATTTGGAAGGTTGAGGGAGAGTTTGATAGTCCGAAGAACATAACCGTGGGTTCAAACAGTCCTCGGTTTGTGATGAACGCAGCCTTCTCCTCGTCTCCATCTTTCATGCGGATATTATTGTATCCCCATCGCACGTCGAGCTTGGTGTAGTACTTGGCTCCTTTGAGGCGATCAAAGATATCTGACATGAGAGGTAGTGGGTACTTGTTCTTTTTGGTCATGGAGTTCAACTTGCGATAGTCTTGTACCGGTCTTAGCTTACCATCCTTCTTTTTTACGAAGAAGAAAGGTGCTCCCCATGGTGACTTAGAGGATCGAATTCGTCCAGTGCGCAGGTTCTCATCCAAGAACTCATCCAGTGCTTGTTGGTGTTGTCGGGGCATTGGATACACCTTTCCACAGTATGGTTTCGCGTCAGGCAGGAGTTCTATAGCGTGATCGTATGGGCGTCGCTCGGGTAGTGTGTTGAATGTACTGTCTTCAAACACGTCCTTGAAGTCGTGATAATGTGCGGGAACCACTTCTTCAAACGTTGCGGGGGCGCGTTTCTTGCTCTGTTCAATGGCGATATCCATAGCTACTGAAGCTCTTCTTGCATGCAAGTAGGCAGGGACGTCCATCATGAACACGCGTTCACCTTCATCCAGAACGTGTTCGCAAGTGTGGGGACAGCGGCTGAACTCCACAGACTTCTTTTGCCAGTCGATCTGTGGGTTGTGGTGCTGGATCCATTCGTGTCCGAGGAATAGATCGGCCTTGCCTAGGTCGGTGACCAGTAAGTGCATCATTTCTCGGTGATTTCCGATTGTGATGAACACTTCTACGTAGTGGGTTATACTTCCACCTATGTTTGGTGTGCCGTCCGCATTGTGTACAGGTATGGGTCGGTCATAGGCACGCATGGTTAAACCAGCTCGTCGTACCAGATCGCGGTGTATGCATGATCCTGTACACCCGGTGTCTAGTAGGGCCTGCACACTTGTTCGTTTGGTGGTTTCTGGATTCTCAAGCTCTAGCGGGATGTCCATTTGTCGCTTAGAACCTAGCGCTCTGACCACGCTGAAAAGCTTGGGTCCGATGCGGTTGATGCCGAAAGTGTTGGGTGTGTTTTGTTCCGCTGCACTCGGAGTTTTCGTTCTTTTTTTGGTAGTATTGGAGAGAGAATTAAGTACAGATTCCCGTCTGCCGCGCTTCACTGGTGAAGACGCTCTCTCGGTAGGTACATAAGGAACAGAGGAATCTACAGTGTTCGCTAGGTCCGGAACTTCGTATACAGGTAGGCAAGCGAAACGATTCTTAGTAGCTATAGTACATTGAGGGAGAACGGAATTGATTACGAGGGGGGAACGGGGTCGTGCAGCAACTCCGTCCCAAACGAAAAACCCTGCGACAGGAAGTCTTCGGGCTCCTCGGAGACCCAGGCGCGTATAGCATCGACAAACTCCGAGCGCTCGACGGATTCCCACGCGCGCAGCGTCTGCGTCGGGCGGTTCGGAATATGCCAGGGTGATCCGCACGTGCCGGCTTGATCCTTGCGCGCGGCGCACTCGGGCTTGCGGCACTTTTGCGCGTTCAGCCTGTCGATGTCCATAGGTTGTCCCTTTCCTCCGTAGGTAACCCCGGTTGGCTCGCGTCGATCCGTCCTAGGTTCGTACAGCGGGCGTGATGGTGCGGGCCTTGGTGGTGTTTCGTTGTGGTTCGCGCGTGAGTTTGTGTTGACCGTCGCGCGCGCAGTACTGGTGGTCGCGTGCGAGTCGCGCTGCATAAGTCCGAACTCGCGGTCTGCTTCGTCCAGGTCTGTGATGCGGGTCTTCCATTCCTGGTACGTCGCGGGGCGAATGTGTGATCTGTAGATGTCCTTGAGGAGGTCTTTGCGTGTCTTCTGTAATACCATCTCAACGATTGTTCCGTCAGTGAGGGATAGTCCAGCCGCTAGCACAAGGCGCTCGAATTCTATGAAGAAGTCCACTGCGTTGGTCGTCCCCTGTCGGTACAGCGTGAGGTCGTGGAACGCTCGTCGCTTAGCATTCTTGTCTAGAAACACTGCGTCCATCGCATCCCAGAAAGCTTCATGGTCGGTGAAGTCCCAGCGACCGTTGACGTCGTGAGTGGTTCTGAACGCGTTCTTCCATTGTTCTATGGCATTCGTTCCGCGCACGAATGAGAGCACGTATCCGACAATGTCTTCTATGGGACCTCCTCGGGTTAGGAGCTTCATCTCGTTCCTCCAGTTGACGTATTTGGTTCTATCGCCTGCAAACAGTTCCGGTTCCTTCTTCCGGTAGTATGCCGGAGACGTGTTGGTCGCGTTTACTGTCACTGGGGGAACATTAACTTGGACAGGTACAGCGGTAGTGGCGTGATCGGAGAGGTGTCGGAGGATGTCGACAACGACTTGGAACTGTGCGGGGTCAATTTGTGACGCCATCGTTGTCGTTGTTGGTGGTACAGTTGGTGGCGGAGTTCCGTCTGGGCCTTGATCAGGTTCGGATGTGGTGTCGCTAATGTCGGGCGTTTCGGAAGGAGGTGTTGTGGTGGGATCAACAACGGTCTCGTCGGGGTCTTCGAAGTTTTCTTCGACTTCTTCCTCTTGTGGTGGGATGATCTCTGCCCAGCGCGCTGAGATGAAACGGCGGATATCGCTGGTGGTATCGTCGTAGCGCCGGGGACAGGGATTATGTTCGCAACGTTGGAGTTGCCTGGTACCCTCTGGTCTGTACGCGTCGTAGTCGTCTTCGACGTTGTGCGCGTGAAAGCGCCCTTCGCACCGGAGTGGTCGCGACACGTTGAGGAACTGTTGCGGAGCCTAGGAGTCGAGTGATTCGGGCAAGTCGGCGAAGAGACGGCTGAGCGCTTTTCGCGTGGGAATTGTTTAGGCGAGGTTCTGTCTACACGACTGTCTGAACCTAGTAGAGGGCGTGGAACACTAGCTGACGCTCGAGGCGTGGGAGGATGTGGAGGCTGTGGCGAGTGCGTAGGTACTCTAGGTACTCTCCAATGGGTAGGACGTATAGGATGAGGCCGAATTGGAGGTTGGGGGTGAGAGAATTAAAACGTAAGGCGTTCTCGCCGGGATCGAGGTTGTCAAAGGTGGCTACGCGAGTACGTCTCCTCTCGTTGTCTTCAGTGGATAAGGTGAATACAATGCGGCCGTTAGGGAGCCAATCGAAGCGGTAGAACACGTGGGTCCAGGGGCCTCCTTCGATGTATTGGTAAGCAGGGGCGGTGCCGGGAGCGGCGTCTACCGTAGTGCAGTCTGCTGCGAACCAATAGCTATCGTGCTCGCTCACGCGGTAGGCTGTAGTGGTGTCAAGGTCGATAGCAGAAAGCTTATCACGAAGAATTCCAGCGGGAGTTCCGTACGCGATGGGTTCGTCCGTCTGGACACAGGTGCGGGTGATGAGGGATTCGTAGTGCGCGGGAGAGAAGATCGGAAGACCTTCGCGGAGGTTGTAGTAGGCTTCGAAACGTTGCAGGCCGTAGCGCACGTCTGAGTAGTCACCGGTGAGATCCCAGGACTCCGCGTAGTTGGTGTTGACGCGGCGGAGGTAACCACGGACCGTGCGATCGTGTTGGTCGAGCGCTTCGTAGCACGGGCGCGGGAAAGCGGTGCGGTCGAGGTGAAGGAAGTGGTGGAGGTAGTTGGCTACCGGTTCGTAGGGTGGCGGATAGTCGTCGAGGAAGTTGGGACGGATGCGGTCTCGCGGTGGAGTCGCAGTCGACTCGTCGGCGAAGATGTCGGTGAGTGGGAGGATAGAGGGAGTGCTTCGCGCGGACACTGGAGGCAGGTCGCGTTAGCGGTGAGGGTGTAGGGGGTGTGGTAGAACCGTACTCGTGTATTCGCGCGCTTGATTCCGCGGCGAGTGGGGTTTTGAGTAGGTGTGGGGTTTGGTAGAAGCTGTTTATGAGACGCCTTAGCGCGCGCGGCTATCTACGAGATTAGATAGCGCACCAGCCGAGACTCGCGAGGGAGATTGGAGGTACGAAAGCCCAAACAGCTTCTGGAGATTGCTCCTCCAGAAGCGGGCCCTTTTATATTCGCTAGCTACGATGTACATGAGTCAATGTGAGTCGCGCGTGCATTCGCGTGCTGCAGCGTTAGCTCGCCTGCTTGCACTCACATGTCGTGTAGAGTCAACGGAAATACAAAGAGCAATCGCACGAAAGGCGCGAGGCGTCTGCGTACGATACTGGAAGAAGTAACTACGTAGTCAGGGCGCTGGTACGCTCCAGGCACAAGAGGCAACGTGCAGGAGCGCGCGGTCACTCTCCACGGCCCGGTTGTACATGAGGCGCTCAAGTGAGCTCTTGTACAGCGCGCGGTAGCCTCGTGGCTGGGCGTCGGAGCCGCGCGCTGCTTACTAACACCGTGACTTGCGTGATTACTGGAAAAGGCAAATTTCCGTAACACCTGCAGCCCAGGCTGCGCGCGCGAATTGCCCGCAGCGATGTCCCTGCTCGACCTCCACGACGACGTCCTCTTTCTCATCTTCTCCTACCTCTCTGGCCGCAACGCCCTGCACATCTGTCTGTGCGCAAAGCGCGCTTACTACATCACCATTCCTCAAGTGTATGCATATATCCGCAAATTCCCGTACACAATTGCCGATTTCGCTCAATGGCGCGACTCTCTTCTCTCTCCGGAGCCCATCTCAGGGAAACCACGGGTGTTGTTGTTACATTCCGTGGAATTCATGAACTGGTTGAACACGGACGATTAACCTACCGTGAAGTCGTAGGCGCGCATGCGGACTCGTCACTTTGGTTCAATGCTGTTCAACGAAGTATCGATGGGCAAACTCATGAACAAGTACGTTTTTCGCCTACGCCAGGTTTAGCATTGCGATCCGTCGTCTCCACTACTGTAAACGCATTTTTCACTGAAGAAACCTGGCACGGCGGCAGTTCGCGTCAATCGCACTGCACGTCGCGGGCAGCGCACGCAAGGACTCACCTTCGAGGCTGCGCTCCCGATCGAAGCCCGGCCGCTCGATGATGTCGCGCGCGCGTTCCGCGTCCTCCCTCCAAATCTCGGACATCTCCCGCCCGCCTTCCGTGCACCACCACCACCTCGTCCGCCGCGGGCGCGGGTCGTCTGCGTCCTTGGGATCCACGACTGCAAAGGGTGGGCCGAAGCCCCCATCATACGGGTCGAGGATCCCGTCCCCGATGCCGAGCACGCGGAGGGTGGGGAGCGCGCTGAAGAAGTCCCGCGGGTCGAGCGCGAGCGCGACTTCGAGGTGCGTCACGACGGCGCCCTTGGGGGGCTCGGGGGCCCAGCGGCCCTGGTCTTCCTCGACGACGTGCACGCCCAGGAAGAGCAGCGGGAGGCCACGCAGAGCCGCGTGCAGCCCCGTCTGTGCGCGGTGCGAGGGTGCGGTGAGCGGAGAGCGCAACGGTGGCGGGGCCGACTCACCAGATGATGGCCGGGCGCCCGGAAGCGCATCTCCAGCGAGCGCAACGGCGGGTCCATCCGCAGCTCGTCGGCCCACCGAATAGTGCCGTCCGAGTGGGTGGAGAGGGCGACGTCGAGCACGAGCGCGCCCGGTCGGACGGAGCGGACGAAGTCGAACGCTTTCGGCGCACCCGGTCGGATGGAGCGGATGAACTCCGACACTTCCTCCTCCTCCTCCGATGGGACGACGTTTGAGAAGGGGTAGTCCATGATGAGGCGAGGGATGGGCCCTGGCAGGGATGGTGGGAGTGAGGGCGGTTGACGGTATTCCGAGCGCATGACGGATTTGAAGTCGCGCAGAGGAGGCCACGGGAGGCCGGCCACGATCTCCCGATAAGGCCGCTCTTTTGAAGACGCGGACATGTAGGAAACGTAGGACAGTTTGGGGCAAAGCGGGATGAGGTCGATCATGGCAGATGAGAAGGGCTCGACGATGACCAGATTGCGTAGGCTAGGGAGCAGGTGGTCCCTTACGGTCGTGGACGTAACGGAGGGGTCAAGCAGAGGAATACGGTCTTCCTTGAGGCCCAGCTTTAGGGAGTGTAGTCGGCTGAATCTCGAAAGGACGTCCGTTAGTGGGGGGTAAGAGCGTGACTTGGAACGAACTGCGAATTGTTGATCAAGGGAGAGGGATTCGATCCTACTGGCGTTCGGAAGGGAGTTCAGCATCTCCATCGTGACTGGACCGACGAGGCTGAGCTCCAACGAACGCAGAGACTGCAATGTCCCCAGTGTTTCCCAGAGCTGAGGAAGGGTGAGGAGCTTCTGCTCCTGTCGACTTCCGGAGTTGATGCATAGGGAGTGCATGTGCTTGGCTTGGGCAAACAGCTGGACTAGCCCGGCAGCGACGGTAGGTTGATCGTCCCTGTTCACTGAGTTCATGAAGTCCACGGAATGTAGAAACGACGCCCGTGGTTTTCCTGAGATGGGCTCCGGGGAGAGGAGAGCGTTGCGCCATTGAGCGAAATCGGCAATTGTGTACGGGAATTTGCGGATATATGCATACACTTGAGGAATGGCGATGTAGTAAGCGCGCTTTGCGCACAGACAGATGTGCAGGGCATTGCGGCCGGAAAGGTAGGAGAAGATGAGAAAGAGGATGTCGTCGTGGAGGTCGAGTAGGGACATCGTTGTGGGCAATTGGCAACGCGGGGCGGATGTATGCCAACGTACGGCGCTACGGCTGTACATATATGGTTCCGAAATGATTACCCGACCAACTCCGACGCTACACGAGCACGCTTCACACACGAGCTGCATGACATCCTGATGGTGACCCCAGCTGTGCAAAGTGGCCTATGCCCGTCTAGTCACTAAGTGTACACGTTGCTTGCATCGAGCTGGTCAGAGCAGGCCGCGTGTCACCAAGTACTGCTTCCCGTTCAAAGTTCAGCGCCGGCACCCGACGGTTCTCGCACGACGGGCAACGGCCCAGCTTCGGAGCCCAAAAACGCGTAGACAAAGCCTATCAAAGGTGTCATTTTCGGCAGGTGTTTTTCCAGGGGAGAAAAAGGGTGGGAAAGGCGAACTTTTATGTCAAGTTTGTGTATGTCGCAGAGTATCCTGAAAGGTGACGTTTTGGGCGAATGTTTCGGCCCGACAGAATACTATGCTCAGAACAAAGACATTATAATTCGTGGTAAAGGCAATAGAACGTGTATACTATGTGAGTAACAAACAAGTTAGTACGAGTGATAAGTAACGGGTGTTATTGAAATGGGCACCAAAGGTCTCTTTATCGATCCTTTTCGGCACCCCGTAAAGCACCCGGAAAAATTGCCCATTTTAGTGCCTTTTTCACACGCGCACAAAAGGCGGCAGAAAATACACCTTTGACAGGCTTTTTCTACGCGTTTTCGGGCTCCGAAGCTGGGCCGTTGCCCGTCGTGTCGCCGCCCACCTCAGTCGTACACGACATGCGTCGCATCCTGCAGCAACTGCGCGTACGTCGCGCCATGCGGCTCCAGCTCGACGAACCTGCCCACGTACTCGACCAGCCTCCCTCGCTCGCGCGCCTCGTGCAGCTCCAGCGGGTCCATACCCTTGCCCATCTTCACGAACAGGCGGAGGTACAGCTTGTCCAGCAGGCCGATCTCGGCGTCGTCGCGACAGCGTGCATAGCCGTAGTCGGCCGCGGTCGTCCCCGCGAGCAGCTCGTCCCGGGGCGGGCTACCGGAATCGTGAGGAATCGCCAGCGTGTCGACGAGAGCCTTGAGGTGCCAGACGGTCTTGATCTCCTCCCGCTTGCCGGACAGGACGTCGTCGAGGAAGCGCGGATCTGGGACGGAGATGTCGAAGCGGCGGAAGAGGGCGGGGAGGCGCTGCCACTTGTGGGCGAACGCGAACTCGTCGAAGGTGCTCGCGTGCGCGAGGTTGTGGTACGCGACCCCGAGCGCCCCGAGCGCCGCCGGAGACGAGGCGGTGACGAAGCCGAAGCTGACCCACTCTTCCATCTCGGGGAGGGGGATTTCGCGCGCGACGGAGTGGACGTAGACGAAGTGGGCGGATAGAGTGGGTGGGAGCATACCGCGCCTGTGCTCCTCGATCGCTTCTTGGGGGGTGTCCGGAGAGCCTCCCATGTGTATCCAGCCCTTGCGCAGGACGTCGTTGAAGCGGTCGGCGGGGTTGAAACGAGCAGCAGCCGGAGCGACAGAGGCTGGGTCTTGGAATACGATCTGGTGCTCGAGGAACCAGTGGTAGTGCGAACCGCGGGAGGCCGGGGGCAGGTGCTCGAGGACGGCCTTGATGCCTTGGAGGAGGTGGCCCTTGCTCTGCCAGCGGCGCAGTTGTTGGAGCGAAACGATGTCGAGGACGGCTCGATAAAACTTGAGGAGGGCTTCTTCAGAGGCGCGACCGAAGGATCGACTCGCGTTGGTGAAACCGTAGTCGCGTCGGGTTTGATACTCGGCAGGGACGATCCCGGTGTGGCATGCGCGCGAGAGGTGGTAGACGGTGCTGATGGGCTGGTCGACATCGCAGTCGAAGATATGGATGGGCCAGTGTTGGCGTTGGCAATCTTGGTTGCAGTACCGGACGTCGCGGCAGCCCGAGCAGCGTTTGGCGCCGTCGTCCGGCACACATGGCGCACGCCAATTTTTCCATGCTGATCAATGGGGAGGGGAGGGGAGAGAAAAGCGGGAGGAGAGAGAAAAGCGGGAGGAGATCTGAGAAAAGCGGGAGGCGAGCGGAGGGCAGAGGGAGACGCCCAGGGAGACAACCCCACGTCAAACAGAGTTCGAGCTCGCATTGCGCTTCGAGTCCAGGAGAAGAGTCCGCGCCACCCCAGCGCCCGTCCACACCGACACGCATAACGTGGACGGCGTCGCTCGCAATGATCTCGACGCCCTCAGGCTGAGGCGTAGGCCGGGCGTCGACGCTGCAGGGGGCGCGGGACATCGGATCAGAAGAGGCAGCACGCGCGGGAAGCAGGACGCGACTCACCCAGCTGAGACGGGCCTGCTTGTATATATGCACAGTTGCAGCGAACACAGTGCTGGGTCAGCCACGCGAGGCAGCGCCATGCAAACAGCGCAGGGGTCGTTGGGTGGTACCTAGCAATCCAAGTCCTCAGTCTTCCCCAAGGTCCAAATCGTCCAACAGCACTGCTTACAGACAGAGGGCGTGCCAGCGGTGCCAGTCGGCGGCAGTCTATGCAGGAATGAGCCCAAGGACAGGACAAGACGCAGCCTGGATCTCACATACCATGACTCAGGCGTCCTCCGCCGTCCACATGCGCCTTCTTGCGCTGGCCTCGACGACCGCCGCCCGGTCACCCGCAAGACATGCACACAAAACACACGCGCGTGCTCTAGCCTAGATTGCGCATCACCCAGTTGGAGCGAAGGATGGTCGAAGATCTGGACAGCGGAGGCGGATGAGACCCAATGAAGTGCTCCTTCTTCTCCACGACCAACCGCCACCTTAGCGGCGAGCGCAAGAGCAGGGCGAGGACACGCGCCCAGCCCGCCCGCCCGCCCGCCAGCCCCTCCCCGTGGCCCACGAAGACGGGGATGAGGGACCCACCTACTTTGCTAGAGGCATTCGCCGCCGTTGTCTCCGCTCCGACCATGGATAAGGCAGCGCCGAAGTGCCTCTGGTTCTCCGCCTGGGCCCTACGGCACTAATGTCGAAGCTTTGAAGCTCTGCATCGGGTTTATGAGGCGTACTTGGGTGCGGGTGATGGTCTGTCGGTAGGATGTCTGTGCGCGCACTCTTTGTCTGGGCGGTGTGGGAGCGCTCTCCGGACATAAAAGTGGAACTATAAGGGGGTATTCCAAGCACAGATCGAAGGCGTCGACACGGGAACTTCCCCTGGGGGTACTGATCCAGGGTGTGGGGGAGTGAGAGCGAGAGAGACTCAAGCGCTGGCTCGACGGCGGAAGCGCTGGATGCAAGTGCTCGTTGGGCCGCGCACCTTCTGGCAATCATCCACTTCTCCCGGAGTTGAGTTCCACAGCGTAGATGACATCCTTCTTTCGTTTGTCTCCTCCTTTACTACCGATCGATACCCATAGATGCATACGTGCGAGCAACGTTGTATTACTATTACATTGGGACAAACTGGCGCTGGAGCAGGCCTACTATTCGAGTCGTTCATAAGTCATACACCATTCGGACGTTGTAGAGGTTGTCGCTCTGTAGATCAAACCTCATTGTCAGCTCCTCCTATGAAGGATGTAATGCAACAACAACCACATACCTCTTTCATAACCCCCTGCGGATTCTTCAGCAGAGATGCGTACCTCATAGCGTGCGGAGTGACCGTTACGAACCGGCCCACGTACTCCAACAGGCGTCGCTCGACGCACGCCTCGTGCAGCTCCATCGGGTCCATACCCTCCTCCACCTTCGAGAAGAGGCGAATGTACAGGTCGTCCAGCAGCCCGACGTCCTCCGGGCGGTGGCAGTTGAGGTACCCGTAGTCGATCTGGTACGCCGCCATGAGCGGCGCGCAGCCGGTCCACCCCACCGGCATCTTCCGCTCCTTGACGACATCTACGTGCTGCTTCAGGTACCACACCGACTTCGGACCAGAGGACGATGGGACGCTCATGACGTCGGCGAAGAAGCGCGCGTCGGAGACGACGATGTTGTACCGATGGAAGAGGGAGAACATGGTGCCGGCCTCGAACGCAGCGAAGAAGTCTTCGAAGGGACACGCCCACGCGAGTTCGGTGTATGCCTCGCCCATCGCGTCCTGCGCTGCCTTGGAGAGTGCCGCGACGAAGCCGAACTGGACCCATGTTGGAAGCGGGGGGATGGCAGGGATGCGGGAGAGCACGCTGAGGTAGAAGAAGAAACAGACGTGCCTGGTGCCGTCGAGTGGGCAGCTGCAGAGCATGGTTTTGATGTCCTCCGGAGTGGTTCCGTCGAAGCGCATAGACCCGACGCGGAAGAGGTCATCAATATTCGGGGTGAGGTTCGGACTGGGAATGTCAGACACGAGGACGGCGGATCTGGCGAGGCAAGACTGGTTGGCGAGAAACCAGGAGTAGGCCGGTTCGCGGTCCTCGGAGGGGAGGGCTTCGAGGATCGACTTGATACCGTGGACGAGTTGTCCCTTTCGCTGCCATCTGCGCACGTCCTTGAGAGAAGCTTTGGAGAGGACTAAGCGATAGAGCGAGAGGAGGTCCTCTTCTCCGGACGGTACGCCGCGACGCGAGACCTGTTCAAAGCCATAGTCGATCCTGGTCGGGAGGTGGAGCGGGGGAGTTTGAAGGTAGCATGCGCGAGCGAGGTGATGAGAAGGGTCGATGGGCTTGTCGATCTTGCAGTCGAAGATGTGAAGGACCCAGTGTTCGTTCTGACAGCTATCACTGCAGTACCGCGCACTGCGACAGCCTGAACAGCGTTTTGCGTCGTCGGAGAGCACCGTCCCGCACTTGGCGCAGGCAGGGGAGTCCATCCTGCGAACGGCATTCGTCTCCACGCACATGCTCGTGAAGAAAAGGCCCCATACCTGTGTGTTGTCAGCCTTGCGAACTCGAGAGGGGAGATAGCAATTGAGGGGAAGAAGGGAGCGTGCGGCAGAGAGAGGCCGCGGGCTCATATACCCTCTCCGGATGGACATCGAGCGTGGCTGCAGCGATGTCAGGTAGAGTTCGGGTGCCCGAAGACCGCCGACTCACCTTCGCATGCTCTGATACTACATCGAGGCTTATGGAGTGGGTGTATGTGCATACACGTGTAGACAGCTGAGGTTTTCAGTCGTCTGACGTCGGAAAGCGAGCACGGTGGTCATCAACCAAGATCAAGGAGCGAGCACTTGATTTGTTCTTGAAGAAGCGCCCAGAGAAGCCGTCGAAACATCGCTTTGCAAGGCCCATGGCCAGTACTTGATCCACATGGTAAACTGCGAAGAAAAGCCCCGTAAAGATTGAAATGAGACCATCAGCCCCCGATCAACGCTTCGAAAAATTAGAAACTTACAAAGCACCATCCCCTCGCTCTCAATCACCCGCTACGCATCCTGCCGTCAAACCTCGACGATCTGAGTATTTCCCAATCCAAACCTGAACTCGATGAGTCGCAATATCCCTCGTCGCCTCGTGCCCTGCACACCTGAAGAGCTTCTTCTGGCCAGATTGGATTCCCGGTGTCACTCGACGAGGAACCTCAACTAATGCACCTAAAGATGCCAACAGATCAACACGCTCACCACCGAGCTCGTGTGCGTGCCCGCGATCCGCGCGCACGAGGCCCATCCATTCTCCGACGTGGTCCCAACGCTGGGATTTTCCGGGAGACGCGATGCTGCTGCAGAGCATGGTGGAAACTGTAGAGCGCTACAAGGTGGCGCGCCCGCGGTGCGAGGCGGAGGAGGATTCAGCGGCGGGAAGGGCGAAGAGTATATTCGCCTTGCAGAAGCCACACAGAGACCATCATGGCAATCAAGCGGAGCCGTGGCAAGGATGGGAACGTCGTTGTTGAGAGTCATAAAGGAGGCGGGTCACGGTTGGAACTTCTGAGAACGCGACGCAAATCACTGATGGTCGCCGGATCGGAACAAGTCGAGCCGGTTCACCTAAGGAAATCGAACAACACTAAGCGCCTTGACCGCCTCCTCCATGTCGTTTTGCATACAGCGAGGCTTGAAGCTTGAAGGGTGCCCATGCCAATATTCCGCGGGTAAGTATCGTAAACCCCACCCCGCGCAATATTTCACGGAACCATCCCCATGACTCAAGTCTGCTCATAGACACGCTTGGGTGAGAAGAAACCTGTGTTCCTGTAAGTCGATGGAGCACACACGATGGTTGCCAGCAACATACCGTCGAGGCTCTTCTCCGCGTCGAAATCCGGGCTCTCGATGATCTCGCGTGCGCTTTCCGCGTCTTCTCTCCAGATTTCGACCATCTCCGGGCCCCCTTCTCTTGTGCCTTCCGACCACCACCACCGGTGACGCCGCGTTCGGACTTTTTTCTCCCCTCTTGTAGAGCGCTTCGACGATGCCATGGCAGATGCTCCTCCCGCTGGAGAAGGCCATTTGATCGCGGGTTTCACATAGCCTTCAAACCCCATCGGCACGCCCATCGTATCTCCGATCCCGAGCACGCGTAGCGAGGGAACGGCGGAGAAGAACTTGCGAGGGTCTAGCAGACGAATCGCCTCGCACACCGGAGACGTCATACGGTCTGCAACCTGCTCCTGTTCCAGCCACTCCTGGAGGCGACCATCCGCGACGACCTGGATCCTGAGCCACACGAGGCGGGTCTCGCTGAAGACAGAATGCAGTTCGTCCTGTGGGTATGCACCCGAGAAGACGTGAGTCGAGGAACGAGAGGCGAGGACAAACGACTGACCAGCCTTCTGGGATCCTGCGTCTTCATGCATATCTCCAGCGAGCGCAGCCGCGGCACGATCCCCGCGATCTCGCCCCACGTCGTCCCCCCCGCGGTCAAGACCGACCGCCCCCGGACGCTGCCCCGGACGACGAGCGCGCCCGGCTGCGTCGCGCTGAGCAGAGCGAGCACCGGCCGCGCCTGCGACGGGGTGAAGATGCCATCCGTGACATCCGCCCCGAGCGAGAGCCGGTCGACGCGCCCGAACCGCGGCGGGGGCTGCCGGTCGATGAGCGACGACGCGCTGTTGATGTGTTGGAGCGCGAGCTCGCGGAGTGCGGGCCAGGGGTCGTCACGTGGCACGGACTTCATGCCGATGAGGCAGTCGTAGCTGAGCATGGCAAGGTTCGGGCAGAAGGGAACGAGGGCGAGGGCGACGCCGAATTCGCTCTCGATGATAGAGAGGTGGCGAATGGTGTGCAGCATCGGGAGGTCCGCTTCGTTGGAGGTGGGAGAAACGATCTTGATGCCAGGTGGCGAAATGATCTTGACTGATCGGAGACGGGGGAAACGGGCTAGAATGACGAGGAGCGGGGGCGGGAGGGGTACAGCGTCGGCGCGGGCTGTAGAAGTGGATGAAGTTCTGAAGTTATTCGATCTGAGGGAGAGTGTGTCCAGTTTGTTGACATGGGGCATAGAGCCGAGGAACGACAACGTCAACGGACCGACCCCATCGAGAGAGAGCTCGCGTAAATCAGCGAGATGTTCTAAAACTTGTCCCAGCCGCGGACAAGCTGTAAGGTATTCGTCCATATTTAATCTCGCCTTGAGCGTACGCAATTTGGAGGCTTGATTGAGCACGTCCGCCAAGCCCGTAGCAAGTATGACGATGATGTTCGAACTTGCTTCTTTGCTTGCCCAAGTCACGTATCCGAAGTGATGCGCGGGGTGGTGCACTTCCAGATGACGTAGAAAAGATACGCGTGGCGTATCAAAGTGTGGCGCAGCGGCAAAGAGGTGGTTTCTCCAGACCGCCTCAGACTGCTCGCCCAACAATAGGGTCATACTGATCAACGTTTGAGGAAGGACCAAGCCGTACAGTCGTTTCGATGTCAAGCACAGAGAGACCGCACCACGAGTGTTGAGATAATTTGAGATGTATATGAGCACATCGTGGTTGAGAGAGAGGAAGTCCGTCATGGATGCAACGTGGAGGTCCGGCGTAGAGCTTCAGATCATGTCAGGAGTACTTGGGCGCCAGCCTGAGTCGAGACTCGAGAATCGAGATACCGCCTTCGCCGTTTCAATATTTAGCGCTCCGCCTAACTACTGCTCGAATTTGTTCGACTCGCCGACTCGCCGTAGCGCATAGACAATGTCATCATTCCTGTGGCCTCGAATTAACCCCCCTCCCCTGTAGATCTGACATGCATATAGTAGTCATGAATTGGCAGAATTTAGAGATAGCGCGTCTATATGAAGTGGTAGATGCCGGCGCCAAATGGTTTGCCATTCGCTTTTTGCTCCTTCATCCTCCGATGAATTGGCACGTACCAGTGCTAGAGATTTGTGTCGTTCTTTCTTCGTCATCGACCCATCGCAGAGCTCGACACAGTTGTATGATGAGAAGAAACGAATTGCGGTTGCCCAATCGGAGCAGAAAACTATCTAAGCACAGTACGAGTACGAAGGGAGAAACAAAGTGTACATGTAGGTATCGGTGACTATACGCGCTCTAGCAAACGAGACTGGTACAACACAGCACGGCAGTGAGTAGATGAGACATATTAGATGAAGAAGGTATCAGTCCGAACTGTCGGCTCTCGGCTCCTGTGAGCCCCACGCCACTACGCCGCAGCCTGACCCCCGTTCCGCTTGAACAGGAACTTATCGATCAGGCCATTCAGGTTGCCCATGCCCGGCGAGTCGGTGTCGGGGAGCCACTCGCCGTTGTTGACGCAGAGAATGCGCATGCGCTCGTGGTAGCGGAGGTCGGGGAGCAGCTTGGGGGTGATGAGGAAGTACTGCCCCGAGTCGGCCTGGCAGGTGACCTCAACGAGCGCGTTGTGTACCGCGCGCTCGGCGCGCTGATCCATGCCCTGGTTGATCTCGTCGACGAGCGAGAACGGCGCGCGGGCCTCCTCGGTGAGCGACATCAGGTAGAGGATCGTAGTAAGGGACCGTTCCTGTGAACGAAGGCGCGTCAACATGCGTCAAGTCTTGGGCAAAGGGAAGGTGCATACTCCACCAGACTGCCGCTCGCCCGTGAGCAGCTGCAGCTTCTCACTGTCGCGGAACTTGACCATGATGTCGATCGCCCACTTCTCGTAGTCCTCGTCCTCCCTGATCCGAATCTCGCCCGCGCACCCGATCCGGTCGAACGCGCCAGAGAACTTCTTCCCGATGCTCTCGACAAGCCGCTCGAGCGCCGGCTGCCAGTGCTCGCGCGCGGCCGTGATCTGGCCGTCGATGTGCGCGGCGCGGCGCTCACGTTCTTCAATCGTCTCCGTGAGCCGCTCGATCTCGACTTTGCGGCGGTTGTACTGGTCGACGATGCCGCCGTTCGTGCAAGTGTTCAGGTTCAGCTCCTCCTCGCACTGAGCAAGCTCGGCCATCCATTCTTCCGATGACCGGGCGACCACTTCGTTGGCCTGGCGAAGAAGGGCATAGCATCAGTGTATGTTCTATTTTGTGGTGAAAAGGGCGCGAACCTCATCCATCACCTTGAACTTCTCCTTCGTCTCGTCGCTGCTCTCGCTGAGCTTGTCTTTGCTGAATTGCAGGCGAGTGAGAGTTTCCTCCTTCGCCTTGGTATACTTTTGTCGCACTATGCGAGAGTGTCAGCACCCATGCTCGCCGAAAGGCATGCCTATCTACTTACTCTCGGCCCAATTCGCCGTAGCACGCTCCAATTCTTCCTTCTGCTCCTGACACTTGACCTCGAGAGCCGACTTCTTGGCCAGTACTTGCGCAGCCTCCAGTCCGGCTTTGGTCGCCGCCTCGTAGTCAGTGATAAGCGCTCGTCTCAAGCTCTGATATAGGTGGAGGGTCAATACACGCGCCACGGAGACGGCATTTGAACGTACGGCGTAGGCCCTGATGAGGGTGACGCGTTTGTTCGCGAGGGTGAGCATCTGCTGCTTGAGCCTTGCGCGCTCTTGGTCGACCGGTGGCGCCTTCTTCAGCTTATCCAGCTTGGTCTTGTCTTCCTCTGCGGAGACGGTCAGCGTCAGGACGGGTGAAACGAGTGAAACAACGTGCTCAGCTTCAGTTCCCGAGATGCCCTCGCCCTCCTCGCGTTTATCGCTGCCTCCTTGCGGGCGTTGAGAGGGTCCTATGTTTGCGCACCAAACCGTGAGCACAAGCCCCTGACCAGGAATCGCGGGCGCTTACGAATTCCGCCCTGTAATCCCGTTCGTCTGCGCGCACTTGCTTCTCCTTGGCTGCAAGCTCCTGTTCCTCTTGCCTAACGACTTCCATGTTGCTCTGGGACTCGGAGAGCTTCTCCTGGAGCTGTCGCTTGACCGCCGGGTCGACTACGAAGAAGCGTCGTATTGTAAGGACTTGGAACGTGAAGGGCACTCAAACCAAGGCATGCGTACCGACAGTGCCGACCAACGAGCGCGCCTGCGGAATCTCACGCGTAGAGTTCTGTGCGAGCCGCTGACCATAGTTTGACCGCCGGACCTGGTTCATGAGCCGGCCGATGATGTAGTTAGCGCCGTTGGCCTGTTCGGCCATATGCATCGCGCGGTTGCCGTCCACAGCTCGTGGGTTCTGCACCGCAATTGCCTGCGCTAGCACATCAGCTGAGGAACGCGTCGAGAACAAGAAGAGGCCGTACCGTGCGATGGAGCTTCACTTCGGCATAGAGGTACCCCTTGAGGCCTTCTGGGCAGTCGATGAAGTCAATTGCGTAGCCATCGAACCCGAGGGCGCGCAGGTCCTCGGGAGAAGCAGGCGGCGGCGCGAGGCGATTCATGTCAACGGGCAGATACCACGTGTTGATGCGCACTGTTCGCCCGAGAGCTTCCGGAGTGTCGACACAGACTCGGTTGAGGGTCTTATAGTCTTCAAGACATTGGCAGACGAAGGTACGCAATTGCGCGAAACTGAAGCACGCCTCAACAGCGTCGGCGTAGTGCCGGTTCGGGACATTCACGGAAAGGGCTGCGGGCTCGAAAACTTCCATCTTGAACCGATGCCTGTTGCTGCGAAGCCACTCGACGACCGCCGCTGCGTCAGATTCGGTTTTTGCGAGATTCTGCAGCTTCTGATGCTTTACGCTATCGAGTTGAGATATTCTAAACGGGGTACACGGTCAAAAGTAATCTTTGAGTGAAAAAGAGAGGACTTACTGCCGAGTGAGCCCATCAACAGCGGCCTGGCACTGACCATACTTCTGCGCAACCTGTTTCTGAGCCTCTTGAATATCGAAGTTGCGTTCTTTTATGTCTCGGTGCTTCAGATTCAGCTCTTTCTGTTGAAGGCGTAAGATGCGAAGCCTGCTGAACGGAGCCGACAAAACGCACAAGTTGTTTGGTCAGCTCTTCAACGTCCTCCATGTCCAACGGTTCTGCAAGTCGTTTAGTGCCCTCATCAATCATCCGCTCATACTTCTTGATGTCGCTCTGTCGTTGCTTGTCCTGCTTCTTCAGATTGTCTAGTCTGTTCTTGATGCTTTCCGCCTCGCGTTCCTGGCTCGTCCGTAAACAAGAGACCTTCGGGTCAGACGTGGGCCGCGGCTTACCAATGGGTCATTTTCGGCCCACTTCGTTGTCATCGCGTTAACCCTGGCCTTCGTTGCTCGCTTCAGGGCGTCTCTGGTGGCTTCGCATTTCCTGACTTCTTCCACCAATGCCCTACCGTATGTCAGTTCAACCGATCGAAGCGCATGATCTTCACGACTCACTGCTGCATTGCTGTATAAGGGGCATGTCGTGCTTGCATGTCTTTCAGGTCGTCCGTGATCTTCCGGTACACCGGCTTCATCGCATAGTACTTGTCACGAGCTTCGTAGTACGAAGTGAACGGCACGATGACAGACAGGAGCTCAATCTGTTGCGCGATATCAACGACAAGGCTCAGTGAGAAAGTATGGATATGCGTACGCGTTTCTCCAGGGTCTGGCGCTCTTGATAAAGCTTGACCTGTTTCTGCAGCTCGGCGTTGCGTCCCTCGAGATTATTGAGCTGTTCGCGATCCTCGTTCACGCGCTTAGGTCTGCATGAGCAACCGCTAAGCGCCGTAGCAACACAAAGCTCACCTCTTGGATCTGCCGGAGTTCCTTGCCAGATCCAATCAACGTATCGTGCCAGTTTGATAGATTCGGGCTGCCAGCGGCACGTTGGGTCTCGCGGAGGAGTTGTTGCGGAGTCATCCGAGCAAACTCGGCCACTCGGTCTTGCGGCAAGAAGGTACTGGGCAGGACCAGGGTGAGTACAGGCAAGCGCGAAGACCGGCTGCAGTCATACCATAGGTTGTTGACCTGAACATTAAGGCGTTCAACCTCGGTGCTAACGTCCGCCGCGCTGCATTTCCGGTCGTTGATGAAGAAGTTGGACTTCTTGTTCGCGGCTTCGAGTGTCCGCCTGATAACGATATTGCCCTTCTTGCGCTCGCCTTTGAGCTCTATCTCGATGTACCCCTTCTCCTTATCGCTCTTCACGAACGACTTGACGTCTTGGGCGCGGTTGAGAAGCTATGAAGATGAGATATCAGCGATGTTGTTTGGTGAACGCGAGATGGACACTAGAACAACGGAAGCAACACAAGCGGTCCATCCTCTCAGAGCACCCTATCCTTCTACGAACTCGAGGAGACGCATATACCCAGCGAAGCGCCAGAGGCATTGAGCGAGCAACTAGCGGTAGACATGGTACGGCTGGGCAAGAGTAGCTTGTGGATAGTCGAACCCAGCTCGTGCATGACGTACGAAAATATCAGACATATCCGGGTGCCCCTCGCAGTGCAGGCTCGATGTGGGTGGCCACTCGTATCAGAGCGCGAAAGCCCCCCATCTGTCGCAATGAACCACGACAGAGGAGACGTACTCCCGTGTCGCACAAGTCGGTTCACAATCCAGAAGAAATCCCTTTGAGTGGCGAGGACGTAGGGGATAAGGGGGAGGGTGGTTCTTGCAATGCACATGAAAACCAAAACATCACTCACAGCGGGCGGAAAATTCAACCCCAAGCAGATTGCACATGCAATGGAGCTCTTTCCAGTACCATTAGGACCCAGGATCATATTGAGGTAGGGGCCGGGGGAGAACTCAACCCAGTCGTAGGTCAAGAAGTTCTCGAGCTTGATACGAACGATGGAGCCCGGGACGTAGCTAGAAGATATGATGAGCAACTCTGAATTGAGATGGCGATGTATGTGGATGCACCCATCGACATCACGGGGTAGAGTCACCCTCTCAATTTTGGAGGTACCACCAGTAGGACGCGAATCGCCTTCGGCATTGACCCTAGCGCGTTTGAGCCCTTTGGGGGAATGCCCCGAGCCACCTCTTTCGTCTTCATCGGCTTCTCCGTCTGCGTCTCCCTGCTCCTGATCTTCAGGTTTCGCGTCCGCGTCCACATGGTCCCTCATCGCTGCGCGCTTGCCGCGTGAGTGCTTGTCGGTGGTCGATTTGCCCATGCTCTTTGAAGATTTGGACTTGAGACCGTTGTTCTCCTTTTGCGAGTCTTCGGAGTCGTGTGAGGGGGCTCTACGAGCCATAACGGACGCGGGCGCGTCGAGGGGATGATGGTGGTAAGCGCTAGCAACGAGCCGGGAGGCCCCTCAGACGCGTCGCGCGCATCTTCAGGGCAAGCTCTTTCGCAACAGTACACGTGACGTGCACGTGAGTTTGTTTTGAGGTGTTTTTTCCATGATTTTCCAAACCAAAGTCGAGGCCTGATATATTTGCCTTCCATCCCCAACCAACGTGGACCTCTCGCATGGCCACCCAGGGCCACCCATGCACACGCGAGCTCGCCAATCTTGGCAGGATCGGCAGTTGACACACCTCTCAGGGCGCTAGGTACCTGTGATATGTCGCGGATATGATTGCTTTCCCACAGCGCAGCTTGTTTGCGTCAGTCACGAGTACTATATGAAGCACTGCCATGGATCCGTACGCTTCGTGTCTCTCGTATCACCTCTTATCCACTCCACTTCCGGTCACGGCACTCGTCCACCTCCCCGACCTCCCTCAACGCCGGCTTGTCCACCTACCCCGGACCCTTTCAACAGCTCCCATCCCCCGCACGCACGCTTCAAGCGGGTTGAGTTGGGCGGAGTCCGCAAAGTTGTGCAGGAGGCGTTGCATGGACTAGTTACGTCAGCGCTGTTAAACAGGTATGTTCCTTTCTTCATTCGTGCGTCCCCCATCCCACCCAAGTTGGAGCCGGGTTGAGAGTCAGGCGGACATAGCATCCATGCTCTCCATCTGCAGGTGGCCACAGTGTGGTCTGGTGGCCAACTTCGCCCCCAGGTGCTGCTTTTCCACGTGCATCCCCGCTCGTTGGACCCCTTCATTACGGCCTTCGGCAGCTAACACCTGCACCGCCTTCCATCTTCTTTGGCACAGAGATCGGCTTCCCGCGTGTTGTATTGTCCGAAATGGATTTCCTTCAAGTCGCCGCTGCCCTCGCGGTCTCCTGGGCCATCACATACTTCTTCCGGAGGCGCTTCAACCCAGTGAGTAGTTCTGCAGCGGACACTATAACTACGTTGACGCCTGTATGCGCGCAGTTGATGTCTTTACCCACCATTGGGCCATCTGCACCACTATTGTCATACCTCGGAGCTTTTCGGTATTTACGGGATGGAGAAACGATGTTGCGCGAAGGTTACCAGAAGGTGCGCCCCCGCGTGGGATGACAGGTCCTCTCGGTGGCTGAGCACCTTCTAGTATTACGGCACGGTATTCAAGATCGCAATGTTGGACGGTTGGATCGTGGTCTTCACCGGACCCAAGCTCATCGACGAGCTCCGCAAGAGCCCCGATGAGGACCTCTCTGCCGTCGAGGGTACTGCTGAGGTATGTCACTCAATCCTGCTAGCTGTCGCACGACATGAGGGAGCCACTATGGGCGCAGTTCAAGCTGACACTCGTAATCGCAGATTCTACAGCTGAGGCATACGCTTGGTCCTACTTTTGACGACCAGTTCCATGTTGCAGTCGTCCGCGACAAGCTAACGCGCAACTTGGGTGCTCTCTACCCGGACGTGCTGGACGAAGTCAACACGGCATGGGAGGAGCTCGTACCGCCGACCGATGGTGAGCCCATACTATGCGCATGTAGTCACCTTACTAAACGAGAAGCGCCTCAGATTGGACGGAAGTTTGTGCTTTCCCAATCGTGCAACAGATAATTGCTCGCGTAGGCAATCGTGTCATGGTGGGCCTGCCGATATGTGAGGAACAATGATCCCTCTCTTTGTTGGCATTCGTCTAATCAGGCTTGTCCAGGTCACGATAAAGTGTTCCTGGATGTGTCCATCAACTTCACCAACGAAATCTTTATATCGTCATTCATTATCAATTTGTTTCCGGAAATCCTCAAACCGTATGTAGCATCCACATCAGGGCGACTTACTAGGTCTAATGTGTGCTCGACACAGCCTGGTCGGCTCCATGCTCCCATTGGTATCGAAGAGCAGGAGCAAGCTGCGACCTATCGTCATCCCATTGCTACAAGAGCGTCAGCGGATGATGGAACTTCATGGAGATTCCTGGGAGGACAAACCGGTAAGAATTTAGAAAGTATGTGTCTGTAGTAAAGCTTTTCTGAAGCTTTTATAGCGCGACATGCTTCAATGGCTTCTGGAAGAGGCGGCCTCAAAAGGCACTCCGTTCGAGAATGTCGTCGAGAAGGTCCTGTTAGTCAACTTTGGGGCGATCCACACATCCAGCGGGGTAAGATTTGATCGCCCACCACATATCCAACCATCATACGATTGCGTTGGATTTTCTAGACCTTTACACACGCGCTGTACAATTTGGCCGCATATTCCGAGTACCTTGAGCCGCTCCGGGAGGAAGTCGAGACCATCATAGCCGCCGAAGGCTGGAACAAGGCCTCGCTGGCCAAGATGCGCAAGCTCGACAGTTTCTTCAAGGAGTCCATGCGCCTCGCCGACGGCTCTCTCAGTACGTCTCCATCTTGCTTCCTGATTTCTTGTCACCCTTGACACCGATCCTCCCAGTGAACATCTTCCGCAAAGCCGTCCGGGACGTCACGCTCTCTGACGGAACCCGCATTCCGAAAGGCACCCTCGTCGCCGCCGCCTCCGTCATCGCGCACACCGACGACGCACACTACACAAACCCGCACACGTTCGACCCTTTCCGGTTCGCGCGGATGCGGGACGCGGGCGCGGACGAGGCGCTCAAGCACCAACTCGTGAACACCTCCGTCGACTTCATCACCTTTGGCCATGGGCGGCACGCGTGGTGCGTCTGCGTCTGACGCTCTCGGCGTTTGTTTAATGCGCTGACTCTTCGCATGCAGTCCTGGACGGTTCTTCGCGGCGAACGAGATCAAGACCATGATGGCCTATCTCGTTCTTCACTACGACGTCAAGTTTGCAGACGAGGGCAAGCGTCCAGATAACATCCGCTTCGGACACGCCGACCTGCCCTCGCACTCGGCCAAGGTCCTCTTCCGCAAGCGCAGAGCTGCATGAGCTGATAATGGTAGACCGCGGACAACAGACAGCACGACGGGCTGCGGGGTACGGACAACGGAACAGATTTATGCTCACGGACGACACGACTTCTCGCGACGACTGAACCCTGCGTATAGAAGGCTCGTGGACGATTTTGATGATGACATTATGCATACCCCTCGTTACACGTTGGTCTCAGCTTTGCTCGTTATGCTCGACTTGCTCGTTCCGGCCTTGTTGTATCATTCAGCTTTTACACGGAACACACCGCTTTCGATTAAATCCCCAGAGAGAAGAAATAAGGTGGTGATATATGCGTGCATTAAGATCCAGGGTTCCAACCGTTTTACCCAGCAAGCCCAAAGATATAATCCTCTAAACGGAACGCTCACCCTGTCGTTGAGCCTTTTCCGCACTCCCAACGACATCCGCACCAGGAAGAAGCCAGCGGAAAGTGACACTCAGCCTCAGCCCGCGTTCCAAGACCGTACACCGCTCGCGTCCGCTCCCCGGCTCGTCCTCCACCAGATCCTCGAACCGCTTCTCGATCCCGTGCGTCCAGTCGTAGCGCGCCGCTCCCGTCATGACAAGCACGCTGCCCGTGGGCAGGTACACCGCGCACCCGTCGCCGTCGCCGTCGCCGTCGCCCCGCTCCCCAGGCTGGTCCCCAGACGTGACGCGGTCGAAGCGCATCGCGCACCCGGAGCCGAAGCTCACGCCGACGATGCCGTCGCCGTACCGGTCGAGGAGGTCGACGTGGGGCGTGATGCCCTCCCCAGGCCAGTACACGTTCACGATCGCCTGGCGGGCGCGCGGCGGACCGGTGTACCCGGACGCGACCGGGGCGGGGGAGAAGAGGAGGGCGTGCGTCGCGGGCGGGAGGAGCGGCTTCAGGTTATCGTCGAGGGTTTCAAGGAGGTCAGAGAGGAAGCTGGGGAGGCCGGGGCTCGAGGTGGGGGGCCGGGGCGCGTCGTGTGGGGAAGGGGGGCGGGAGGGCGGGGAGGAGCGGGCGAAGAGCATCACCTGGTTCGCGGAGGTGTCTTGGAAGAAGGCGCGCATGCAGGAGAGCATCACGTCCTCGCAGAGCGCGTCGGGGAGGAGGAGGGTGGGGTCGAAGAAGAGGCCGGGGATGGAGGGCGGGGAGCGGCGGACGAGCGCGAGCGAAGCGTGTGCCTCGGCGTCGGGGACGCCCTTGGCTTCGTCGTGCTTCGGTGGAGGGGTCTCGTCGAAGAGCGAATCTTCATCCGTGCCTACGGGCGAGAACATGCCGTCCTCTGCGGACGTCGTCTTCTCTGAGTATGCCTCGAGAGCGGCCGTGTCCGTGATGATGCGCAAGGTGCGTTGTGGATGGCGGTCCGCGGTATCGACAGTCTTGCATGCCTTGGTAGGCTTCTCTCCTCCCTCCTCAAAGTCGGCTTTGCGCTTGTTCATGGTGACAAGGAACAGATGGGCTGGCGGATGACAGTGACGCTGAGAAAACGCACGTTGCTACACAATCAGCGTCCAGGCTGGTCGGACTTCAGTGACAGTGCCATCTAGAGCCGATTTTGTACATGGATGTCTTGCAGAGGAAGGGCCTTGCTCGCGCGTCGCAACAGAAAGAGGCCGAAGAGTCTAAATTGAAGTCAAGCAGCAAGCATCCTGGGGCGAAAAGATGAAGACTGAATGCATTGACGCGTTGACGATTGATCCAAATTTGTGTGACTACTATTATTACATAAGCGTTATTTGAAGCGTTCGACGCGTCCGACTCGGACTGCAGACTGCAGCTTCCCTGCTCTTGCTCTACCACCCCTTCCGTCTTCCCTCGACCCAGATGGACGACCCAACACCGTCATCAGCGAAGCCCACAGTCGACCGGGAGAAGGTTTGTGTCCGTGTTTGCTGCTCTGCATCATGGCTCATCCATCCGCAGACTGCCCCCTTCCTCATACGCACCTTTGTAAAAGTTGGTGCATACCACCGTCTAGTGCAGTTCGAAGACGGGCCTTTACCGCTCTCTGATGAGCAAGCAATATACACTTGGTACGTCGCTGTGTTTGCAACTGCATACGTGCGCAGAGGGCGGGCTGCATGAAATAGAAGGGCGGTGAGGAGGGGCAGGACGTCTTCCGGCTGTGGAATGCCATGAGGCTATATATGTTCTATGAGCCTGCGTGCTGGACTTATGAAGCCTTGTGGTCGGCGAAGACAGCCTGGAACACAGTTGGTCCGGATGACGCAGCACGTCAGCAGTCGCACCCTCGCCCGACGCGTCCTCACTCCCATGAGACTAACCTCTCTCACAGGAAAGACGCGACTCTCAGGGAAGTCCTCACCACCCTCCGCTCCTCCGCACCCCCAGTGACCGAATACCGCCACCCCCTCGCGCGCTTCTCCTTCCGCGCCGTCTTCGCCGACCCCACCGCGCGCGGCCGCTTCGCCCAAAAGGACCTCGGCACCGTCTACTCGCGCGACATCCTCGGCGAGCCCGGCTCGCTCGGCCGCCCCGCCCCGCGCCTGCTCGAGGACGACGAGCGGGACACGACGTCCTCGACCGAGCAGGACCGCACCCTCGACGAGCTCCGTTTCGTCCCCGGGGACTACCTCTGCGTCATGGTCCAGCTCCCCAAGGGCGTCGTCGTCCCCGCGGGCCCCGACGGCGAGCTCGTCATCAAGGGCGCCGGGGTCGGGGTCGGGGCCGCGCCTCCGCCCGCGAACGGGTGGAAGAGGGACGCGCCTGGCGGGCGTGGGACGGATGGCGGGTGGAGCGGGAACGTGGCGTCGGCCGCGGGGCCGGGCGTGGGGCGCGGTGGGGGTCATTGGCGTGGAGGCCCCGAGGGTGGGCGCGGCGGTGGACGCGGAGGAGGGCGAGGCGACCGCGGGGACTTTGGACGGGACAGGGACCGGGACCGGGAGAGGGAGAGGGAGCGCGACAGAGGTGCGCGGGACCGTGACCGGGACCGGGATGACAGACGCGTCCCCCCACCGCGGAGGGTCTCCCCGCCACCCCGCCGCGAAGGGCGGGGAGGGGCCCGACGGGGGCTGTCGCGCTCGCGCAGCCCGCCGCGGCGTAGGCGGTATGACTGAGTGGCGGGATGGAGAGCGTGGGCTGCGTGCGTATGCTGTACGCTGGAGTTGGCGGGGCTGCGTGAACCAGGACTTGTGCGTAGGTGGCTTTGCCTGTGTCTGTATCGTGAATGGATGAATGCTATGATGCGCAGTGTTCTGTCCAGGACTGCGCACGATCCGCTTGCGACATAAGTGGCTCGGTCTAGACTGCTTCGCCTCGCCACCTTAGCTAATATGTACACCACAAAATTTCTGAGCCAACGGTGAGCCTCGTCTAGATATGCACATTGCATGTGCATGCACGATCGCATACTCCAGATGGTAAGGTCAGGTTATAGCCCGATCGATTCGACCCCGTGTGTCTCCAGTGTCCAACGTCGGAATTCAGCCAGGTTCTCCCTCATGCGCGTGGTTGGAGGGTGCTTCCGTGCAGATGCGCGCCCCAGTTGTTCGACAGCCAAAGTCGCGCATCCCCAATTGTATCTAGATCGGGTGGATCCCCGGTATCCGGATTCGGGAGTAAACCGGGATGCGGAAGTAAACCGTTAGGACAAGATCGTTCAACCCGCGCTCCACATGTTAGATTGGACTGAGCCGACAGTACTTCCGCCGAGGTGCACGTCACAGGTACGTATAGGTTGAAGCTTTGAAGCGGGAGTAACATGTGGCAGTCATGCTTACGCGTGGCCGATCTAATAAGCAAGAGACGCGTCCTACCGTTAACCACACCGAAACTAATCACGCAGGCACACCGATGAGAGAAGAACGTGAAGGCAGATCTGGATATGTTGCTGAAATGCAGGGTAGTATACAATGCTCGGAATACATGCAGTCGTCGCAGCGCCCGAATCGACGCCGTCCGCGACCATAGATAACACAACACGACGCGAGGGAATCCCGGTCCGTCCATTCTAGTGGTGATACATACCGAAGCAAACCAGAGGCAGAGGGTGATACAAACACAGACCGGGGAGTCAACGTACAGTAACAGCCGCGCCAGTCGGCATCGGGCGAGACCGCCTAGCATGCTGACATGGGAGGACGTCTAACCTTTTGGACGAGCCGCCCGACGGAGCGGCGCGCGCACTTGGCCGCCTTCGCGGCCAGCGACAACGACGCGCACGCCGACGCCGCCGGAAACTTCGCCGCGGGTGCGGAGGCCACGGCGGATGCCGATAGCGAGCGCGAGCGTGAGGGGAAGCGGGCGGGGGGACGGGGAGCAACGCGAGCGGCGACACGGCGCAGTCGCCATCCGGGAGGCCGACGGTGAAGGGCTCCGGGGTCGACGGCCCGGGGGAGTCGACGTCGGTGGTGAAGGAGAGGTCGGTGGGGGAGAGCGGCGGGGTGGAGTCGCACGAGAGGGCGCGGCGCGAGGCGCGCGCGAAGGCGCAGGAGGGGATGTCGAGCGAAAGTGCGAGGGTGTTCGACGGGGGAGGTTGCGGCCACGGACCGGCGCAGTGGAAGCTCCGCCAGTCGTCGTCGTCATCGTCGTCTTCATCGTCGTCGAAGGCGAGGTCGAGGGCGTCACCGGCGGCCTCGAGCACTGGGTCGGAGGCAAATTGCTTGACGAAGTGCGAGGAGGCGGCGGTGGAGGAAGCAGACGGGCCAAGAAGAGAGGGTGGCGACGACCTCGCGGTGGTGGCTGCGGAGTCGGATTCGGAGAGCGTGGAGGTGGACGCGGCCAAATGGCTTGGAAAGCGAGGTCGGGAACGAGACCGGAGAAAGTCCCCTACAACTGCTACTGTCGGTGGCGGCGGATCCGGGGCAAACGTCGTGAGCGCACACGTGGGGCCTGCGAGCTCGTCCTCACCGCCCAGCCCAGCCCAGCTCGTCCCTTCGTCGCAGCACTCGTTCGTGCACTCGTAGTCGCCATAGAGGCGCACAGGGGGGCGAGCTACGGGGAAGAACGAGTCGAGCTGGAGGACGGCCTCGCGGAGTACGGGGAGCGTGATGCGCCGACGGGGGCTAGGCTCGAAGATCGCGCCTAGGATCGCGGCGGTGCCTGCCGAAATCGGGAGGTTTGCGTGGAGCCATGCCGGGCCCTCACGGAGGTATGTACGGAACCCGTTGTCGACCGTGGCGGAGGCGATGTGCCACGGATTGCGCCCGCTGACGAGGTTGCAAAGGATGGTTCCGAGCGACCAGACGTCGGACGGCCCGGTGCGGTAGGGCTTTCCCTTGCCGGACGGGGCTGTAGGCGTGCCGAGGCATTCTGAAAGACAGGGGGATGAAAAGATACAGTCAACATTGATTACGATAGCAGCGAAGGGAGCGGGAAGGCAGTGACATAGGGGGGGAGGATGAGATCGGTAAAGATCGAGATGCTCACCTGGGCTCATGTAGAAGGAGCTTCCGCAGCCAAAATTGGTGGAGCGCGTACTGCGCGTCGCGAGCCCGAAGTCGGCGAGAAACACGTCGCGGTCGTCCGCAGAGACGAGAATATTCTCTGGCTTGAGGTCGCGGTGGTATACGCCCCGCGCGTGGCACTCGGCGAGCGCGTCGATGATCTGCAGGAACACCCGTCGAATCGCCTCGTCGTTCTGCGCGTACGCAGCTCGGTCCATGATCGCGCTGAAAAGGTCGCTGCCAGGACAGAAGTCGAGCACGAGGTAGACGTGGAGCTCCTCCTCAATGATCGCGTGCAGCCCCACGACGTGCGGGATGTCAGCGAGCGCCGCGTGTAGCGCAAGCTCGCGCCGCTGTTGGCCTGCGAGCTCGGAGCGTTCGGGGTAGCGGAGCATGCACTTCACCGCATAGTAGCGCGGGCCGCGTGGCGTGGGGGAGATGTCTTCTGCGAGGTAGACGACTCCGTAAGCACCACTGCCGAGCTCCTCGACGAGGCGGAGGTAGAAGTCGTCTTGAGTTAGGATGATGCCAGTGAAGTTCGGGAGCGAGGAGCTCATCTGCACCATGGCGGGCCGGCGGTACCGGTGGAGGCGGTGACGAGGAGAGCGACTGGGAGTCAGGCGCGAGGGCGGGTGGGAGGAGGAAGGCGGTGAGGAGAGGGGGACACGGTGGAGAAAGAAGGGAGGAGAGGGAGGCCGCTACGCGCTGTGAGGAGGGAGTAATGAAGGAAATCCGCAGTCCTTATGTCGGCGGCGTTCCGTGGCAAGTGGGGACGTGGAGGTGGAGCAGGCGCGGGCTTGCACCACGGCCAGACAGTTGGAGCTGATAGGCTCCAGCCGTCCATATATGTATTGCATCTACGGGTTTGCCCGCTTGTCCGCGGAATTTCTGTGTGCCCGCTCTGTGCAATCGCAATGTCTCGTCGATCTCGTCGATCTCGTCGATGCTGAGGCATTGACAGCCTCGTCTGACATACGCCCGACCAGCCCACGTCACTCCCGCCCGCGCCCAACGTGGGTCTCGTGTCTTAGTGCACTCGCGGCATAGCACGACCCGACGCTCGACGCCTACTGCCCCGCCCGACTTGAGCGTCGGTGCATACCTCCCAGCCACGTGCGGCAGGATGCAGGTATGACGCATGGAGTTGGAGACTTCGAGCTGAGAGCGCGTGGACGCACCAATGATACTGGTGAGTGATCGACGGCTCCGGCTGTAGATTACCCGCTGGGGTCACAGCCAGCGAGTTGCCGGCGTGTCTGATCGTAGGCGCGGATGTAAAGGGGTCTGCGCGGACCTGAAGCCCCAATGCATTGCAGGGTGAATGCTCAAGCCTAATGCGGGGCGGCGCAGTTAGCGGTTGCCTTTCCTGCGTTTTAATAAGCACGATAGCACTTACCGCGTACGACAAATGTGGCGCCTACCTTCAAGGAATCCGATTCGGTGCAGGTTTGACGTGATGCCGGACAAATGTCAACAACCTCTACTAATGCTTGTATACTTCGTGTTCAATCGATACTGCTACACCGGTCTGGACTAATGAGACGACCGGGCCGAAATCTCGATCACTGGGCTGTAGATGGCAGAGACCGGAGGTATTGTTCCAATTTGGCTAGGGCGCGACCACGGTGTGAGATCTTGTTCTTCTCATCTGCTTGCATTTCAGCGTACCTGAGGTGGACGGTGGCGTTAGCCATCATAGTAGTCGGCGTTGCCAAGCATCCAGCTCAGAAGAATATGTTCTAGGGTGTACACCGAGGTCGAGACCCCCCTGAGCAGACGGTGTAGCGCCTGCAGTGCTCCCGAGAACAACCGCAACGAATGTATACTTCGGGGGTAGGTGAAATGGGAGGAAACTCGCCAAGCGACCGCGCGGGTTTCCTCGTCCACAACTTCGCACATTTATCAACGCCTGGAAGACCTTCCGTACGCCTATATCGTGCAATAGAAGCGTTGTGTAGTAGTGCGTCCGAGTTGTCAAGAATCACCACGAACGGCTGAGAGTATAGTGCGGTCCCCGGAAATCCCCGTACCCGCGAGTGGCAAGTACGGAACTTCCCGCGTCGAGCACGAGTGTGCTCAATCTGCCCATAGTGGGCATGCGTATAACCCCTGTTTACCACATTGCGGGAGCACTCACGTTTTTCCGGTGTTGTTGGGCTCAAAGCAAGGATCCCAACCAAATGAACCTGGGCCCCGGGCAGGGACTATGTGGCCATCTGTCCGTCCTTCAAACAATATCGGCTCGTGTCCAGGGCCGGGGCTATAGGCAAATGTGCACAGCGCCCAGGCCGCTGTCGTTGGAAAGCCGACAAGCAGCTTATTCAAGCCTGGAACCACATATAATCAGGCCAGTCATAAAAATCCGTCCAATCGACAAATGAGACGCTGACGGACCGTCTTGACCGAGTTCCGTGAGGAAATACTTGATGTATGGCCCGGGCAGTCCGTTGAGGGCCTCGAAGCAGAGCGCGGTGTCTTCGGTAATACATGGTCGGCCTAAAAGTTCAGCAGCACGCTTGCACTTGGCGATCGCGACGTCGCGCGTCGATCCTTGCACTTCCGGAACTGGCATGGTTGGAGAGGTGGAGTGGCAAGCAGGGTCCAGCGGGCCGTGTGGAACTCCTATGAGCTGGCGGACACTCACTGGGCCAGCGAGCGGTACGCACTGTCAAGCTCTTGGCAGTCGACCTCAATACCGACGGCGCCGAGGATTTGACGAACCTCCCTGAGCTTGTTGGCGTTCCCGGTTACGAAGGCTGCGTGAAGTGAGGAAGCGGATGTAAATGCGATCGCGGTGGCACTCACTGATTTCCATTTGCGTCCGGTGGAAGTGAGCAGTCAGCAATGGGCAGTGTGCACCTTGGCGGTGTCTTGGGATTTCTAAGTCGCCAAGTCGATTGTTGCGGACAAGCACGTAAAGAGAGTCGCTGATAGCATCTTCAACCCGCCCCAGGCTATCCGATTATCTTATCTAGTGGATTGGCGCCGTTGCACGTGCGCACGAACGCGCTGGACGCGTCGCGCTCTTGAGTCTCGCCGCGCCTCCTTTCGCATCGTCTCCTATCATCTCCTGCTCTTGGCCTGCCCCGTGCCCCGTTGTCTACGGACCGGACATAGCATGTTCGAGTTTGTCCCCCGCAAAGTCGCGTTGAAGTCCCAAAAGGCTGCTAGCCGTCCCCAAGCCTCGTCATATGCCGGTCCCTCGACTCTACCCCAAGCCTTGGACATCCACACCGACTCCCTAGACGTCAAAGGGAAAGGAAAGAGCGCCGGGAGTGCCAAGGATGACGACTTCGCCGTGCTTCTTTGTCTCTCGCTCTCGGATCACAGCCTGTGGTCCAATGTTGACCTCCGAATGGCTGTAACAAACGCGGACGACGGATGTGCGTATGCTCACGTGACTCTGACAGTGAAAGCTGATCTTCATCTAGGGATACCCCTCAGCTATCTGATCGGTCACTCCGCGCACTTTCTTCACCTCTCGACGCGTCCGCCGGAAGCCGCTCTGGCTAGAGCTGCGCGCACACATGCAGTTGACCTGCTGGAGGTACGCATGCTCGTCAGTAAGCCGGAGAAGGCCGCGTGGTATGGGAAGGACGCGTCATGGAAAGAAGATACGGGGGGATTTGAAGTCCGAAGGAAAGACTGGGACGATGCGCTCAAGCGCGCGCGGAACTCGAACAGAAGCGAATGGGAGGCCTGTACGGTGTATATCGTGAGTTGCGAGTCTCCCACTACGCCCACGACCCCCAATTGGACATGTCACTGCGCATATAGGAAGGCATACCGCTGTCCCACCGCAGCGTCTCCAGCATCTATCGCTTTGCATCGCACTTGGTCGTCTCTGACGTGAATATGAGCACCCGAGTTCAACAAATCACCCTGCCTCCACATCACCTTGATCGCCCCGGGGACGCGCCGAAGTGCAAAGGGTTCGCGCTCGTCACTTTGGCCGGAGCGGACGACGCATCTAGACTCGCAACCACATGGCCTTGGCACCCTCGGCGGACGGTTCCCCCAGACGACCTCGCACAGTCGCTTCTGACCCTGGATGCGGTCAAGTTTGGATTCCGATGTCTCGCAAAGGCGCGCTGGGAGATGCTCAAGGAGGAATATGTGACTTACCGCCAACAGCTACTCAACGAGATGACCCCGGCGGGGAGAGGTTCCACCCCCAATCCATCTTTAGTGGTGTATACCGAGGATGAGCGCAGCGATGGCGGCGCCAATGGACGGAGACCCGCGGATGGCTGGGACTCGGCCCCCACTACGAACGGGAGCACATTCGGACCCTCTTCACCTTTCCCTCTCGGCTGCGTTGTCTTCGTGCGGAACGTGCACCCCGAGACGAACAAGACGGCTCTGAAAGCCCTCTTCTCATTGCGCGCTTTCAAGGACTCCCCGTCGGCGCTCGACTACATTGATTACAATAAAGGGATGCTGTCGGTGAGTATATTCTCTCTTTCTGGGGGATATGGCGCTCGCCGCTGACTTTCCCGTTCAGTGTCACCTACGGCTTGCCAGCCCGCAATACGCGCGCACGCTTGTAGATGTGATATCGGCACGTCCTCCGTTGCAGAGTACCGGTCTCGACGCGATCGGTACCGGAGCCCCGAACGGGTCACAAAAGCCAATAGAGGTGGAACTGGTGGCGGGTGAGCGCGAGTCGTTGTACTGGGAGAGAGTGCCCGAGAAGGTGCGACGGGATGCGGTGCGGCGGGCGATCATGCACCTCGAGGGTGGTGACGCAGGGGCGGATGATGGTGACGAGGACTCCAACCGGGATGAAGGGACGAAGCGAGCACGGAAGCGTCGACGACGAGCATAACATTCTCCCGTCGATGGCCATCCTTCCCTGATGCCGGTCTCATTATCCTGCTTCTCAGCTTCCCGACTCTCGCATGTCTACCTGCGCACTTTACTTCCACTATTGACCATGGAACAGGGACTTCTCAGTCCAACATGCTTCTTCGTACCGAGCATCCTTCTGGGATTGCTGCCATCCTAAACTCGTTAGACCCACAATCCTCGATCTTACGACGTCTAGTGTTTTCGCTCCGAGCTTCCTTGCTTATAAGAGCGTCGAGAGCTCCACTATGCGGCATGGTTGCTCGAGCGCCTTGCATGCCTGTTCTTTTGCTGCTTCTGCTCTTTATTCTTTCCATGGCGTACAAATCCTGCTTTCCGCGCATTCGATGGGTGGACGTGAGTGCATAGTTTCTTCCCCCCGACTCGCCATCTGGAGCTGGATGATAAGCGCCTTAACACGATCGCGTGACCTTTAATTGCCACGTGGAGTTGAGATTTCGTTTGCTTGCGGCGCGGTGGCCGCGAGGGTCACAGACTCACAGTCACGCCAGGAATATCAAAGTTTCCGCTCGTGCGATATGTATGAGTAAACCTTACGAGAAATGTAATTTTTTGATAGCGTTCTGAGCCCTTCAGAATGACACATTTCGCGTGCATTGAAACTTTATGTGCCTTGACCTATTCTCGAGTCCTCAAAATGAAACATTCCCGCGTGTGCAGAATGATTTCTCACACATAGAGTTCTGGTGGCCCGGGAACTCAAAGTTTCCCGGTGTGCGAAATCATCTGCCAAATTTGACATTCCTCTCATCATTTTGTCGGCCTCGCAACGATATATTTGGTGTGTTGTTCCGGCGGTCCTGAAATGTTATGTTTTGGACCTGCGCGCCCGCTCATCGCCCGCTCATCGCCCACTTGTCGCCCGCGCGTCACCCGCTCGTCGCCCACACATTGTTGCGCGCAATAAGCAGGGCGCAAGGAAATAAGGGAGGTGGACGGCCTGCGGGCGACGAGCGGGCGACACGCGGGCGACAAGTGGGCGATGAGCGGGCGATGAGCGGGCGCGCAGGTCCAAAACATAACATTTCAGGACCGCCGGAACAACACACCAAATATATCGTTGCGAGGCCGACAAAATGATGAGAGGAACGTCAAATTTGGCAGATGATTTCGCACACCGGGAAACTTTGAGTTCCCGGGCCACCAGAACTCTATGTGTGAGAAATCATTCTGCACACGCGGGAATGTTTCATTTTGAGGACTCGAGAATAGGTCAAGGCACATAAAGTTTCAATGCACGCGAAATGTGTCATTCTGAAGGGCTCAGAACGCTACCAAAAACATTACATTTCTCGTAAGGTTTACTCATACATATCGCACGAGCGGAAATTTTGATATTCCCGGCGTGAGTGGGCGTCGAGGTCGCTTTCAGAAGGCCTTCCGGGCTCGTTGTGGGCGAGACTCGTGGCGCGCCGTCCCTTATACCCTTCTCCTCCTCTACCACTCGGTCGCTCTCGCTTATCCCACCCGCTCTCTACAAGCTCATGGGCAACAACCCCAGCCGCTCGTACGGCGGCCCGCGCTCGCGGTCTCGCTATCCTGGCGACCCCCGCGACAGCGGCTTTCCAAAACGCAGCTTCTCTACCCACCAAGGACGCCGCAAAGACATCTACGAAGACCTCGACGACGACGGCTTCCTGCCTGGCAAGAAGCCGCGAGGTTTTATGAGGGGCGATAGGATTCACGGTTCATACGCCGAGGAGTACGATGGGGTCAATCCGTATGGCGTACCTCGTGCGTGTTCTTTCTATCTTCTCGCATACACGCAGCCTCACCCACCCTCGGCGCGCACCATCCATGCAACAGAGCTCGGGTACGATCAGGCAGCTGCCTTTCCCGGCTTCCCGATGCAAACTGGGCTACAGCCCGTCGTCCCCGGCATGCCTCTGCAAGGCGCGATTCCTACGAGAGGAAACCCCTTCCCTGCGCCACCGATGAACATGCCCATGCCTTCGCCCTCAGTCCCGGGCTTCCCCACTAGCGATCCATCCGTAGTCCCCCACCTCCCGTCATCCCGCCAATGCCCTCATCCTTCCGCGATCGTGCTGGCGCTACACCTTTCTATCCCCCCGGCGATTGGGACTCGCCACCAACCACGGATTTCACCGATGAGCTCACCGCCGAAGCACGCGAACGTCTCCAGCCACAGTTAGAGCCAGGGCAGTACGGACCCTACGACCGCAGGCGCGATCCCTCACGTCCGCCTATACCTGCGCTACGGACACATCGCCGTGCGGAAAGCTCCCCCGAATCACGCCCGTTTGATGGTCCGCCACCGGTCATCCCGCCCCCTCCGAGCGGGTTTGCTTTCGGAGCAAACTTCGACCCGACAGTACAACCTATGGGTGCGACCATGTTTCCGCCGGGGACAATCGTGCCGCCGGGCGCGATGGGCCCAGGGATGCCTGGCGGCGTTATCGCAGGAGGGGGCCCCGCACCTGCTCCGCCACCTGAACCCATCCGTCCCCGCCCGTTCTCCCCCATACGCCGAAGCAACAATCCACTCCCGCCACCGCCACGGGACCTCTTCCTCAATTCGCCGTACTTGCACATGCGTGAAGAGCTGCGCAAGCCCATCGACGAGCGTGCCATCCGCGCCAGGATCGAAGTCATGCCAGCGCTCCACACCGTACCTGCGGTCAACGTGGTTCCTTTTGCACCTGTGATGTCTCCGCCAGGCTCTCACAACACCGGCTCGCGCTCGAGCCGCGAGAAGAAGCCTCGCAAAGGGCTATTTCGCTCCCTCAGCAACCGATTGGGCGGCTCGTCTCGAAGATCTCACGATGACGAGCGCGAGAATCAATCGATGTTCTATCCTCCTCCTGGGCTTGGAACACAGATACAGATATCCCCGTCTCGACAGGTTGAAGTCTATCCCATTGTGCAGCACAACGCGGATGGTAGTACAACGCTCATCTACAATCCTCCAGGCGCCGCGCCCATCTCAACTGCACCACCTGATCTCGGTGTCCCTCCCCCCGGGGTCACGGTGATACCCTCAGGAGCACCGCCGTTCCCCCAGCCACATCCGGCGTCTCCGGTCGTGCAACCTCCACCAGGTGTTGTCGCACCGGTCATCCCTCCTGGCATTCCAACGAGCGCGGGCGCGCGTTCTCCGTCGCCCGCTCGCAGTACGCCCGCACACAACCGCTACGGTAGCAATCCAGCCCCGCGCTACATGCCCCCGTCGCAACCCCCGCCTTCGCCCACCCACTCGCACCGCTCATTCACCGAACGCATGGGCTTGCGGCGGTCTCCATCGCCTCGTCCCGAGGCCCCACGACTCCCTCCAGCTGTCATCAGGATCAACCGGATGTCGGAATACGCGGACCTGCTGCACTGGTCGCCACATGTAATTTCCCACGACGACCGGGGGTACCCGACGGCCTCGCACCTGTACGAGGCGGCGAAGTTCTTGCCGCAATACCCCGAGGTCGCCGAAGCCGTGCGGAACGCCGCAACATGCGAGGAGGCCGTCGCTTTCGGGGAGAGGTACCGCGAGTACTGGCGCCCGGATTGGCCGAAGATCCAGATGAGCATAGTAAGCTTCCGTCCACCTTTCTCTATCGGTCTAGGCGCTGACGTTGTGGTCGCCGATAGCTCGAAGACATCCTGCTCACCAAGTTTTTTCAATACGATGACTTGCGCGCACTGCTCTTCTCCACGGGAAACGCCGACCTCGTCTTTTTCGACGAGGACGTGGTGTTTGGGGACGGTTTGATCGGTCAAGGACAAAACAACCTCGGCCGCGCGCTCATGGTCGTACGCCAACGCCTTCGCGCAGAATTTGTGAACGAGGCGAGGGCGGCGGACGAGCAACTGGGACACGTCCCGCATTGAGTCCGATGGACAAGTACTACGGGACCCAGCTCCCGTGTTTTATGCGATACCTCTTCTAGTGGTGTTGCGGCACTGCTGGAGGGGCTGAAGTCACCAACCTCCTCCTCCTCCTCCTCCTCCTCCTCTCACACTACACTCCGATCTCCCTGCGGTACCCCGCGACACCCTACTCCTATTATCACCGATGTGTTCCCCTGTTTATGCCCTACGTGTTGCTTCCGCTGTCGTTTATGCTCTCGATGCACGTTTATCTCAGTGGCTCTGTATGTCTGTGCGTCCCTCCTGTACACGTACCTGCTCATGCGTCCATGCTTCTACCTGTCTTTCTGGGCTGTTGTTGTTCACACATCTACTCGCGCATATAGTAGGCTATCAGTGCTTATCGCAGAGCTCAGATCTCTGCCTTCATACAGTCAACAGTTCGTCGGAGCGTGGACACTTTCAGGCGGCGAAAGCGCTGTTTTGTTCGCTTCTTGAACATCGCTGACACCCCCTCTGCCCCAGGCCCCCAACCTTGGCGTTTTACGCTGCGAATGCCCGCGGTCCAGGCACGAAGACTAGTCCCCCGTTAACATTTTTAATGGCGCTCGCACTCAGGGGCATCTTAGTACCATCGCAGCCCAACAGAGCCCAACCTAGCGCAACGTGCATCTTTCCACCCAACCCGTCATTCCGGTATTATTTTCACATTATCACACTCTTATGGTTCCAGGACCCGTGCCTCTCGGCTCGCAGTCCCTCCCTTGAACGTACGATAATTGAGGAGCGACGAACGTCTATATCTATCATAAATATCAAACAGCGGATCCCCGAGTGAATGATGACATGCACGGTGGATGAGATCATTTAACTAGGTCGTCTGTACACTAGAAGATGCGGAGCGCCAGGGACCCCGATGTATCCGAGCAATCTACAAAGGTTGAGAAGAACGTTCCTGTGGTGCTGCAGTGAGTTCGGCCAAGGGGCTGTGGCTTTTATCTTATCTTATCTTATCCTGAGTTGGTCAACAGTTGCTACCACTAGAGCGCGTCTTCCACAACCACGACCGCCGTCCTTAAAGCTTAATTTCTCGCAACAGTCAGACATAACGGTTGGCACCTTTAAGCTCAGAAAAACGCGCCCGGGAGGCAGAGAGCACAAATTACGCGTTTTGGTGAGTACTTACTCCAAGAAGCTAGTGTCATGCACGCTTATCACGACTGCAAAATGCTAGCTCGAGGTCGGCTACATAGTCTGACATCAATTCGTGAGTTTGATGTGCTTTCAGGACCAACGCCGGTCAGCAGACGTCTGTCTCAATTTTTTCGGAAGATAAAGCGCCAACGATCTCAAGACCCACTCCGGTGATATCTCAGTGTTGGTTCTCATATCTTTTCTAACGCGCTTACGGTGTAGCAGGTCACGATGGTGCGCTAGCGAGCGGCCCGGTTCTGCGGGCGCTCTTGCCAAGCCCGCACTTGGGATGGTAGCCGCAATCGTCCTGTTATCGCCCGCCAGAGTCTCTCCGCACGGCGGTCCCGGTGACCCGCTTCAATCAGAAACCCAGGGCGTGGCGCGGACGGCAGCGGTATATATTGCCTGCCCGCACTTCGGGACTACCGTGCCTGGGTACGTTCCCTGCACTCGCCCCACACCTCTCACTCTCTGGGACAACACCGCACACGACCAGCGCATACGGACGAAACATGACGACACGGCAAGACAGCTTCGATGATGCGGATATGAAAGGGAGTGTGCGGAGCCCGACGTTCGAAGGGCGGGTGGAAGAGACGGTATTCAAGCCGGAGCTGAAGGAGGCCATCGACAACTCGAAGTTGGACCCGTGGAGTCGGCGCGCGGTGGCACTGTACTTCATCTGTATGGTCGGCTTCATGAACGCAGTTTCTTCTGGTGTGTGCTGCTGCCCGGGTCTAGGTTGAACATCTGCTGAACGACCTCACAGGCTTTGATGGCTCTCTTATGGGCGGAATCAACGCGATGGACCAGTATCTGAACTACTTCCACTACACGTCCACGGGCTCAGCAACGGGCATTAGTACGTCCCGCTATCGCTCCAGGTTGAGAACGTGTACTGACAACTTCTATGCCTCCTCTATATCGCTTCCCTCACTATCGCCCACCCTTATCTCTCTGCTTCTTCTTCGCACTTCCGGCACAGTCTTTCTCATCTACGTCGTCGGTCAATTCGCGGGGGCGTTCTTTGCAGGGCCCGCCGCAGACCGCTTTGGGCGGCGCGGGGGCATGGCCGTCGGCTGCACGATCATCCTCATCGGCGCATCCGTGGTCACCGCTGCACAGAACCCGGGGATGTTCCTGGGAGGACGGTTCGTGTTGGGCTTCGGCATCGCGATTTCGACGACCGCCGCGCCGATGTGGGTCACAGAACTCGCGCCTGCGCACTGGCGCGGTCGGTTGGGCGCGGCATACAACAGTGAGTGCACCCCTTCGCGGATGGTGTTTCATTTAGTCCGTGGCGGCGCGGTGCTGAGAAACGCGAGAGCGTCAGAGGCGCCAACGTGACTTGCCTGGCGCATGGAACTTACGAAACACATTCGCAGGCTGCTACTTTGTCGGCGCGATTCCCGCGACGGGCATCATGGTCGGCTCGGTGAACTTCAACAGCACCTGGGCGTGGCGACTTCCCCTCCTCCTTCAGGTGCGCGCCCAAAGGTTTTGACCTCAGTGCTTCCGGCCGGATGCTGACCGCTATCGTAGGTCATTCCTCCAACTATTGTACTATCATGCCTCTGGTTCTGCCCCGAGTCTCCGCGCTGGCTCGTCTCGCGCGGGCACATCGAGGAGGCGCGCGCGGTCATGATGGCCTATCACTCGGTGGACGGCAAGTCCACGAACCCGCTCATCGAGTTCCAGTTGCGCGAGTTCCAAGAGATGATCCAAGTGCGCAAGATGGAGCCCGTGTGGGACTACTCGGCGCTCTGGCGGAGCGCCAATGCGCGCTGGCGCGTCGTCTCCCTCGCGCTCATGTGCTGGAACGGGCAGCTCGCGGGAAACGGGGTGCGTGTTCAGTCTCTGCCATCATTGCGGGCGGATCAAGCGTGGCCGTTACTGACACGCGCGCGACACAGCTCATCACCTATTTCCTCCCTGTCATCCTCAAGAACGCAGGGGTCACGTCCTCACACACCCAGCTGCTGTACAACTTCGCGAACAACCTCCTCTCCTGCGCCGGGGCCTTCACTGGCGCTGCGCTCACGGACCGCATGCCGCGCCGTGCGCGCCTCTACATCGGCTCTATCCTCCTTGCCGCGCTCCTCGCGACCGTCGCCGCGCTGAGCGGCGCGTACGGAAAGGCAGGCAACACGAACGTGGACGGCGCGCACGCGACGATCGCGATGATCTTCCTCTTCGGCATCACGTACAGCTTCGTCTACACGCCGCTGCAGGCGCTCTACTGTGCCGAGGTCCTCGACCAGGAGATGCGCGCCAAGGGCATGGCCGGTACGTCTGTCGCTCGCGTGTCCGCGCGCGCCGCCGCCGCTCACTTTCGGGCGCAGTGCACGTCATCATCGCGAACTCGGCCGGGTTCATCAACACGTTCGCGAACTCGGTCGGGCTCCAGCGGTGGGGATACAAGTACTACTTCGTCTTCGTCGTCTGGGACGTGATCGCGGGCGTGCTCTGGTTCCTGTTCGGCGCGGAGACGCGCGGGCGGACGCTCGAGGAGCTCGACGAGGTGTTCAACCAGCCGTGGCCCGCGTTCGCGGGCGCGCGCAAGGTCAAGGTCGTCGTCAAGGAATCGGGCGACCGCGAGGTTGTCGAGGTGCGTGCTTGTCCGGAGAGTGCTCCCAGTCGACTCAAAGCTGACAAGGCCGGGTTTATGCAGGTGATTGACGACGCAAAGGTGTGATGCTGGTGGTCGTGACTGAGTTTTTCTTCTGTACATGTACATCTCGCGCGACACCCTCTGTATACTAGGTTCATAGCAATATCACGTTTGCCATGAGCAGCTCTATCGGCGTTTATGTCGCGCTACGGCGTGCACACATGATCGTGTCAATCTAGGCCTGGGCGGAGTCAAACGCTGGTCCACTTCCCATACCACCACCACCGCATTCCCGTCCCGCGCGCATCGGACTTTCCGCATGGTCTTCCTCTGCTTCTGCTAGCTTCAATACATTTGTGTTCTCGCCAAGTGCTCAAGCCAGGTTCTGCAGGACGATATCACGGCTGGTACACACGCTTCGGCGTCAAGAAACCTGCGACGATGGCCACTTGTCAGCACATGCAAGGGTATACCATCGCGAGAGCCTCACCGTCGAGACTCTTCTCGCGATCGAAGCCCCTGTCCTCGATCAGCTCGCACGCCCGCTCTCCGTCTTCGCGCCAGAGCTCGACCATCTCCGCCCTCTCCCCCATGCGCTCGATCCACCACCAGCGCTGCCAACGCATGCGCACGGCTCCCTCTCCCTCTCTCGGCCTTTTGATCTCGATTTTGAGGACGCGGAGTGTCGGGATCGAGTCTACCAACGCTCGGGGAAGCGTGTCGTAAGTGGTTTGCACCGGCGGAGGTACATCCGTGTCCTCGGAGGCGTCCTCTGTCCAGGAAAACCACGTGGGCGCGAGAGTGATGCCGAGGTGGAGGAGAGGGATCGTCGATAGCGATACAGGAAGGCAGCTCTGAGGAAGACAGGGAAAAGGGGTGGTCAGCGGAGCCGGGAACACGCGCAGAGGGATGCATACAAGCAGAATACCGAACGCGGATGCAGATTGAACTTCCGGAGCAAGGCTAGTGACATGCAAGGACCGGATGCCGAGGCTGACAGCGCACGCCAGGACCGCATCTGGGGCCACCTGGTCCTCAACATCATGCCAGTAATAGACCGTCCCCATCGAGAACGCCGATATGGACTGGATGCGGTCGAGGAAGAGATCGAGGCGGAATTCGTCCGTCGCCTCTGACCTGAGCTTGGTGTCAACCGCGATGGGGCCTTGGATCCGCAGATGGTCGACGTGGCGGATGGAGATCTCTTTGGAGATGGTGGGGAAAACCCCTTCTTCGCTCTCGTCGAATTCAAAGTCGATGACGCGGAGGGTGGGAAAAGGTTGCACGACCAGGACGTCGGTGTCGTAGAGGTCGCGGAGGGATAGGTGTTCGAGCTGCGGGCAGGGGGGGACCCAGACTGGCTGCCACGCGACCAGCTCGAGATGGCGGAGAAACGGGAGAGGCTCCAGGGGCCGTAGCTCGCTTCTGTCAAGAGCTTGGCTATAGCAACTCGGGTCTCCCCTGAGGAGTAGATGAGAAAGTCGACGGAGTCGAGAGAGGGAGTTTATAAAGTGGTATATGCTGTCTCCCGCAGGTGACAAAAACGAATTGGGGAAAGTGTTGTTGTGGAGGAATAGATGTAAGGAGCGAAGAGATGAGAGCAGATGTAGTGAAGGCCGTAGCTGAGACAAAGCGCCAGGGACCACGTCGGACAGAATGAGTGTGGTGAGATGTTGGAGTCGGGGGATGGCATCAAAAATCCGGGACTCTCTGTGGACGTAACGAGCGACGTTCGGTACTTCAAGTGTTCGAATGAAGACAGCTTGAGAAAGGAGCTCAACCAGAGCAAGATCCAGAGCCTGTCGGATTTCTTCTTCTCCAATGAACACTCTGAACCTTATTCGTGGTAGGAAAAGCTTGGTGAGGTAGGTGAGGCGTGGTTGAAGAAGGAATGGCTCCGGAGCCAAGAGGTAGCCGACTACATCCATCACCGACTTGCCGTTGCGGGATGGCCACGAATAGGAACCTAGGTCCACCTCGGAGAGAGAACAGGGTCGCGCGAGTATATGCATTGCTCTACTTGCGCAAGAGGCTCGACGTGCGTCCGGGGGTTCGAGGATATCGAAGAGATATCGAAGGACATCTTCGTTGAGAGCGACGAGAGGGGGCATTTTCAGAGGCGTGCGGAGGTGAATGCGCAGAGCAGGAAGAAGGGGGTTGTGCGGTGGAATTTGACAAGGCCAGTCTTATGTATTGTTTGTCTGAGGGCCGATGCGCGGGATGGTAGCCATTTGATCGAAGCTCAGCACTTCTGAGACCGCGGAGATCTAAACTCCGCTTGCCGACCGCGGTCACGGGACTTTGTCCACTCACTCCGCTTCAAATCAAGGACGCCTTGCACACGGTGATGACTTCTTCTCGGATCTACCCACTCACTCTTCCGTGCCCTTTTGAGCGAGCGACCATTGGTTCCGACCCGGAAACGAGTTGGAAAGGTAGGATTTTGCGGATACTTATATGAGCGTACACTGACTGCGATCTTGGTCTTGTTCCAAGGAGAGGTCTCCTGGAACTGCAAAGCGCATCTATCAAAAGTGACAGCGTCATCTCACCATTTAGAAGGCGACGAGGATCACCTGTTATCAAAACACAGACACGTATTGTCATGTGCGCTAGATCTTCTGCGATCCGCCAAGACTCCGCTTTCTCTCTTTCAACTTCCACTAGACACTGCTCATGGCCCCGCTGCACTTCGTCCGTATAGAACAGCTGAGATGGGTGGTAAATTCACGATGCCACGAACGCTTGACGCGGAAGAGCTGTCGCTCAGGCCGCCTATGCTGATCGCCAGTGTCGCTCGAACCATCACACTCGTCATTCGCCTCGATCCTGTCTGCGAGGAGAACGTTTCGATGGTCGATTCGGACCCTGGGCCCAACAGGTCGAGGAGTGATGACTGGTCGCGTTCTGCGGTTTCAGCTTACGGATTCTCGGTCTTCTATCCTCAAAAAAACGAGGACGAAATGGCTATGTGGCCGCGGGTTGGAAAGCACCCTAAGCTAAGCTCCACAAGTTCTTGTAGACCTCGGGTTTCAAATTGCAGGTCAGAGCTCGGCTGACAAATCATCCAGATCACGTGATGCGGTACATTTTTTCAAATTTTTGCGTGCGTTTTTCAAGGACCGCACCATCACGAACCGCGCGTCCACGGAGTTTCCAGACGTGTAAGGAAGACTCCCTTTGATATTTCAGCGCAACGTTGACACGGTCTATACGAACAGACCCTTTGCCACGCTTCATCATGCCGCTGAATGAGGACGTGATGTATCTTATCGCCTCTTACCTCGACGTTCGGAGCATAGGACGCATGGCGGTGGCGTCTTCGTATATGTATCGGGTCGTTCTTCCACAGCACTTCTCACATACATTCATTGGTTCTGGCCACAGAGGAAAGTCAAAATGCGCCTACCTCTTCCAACGGGACTCCATCTTGGACACCATCCGCGCCAGTTACATCCGCGATCTCGAAGTATTAGGAATACTGGACGACTCCGAATACTTTGACGAAGCTCTCGCGGTGACGGATGTTTTCCCCGTTCTCTACCATGCCGCCCCGACACTACGCAATATCGCTTTCTACACATCTTACGGAGATGGAGTGATGATGCACTTCGAGCGCGAGCCGCTTTTGCTCAATGCACTCGCTACAATGCCCATGCTCGCCACATTGAATCTCAATCTCGACCCGGCCCTCTTCCCACACTTTTCCTCCTTTCCTCCGGACGCCCCCCTCAAGTCCCTCTACCTCAATTTCACAGAACCCCTCGTCACCACAGGCCATACCATCACGTTTTCTGACTTCGTGCTCATCCTCACCCGTTTCACACATCTGCGCAAACTCAATGTACAACGCCTCGACACTCTCCTGGGCCACGTCCATCACATCGCGCCCCCCGGGCTCCCCTTCTTCCAAAGCCTCCTCAACCTTGATATTGGCCCCCACTCCACCGTCGCACTTCCACTCGTCCCACTGTGTCCGCGCCTCTCCTCACTATCCTGCGCCAGCGCACAGCTCCCCATCCACGCGCTTCTCCAGGACCCCAGCCTGTACAACGGTCCACGCTGGCCTCCCCTCCGCACACTCACTCTGTCCCTCCCCGACGGCGCCCCGCTGCTCTCCCACTGGGCGGTCGCCTCCCGTGCCGCCTCGAGCCCCACGCGCGTCACACACGTGCACATCAAGGACTGGAAGGCGTCCGCGACCACCCTCGACGCGGTGGACACCGCGGAGTCCCGCGGGCTCGCGGCGTTGTTAGCAGCCATGTGGCCCGTCGCGCTCACCCTCGAGGTCGTCCCGTCCCGCAACGCGCCCGGGCCCGGGTCCGGGATGGAGCCCGAACGGACGTGGCGGACGATCGCCGGCGGGCCGCACCGACTGCGGTCTTTAGACATAACCGTCGAGTGCCACACCCGCGAGGACGAGGACATCATCCCCGTACGTCGTGTCTCTTCCCGTTCTTCCCCTGTTGACTGTTTATCCCGGGACTCGTTCTCGTGCAGAGTGTGCTGTGCACGGCGCTCGCGGGGCTTCCCCTCGTCCACCTCTCGGTCGATGAGAGGCCGCGTTTCATCGACGAGAGCAGGAGCGTGGTCGAGAACAGGCTCGCGATCCGGAGGAAGCAGCGCGGCGCGCCGCGCGCGCTCGCTGCGGCGCTTCCGACGCTGAAGGTGTTGCACCTGAGAGGCTGGGAGTGGGACCCGCTGCTGGATTCCGTGTTCATGTATGACGACGCCTCCGCCGACGCGGTGGAGGAGCTCCGGGACCTTAACGCCTCCCTGTCGAACCGCAGTGATTACTGGTGGTGGATCGAGGAAAATCTGGAGAAGGAGGGTGAGGACGACAGGGAGATGGTGGAGATCTGGAGGGAAGACGGGGAGGCGGCGAGAGAGCTCGTGCGGAGTCTCAGCTTCGACCCGAAAACGGGCCTGAAAAGTGAGTCAAAAGTTACCCAGCACTCAGAGAGACCGACGGGTGCTCATCCGCCGTACTCCCTCCGTAGACTTCATGCATCCTAGACGGATCTACTGCAGGTGATGAAGGCTGAGTAGTGCGAATATCTGTCGGAATATAGTCATTGCGTCTGTTATCTGCAGGTACTGTGTCATGTATAACATTGATGCAGATTCAATGCAGTTCAGTGATGGCACCGGAATCTTTCTCTGCATAAGTTGACGGCAACTGACTGAAGACATTGACTCAGTAGGTGCGAAGTCTCGAGCAGTTTGCATCATTTATTTACACACCCTCTGTTCTCAACAGCCGGCCCTTTCCAAGATGAACACAACCCGGCGCCCTCGACTGAACGACGACATCATGTATCTCATACTCCCGTACATCGACACGTTCAACATGGCCGTGACATCCTCACACATGTATCGACTCGCATTCTCTCATCGCTTTGCAGACGAATTCATAGGAGTCGGCCGAAGAGGGAAAGCACGAGCGGAATTCCTCCTCCAACAAGACACACGGTCCGCGCATCGAACATTCGCCGCCTCATCGTGATGGGCCCGCACAACGAGACTACCGACTTCGCCACGCATATTTTACCTGTCATTCAACACTCGGCAGTGAAGTTGCGCAGCTTGAGCGTCGGAACTCCCCAGAAAGACGTGTTCAATCGCGATCCTCGCCTGCTCGCCGCGATTACGATCATGCCACTGAAGCTCACCTCGCTGTGCCTCTCCCTGGATCCGACACTTTTCTCCCACTTGTCCAATTTCCCTTCCGACACCGTTATCGAAATTCTGTATCTCGTATTCTCGGGCCGCGGGCCCGGCGGACGGCCTCCGCCACGTCACGTTCTCCGCTTTTGTCACGATCCTCGCCCGCCTTCCTCGTCTACACGACCTCAATTTCGGGTTCCTGGACTTGCTCCTCGGCCCAGTTGATCCCGTCGCACCGCCCGGACTTGCTCTCCTCCCGAGCCTGGTCAGTCTTACCCTCAAAGATCGCTGCACCGTCGCACTCCCGCTGTGCCCGCTGTGCCCGCGCCTTTCCTCCCTGCACTGCGAAAGCGGCCAGCTCAAGTTCTCCGCTATCGCCTCGGACCTCGAACCATACACCGGCCCGCGGTGGCCCTCGATCCGCTCACTCTCGCTCTCCGTCCCCCATGGCGCACCGCTCCTTGCGCACTGGCCCGTCGCGCACCGTGTGGCCTCGGGCTCTGCGGGCGTCGCGAGGGTGCACATCGAAAGCTGGAGCGCGGATGCGCGCACGTTCGACGCCGAGTCGGGCGTGGTGGAGACGTTCGGGCTCCCGCAGCTGCTCGCGGAGATGAAGCCCGTCGCGCTCGTCCTCGCCGTCGCCCCTTCCACCGCGCCCGCGCGCGCGTCGGCGACCCCTACACTCTGGTCCGAACGAACGTGGCAGGCGATCGCTGCAGCGCCGCTCCGGCTGCGCTTCCTCGACCTCACCATCCGCGGGCACGCGCCCCCGGATGATCGCGAGCCCATAGTCCCGGTACGCGTGCCTTCTGCGCTTTCACCTGGCGCACATCGCTGACCATACCCACTCGCGTACACGCAGGGCGTGCTGTGCACCGCGCTCGCCGGCCTGCCCCTCGTGCACCTCGCGGTCGAGGAGTGCGCGCACTACACTGACGCGGGGTTCCCCGTGAGCTACGCCGCGGAGCTCGCGCGCATCCGACGACTGCTGGGCGCGCCCCGCGCGCTCGTGGACGCGCTTCCGACGGTGCGCGTCCTGCAGGTGCGCGGGGCGTGTCCGGCGGTGCTGCCGCGCACGGCGGAGGAGGTGGGTGAGCAGGGCGAGGGCGAGGCAGCGGCGCTGATGGAGCTACGGCGGATGGAGAAGGCGGAGGTGCGGCGGTGGGAGCGGTGGTGGTGGGTCGAGGACGCGCGAGTGGCTGCGGGCGAGCGGGCGATGGTAGAGCTCTGGAGGGAGGACGGGGAGCGGGCGAGGGAGATCGTAGAGGGTGACGACTTTGATGCGAAGACGAGCTTCGACGGTGAGTGTCCAAGCGTTCGGACGGGTGTTGGGAGCGTGCTGACGAGCATTGTGGGCGTCGTAGGCTTCATGCTACCCAAGCGCATCTACCGTCCGTAGACGATGACTCCTCCCACAGCGGCAGTCCCTCCGCGCTCCTACTACCCGTGTTCATAAAGTGAGGGAAGATATTCGTTTCCCATTCACGTCTCGCTCGTAAGGGCGAAGCCCTATGGTAGCCTGTATGTATTGTAATCTACGAGAACAGGGAAAGCTTTACTGGGAGGACGACGCAAACTTGACCTCCGAGAAGGGCCGGATAGTCGAAACTTGAGAGACCAACGAGTGGGGTGCACATCCGCTGTGCATCCTCCGTTGAGTTCATGCATCCCATATATTGCAGGCGAAGACCGGGGGTATGGGTTGGTGGACGCGGCTGGCAACTAGAAGCACGTCGAGCCATCTGAGCGTTGGGGTATCACCGCCATGACCAAATAGGAGTGCTTCGCGAATGAGATACTGTGCGGGACACAGTCAATATTGAAAAATGTCCATCCTATCGCGAGGAGAAGGCGCAGCTCGCTTATGGGCTCAGATATACACCCACTCGAGCGCGACGTCAGTGTCGACCTGGACGCCTGTACAGTGCCACAGGGAAGTGGGGTGCGGTCAGAAGGGCACGAGTGGGATCGCGGCAACACTGCAAGCCTCGAGGGAGAACCTGAGGAGACTGGAAAGGGCAGAAGTGCCACGGGTTGTGGACGCCGCCGGCACCTAGCACGTCGGGGTACTCATGTGAGCGTGAGGTTCGAGCGCAGGCGGGGGGTGGGCGCGGGTGGTGAAAAGGTCGGAGATGGATGTGACGTGGCCGGTGAGGGTGAGCGGTCCCCCGGGTATGAATGTTTGAACAACAGAGGGCGTTTGACGATTGTTTCCGTACTCCTCGGCGCCTGCTGCGCATCGGATAAAGATAAGATAAGGACGCGCCCTCCCGTCCCACGTCGGGGCCGCGCGGCGGCGTTTTGTGGGCGCTGCTCTCAGCATTTGGCCGCCACTTGCTGAAGGCATCGATTCAGTAAGTGCGAAGTCTCGATCCATCCGCATCGGTTATTTACAGACACTCTTTTCTCAACAGCTGGACCTTTCCAATATGAACGCAACGCCTCGACTGGACGATGACATCATGTATCTCATACTCCCGTACATCAACCCGTCCAACCTGGCCATGACCTCTTCGCATATGTACCGACTCGCATTCTCCTATCGCTTTTCTAACGTATCGATAGAAGTCGACCGAAGAGGAAAAGACCATGCTGAGTTCCTCCTCGAACGAGATCCCATCTTGAACACGGTCCGCGCCTCGAACATCCGACGCCTTCTTGTGTTTGGTGAACACGACAATGACATCGACTTCACGACGCATATTCTGCCCATCCTCCAAAACTCGGCAGTGAATCTGCGCATCATAAACGTCGTCACTTCCTACACAGAACAGGGGTTCGAGCGCGATCCTCGCTTGCTCGCCGCGATTGCAACCATCCCGAAGCTCACCTCCTTGAACCTCGCCTTGGATCCAACACTTTTTTCCCACTTGTCCAATTTCCCTTCCACCACTGTCATCGACACCATGGCCCTCGTATTCTCAGGTTCCGAAGACAATGTCGGCCACGTCTCGTTCTCCGCTTTCGTCACGACCCTCGCCCGCTTCCCTCGTCTCCGCGACCTCAATCTCGCCCACGTGGACTTCCTCCTCGGTCCAATCGATCCCATCGCCCCGCCCGGACTTGCGCCCCTCCAGAACCTGACCAGTCTCTCCGTCGGAAACCGCAGCACGATCGCGCTCCCGCTCTGCCCGCTCTGCCCGCGCCTCTCCTCCCTGCGGTGCGAAAGCGGCCAGCTCGCGCTCTCCGCGCTCGCCTCCGACTTCGGGCCATACACCGGCCCGCCGTGGCCCCCGATCCGCTCCCTCTCGCTGCCCCTCCTCAGCAGCGTGCCGCTGTTCGCGCACTGGCCCGTCGCGCACCGCGTCGCCTCTGGCTCCGCGGGCGTCGCGCGCGTCTCGATCGAGCGCTGGGCGGCCGACGCGCGCACGCTCGAGGTTGCGCCGGACACGACGGCGTCGGTCGGGCTCCCGCAGCTGCTCGCGGAGATGAAGCCCGTCGCGCTCGTCCTCGACGTCGTCCCTTCCACCGCGCCCGCGCCTGCGTCGACGGCCTCCGCGCTCCCGCCCGAACGAACGTGGCGGCAGATCGCCGTGGCACCGCTCCGGCTGCGCTCCCTCGACCTCACCATCCGCGGGCACGCGCCCCCGGATGATCACGAGCCCATAGTCCCGGTACGCGTGCCTTCTACGCTCTCACCTGGCGTACGTCGCTGAACACACCCACTCGCGTACACGCAGGGCGTGCTCTGCACCGCGCTCGCCGGCCTTCCCCTCGTGCACCTCGCGGTCGAGGAGTGCGCGCACTGCACCGACGCGGGGTTCCCCGTGAGCCACGCAGCGGAGCTCGCGCGCATCCAACGGCTGCTGGGCGCGCCGCGCGCGCTCGTGGACGCGCTTCCGACGGTGCGCGTCCTGCAGGTGCGCGGGGCGTGTCCGGCGGTGCTGCCGCGCACGGCGGAGGAGGTGGGTGAACAGGGCGAGGGCGAGGCGGCGGCGCTGATGGAGCTACGGCGGATGGAGAAGGCGGAGGTGCGGCGGTGGGAGCGGTGGTGGTGGGCCGAGGACACGCTCGGGACTGCGGGCGAGCGGGCGTTGGTGGAGCTCTGGAGGGAGGACGGGGAGCGGGCGAGGGAGATCGTAGAGGGTGACGACTTTGATGCGAAGACGAGCTTCGACGGTGAGTGTCCAAGCGTTCGGACGGGTGTTGGGAGCGTGCTGACGAGCGTTGTCGACGTCGTAGGCTTCATGCTACCCAAGCGCATCTACCGTCCGTAACCGACCCCTCACAGTGGTGGTACTCGCGCTCATCGTGGTATTGTATCTGCTCGCGGAACTCCTCCACGTTCTCCGCTGGCCGCGTGGCCGCCCCGCTCATGGACATGCGCGCATCGTGTCACGTCAGCTTAAGCAGTGGACGCGGCCGACGGACGAGCAGACACTCGAGGCGGAGCGTGCTGAGTTGCGCTTGCTCCCTGGGGTTTCGATCTGTTCATCGTGGTACTGTACCTGTCTGTAAACCTTTTCCACGTCTCCCGCTGGTCTCTTCCCTCACGGACATACATACACCCCGCTCAGCTTCGACCGCAGATGGGCCTAAAAAGTGGTTTTGAGTCCGAGTCGCGGCACGATATATGAGACGCGGGAGCGCCTGAGCTGGATCGCGACTGGATCGCGACGGGCCGATTCGTCCCACGGAGTTGGACGAGTGACGATGACGTCAGAGTTCAGAATGCAACAACTTCAAATAGTACTTCCTCCATCCCAGAGTCCTACATACAACACCGATGACAACGAGAACTAAACGTAAAACAACAGCGTCATTCCAAAGCGTGAATGGTCGTGAAAAGGTTCGTGTCCGTGTCTATGTCCGTGTGTGAAGAATCTGGCAAGCCGCTCGTGTCCACAGAACACGTCTAGTCGTCGCGCTGGGCGAGGCCGACCTTCTTCTCGCCCTGGTTGACTGGGAAACAAGCGCGTCAGCCATGTCGTTTTCCCGCGACGCATCGGCGCACTCACAGACGACGTAGACGCTCTTGAGGAAGATGTCCCCGAAGATGTCAAAGTCGAGGTCCCCACGGCTCTGGATGCCGCCAAAGGAGCGGCCGTCGCCGGCGTCGCCGAACGCGATGTCCTTCATGTTCACCTGGAGGGGCGCGCGGGGCCTCATCAGCACGAGTAGAAAAAAGGAAGCTGGGGACGCGCGCCTTGTACAGCGTGTCGCCGACCGCGAACTCGACGTCGGGCACCGCGGCGTCCGTCGGGAACGTGTACCCGCCCTGCTCGTTGTCGTACTTGGCGCCGGGGATCGCGCCGTAGAGCTCGTCCACCACGTCGTCCGACACGAGCAGGAGGGTGGTGCCGGTGTCGAGGATCGTCGTGTTGCCCTCGCGGGTCTTCGTCTCGCCGCCGAGAGACCACGACGTCGACGGGACCTGCCAGAAGCCCTGCGAGCTGCGCGCGCGGGGTGAGCACGCGACCTCGGACGAAATCAGAGGAACAGGACACACTTGTCGACGTCAGTGTAAGTGATCGGGTTCGAGGTGACGGAGGTGTCGATGTAGCCGAACGAGTAGAATCCGGGTTCCGTGCCGCGGCCGAGCTTGACGGTGAACACCGGCTGAGGCGTACGGACGACAACGAATGAGCTCCCATGGTACGCGAGCGAGCTCCCGCACTCACCGGGTCGATGATGCTCTTGCTGATCATGTTCTCCACGGGCGTCGCGACGGGCTTCGGGCTGACGGTGTTGATCGAAGGCCAGGCGAGGCCGAGGAGGCCGTCATTGCCGCCGTCCTGGAGGAAGCTCGAGCTGAGCTTCTCGGCGAGCTCGACGGACTGGCCGGGGATCTTGACGTCGCCGACGGTGACGGTGTCGGTGTAGACGTTGCCCGAGGCGGAGGAGCCGTCGCCGTACGAGATGTTCCACGTGCCGGACGCCTTCTTCGCGGTGCTCGACTTGGCGGGGTTGTAGATGGTGTGGCCGCTGTAGCGAGAGGCCTTGGCGAACTCGGAGCTGTGCGCGCGACCCCGAATGGGAGTTGCGGAAGAAGAAGGCGCGGGGTTAGGGCGGAGAAGCGAGAGCGGAACGAATGAACGGATATCGCAGGGAGACGGAGCGCGCGCCGCACTACACTTGCGGGTGCATACAGGCTCCGCGCTACTCCGGGAAGGAGAGGACGACCGCTGGGTGTCGTAGGTATACAGCCGTACCCAAGTAGTGCATCCAGGCATGCTGGCCGTACGCGCACATCGCGAGAGAGGGGCACGACCACGCACGAGTAGAGACACGACATACCTCCAGACCCAGAGGTCGGACGAGCCGGTGTCGAAGTCGAGGTTGAGGGTGACGCCCGGGGTACCGATCTTGACGGGGACGACGTACTCGAGACTGCGGGATCCGCGATCAGGACGCTAGCCCCACCGCGCGAGGCGCACAAGCACCGGCGGACGAGAAAGGCACTCACTCTGTTCCACGCGAGCGAGCGCGCACGCCAAGAGAAAGGCGAGCTCGGTGAGCGGCTCGCGTCCCCGGAGGCCACTGCGGCCCTGCGGGGAGAGGGAGGGAGGGCGCGGGGGGACGCACCGTTCTGGATGGACTCTGCGGGGACCTCGTGCGCGGTGTCCTTGTCGGCGTGGGACTTGACCTTGACGACGACGTTGTTGCGCTTTGCGAAGCCGGCGTTGCGGCCGGGCTCGAAGCCGTAGCGGCGGGCGGCGCGGGCGTAGGCGGCGGCGAAGGAGGGGCGCTTGCCGTCGTCGTAGCACGCGGGGCGGAGGAGGGGCTGGAGCTTGTCCATGGCGGGCTTGGGCTCGGAGGGGGCCTTGGGGGCGGAAGCGGACTTGGAGGGTAGGCAGCCCATGGTGGTCGACGACGGCGGGGTATCCAATGGGGCGAGGGACGAGGGACGCGGGTCGAGGACTGAGGAGGAGGGGGGAGGCAGAGGCAGAGGTGATCGCGAGGGGCCTTATCACCTCCTACCCGCGTCCTAGAACGTGAGTGCTGCGGGGAAGGAGGATTCCCCGCCGGCAGCGTGCACGTTGTCCATCCCAGGCACTTGCGCCTGAAGCCCGTTCAAGTGTCGTGCTCTGATGTCCTGTCGCCCTTGCAGGAATATGTCACAGAACATACCGTAAGCGCGCGTTTATAAATAGGAGGAGCCAGATTCGAGACGAGAGCGATTGCGCTTGGCTCCGAGACTCTGCTGCTCGCTGCCCTTCCGAGCACAGCGTTCAGGCTTCGTGGGTGAGACGGGCTGGATGGCAGACACAGGGAAGAGGGTGCGATGGGGGGAAGCTGGGTGGGTGGACGGGGGCAAGGACGGGCATTTGGGAGCCCGCGCGCGGGGGCGGAGGTCGGTGATGTCAATGCACGCGAGGAGGTGAGGGAGCGCGCGCGTCCGGAGGTGGCCTATCTTGCCCCCCTTGTGGCCGACCCTGGATCTCGCCGCGGGAGGGAAAGCCACCAGCTCCGGTGCTGACATGGGCATATGACGAGAGCACACACGGCGCAAATGCGTCCCGCTCTAGTCGCCAGATTTCCCTCGCGCGCACGACCACTTCGCCGGGCCAGGGAATACAGCCCACAGCTGCAGCAGAGAAAACCGCCGTGACACAGGACACTCTGTCGGGAACAGATTGGTCCACCATGGTGCGAAACGAGGGAAAGACTGGCGTGATAGATACATGTACGCGGACGAGGCGCTCATCGGGGTACTCAAGCAAACGCAGGCGGTACGGGCCCGCGACATGCGTCTTCTAGGTCCGCTCCAGCCGCGGCTAGGAATCGCCATCGGAGTCCGAGCTTTAGGCGCGTCATCTTCCTGCCAAGAAAGGACCTCGACGAACGAGATCGAAAAGCCCAGAGAGCACGCGCAACTCGGCACGCTCCGCCTCGAGTGTCTGCTCGTCCGTCGGCCGCGTCCACAGCTTAAGCTGACGTGACGCGACGCCCGTATGTCCATGAGCGGGGCGGCGACACGGCCAGCGGAGTTCCGCGAGCAAATACAATACCACGATGAACGCGAGTACCACCACTGTGGGGGGTCGATTACGGACGGTATATGCGCTTTGGCAGCATGAAGCCTACGACGCCCACAGCGCCTGTCAGCACGCTCCCAACACCTGCCAGAGCGCATGGACACTCACCGTCGAAGCTCGTCTTCGCATCAAAGTCGTCACCCTCTACGATATCCCTCGCCCGCTCCCCGTCCTCCCTCCACAGCTCCACCAACGCCCGCTCGTTCCCGGCGGCCCCCAGCGCGTTCTCAGCCCACCACCACCGCTCCCACCGCTGCACCTCCTCCTTCTCCATCCGCCGCAGCTCCGCCAGCGCCGCCGCCTCGCCCTCATCCTGCTCGCCCACCTCCTTCGCCGTGCGCGGCAGCACCGCGGGACACGCCCCCCGCACCTGCAGGATGCGCACCGTCGGAATCGCGTCCACGAGCGCGCGCGGCGCGCCCAGCAGCCGCCTGATGCGCCTGAGCTCCGCTGCGTGGCTCACGGGGAACCCCGCGTCGGTGTAGTGCGCGCACTCCTGGACCGCGAGATGCACGAGAGGCAGGCCGGCGAGCGCGGTGCGCAGCACGCCCTGTGTGCACGCGAGGGGGTGTGGTCAGCGACGCGCGCGACGTGAGAGCGCGGAAGGCACACGTACCGGGACTATGGGCTCCTGGCCATCCGGGGGCGCGTGCCCGCGGATCGTGAGGTCGAGGGAGCGCAGCCGGAGCGCCGGCGCGCCGGCGATCGCCCGCCACGTTCGTTCGGGAAAGACTTGGGGGGCCGTCGACGCGGGCGCGGGCGCGGTGGAGGGGACGACGTCGAGGACGAGCGCGACGGGCTTCGTCGCCGCGAGCAGCTGCGGGAGCCCGAGCGTCTCCACCACGTCCGACTCGGCGTCGAACGTGCGCGCATCCGCGCTCCAGCTTTCGATGCGGACGCGTACGACGCCCGCAGAGCCCGAGGCCACGCGGCGCGCGACGGGCCAGTGTGCAAGGAGCGGTGCGCCACCGGGGACGGAGAGCGAGAGCGAGCGGATCGCGGGCCACCGCGGGCCGGTGTATGGATCGAGTTCGGAGGCGAGAGTGGGAAGGTCGAGCTGGCCGCCGTCGCAGCGCAGGGAGGAGAGGCGCGGGCAGAGCGGGCAGAGCGGGAGTGCGACGGCGCTGTGACCTTCGAGAGAAAGACTGACCAGGTTCTGAAGGGGTACAAGTCCGGGCGGTGCGATGGGATCGACTGCCCGGCCGAGGAGCAAGTCCAGGGGCCCGACATTGAGGTCGCGCAGACGAGGAAAGCGGGCGAGGGCCGTGACAAAAGTGGAGAACGTGAGGTGGCCGAGACTGTCGCCGGGGTCTGAGAATACGAGGACAAGAGTCTCGATGATGGTGTCGGAAGGGAAATGGGACAAGCGGGAGAAAAGTGTCGGATCCAGCGAGAGGTGCAGCGAGGTGAGCTGAGGCATGGCCGTAATCGTGGCGAGCAAGCGAGGATCACCCTCGAACCCGTCTGGGTCGGAAGTCACGACGCCTAAGCTGCGCAACCTCGCTGCGGAGTGCTGAATTAAAGGAAGAATATGCGCGGTGAAGTCGATAGTGTCGTCGTGGGGATACTCCACGAAAAGACGGCGGATGTTCGAGGCGCGGACCGTGTTCAAGACTTGGTCTCGTTGTAGGAGGAATTCAGCTTGCGCTTTCCCTCTTCGTCCGACTTCTATTGATACATCTGCAAAGCGAACGGAGAATGCGAGTCGGTACATATGCGAAGATGTCATGGCCATGTTGAACGGGTCGATGTACGGGAGTATGAGATGCATGATGTCGTCGTTCAATTGAGGTGTTGCGTTCATATTGGAGAGGCCCAGCTGATGAGAAAAGAGGGTCTGTTGAGCATATTTAGTAGCTGATGTGGATGGCCTGAGGCCTTATACCTACCCAGTCGATGTCTTCAGTAAGTGGCCGTCGAATGCAGAGGGTGGCGCGTGCAAAACTTTCCATGCCATGGGCGCCTGCTGCCCTTATCTTATCTTACTCCAGTGCAACCATCGTCAAATGCCAGTGTTGCTTTGCAAGACAGAAACAAGAAAATGAGATGCGAGGGACTGATACTATACTCACAGATGATATCTTCATGTCGACTTGTGATAGATACATGGAGCGGCATAGTTCCATTGCGAAGTAGTAGCAATCATCATGGCCTCAAGAGTTGCGCATAGCTACATGTAGGTATTGACTCGCCGTTCCTCTGCTTGGAGGTGCCGGCCGCGTCCACCAAGTTTTACAGTACGTACCTATCATGGGGCGAGTCCGCCCCTACGGTCGATGCGTAAATGGAGAACAAAAGTTTTGACTCACTTATGAACGTGAGCAGTGGGAGCGCGGAGCGACCACCGCTGTGGGGGATCGTCAAGCTACGGGTGGTAGACGCGCTTGGGTAGCATGAAGCCTACGCTCGTCAGCACGCTCCCAACACCCCTCCGAACGCCTGGACACTCACCGTTGAAGCTCGTCTTGACATCAAAGTCGTCACCCTCTACGATCTCCCTCGCCCGCTCCCCGTCCTCCCTCCAGAGCTCCACCAACGTCCGCTCGGCCCCGGCAGCCCCGAGCACGTCCTCGGCCCACCACCACCGCTCCCTCCGCTGCACCTCCTCCTGGATCCGCCGCAGCTCCGCCAGCGCCGCCGCCTCGCCCTCATCCTGCTCCCGAACCTCCGCCGTGCGCGGCAGCACCGCCGGACACGCCCCGCGCACCTGCAGGACGCGCACCGTCGGCAGCGCTTCCACGAGCGCGCGCGGCGTGCGCAGCAGCCGTTGGATGCGCGCGAGCTCTGCCGCGTGGCTCACGGGGAACCCCGCGATGTTGGAGTGCGGGCGCTCTTCGATCGCGAGGTGCACGAGGGGTAGGCCGGCGAGCGCGGTGCACAGCACGTCCTGCGCGCGCGCGCGCGAGTGGGCGTGGTCAGCGATGCACGCCAGGTGAAAGCGTAGAAGGCACGCGTACCGGGACCAGGGGCTCGTGACCATCCGGGGGAGCGTGCCCGCCGATGGTGAGGTCGAGGGAGCGCAGCCGGCGCGGCGCGGCGGCGATCGCCTGCCACGTTCGTTCGGACCGGAGTGTGGGGGTGTGCGCGCCCGCGGTGCAAGGGGCGACGTCGAGGACGAGCGCGACGGGCTTCATCGCCGCGAGCAAGTACGGGAGCCCGGTCGACTCCGCCGCGTCCGGCACGGCGTCCAGCGTGCGCGCATCGGCGGGCCAGCGTTCGATGGCCACCCGCGCGACGCCCGCAGAGCCCGAGGCCACACGGTGAGCGACGGACCAGTGCGAAAGCAGCGGCGCGCCACGAGGCAGGGACAGCGAGAGGGAGCGGATCGGGGGCCATCGGGGGCCGGTGTATGGACCGAGGTCCGAGGGGAGAGCGGAGAGGTCGAGCTGGCCTCTCTGGCAGCGCAGGGAGGAGAGGCGCGGGCACAGCGGGCACAGCGGGAGTGCGACGGTACTGTAGACACCGAGGGAAAGACTAGCCAGGCTTGGAAGGGGTGCAAGTCCGGGAGGTGCGATGGGATTGACTGGGCCGTGGAGGATAAAGTCCAGAAACCCGACGTTGAGGTCGCGCAGACGAGGGAAGCGGGCGAGGGTTGTAACAAAAGCGGAGAACGTGACGCGGCCGATACCGTCTGTTGGGCTTGAGAATACGAGGACAAGAGTCTCGATGACGGTGTCGGCAGGGAAATTGGATAAGTGGGAGAAAAGTGTCGGATCCAGCGAGAGGTCCAGCGAGGTGAGCTTCGGCATGGTCGTGATCGCGGCGAGCAAGCGGGGATCGCGCTCAAATCCGTCTGTGTAGGAAGGTACGACGCGCAAGTTGCGCAACTTCGCTGCGGAGTGTTGAAGAACAGGCAGAATATGCGCGGTGAAGTCAATAGTGTCGTCGTGGGGAGACTCCACGAAAAGACGGCGGATGTTCGAGGCGCGGACCGTGTTCAAGACTGGGTCTCGTTGGAGGAGGAAGTCAGCTTGCGCTTTCCCTCTTCGTCCGACTTCTATGGATACGTCTGCAAAGCGAACAGAGAATGCGAGTTGGTACATATGCGAAGATGTCATGGCCAGGTTGGATGGGTCGATGTACGGGAGTGTGAGATACATGATGTCGTCGTTCAATCGAGGGGTTGCGTTCATATTGGAGAGGTCCAGCTGTTGAGAACAGAGGATCTGTTAACCAGCTTTCAAATTCGAATTACTTGAGACCTCAAGGACTCATACTTACCGAGTCGATGTCTTCGGTCAGTGGCCGTCAAATGCAGAGAGAGTGAATTGGGGCGGCCACCACGTGGGACGTGAGGACGCCCTGCTGTCCTTATCTTATCTTGCTCCGGCCCAGCAGGCGCCTCGGTATCTGCAGTCAACGATAACTTCCATCGTCAAATGCCCGCGTTGCTTTGCAAGACCCACGCACGAAGACGTGGTGTGTCCCGTCTTGCCACACCTCGAAAAACCGCCCGAGCATACATTGCTTAGCAATGACCTCAGAGGTGCGCATCCATTGCCGTTCCTCAATGTCTACCTCCAGCTTTCATTGACCATCAGATGGGAAAGTTCTGGGAGTGTAGCTATATACTCCAATCTTGGATAGATGTGTGCCAGCTTCATTGTGGTCCGAAAGTGACGACCTGACGACACACGTTTGAGTGACTGACCCCTCCCCATCCTCCGGCTTTCCTGCAGCTTCTTGGCTCCGGGCCCTGCGTATGAAAAGCATCTGCAAAGCTGGGACGACGATCCCGTACGAACGCGATCCGCTCCTGCTCACCCCCCTTTCCGCCAAGCCTCGCCTCACCACGTTACTACATCTCACCGTGATCGACTCACGTCTCCACCTTCAACGCCCCCCGTCGTTAATGTTCGAGGGACCACTAACACTCGCCGACCACTGCCACGTCACATCCCCCGACTTTGTCGTCACCCTCGCCCACCTCCCCGCCTGTGCAGTGACCTCACGCTCACATAAGTACCCCGGGCCGACGTGCGTACTGTGTGCTGGCGGCGTCCTGGCACAACCCACACCCCCGGTCTTCCTGCCCTCTTCAGTCTCCTCCGGTTTTCCCTCGAGGCCTGCAGTGTTGCCGCGATCCTGCTCGGGATCGTCTGCCGGGTGCCCGCGCTTCACTTCCCTGCACTGCGCGGGCGTCCTAATCGACAGTGACGTCGCGCTCGAGTATACGCCGACGGCACACGGCAGTTGAATCAGCGTGCGCTGACTAGTGCCGTTTGTTCGATTCTCCCCGCACAGGAGCTCATCCGCGAACTAAAGGGTCGCGCAGCCGATTTTCTCGGAGCCTATGACTCGAGCTGGCTTCCAATCGACGTGTTATTAACTGTACTGTAGGTCGTTTACTACTGTATCTTTCATCAACATGGATGACACACTGCTCGACTAGTAACTGATCGCATTTTCACCCTCGGCACACAACTGCAACCTCGATAGCAGTTCCCAGTGGTCGCCGTACGTAGTGGATTTATCCCGTCCCACTGGCGTCAAACCACAATAAAAAGGAACCGCCTTCAATCTGCGGCAATGTTAGATTACATCACACAGTGTAGATGACGGGCCCAACGATTACACTCCAGATATTCGCACTACCCAGCCTTCATCACCTGCAATAGACCCGTCCGGGATGCATGAAGTCTACAGAGGGAGTACGGCGGATGAGCACCCGTCGGTCTCTCTGAGTGCTGAGTAATCTTCGACTCACTTTTCAGGCTCGTCTGCAGGTCGAAGCTGAGACTCCGCACGAGCTCCCTCGCCGCCTCCCCGTCTTCCCTCCAGATCTCCACCATCTCCCTGTCGCCCTCACTCTCCTTCTCCATCTCGTCCTCGATCCACCACCAGTGATCACTGCGGTCGGACAGAGAGGCTTCGAGCTCCCGGAGCTCCGCCACCGCGTCGGGTGCGCCGTCGTCCTCTCGCGCGAACACGGAATCCAGCAGGGGATCCCACTCCCAGCCTCTCAGGTGGAACACCTTCAGCGTCGGAAGCGCCGCGGCGAGCGCGCGCGGCGCGTCGCGCTGCTTCCTCCGGAACGCGAGCCTGTTCTCGACCACGCCCCTGCGCTCGTCGACGAAATGCGGCCGCTCCTCGACCGAGAGGTGGACGAGCGGGAGCCCCGCGAGCGCCGTGCACAGTACGCCCTGCACGAGTCTGGGATCAACAACCGGCAGGGGAAGAACGAGAAGAGACGCGACGTACCGGGATGATGTCCTCGTCCCTGCGAGTGTGAACGGTTATGTCTACAGACCGCAGCCGGTGCGGCCCGCCGGCGATTTTCCGCCACGTCCGTTCGGGCTCCATCCCGGACCCGGGCCCGGGCGCGTTGCGGGACGGGACGACCTCGAGCGTGAGCGCGACGGGCCACGTAGCTGAGAGCAGCGCCGCGAGCCCGCGGGACTCCGCGGTGTCCACCGCGTCGAGGGTGGTCGCGGACGCCTTCCAGTTCTTGAGGTGCACGTGTGCGACGCCACGCGTGGGGCTTGAGGCGGCGCGGGAGGCGACCGCCCAGTGGGAGAGCAGCGGGGCGCCGGTGGGGAGGGACAGAGTGAGCGTGCGGAGGGGAGGCCAGCGTGGACCGTTGTACGGGCAGGAGTCCTGGAGGAGCGCGTGAATGGGGAGCTGGACGCTGGCGCAGGATAGGGAGGAGAGGCGCGGACACAGTGGGACGAGTGGAAGTGCGACGGTGGAGTGGGATCCAAGATCAAGGTCGAGGAGGCTTTGGAAGAAGGGGAGCCCGGGGGGCGCGATGTGATGGACGTGCCAGCCGAGGAGAGTGTCGAGGCATTGTACATGAAAATCGTGCAGATGTGTGAAACGGGCGAGGATGAGCACGAAATCAGAGAACGTGATGGTATGGCCTGTGGTGACGAGGGGTTCTGTGAAATTGAGGTAGAGGGACTTGAGGGGGGCGTCCGGAGGAAAGGCGGAAAAATGCGGGAAGAGGGTTGGGTCGAGATTGAGATGCAATGTGGCGAGCATAGGCATTGTAGCGATTACATTGAGCAAAAGCGGCTCGCGCTCGAAGTGCACCGTCGCTCCGTCTCTGTAAGATGTGTAGAAACCGACTGTGCGTAGTGTCGGGGCGGCATGGTAGAGAACCGGAAGAACATCCTTCATCGCAGTAAAAGCTTCGTCAAAGTATTCGGAGTCGTCCAGTAGTATTCCTATTACTTCGAGATGGCGGATGTAACTAGCGCGAATGGTGTCCAAGATGGAGTCCCGTTGGAAGAGGTAGGCGCATTTTGACTTTCCTCTGTGGCCAGAACCAATGACTGTATGGGAAAAGTGCTGTGGAACAACCAGTCGATACATATGTGAAGACGCCACTGCCATGCGTCCTATGCTCCGAACGTCGAGGTAAGAGGCGATAAGATACATCACGTCCTCACTCAGCGGCATGATGAAGCGTGGCAAAGGGTCTGTTCGTATAGACCGTGTCAACGTTGCGCTGAAATATCAAAGGGAGTCTTCCTTACACGTCTGGAAACTCCGTGGACGCGCGGTTCGTGATGGTGCGGTCGTTGAAAAACACACGTGAAACTGCAACGCCCCTGAAGCGCGTGATCTGGTGCTTTGTCAGCTTGCGCGCTTTTGACAGCGAGCTCAAGTAGATCTGTATGCTCAGCTTACGCCACACAACAACGGGTACTTTCCATCTGTGCAGGTCCGCCACGGTACAAAACGAGGGAAAGGATGGAGTGGAGAGATACACATGGACAAGGGGCTCATCGGGGTGCTCGGAGTCGAGCAAACGCATGCAGTGCGGGCTCGCTACATGCGGGGAATCTATAAAGAAGGGAGCGGTGGTGTTAGTAAGCCGCGTACGTCGCTTGCAGCGTTAAGCGTCGGTTATGAAACTAACCGAGCTTTTGCCATGTGGCTGCCATGTGCGCCGGTAGGCCGAGCCTGCGAGGCCACCCGCATCTGGCCGAGCCTGCGAGGCCAGTCCCGTAATTGGCCGAGCCTGCGAGGTGTCGCCCCCGTTCCAAGTCCAAACGTCCCCAGTCCGCGCGCCGGCGCTTATTTCGTGCACGTCCCGCCCTGCCTCACCCTCATTCCCGTTTCCTTAGATTTCTGGCACGACACTGTATATGTACAATGAGCATACATTGTTAAAATTTCGTACATTTTGCTGTGCTCATGCTCCCAAAACAAATGAGTTTGCGCGATGGGCGTCTATCGGAACACGATATTGTGGACAGCACTTTTCACGCCTCACGCATCCAGGGTCCGATAGGCGCCTCCCGTCCTATCTCACCTACTATGTGGAGGGGCAAGCATCTATCAGGTGAGCCTATCCCCCATTTGAAATCCCTGATAAGCACACTCATAGTGTCCTTGCAGCCTCCACTAAGCACACCACCCACTCCACATATCAAGTGCTTATCTCCCCTCCCCTTATCTCGCTTGAAGTGAGTTACCTTTGCTTCTATTCCGCATTGATGGCTGATCTACAGTTCCTTTCAGCTCATACTATCGCAATTTAGCGCTTGCTAGCACAGCCACATAACAACACCCTCTACACCCCATCAAAGTGAGTTTAAAAGCTCTGATAGTGGTGTGAATGGCACTCTAATGGTGGCTTTCAGCTCATACTATTGCGCGCCTTAGCGCTTCATAGCACAGCCACATAACAAAGCCCTCTACACCCCATCAAAGTGAGTTTAAAAGCTCTGATAGTGATGTGAATGGCACTCTAATGGTGGGTTTCAGATCTGCGTTAGCGCTTCATAGCACAGCCACATAACAACACGCTCTACACCCCATCAAAGTGAGTTGATGGACCCATAAAACCATCTAATAAGGCCTAATATTGCCACTTTCAAGCTTCCCCACACCCTCCAGAGGTGTTGAGCTCTATCAGCCTATTCAAACCTGTGCATACCCTCCTCAATTATACTACGGTATAAGTGTGTGCTCAGTAGTGATAAGGTTGTAGTGCACTGCTGATTGATTGATAACAGCCCCAACTCCATTACCACAACACATCCTATCACAAAAGACAATGTATGAAAACAACCCGTATGTAACTATGCAAATGATTGTGTGACTCTCTGATTGACTTCTGCCTTAGGACAACACCTGAACGTGATCGAGAGGAGGAGAGGGAGAGGGAAAGAGAGGGTCGTCAAATGACTTCCCCATCAGTGCGACGACAACGGAGGCAGGAATCTTATGAGATTCCTCAGCAGCCTGATTTTGGGCAGCCAAACCAGAACTTTCAACCACTAGATGTTCCTGAGAGATCCAATCTTGGTCCCGCTTTCAATGCTGGCAATGAGGGACTTGCAGGGTCATACGGTGCATATGGACATTTTGGTGGACAATATCTTGGTGGAAGTAATATTCAGCCGTTGAACATGTTTAGTGGGCAGCACAGTGGGCCGCAGATGAACCAGCCTTCTGGCTCTCGATTCCCTGGCAGTTTGAATTGGAATCCTAATTCAAATGCACAGCAGGGGAACTATACAAGTGGACTTGAGGCTAATCTTGCACAACAAAGACAAAATTGTCGTGCTAATAGTAGAGGAAATCGTGGACCTACAGTTGCTGAGGCTGTTGCTGCACGACGGCAACAGGAGGCTGAACAGCGTGATATCAGGCAGTTTGAGCGACAATCTCATCGAAGGCAAGTGGCAGATCAACAGCTGCATATGGGATTTCAAGTTCAAACTCAGCAGCAGCATGAGGCTCATGAACGTGAACAAAGAGAGAATCTTAGACGCACTGCTCAGCAAAGTGGTACACACCGTGTGCTTAACAATGCATCTGTTCGTAGCCGACAGGAACGTAATGCACAAAGGAATGCTGCACAGCAGACCATAAATCAGCAGCAACGTGCATTACCTCCTGGCCGTCGTACATATGTTGAGCCGACTGCTCGCCATTATTTAGGGCCAATGAACATTGTATGCTCAAAATGCATGGCACTGCACTTTATTGATGAACGTTTGACTAAGTCATCACTACGTGATCCTCGATTCAGCACTTGCTGTCTCAATGGGCAAATTATACTCCCTTTACCTGTACTTCCCCCTGAACCACTCAAAAGTCTAATGAACGGTTCTGATCCACGCTCGGGTGAATTCCTTCGAAATATTCGCTCATATAATGCTGCATTTGCATTCACATCCGTCTCAGTCAGTCTTGATACTGCAGTGTTAGAAACTCCAGGTCCTTATTCCTTCCGGATGAGTGGAGAGCTCCATCATAAAATGGGCTCACTGCTTCCCTCTGAAAACAATGCCCAACGCTATGCTCAGCTGTATATTTTTGATCCTGATTTTGATGCTGCTGCAGTTCGTCATCAAAATAATCAGAACAGATTGAATTATTCAGTGCTGCGGGATATTGGAGGAATGCTGGACCTGTGCAATCCTTTGGTGCCATTATACAAACGTGCATATACTATACTTCACGAGAAGCCCCCAGAGCAACAGGTTGATGTGCGCGCTCGCATTGTGTTGCAAGCAACTACAGATCTGCGTAGGTATAATCTGCCTACTGCAGATGAAATTGCAGCAATTATCCCTGGATCTGGAGCTGGCGAAGTTGTCGATAAACATCGAGAAATCATTCTGCGCTTGAAAGACAGTCCTTTAGAGCGAGTGTCTAATTGCCATGCAATGTACACATCCTTGCATTATGTGCTATTGTTTCCTACAGCACCATCTGGATGGCACACTCGCATTCCAATACGTCTTGAGCCAGGACAAAAAGCACGTGCAGAAATAATCAGCCAAAGGTGCTATTATGCCTACGTTCTGTACCCTAGATATATCAATGGTACTGAAGTTGATTATCTATTTCGTGGTGGCCGCTTATTCCAGCAATATATGGTAGATGCATGGGCCTCAGTTGAAGCCAGTGCACTGAATTGGTATCGCCACCATCAAAAAGAGATCCGTGCTGACCTTTATCGCAGTGTGCGTGATGCAATGGTGGAAGCTGATAATCATGCTAATACTGTTGATATGGGCCAACAAGGGCATCCTGTTATTCTTCCCTCTACCCATCTTGGAAGTCCCCGTCATATGCATCAGCTTTTTATGGATTCAATGGCCATTTGTAGACGGTTCCGAAAGCCTGATATATTTCTTACTATGACGGCAAATCCACGATGGCCAGAGGTTGAAGCAGCTTTGCTGGAATTAGCTGGCGGTGATAGGACACGTATGCAATCACCTGCAGATCGTCCAGACATTGTAGCAAGAGTTTTTCACTTGAAAAAACAGGCATTACTCAAGAAGATCAAAGACGGCTTTTTTGGAAGTGCAGTTGCACATGTTTACACAATCGAGTTCCAAAAAAGAGGTTTACCACATATGCATCTCTTGATCTTTCTTCAAAACCAAGACAAGATCAGAGATGCAAGTATGGTGGATTCTATTGTATCAGCACAGATTCCAGATCCTCAAACTCATCCTATGCTATATCATACCATTACTACATGCATGCTTCACAGTTGTGGGGACAGGTGCAAGGCAGACAATGGATCATGCTCTAAACGGTTTCCTCGCGACTTCTGTGAGGAGACGGTGTTTGGAGAGAACGGCTATCCAGTGTATGCCCGGCCAAACAATGGTCGTACCTATACTTCACCTACAGGCGAAGTGTTCACTAATCAGCATGTTGTACCGTACAATCCTGAGCTCTCTGCAGAGTTTGACTGTCACATCAATGTGGAAATATGTACTTCAATTCAATCCATCAAGTACATTCATAAGTACGTGTACAAAGGCCCAGACCGTGCCACAGTAGAGGTTAGCAATGAAAAGGATGAGATTAAACGGTTTCTAGATGCTCGATATATTGGTCCACCAGAAGCAATGTGGCATTTGCAGGAATGGCCAATGCATGCAGAACTGCCTCATGTGTACAGACTTCCTGTACATATTGAGGATGAGCACATGTTATATTTCAACCCTGAAGTGGACACTGCTGGACAAGTTTTGAACCGTGCAAATGTGGAGCGAACTATGCTTACAGAGTGGTTTGCAACCAATCAGAATGACCCTACAGCTCATACTTATCTCTATCAAGATTTTCCTGAGACATATGTGTGGAACAAAAACACACATAGATGGACGAAAAGGAAAGAAGGGTTTGCTATTGGGCGGCTGCACTCAGTGCACCCATCTGCTGGAGATCGGTTCTATCTTCGCTTACTCCTAACAGTTGTACGAGGTGCAACAAGCTATTTAGATTTGAAAACTGTGAACAGTCAATCTTTTGAATCATTTCAGGCTGCTTGCCTAGCACGTGGTCTTCTTGAAGCAGATGGTGAATGGGAAGATTGCTTAGAGGAAGCCTCACACATGCGAACTGGAGCTGCTATGCGCCAGCTATTTGCTGTTATTCTGGCTGAGAATCATCCATCTGATCCCTTATCTCTTTGGGAGAGGTTTAAGGCACACCTTTGTGATGATTTGGGTCACAGGCTTACTACTCTAGGTTTCTCAGAGCCTTCACCAGAGCAAGTCTTCAATTATGGACTGTTTTTGCTCAAAGAATTACTGATTCAGCGTGGAAAAAGATATGACCTGTTCAAGCTACCAGAGCCTGTTCCAGATGCTCGGTTTGGCATTCAGAATAATAGCTTAGTAGCAGAGGAGTTGAACTATGATCACAATGTTTTACAGGAACGTGTTACCGCAAACTATGAGCGCTTCAATGCCGCACAAACAACAGTGTTCAATACTGTAATGAGCTCTGTGACAAATAATCAGGGAAAGATCATATTTGTTCACAGTGCTGGCGGCTGTGGTAAAACATTTCTGTGTAACACCATTGCAGCAGCAGTGCGTGCCTTAAATACAGTTGTACTAACTGTGGCCTCCTCAGGTATTGCAGCTTTACTTTTGGAGGGAGGACGCACAGCACACTCACGTTTTGGCATTCCCATTCCTTGCTTTGATGACTCTGTCTGCAATAGATTGTTTCAGGATGGCTATCAAGAGATGCTTTGTCATACCAAGCTCATTATTTGGGACGAAGTTCCTATGCAGCATCGATTTGCTGTGGAAGCTGTGAGCCGGTCCCTTCAACGCGCACTCAATGATCAGCGCCCATTTGGAGGAATTACTGTTCTGTTTGGAGGCGACTTTCGTCAAACTCTGCCTGTTGTTCCACGAGGGGGAAGACCTCAGATTGTGGGAGCTGCACTATGCCGATCATATTTATGGGAGCACATTCAAGTGATGCATTTGTCTCAAAACATGCGCTTAGAGCAGTCGCCTGAGAGCACTCAATTTGCACAATGGCTGCTACAAGTTGGACAAGGGGCCAATGGTGCTGCTGATAGTGTTGTAACACTTGCTGAGTCCATGCGTTTGTCTCAGCAAACAGTTGAATGCCTCATTTCTTCCACATATCCTGATGTCAATGTTCCTGACAAGCCTGATCAATACTTTTTGGACCGTACCATACTGTCAGCAAAGAATGATGCAGTAGATGACCTGAACCACATCATTCTAGGACAGTTCCCAGGTGAACAATGCATTCTACACTCTGCAGATAGTGTAGAGAGCGATGAGAGTGCACAATATACAACTGAGTTCTTACAGTCTATAAATGTCCCAGGACTCCCTCTCGCTCATCTTGCATTGAAACCAGGCTGTCCGCTAATGCTCCTCAGAAATATTGATCCACGAAATGGGCTTTGCAATGGCACACGATTGGTGTTAATAGTGATTCAGCCACGAGTTCTCTTATGTAGAATCCTCGGTGGTGAGCATGCTGGAAGGGAAGTATGTCTTCCAAGGCTTACTCTTGAGCCTAACACAGAAGATCTCCCTTTGAAGCTACGCCGCCGCCAATTCCCTGTGCGATTGGCATTTGCGATGACAATTAACAAAGCCCAGGGGCAATCGGTGACACACGTTGGCTTAGATTTGCGTACTGGAGTGTTCACCCATGGACAACTCTATGTCGCTCTTTCTCGCTGCACTTCGCCTTCGCGAATAAAAGTGTTGCTTGAAGATGGCAATGACAACATGACAACGACCAATATTGTCTATCGAGAGGTTATTCCACCAGAGTAACAATGCTACTGTGTTGTGCTGTACTGTCTTTCTGTTGCTATGCAAATTATGTATCATAATCACTATGTCTACAACTCTGTTTCGGTTTCACTTCTTTTCTCTATGTATCACTGATACTTTATTATATTTTATTTGCCTGACTTTAGGGCAGGCTCAAATAGACTTCAATCTCACTGAACACTTTTGATTAACTTATAGTAGTGAATATACAACCAAACACTCAATCTGATCGGAGTGTCTCAAGGGCCGAAGGCCCACACACATCGTGGCAACGCCACGGGTACGTACTAGTTGCCAAGCTTAGGGCGCGTAGTCGCCCTTCCGAGGAAGAGCCTCAACAACGAGCACCAAGGGCTGAACGAGGTCGAAGGCTCCCGAGAGCACGCGCAACTCGTCTCGCTCTGAAGCGGGCGAAGCGCATTGGGGCTGACGTCGCGCGACACGTGTATGTCCATGAGTGGGGCGGCTACGGCGGCCAGCGCGGGACGTGGAGGAGTTGTGCAAACGGATACAAAACCGTGAGTGCTAGGAGAGCGGCGTTGCTAGAATTGTTTACGGATGGTAGACGCGCTTGGGCAGCATGAAGCCTATGACACCACAACGTCTATTAGCACGCTCCCAAGACCCTTCCGAGCGCCTGGAAACTCACCGTCGAAGCTGGTCTTCGCATCAAAGTCGTCACCCTCTACGATCTCCCTTGCCCGCTCCCCGTCCTCCCTCCAGAGCTCCACCAACGCCCGCTCGCCCCCGGCCTACAGTAGTGATTCGCCAGGTGCATCCGTTGTGACAGCCTATCAGCAGGTGCGGATGCATCTGGTGCCGGCCGGCCCGGTTGCGCTCGACACCGCCTTCCCCAAGCGCGCTCGCGCACCCCCTGGGACAGCGTCGCACCCCGATGTCCAGACACCGGCGCCTCAGGCGCCGCCACCTGAGCTCGCTGTCTTGGACAGTGAGCTCGCCTCCCTCTTTGTTTCACACCACATCTTGTATATGATTAGTGATAAAATATATTTATTAGTAAACTGCTACATAGGTGTGCTAGTAAGTAACACCATGCCCCTCGGGACAAGGCGGAGGAGGTGGGCGAGTGGGCGACGTGAACGCGGGAGACGCGGAGGCGGGCGACGCGAAGGCAAGCGACGCAGAGGAGAGCGACGTGGAGGGCTCGCGGAGGGACGCGGAGGGCTCGTGGAGGGACGCGGAGGGCCGGGACGAGGCGGAGTAGGTGGTGGGCGACGCGGGCGGGGGTGTGCGGTGCGAAGGGGGAGGAGGCGCAGAGCACCGAGGGCGGGCGACGCGAGCGGAGGAGGCGACGTCGGCGGAGGAGGGCGGCGCGTGCGGAGAAGGTGCGCAGAGGGCGACGCGGAGGGCTCGCGGGAGGAGGCGGAGGCAGAGGAGGGCGGCGCGGGCGGAAGTGGACGAGCCGGAGGAGGCGGGCAACGCGGAGGAGGAGGAGCGTGGAGGAGGAGCGCAGACGCGGACGCGGGGGGCCGGGACTAGGCGAAGGAGGGGGGGCCTAGTGACGCGCATAGATGCGGGTGGCGAGAGGCGGCGCGGACGCGGACGCGGGCGACATAGAGGAGGGTGATAACGCAAAGGTGGGCGACGCGCGTGGAGGAGGAGGGCCGCATGGAGGCGGGCGAGACACGGAGGAGGGCGACATGGAGGTGGGGGAGGCGGAGGAGGGTGTGCGGGCGCAGGCGGGCTGCGCAAAGGTGGGCGGAGAGCAGCGTGGAGGTGGGCGAGGTGGACACGGAGGTCAAGGCTGGCAGGCCGGATGGGCGAAGCCGGAGAGGAGAGGTGAACATTGGGAGTGCAGGAGGGCGGAGCGGGGGACTCACCAAAACAAGGGCCACGGTACATCGCCGCGGCCCCCTAATTCCAATCTCCATGCTGAGGACGTCCGGATGGACGTCCTCCCGCGGTGTGGACGCAGCCGGCAAAGTGGGCGAAGGACGGCATGGAGGTCGAGGTTGAGGTCGAGGGAGGAGGAGGAGGGGAGCCGAACGGTGTCACCAGGTGACACCGGAGTCCAATAGCAGACGAAGGACGACTGTATAGTCGCTATCGTCTGCCTGGACGGTGGAGGCGGAGCAGGAGGAGGAAGAGGAGGCGGGGAGGAGAGCAAGGACGGCGGGAGGGACGCGTGGCGTGCATCACAGCCACGCGTCGATGCGCGCCACGCGTCCTTGCCGCCCACCGAGGCGGGTCTCCACGGGCGCGCATCACGGATCGCCAGATCCGTCCAGATGCATCCGTAGCTGCCGATAGGCTATCGCAACGGATGCACCAGGGAAATCACCTGTGCTCCCCCGGCTGCCCCGAGCCCGTCCTCGGCCCACCACCACCGCTGCCTCCGCTGCACCTCCTCCTCCTTGATCCGTCGCAGCTCCGCCAGCGCCCCGTCGCTTCGCCCTCGTCCTCCTCGCCCACCTGCGGATTCTTCATCCGGAGCGGCAGCAACGCCCAACACGCCCCGCGCACCAGCACCACGCGCACCGTCGGGAGCGCGTCCACGAGCGCGCGCGGCGCGCCCAGCAGCCGGCGGATGCGCGATACCTCCGTCGCAATGGTCAGGGAGCGCTTTGCGCCGATGAAGCGCGTGCGCTCTTCGATCGCGAGGTGCACGAGGGGCAGGCCGGCGAGCGCGGTGCACAGCACGCCCTGCGTGCGCGCGGGGTGGGTGTGGTCAACGACGCGCGCGAGGTGAGAGCGCGGAAGGCACACGTACCGGGACTATGGGCCCGTGATCATCTGGGGGCGTGTGCCCGACAATGGTAAGGTCGAGGGAGCGCAGCCGGAGTGGTGCGGCAGCGATCGCCTGCCACGTTCGTTCGGGACGGAGTGTGGGGGTCGTCGGCGCGGGCGCGGGCGCGGTAGGAAGGGAGACGTCGAGGACGAGCGCGATGGGCTTCATCTCCGCGAGCAGCTCGGGGAGCCCGGAGTACACCCCGCCCGGCACGGCGTCGAGCGTGCGCGCATCGGCGCTCCAGCTTTCGATGTGCACCCGCGCGACGCCCGCAGAGCCCGAGGCCACGCGGCGCGCGACCGGCAAATGTGAAAGCAGCGGTGCGCCTTGAGGGAGGGACAGCGAGAGGGAGCGGATCGGGGGCCACCGCGGGCCGGTGTATGGATCGTCGTCCGAGGGGACAGCGAGGAGGTCGAGCTGGCCACTTTCGCAGCGCAGGGAGGAGAGGCGCGGGCACAGCGGGCACAGCGGGAGTGCGACGGTGCTGCGGACACAGAGGGAAAGACTGACCAGGTTCGGGAGGGGTGGAAGTCCGGGCGGTGCGATGGTATCGACTGGACTGAGGAGCAACTTGTCCACTCCCCAGACCTTGAGGTCGCGCAGACGGGGGAAGCGGGCGAGGGTTGTGACAAAAGCTGAGAACGTGACGCGGCCGAGACCGTCTCTTGGGCTTGAGAATGCGAGAAAAAGAGTCTCGATGACGGTGTCGACAGGGAAATTGGACAAGTGGGAGAAAAGCGTCAGATCCAGGGAGAGGTCCAGCGAGGTGAGCTGAGGCATGGTCGTAATCGTGGCGAGCAAGCCAGGATCGCGCTCGAACCCCGGGTCTGTGTAGGAAGTTCCGACCCTCAAGTAGCGCAACTTCACTGCGGAGTGTTGAAGCACAGGCAAAATATGCGTGGTGAAGTGGATCATCGTCTCGTCGTGGCTACCGAACACGAGAAGGCGGCGGATGTTCGAGGCGCGGACCGTGTTCAAGAGTGGGTCTCGTTGGAGGAGGAATTCAGCTTGTGATTTCCCTCTTGAGTCGACTTCTATGGAAACCTCCGTAAAGCAGTAAGAGAATGCGAGTCGGTACATGTGTGAAGAGGTCATGGCCAGGTTGGACGGGTTGATGTACGGGAGTATTAGGTGCAGGATGTCGTCGTCCAATCGAGGAGTTGCGTTCATATTGGAAAGGTCTAGCTGTTGAGAGCAGAGGGTCTGTCAATGACTAATGCGAATGACTTGAGACCTCATACTTACTGAGTCGACGTCTTCGGTCAGTGGCCGTCTAAGGTAGAGAGTAGCGTGGGTAGAATTGGGCCGCGCGGCGACGTGAGGATGCCCTGCTCTCCTTAAGTATCTTATCTTGCTCCGGCCAAGCAGGCGCCTTGACAGTGGCGGGCCATCGCTCGGTCGAATCCCGCGCATTCGCCGCCAGTGCTCCACACGCGCCTGAAAATGCCCCCTCTCGTCCCTCTCAATGACGATGTCCTGCGATATGTCTGAGTCCATCTCCTCGAGCCCTCCGATGCACGCCGGGCCTCTTGCGCAAGCAGAACGACATAGTATGGAATGGGTCGACCCCCTTCTCTCTCTGAGCTCGACTTAGGCTTCTATTCGTGGCCATTCCTTCTTCGACCACGCTTCACCTACCTTAACAAGCTTTGCCTACCACAAATGAGCCTGCTCACGTCCACTGAAGAAGAAGAAAGCCCGCAAACGCTGGATCACGCTCTCCGATTTGAGCCCCTTTCTTAAGCCGTCTTCATTCGAACGCTGGAATTACCGGACGTCGCTCATTACGTCCACAGAGAGTCGCGGATTTTTGATGCCATTCCCCGACTTCAACATCTCACCACACTCATTTTGTCTGACGTTGTCCATGTTGCTTTCTCTCAACTAAAATCTTCATTACACCTGCTCTCATCCCTTCGCTCCTTAAATTTGCTCCTCGAGGACGTTTTCCCCAATTCGATTTTATCGCCTGAGGGTGACATCATATACTGCTTTATAAACTCCCTCTTTCGACTCCATCGGCTTTCCCATCTACTCCTCAGGGGATACCCGAGTTGCGACAATCAAGCTCTTAACAGAAGCGAACTACGGCCCCTGGAGCCTCTCCCGTTCCTCCGCCATCTCGAGCTGGTCGCGTGGCAGCCAGTCTGGGTCCCCCCTTGTCCGCATCTCGAACATCTATCCCTCCGCGATCTCTACGAAACCGACGTCCTGGTCGTGCAATCTTTTCCCACCCTCCGCGTCATCGACTTTGAATTCGACGAGAACGACGATGGGGTCTTCCCTACCATCTCCGAAGAGATCTCCATCCGCCACCTCAACCATCTGCGGATCCAAGGCCCCATCGCGGCTAACACCAAACTCAGGTCGGAAGCGATGTACGGCTTCCGCCCCGATCTCTTACTCGACCGCATCCAGTCCATATCGGTGTTCTCGATGGGGACGGTCTACTACTGGCACGATGTTGAGGACCAGGTGGCCCCAGATGCGGTCCTGGCGCGGGCGGTCAAACTCGGCATCCGGTCCTAGCCTTGTTGCGACACCTCAATCTGCATCCGCGTTCGGTATTCTGAATGTACGCATCTCCTTTTCCAAAGCGTGAGGGAGAGTAAGTCTGTATACGCACGATGAGTTCACGGCCAGGCTGTAGGCGTTTTAGAGAGGATGATGTTGAGGACATCGTCGGGATCGAGGAGGTTCATCTGGAGATCCCGGGAGAGCAGCGGGAGACGTGGAGAAATGAACACGAGTAGTGGGAGAGCGGTGCTGTGCCGGGTCGTTTACGGACGGTAGATGCGCTTGGGCAGCATGAAGCCTACACCGCCCATAAACTCCCGTCAGCACGCTCCCAAAACCTCTCCTCACGCCTGGACACTCACCGTCGAAGCTCGTCTTCGCATCAAAGTCGTCACCCTCTACGATCTCCCTCGCCCGCTCCCCGTCCTCCCTCCAGAGCTCCACCATCGCCCGCTCGCCCCCGGCGGACCCGAGCGCGTCCTCGGCCCACCACCACCGCTCCCTCCGCCGCAAGTCCTCCTTCTCCATCCCCCGCAGCGCCGCCAGCGCCGCCGCCTCGTCCTGCTCGCCCACCTCCTGATCCTTCGCCCGGCGCGGGAGCGCCGGACACGCCCCGCGCACCTGCACCACGCGCACCGTCGGGAGCGCGTCCACGAGCGCGCACGGCGCGCCCAGCAGCCGTCGAACGCGCCCGAGCTCCACCGCAAGGCTCATGGGGGAGCCCGCGCGGGCGTAGTGCGGGCGCTCTTCGATCGCGAGGTGCACGAGGGGCAGGCCGGCGAGCGCGGTGCAGAGCACGCCCTGCGTGCGCGAGCGGGCGTGGTCAGCGGCGGCGATGTGCGAAAGCGCAGAAGGCAGACGTACCGGGACTATGGGCTCGTGGTCAGCCGGGGGCGCGTGCCCGCCGATGGTGAGGTCGAGGGAACGCAGCCGGAGCGGTGCGGCGGCGATCGCCTGCCACGTTCGTTCGGGCCCGAGTGTGGGGGTCGTCAACGCGGGCGTGGGCGCGGGCGCGGTGGAAGGGACGACGTCGAGGACGAGCGCGATGGGCTTCATCTCCGCAAGCAGCTGCGGGAGCCCGCGCATCTCCACCACGTTTGGCACGGCGTCTAGCGTGCGCGCGTCGGCGAACCAGCGTTCGATGTGCACCCGCGCGACGCCCGCAGACCCCGAGGCCACGCGGTGAGCGACGAACCAGTGCGAAAGCAGCGGCGCGCCACGAGGGAGGGACAGCGAGAGGGAGCGGATCGGGGGCCATCGGGGGCCGGTGTATGGACCGAGGTCCGAGGGGAGAGCGGAGAGGTCGAGCTGGCCGTTCTCGCAGAGCAGGGAGGAGAGGCGCGGGCACAGCGGGCACAGAGGGAGTGCGACGATGCTGTGATTTATGAGGGAAAGACTGGCCAGGCTCGGGAGGAGCGCAAGTCCGGGCGGTGCGATGGGATCGACTGGATCGAGGAGCGAGTCTAGGAGCCCGACCTTGAGGTCGCGCAGACGAGGGAAGCGGGCGAGGGTCGTGACAAAAGTGGAAAACGTGACGTGGTGGAGGCTGTCGTCTGGGCCTGAGAATACGAGAAAGAGAGTCTCGATGACGGTGTCGGAAGGGAAATTGGACAAGTGGGAGAAAAGTGCGGGATCCAGGTAGAGGCACAGCGAGGTGAGCTTTGGCATGGTCGTAATCGCAGCGAGCAAGCGAGGATCGCGCTCGAACCCGTTTTTGTAGGAAGTTACGACGCTCAAGTCGTGCAACTTTGCTGCGGAGTGTTGAAGGACGGGCAGAGCATGCGTGGTAAAGTCGGTAGTCTCGTTGTGTGGGCCCATCATGACAATGCGGCGAATGTTCGATGCGCGGACCGTGTTCAAGACTGGGTCTCGTTGGAGGAGGAAATCAGTTTGTGCTTCCTCTCTTCGGCCGACTTCTATGGATACATTTGCGAAGCGAGAGGAGAATGCGAGTCGGTACATATGCGAAGAGGTCATGGCCAGGTTGAACGGGTCGATGTACGGGAATATGAGATACATGATGTCGTCGTTCAGTCGAGGGCGCCGGGTTGCATTCATGTTGGAAGGTGCCGGCTGTTGGGAACAGAGGGTCTGTTAAGCAACTTTCATAGCTGATGCTAATGGCTTGAGATCTCAAACTTACTACTGAGTCGACGTCTTCAGTAAGTGGCTGTCAAATGCAGAGAGTAGCGTGTGCACAATCCCGCCGCGCGGGCTCCACGTGCCGCAGCAGGCTGGCCTTATCTTTAAATCTTGCTCAGGCGCAGGAGGCGCCCATGAAGTTTTGTAGTTGGCGCTGGTCAGCGACAATACCGACACAAGAAACTAAACTTGTTGGAATCTGCTCACGTGTATGGCAAGCTCGGTCATACCTTACTTGTGCTTAGTCATCGTGTAGATAGCCATCGTCCCTCGTCCCGCACTCGCCTCACGCGTTTGCCCTTCACCACCACCTCGTTCTCCCCCGCGTCCGTCTGTACTCGCCTCCCGGTGCCCATAGGGACCAACCGCGTGGTATCGATTGCCTTTACCCCCTCGTCCGACCCCGACCGAGCCGCCGACTTCTAACAAAACTGTGTGAAACTGATATACTCCCCAAAACCGATAGCTTTATCCCAGCTTGTCGTGTATACCTCTACTCCAAAGCTGAACGAAAACGTGGCTCATGCATCTGGGACCAGAACTCGGAGTTCGCATCTTTGTCGGGTCTGAGGAAATCCATGGCGGCTGTGATGCGGGCTCGAGGGAGTCCAAGAGAGTCGGGAACAGTCTCAGTTGAACAGTGTCGCGCTATGGATACAGAAACATGCTAAAGATACAGTGACCGCGCCCGCACCGGAGCAGACCTATCGCTACACCACCCCGAAAAAAGAGAAAAACCGGCGAGCCCTCGTCACACAGGAAGGTCCTCGATCTCCATAGTCCGGCCCTCCGTCCGCGCGGCGCCGCCCCGGAGCATAACGAACGAAGCCCGGTGCCCGCCGTGCCGCCACCGCCCCCTCCGCTCCTCCCGCGCCGCCTCCTCCTCTTCCCGGGACCGTCGCCCCCAATCCCAATGATCGACCTCTGGCGCCTTCCCCTTCCCGAGCGCGCCGAGCTCGAACGAGTCGGACGTCGCGCGGGGGCGGCCGAGCGCCGCGCGCGCGGCGTGCGGGATCCTGGCGCCGGCGGACGGAGGTCCGTCGGGGCTGCGGCTCGAGCGGCGCGCGGCGGCGGGCGAGAGGTCGTCGTGGGAGTTGTGGTCGTATTCGCCGGTGCAGAGCGTGGCGGAGGAGCGCGTCCAGGCGCGGCGCGCGAAGACGCGGTGGGCGATCATGAGCGGGGAGATGCACTGCGCGCGCGGTGAGCAGCCGGGGAGGCGTCGGACGGCAGGAGGAGGGGGGAGGGGGAGACGGGCGCACCGTGAACATGATGTAGAACGAGAAGAGGTACGCGACCTGGGTGTGGACCGCGTAGGTGACGAGGTAGATCAGGCTGAAGACCGTGAACGGGAGCGCGCTCTCGACGATGATCGCCGCGGCGCCGGTGCACATCCGGCTGTAGTGGTCGCTCGCGCCCGTCCGCCGCAGCACCCGCCAGACGGAGATGATGCGGTAGCAGATGAGGCCGGTGACGATCACGCTGAACGCGAACGTCGAGGCCGTCCAGGCGCTCACGAACGACGCCGCGATGCCGTCGAAGTAGCTCCCGCCCGGGCGGCCGTACTGGTACATCATCACGATGCCTAGCACTGCGTGGGTGTTAGGACGAGGCTTCGAAGAGAGGAGTTGGATATGCCCACCGAGAGAGCACGTCCATAGGATCATGGGGATGATGATGACTCGTTTGTCGTTCCATACGATGTAACAGCGGTACATCTTGGGGGACGGGTAACGCTGACCCTTTCAGCGTCCACAAAATGACGGGCAACTCACCAGCAAGGCCTCGCTCATAAGGTTGCTTGCGACCCAGGCACTCGAGCTCCATATCTGCTCCCAAACCCTCTGGTACGTGTTCCAATACGCGTCGGCCCCCCCGGGGAAATCGGGATGGGTCACAAACATCAGCTCTCCAAAATACGCGTTTGGTATCCACATCATGCAGCTGAGAAGGACGAGGATGGTGGAGAAGACGAAAAGAAGCTTGTCGGCCCGTGTCCGGCTATCCAGGCGGTAGATGACTGCCACGACGCTGTAGTACAACGCCAACTCGACACCTGGAGCTCCACCGATCAACCGCTGGAAACACAGCCGAGAAGCAGACCCTCACCGAACAGGACGGCATTGATGTAGTTGGAGATGTAGTAGGCGTGCGCGAATGTCGAGCCCATTAGACGCAAATGCAGCCGGGGGAGGGGGAATGGCTTTGTCGCCCCTGGGCATGCTGCTCCACGGATATATCGGCGGTAGCACAAATGGCCTCAGTGGCCGAATGACAGGCCCCTGGATGGTGGAGCTGGAGGAGAGAGCGAGTGCTAACGAGTGCGAACATGAAGGCGTCGGTTGACAGTCTGGTTGCAGCTGGGCGACGGTCTTCGGTGAGCCAGAGTTGATCGCACATATGCATGTCGGCAGCGGCATGGACCTAGCCTGGAGATCGCAAGAAATTCAACGGCCAGAGGCGGTGACTAATCATGTCTTGGCGTGAGCAGGAGCGTGGTAAATAAGAGCTCCATCAATCAAATTGGGTTTCGATTCCTCTTTCAGCTCCCGGGCGCTCCGGCCGCGACAACATCAACCTGTGACCAAGTCGAACTACGTACCATCTCCTCGTCATTGCTCGCCCATGGACTCAAAACCGTAGCATTTACAGATTTCTCAATTCTTTAAAACGATGTAGACGGGCTCCACCGTAACAGTCGACCGGTCATACTGTCAACATACCGGACCGTCGTCAGCAACGTCTAACATCGAGTTTCGGCGCTTCAGCACACGCACCACTTCTCCGCTCTTGTAGAACGGATCGTTGTGGACGACCTCCCACACGGCGTCGACGCTCTCCGCGCGGAGGGTGATGATCACCCCGACGGCGACGTCCCCGGCATCTTTCACCTCGGAAGACTGCGCTCCCTCCGGGAGGAGGAGGGCGACAGTGACTGCGCAGGGAGAACTTGAGCGTCAGCGACCCCCTGACCCACAGGGGAGAAGACAACGGAAGAACGCACCGAGGTCCCCGCGGGCGATGAGGGGGCCGATGTACGTCATATGCGCTTCCAGAAACTCCTTTCGGCGCGAGTTGGGTAGGTCGCGGGCGCGGATAACAAAGTGGTTGTTGGGTGTCGACGACATTCTTTCTCCCAGGTGTTTATCGAGGGGCTGGAGTGTGCAGGTGAGGATGGTGGTCCCCCAACGGTGCGAGGCCACTGAGCTTTTATAGTACAGTGCTCAGGCCAGTCGCTCCTGTATCTCCCGACATTGCGTGGATGTCCGGACCGGGGAGAGAGAGGCAGATGGATTAGCCGCCTGTGTTATTTGACACAGCTCGGGTCGTTTCGCGGGCTCCGGAGTCCTGCTCTCTCGATCGAGTGGGTCCGGGCCGCCGTACGCACCCGAGTGTAGGATGGCAGCCAATTCTAGTCGGCTCCGGCATCTGCCGAGCGCATCCGAGCGCAACCGGCTTTGACGGGTCGGAGATGGGTGCAGTCTGCGCCCGTCGTTTCGAATCTCGCCTGTGCACATCACTCCTCGCTGGTGATCTTAGGCTAACCCCGCTGATCCCCGTTAGTTCAGCCTGAAAGTCGCCGATCGGATGGTCTCGAGCCTACAGAACTCTAAGTATACTCCTCGTGTTCTCACCCCGGGTGTTTTCCATCAGAGCCATGGTCTCGAACAGGTCAGTCCACCACCTCTCGATTCTGGGACCTTGCTCTCAACCCTGCCGCAATCCAAGCCCCGTTCGATCCTCGCCCGGCGCTCCCAGATCGATGCTTCGATGACATCACTCCCTCGCGTCCGTGACGTCCGCGCCCTCCATCGACGCACAACCTCCAACATACCGGTCCGTATATGTACCCCGCGCACTCCCCGCCGCACCTCCACCCTCTCGCACCAACGACCATGCTCGTCCTCACCACCGCACTGCGCACCTCGCGCGCCCGCTCTCTCCCCACCACCACCACCCCCGCCCGCCTCATTCACCTCTCCCTTCCCTCCGCCCGCCACGCGCGCGACCCGAGCGCTTCCCAGAATGACCACCCCGCCCACCCCGGCGACCCGCACGACCAAGCCGCGCGCGCGGGGCTCGCCGTCGGCCGCGGCGCGCGCGGCGCGTCCCTGCTCGACGCCGCCGAGAAGCGCGAATCCCCGGCGCCGGCGCCGACGCGCGGGAATCCCGAGCGCGTCGGGTTCGTGGACCAGGTCGGCGGGCAGTCCGCGGCGGCGACGGGCGGCGCGCACGGAGGGGGCGTGGGCGGGCGCGAGGACGCGGCGCCGGCCCACGGGGGGTTCGTCGCGCGCGTGAGGCGTGCGCTCGGGTTCGTCGGGGTGGGCGCGGGCGCGGACGGGGGTGCCGGGCGGAGAGGCGTGCACACGTCCGCGCGTGCGGCGAGCGGTGGGGAGGAGGAGCGGCTCGCGACCGCGCACGCCTCGCACGGGGAGCAGAACGAGCACCTGCGGCACAAGGCGGCGGGCGAGCCTGACGCGGGCACTAGACGCGGCGGGAACGCGGGGGCGACCCCGGAACTGCCGTCGCAACAAGTGAGCGTGCACAAGGGGGTGTTGACCTGAGGGTCGCTCGTGAAAGGTCTTCCGGGACGTCGCATCAATAGACTAAGTGTATATGTCATATATCTCGTTATCGGCTCCCTAGCATTTTTTGTACAACGCATTCAACTTCGGAGCGGGCGCATTCGACCAGGTGTAGCCATGACCTGGTCCCAAATATCACGCAATCTCAACTGAAGGCGTTTATTGCAACCAAATATACAGTTTCCAAACGCAGATAGAAGGTACCTCCTCCCAAAATAACGTGGTCGTGCTATGTCATGAAAGTTCGTGTCGTCCATCGTGAGTAGTCGTGTGGTCTTGATCTGGAGCCGATATAACAATACGTCTCTAATGCAGTACATTCTATCCTCTTGCGGGCGGCGAGTTCCCTTGATCCAGGCTCAGATGCCCAGGCTGGAGCGGATGACGCTCTGGAGGGCAGTCCCGTCGTCCTGGCGCGCGCGCGTCGGTGAGCAGCCCGTATCGGAAGAGGGCGAACATACCTGGTCGAGCGACCACGTGAAACAGCCGGCCATACCGTTCTGCTTCGCGAACGTAGCCTTGTCCCCGATGGACCAGGTGTCGTCGTACGTGACAACGACCTTCCGGCTCGTGTCGTACAAGAACGGCGTGTCGCTGCAGTCGTCCCACGCTGCCACCGCCACCAGCAAACGTTAGAGCACGCAGACATTCCCAGCGCACGTTTGCACGCACCCATGGTGTACCCGTTCGTGCCCGTGTACGTCCCGTCCGAGTTCTTCTTGAGCGCCCCGAGGGCGACCAGCTCGTTGAACGGGATCTGCTGCCCGAGCCACGCGCTCAGGTCGCCCGACGCTTCGGTGGTCACCGTTCCGTTCCTCGGCTGCTTGCGCGCGCGCGGGTGGGCGCCGTGCATCGCCGCGGGCTCGCCCTCGCCCTCCTCCGGGATCGGAGTGATGCGCGCGTGGGGCACGGGGCACGAGAGCCCGCGATCAGGCAGGCCGAGAACTTGCTGCTTGTACGCCGAGACGTCGAACCCGGGCTGCGGGAGGGCGATCTCGTGCAGCGTCGTCTTCGAGCTCTGGGAGACGTAGCCGTACAGCGGGAGACCGAGGAGGAGCTTCGAGGCGGGGAACCCGGCGGCGGTCCACTGCTGCAGCCCCGCTTGCGCGGAGTACTGTGGGAGCGTGGAGTTGCCACAGAGGTTGCCGAGGGGAGCGTTCGGACCTGGGCTCGATGAAGCCCCCCATGTGTCGTAGTTCCTAGAACAGAAATAAGCGTCAACATATGCGCATATCCCAAAGCGAGCAGAGGACAGACATGATGTTGGCATAAGTCATCACAGAAGCATACGCAGAAACATCAGTGAGCGCCGACCCGTTGGAGCCAGTCCATGGCAACGGCGTGACCGCCGCCGTGATGATCTTGGACGAACCGAGCGCGGAGCGGAGGGACTTGAAGAAGGACAGCAAGTTGGCGGCATCAGAGGACGAGTGCGGGTTTCCGGCGCCCGACTCGTTGGGATACTCCTGTATTTGACCAACACCGTGTCAGCATCAGATAGGCATGAGTTGACACTGGCAACTTGCCCAATCGATGTCGATACCTGGGGGTCTGACATTAGCAAACTTGACCACGAAAGCTAGGAGATACAGGAGCTTACCGTCGAGGTTGTACGTCTTGACCATGCTCACGCAGGCATTCAGAAACGTCGAACGGTTGGCGGAGCTCATGACTTGAGAGAAGTACGTGCTGTCGGTCCATCCACCTAAACGCAAATCAGCTGCTTGAGCGATACTGATGGAGCACCTGACTGACCGATAGACAGGACGACCTTGGTACCGTGGCTGCTGCTGTGCGCAGCCGAGACGAGGGCCTTGAGCGTCGAGGCGGAGCCCAACGACACGCCATTCGACGAGTTCGGAGTGGCGAACGCTGGCGAAGGCAAGGATATCAGAAGGCCGCATTACTCCCGCAGCGGGACCGAGATCCAAATCACAGCTAGCGTTGCCGCCCAGGAAGCAGGTGGAGCTGGAGAATCCTCTGCACCCGCTGACGCCGCTCGCGTGACACCGAAATCACATGGGGCACGCGACCCTCGGGGGGACGAGATAAGACACGCACCGTAGAACAAGATATCGAACTTGGAGAAGTCGAGCGAGCTCGGGGGGAACTGATCCGACGACCAATCGGGGTAGTATGCCGCGGCTATCTTTGTGGCCTCGGCCTCGAGCTCGCCCTGAGCGGCGAGCGCGGCCTTGCGCGAAAGAGTGGAAGGGACCGCGTCCTCCAAGCTGAGGACGCGAGCGGCGGAGGATGGGCCGGAAGGGGCGAGGAAGTCGGCCAGGAACTGGTGAGAGCGGAACTGGGGCGAGTCGACGAGCCCGGTGAGATAAGCGGAAAGGCCGGCCTTGCGCTCAGTGATGAGGGCGTCGTCGAGCCATGCCGAGGGTATGAAGGTGGTGGCGAGAATGCGCCTTGGCGGAAGGGAGCCGGGGTCGTTGAGGGAGTCGTGAAGGGAGACAAACTGAGCAAGATGGTGAGCGGGGAAGAGGGAGGTGAGGAGGAGAAGGGGGACTGACATCGGAATAACGCTTGGACACGGTGGAGACCCGGCCATCCGCCGTCGTAACCTGGACGGTGTAGAGGATATGGGGCCTCGGGAAGGAAGAGGTGGAGTGACCGACGACAGTGGCATAGGAGACAGGCATGGCGGAGGAGGGTGGGGGGCTGCGAGTGTGGACATTGCTTATAAGCGAGTGAGTGCGAGAGACGGAGCGGGCGAAGTGTCTGAGGGGACACAAACGGAGAAAGAAGCGGTGGGCACACGCGGGGCGGGATCGCGCTCGAGGCTCGAAGGAGACAGCAGCGGAGAGCGACCTGCAGGAAGCACACTCCATGATATCACCCGAACGCTGCGAACCCTCTGTCCGCACGCGTGCCATCTCTGCCATCGGTCCTGCCCTGGCCCCGGACTGCTCATTCTACATAACAGAGCTTGTCGGTCTCACCGTCCTCGTCCTCGTCGTGTCTCGCGCGTCGTGGACACCGTCATCGGCAGGCACCGTCGCTCCACGGCTCCCACCGCGGCTCCGCCGCGCGCAACCGCGTTTCGTTCCCTGGGATGTGGTTGCGAGCGGTGAGCAAACATGGACTGTCACGACAGACCGCGCACCATTGGAGCCGACTTGCTTCCTGCGATTGCATTCGCATGCATGCGGTGATCGGTCAGGTGCTACGTCAGCGCAGCCCTCACCGACACTTGAAGCCATCACCGATAGAACCAGCCCCGTATGGGGGCAAGCGTGCTTCTGGACGCGGCGCCGGAGGCGATCGACAGAATGCAAGTTTACCCGCGTGCTGCCCGATAAGAGCAACACCGCTTCAGAATGGGTTCACTGGAACCGTGTTTCGCTATCTCCCTGCCTGGGGAAAACTGTCCTCGGTGGGAGCGAGGGTGGGATGGCACAACCTACATAACACGGCGCGAGTTCAAAGAAGCTCGGGAGTCGGGATGCTAGAGTGTTTCCGTGTTAGCAAAACCGCCCGCCACGTTGAACAGAGACTGCTTACGCGAGCGAACGTTGACGTTGAGCGAGGGTGAAATGGCCCATATCTCCACTCACCGGCATCTTCGCGAGGCCACAGTGCAACTTGCAAGTCCCATGTTTGCTGTTCAAAAGAGGGTCACGTGTACGAGTCGGTCAGCGTTGACATGGAAGTAAACTGCAAGCAGTGCCACTAATAATCGGTGCTTGCGGGAGGAACTTATGTAAGGCGCCCAATCAGAGACAAGCAAAATGGAGAACGCCTGCCACACGCTCGTTCGCACCCCGCTGCAACCATTCAGCGAATATTCAAACGTTGAACAATCGACCCGGCGCCCAGCTGGGCGAAAGGTATGTGAAGAATCGAGCAGTGGACGAAGAGAGCCGTAGAGGCGAAAGGACGCCGGATGACGGACAGGGTGTCGGATAGGACGACGATGGTGGATAGGATGATAGAATCGATATCGATCTAGGACGATACGGCGGCATATAGTACTGTACATTGCGTGGGAACGTAGTATACATGACTAAGCATACTGGTAGTGCCTCGGATGAGGGCGTACACCCACGACGGGCATCGGCTCAGCTTCGGAGCCCGAAAAGGCGTAGAAAAAGCCTGTCAAAGGTGTCATTTCCGGCAGGTATTTTTCCAGAGGAGAAAAAGGGTGGGAAAGGCGAACTTTTATGTCAAGTTTGTGTGTGTCGTAGATTATCCTGAAAGGTGACGTTTTGGGCGAATGTTTTGGCACGACAGAATACTGTGCTCAGAACAAAGACAATAGAATTCATTGTAAAGGCAATAGAACGTGTATAGTATGTGAGTAACAAACAAGTGAGTACGAATGATAAGTAACGCGCGTTATTGGAATGGGTACCAAAGCACGACGGGCAACGGCCTAGCTTCAGAGCTCGAAAACGCGTAGAAAAAGACTGTGAGAGATGACATTTCCAAGGGGACAAAAACGGAGGCTTAGGTGACCTTTTCTTGATGTAACTAAGAACAAAGACAATAGAACGTGCATAGTATGCGAGTAACAAAGAAGTAATTACAAGTGATAACCTGTGTTATTGTCGAACAAGGTGGAGAAAAGGTCACCTTAGCTCCTGTTTTTGTGCCCTTGGAAATGTCATCTCTCACAGTCTTTTTCTACGCATTTTCGAGCTCCGAAGCTAGGCTGTTGCCCGTCGTGAAGGTCTCTTTATCGATCGTTTTCGGCCCCCCGTAAATCACACGGAGAAATTGCCCATTTTAGTGCCTTTTTCACACGCGCACAAAAGGCTGCAGAAAAGACACCTTTGACAGGCTTTTTCTACGCCTTTTCGGGCTCCTAAGCTGGGCCGTTGCCCGTCGTGACACCTGTACCTCACGTTTTGATAGATCAGTGATCCCGGATAATCCCACCCCCCTACCATAGATAGTATCGCTGTAATGTCCATACGCCCGCCACTACTAGATACGCTACGAATATCGCGGCCAATTCCCTTGCAAGGAAACAGCCCGCTTCCCCCATATACACAAGTCCCCTCCCCTCTCTACAAGTCCCCGCCCGGCAAGCCCCGAGCTAGGCCGAGCCCGCGTCTGTCTGCTCCCATCATCACGTGTGTCCCCCGCTGCCCCGACATCTCCGAGCGCCGCGCTCCCGCCGGCGCCTTCCCCGCCTGTGACCGTGCTCGCTGTGCCCGACAGTGAGCTCGCTGTCCCTGCGCCCTGCCTCCCCCTCCCCTCCGTTCCCCTCCGTTCTTTTTGTAACCCGCTTGTATTCAAAATGCGCACCTAATGACACACAATACAATAGCTACACTTGCCTGGGTGTGCCTGCACTGAGCCCATATACCCCCCAAAATGCGTGCAGCATACAAGCATCTACAAGTGTTGAATTGGCTGGCCAAGCTCTGCATCAGATAGTTATAGATGAGGGCTGCTCTAGTATAAAACTGCAGGTGGATAGCTAGAGGGGTGCAGGTATGATGTCATATGTTATTTCAGAATGACATACTCCACAGTGATCTTGAATATACATGTATCGTCTTATGTACACCCAGAATCGTACCTAGAGGTCACTAAGAGTGTATTGCAAGAAGAATAAAGTGAATAGACGATGTTGTGGTGAAGATATGACATATGCTCAGAAGGGGGAGTTGGCTTGAAAATGCGGCCTTCATATGTTTTTATGCAGACCTCTGATCACTTCGCATCTTGTTGCATTACGTTTGTATGTATATGTAGAGCTCAGATCGTCGTTTTTGTTCTTATCGGTGAAGGATTGAATACAGGCCATGGTATGTCATTATTCTATGACATAGAGTATAGCGATATGAAATGTGCTCCGATTATTATTCTGAAAAGCGGAATAGAACGGGGTGTTCTTCTGCTAAACGATGCAGAAGGAATCTCGAGAAACGATTGAGTAGTCGCTGAGATATGCCATATGGGTCTAGAATGGCAGGTTGCGCAAAGGACGCCCTTGAACAACCTACAACACTTTGCACACTTCAAGCTCATATGGCATATCTCAGCGACTACTCAATCGTTTCTCGAGATTCCTTCTGCATCGTTTAGCAGAAGAACACCCCGTTCTATTCCGCTTTTCAGAATAATAATCGGAGCACATTTCATATCGCTATACTCTATGTCATAGAATAATGACATACCATGGCCTGTATTCAATCCTTCACCGATAAGAACAAAAACGACGATCTGAGCTCTACATATACATACAAACGTAATGCAACAAGATGCGAAGTGATCAGAGGTCTGCATAAAAACATATGAAGGCCGCATTTTCAAGCCAACTCCCCCTTCTGAGCATATGTCATATCTTCACCACAACATCGTCTATTCACTTTATTCTTCTTGCAATACACTCTTAGTGACCTCTAGGTACGATTCTGGGTGTACATAAGACGATACATGTATATTCAAGATCACTGTGGAGTATGTCATTCTGAAATAACATATGACATCATACCTGCACCCCTCTAGCTATCCACCTGCAGTTTTATACTAGAGCAGCCCTCATCTATAACTATCTGATGCAGAGCTTGGCCAGCCAATTCAACACTTGTAGATGCTTGTATGCTGCACGCATTTTGGGGGGTATATGGGCTCAGTGCAGGCACACCCAGGCAAGTGTAGCTATTGTATTGTGTGTCATTAGGTGCGCATTTTGAATACAAGCGGGTTACAAAAAGAACGGAGGGGAACGGAGGGGAGGGGGAGGCAGGGCGCAGGGACAGCGAGCTCACTGTCGGGCACAGCGAGCACGGTCACAGGCGGGGAAGGCGCCGGCGGGAGCGCGGCGCTCGGAGATGTCGGGGCAGCGGGGGACACACGTGATGATGGGAGCAGACAGACGCGGGCTCGGCCTAGCTCGGGGCTTGCCGGGCGGGGACTTGTAGAGAGGGGAGGGGACTTGTGTATATGGGGGAAGCGGGCTGTTTCCTTGCAAGGGAATTGGCCGCGATATTCGTAGCGTATCTAGTAGTGGCGGGCGTATGGACATTACAGCGATACTATCTATGGTAGGGGGTGGGATTATCCGGGATCACTGATCTATCAAAACGTGAGGTACAGGTGCGTCGTGACCAGAACACTAGGAACCAACAAGGTATGCTTTCGCCGTCTACACCACCAGGAAGCTGGCCCCAACTGGGCTTCTCCGAGGGGCGACTCATCCGCAGTTCCAGCTGTGGTGATCCCCAGGGTATCTTATCGCACCGACCCGGCGGAGAGACTGGGGCCGCGGTGCAACTGAGCCGCTCCGGAACGTTCAACCCCAGTGAGGACCGCTCCCGTCTAGAGACGTCTAGATATGATGAAAAACGTCGTGGGACGTCTCCAAATGATAAGCTCCCCTCAGGCGCCGGAGATGACGTTAGAATATGCTGAGCAGTATCTCCTGTCAGCGCTTCAGCGCGTGTCCACGCAAACACAGAGCAGAGCTCGCTATGTGTCTCGCTACACAAATTTTCCTTCTGCCACTGGCTCTGCAGCTGTTTCTCTTGAGTTTTGCTCTCATCACGTGAACCACGGAATGGTCCGAGCCTCCGATGACGTCGTGACTTTCTGGCGCCTGGCGCGACGCGCGGCTTGCCCACCACCTCCACCTCTCCCTCTCCCATTCGTCTATTTCATCCTCAGCAATCTAAGAACACAGCTATGTACGCCCTTCTTTGTTGACATGTGCGACGTGGATTTAGTCTTGGAGGCATGCAAGAGAGTGCATAGTACCCACCCTGGTCGTCTTAGAATGAGCAGCTGGGTGGTCGAAGGTGCGCATATACCCACTATTCATGACGGATGCCATCGCTCACACCTTCCTGCCATCCACGGTGCATAGTTCCCTCTCCTGCGAACCACACACAACGATAGTCGCCACTGTGCAGAAGCCCGTGCCCGCGTTCAAGGCGAGTGCCGTCGTCGACGGCTTCTTCAAGAGGTCGTCCTCTCCCCCGTACCATCAACACCTCCTCGGTCGCATCAGTAATTCCCAGTATCTCTGAATCTCTCAAATCTCTCACACATTTCATGTGAGAAGTTTCAGATCGGTGAGAGGTGATCAGACATCTCAGGCAAATCTCAGAAGATTTAGATGACCGGTATGGACGGTGGCACACGATAAATAGAGGCTACGACAAGCTTTGGATCGTGTGAATGAGATATATTATGATGAACTACAATAACATCGCCTCGAGCTCGAGGTGGTTCCTCAGGCCCGGAAACGACACCCGAATCATGAGGTCGTACCGCGGACGGCAGCGCGCGTCAGTGAAGTCCAAACTGCGCGTGACTGCGAGGCGAGCATAACACACACTCCACGCTATGCAGCACGAACGACGGCAGGCAGTCGTCACTCCATCGTCGTGCCCATGGGGCAGCCACTGCCCCTCGTCGATGCTGCGCTCAATCGGGGCCGCGCTGGCGCCGGGGAAGACCGCGGCATCCTTGCGCACGCGCGTCGAGTTGTACTTCACCCAGACGAGCAGGCAGCGGTGTGGGTTGGAGTCCTGCCCATCTGCCGAGCCGGGAGCGGGCAGGAAAACGGGCATGCTCGGGGGGAGTGCCATGGCTTGTGCAAGCGGAGACGGGCTTGAAGAGAGAGACAGAAGATGTGGGCGAGGTGAATGACGCGGGCGAACGGGCAACACGGGCGAGGCGCGTGGGCGACGCAAACAACGTGGCAGTGTGGGCGAGGTGGTGAATAGCATGACGCGAGCACGACGTGCGCGATGACGGCCCGAGTTGCTTGACAAGGGCGAGGTAGCGACAACAGGAAGGCGGGCAAAGCGGGCGACGTGGGTGCCACAATCGTCAGTCTCGCACTTGGTGCAACAGGGAGCGGAGAGCTGCTCACCGTGTAGTGTTGCTCGTCCTCAGGCTTGACAAGTTAATACTGCAACTGGTGGTGCACGTGCGGGCGGAGGGTCAGGCTCAACGCATAGTCCGGTGGCGGTGGGATGGCACAACGGGGAATTGGCAGCGAAGAAGAAGTGGGAGTAGGGTGGGGTGGGGAAAAGGGGGAAAATAAAAGGTGTTGAGATAGATCGACTGTACTCACATATATCGTGTTCGTAGCGTGGCGGTCCTTGGCCCCGACTGTCGAAGTGGCGGTTGTCAGAGAGCGCAGGGGTGTAGGAGTCGCGGTGGAACACGTCCTGGGCGGAGGCGCAGTTACGGAGCGCGCCAGCGAGGCCGTTCTTGACCTCGAGCTGGCGGTCGGTGGAACTGCTCGATACGCCAGATGAGCTCTTTCTCCCGCTCGAGCTTGTGGACGTGGATCAGTGGCGGTTGGCGAAGTGGCGAGCGGGCTCGGGAGGGCTGGGCGACGACGTGTGGAATAGACAAGCATGAAGGCGGGAGGATGGGAGGCGTAGAAGGGGAGGACGAGGAGGATGTCGATGTCGATGAGCATTGAAGTGCACTGGCGACGCGTATGCGCTGGCAGCGCCTGGCGTGGGAATCTCAGCCTCGGCTCATCGAGCGGACTCTGCCAGCGCGCTGTGCAGCTGTATCCTCCACTTCCACCCCTATCCTCGTCCTCGCCACCCTCCGCGCGAAGGGTGAGAGCATTCTTGAAGGTCCGCTCGCCGTATCGAAAGGTGCGTAGTACTTGTCGTCTTACTTGGTCGCATGGGACACTGACAAGGGGTGGGTGTCGACGCAATCGCGAGGGAGCTCCCGCGGCGATGCTCTGTCCTGGTGAGTCCTCCCACCCGCTTCTCCCAACCCCCGCTCCTTCCCCAGCTTTCTACGCCCTCGCTAATACCTTCCCCAGGTCAAGAGCGTTCAGCTGGACGTGTTCATCGACGACAGGGGCCACGGGGCAGCACTGGTTCCGCGCTGCCCTGCTTCTCCCATCTTTCCGTCTCCTCCTAGTCCTCCCCTGACGCCGGCCCAAGCATCCAGAACGTCCACTGCGCACCCGTGTGAGTACATTTCACGTCCATCCAGCGGGGGGGCGTGCCGACGAGGCTCACATGCACAGGATTAAGAAACACCTGTCACGACCTCGCCCGCCTTGCGCCTGCGTCTCTAGCGACGTTTGCCGCATCTCCCGCATGGCGGCTGGCCTGCATGGCCCGCCCCGCTCTTGCCAGTCTCGCCCGAGCACGTCACCCGCCCCTCGTCTGTTTCGCTCTCACCTGTCTTGTCCTACCCGCATCGCTCATTTCGCCCTTGTCCATATAGCCAGCGTAAACCATGGATCATCGTGACCTCGCCCATGTCACCCGCGTCACCACGTCGCCCGTCTTACCACTACCATCTCGCCCTTTCTGCCCACATCGCTCACCACGACTGCCTCTTCGGCGTCGCCCATCACCCACCTTGGCCGCGTCGCGCCCGCTTCTTGCGCATCGTCCACTGCCACCTCGTCCACCGTGCCCTCTTTTCCCGCGTCGCTGACCTCACCCGCCTAGTCCATCTTGCCCGTGTCGCCCTCGCGTCGCCCGTGTCGTCGGCGCTCCGCATGTACGACATGTGGAACCAGGGCCTCTGGCCCAACATCCACGTGCATGTGCGTCTCGAATCCTGCCTGCGGGCAACACGCTCATCAGGCTCGCGCAGACGCAAGCAGACACTCGCGCGAGTCCATCGGCAGCTGCCGGAGCGCACCGCCCCGCAGCAGCAGGCCGCGTGCGTGATCATATGGCGCATTACCAAGCTGCATAGGGACTCGATGACGGTGTATATAGTGTACATGTGTACTGGTAGTACTTGCGGAAATTCAGCTATTTTTCCCTCGCTCTGCAGTGTGTGAATTGCGTGCCGCTCGTCCTGAACCCGGCGCTTTGGTCTGTAAAATGACCCTATCTTAGACTTCTGCTTTTTCTCTCCCATCTGAAATCACTCACAAGATGTCTCATTTCAGATTCAAAGTGAGGGAAATTCTGGACCTCTCAAACCATCTCAAACCATCTCAAACCATCTCAAACCTCTCCACAGATGTTTTCAGAGATTTTGGGAAATACTGATGTCCGTCCTTCTCACCTCCCACTCCGTCCCCCTCCCCTTCCACCGAGTCCAGGTCCGCAGCCGCTCATGCTAGCCCCACAGTGTCTCGACTGACTCGCAGTGCTCGCACTTTGCCTGGGCGACGTCCCTGCACAAGCAGGTCGGTCTCGGCCCGGACTTCAAGGCCTCAAGCTCCTGCTCACCACCGCGGACCGCAACATGTCCATCTCACACAACTACGGCACCCTCATCGAGGACGAGGGCATCGCCCTCCGCGGGCTCTTCATCATCGACCCCAAGAGCATCCTCAGGTGCGTCCACAGTGCGGGGTCCTCCACGAAGAACGTCTCTGCAAGCACCAAGAAAACCTCCGGTTCCTCGAAGTTTGTGTGGCCGCCGGTGCCTGCAGACAGGGCCAAGCTCAGGTAGAGTCCGTTTCCTTTTTGGCATCTGTGTTCACCTTCCTTTCTAGTCCTAGGGACCAATGTGCGGTCCTGTGGTACAAGACGCATCACGGGATTCACGAAGAATTTGACGCATTTTACAAGTTAGTGAAGCACCCACAACGGACGGTAAGTGCTGGACTCATCCGTGTCACGACCTATTGACATAGTATCTGTTCTAGAGATGGCGAGACTCCGCACTCTGCAATCAAATCGTTCTGCAGCCGGAGCGGCGGTCGGAGTAGCGGGAGCAAGGACGTTACGGGGCGTCGCAGATGTGTCCTCGGTGCGTTGCCTCGTTGTTCTCGCTGATCAATCTCACACCCACTGGGACGACAGCCAGGTATAAACGTGCGGGGCGCATCTCGCTAGGGAAGACTGCATACGCAGTGGGTAAGGGCGGGTGTGGGCGAACGACTGGCACGGCGCGCGACGATGGGCGGGGCGAGGGCGGGTGGAACGGGCCGATGACCGTGGGCAGCTTCCCGTGTCCAGTACCAAGCGCGTAATTAGACGTATTCGAACATATACAGACGGATACAGACGGATTTAATACGTCTACATCTGAGCAGACGTTTCTAGACGGATTCAAAATACGTCCTCCGACCGTGCTGGACGTCTATATACGTCTAGATATGTGAGTGGCGTGGGGACGTATCTAGACGTTTGTAGACGGGAGGGACCCTCACTGGGGTTCAACCCCCGTCTCATCCGCCTGCCCTCACGTGCTGATCACATCGGCCGGACAGATCCCCATTTCACCTTCCTGTCGCTTTTCGGGCGCTCGCTCCCTGGTTGGCGTTTCCAAAATGCAGCTCGTATTTCATTATATACCATCATTACACACATCGAACCATGTCTTGATTCTATATTATACCAAGCAACTTACCACACTTGTGACCTTTACTATGTCGTCTCCGATGGAATGATGAAGAGAACCCTGCAACACTGTATGAGGATCAGCATCAATCCAACCGAAGTGTAGACGTACCAGCTGCACATCAAGCCCGGGCACGTTCAAGCTGTATACGGATCTTGAGAGGACGCACCCCACAGGCAGCGCGTGTTCAAACTTACATGGGCTCGTTGACGCGCCACTTGAAGTTGAACGTTTGAACGGCTTGTCGCGGCAGATGTTGGATGTGCTTGGGTTCAATGGTCAAATGAGCACGGAGTGGACACGAGAGGATGGACACACCGTCACTGGTCGCGTTTGATCTTCTACGGCTTGCATTCTGGCGCTAGGGTTTGCGGGCGAACATGAGGTCGTATGAGGGGTAGCATGTGCATGTTGCGGATGGGACGAGCAGTGCGGGCGATGCGTGTCAAGACACGGACGGGGCAGAGACGGGTGGATGCGTCAGCACATATCGTCTGGGGTGCATGTCGAGCCACTGTCCTGGAGGGGGATGACTGCAGGCGCGGGGGCGCGAAAGCAAGCTGCGAGACGGTTTGGTTGGGTGTATTGAAGCAGAGAGAATGTGTGGTGGAGTCGACTTACCAGACGTTTGGTCTGCGGCTGCTGTGCTCGGTGTGGTGTGGTTGATCCGCGCATTCTGGGTCTGATAAGCACAAGATTGGAAGCGCAGGTCGTCCTGAGGTCACAGGGATAACGGGTCAGCATGGAGTTTGCATAACGCATACCACGTACCATCGGGTCTGATCAGCTTCACGGTGGGGCATCTAGTGCACTGGCAAGCGTTTTTGGAAGATCACTAAATCCAGATCGTGAAGAAAAGAGGGGATCAGACGGCATTGCAGAAGAGGGGAAGAGAGACATGGTGGCGGTTGGAGGAGAAGACACGGGCGTCTGTTAGCAGTCACTTTCGCGGCGCGAAGTCCCGGGCGCCTTTGGTCTCTCGAGTCTCCAGTCCCGTCGGGAAAATACAGAGTCTGCGTCGTCCGCGTTGTGAGTAGAACTGCTATTACATGGCTATATAAAATTGGTGGAGATATCCTGAGGAGCCCTGCAGGCGATCCAGGCCTCAACCCTGTGTGCATGAAGATTTTCGGGAGTAGAATCGGGGCCCGAGCTGTTCCTGCCACTGGGCTCTCAGTGCCCCGCCGTTCATCTGGTTTCTACGGCTTTCCGACATCGGTGTGACCTTCTGGAAGCTGTCCTGCACGTAACAGACGACACCGCCCAACACATACTGTGTTACTGAGTAGCGCTCGCGTCCCCCGGCGATAGCCGCGTTGCCGTCTGTTGCCGTGCCGTAGCCCCAGGCGCCCATGGTCCTCAGGAGGAACCGCGGCGCGGCGCGGCTCTGGAGCGACTCGGGGTTTGATCTGGGTTCCACCTCTGGCTCGTCCTCAGCCCCTCCTCAGCGTTTCAGTCCAGTGTCATTATTGCCCGGACACCCGCCGGCCATCCGCAGCATCGCCGTCGTCCTATCAGCTCATTAACACTCCGTCCCAACCCATCTCCGTGATCCTCAGGCCTATTATCTTGCTGGTGGTGTACCAGCTTTCGTCCGCATTTCCTCCAGGCAGACATCCTGCATTGCCCGTCGTGAGTCCATAGCTACAACTCAGTCAGGTAAATGCTGGCCATTGAATCAATCAACTTGTGGTTCCAAGGCTGGCGCTGAACGTTCAGCTGTCAGCTGCATTTCGTCCCGGTCGAAAGGTAAACTGTCTGCACGTCTGTCTTATGCGCGATATTTTGCAGACCGAGATCGCGTGAGTCGCGAGCAGTGGGTGAGGCGGGGACGCGCGCGCGCGCGCGCTGTGCACTGTGTGAGATTGTGTGGGATAGTTGGTACACGAGTGGCACCGTTCAGTCGTGCGTCGTAAGCCATGCGTCGCGCGGGACTATGACGCGTATGCATCTCATCTGTGTGTAGTGTATCGTGTGGATCGGGGACGCGCGAGTCGCGAGCTGCGTAAGGTGGGGACTAGAGGCGCCCTTCCGGACGAAGGGTACGCTTTCTACCAGTTTTCGTCCGCATTTCCTCCAGGCAGGCATCCTGCATTAATATGTCCGTCGTGACTTTAGCCTGCAACAGCACTCGCCTTGACGAGAATGCTGCCACTGCTCGACATCCGGATTGAGTACAGTGATGCAAAGAAATCATTCGATATGCGCTACAAAACAAGCGAGCGAGAGCGTCGAGTATATGAAACTTGAGACAGTGTGACCATATCCACCTCCACATCCCTACGCTCCCCAAGATATCCGCTCCTGCACGAAGAACAGCAGCACCTGCGTCAGGTCCACCTCCTCCTTCCCGACCACCGCCGCGGTCTTGGCGACCACCGGCTTCGCGCGGTTCAGCAGCGCGACCACGTCCGCCGCCATCTCGCCCTTCATCCCCCTCCTCAGCCGCTCCGCCATCGACAGCGACGCCTTGCGCGCCCGGCTCGTGCCCGGCCCATCGTCGACCCCCATCGTCTCCTCCCCATCCTCGTCCGCCGGCGCGGCGTCGAACTCGGGCTTGGACAGCCAGAGCGCGAGCTGCGTGACGGCGTAGAGCGCCGCCGCCTCGAGGTTCCGCCGCGCCGCGGCGACGGCGTCGCGCACGTCGAGCGCCTTCTGGCCCGACGTCGCGGCGGGCGTCAGCGCCTGTGTTGGTGGGCGGTCGACGAGGAGCCGGAGGAGGTCGAGGGAGCAGTTTCCGAGTTCGATGAGCGTGCCGATGGAGGCGGCCTCGCCGAGCACGACTTTGGAGTGCTGTGGGAAGAGTCAGTGGACCATGGGGACGAAGGGGCCGGAGGAGACTCACCGGGACAATCAGTGCTTGGGACACCTGCCACTCTTCGGGCTCTCCGAGCAGGACGGTCTCCGCGCCGCTGATATCGATCAACGCAGAGAGCAGCGTGCTCGAGAGCCTGTATAGCCGGTGGACGAGCCTCGCCAGGAACGGTCTCCGCATGGGGTCCACCACCTCCGTGGTCATTGACTGCGACGCGCGGTCCGCCTCAAACGCCGTGCGTTCCTCTGCAGTGACGGGTTCGAAAACGCTGGCGAGGTGGTTGGGGTGTGTCAGCGCGTAGTTGATCTGCTGCAAGAGGAGCAGGGCGTTGACGGAGAAGTCGCGGAGGACTCGCTTCGCCGCGTCACTAGAGCTCGAAGACGCGCCCTGCGCGACCGCGGCGTACACGTTCACCACTTGCTCGATCTCCTCCAGGAGCGGAAGCGTGAGCGTGTCGTCGATGGTCCACGACAGCGCCCGATGGATCTGCTCCCCGAAGAATTGCAGCAGGCCGCAGACCTCCGACTCGAAGAATTGCGAGTGACGGCCGAGGGCGGTGGTGACGCCCGCGACGATGGCGAGCATGGAGCAGTACGCTCGGTGCGCCGGACTCTGCTCTCCTAGTAGCTCGGGGATCGCGACGTCGATCTTACCCTGCCGAGTGGCGGGGCTGATCGCGTTCTCGACGTACGCGCCGATCAGGCCTTCGCTTGCAAGGCGTTCCGCGGCCGACGTGATTCCAGCCATCGCCATATGGAACGTGAGGACGTGTGGGGTGTACAGAGGTGCCTTCCTGGTCCGGAGGAGAGCGACGTCAGAGAGGCCCACGAGGTCCATGTGGCTGAAGAGTTGGAGGCTTGCGCGGACGACGTCCGTTTCCTGACATCGAGCAAGCCAGAGCGTCGCTGAGGGGTTGAGGTCGGGGCGCGTGCACTGCTCGAAGACGGCGACTAAAAGCTCCATGTCCTGCTCGACATCCTGGTCGAGTGAGAAACGCGCCCTGTCGAAGGTGATCCGGAGGCTGTCGATGACATAGACGAGGCTTGTTTCCAGCATCGCCGAGATCGCAAGACGCTGTTCCGCGTGTAGAACCTTTGTTCGTCTCGCGAGACTTCTACTATGCCGCGCGCAGTAGTAGAGCGCTTGCAGGATGGGTCGATGGAATGGTATGGACAGCTGTCCCAGAATGGATTTTGCAGGCGACTGGGCGGTGTTGAGGACGACGCCTCGAACATTTTTGACAAGCGAGATGAACTGCTCGACCTCCGCCTTGGAATCCGACGTCGAGAACCAGGCGACCTCCAGGACAGAAAGTAATAAAGATAGGCGGACCGAATGGATCGTGGTCATCATCTCCCCGGATCGTCTTTCTGATGCGAGACTCCCCGAAAGCATCTCCGCCTGTGCCAACAGGTGCGGCCGAACGGCGGAATCCCCGCGGAGGTATGGGATGACCTGGAGCAGAAGGTACTGCCACGCCTCTGCGAGCGACGTCTGGACATGAGCGAGCGACATGTTCAAGTTGATGTCCTGCAGTCGACGGTATATCCGGTTGACGAGTTGCTCGTCTTCTGAGGGTGTTAGACGGATACGGGCCAGTTCCATGGTGAACGCGAAGTCGTCTCCGTACTCGCGCTCCACGATGGGGTCTTGTGCTTGGAGATGGTCGAGAGAAAGGGTAGGGAAGTACTCCTTCAGGTTCTCCACGAGTTCGTCATACAGCTCTGGGCTGTATGCGCTTGCTGCAGCTTCGGGGATGCCCTCTTGGATGAAATCTTCCGACCGAAGCGCGTCCGCTATGGATTTGTAGCTCGCCGGCTGCGGGGGTTTCACCGCCTTATCATCCAATGACTGGATGTGCAAGCGAATGTCTGTCGCGAGGATATGCGCCGCGCGTGCCTTCACTGCGCTGCGGTACGAGTAGTCGGACACCGCGACGTGGTGGTCCGAATGCAGGACACCGTCAACCTCCACGAGGACCTCCGTGTTGTAGTCCGGCACGGCCTCGAGCTCCTTCTTGAAGATCTCCCCGAGCGGGCTGAAGAAGTCCGGGTCCTTGCGGAGCGAATCCAGGACGGCACTGTGCTCGTGTGCGTGCTCCCAGACGACGTCCAGGAAACGCAAGAGGTGGGCGAGCAGCTTCGGGTTGCTTTCCCATAGGCCCTCCCACTCAGGGAGCACGTCGCAGACGAGGTTCAGCGCGCTTGGGGGCTTCGCGGGGCCTCCAGAGTCTCCCGCCTTCTCCTTGCCCTTGACGCTGGGCATGCGCAACTGGCCGGTGACGAAGAGGCGGGCGAGCGCGGGCTCCTTGTCGACCGCGATGGTGATGAAGTTCCAGATGGCGTAGCGCAAGTCGGCCTGCTCGTATGGGTGTTCGACGATCCGGACCATGTTCGCGACGGTTGCCTCCGGGTTGGTGAGGTGGCCAATGATGGACGCCGCCGAACCCTCCGCGCTGGAGAGCGACGAGCACAGCGCGAACAAGACCTGCATGGCTGCGAGCGGGACGACGTTCCCCATGCCCCTTTCCTTGATGTAGCCGGCCAGTGCGTCGACCGGGTTCGCCTTTGCTTGACCGCCCTCGAACGAAAGGTTGCTTCCCACCCGGCTGCAAAGAGCCTGCTCCAGGAGACACACTTTAGTCGCCTCGGGTGATTTCTGCTTGTAGGTGAGGAGGACCCGGGTGAGTGCAAGGTTGGCTTCCAGGAGATAGACGAGGCGCATTGCATCGCCGTGCCGGCGGGAGTTGGCAAGGGAGATGAAAACGGCGCTTCCTCCAGCCATAGAGGCAACGAGAGGGGTGACTGTCGAAGTCGTGGCTCGGAAGAGAAGGGCGTCTGCAATTGCCTGGCTGAGCTTCGCGAAAGGGGCGTCCTTGACAGCAGGGGACGCGTGCTTGAACACGTTCAGGTAGAACGTGGCAACTTTCCTCCCAATCTCGAACCGATCCCCCAGCTGCGCGTACTTCCAGCCCATGTGCTCCACCCAGATCCCTGAATGCACAAAGCGCGCCGCGCGCATCAAGACCTCCTCCTTGACCTGCTGTAGCTTCGGGTTTTGGTGGGTGACGAGGAGGACGTTCTCGGAGGCTTCAGCGAAAAGGGACTCCACCAGCTGGAGGAGAGCAAGGGTCATGGTGTAGTTGCCTGTGAGCCGCTCCGTTGCGAGGACAGAAGAAGTCACGCCCGACGTACGCTCCGACCCGAAGAGAGAAGCGGTAGAACGGATGTAGAGCCAGACACGGTTGGAGTAGCCTGGAACAGCGAGCAAGGCGGTGAGGACGCTCATCGCAGATGTGATGAGCTGTTTGCGGGGGGCGGTCTTGTGAACACCGGCCGAACGCGTTAGGGCGTCCTCGAGAATCATCGTCGTGAGCTGCACGAGGTCCGGAGGTTGCGACTCCGTCATCGTATGGGAGACAACCGGATCACCGCTTTCCATCGCCTGCAGCAGGGCCCTGGCAAGGTCGGGAGTGTCTTTGACGACACTGCGGATGAGGTCGAGCGCGTCGACGATGAGATCTTCGTCTCCATCTTTGTCTATCTCCACCCCAGCTTCTTCCAGTTTGATGGCGAGGGGCTGGTTGACGTTGCGACCGCTGAAGGAGACGTCATGATGGGAGACTCCTGTCGAGTGCATGCGGCGGCGGTTGACGTAGTCGGTCAAGAACTCCAGAACGACCTTCCAACCCGAGTGGCTATGCCTCCAAGCCACAACAATGACATCACCGCCATCCGAGCTGAGCAGCTGACCCATAGTCTTCGCAGGGAGAATCGACCCTCCAGGAAGTTTGATTGGCCGTAAGTTCTGATATGAAGGACCTGGGGTGGCTGACGACGATCCGTATCTGTCAGGCAGCCTCTCGTAGAGCGCATGTGAACCGCCGCAGCTGCTGGTATGGATGATCTGGGTGAACGTTGGAAGGTTGTCGAAGTAGTTGAAGACGTATTCCGCGCATTTCCCCCGATCTTCCATGAGCTGAAGGGTCGGAGCGGTGTGACTGATGGTGGCGAGAGGATCGGTGTCGAGGAACCCAATGCCAGAAAGAGACCGTAGGAGGCGGAGTAAGGGCCGGACTTGGACCGGGAATCGGGCGCGGGCCACGTCTACGATGGCGCGGCGGCTACTGTTCTCGCAGTCTTGCAACCAGAACTGACGACAAATGCCAACTACGGACTGCGGTTCGCTGCGCCCGAAAAGAGAGACCCACGCCTCGAGAAGTCCATCAAAGTCGGGGATCAACTCGACCGGTATCATGTCGACGATGGAGATGAGCAGTCCTGCTCCCAGCGTAAGCTATTCGCCCCGTGTATGCGCATAGAAGCTTGCTCACCTTTCAGCACAGAACGATAGGCAACAGCATTGGGGTCGGAGACAGTAGAGCCCGTTCGCCAGGCGACAGAGGTTACGAAAAGTGGGGATGATGTGAGAAGGGTAAGGAGAAGCCTAAAGAGACCCGCGTCGGCGCTGAGACCGACGTTCGCCATGAGATTGCATGCTTGCTGGGGATCCTTTGTGTGCATGCCGGAGCCTTCGGGTATAAGTGAGTCGAAGAACGTCCGATACGACTCTGGAAGCTCCTTGAGGCTGAGCGCAACCTTCGAGATTCGCGACAAGATGCACGTCCACGCGATGTACGTGCACGCGAAGTTGCTGTTCCCCTGTGCGATGACTATCTGGTGGATCTGCTTGAGGTACTCCGGCGAGCTCCAGTAAATGTCCTTGTCCTTCGGATTCGCCGCCACTTCGATCGCGCCTGGTTCCCCCGCGCGCTCCAGCTCGAGGATTTCGATGGTGATAAGAATCCACATTGCCGCATTGTCCTGTAGAACTTGGGCGCTCTCTTCGTCGAGCAAGAGAGTGGAGTTGTGTTGTTGCGAGCCGAGGTGTGTCGCGTACGCGGTCGCGAATATGCGCGACACGAGCTGGCCAGCACAGGGTGCGTGCGCCCACATCGTCCAGAAGAGCACCTCGAGCAACACAAGCTGCTCCTTCGCGTTTTGCTTCGCCCACGCCGCCGCCTGGCGCGGATCGTCGCGCGCGTTTGGGTGCACGTCCGCCGATGCTTTAGTGGCGTACTCGGTGAGGAGGGCCGTGGCGAAGGCGGGGCCGTCGGGTACCAGCTTCGGAATGGCGGCGTCGGCGACACCGTACATCTTCTCCGTTGTGTGTTGGAATGCGCGGAACAGGGGGATGTAACAGCGGAGGAGGTAGAGGCGTTCGGAGTAGTAGAAGGGAGTCAGGGCCTCCACGAGCTCCGCGACGACGGAGCCTTCCGACTTGAGCCCGGCGGGGAGGCCTTCGTTGAAGAAAAAGGAGCGCAGAAGAATGAGAGCGTGCACCTGGTCGATGTTGAACTTGCTGCTCAACCCGAAGACATACTCCTTCTCCTCCTTCTCCACATTCAGCACCACGCCATCCTCGAGTGTGACTTTGCCGGATTCGACCTTCTTTCTCGACGCGTCGGAGGGCTCTCCAAAAGGGTTTTGAATGTTTTTGAGCTGCTGAATGCGCGGTTTGACGAACTCTACGAGTTGTTCAACGGAGTTGCCTTCCAGGTGTCCGTTCAGGAAAGAATACAGTGCCTGATATGTTCTGAGTTGATTGAGTGAGTAGACCCTTCGGCACAGAGAAAGCATGAAGACGTACACATCAATGAGATTCGAGCGTTTTGGAGGGTCAGAGGACATGGTGGCCGTCGAAGACAACCAGAAGCGCGACGAGCTACGCGCCTTGTTCGCGGAGCGCGTCGCGCCTGCAAGCGCCTGCCACTCTTTGCCACCAACACCCACCTCACCATGTCCCAAGCTATCGGCAACGTCTGTTTTCCTTCACTCTTCTGCGGAAAAGTGCTCATACAGACTTCTCTTCTAGACCGCGCTGGCGTATGCTCGGGTCTGGCACCATGTCGACGCCTCTGACCGTGTTCTCGGCAAGCTTGCTGAGCGCATAGCTATTGTGCTCATGGGCAAACACAAACCTATTTACGACCCCGCGGGTACGTGTCGCGCTCATGAGATGATAAGTTCGAACAATCTGACGCGTCCTGCAGTGGACTGCGGTGACTACGTCGTGGTGACAAACGCACGGAAGATCCACGTCTCCGGCAAGAAAGCGGAGCAGCTGGTCTACAGAAAACACACCATGTATCCGGGAGGGCTGAAGGAGATTCCGTACGCGCGGATGATGGAGAGAAAACCCGACCAGGTGCGTCTGTTCCGCTCTATTGCTCCGCGTATATTCTCAGTGCTGCCCAGATCATTCGGGAGGCCGTCTCCGGTATGCTGCCTAAAAACAAGCTGCGCGACCGCCGACTGGAACGGCTACGCATCTTCCCCGACGGAGACATGGGAACCTTCGAGCATAATATCTTGAAGCGGTGGGAGGACGGGACGTTGCCCGCACGGTCACAGCCTGCGGAGCCCACGTCGCAGCCCTAGGTTATCTCCAGCCGGTTCGTACATATAATACACCCCGTAATGCTTTGCCGTGGATTATACGAGCAGACATGAGCACTCGTCATTATTCACTGTCTGATCCGCCACTACTAGAATCTCCCCCATCCTTGAGAGCGGGAGAATGACCTCTGTTCCCATCAGCGGTGTGAAATTGTTCATCATCCGTGGACTGAAGCTCATTCTCTCCATCCTCGGCGCTCTCCTCCGTGTGGTCCGTATCATGTCTTCTTCCCCGCCCCGTCTCTCTTTCCCTCTGCTTCTGTCGCTGAAACTTGGCATCCATTTCCGCCCATCCTTTCACCCGTCGAGGCTCAAGCTGCTCAGCGATGTGCTCTTGAAACAGCATGCCTGCACCGGGTTTATACAGGGAAATTCATGCCGAAGAAAACACTCACCCAGAGCCATCAGAGCCGAGCCATCGAAGAGCTTGTACATGTCCTTGTCCATTACCCCAATGGACCTGGTCCTACTTCGTTTCTTGCGATGCTCTGTGGTCTGAGCCTCTTCTCCGTCTTCATCTCCGTCTTCCGCTTCGGACGCAAAATCTTCTTCTTCATCTCCGTCTTCACCAGACTTCGGTTCAGCTGTATTAGCCGCTTCCGAAGGAGCGCGACTAGATGGTGCCGAAGTGGACTGTTTCCTCAACTTCTCTGCCCGACGACGTCTCCGCTCGATCCTGTAATCTCGGGTAACGTTTCGCAGCTGTCCCAAGTTGGTGTAGTACGAGCTCGCAAAGTAGTGCAGACATTTGAGTAGTTCCTAATAGGATCATGCTCGACATATGTACGACTGCGAGGGGCGGCGACGAACTCACCGACGAAGGGACCGGCATCGCATCTGCGGTCGATGTGATCTGCAATGGACGTCCACGAATATCGTGATGATCATTCAAAAAGTCAAGGTCGTCGTTGAACCGACGTCTCTTGAGTGCCCTTGCGTCACGGAGTCCCTGCGGTCCCTCGTCCTCTTCATCGGAATCTGACCTCTGTCGTCCCTTCCCCTTGTCTAGATGGAACGCTGAGATCTCCTCGGAGCCTGAATTGTCGTCAAGATCGTCTCCATTCACCAACTTAGACTGAGATGCGCTGCGATGTTGCTTGACGGCACCCGTGCCTCCAGCATCGCGGGCTATCCAGTTCTGGCGGGAATCTCGGACGACGTAATGAGCCTGGCGTAGCGTGCGATTGTTGTCCACATTCTGTACGCGGGAGCTGTCGGGATGGACGCGGAGAGCGGCAAGGTCATGTACCGTCGTTCGACGGCGAGTGTGCATTTGCTGTGGGAGGTGGGAGCAGTTCTCAGGGAGCGGAGGAAAGACAATGGCTGTGGAGGCTAACCGGCGAGCCGGGCCCGGAATGTGGGACGATGTTGGTTCGCGTGATCTGAACCAAGCTCTGTAACTAAGTGAACCAAGAGATCGGCGCCCCCTAACTGACGCTCCTCGATTCGTGGCCCTCGGTGCCTTGCTGACTTCTTCACCCACCTTCGCACTTCTTCTCTCGCCCCGCTCTCGTTGCTGCTCTCTCCCTCCTCTGCTTTCTTGCTGCTGTTGCTCTCGATAGTACGCCCTCGTCGGGCGGTCAACGCATCTCAAGATGGCCATGTTCGTTTACGGGCTCCACGACTTCAGCCCCGAAAACCCGGACGAGGTTTCCTTCAAAGTCGGAGACCAAATTGAGGTCATTGAGCGGGATGACCTGTACGGTGATGGCTGGTGGAAGGTGAGCTTTTCTTACACATTCATCTATCACTTCGTAAAGAGCCGTCTACCCGCCCTATCCATGGCTCAAGCCAAGAATGCCCCACTTTCATTGCTTTATCCTTGCTGCTCCTCCGACCGGCTACGGATGAAAAGTTCATAGTGCATAGTGTCTGTCGTCGCCTCCGTGTGTGCATCATCGGCATATATCCACTATGCATTACGAACTTTTCATCTGTTTATCTCCACCGACTCCCTGCGGGCGGAGTTTGGTCGCCCGTCCGCTGCTTTTCCGTAAGACATCCCTACGACCTTTCTGTTGTTAAAGACGCAGACGCGCAGCCTTGAGAAATGCAACGTGGTACTTCGCGCCTGCGTTGTTGTCCGAGACCTCGCGGCCGATGACGTTGAAGTGGATGGCATGATGTGAACATAAGACGGTTATCGTGCGGAACATGCACCATAGTCATACGTGCTCTCTTCATGTATGGAACATGAGGACGGATGAGCTTCGTAGGATGTATTTCTGAGGTCATCCCATAGCCTTTTATTCATTCACTTTCCTTTGAATATGATCTCCTGCTAATGTTACTTCCTACCGACAGGGTCGCAACCCTCAAGGTGAAGAAGGATTGTTTCCACAAAGCTACACCTCTCTCTCCCCTCCCGTGTCGTCCTCTGTAGCTTTTCCGGACAACGGCGACGATCCTTCTCTGGCCGACGGTGCTTCCGCCGGCAACCTGGGCATGCTCAAGGAGGTCTCAGAAACCACGTCAAGACAAAGCCCCACCCCCAGTGAACGTGAACGCAAGCTCAGCCAGGGCGACGTCATGATGCGCGCAACCATGACCGATGTCCAGAAAGCTATTGAACAACTCGGGCGCAACGATCGTGATGGTGCGCGCTCCTTCAGCTTCCGCAGCTCGCACGGAGATTACAGCGAGCGCTCGGAGACGGAAACGGAGGACGAGGGCGACGCGGACGAAGAGGACGACGTGGGTTGGCACAAGGACGCACGCGCGAAGCTTGCACAGCGCGCGCAGAGGGAGAACGAGCAACGTCAGGCGCGCGAGGCCAAGGAGGCACCGCATCCCATGATACCCCCCATCGACGTTGAAGTCAGCGACGAAAGCGATGGTGACGAGGACTCTCCTCTGAACTCACACAGGCAACATCGCTATTCCCGTATTCCTGAAGAGGACGAAGAGTCGGAGGCGAGCCCGACGAAGAACGGCCACAGCCACGGATACTCTCGCGTTCCGGCGGAGGACGAAAAATCCGACGTCAATCCTGTGAAGACCGTTCATCCAAATTCTGCACCGACGCCGTCCTCCAGCGACAGCATCATTCCATCGGCGAAGTATATCGTTCCAGATGAGTCGGACTTGCCTACGGCCACTCGGCTTACCTTCCCGGACACACCTCCCTCTCCTGCCGACACTTCGCCTGCTGTCGAGATACCCCCTGTCGAGATTACCGGACCCACTCCCGCAGAGGCCCCGGCTACCAGCCAAGCCCCCGCTATTCAGACCATCTCCCCCGCCGTGGCCGCCATCTCCGAGCTTGAATCCACAAGAGAGCCTCCTACAGCGCCGCCTCCCATCGTCACGTCATCGTTGTCTGTCCATCCTGTTCCTCCTAGTGCCAGTCCAGCCACCGAGTCCGTCAGGTCCATTTTGACAGAGAGCCCAGGTCAAATAACGCCTGCAGCGGCGCCCACACCAAGCGCCACCCAGCCGGTCGAGCCCTTACCCATTGCTGCCCTGGTGTCTGTCCTTCCCTCTCCAACCACCTCTTCCCCAGGTTCCGCTGCGGCGAGTAGCACGTCAGGTATTCAACAAGCACTCAGTCCCGACACTACCGTTGGCTCCATGAAAGCCAGCGCCACACCATCCGAGACCGCCACGGAAGCTTCAAAGGGTCCCCAGGGACATCCTTCCGAGTGGGATGTGCACGAGGTCGTGGAGTGGCTGAAGTCGAAGGGCTTCGACCAGGGTGTATGCGACCAATTCACTGGTAAGCTCGCATGAGTCGACTATACCGACTAGGCTGACGTCGTGTGCAGAGCAGGAAATCACTGGCGACGTGCTCCTCGAACTCGACGCCAACGTCCTGAAGTCTGAGATTGGCATTGTAGCATATGGCAAGCGCGCCCGCATTGAAAAGGCCATCAACGAACTCCGTCGCCCGCCCTCCGTCAACGAAGTCGAGCCGGTGCAGAGCATGCCTACGCCACGTTCGCTCACCTACTCGTTCAACTATCCCGGTTCACACCACTCTCAGCCGTCGCACTCACAAACGCACTCCGTGCAAAGCTCCGCGCACCACAGCTTCTCCTCGCCCATGTTCGGCCCGTCGTCGCCATCCGCGAACGGGCTCCCGTCGGCCGGTCTCGCGTCGGTCACGAGTGCCGACAGCGCACCTCTCTCCGCCGAGCTCTCAGGGTCTCGGAGCGGGTGGCGGGCATCCGATCCCGGGTCCATCCACAACGGCGTCAGTGGCCCTGATGACTACGCTCGCGGACGCGGCTTGGGTCTCGGTCTAGGATTGCCAAGCGGCAAGGCTCCGGTGCGTCAGGCGATGGTCTTGATAATGCGCCCGCGCTAGCGACTCACTTCGGACTGTTCCAGAAGTCACGCCCTCCGCAGCTCGCGCTCTCGCCGTCCGATGGTGCCCTGGGTGAGACGGCCGCAACTGCGGTGAACGGGGGCCCCGCGTCCCCCGCGGTGGCGCAGGACGAGCGTGCCGTGATGAGCGAGGTGCGTGTCCCCTAGATTTTACGCTATTGGCGTATCATCTGATGTTATGCAACCGCGATTGCAGTCGGAGAGCGTGAGGACGAAGGACACAAAGTCGCAGAAACGCCGTCTGTTCGGGCGGTCCGCGGACTCGACATCCACGTCGCTCAAGGAGAAAGAGAAGGACACGGCGAGCAACCACTCGAGCGGCACCCCGGTCACGCCGTCCCCGTCGGCGTCACCGCACGACGAGCAGAACCCCGTCCGGCGTCGGAGCAAGGGCAAGAGCGTGGACGACCGCAAGGGCGACCGGCTGTCGCTCTTTGGATCCTCCTTCTCGGGAACGCTGGGCAAGTCCAACCGGAAGCCCGCGCCCAGGTTGTCATCGTGAGTCCAGAGCGCGGCCAGCATCCCGCGTTACGTTCGGTTTACTAACGCGGTGCGGCGACAGCGTCGACACGGAGAAGCACACGATGGGCACGTTCTCGCGCCTGCGCGAGAAGCGGTCGTCCTCTCGTCCGGGCACATCGGACGGGACGTTCAAGCCCGAGAAGAGCAAGTCGAAGACGAAGGAGAAGGAGAAAGAGAAGGAAGAGCTGACGGAGAAGCAGCCTCGTGACCGCTCTGTGTCGCTCTCGCCGTCCAAGGAGCGCGACCCAGCGCTGTTGCGCAAACGCACCGCTTCGTCGTCGAACATCGCTTCGCAGGCGAATCTCTCTGCCAGCGCTGTCGCCATGGGCGTGGCGGGTCCCACCCTCAAGGCCGGTCAGAGCATCCTTGAACAGATTGGAGAACCCGATCATAATGGATGGATGCGTAAGAAGAGCGAGCGGTATAACTCGTGGAAGCTCCGCTACTTCGTGCTCAAGGGCTCGCACCTCTATTGGCTGCGAAGCAACAACCGATCGGTGCGTGCCATGCCTTCCTGACGTGGTGGCGCGGTGTGCTGATTTCGACGGGTTGGGCTGTGCAGGAAACGAAGATCAAGGGCTACCTGAACATCGTGGGCTACAAGGTGCTCGCAGATGAGAACGTCGACCCTGGCCGGTACGGGTTCCGGATCGTGCACGACACGGAGAAGGCGCACCTGTTCAGCTCGGACGAGCAGCTCATCGTGCGCGAGTGGATGAAGGCGCTCATGAAGGCGACCATCACACGCGACTTCACGAGTATGTGGCTTGCCTCGTTCCGCCGTGCTTCGCTGACCACAGTCGCCTGATTCGTGCCGTGGCGCTATAGACCCCGTCATGTCCTCGTGCAATATTCCCACCATCCCCCTGACCGTGGCGCAGGCGATGAACCCGGCGCCCCGGCCGCCTTCGCCCACCGCGCGCGACGCCACCCAGAAGGCACTGCGGCGAGAGAACCCTCATCAGCTGTCGAGTCGAGATGCGCAGGTGCTGCTGATGGGGATGCCGAGCAAGAACCAGAACGGCGGGGAGCGCGCCCGCCTCGAGTCGTTCTTCACGAACGACACCGCGTCGACGAACGAGCCTGGGTCGCCGGTGACGTCGAGGGCTGGCCCGAAAGCCTCCGCGCCGCCGCGGCCGTCGAGGGAGCTGCGGCGTCTGAGCACGCAGACGACGCAAGGCCCCGGAGATTATGTACGCTCTTGACCTCTGCCCGCGTCCGCATACATCTGAACGCCGCTTCTTCTGCCTTTCTCCGGGCGGCGCCCCGCGCCCTCCGCAACGACGAACTCTGATGGCGCGCGCCGCAGGCGGCCGTGGACGGGTCCCTGATCGAGTGGGCGAACAGCCACCTGCCGGCGAGCCTCAAGATCGTGGACACGGCGGGGGCGCTCTGCGGCGGCCTGGCGCTGCTGCGGCTCGCGGAGGACATCCGGGGGAAGCCGTCGTCGCCGCCGGTGCCGGACGCGGCCTTCCCGTCCGGGGCGCACGACGACCGGCTGGACGGCCTCTTCCGGCTGTTCGACTACCTGCTCGACAACGACGTGAAGATGGGCTCGGTGAGCATCAACGACATCCGGCAGGGCAAGCGCGACAAGATCGTGCAGCTGCTCCGCGCGCTCAAGGCGTGGGAGGACCGGCGGACGGCGATCGCGAACTCGCTCGGGAAGGGCGCCGTCGCCGCGGGCCCGTTCATGGGCATGAGCGGCAGCCTGGACATGTACCGGCCGTCGTTGTGAGGGTGAGGGGGGGGGGGCTCTTTCTTTCGGACCGTCTGCAGCTGCTCCATCTATTCTATTCTATTCGCGTCTCGCTCGCATCACACTCGCTATCGACACACCATGTACACAGGTTCGGACCGCGCTCGTGGGACTGCTCCCGTCTCCGTCGTACACACTCCTTGGTTACATCTCATCTTCTCTCTCTCTCTCTCTCGTTTAGGGTGCCTCCGCACACGGCTAATCGCTTTTGCACCGACGTCAGCAGTCGTCGCCGAATCCATCCTGTCCATCTGCGTATTTTTTGACCGAGCAAGAGGTGGTCCGGATCTGATGAATCCACTGGCGCAAGCGACACGCAGAGACGTGCATCTGAATTCTGGTCACTTCCCGCGGCGGCTCCTCTATTGCGAGGCTTTTGCATACTGTACACACGCACAGCGCTGACAAACGTGTCTGAGCCAACGTACAAACTTGCGCGCGCGACTCCCCGACCACATTCCCGCGCACTACCACCTCTTCCTATTCAGCCTTTTTAAAACCTCACGACGATCTCCTGTCCACCGAAGGGAGGGGGCGCGTCGACGCGTCACGGGCGCGACCCGAGCGCATACACGTCCCTCCTCGACCTCGTCCAGCACTCCCGCGCCGCCTCGACGCACCGCCGCAGCACGTCCTCCTGGTCATCACCCGCCGCACCGAGCCCGAGCCCGAGCCCTCGCTGCGTCGCGGCCACGAGCGCGCCGCGGTCGTCGACGACGACGGTGAGCGTCGTGTCGAGCAGGGGCTCCTCGAACGCCGTCGGGTCCGCGAGCGTGTGTGTCCTGTCGGATCGTTCAATCGTTCAAAGGAGGGAGGGTGAGCGGCAAAAAGGGGGCGGGGGAGAGAAGAGCACGCACCCGTCCGTCACGCCAAACGAGAACGAGGTCGGGAGCCGGCCGAGCTGGAGCGGCACGCGTTCTTTGCGGGAGCACCGCGTCCGGCGCAGGTCCTCGTCGTAGACCGCCTTCGGGAGGCGCACTGCGGGGCCGTCAGACGTCAGACACGCGTGCATGCACAGAGAGAGATAGAGAGAGAGGAGAGGGGGAACGCTCACCGTTCTTGAGCGCGGCGACCATGGCGAGCAGCGCGGCGTCGAACGCGTTCCCGTCGTAGTTGATGCACGTCGCGTCGACGTAGAGCACCCACGCCGCGCGCCCGGGCGCGATGCAGAGCGACGCGGGGGGCACGACGCCCGACCTGTTTCCGTCGCCGCAGCGTCAACACGGGTCACGCATGTGCACGGGAGAGAGAGAGGAAGAAGAGAGGTGGGTACTCACGCGACGAGCACCTCGTTCAGCCGGTCCGACAGCACCTGCGCCTCGTCCGTCGGCGGCCCGGGCTTGAACCGCGGCGAGCAGATCGCGGGCAGGTCGAGGTTCGGCACTGTGCGGCGCACGCGGCGCGGGAGGAGGGAGGAGGGGGGCGCGTCGGAGGGGGCGAAGGAGAAAAAGACGAGACGAGACGAGAGGGCACGCACCGAGGAAGCCCTCGCCGGGGCGGTCGAGCTCGGGCTCCGCGATCTCCGCCTTCACGCCGCAGACGACGGTGGTCGCGCCGAGGCGGACGAGCGCGGAGCCGTCTGCGGTCGAGATCGAGCCTGTGCGCCGCGGCGGAGGTGGGGCGTGCGTCAGCGGCCGTTGGGAGCGGGCGTGCGTGCGGGTGTGTGGGCGGGGAGGGGGGGCGTGGGGGCGCATGGGGTGCAGATGCACGGGCCCAGCGTCGTTCTCCGGCGAGAGCGCGAGCGGGAGAAGGTCGCGTGCACGACGGACGCTCCGGGCACCCACCACCGCCGGAGCCCCCGTGTTGCGATCGCCCGTTCGTTCATCGATCCCCCCCCCCCCCCCCACCGGCACGCACGAAAGATGAGCAGAGCGAGCACGCACCGACGTGGACGGAGAGGTCGCGCCAGTCGTCGAGCTCGCGGCCGTCAGGGCGGACGCCCTCGGCGAGGAAGCGGGCGAGGTAGGTTCTGGGGTGCAGCCGCTGGAAGGTGAGGGCCTTGAGCGTGTCGGCCTCGGTACTGGGCGGGAGTGCAGAAGCAGAAGACGAGGCGAGGGCGGCCATGGTTCTGGGGGACGACGGTCGGGGGCAATCCGCAGCGGGGGAGAGAATCGAGGGAAGTCATGCCGGGTTTGGCGCTGGCGGACGCGTCGGGGTTAGGCGCCCGTTGCGCACGCGAGCGAGGACGGGAGCGAGGGGAGCGGGCAGCGGGGGTTACGGGCGCAAAGCCCGCGGCGCATCGCGCATCGCGCCCTGGGCACGTCGTCGGCCGGGGCGGCGGCGGTCCCGCGTCGCGTGCGCGGGCCATTAGGCGACGAGATTGAGGTGAGATAAATTGCGCCGCGAAGACAGATGCGCCCCCGCTGCAATCTATCCTCAACCAGTTGTGGGTCCCACCCCGCCGCGCGCCCGACCCGCCCGCTCGGGGTTCGCCCCCGCCCGCGTCCTGCGCGTCCTGCCCCGCGCGATCCGTCGTGTATTCATCGTTGTCGCCGGATTAAGTCGTACATGTATCTCGCTTTCCAAACTTCTCCACCCTCGTCCCTCCCGCCGCCGCCGCCAGCCCGCCCGTCTCGTCCCAAACCACCTTCGCCGTCCAGATCCCCTCCCTCTGCTTTTGCCGCGCTACGCGCCGACGATCCCCTTCAGCACCGCGTACTCCGCGTTGATGATGCTGCTCGTCGCCGCCCCGATCGCGACGTTGTTCGCGAGCACGACGAACTTCACGTCCAGCACCCGGCACTGCCGCACCCGCCCGACGCTCACCCCCGCCCCGGCCTGGTAGTCGCGGTCGAGCCGCGGCTGCGGCCGGTCCGGCTCCTCGTGCACGAACACCGTGTGCCGCGGCGCGGACGGGCAGCCGATCGCGTACGCCTCGGACGTGTACGCCTGGAGCGCCTCCCGCACCTGCTGCGGGCTCGGCGGCGGCCGGCGCGCGAACCGCACCGCGACGCACTCCGTGTGGCCCTCCACCACCGGCACGCGCGTGCACGACGCCGACACCCGCAGCGGCGTCCCCGCGTGCATGTCGAACGCCGTCCGCCCGTCGTCGCCCTCCGCGAGCCCGCCGAGGATCTTGAGCGTCTCCCACTCGATCTTCTCCTCCTCCCCCGCGATGTACGGCACCACGTTGTCGATGATGTCCAGCGACGGCACCCCGGGGTACCCCGCGCCGGAGATCGCCTGCAGCGTCGTCACCATGCAGCTCTCGATCGGCCCGAACGCGCGCTCGAGCGCTGCGAGCGGGATCACGACCGCCGTCGTCGAGCAGTTCGCGTTCGTGACGATGAACCCCTTCGAGAGCGGCGGGTCGTGCAGGCGCTGCTGCTGCGGGAGCACCGCGAAGTGGGCGGTGTTGACGAGCGGCACGATGAGCGGCACGAGCGGGTCCCGCCGGTAGTTCTTCGCGTTCGAGAAGACGGCGAGCTCGGCGAGCCGGAACCGCTGCTCTGAGCACGCCCGGTATATGAGCGATGCGGCGCAGGGAGGGGGAGGGGGAGGGGGGCGCAGGGGGGCCGCGGGAGGAGGAAGACACGCACCTATCTCGCCGGCGACGTCCGCGTCGAGGCCGGAGAAGACGACGGCGCAGTCCTTGAAGTGCTCCGGATCGCACTCGTGCACGACGAGCTCGCGGGCGGCGGCGGGGATGGGCCGGGTCTGCTTCCAGGCGACGGCTTTTGCGTACGGCTTGCCCGCCGATCTGGCGGATGCGCCGAGGGCGTGGAGGGTGAAGAAGGGATGCTCGGCGAGGAGGGCGATGAATCGCTGGCCGACGGTGCCGGTCGCACCCAGCACGCCGACGTTGTACTGCCGCGATTGGTTCATGGCGGACTGGGGGCGCCAGGCGAGCGGAGGACGGAGGGCGGGAGACGAAAAACGAGGAGGAGCAGGACGGCGACCGCGCGGCGGGGCATCCGCGCCTGCAAAAGCGGTCGTCCGACCCGCGCCCCTGCGTTCCGTCACGATGTCACGCTGTCACGCACACGTACGCTGGCACGCCCCGCCGCCGTCGACGTCGTGCTTGCCTCGACGTCACTCTCCTCTTCCTCCTCCTCTGACCATGTCGGCCCCCAACGCGAGCCCCGAGGCGGCGGCGCAGCTGCTCTTCCCGCCCAACGTGCAATACAACCACGCGCGGCTGTACAACATCAAGTTCCTCTCCTCCTGCTTCGCCGGCGCGGTCGCGGGCGTGCTCGGCTTCACGAACGCGTCCGGCTTCGCGCTCTTCGCGGCCTCGACCGCGCTCACCGCCGCCTGCCTGTACGTCAAGTGCCGCGGCCGGCCGGCCAAGTGCGTGCCCGGGGGCGTGCTGGAGCTCGTGAGCCCGGGGCAGGAGAACATGTTTTCGTTCGTGCTCGTCTGGACGCTCTTCTACGGTGCGTGCTTGTGCCGTGTGTGGGCGCTGGGTGCTGACGGCGGACGCAGGGATCGTGCACGGTGAGTGGAAGCGCGGATGGTGGCTGGGAGCGCGGGCCGACGGATCTGTTCGCAGTGTACGACTAGTCGCGAGGGCGCGGGGGAAGGGGCGGGGGCTGGGGCGGGGAGCGCGAGATCTGATCTGGTGTAGAGTCGCCATGGAGGCCGGAATCGGAATCGGATGACGGGCGTGCACCTTCGCGGTCCGAGTCTTGTCCGCCGTGCTCGCCGGGGCCCGCAGCGGCGATCGATAACGCGCTGAGTCCGATCGATGTCGCGTGGCAGCGGGGGGCCTCGTGGCGGGCACGTGGCGGGCCTCTGTGGGCGTGGCTGGCGTGCCGGCGGATCGTCCAAGGGCCCGGCTGCGCGCCTTCCTTCCCTCCGTCCTCCATTCAACTATGTCTCCCTCCAAACCCCCGCCCCCATCTTATCGCCCGCCCGCCCCACGACATGTCCTCCACCCACGTCCTCCTCCAGTTCTCCTCCGACCCCTGGAACGCCCGCTTCGAGGACCAGGAGGGCCGCCTCGCCTTCACCGTGTGCGTCCGCCCCCGCCCCCGCCCCCCCTCCTCCGCTAGCTGACCACCCGCCCCGTCCGACAGCGCGATGGTCCGTCCCCTCGGCCCCCGCGGCCCCCACCCCGCTAACCACCCCGCGCACAGGTCGACGAGAGCCCGAACCTGATCATGCGCGTCACCCGCGAGCCCCCCTGGGCCCAGCAGCACCCCGAGCTCATGGGCCCCTCCAAGTCCTTCTTCTACTTCGGCCCCAACCGCACCCCCGGCCACTTCATCTACGGCAACTCCACCTATGTCACCATGCCCCAGGCCCGCGAGCGCAAGCGCGAGAACAGCACGTGAGCCCTCCCCCTCCCCGCCCCCCCTTCTCGCCCTCCGCCGCCCCCGTTCACCCCGGCCAGGTCCCGGTACTTCTGGGCGCAGAACGCACGCGAGTACAAGTGGCGGATACTCTCCACCCAGCGGCTAGAGGTGCGCCCCCACTCCCCACCCCCGCTCCACCCTCTCGCCCGCCCCCGCCGCGCCCCCCGCTGACGCCGCCCGCCCGGCGCCGCAGTGCGTCGACTCGCGCGGGAACGTGATCGCGCTCTGGGAGACGAGCCAGCTCGCGGACCCGCACGCCGCGCGGCTCACCCTCCGCGCGTCCGCGCTGCCCATCGTGACCGAGATCGTGACGACGCTCATCCTGAACCGCATCGCCCAGATCCTAAATTGGCCCTGAGCTCCCCCCGCCCCCGCACGCACGCGCACGCCCCGGCTATACCACGCATTTACCACTACCGCCCCCGCCTCATGCACGCAGACCGTAATAATGTACTACCGCCTTCGATTCATTCATTCATCTGTTCATTCATTATTGTTTCCCGCGTACGTACGAAACCCCCACCGCCCCGCAACCGGCTGTGGCGACGACCAGCCCTCTGTCAGACTGCCTGTCTGATCTCCATCCCCGCCCGCCCATCTCCATCAGCCTTCGCCCGATCCGCCCGCCATCCGAGTTCAGAGGCCAGAGGCTTGATCGGCCGTTTTTCCTCGAGTGCTTCGGACCCGTCCGCCTCGGCCCTCCGCGCCCACGTCCCGCCAGCCCGGGCCACGCGCCGTGGACCCACCCCGCGTACGACGACGCGTCCACCCCCGGGTTTCGCACGCCCCGGGGTCCACACCGCCCGCCGCTTGATCAACAGCTAGACTAGAAGCTACTAGTCCGAGTCACAGTTCAAACGTTCACTCCTCCGCGTTCTTGATCTCCTCCAGCAGCGCCCCGAGCCGCGCCCACTCCGGCTCGTCCTCAAAGTCCCGCGCGCGCCCGACGAACGTGCGCACGACGCTCCGCGCCTGCAGCTTCCAGTTCACCTTCGCCTTCGCCTGCCCGTCGCCCACGCCCGCGTCCGCGTCCGCGCGCGGCCCAAAGTTCCGCAGCACGTCCACCGCGTCCGCGACCTCGTCCACCGCCGCGCGGAACACGCCCGCGTCCGTCTCCCCGCGCTCGAACGCGCCCGCGGGCCCGAGCCGGTACGCGTCCATGTGCGCCGCGAGCGCGTCCGCGGGGCGGCCCTGCGCCGCGAGCAGGCGCGCGCGCGCGCGCGAGATCCGCGCGGACGCGACGCGCGGCAGGATCGTGCGCGTGAAGAGCTCGTCGACGCGCCGCGGGAGGCCGGCAGTGCGCACCCCGCGCGCCGCCGCGTCGCTCGCCTGCGCGTTTTCGTCCCCGTCGCCTCCTCCTGCTACTCCTTGCGCGGCGTCGGGGTCCTGGAGCTCGCGCACGGCGGCGTCGACGAGGCGGTCGAGCACGTCCGCGTCGACCGCGCCCGCGCCGTCCCGGTCCGCGCGCGCCTCGACGACGCGCGCGAGCGCGCGGCACGCCTCCCCGAGCTCGCCCACGTCCGCCGCGACGACGGTGTAGTTCGCCCACATCCGCCAGCTGTCGTAGCTCGCGCGGAGGCCCTCCCGGAGCGCGCGGAAGGCGCGCAGCCGGTTCGCGAGCGGCACGCGCTGCCGCGGCCGCTGCTGCCGGGCCGGGTCGTCTGCGTTTGTGTGCGCCGCGGTTTCCTTCGTGGCGGGCTCGTTCTTTGCGGTCTCGTTTTCCTCGTCCTCATTCGTCGCGGCCTCCTGCGGCGAGAGCGGCGATGGCGGCGACTGGGCTCTGGCCGGGGATTCGTGCGCCGGCTGGGCGGGGCCTGGACCCGCCGCGGTGGCCTGCGAAGGGCGGGGCGAATGCAGTCAGCGTCCGCGCGGCGCGCAGAGAAGGAAGGACGAAAGCGGAAAGGAAAGGAAAGGAAAGGAAAGGAAAGGAAGGGAAGGCGGGCGGCGCGCTCGCCCGTACGATCGCAGGAGGGCCCAGGCACGACATACCCGTCCGCGCGCGCACGCGGGAGGGTGATCCCCCAGCCTCGAGGGCCGCGAGCGGTGTCCGCGTACCCGGTCGCGTGCGCCGGCCTCCTGCGTGCAGACCGGCACGGAGGCGCGCGGGAGGCGCGCGGGAGGGCGAATGAGATGAGCAGATCCCGCCGGGCTGACGTTTGTGTGTCGGGCTTCCTGCCGTCTGCCTGAACACCGGGAGGACAGGCACGCTCTGACGCATTTGTGTGCGTTCTTGTGCCAAACTGCCTGTCCTCGTCGAGGACACGAAGACGGCAGGAAGCCGTCCCCACGCCTGTCGCACGCCTGCCACACACCCGACTCTGCTATGTCCGAGCGCACGACAAGACAAGACACCGCAACACAAGACCCCACTCACCTCCGCATCCTCCACATCGTCGTCATCGTCCGCGGCGACCTCCTCCCCCGCCTCGCCCATGCGCATGTACACGCTCGCGAGGTTGTTCCAGCTCTCCCCGTCCTCGTCGTCCAGCCGCACGCACCGCGCGAACGCCCCCCGCGCCCGCGCCCAGTCCTCGACCCGCAGCGCCGCGCACCCGAGCACGAACCACGCCCGCGCCTGCAGCGGCGCGAGCGCGACCGCCCTCTCGAGGCACCCGATCGCCTCTCCGTACTCGCCCCGCGCGAAGTGCAGGCCGCCCAGCGAGCGCATCGCCCGCGCGGACGTCGCGCCCGACGCGGCCCACGCGGTCGTGTAGTGCTCCGCCGCGCGCGCGGGCTCGAGGTCGCCGAGGAGGCACCAGAGCTTCGCCTCGCGCGCCGCGTCGCGTACGCGCTGCCTCGCGGGGCTCGCATTCGACGCGCGCGCCCCAGAGAGGACCGCGTCCGCCTCGGTCTTGGCGCCCGTGAGGAGGTCGCGGACGAGGGCGACGCCCTGCGCGGGCTGCTCGAGCGCGGCGTGGCAGCGGACGGCGTCCGCCCAGAGCTCGAGCCGCTCGAAGACCGCGAGGGCAGACCGTACGACGCCCAGCGAGAGGTACCGCTCCGCGAGCTCGCGCTCCATCTCCCAGCGCGGGGGGAGCACGAGCGCGTGCGCGTACCGGAGGCGCTCGGGGGGCGGCGCGTCCGCGGTGGGGAGCTGGTCGACGAGCGCCTGGAGCTGGAGCACGGAGCGCTCGACGGTGCGGGTGCGGGACGCCTGGAGGCGGGCGCGGAGGAGGAGCGCGAGGGTGTGCACGGCCCAGTTGCGGGGGTGGGCGAGCGTGCGCGCGACGTAGGGCATCATCTGCTCGGCGGTGAGGCCGTGCGCGGGGGACGTGTTCTTCACGTTCAGGCAGAGCGCGAGGAGGATCGCCTGGTCGAGCGGGTGCAGCGCCGGCTGGTTCCCCGGGTCGATGTGCGCGAGGCGGCCGGTGGGGGAGGTCGAGGAGGAGGCGGGAGCGCCGTCTGCGGGGGCCTTGCCCGCGTCGGCGGCGGAAGAGGTGAAGGCCGTCTGCTCGAGCAGCGTGTCGTCGTTGAGCGGGAGCGTCTCCGGGATCGCAGGACCTGGAGAGCCCACGCCGGTGGGCAGGGGCGCAGCATCCCCAGAGCCGGGCTCGGTGTCTTCATCCCCGCCCCGAGTGCCGTTCTCCGTTACAGGGTCGGTCGCGGCTTCCCCGCCCCGCGCCCGCGACTCGGCGAGGAGGACGAGCTGCGTGATGTCCCGGTCCTGGAACTTGGTCCGCCGCCCAGGGGCGCCCGTGAGCTCATATTCGAGCCGCGTCGCGCGCGCCGCGCGCACGAAGTGGCTTGCCGCCGTGCGCACGTCGCCCACGACGTGCGCGAGCAGGCCGAGCTCGAGCTCCAGTCGCCCGGCGAGGTCCGGCTCCGTGTCGGGCGACGCGAAGTCCTGCAGGAGCGCGGCGGCGGCGGGCGCGATGTCAGCTGGAGGGGCGACGGCCTCGTCGAGCACCTGCTCGTGCACGCGCCAGACCCGCAGTCGCCACCATGTGGCGGAGCGGCAGTGCTTGAAGGTTATATTGGTGTTGTTCGTTGACGGTGAGGAGGAGGATGACTGGGAAGTAGTGGCCGAGTAAGGGGCGAAGCCGAGGAGGATGCGTGCGAAGAGTAGAAAAGCGGGGGCGCGCGCGAGGTGGTACGCAGGCTCGCCGCCGCACGCGAGCTCTGCGATCGCTTTCTGGTGCAGGAAGTCGTCGGTGACCGTGTGGGCCAGTTCGGGCGAGAGCGGGAGGAGTTCGAGCGGGGTGAAAGCGAGGTCGGGCCCAGTCCAGTTCGCCTGTAGGAACGCGTGGAGGCACGCGACGGCGCAAGTGAGCCGCAGAAGTTCGGCCTCCGGCGAAGGATCCTCGGATACTGTAAACCACTCCGCGAGTGGCCGGCTAACCTCGGCGTTGGGTGCGAGAGAGAACAGGTCTCGGCTGGGCGAGGTCTTGAGGTCGGAGAAATCACCGCGTGAAACGCGACGTGCGATCTGGGCAACGGTATCATCCGGTGGGCATTCTAATGATTCTGGCCAGTTTCCGTCTAGCAGGGCCTTTTCGATGGCTTCAATCATGACGATTTCGCCGACGACGACGAGGGAGAGGAGGAAGAGGAGGAAGCGAAGCAAGTTGACGCTGGTAAGCACAGCTTTACATTTTCCTTTCAATCGATCGCGCGCAATTTTCTTAGTCAACATTATTACTGTTTCTGTGTGACTATGTAAGCAAACGGTGAAAGCAAGAGCTGACCTTCATAAAATCGTGGCAAGTCAGATTGTGATTCACTAGCACTCCTGAAAGGCCTGAAGGCCTGATCGACTGATGCAAACAGCAAACGTGAATAGAGTGCCGATAGGGCGTCTATCTTATCTTCAGGACTGCTAAGTGCTTGCTTGCCGTCTCGTACAACTAGGAATCTAGGATGTAGCGTGTCCTGCGCCGAATCTGAGGGTCTCCTCTTGGACTCTATAGGCATTATACGAGTACACCAGAGCACCACGGTCTTGTTTGTCGACAAACGAAGAAATCGGGCCAGATATCCTGAACCCCTGGTCGCCCATCGATGCGTCCATACACATGAGACCAAACCGTCGGTCGTAGGAAGCGTTCCAGGTCCGCGGGGGACACTGCAGCCCCCACCCACGATGATAGACAGAGAATGCGCCGCGCATACGTTTGCAGGGGGCCGACCTTTGCAAATCTCGATGCAACCCACCGCGGTCCCGAGACTCCCGGCGTCCATCCATCCTCACGCCGCCCACATGCTAATCAGGAACATCATCGGCGTGTGGCCCACCTCGCCTATCGCTCCGGAAATTGGAATTGGTCGCCGTCGTGGTGGGTGAGCGTGATTGAGTCGAGTAGGCCGACCGTTCCGGAATACGCACCGCCGCGGGCTTCGCTCCATCGGGGGCTTTCGAGCCACTAGGCCCTGACGCACATGATATTGTGCCCGTGGGGCGTGTCTTGCACGTAGTGACTCATGAGTCCCCGTCGGACCGACCGTGGCGGTGGATGGTGGCCGGTTTTGCCATCGGATCGTGAGATGAGCCTTGAGAAATGAACAGTGCGAACAACGCAGCGACGCCTGCAGAGTGCCAGAGACTACGAAGCCAGAACCACGCCGCCGGCCGATGATGTGCAACGCGACGTATCTCTGGCCTCGAGATGATAAATGTAGGAGGCGGTCCGCGTGTGGCGAGAGCTCGGGTGGGGTACTGTGTTCGAACTTGTCCACATTCCGACACACGGGCCGTCCCTGGGCAGTACGCGGATACACGTCGGGGCATACTACAGCCTGGTCAGCACCTCCGCCCCGCTGTCGGTGATGTACACCATGTGCTCCGCCTGTGCCGAACGGGCGCAGTTCTGCGGTCGAGAAAAAAAGTCAGAACAGCGGGTCAAAGTGTATGCAGGAGGATCCGCGCACCTCCGTAGATACAGTCCAGTCATCCGGGAAGGTGAACCCGGTCGTCTCGTACCCCTGGACGATGGCCGGCTGGAGCTTCTGTCAGGAGAGCACGTGGATGGAATATCGATAAGTGTACCTCGATGGTGAAGCAGTCTCCCGTCTGCATCCCTTCTGGCTCCTGGTTCACTGCGCCCCTCAAGATTGACAAGAGACGACGAAACGGATCGCGGGACCACTCACGGGTGTGATACACCCACGGCCGTCTGTGGAACTCCCTCCCTATCCCGTGCCCGGTGAACATCGGAGACACCGCGTACTCCTCCCGCGCGCGTGCGAGGACGCCCTGGATCGCCTGTGCGATCTCGCGGAAGGGCTGTCCGGGGCCGCACACGGCGATCGCGGCGTCGAGCGCGGCCTGCGTGGTGTGCACCAGATCACGGCCCTTCACGTCCTGGGCAAGGCGAGCGTCAGCATGTGGGTACGTGAAAGGCGAAAAAAAAAAGAGACGTACGACGTCCCCGACGAGGAACGTGCGCGACGTGTCGCCGTGGAATCCATCTAGGTACACGGTCACGTCAACGTTCACGATATCCCCGTCTTGCAGTGGGCGACTGTGGGTGCGCGTCGCATTGACGGTCCAGTGGGGTTGGTCGGTGCGGGGCAGGGGAGCAGTCGGAACGTGCACAATCGGCGTTGGGGCCGAAACGGTGAGAGTGTATCATCGTGGCGTCGAGCACAGACCGTTGGCGTCGGAGCGGGTGCGGCGCCACGAGCACATCGGGGGGCGGGGCAGGGGGGCAAGAGTGCTCCGTGAGGACCGGCGCAAAGAGACAAAACGTGCACGAGCACAAGCAAGGAGGGGTACTGACTCGTCTGGGATGCCGTGCGCGATGACGTTGTTCACGCTCGTGCAGCACGCCTTCGGGAAGCCCTTGTACAGCAGCGGGGACGGGTACGCGCCGCGCGCGACGACGAAGTCGTGCACCGCCGCGTCGATCGCGTCCGTCGTGCGGCCAGCCTGTGCAGACGGCGGATATGAGCGCGGTGTTTTCAACGCGGGCGACGCTTACCTCGACCAACGTTTCCGCATAGTTCAACGTCTCCGCGGCCAACCGCGCCGCACGTTTCAAGCGCACGACGTCCTCCGGGGCGGTGATCAGCTTTCTGCGCGTGTCTGACGTCGCGTCCGCGCTCGCATCTGGGTTGGCCGGGTCGGGGACGTAGGGCGGTCGGGGGATTTGCGGCAGGACGTTGCGGGGGAGGATGTGGGAGGTGCCCCACATGTACGGCTCTTCGGGGAGGATAATGTCGTAGAAACCGAAGCGAAGGTCATGCTCTGACAACGCAGCGGTATCTGGGAGCTCTTCAGCTTCAGGAGTTAGGCGGGGAGGGCTGTCGTGTGAGGAGAGCTGTCTGCTGCTTGACGTGGAAGGCCATGGTCGCGGTCGCGGATGTGCGTGTGGTATTCGAGTGTATGAGATGCGAAATTGGGGCCGTGGTGAACGAGGAAGCAGAGAACGAAGCAGCCGCATAGACGGAGGTGGTGGCGGACGGAAAGCAGGTCACCCTCGACAGACGCGCATGCATCGAGAGATGCGTCCAACATGGTATTATGACAGATTCTAGAAGTAATAGTACAGACAACACCAAGACACGCAACGACGTATGTGCATGAGAGGGGAGCAACAAATTAGTCTTCTGTTTATGTCCAGTACTTGGCAGCACCACGTCCGCCTCCGTGCCCCTTCTCGTTCTCCACGACGAATATTGCGTCTTGCAGCGTGACAGCCAACCGCCCGTCGTCGTCCTTCTCCTTCGACTGGGCATTCATCTTGCTCTGATACGGTCGTGCCCATCCGCTCGCCGTGTTCGTCGCAGGGGTCGTCGTTGTTGCGGGGGTCCCCGCCGGTTTCGGTTTCGGCTTGGCTGCCCCCGCGCTCGCTGCCGACATCCACGCGTACTTGCCCGTCCCCAGCCCCGCCGCCTGGCTCGCGACCGCGTTGGACATCTTCTTCTGCACGTCCGCCGACATGTTCCGCGCCGTCACGCCCGGGCCGTCCTTTTTCTTCTTCTTCTTCGGCGCGCCGTCCTCCCCCTCCCCACCGAGCCCGTCGAGGCCCGCGGCGCCATTCGTCCCCGTGGTGAGCGCCGCGGCCTGCGCGGCCTGCGCGTCCTGCCGCTCCTTGCGCTCGCGCCGCTCCTTGATGTCCTCCTCCCTGTACGCCTTCTGGAGCGCCTCGAGCTGCTTCCCGACGTCCGCGCGGACCTTGATGCTCCACACCGGCGTGCCGTCCTCGTAAGTGCTCGGGGGGCGGTCGAACTGCGTGTCCGTCCGGTGCTTCGCGGCGGCGATCATCGAGGTGAGGAGGGTCTGAAGACGTGTGCGGAGGGCGAGCGCGAGGTACTCGACCGAGTCTTTGGGGATGTTCGGGACTTTGTACTTTGTCCCGGTCGTGCGCATCGTCGCGGAGAGGAAGGAGGTGTCAAACTGAGGCTTGTCTGGCTGCTTTCGTGACCGGTCCTCGTATGGCCGGTAGGCGTAGTATTGGTCGTTCGTCCGCTGCAGAGTTTCTTCCTCCGCCTAGAACCATGGGCGGTCAGCGATGATGCGAAACGACTCGATGATCGTGCCCTTTTCGACGCGGGGCAAGAAAGGTCATCCCATCGCAGATTTTTGGCTCTTGTGGGGCACACACGCATGAGAGACAGGGTGTGCGTGCAGGTTTGAAGACGAGGAGAAGGGAGAGGGAGTCAAGAGACAGAACAACCGACGACGTACCTTCAGGTCCACCCCTGCACTGCCGAGTGCATCGTTCAACGTCGCAACATCGGTAGTTTCTACTGTATTTGGTTGGGTTGGTGCTGGTGCTTGTGCCGCTGGTGTCGATATTGGCCGAATAACACCGGCCACGGCCGGCTGCGCAACCTGTGTATGGACTTGTGATGATGATGGGGCTATCTGGGCTGTCTGGGCTTGTTGAGCGACTTGGGCTTGTTGGGTGTAGTGTGGATAATGGGCATAGCTCGACTGAGGGTAGTGTCCATATTGGTATGGAGAATACGTGGTAGCTCTGTGGGGAGGTGGTCAGCGCGAGACAAGTATATGGCGGATGCTCTATTGCCCTACGCTGTATGCGTCGGATGTTGTGATTGCTGCTGCAGTGCAGGATCAATCGGAATCGCTGAAAGCAACAAGCTTAGATCTTCGAAGCGTGAAGAAGTATTGGAGCACGCACGCGCGGGCTGAGGCCATTGAGCTGCGGCGAAGGTGGAGGCGGGCTGAGCTGCAGGTTGTGGTTGAGCCTGTGGCTGGGGTGTCGGCTGGGGCTGAGGAGCCGGCTGTGGGGTTTCAGACATCGGGGGAAAGCCTTGGTAAGTCTGGTCCAGCGGACGGTGTAGGGGCAAGAAGCAGAGCGTGGAGAGGGTCGGGTGGGTGGCCCACGGGCTAGATCAGAGCACGAGTGACGTCGAGCAGCAGCCACACTCGCGTTTGGTGTCCCACGGTCGCGCTACCGGACCCTGGACACCTCGACTCGACCTCGTTGCTCAGTCGCGATCACATGCTAGCGCCCTCTTGTCTCTCCGCCCCCACATGGTACCTCCTACGCTGTGTATGCGCGACCAGATCTGCTAACATTCTACAGGCTGTTTGTCAGTACTTCATTCGAGGCACCTGCAGATTCGGCACCAGCTGCAGGAATGAGCACCCCCAAGAAGGCCAGAAACAAGGCGTGTTCGGCAGTACGTCTTATTGTCTTCTTCGAGGCCGCCTTCTTCTCACCCCCGCCCAACTCTTTCTCTCTTGCCACCTCCATCCCTCTCGCCACACCCATGTCTCGCCCTGCAGACCAATCGTGGACACAGTCCTCTCAAACGGCTGCACCCTCTTCCACTGTCACGCCCGCCTCATCCTTGTTCACGTTCGTCCGTTTGCTCTTCTCAAGCCGTCCCAAAGCTGACTTTTGGCCTAATTATTCCCAGCCTCGAATCCCTGAACCGTGATCTTACGAGCGAAAAACCGACATGGCCTTTGTCTTCCTTTGGTCCGGCGAAGCAGCAGCCTCTCCTCGTGACGGGCCTGGATGAGTCTCCGGAGGAGCTGAGAGTAATGGCGGCAAAGGCGGCGCGGGAAGGCACCACTCAGGACTATGTGAGTAATCTACTCTACAGGCGTTTTCTCTCCTCGCGGTCCCCATGGTTGATGCAGGATTGTGGACACCTTGCACTAATGCACCCGAGACTAACAGGACTTTTGCAGTTGAAGTATGAGTCTGAGAAGATCGCTGCGGCGGACTCGATGTATGCCCAAGCGAAGTCAAACATGCAATCCCTTCATGCGCAAGCGGTGAGGAATCACGGATCACACAGTTCTGGTGCTCCCACAACTGGATGGACGCCTACCGCAACCACCTCCGCTTTTGGTGCTCCTGCATCTACTTCCGCGTTCGGTGCCCCAGCGTCCACCTCCGCGTTCGGAGCTCCGGCATCCTCTTCTGCGTTTGGCGCTCCTGCGTCCACCGGTGCATTCGGCAAGCCCTCAGGGTTTGGCGCATTTGCCTCCACAGGAGCATCTGCGTTTGGAGCAGGGGCCTCCACCAACACCACATCCGCGTTCGGTCAGTCCGCGTTCGGTCAATCATCCCTTGGGAGTCAGTCGGCGTTTGGGAAGCCTGCCAGTGCGTTTGGTCAACCATCGTCTGCGCCGGCTACGTCAGCCTTTGGCCAGCCCGCCCAGGGAGCACCAACGTCAGCATTCGGCACACCTGCGTCAGGAACCACCTCCGCGTTCGGCCAGCCAGCGGCTGGCGGGACTGCGTCAGCATTTGGACAGCCCGCCTCAGGCTCTGGCGTGTCTGCGTTTGGCCAACCAGCAGCGGGATCTGCAGGCTCAGCATTCGGGCAGCCCTCACAGGGCGGGTCGAGCGCGTTCGGGCAGCCCTCTCAAGCGCCAGCCGCCTCAGCCTTCGGCCAACCTGCTCAAGGCTCGACGACATCGGCGTTCGGACAACCTGCCTTCGGAGCTTCTGCCTTCGGAAAGCCTGCTTTCGGAACACCAACCGGTCCAGCAACTACCTCCGCCTTTGGCACTCCTTCACTAGGTTCTGGCACTTCCGCCTTCGGCGCGCCCGCGCAAGGCGCAACCACTTCACCTTTTGGTGCCCCGCAATCGACGTCCGCCTTCGGCCAGTCATCGTTCGGCCAAAGTGCATTCGGGAAACCGGCGGGTACGACGTCCGCGTTCGCTGCGCCCGCGGCATCCACGACAGGCGGCGCTTTCTCGGCGTTCGCCAACCCTCAAGCGTCTTCCTCGACCCCTGCCGCAAACTCGACAACCTCGAGTGGCCCCGCCGGTGGAGGTGGCGCGTTCTCGGCGTTTGCGGGCGGACAGAATTCTGCCTTCGGGCTCGCTGCGGCCTCCAAACCCGCCGCCTTTGGACAGTCCGCGTTCGGGAGCGGGGGAAGTGCCGCGCCCACCTCCGCTTTTGGTACGCCCGCGCCATCAGCGACCTCAGCCTTCGGCGCCCCCGCTGCAACCTCTGCGTTTGGGGCCCCTGCGTTCCCGACAGCCTCAAATCCCCAGCCCGTGGCTTTCACTCCGAGTGGTGGCAGCTCGAAAAACACCGGCTCGGCCTTCGCTCCCCAGCGTATCGCCGCCACGACGACCTCGAAGGGGTCAAGCCGTCGAAGCCTGACTTCGCGGCTGCGCGCAGGCGACTGGTGTACAAGCCCGGGCGGACCAAGTACGACGACCTGCTCCCACCGAACTACAAGGATATCCTGCCGAAGTCGGTGATGGACCAGTTCCTGAGCCCGAGCGAGAAGTTCGACTGGACGGAGATCCCGGAGTGCGTACCACCGAAGGAGGTGCGGTAGGCCCCCAACTTCCTCCCGACGCTGGTTTGCACGACATCCTCCTCAACTTTGGCTGTGTTGTACAAGGCACGAACTCTCACGTCCTCCACGTCAGCCTCTACGACAGCACGCTGCGCGTCCCACTGCCGGTGCTTTCACAGCATGTATATCTACTAGCGAAGGCTCTAGCCTCTGTATTTTTGCCAGTCCAACAATAAGCCCGCTTTTCACCTCATCACGGCCATTTGTTCACCTCAAGCCCCGACCGCCCGATCCAGCCCTCCAGACCAGTGCTTTCCTGAACCTTGCAGGCGGGATAGCCCACGCCCTTGACTTCCCCGGGCGAGGCCGAACACAGCTCGCACGGCCGACCCATCTCACGCCGTTCCAACTACCCAGACGAGCGACTTGGCAGCGCCCACCGCGGGCCACCGTACGCGGCGGAGCTTCTCAACCACGCTTGTCCCCGCAAAGTTCCTCCTCCGCCCTGACTCCAGCGCGCCCGCAACACTGTGCCCTTCACGACGGCGTCCCGGGTCCCAGGTCCGGTGGGGCCCCCAAGACCCAGGCGAGAGTGCGCCGAAACGGGACGAGTCGCGCTGCAGCCTGCTGCGTTGGGGTTCCGCGACCGCTGCGATCCAGGCCCGCGCGTCGCCGACACGCCAAGTCAGCGCCGTGCGCGAGCACACGGGCGCGGCCACAGACGGCCAAATATGGGCAAACAGGCCGGCGCCGCGCGGGACCGCGGGTGGCCTCGAGGCGTGTCCGCGGGCGGGAGGCGGTATCGGAGGCTGGCGTGTGCGAGGGCTCTTTTTGTCTTTCAGATCGTGGGGCCTAGGGCGGGGTGGGCTGGCGCGGGCGCGGGCGCGATGAGGCATCCAGCAGGTTTGTACTAGCGCCGCGGCGGTGATTCTGGAGGCCGGCGCGCAGGGGCGGGCTCTGCGGCGGTGCAGAACCACATAGTAGTTCGGGAGCTCCCACAAACCATGAGGAAGGCGCCACATGCAGTCCCCATACAATCTGTCTCCACCCAAGTATAATTTGGAGCCTACGGGGGACGCAGCCGGTCATGATGCGAGGATGAAAGTGGGACGCTGTCCGGGTGAGGCGTGTGCGCAGATGGTCTCCACATGGTGCAGACTGATACGGCCACTGCCACCCCGCCTCCATTTCAATTGAAAGGTACTAATAGATGGTTGACGTCGACCGACAGAAACGCTATACACATTGCGATGAGCCGACTGCCAAGCTGCGCGAGACGAAAACAGTTACGTAGCTACAGCCGACAGGTCCTGGTTCGGGCAAAAGGCTTGTCGTCGCACAAGCCGCACTCAGTCATCTCCGGACGCGCCGCAACTGGAAAATGAGTGAACCAGGAAAACGAATGAAACGTGACGGAAGTACGGATCGAGGACAGAATTGCTGTGACGACTCCAGATGGACTGAAGCCTTCACGACTCGGGCGATGACGAGCTCTCACGCGCACGCTTGACACAGTGCCCGTGTGTGCCCTAGGCGCGGCATGTCAAGGATTCGGCTGCTTGAAGTTAGCAAGCAACAAGACGGGCACATCGTTGGTCCGCCACGCGCGGCCCATTCCACGACGCCGTGATTCACACAAAACGCCACAAAGGTGCAGCGAACGTGTTTCGATGGCGCCGCGGCCAGAAGAGGTCGACCCTGCCTGTTCTCGGGGGTTTCGGAGATCCCGGACACGACATTGCGCCCTTCGGATCCATTCGACATGTGCACTTCGGATGAGCGGGAAAGCGACTCAGCGCCTCCTTTGACGAGAGCAGACGAGAGCGGTGCCCGGCAAACAGTAAACTATTTGACGTCGCAGCGCCCCTCGCGGGCCACATGGCGATGGCGAGGTCCGCCGCCCTCGTCCCACCTCCTGCGTCCTGATTCGCCATCCGTTGGGCCCGCGTCCTGCTCCTGGGCCTCGGTCACTCCGTCGACGTCGGCGTCGTGGCGGGCACCGTCCATGGCGGCGGCTTAGACAGGTCCACGTTCCCGCCGCTGAGGATGATGCCCACGGGCCCGGTGATGCCGAGCGCTTGGAACTTGGGGCTGCGCACGGCGGCGAAGGCCACGGCGCCGCTGGGCTCGACGACGATCTTCATGCGCTCCCAGAGGAGGCGCATGGCCTCGAAGATTTCCTGCGCGCATTCCGAGGTCGGGTGGTTGAGGGCGGCGGGAGCGGTGAGTCCGGGGATCAGAACGAGACGCGACGGTGGGTGCGCAACGGGCGGGTGGCGGCGGCGGCGGCAACAAGACGAGAATGGAGTGCGGAATGGGGTCAGCCGTAGCATGAGATAGGACCCCGACCCCGACCTCGACCGTGGCCACCGGATCGCGCGCGTCGCGGTATGGCGACCGCGCGCGATGGCGGCTGGCGGTGTGGTTCGGGCGGGCAGGGAAGAGCCTACAGCCCGACGGGACGCACCTCTTCCGAGACCGTGACGACCGCCTCGACCTTCTCCTGGATGACGGGGAAGTTGAGCACCCCCACGGGCGTCCTCAGCCCGTCCGCGACCGTCCGCGCGTCGACGTCCTCGACGCGCGAGCCCCGCGCGAGCCCCCGCGCACAGTCGTCCGCGCCCGCCGGCTCCGCCCCGAACACGCGCGCGCCCGTGCCGTCCGCCGCGAGCGCCGTGCCCGCGAGCAGCCCGCCGCCGCCCACGGGCGCGACGACGGCCGCGAGGCCGGGCGCGTCCGCGAGGAGCTCGAGCGCGGCGGTGCCCGCGCCGAGGATCGTGTTCGCGGCGTCGTACGGGGGGACGAAGGCGGCGCCGGTGCGGGCCTGGACGGCGGCGAGCGTCGCGGCGCGTGCGGGGGCGGTCGGGGCGCAGAAGGTGATCTCGGCGCCGTACGCGCGCACGGCGTCGATCTTGGGCTGGGCGGAGTCGTCTGGCTGAGGCGGGCGACGGATGGGAGGGGTTGCGGGCGGCGGAAGGCGGTGTGGCATGGAGGGAGCGGCGGAGAGGCGGCGGCGGTGGACGGAGGTCCGGTTCGGGAGCGGGAGCGGGAGCTCAGTGCAGTTCAGCCCGCCTGCGATGAGGTACAGACGTACCATAACGACATAGCACGGTATTCCGCGTTGCTTGGCCGCAAGCGCAAGCGCACCGGCGTGGTTTCCTGGACAAAATAATAATGCCCAAATTAGTTGAAGGTGGCTTTCATCCGCGGAAAGTAAGTGTCTCGGTCCGCAGATGCAGGGGATGAGCAGCACTGATCATAATGGTCACAAATTGCGCACCACCTGCCTGGTTTTCATCTGGGGCAGCACAGCGCGACACGTCGACAGGAAGTGACACAGCGGTCGTGGACTAACCTGAGCTATGAGTGCAAACGCCCTTCTCGAGCTCCTCAGGTGTCAAGCACGACAAACTGTAACTGGCTCCCCTGAACTTGAATGCACCGCCCTTCTGAAGGTTTTCCGCTTTGAAATACAGCGTGTTCTTGCATGGGAGTGACTCAGACAACGAGGAAGACGTTAGCACGGGTGTGCGGTGGACGAGCGATACGATCTTGCTGTGGGCGGCCACCACGGAACTTCGGGCCAGAGGGAGGGTGGGTGTACTCGGAAAGGTCGAGGCCGTCATCTCCGTGAGTCGCTTCTAGGTGGAACTGCCAGGATGTCCTAGGGTGGTTTGATATCGGCCGGAGCTATCCATCATCGAGTCAGAACACTAGTCATCCATGAGATCCAGGAATTTGCCCGCCAGTGAGTGGGAGGCGCAGACATACTGGTTTAGGACTGCAGAGGCGTCGTAGTCACTGGTGGGCTGTGTAAGTACCCAAGGACCAGGGATTGTAATCTGCGTGTGGGGCGGCGTGAAGTAGGCGCGTGGATGAATCATCACTGTGTCTCAGCATAGAAGCGCAATCGGACTTTGGGTCGGGTTGACTTACAAAGCTTGCACGAACTCCGATCGCTGCGAGCGGCGGGGTAGGAGGAGGCTGATGAGCGTCGATAGCAAGATTCTTGAGCGCGGAGTTGGCGCAATTGTGGACGTCCTTCTCACGCCATGTCGAAGCCTACAGATAGCACATCCTATAGTCCAATAGCGACAGACTTTATGTATTGAGCGAATCGGAAAACTTGCTCATCTCCACGGTTCAATTTTCGGCGACGCGGAAAGAGAACGGGACCAAGTGCTAGTGCGAGACTTGACTGCACAACAGCTGAGATGGTGGGTGAAGCAAAGCAGGAGCGACAATCTAATTGGCGCTTGACGGTCTCGAATCGCGGACCCAATCGGGCGTCTGTGGTTGCCACGCTGACATGCCGCGAAACTCACTGGCACTGCTGCTCTCCAGCCTTGTCTACAATCCTCAACTGCTTGTACCCCCTGCCCCCCTTGCACGACTTGTCGTCTCTTCATGGAATGCAACTTGTGTCAATGCCGCTGAGCCGAGCTGTCTGGTAAGAAATCAAGTCGCCCACGCTTGCTTGTGTTCGTTTGCCACTTCCTGGATTTCACACCCTGGCTTTTGTAGACGAAGAAGAAAATGAAATATATGCGCCCGGAGGAGCTTCTGTGATGTGCCCGATGGTTTTTGCCACGAGGGCGCCACCAACGACGGGTGAGTTTCACCGTACAGCGGTCGCACCGCTTTCATCCACCCGACACGAAAACCTCACAGATCTGGTTTTGTCTCAGATGAATCACTCAATGGCACCGCGATGCGTCATGAAATGCATCCGGTGCGTTCCTGTACGGGGCTGTACCACGTCTTTCGGCAAGATCCTCCATGTGCGGAGTCCGGAGGTGTGCGCCCGAAGCCACATCGCCGGTCGAGAAATCAAGCGTACGTGGGGTGAGCCACAGCCGCTGTGATGACTCGCGGGGTGCTGGGAGAAGATTCTTGGAAGTGGACGGATGTCTTGCATGGCGCGTCAGTAGGCGTTGGGGTCAATGTTAGAGGTGAGCGTGCACGCTCACTGCCACCGAATTTGTTTGCGTCACTCGGCTTCCCTGTCGACGTCCAGGCGGACGCGCGGCGTGACTGGACGTACGTAGCCTTCGCCACCTGTTTTCGGCGCCCGGGGTCGTGCGGCGGCGAACACGTCTCCGCGGCGCATCCCACGACACACTCTCACGCGCACAGAGATGGGACGCTGCGATCTTGTACCTGTCCACGAAACAAGGGCGGCAATGTTGCTGGTACGGATTGCCACGCCTGCTAATGGTGATGTGAAGATAGCGTTCCCAGCATCGTTCGGAGGACGGTGCTAGATCGGTGCTCGGGGTCGATGCTGGGTCCGTGAATCAATCACGTTTTGACCATTGTTGACAATGTAACGTCAATGTCGCACCTTCTTTCCAGACTCGCGCGGTCGCGAAGCCCGTGCGATCTAATCTTGGCCTCTCGAAAGAGGTCGCTGGGAATCTCTTCGTCGTTAATGCATGGTCGGTTCGGTTCTGGCACTGCTAATCCCCTGTGCGTGGATGTCTGTATCTATTTCCTGTCTATATCCAGTCCTCGTGCCATCCCAAAAGTACTAATGTGCTTTTCGACAGACGTCCCGAGGGACCGATTACGCTTGGAGTGCTGCGGCCCCACGGACTTGCGCTGCGCCCGCGTATCGAGCGACCGCGATTTCTTGTCGGTGGCCGTCTATTCGACTACCCAGAGCTCTCTGGACCGCTGCGGCGGCGAGAGGTATCCCGAATGCACATGCCCCGCCGGCGATCGGGGCCGAATGGTGATTGCGGCGCATCCAGGTCATCGATGGGGCTCGGTTCCTGCCGCCGTTACGTCGCCGCCTCTCTTGCGCGCGATGGATTCTGCTTGCCGGGCCACTTGGGGGAGGCCAGGGGCGACCGTGGGATTGGCTGACTCAGCCCCCGTGCCCAAAGTCCAATCGCAAGGCGGTGCGACACTTGCTCGAGCTGAAGCACGTCCGACAGCCCCGACCGGCGCATTGACACAAGACCGAAGATTCCACCCGACCCGCGCCCGACCCGACGCAAATCCCGGAGGCCTCAAGGCGCAACCTTCGCCCAAGGGTGCGCTGGCCCTTTGCCGCGCACAGCTTCGGAGCTGGGCGGGGGAGAGGGAAGACGCACAATGACTCGGGCGCACTTCCGAGTATTCGAGTTTTCGCTGGCCCGCCCGCGCATGCGGATGTGACGCACGCGCGGATATGAGCGGCGTGACGCGCCGCGGCGACGGGAGCGGAATCGCATCCTCGTCGCGATCGAGGCGGACGAGGGCACAGCGCCGGTGAGTCATCGGGGCGCCAATCTGGAGCGGGACGTTTCGCGAGGGCTGGATCTCGCGGGATCTGGCCCGCGAGTATCAGCCAGGGCTGTTCTGACCTTGTCCCATTCCAGGTTTTGCAAACGTTGCCCGAACCTCCCCAGCACCAGGGTTCCCGACTTCCGCGCCTCCTCGGTGACGTTCCGGGCCAGCGCGCATGCCCCGCTTCCGCTCACCTACATATACCAGCTTCCGCGGCCAACCTCACATCCTCTCATCCTCCCACTCATCTCCCGTCGTTCCTCCGCCCCTCTACCCACCGCACTGCTGCCCCCTATCACATCGTCCACTACTATTCCTCTCTCCGACTCACACATGGGCGTCATCCAACAGAAGGTCTGGCTCATCACCGGTACGTTGACGCCTCCCATGACGCCCATGACGTCCCTCTCACTCACTTCGTGCGCGTTAGGGTTCGACTACATATTCCAGGCCGTCTGTAACATATGTTACTAACAAACCGACCCTCAGACGCCATTTGTAACACGTGTAAGTAACATGTAACTAATTCGAAATGTAATGAAGGTCTAGTGCTGCGGAGAATAGCCCTACCAGTCCCCATCCTTAGTCAAATCGCTGTCGGAATCCTCATCATCGGACGTAGACAGCCAGATTCGTGCAGCACCCACAGTAGAGACGCATCATAGCACGCAGACGACACCAGGCGACCCCTCTGAGGGTATTCCAAGGAGATGGGGAGACCACAATTGCGACAAACACTCTTCAGGATAGCGGGAGCTTGCACAGGGCCCTTTGAAGAAACGTGTGATTTTCAGTGAAAGCACAAATATCTGAGCCACTGATGTGCAGTCAACTCCGGGCTCAGGAATCAACAAGGATGAGGGCGAGTGAGCGAGTGAGCGTAAGCGTGAGTCGCGGGAAGTCGTATAGAAGCAGATACGACGCGCCGCGGGGAGAGCGAGCGCGAAGGGAGGATGGATTGGAGGATCGCGCGAGCGCAAGGAGGACACCGCGGGGATAGACGCGGGAGATGGACGAGGTCACGCATACGGGCGCTGGCGAAGGCGAGGGGGAATACGGGGGCGTGGGCGAAAGCGTGGACGTGAACGTGCGCGTGCGCGAAGTCGAAGTCGAAGGCGAGACTAGATGAGCACACTGCACGCGTAGATGGAGTGGGGATGTGAGCGCAGATAGACCGAGGCAGCATGAGCCGAAATGGGGGGCTCGCGAAGTGGATACGAGGATACGAAATAGAGCAAAAATAAAGCAGGAGAGAAGAAGAAACATACGATATGAGGAGTGGGTTACCATCACGAGACAAGAACGTGTCGTCAGGCTATGGAGGATGGGGATCGAGTGCGGGCAGGTGATGACTACGAGCGGGCGTGGGCCGCGCCGCGGTGCGTCCGCGAGTGTCGCGTCGGGACTGTGGTGCTGGGGCGTTAATCATGGGGTCCTCGCGGATCGCGACGGGTGTGCGCAGCGGAATGGTCGAGATGTGTGAGGACGAGCGAGGACAAGGTGGGCGGCGGCGCGCAGGCGCTAGCGTAGTCGCGGTGCACCGTACAGCGGTGGCACGTGCGTATCACCACGTACAGAGCTTACCTGCAGCTGACTCGCCAAGGATAAGGATCGTGCCCCAGACGCTCCGGAGTCCGCCAGCATTCACGTACAACTCGGGGTGTGAAAGGGCAAAGCGGCGACAGGTGGACAAGCGCGGAAACATAAGGTAGTTCCCAACGAGTGGGTATGAGCATCCATCAGCTATGGACAACTACCCGATCCCGTTTCGCCTCGTTTTCCATGCAAATCAGGCTGTGAACCAACTTGTTCAGTTGACCGGCATATGAGGACGGCTCCGGGGTGCAATCGTGATCTTGGAGTGCTTGCGGACTGACCGCGAGAGGTTCGAGAGACGGAATGGGCGAAGTGCGCGAGGACAAGGGCCGAGCGCGGTCGAAGGTGTTGTGCTCGTACGTCTTCACCGTACGGCGATAGCGTGTGCGTGTCGGCGTCCGCAGCGTCATCGTGAGCCCCTGGGCTTCGAACCCCGCGACAGCCGCCTCGACGCGCGCGTGGCGAGCCCTCGCGAGCGCTGCGCCCTTCGCATCGAGCCCGTCTTTGGTGCCGGGGGTGTCGACGAGCCCCGTGGTGAGCACAGCGACGGTGAAGGCCTCGGGCGCGAGGAGGACGGAGAACTTGATGGCGGCAATGACCTGCTGCCTGCACGCACTCGGAGAGGTGGTAGGACGGCATGGCGGCGATCTGCATGTCGTGGATCGAGTTGTACTTGCCACCCTCGGTGTTGATCACCATGATCTTCCTCGCGCCAGTGGGGGACGCGCGTAGGAGGGGAGGAAGGCGTGGATGGAGTGGATCGTGCCGAGGCCATGATTTGGAACTGCCATGGGGGCGGTCAGTGCGAGACTGGAGGGGAGGGGCACGGAGGCGTACGGCGTGGGCGAGGCTGGCATCGAACTCGGCCATGTCGGGGATGTTGAGGAAGTCGGTGAAGATGACAGGAGGAGAGCGGCGCATGGCGTTGTGGATGAGGCAGTCAAGGCCTCCGCCGGTCTTCTCGGCGACTTCTTTCCTGGCACGCTGGACAAGGACGTGTCAGCGAAGTCGCCAATATTGCCTTCAAAAATGTGGACGTTACTGAAGCCGTGCTGCTTCATCGTGTCCTGGAGGTGCACCGAGGTTGCGGACGGCGAACACGGAGTTTGCGGGTATGGATGCCTGGAGACACGATATGTTAATGCTAGGGAATTTATATACGACAGGACTATCAACGTACAAGTTGCACAACAAATTTGAGGCCGATGCCGCGAGAGGCACCAGTAACCGCGTATATGAAGATCATTGAGACTGCAAGAGGATGAGGTGGATGTTACCCGTGGCACGCCACCGGAGGGTCAATCTGGGTCATCGACATGATGTTCTGGTGACCGGAAGCCCTGGGCAGTGGGAAGCCTCGTGTTGACTCGGAAGTCTCACATGATATCCGCGTCCCGACAGCCCTTTCAAGAACAGGCGCTTATCCACTTGTTACATATGTTACACCACCCCTTCGAGCCCCATGTAACTAACGCGTTACTTACAGTGTAAGTAACGTACATAATAAGTTTTGTAAGTAACAACAGGGTATGTAGTCGATCCCTAGTGCGCGTCCACAGGTACTTCTTCCGGCTTCGGAAAGCGTCTCGTTGCCAGCGTTCTCGCTCGTGGAGACTGCGTTATTGCGACTGCCCGCAACGTCGAGAAGCTTGCAACTGTATTCCCCAACCCCGATCGCACGCGCCTGAGGCTCGTGCAACTCGACATCTCGGACCCGAACGAAGTCATCCAGCAGCGCGTCAAGGAGGCCCTTGGCGCCTGGGGTCGGATAGACGTCGTCGTCAACAACGCCGGCTACGGCGTTAAGGCCATCCTCGAAGAAGGAGGGTGAGTAACCACTCGCTTCACGACGTCCGTGTGGGAGGTGCTGACTGGCTGCTTGTAGGGCCCTCGCCGCGCTCACTCAGTTCCAAACCAACATTTTCGGTGTGCTCAACGTCACCAACGCCGTCCTTCCGCATATGCGTGAACGCCGCGCTGGCACTGTTGTCATGATCGGCTCCCGCTCCGCGTGGCGCGCAGAGGCTTCGGTGCGTCTTCTTCTCCCGCACACCCCTGTCCATCCGCTAACCTCGTCCCTCCACAGCCCAGCGGCCCCTACGCCGCGTCGAAAGCCGCCCTTCACGCGATTGGCGAAACCTACGCGACCGAGCTCCGTCCCTTCGGCGTGCGCGTCCTCATCGTCGCCCCCGGCGCCTTCCGCACCGAGGGCGTGCACGCGTACCCGGCCACGATCAACACCCACATCCCCGCCTACGACGCCGCGCGCAACGCGGGCATGGAGCGCTTCGCGAGCATCGCGGGCCACGAGTCCGGCGACCCCGCGCGCGCGATGGAGCTCGTCGTCGACGTCGTCAAGGGCGAGGGCCGCGCGCAGGGCCGCGAGTGGCCGCTGTGGCTCGTGCTCGGGCGCGACGCGTACGTGGACGTGCGGGCGAAGACGCAGCGGCTGCTGGACACGATGAACGCGTGGGAGGACGTCGCGACGGACCTCGACTTCGAGGCGTGCTGAGCGCGCGCCGGGTCGGACGCTTCTCTTCTTGCCTTGAGCTCGCTCGCGACGAGCTCGGACGTTATTTATCCATAAGTATGCCCATCCACGCCCGTCCCATCGCCGCATCCGTATGTCTCCCGCTCGCTCCCCGTCCCCATCCCCGTCCGCATTCTGCTGTCGCCTCGCTCTGTTCGTTCATCATCTCACACATGCCCCTCATCCATCATGCTTCCGCTCTGCATATCTCCTCTCACGGACACTGAGTTACGCCATGCTGTACTGACTCCGCATTTCCGCCCCGGATCCCGTCTCCTCTCGCATACGCACCCGCATCCCATCTGTAGCACTTGACTGCCTTCCAAGTCTCATGGATCGTCGGCCTGGGCCACGTATCTCACATACTCTATCCCCCTATAATTCTGCCATCCGATGTTGTATCCGGATTCCGCTGCATGGAATTAATGTATCCATCTCATTGTTTCCAACCTTGACTGGATGGATGGATTTTGCCCGGCTGCAGGCACGAACACAGTGAGGTGACTTGATCCACACATGTTTGCCTCAGAAGAGTCCATGCGAGTAAGACGGCTTGATTTATTGACGACGGAGCTTGGAAGTTTGGGAGCTGGGGTATTGGGCGCCTATCATACGGTGAGCTCTCCTCCTTACCACCACATGCTCCATCTGCTAATCTATCGGTGGTGCCCTCCCATCTACCCTCTCTCGACGCTGTCAGCATGGGTGCCGTCTCCGTAATTTGGACTGGGTGAATCGTCAGACTGCAGCCCCCGAGCAGAAGAAGTCAGTCGGCGGTGCGCTGGCTGCTGCTTTACACCACATCGACGCTGTCTGTATGCTGCGAGTGGGCGGTTCCCCATCAAGGTGACCACTCCCCCGACCTTCTGAGATCTATTCTACGACGCTCCAGTGGTCAACACACTCGAATCGTTGGGTGCCGATAGGGAAGTTGCCCGGCACCGCAGTCATGGGATGTGTCTGAGCGGCTCGACGGCTCGACGGCCCACCTTTTGTTCCGTCACCACCCACCACCGACCTGGCTAGGAAGCCAGCAACACCAGGCGGGATCCACGGAAGACGTGCTTGGTAAGACGGTCCCGCCGGTCTCTATGTCGCTATCGCAGCCTGACGTCAGCTGCAGCGTCGCGCTCCCGCGCATATACATACCCTCGTCGCCTCTCGTTCTCGCGCCTGGACTCTCCGCCTTCCACACAGTTCGCCCGCACACAGACCTCTAGATAACGCAAGCATGTCGAGCGTGCCCCTTTTCAAGCTGAACACGGGCGCGATGATGCCCGCCGTAGGTGCGCACTCGGGCGGTCGGGAGATCGGGCAGATCGCCGTTCGCTGAGGCCATGGCTTGGCAGGGCTCGGCGGATGGGGCGGACACACGACGGAGGAGCGCGAAAACGCGTGGACGTTCATGCTCATGGCGCTGCAGGTGCGTTCTCTGCGTCGACGTCTTGTATGCGAGGTGCCCACTATGTGCGTTCTACCAGTCGGGGTACCGCTTGATCGACACCGCTTGGGCCTACCGTGAGTGCACCCTTTCTCTATCACGCGCGTGAGGGGAGAAGTGATGCGGGCGGCGCGCAGATACGGAGAAGGCTACGGGCGAGGCGATCAGGAAGTCTGGCATCCCGCGCGATCAGATCTGGGTCACCACAAAGCTCCAGTGCGTCCCTCTGTCCGCCGCGGTGGCCAAGATCTGACGTGGCGCAGCAACCAGCACCAAGGCGTTTTCGTCGAAGAGTACTTCGAGGACTCGCTCAAGAAATTGGGTCTGGACTATGTCGACCTGGTGAGCGTCGCTCCTTCCGTCGTCTGGTACTGGCGCTGAGGTGTCTGGGGTCTCGGTTTAGCTGCTGCTGCACTGGCCGCAAACCGCGAAATATACTCGTGCGCGTTCTCATGATCCCGCGCGACCCTCGCTCACGCCGCACCCACAGCGGACGGGAGCGATGCGCTGGACGCGACGGGAAACCTCATCTGCTACGACACCCCGATCTTCAACGAGTCCTGGGCGCATATCGAGAAGATCCACGCGAGCGGGCGCGCGAAGGCGATCGGGGTCAGCAACTTCTCCATCAAGAAGTGCGTCTCCTCCCCCCTTGTGTGTGCGGTGCGCGCCAACACGGCCGCGGCGCGCCGGCGCGCGGGGAGCTGTGCTGTGGTTCTGACTGACGCGTTCCTAGCCTCGAGAAGGTGTTCGAGACCGCCCAGATCGTGCCGGCGGTGAACCAGGTCGAGTGCGTCTCCAGCTCGTCGCGTGGTGGTCGTGCGCTCACCCCCGGTCTGCACTCTACGCAGGATGCACCCGTACCTGATCCAGCAGGACCTGAAGGACTACTGCGACGCCAAAGGCATCGTCCTCACCGCGTACACGCCCACTGGCTACGACACCGTCCGGAAGGACCCGACGATCCTCGAGCTCGCGGCGAAGTACGGGGTCTCGGGCGGGCAGATCGTGCTCGCGTGGCACGTCGCGCGCGGCGTCGCGGTCGTGCCGAAGAGCGCGAACGAGCAGCGCCAGAAGGACAACATCAACGTGCGTCGCTATTCGAGCCTCTGCTGCTGGTCTCGCGTCCTGACCGACGGCCTGTGCTGGGGTGTAGCTTCCCAAGTTGGATGCGGAAGACGTGAAGCGGGTGAGCGCGCTTGATCAGGGCAGACGGCTGTGTAACGCGGCGAATAAGGAAGGGAAGGTGTGGGGGTGGACGTATGAGCAGCTCGGATGGTGATGACAGTGCGTGTAACATCATTACCAGATGGTCATGAGCCTCGCCGAAAGGTGGTGTACGATACTCGTATTAAGTCTTCAAGTGCGATCTTGTCATCGGAATAAGACGCTTTACTGAACACGGAGAGGATACCTCGACTCACAGGTGGGGTTAGTAGGCGCGCCCGGTCAGGAGGGAGATCATTGCCGCGCGTCCGACTTCGGACTCGCAAGCCTATACCAGCAAATCAGACTATGCTCTGCTTGAAGACTGCGTTGCACTGTTAAAAGCGTCCGTCTCATATTTCTTGCCTCGTTAGTCACACATCGACACGACGACACCCCCAATTCTCACCCGGCGTGCTTCAGATATCCGCCTTTCGCATTTATGGAGAACACCATGCACGGCATCATCACCCCAAAGACACAATTCAAATGGCCAAATCGCGATCCCCTACTCGCTTTCCCAAGCCAGTATACAACCGGGCCTTCCGTGGAAAACGGATTTGATGGAATGGCCGTCGGGTCGGAGACTGAGCGGAGAGTGGGCGCTAAGTATAGAAGGGAGTGAATGCATAGCTAGCATTTCGGCCAGAGTGTCGACCGACGATAGGCAAATGGACCGTTGCTAGGGAGCCTTGGAAAAGAGCCTCACGAGACTCGAGAGTGCGATCATAGGTTTCCTTGCCAGCAGCGTGGATTAATCAGGGGAGCGAGAAAGCGAATGTACTTGATGCACAGACGACAGAGGATGGGTTTTTCGGCTACTACATAAGAGACACTCTATTTCTCCAGTGGCAGTCGATCGTGTAAATAGCCTGTGTGGTACCGTTCACTCAACGCATGTCAGGGGAATAGGAGGTGCTTAAAGGACACAAGAACGTGGCTTTGACAGACGCCGGAGAGGGGGAGCTAAATAAAAGTCTACGGACAGGAAACGGAGTCGAACTAACGTACGGGTGATCACTCCGACGCTCTTACCAACTCCACTACCTGTCCGTTGCACCCGCTGAAAATTTATAGTTTGTGTACCATAGGTTCATCCTCCGGGAGGTAAACTTGAACGTTTGAACTCACGTGGAACTTGTTGATCCAGCATTTGCCGATCTACACCCCGCACCCAGGCATATTCCCTCACCCTCTCAGTCTTGGGGGTTCTCTGGCGTCACATCGGCGGCTGATCTACACAAGGTCGTAGAAGGTTTGCTCGGGCGCAGAGATCGGCCGGGTGTGGATTGAAATCGAAGGGAGAGGGGATCCTTTAAACAGTACAATTGCCACCGAATAAATGCACACACACCAAAGGGATCGCTGAGGGGCATGACTGCGTGTGGTAGACAGACAAAGTATGGCCCGAGTCGTCGAATACCATGCAACTTGTTTCAATCCGAGAGCTGTTCCTCAGCATATGCATCGGAAACCCCCGACTCCCTCCCTCTCTTGCGCAGCGCACTGTTTCATCTGCCCCTCGCGCACAACTCCCCCCTCGACTGCGCTCTCTCTCTTTCAACCCAACGCACCTTCTCTTCCACTGACATTCGCAGCGGCCATCGACGAATTCCGTCGACCCGCTTCCGCCAGCACCACAGCCAACCGCGCTCGTCCCCGACGCCACTCCTCCGCCACTCCAGAGACAACCTTCGCGTACTCCAACACATTTTTCAGCAAGTTTGGGAATGGGGCCTGATCCTTGACGGCACCGCGGCGCGGTAAAAGACTGGCGTCCGAGACCGCGCTCGCGCCCTCCTGATGGATCTCCCAGAACGCATGCGTGACATACGTCCAGCTATGCTTGGGGGAAAGCCAGAGGCAAGGTGATGGGGGAGCTGGGGCGTTCTACCTGGCCAATGGTGCGGAGGAGGGTCCGCCGCCGCCGTTCCGACGGCTGGCGAGCGGGCTCAGAGATGCCGACGTCGTCGTTGGTATGGGATCTGGCGAACCGGGCATCGGAAAGAGCGTTGTGCTGGTCAAGGCCGTTGTCTACGGGATGGGTTTCTAGCCAGAAATACTCAAGTGTTTGGATTTTTATGTGTGTTGATCCGCCTGGTTGCGCTGAAGGAGGTGGACGAAGGGAGATAGCAACGTGAGCAACGACATACTCTCGAGGAATGCTCCTGATGTGGTGGGCGATTTTGGTGACGACGCAGTTGTGAATGGGTATTTACCGATGTCGTCTGTGGAGAGGGGAAACTTTCATAGACGTGAGCAACACAGACTGGAGCTGGTTTTTGGCGATGGGGTTGAAACGTTGATATACGACGTTGCATTAGAAGGGCCCGAGTGAGAGAAGGAGAGGAGGGGCCGCCTTGTGTGTCAACAGCACGATGATGTGACGTCACCCACACGTGATGCATTTCCTCGTCCTCGATCGGTCCTCGAATGGTCTTGGATCTGGCGAGCCACAAGTGCATTCGTATGTATACTCGGTCTTAAGATCTGACAGGTTATGTGGTCTTTGGAAAACGCGATGAAGGCGTTGTGTCGGCGCGTCGCGCTCAGGGCGATGCATGTCACCAGGCGCGCGGCCATGCCGGGCCCGCGTTCCCGTCTGGCCACGGCTCAATCTCTCGCGCTCCCAGCCTGGCTGCGTGCTCCTCTTTCCTTCTCCCTTCTCCCTTCTCCTTTCTCCACCTGCGATCCCCCTTCCCTCTCTTCGCCTCCGGACGCCCGTCTCCACGCCACCGACAACCGTTGCCCGTACGTCGTCGTCATCTCGACATGTTCCAGCGACTCAAAAGAGCCCCCCTTCCCCTCCGACAGCCTTCACTCTCGCCACCATGCAAGTCCAAGTCCTCGCCACCCTCCTCATCTCCGTGCTCGTCTCCGCACCCGCCCTCGCCCGCCCTCTCGGCGACTCTCCAGCTGCGACACTGCTCGTCGGCGGTCCGAACGCAGCTCCCGTCGTGCCGCCCGTCGGCTCGACTCCCCCGCCCAAGACGCACACGTACATGCGCCGTGCCCGCGCACACCCGTGAGCGGGTCCGTGTTCCGCTGCTCAGGGCGCAGCACGGGTTCCTGTGCAGCCCGATATAGACAAGGTGAGCTCCCGACCCAATTCTGCGTGGATGGCATCGGAGCGCATGTAGTCTTGTATGGCGCATGTGCCCATCGAAGGGCGAAGAATGTCCGGGGGCTTCGAGGCGCCCTTGTTGCTTCCATGGTTCATGAGGGCGAAATGCTGATTGTATGCGCTCTTCCCGCAGCCGACTTGGCTGTAGCATCTCCTTTCAACGCTTTTCGACGTCTCACGACCTCACGGACTATTATGCATTTTATGCCGTTGTGCTATCCATTCACATCGCTTTTCACGACCGAACTCTCGAACTTTGTTTACGCACCCTATCGGACTCCATCAGGACATAACGCTTATGTATCCACTACCCTACCTCCCGCGATGCTTCGCACAAAACATCCGGACACCCATCCGTACCGACGCTGTAGCATCAGACCCCGACCGTCGTATCATCGTCCGCAGTATACATAGGCACGAATACTAGTCGCTCGCTCTCCGCACACGCTCGTTCTTAACTTAGCACTCGGCTCTCGGCGATAGCTTCTCTAGCTGCGGGCTGCCATTTCGGTTTTTCTCTCGTAGAAAGCCGGTAATAGCATATAGTTGACATACTTCACGCAGGTGGACCGCGTCGGCAGGCCCATCCGACAGCCGCAATGCGTGTTCCACGTCGCATCCGCAGTGGTGTACAGGGCCGGAGCCCAAGGTCAGAATGTGTGGTGCAGCTCGCGATCGCTCGTGCGTCATTTCTTCAGAAGACGTTTTTCAGGACGTACCTGGTCAGCTTCGAAGACACCCCACCTTCCACATATACTATACGAAGACCTCGCCGGCCTCACCACCCCCCGAGGTGTACCCGTTATCGACGGACGTGCCTCAATTAATTGTACTCAATTGTGAAAAGGGGATAGAATCTATGAAGTCCGGCCTACTTCGACCCCGTCAAAATGCGCTTCTTCGCTATCGCTCCTGCCTTTGTTGCGGAGCGTCCGCCCTCGTCGTTCGCGCCGCCTTCTCCCGGCAGTGCGTGCTACGACTTGCCAAAGCGTACTGACCTTCCCGTCTTCCTGCCCCATCTGGCACCTAGCTCGCGCCAACGCATGTCCCTCTCCTGAGCACCTGTGGCGCAGTTCGTCAGTACAGCGATTTCAGGTGGCGTCTCCATCTCAGATGTGCCACGCCGGGCGCGCACCGGGAGATGACATCGACCTGTCTAGTAAGTAGCGCGTTCTCGAGGCGATCGTGACTCTGGAAGAAGGAGAGATCCTTGGTGAGAGCACTAGATATCGATGCTTGAATTTACACATCTGACAAGATCGCACTCGCTGCTTGGTCCATCGATGTTGCCCGATCGAAAGTCTTCGCAGTTGGAAGGATCAGAGTCGAGGACTGGGACTTCCAGAGTGTCGCGCACTTGAGCCACGTGATCGTGTCAAGCGCGTACATTATAATCCAGTGGTGTGAAACACGAGGCCACGGTGCGGATGCTGCCAACCTCAGTCTGTCGCTCTACCACCACGTGTCATGCTCTCCGAGGTCAAGGTCGAAGAACAGGAACAAGAAGGATCTACAAACGCTGCTCATAAAGCCGTAAAGAGGCTTGCAGAGGTGAGAATTACTCTTGCGCACTCAGACTATAGTCTATGACTCCGACTCGCAGGCTGATACACGCCGTCTGGACGTCCCCACACTGACAGGAGAATGCAGATCTTCGATCACAGCTGGACGAAGCCGCAATTCTGAGCCTGTCACAGCTGGACGAAGTTGCAAATCTGAGGTCACAGCTGGAGGAAGCTGCTGCACAAGTAGGCTCGTCCCCACCTTACCTACGCTCCGAATACTGATTACCTCTTGTGTCTGCTTTGAAGGCGGTACTTGATAGCTTTCGGATCCACGACCTCGAAGATTCATGCACAGTCGCTGAGAACCTGCGGTCAAAATTCATGCAAGCAACCAATAAACTCGCCGAATTTCAGACAAAGGAGTACGCAATGACGTCCGAACGCTCGGCTGAAGTGATAATATCGCATATTTTCTCTCGGAGAAGCGAGCTCACCAATTGACAGGAACTTCGGGAGACTCTGTGGAAGCTTCCTTCACCCAATGGCCCAAACCCGGGAGATAAGACCACACAACCCATCTTCGATTGCGTCGAGGCTTTCGAGATGTCAGAGGTATGGGTTGTGAGCACTTCGCCTCTTCAGACCATTTGCTGAACTATGGACCTAAAGCTCGCGATTCAGGCATGGTTGGTCTGTGTGTCCGAGCTCACGACTTACATGACTGATCCAGTAGTATTTAGCGCCGCAGACGGATACTGCTTCTTCCCCTCACTCTTCTTCGCTCGACACCACGACAGGGACTCCGCATACGTCCTCTACCCTAAATACAAGTTTGAGGTTGGCCAGGAAATCCCGGACCATGCAAGATGGGCGATACATGAAGCCGCCGTACAGTTTGATGCACAGGAGCAACGGGACGTCTTGTATGGCCGGCTGCGCGGGGACGTATGCTACGCGGGCACCTTCTACGCAGACATCGGATCCGTCTGCCTGCCATACGCCCAGGCCTCGGTGATCTGCCAAGAAACTGTCTGCATCTGACTCTGGCGCGATTCAGCTTGACCGCTGACACTCCTCTGCAGGACATCCTCACCATACTCGCTCGAGAGACTCTGAACATGTCTCCCCCATATGAGCAAAGCGATAAGGACCATTATATCAAGATCGTCAAGGATCTGTACTTGAGTGGATACCTTCCGGTACGGTTCCTCGGGCTCCAGCGCGTCTGGTTCAACACGAAACTATTCGGCATCCTGGACACGGAATATAAAGATCACTTATCCCGGAAGGCGCAGGAACAGACGGCTTCGGCCCGCCCAGCTCGCCGCAAACGCAAAAGCGCTCCTGAGAACGTCGAGAGCGGCAGGCCATCGGGGTCGAAAGCTCCGCGCGTGGGGCACGGTGCCGGTGACCCGCGGCCGGTCGGAGCGGATTGACAGCAGCGGCGCAGGGCGAGGGTTCCGGGCATTTTACATAAGCGGGAAAAACGGCGGTGTATGTTTTCTCGATGGGCAAGCTAGGAGTAAATTGCATACCAAACATCTGGCGGAGCGCTAGGAATAGCTTGCGGTGAAGCTTGTGTGGACCATCGATTTGCGACCCGTCGATTGGTGCATTCGAGAAGGAGCTATCCTCGGCGAGAGCACTCTGTTGGAGTTCGGCGCTAGAGGCGCAACCCCGGGCCGCTCGCTTAGGTAATTGTGTAGGTATGGTACTTACTCGCCACACCGGGGGCATTGCCGGATGAAACACGCGGCTTCATGCTTTGTTCATATAGATTGTCCCATTGATGTACCGCACAAACTCATCTTGAGGGACATCCTTGTATCATTGATTGCTAGCCAATCAGAGCTCGAGCTTCCCATGATACGAGGAGAGACATTCAAAATGAGTCCAGATGGCGCATCCGCGAGGCATTCTATATGAGTCATCAAGGAAACGGCTTGTCTCATCGGGAAATGCCCCCGGTGCCATGTACGCCACGCGTTTGCTCCTATCCACCACCATCTCCCGCTCATCTTCCGTCCGTCCGCCTGTCCCCGGTGCCCAGAGGAGCCCAAGCGCGACGCCCTCACCCTCCGACCTGTCCCGATCGAGTCCTACGACCCCGAAATCCCACACACTCAATATCGATGCTTCGAATCCGGGTCTGACTGCCTTGCATCCATTCGGTCGTATCGACATTGCATGATGGAAGCCTTCGTGGTTGATGCTTAGGAAGGATCAGAGTCGAAGACCGGGAGTTTTACTAGAGTACTGGTTGAACATCGCGCACTTTAGCCACGTGATCGTGTCAAGCGCGCACCAGTGGGGTGAAACATGTTACGCATTGAAGTTACGACGCGAGTCGGCTGGGTGCGGATGCTGCCAACTTCAGCCTTTCGCTCTACCACCACGCGTCATATGCTCTTCAGGGTCAAGGTCGAAGAGAAAACACATGAAGAATCCATGAAGGACTCGGAATCGAACACTGCTCATGTTGAAGCCGTAAAAAGGCTTGAAAAGGCAAGGATTGGTTTTGCCCAAACTAGTACTCCTATCCGCAGTCTGACGAATGCCGTCCGGACCTCCCCACACCAACAGGAAAATGCGGATCTTAGGTCGCAGCTGGAGGAAGCTGCAGCGCAAGTAGGCTCGTCCCTAACCTACCTATGCTCCAAATGCTGATTAGCTCTTGTGTTTGCTATGACTCAGACGGCACTTGACAGCTTTCGGATCCGAGACCTCGAAGATTCATGCGCAGTCGCTGAGAACCTGCGGTCAAAATACATGCAAGCAACCAGTAAACTCGCAGAGTTGCAGACAAGGGAGTACGCAATGACCTCCGACCGCTCTGCTGAAGTGATAATCTCACATATTTGCTCTCGGAGAAGCGAGCTCACGAATTTACAGGAACTTGAGGACACTCTGGGAAATCTTCCTTCACCCAATGGCCCAAACCCGGGAGATAAGACCACACAACCCATCTTCGATTGCGTCGAGGCATTCGAGATGTCAGAGGTAGGGCCACGAATACCTCGACTCTTCAGAATACCTGCTGAACCTTGGACCCAAAGCTTGCGATTCAGTCATGGTTAGTCTCTGTGTCCGAGCTCACGACTTGTATGACTGATCTAGTAGTATTTAGCGCTGCAGACGGATACTGCTTGTTCTCCTCGCTCCTCTTCCTTCGACGCGATGATGACTGCGCATACGTGCTCTACCCGAAATACAAGTTCGAGGTTGGCCAGGAGATCCCGGACCAGGCGAGATGGGTGATGCATGGCGCCGCTGCACAGTTTAAGCCACAGGAGCAACGGGACGTCTTGCACGCCCTACACGGAAACATATGCTACGCGGGCACCTTCTACGCCAACCTCGGCCCCGTCTCTCTGCCATACGCCCAGATCTCGGCGATCTGGCCACAAAAGGTCTGCATCTGATTCTAGCGCGATTCAGCTCGACCACTGATGCTCTTCTGCAGAAACTCGGACTCCTCACCGAGCTCGCTCGAAAGACTCTGGGCATGTCTCCCCCATATGAGCAAAGCGATAAGGAACATTATATCAAGATCGTCAAAGATCTGTACCTGAGCGGATCCCTTCCGGTACAGTTTCTTGGGCTCCAGCGCGTCTGGTTCAACACGAAACTATTCGGCATCCTGGACGCGGAATATCAAGATCACCTGAACCGGAAGGCGCAGGAACAGGAACAGACGATTTCGGCCCGTCCGGCTCGCCGCAAACGCAAACGCGCTCCTGAGAACGTCGAGGGTGGCAGTGAGAGCGGCAGGCCGTCGGGGTCGAACGCTCCGCGCATGGGGAGCGGTGGCCCGCGGCCGGTCGGAGCGGATTGACAGCAGCGGTGCGGTGCGAGGGTTCCCGGCATCTTTCCGTGACAAAGTTGATTAGCGTGTGGGGAACCTTCATTTACAGAATGCAGTATGCGACCATCCATAGTCGTGTCGCACCGGGCTCAGACTCTAGGCCCTGTCGGCAAACGAAAATTAACGTTCTGCGCATGCGGCGCCGGACTCCGAGCCAACAATACAATCGAGAACATCTGAACATATCGTACCCGAACCGACTTGATGACGGTGCGGCGATGGCCAATGCAGTTTCCCGAACAAGTGTGGCCTTTTTTCTCGAGGTGATGTCACCCAGCACAAGCAGTCGGACGTGAAATGCGGCCAGATCTCACGGAAATTCCCATCTCCATATAAGTGCCGCTCTTCTTTCTTAATGTGTGGAGTCTCTCCCCGTTTCACAGTTGGGGCACGTCCGTCGACCACGGGTACGCCTCCGGGTGTGGCGGGAACGGCGAGATGTCGTCGAAGCTGACCGTCGTGGGCGTCCCAAAGAATGTCTTTTGCAAGAACGGTTGCACGAGCGAGCTGCGCCGAAACGCGCGATCATGAGCTTCCGACCCAATACACCCGGCGGATGAAACAGCGGATACGCACTACGCAGCCAGCCCGCAATGCAGGTCATCGGGTGGGTGCCGGACGTGCACACCGACGCGGTCGCCCACGCCGAGCGCGTCGAAAACCACCTTCGCGGCGCCGAAAACGACGCTCACCGATCCTTCCGGATTCGTCTGCAACGGGTGTGGTCAGCTGATCGCTGGCGGCGGCGGCGGAGTTGGGGCGTGAATACTGACCCACCAGTCTTCTTGCCCTTCGTCCCACAGGATCGCGCGCTGGGAGCCCCGTCAGCATGGGAGCGGCGCCACAACGGCCGAGACCTACGGGTGCGACGAGAGAGACGAGCTCGTGCGCGTCGAACGGCACTCGCGTCGAGTTTCCGGTGACGTTGTCGAATTTCCAAAGCTCGGTCGTGCTCCAGTACCCGTACTTTGTCGTGATGTTCTCGATCTTCTCGGCGACGCCCTCTGCGTATGTATTGTGTTCGCCTGAGCACAACAAACACAGATGTAAACGGACTCACGGCTTTCGTAGTAGTACCGCCATGGCCCGATGCCTTCGGCCCCACTGGAAAGGGGGAGGGCCAATGTGATCTGTGGAGGGACGAGACCCACGAGGTTAGCAGAGCATACAGACACAAGCCGTGCGCACCCACCCTCTCATCAAAGATTGCCGCGGCGAGCGCCGTCTTGCCATATCGCGAGCACCCGACGACGCCCACGCGGGAAAAGTCGAGCTCTGGGACGACGAGTTCGAGCGCATCCAGGATGCGGTGCTCTGCCCATGCCCATACGCCCATCAGACCTTCATGCACCACAGTGAACGCAGTCAGACAAAGCTGCGCGACGGCATGTACCAAGCGGGCACTCACCGATGTTACGGTCCGGGTACAACTCCCAGAACTCGCCGACGCGCGTCCACGAGTCGTTCCCCACGTCGTTCACGTCAAACTGCACGACAGCGACTCCGGACTCGAGGAAGGGTGTGATGTTTACTGGGGCGAGGTACGTGCCTGCGGAAATGACCACGGGCACGTGGCGGTCTGAGGTGGAATCGAGCTCGTTGTCGTCATCCTCAGGCGTGGGTGGGAAGGTGATATTCGCGACGAAAGTTGCGGATCGGTCGGCGACGCTGACTGTGACTGTGATGTTGCTTCCGGTGCGAGAGGTGTGGACAACCTCCTGCGCGTGGTCGGGCAAGTAACCCCAGAGATATTCTTGGACAAGCGTCTTGAGCTCTGCGCGTCGGCACTCCCAGTCGGCCCGGTCTTCAACACGGCTATCTGAGAGACGGAAAGAGAATGGATCCGGGAGATGAGAAATAATCGGTAGGTCCGAAGGCTGCGAGAGTGGGGTCGGGAGAGGGGCGCATGCTGGCGATGCAGCTCCTACAGCAGCGCCTAGGAGGACTGGAAGCGAGACGAGGACGAGAGAGACGGATGATAAGAATAGCATAGCTGGAGCGCAGGCGAGCGTGTTGGCGTACCTGCGCTGAAACGTGTGCATTTATGCGGTCTGCATGGCTTCGGGAAGCCAGCTCACAAGGGATGACGCTCTGAATGGGGAAGTTGGAACTTGGCGCGTTTACGTGGGTGGATTGTACCTGATAGTCATGGGATGTTCATGCAGGTTGTCTCAGAAGAGCATCCTTGGGCTTTAGCGGCGTTTGGAGGGCCATGGGCGAACGAGAACGCACTGTCGCAGCAGCAGACTCGAGCGGCGTGGAGCAGAACGGGCCGCATAGATGCTGCACCGGTCCGGTGAGTTTGTCATGATTTGTGTAAGACGACTGTGGGCACACCCACTGATATCGCACGCAGGTCAAACAACGTGAAACTTAGAGAGAATCAAGAGGAGGTATCGCCCAGATGAGCGCAGGACGCAGGGTGGTGGACCCAGAGCACCGATTTCGCGCCCTAAAATCGATTATATAATCACTTACTTGATGTCCCACGACTAACCTATGCGGGCGCTCTCCGTCTTCTCTGCTGCCGTCATCATCGAGCCTATGCTACCACCACCGCCATGCCGTGTTCTCCCCTTTTCAGCGGGCAACTAGTCAGCCAGATTATCCATCTTTACCGTCGTTGGCCGTTCCCTTCAGCGCCTCACGGTACACGTCACCTTCCGACCCACAAGCTGATGTCGATGTTTTCTCAGCTGCCCGAAAATCACTCGATCATGCTTGCCGAACACTTCGGGATAGGTGCAACGTGCACGCCATCTGTGGAAAGTCACAACATTAATATTTCTTGTATTAAGTGCGCCGTGTGCAGGTTGGATTCTAACAGCGGATCTCAGAGCACATGCTGAAATCAATATTTTTATACAAAATAAACATCCGTTCTTCATCCCTCATACAACAAACCTTCTCTCGCATCTGTGGGAGACGCGATTTGTGATGTCTGCCGGTGCAGTAAAAGAGACCGGTGAAACGCGCTCCGTGAGTACATCAGCTTGTTTTCCACAAGCTAAAAAGTCAATGACGCTCTGGTTGCAGGACATGATGAAGATACAGCCTGCTCGCGTGGACCGAATCCCAGGGCGCGAAGCTTACCCAAGTTTTTCAAGTTGTGCCGCCACTGCGACCCCATCACAGACTCCGCTTGCTTCGCACTTTCCCCCAGGCGGTCCCCGTGAGCTCTTCGGATATCTCCCCGCGCGGGCTGGTTTCCCACCGGGCCGCCCCTCCTCAGTCCGTGATTTGCGGTCTCGCCTGTGCAATCCAGGTGCGCGTTCCGGCTTACCCCGAATGACCCGTTTCCTCGTCCACGCGTTGTTGACGTCTGCGCTCCTGCCAGGGTGTGCGGGGCATACGAGGCGAACCGATTCAAGTCTTCGGCTCTCGTGACGAACAATGTCCTCGACTTGCGGATCCGCGAAGCCTGGGTGCGTTGGTTCTCACCTTGGAACCGGTCCTGGACATGTGGGATGAGGACGCAACGCACAGTCTCAATTCCCAGGAACATGGTCGCACGCGTGCGGCTCGGACCGCTGATCTTTGATGTTGCGATGCGTCCCACCCCTTTACTCCTGTCACACGCGGGAAATCTGGCTTCCAGGCGGCGCTACGAACGGCGAAGCACGGTCCCGGCTCGAGGGTCGAGAACGATAAACTATGATCAACAGTAAGGTGAGTTCTCGACATCGGTGCGCCCGCCTTTCTCTTTCGCCAGCTAATTGGCTATCGGGATTGAGTCTTCAGTCCACTGCCTACGGGTTTGAAGCATGAGCGGTATCCAGTACGTTGGCTGTTACGGAAACTCCGGTGATCAACCTAGCGAAACTAGTGCATTAGGGAGGAGGTCAACGGCAAGAGAAGATGGAACCTGAAATTTTCCAAACATCCGACGATACCCACCACACACAGCGACTATTATCGGGTACCGCGCAAGGATTGCACATGACCATGTCCGAAACTGTTGTGCGTATCCGGAGAGCTGTCAAGGTAATGGCCCCGAAACGTTTGACTGACCAACAAGTACCATCCCAATGTCCACAATGGCTATGCGAGACGGAAGGTAGATATGGACGCGTTTGAGATGTCGCTTCAATATAAGTACTCGGGAGCTTTCTCGTTGTCTCTCATCAAACTACGACAAGATGAGCCGACGCACCAGCAGTCACGCGAACTACTCCTCCAGCTCTCGCCGCGGGACTCGGGTCGCGTCGCACATCCACGACCTCCCCATCGAACTCGTTCAACAGGTCTTCCTCTTCGCCTGCACCGACGGGGGCCTCATGGGATGCTCGCTCTCTCGGGTCTCCCGCTCCTTCCGTACTGCAGCACACCCGGTCAGGTACCATTCGATCGCGCTCACCGGTCTCGGGCAGATTGCGTCCTTCACTGCGCACTACCAGCACGTCCTCGCCGCCGCCGCCCGTTCATCGAACCCAGGCGCATACCCGAAGGTCCAGCACCTGTATGCGATGTCGCACAAGGAAATGCTACGCCGCAAGGTGTTCGAGCACGACGACGACGACGACGACGACCTCGACCTCGCCTTCTCCGCGCTCGCACTCGACCCGCGCCCCGCTTCGGCGAGCACCCTCGCGCCGCTCCCAGCGCTGCTGCAGCTCGTCGCGCCGGACGTGGTAACGCTCTGCCTCGCGACGGTGTACACGCACACGACGCTCTTCGCCGGGTGCGGACCGTTCCGCGCGCTCCGGCAGCTGACGGTCGCGCGCATGCAGGGCGTCGACGTCCCGCCGGCGCGTGCGCGGCCGCTGCCCACGCCGCTCTTCCCCGCACTGGAGGAGCTGCACATCGCGATGGGCGTGCTCGACCACAGCTTCGAGCACCTCTTCTGCCACTGGACGGAGCTCGCTCCGCGCACCGCCGCGCTGCGCCTGTCGGACGTGCCGTGGCGCGTGGGCGCATCCTGCATGTGCGAGACGTTCGGTGAGTTGCGCGATCCCTTCCGTCCGCTCCGTCCGCCCTTCCTTTCTTGGTGCACGTCGCGGAAATTCGGGCTGTACACGTCTGGGTGCGCACGGACTGAGCGACCCCTATCCCGCACCCTCCTTCCTGCACATACAATGGCTAACCGCGGACTCACAGGTGAACGGCCGCGCAACTACGACCCGGTCTTCCCGAGCCTACGCGTGCTGTTCGTGCAGCCGTTTCCGTCCCCGCCTCCCGGACGAGCGGAGGCCCCCGCGCTGAGTGCTCAGCGGCGCGAGCTCATGCATGCCATCACGGACCTCGGTCGGCACCCCCGCCGGGGTACCGCGGTGCGTGTGCTGCAGCAGAACAACGACTGCGGTGCCCAGCACTCGGTCGACCTCCGTCGCGGGTGGCTCGAGGGCGTCGCGGGGCGCTCTGGTTTCTGGGCGGGCGGGGTGGACGCGCGGATGTAAGCGTCACCGTGCGGGGCCGGGGAAATGCCGGAACGGGGTGAACTGCGGTGGCAGTACGCAGCTGAGATGATGGTGGTTTGCCTATTTATGAACAACTTCTTGACAACTTCGTGTTTGTGCATGTATAGATCGCGGCCAGATCCACTGGACCTTTAGCTCATCAAATCGGGTTCGGATCCGCGGTCCAGCCAAGCTCAGACCCTGGTCAAAGGTCAAAGTATGCGATGAGTACATGCATAAACATAAAAAAACGAGCCTTTCATTGTCCCAGCCACCACGCGCCGCGCGAAACAACCCACGGTCGCAGTGGAGGTCCCGTCCACTAACGGGTGGGAGCGGGCCGTCGGCTCCGCCCGAGCGCGCGATCTGGGGGGTGGCACGAGCGTCGAGCGTCTTTGGATCGTCCCGCTTTTGCTTCTGACCGCGACGTCGTTTTGTTCTCCCATCTGTGCGCCGCGTCGACGACCACAAACATCCCACAGAACTGCGCCTGAATCCGGTCGAATTCCAAGTTCCATATGGAGTCCCTCCCCACCGAGATACTACACGTGATATTCAAGCTCGCATGCACCGACGGCGGCCCCACAGGAGTCCGTCTCGCGCTCGTTTCCAAACACTTCCGCGTGGTCGCGCGGGCGGTACGCTTCCACTCCGTTGCGCTCCGCGACCGCGCCAGCGTCGACATCTTCCACCGCGCGTTTGTCCAGGAGATCAAGGAGGCACAGCAGGGGTCGGAGAACCCATGCACCCCCATCGTCCAGCACCTCTTCGTGGCAGAGCGGGCCACCCAGCGCAGGTTCGTAAACGTTGATACAGAGAACGGAAGGTACCGTGAACGTCCATTCCTCTCTGTGCAGGCGGACGTGTACCTCGGGCGAATTCTGCACCTGCTTCTCCTGCAGCCCCATCAAGAAAGTTCTTACCCTCGCCGCCCCGACCCTCGAGACCCTCGCGCTCGCTGCACACAATATCCCGCTCTCGTTATTGTTCTCCGTGGCGCCTACCCTTCCCGCCCTGCGGGAGCTTACCGTGTTGGGACATACACCGAAGTACTTCTCCGAGCTCCCTCCCGGGAAGTGCGTTCGTGTACTCCCCGCCCTCAAAATGCTCCACCTCATCCTCGAGGACTTCACCACGTCTTCAAAACCCACGACCATCTCGAGCGATCTCAAGAGGTGGTCCTGCGCGGCACCAAAGCTCCACGGCGTCCGCCTGTCCCGCGCGCCTCAGGCGGCGACTCTCTCCTGGTTGTCGGCCATGCTCGGTGCGTCCTTCTGCCTCGCTCGTTCTCTGCGACGCCACTACCACCGCACTTGCCACCGCCTTCGCATCAGTGTCTCGCACATACACCGTCTGATGTGCTCATGTTGCGCGCAGTCCCCAAGCGCGAGGACCGGCCGAGCCCGAGCGTCCGCGCCATCGCCCTCGAGGTGGTCGCCCACCGCCGCGGCGAGCCGGACCAGCTTCCGGAGATAGAGGCGTGCGAGGGGAAGACCCCGGCGGAAATTGCCCTCTGCGTGACGCGCCCGCGCAAGTCGTACGGTGCGTGTCCCGCGTTGGAGACGAAGCTCGAGAGCGAGTGGACGGACAGGGTCGAAGGGTGGGATGGCGGGTGGCCGCGGGTCGTGCTAATCTGAGTCTGCGGGCGATCGAGCGACCAAAGTGCGTAAACCGCGTGCGCTGTACTTTTACTCCACAACTGCTACGGATCCATTGGCTGGAGGTTTCACAATGTAAGAATACATATGACGTTCAATACTTCTGGAGCGTTACATCGTTTCACGTAAACTACACTGCAGTGGGCGCTTTCACGTCTGCAGCTCGCTTCGCGTCGCGCTCTTCCTTCAGGTACCTTATTTCCTCAGGATCGACGACCTTAAACGGACATGTCAGCCAATTCCCGCCGCTGCGTCTAGTCCAGAGCCCCATGTCCTCCAAGAGGTCATCCGCGTGCTGCGGCCAACTGCCCGCAGTACGTCAGTGCTCGAGCTCGCCCCCAACACGCTCCGGACATTACAGACATGCGGAACTCACTTCCAAAACGCGACGTAGCCCGTGATGTTCGGCGTCCGCGCGACCGGGACCTGCGGGTACCGCGCGCGCATCCACGCGCCCGCGCGCTCCGCCTCGGCGCGCGCGTCCGCAGGGGTAGCGAGGAGGCGCATGGCGTCCTCGAGGAAGTAGGCCGAGATCCAGTGCGCGGCGACCTCGTTCGTGTACCCGAAGTTCGCGGAGAGCTTACAGGGAAAGAAAGGGGGGATAGGGCGCGGCGTTTCAGCACGCCGAGCGGGGCGGAAGGGTGGAGAAGAAGAGGGGGAGGAGAGACGTACGACGGCGCCGTTGATGGCGAAATCGCGCTGCGCGATGAGCTTCGTGGGGACAGAAGCGCGCGGCGTCTGGGTGGAGGGGAGGGGCGTGCTTCAAGGTCTTGTAATTCCATTTATGATCGTGCTGCTTGGACGGATCGACTGTCTGCGCGGTCAGTCCAAGTTCACTGAGAGTCTCTGTATAAGCACGTGGGTAAGTAGGATGGGGAAGTTCAAGAGTCCGCTAGGTGCCTTGACTAAATGTCGACCACGAGGACTTGTAACGAGTACCGAAAACAACTGCGCTAGCTGGGATCGATCTGCCGTCCTCCAGCACGAGCGACTGACCGTCGGACCCAAACCTCTCGGCGCGGGCACGGGGTATGAAGGCAATCTTTCCTGCGTTGACCAGAGCGTGAAATCCATTTGCACGAGGTATGCCTTCGTCGTTCGTGCGAATGTTCCAATACATAGAAGAGGTATCGCGCAAGGGAGAATCTCGCGGGAGGTCCATGGCATCGTGCTATAGAGTGTTCGACGAGAATGAAACGCTCAAGCAATTGACAAGTACCTAGTACCTACTGTGCCACCAGAGATCGACAATCTTCCCAGTGGAAGTCTTGTGAAGGAATCTTCTGCAGAGCAAAGGGCTTAAGTACGTACATGACAAAGTAATGGATCAGTACTTACTCGACAGGGGTACGCAGGACGGGATGAGGAAAAAACACTGACATAAGTCTGAACCGGGTGAGTGAGAAACCTCACTAGAACCACTGAGCTTCGCGCTTGCCTGCTTTTCCTCATCCACCCCGGCATTGATTTGGAAGATGCGGTGAACGAATCGAATTTGCTGAAGACGATAGTAACCTTTTGGCCCTGGTTGGCCAGAATCAAATACTCTTGCGCTGACTTGCCTCCACCAGCCACGACGACAGGCGCAGGGTTGCGTTCTCCCTTCGTGGTATCCGCCACAGTGAGGAGCTCCTTACCCCTGGGTCCAATATCAGCACTGTGAAGCACAAGGCCACGGAAGCCTATCGCGGCAGCATCCGATGAACTCAGCCCGTCAGAGAAATTGGGCTCGTTACAACCCTGGAGGTTCACGGATATGAACGTCGGCGTGCCAAGAGAAGTAGCTAGATGACTCACTCCGATGCACATCACGACACGACCGTACTCTCGCGTCTCCTTCTGAGATGATGATGATGATGTATTCATGCCAGAACATTAAGTAACGTCTCCTTCTGAGAGGTCGCGCGATGAGTGAGATCAACCAGCGATCCGGCCCCAGATGGATTGCGGCGGATGTCTCTGACTTCGACCCCGTACTCGATCTTACCCTCCAAGAATTTTGATGCGAAGGCGTCGGTGTATGCGCTGAGGTCGTCTCCCGTGAGTCGTCCGTCCTTTTCGGAGGGGGAGCTCGCCATCGGAGAAAGACATACTCTCCGTGTACACTGCCTCGGCTTTCAGTTGTGGCCCGGAAAAGAGAGCAAAGGTTACACACTTTTTGAGACGTAAACCAGTGTAGACACGGTCACGCGTCCAGACCCCACCCGGAATAACATCCCGAGTGAGAATTTGGACGTTACGGAAGCCGTCACGGACCGGGACGTGGGCGGTGATGAGTCCCGCGACGCCTGCACCCACAATCGCAATGGAGGGCGTGAGTGGGTTCATCCAACTAGGGGATAGTGAACTGAGATGCTAAGAGGAAAGGACGAGAGAGAGCGCGACATTCATCAGTCCTTGTATACAGCCAGGCACATCACAGCCCCCAAGGCGTACGAGGCCAAGCCCGCGTGAGTCGGACGAGCGCGCAGAGCACGATGTGCTCGTGCGCACGAGCCGGACGGGCGATGCGAACTTCGGAGGGCGACGCGGACGAGGACGTCGAGGGCGGCAGCAGCCCTGACGGGTGAACCAGTAGGGGAGAATATGTGGCAGGAGAGCGGAGCGGGGGACTCACCGAAACAAAGGCCCGCGGTACATCGTCGCGGCCGCCATATCCTGATCTCCATACTGAGGACATCCGGATGGACGTCCTCCAGCTCGTTGAGGTACGTGTCGTAGACCCGGATGGGACCTGGGGAGGAAACAGGCGAGGTGAAGCGCAGGACAGGTGCAGACTCTTCGGGGCACCAGGACCGTAGCAGCTCGCCGCGGCCCTTGAAACCCAATCTCCTGGTCGAGAATTTCCGGATAGACGTCCTCGGGCTGTCTTCAGCGTCCAGGACGAGGCTGGCCGGGTGGGTGAATGGGCGTGTCCACATCATGTCCGCTCAGACCTGCTCGCGGACGCGCATATGTGACTCATAGGGATAGAATGAAAATAATAATAAAAAAAGACCTGCTCGCGGCGATGGGAAAAGCGAGGAGCGCAAAAGGGGAGCCTAGCGGGGCAGACTCGTTGGTAAGAGCGGGGCCGCGGTGCGATGTGGTGGGCCTGAAATACTAATCACTGCGCTGAGGACGTCGCGTCCTCGGTGTAGTGTTAGGGGGAGAGCAGGTGCAGAAGGAAGTGAGGGACGCAGACGATGGCGAGAGGGCGGGTGAAGTCGACGGCGCGAGCGGAGGACGAGATATATTGCGGTTTCGAATCCCGCCGGGGTAAAGCTCCTCAGGCAGCAGCAGGCAGCGCAGGGAAAGAATTCAGAAAATAAGAAGTTGGTAGAGCCAAGTCACGTGAGTTGTGACCGACGCGTTGAACGCGTTGCGCGCGCGCGTCTCGGACGCGCGTCATTCCTTGCCTCCGTCTCTCACTCACACTGTACACCATGGCCTCCGAAGAACCAATCGGGCGCATGCCTACCGTCTCAGGTTTGCTTCCGTATTGTCTACGCATGCACGAGCACGCACTGATGCTTACATTCCAGGCTTCAGGCTCGCAAAGCCGATTGGTGGTGGCGGTTTTTCTGTGTGAGTGGCGTCGCACTGGTTCTCCTTGGCCGTCCCCCGCGTCGGTGGACGCCGCCCGCCCGCCCTGCAATGCGGCACTCTCTGTGGGGTGTCTTGAATGCTTCTCCTCCTCGTATCTTTCTCCTCGTGATTCAAACTTCCGTGCTCATAGCTCGTGTATCCTAGCGTGTACAAAGCCATAAACACTAACACCAACCAGGTCGCCGCCTGCAAGGTCATTTCCATCACTTCTGAGATGGGCTCGTTGCAAATGAACGCGATCGACAAAGAGATCAAAATCCACACCGCCCTCAAGTACCGCCATATCCTCGAGCTCATCGGCGCCGCCAAGTTGTCCCCCGAGCAGGCCGCCCGGGGCGGGTACCATCCGGCTTACTACCTCCTGATGGAGATCGCTGCCGGGGGGGACCTGTTCGACAAGATTGGTAAGTCCTATCTCTTTCGTCACCGCATCCAATGCTGACGCTGCTCGCGCAGCGCCTGACGTCGGTCTCAAGGAGAACATAGCGCATTGGTACTTCACCCAAATGATGAAAGGCCTCGTAAGCTGCCGGTCCGCCACGCTCTCGTCCTCCACGTTTAACGCTGTCGCTCGCAGATATACCTGCACGAACAGGGCGTATGCCATCGCGATCTCAAGCCGGAGAACCTCCTGCTCGACGCTGCAGGGACGCTCAAGATCAGCGACTTTGGTCTCTCTGCTGTGTACAAGATCAAAGAGACTGGCCAGACGCGCATGCTCAAGGATCGCTGCGGCAGCTTGCCATACATCGCCCCGGAAGTGCGCGCCATCGGTCTCCTCCACGTCGCACAGCATACTGATCTCGCTCCCAGCTCGCCTTCTCCGACCCGTACGAGGCAGAGCCGATTGACGTCTGGGGGAGCGGCGTGATTCTGTACACAATGCTGGCAGGGAGTGAGCGCACGCCCCGTTTCAACCGGTCACGCTCGCTGACGCTCCGACAGACACCCCGTGGGATGAACCGACGCGGGGAAGCCAGGAGTACTCTGGGTACCTGACCGGAGAGGCCTTCAACTTCAATCCATGGGCCAGGTTCTCTCGACCCGTCCTTTGTACATCTACTCTGTGTTCCTGCAGGGTCTTAGGTGACTGACCCCTCGAACGCATACACAGCGCTTGTTACCGGGATGCTCGCAATCGACCCGAAGCAGCGGATGACGCTCGTAGACGTGGCCATGGACAAGTGGACGTCAGCGTGAGTGCCACCGCGGTCTGCGGCCTACTTAGCGCTGACACGAAGGTGCACAGACCAAGCCCGTTCCAGAATCAGGGCCCGCGCGCGATCGCGGAGTCGCTCACGCAGGGGCTCCGCGAGAACCGGGACATGTCGCTCGCTGGCCTTCAAGAAGGGCTGGACGTCAGTGTCATCCCCGGGACATACCTCTCTCAGTTTACGCAGTCCCTGATGCTCTTCGTGCGTCTCCGTTCTTTCGCTCGCCCGCCCGCCCGCGCCCGCTGACGGTTCGCGTAAAGTCGCAAGTACCCGGAGCGACGCGTCCGCGGTACCTGAAGTCGCTCACGCGCTTCTTTGCGGGCCTGCATCCACGCGCACTCTTGATGCTGATCATGGACGCGCTGACGGAGTTGGGCGTGAAGTACAACCCAGCGAAGGAGCTCACCGCGGACCCGGACGACCCCGATAGCCGCCCGCAGCTGCGGATGCGGATCGGGGGCAAGGACAGACGGAAGTTGATCATGAAGGGGTACGTGGAGATTGAGGAGTTCGAGTTCGAAATTGGGGACAAGCAGGCGCAGGGTTCGTTCGTTGTTTTCGACCGGGATGTGGTGAGTCGTCGTCTTGGTGTGAGCGGAGACGGACGGGGACTGAGGATGAGCACAGGGAAACCCGTTGGAATGGCGGCTGTTGTGGAAACTGGTCGCGCAGCACCCGCTGGTCGCGCCGCACGTGTTGACGAAGAGGCAGTTGGAGGGGCAGTGAGGGGCTCGGAGGCAGAGTCCGAGATGTACAGTATGCAATCACATGTGCAAGATATAGTGAACACCGATGTATGAATGCGCATATCCCGAGTCGGTTTGGAAATTCTTGGGAAGTGCGGGCGGACGGCAAACGCGACCACGAAGGAAGGGTGCGATTTCACGGCGACCGGAGTGCGCTCGGCGCTCGCCACGGCTTTATCTCACACCACCATGTCCCCCGGCCACACCCATCCTGCTTTTCTGTCCCCCATGATGGACGCGATGGACGGCGCCGACGAGTCACAAGCAGCGCCTGCGCTCATGAAGACCAAGCTCCCGAAGAATCAGAGGTCCTGGCGGTCCTCAGGTACAGACAAGCCCGCCGACGTGCTTCCGCCCCCTCGCGCCCGTTTCTGAGCATCTCCTCCGTACACTGCCGCAATGGGTACAAGATCCTCAAGTGACTTACGTCTGCGTCCCGCATAAAGGCATATGAGTTCCACCTTGCACTTGCGGGCGCTGTCATCGACGGGAACGGGACGGACTTCAAGCCCGGAGACGAGATATTTGGGTGCAACCCAGTCCGTGAGTCTTCCCGTCTCTGCGTCATCATCCACACTCTCGCGCACCAACACCAACCCTTCCGTCCCTCCTCGCGTTCGTAGCCGCGACGATCTGGTCCACCTGGGGCGCGCTCGCGGAGCACACCCGCGGTCGGCGCGCGGGGGCTATCCAGCTCGCAAAGGCATGGGGCGCGCGAGGAACGAGTACGTGCGCGTGATGGGAGCGGATGTGTTCTTAGATTACGCAAAGGCGCCGCTGCATGAGCAGCCCGCGGCGGCGGCGAAGGAGGAGACGGCAAACATGAATGCATGAAGGACGAGGGGGCACGGCCTTAACACAAGCGCCCATTGGTAACGCCGGTCAACGGAGCCCGGAATTTGAAGCGGCAAGTTGAGGACACTGGCATCGTCCGAAGACCGAGTCTAGACTCTCAAGATTCGGCGAACGAGATCGAGAACCTTGATCATGTATAATCCGGATTCCGGGACCCCAACACAGAGCATGGCAGGAATGACCAGAGCATCTTTTCGGAGACCGCTGCGTGCATCCGCGGGCGAGGTCGTTGTCATACCACGTCACTTCCACATGATGTAATCCAGCGGTCATAGATTATAAAGCTGTGAGGTAGGCAACGGCTGTAGGCCCCGCTCACGCTCCTGAAAACCGAAGTACGAGCATGACCACACCGCCAAGGGGATAGTCTTGGAAAAATCGACCTAAGTCCGCGATGAATGGGGTCGATTGGGTTCGTGAAAGCTTCTCTGAGCGGCGCGTTCCCTCCGTTGAACGTGGAGGTCTGCCGAGGGGAGACTACGCGCCCTCGTCTTTTGCTTACGGCTGTGATCCCCGCGCGATTCGGCGCTGCCATCCTGGAACGCTGAGCGGAAGCGGTTGTGGCGCGTCGGCAATGGGCCAGGAGGTAAGAGCGGTGCGCCAAGGCGCCTGCGCAGTATGCATTCGGAAGTAGAGGGAGGCGAGGGGGGCGAGGGTGGCGAGGTGGCATGTTCGTCGCGGTTTGAGGGGAGACCGCGTCCTGGCCAGTGGCGAGAGGTGGCGAGGGCGTGGGAAGCGCTAGATTAGATAAACGCTGGCGAGATCAGATTCAAGCGGTCGGCGCTCGGCGAAGACTCGTATAAAAGCGGTGGCCCAGAACGCACCAAGTTGACTCACTCCCTCACCTTCCCCTCCTCCTCCCCCTCATCGGTGAGCCAGTCAGATGTATATCATACAGGGTAGAGACGCTGATTGAAGTCCCAGAATTATGAACGGATCTTCCTGCGAGTGGACCCCAAGCTCGTGGAGGAGCAAGCCCGCCGCTCAGGTGACGGTTCACAGACTCGATCAGCTCAGAAATATCAGCTGATGTATTTTCAAAAATGCAGGAGGTCGTCTATCCAGATTGCGAGAAGCTGACCAAGTGAGTTGCGACCAGCTCCCAAGACGGTTTCGAGAGCTGACAGACTCGAAGAGTTCTCAATAAAATCAAGACGCTCCCGCCTCTTGTGTCATCTTCCGAGGTGAGAAAGTGCTGTATGGGTCCATAAGAATTGACTGAAGCCGTTTACAACAGATCGAGCGTCTCAGGACACAATTGAGCTCAGTGCAGAAAAACAAGGCTTTTCTTCTTCACGCTGGCGACTGCGCTGAAAGCTTCGACGCCTGCACCCATGTCAGCTGAGAGCTACACCGGAAGAACGTGCATACTAAAATGGATTTTTACAGGAAAATATCTCCAACAAGATTGGGTTGATCCTCTCCTTCTCTCTTATAATCATCTGGGGGGCGCGTCTGCCCATCGTCAGTTCTCGTCACAGTCACGCCATCTGCTGTTGTGCTCACACTATGTCCTCACAGGTGCGCATTGGTAGGATCGCAGGACAGTATGCTAAACCTAGGAGTAGCCCTACAGAAAAGATCGGAGACCGTGTTGTCATGAGCTTCCGGCGAGTATTCTAGTCCGCCCCCGTTCCCCGCGGGCTGACAATTTTCCGGTTTCAGAGGAGACAACGTGAATGGGTACGCCAATAATAGTACAAAAGTGGTGTGTACCATCTCACCTGCGCCCACAGACTCGACCCAGATGACCGCACTCCCGACCCGAACAGGATGTTGACGTGAGTGCCACGCTCGTTTCCGACATCGCGGAGAGTTGATGCCCCACGACTGCTTCGCAGCGCATACTTTCACTCTACCACCACTCTCAATCACGTCCGTAGTCTCCTGACGTCCGGGTTCGCGTCTCTGCACCACCCCAAGGACTGGTCGCTAGGCCACGTTCGTTCCCCGGCTGTGCGGTAGGTCTCCCGTGTGCGCCACGCCCTCACAACCGCTCTAACGCATCGCGGCGCGCAGCGAGGAGTTCGAGCGCATTACGGAAGGCCTCTCCGACGCGCTCGAGTTCTCGCGCACTATCGGCTTCGCCAAGGACAGCCTGAGCTACGAGCACGGCGGCGGGCGTGGCGCCCTCGGCGAGGTTGACTTCTACACCAGGTCCGTCCCCCTCTCGCGCGCCGCGCGGCGGTGGCGGCCGCGCTGACCAGTTCCGTCTCCCTCCAGCCACGAAGGGCTGATGCTCGACTTCGAGGAGGCGATGACGCGCGAGTTCGCGATCCCGTCCTCGCTCGGCTCGTTCGACCCGGACGGCCAGGCCGCGCGCGCGCACTACAACACCTCCGCGCACTTCCTCTGGATCGGGGACCGGACGCGGCAGCTCGACGGCGCGCACGTCGAGTACTTCCGCGGCATCCGGAACCCGATCGGGGTCAAGGTCGGGCCCACGATGAAGGCCGACGAGCTCGTGCGCATGCTGGACAGTGAGTGCCTCTCGCAGTGCGCTCCGCCGAGCGCGGAGTCGCCGACCCGCGCGCGCGCTCACCGCCCCGCAGTCGTCAACCCGGATCGCGAAAGCGGCAAGGTGACGCTCATCACGCGCTACGGCGCAGGAAAGGTGGGTGGACGGGTGCCGACGCGCACCGCCGTTCGCCCCGCTGACGCGTGCAAGCACAGGTCGAGGAGCACCTGCCGGGGCACATCCGCGCGGTGCAAGAGTCTGGGCACCCGGTCATCTGGATTTGCGACCCCATGCACGGAAAGTGAGCGTTCCTCCGCCACCCGTCAGCGCAGGGTTCGCATGTGCTGACACGCGCGGCGCAGCACGTTGACGTCGTCCTCGGGCCTCAAAACGCGCACCTTCGGCACAATCATCAGCGAGCTGACGGCGTGCCTGCGGGTGCACGCCGAGTGCGGGTCGAACCTGAACGGCGTCAGCCTCGAGTTCACAGGCGAGCTCGCCGAGGACGGGTTCAGCGTCACGGAGTGCATGGGCGGGAGCATGGGCCTGCTCGAGGATGAACTGCCCCTCCGGTACCAGTCGTTCTGCGACCCGCGCCTCAATTTCGAGCAGTCGCTCGGTGCGTGCGCACATGCGAGACTTGGCGATGTACTGACGATGATTTGTAGATGTCGCGTTCTTGATCTCGGACCACTTCAAGAAGCAGCGGAGTGGGTCGAAGAGCTCCTACGGGGACGTTCTGTACAACGAACTTGGCGGCAGGAAGACGACGAGGGGATGACTCAACGGACGAAGATCTCGTCTTCGGAAGGGCCATATGATCTAACATGAGAAGTACGCTGAAGGGGCATCTTGTAAACAATGTAAGCTGTATCTGTATGAGGATGCATATATATGTACATCGACTACCTTTGCGTCGCATGTCAAACGAGATTTCAATGCATCTTTAGGATAGAGCGATTAGATAAGATCGAGGGACTCCAGCGCGCGATCGCTATCTTCCAAACGCCCGTCGCCGCCTGCAGCTTGCGCTCCGCCGTCACCGTGCACACCGACCCCTTCCGCCTCTCTATCCCATCTACACAGTCTCCACATCCCCCTATGGCGAGCACGGAAGAAGCGGCCACCTCTGCGCCCCCAGCGCCCCCTGTGCCGCTCTCGGTGCTCTACTGCGAAGGTCCGCCGCTCCCTCCGCCGGCCGCGCGCACGCACCCGTCCTGACGAGCCCACGATCGCGCGCGCCCGGCAGTCTGCTCGTTCCCGCTCGAGTACTGCGAGTTCGGCGCGAGCCTGACGAAGTGCAAGGAGTGGCTCAGGGAGGAGCACCCGGCCCTGTTCGACAAGTACTATTCCGAAGGTGCGTCTCGGGTGATGGGCGGTTGAAAGGGGCTGGGGGCGCGGGCCTGGGCGACGATGGAGGGCGTGGAGGAGGGCGGTGCGGGCGTCGGGCTCACGCACTGCGTTTTAGAGGCGCTGCAGGCCAAGATTGGGACGCTGAGCTTGGAGGCGCAGGAGAAGCTGGAGAAGGACACGGCGAAGAAGGAGGCGAAGGCTGAGGCGAAGGCGGACGCGGCTCTGAAGAAGAAGATGGTGTGTGACATGTTCGTTCGTTGAGCGGCACTCTCTTACTTCCTTTTTTTCAGGCCTCACAAGTGAGTGAACACCTCTGAGCGATCGTGCCGTCTTCTCATCCAGGATGTATCTGCAGGTCACGATCAAGCGGATTGAGCGGAATAAGCGGAAGCACGTCACATCCATCCACGGGCTGGAGGCTTTCGGTGCGTTCCATGCATCCTCGTTTCCTCCAGTGTGCCCGACTCAGTGTTTTTCGCTATGAAAGATGTCGACCTGAAGAAGGCGGCCAAGTTCTTCGCGCAGAAGTTCGCGACCGGGTCGTCGGTGACGAAGAACCCTCAAGGTCAAGACGAAATTGTTGTCCAAGGAGACGTCAGTTACGACATTATGGAGATGATCGAAGAGGGCGTGGGACTGCTCAAGAGCGTACCGAAAGAAAACGTGGTGCAAGTTGAGGAGAAAGCGAAGAAGGGTGGTTGAAGGATGGTTCCCAGCTAGGCCGAAATGTATCACCGCTCCCTGGTAAGCGGCCCTCCTATCATCAAGTTCTCCAGCCTTCTAATGTGCGGGACTTCGCCCAGTATCATATATACCTAGCCGAGCGCCCTGTCTCAGTGATTCTTATCCTCTTGGGGTGGTTCCACACACCAGCGAACACCGATGCCCAACCATGCAGATAACTCGAACGCAACGCTCCCGACCAGCAAGCCGTGTGCACGGAAACCGTGTTAATCAAACAGTCATTAATCGAGTTTGAGACCCCCGAAACCCAATCTACCTAAGCAGTTGTGGTATTCATACCCCTCATCAACCATTTCACCCTGCCGCCAATTCGGAAGCTAGGGACAGTGAGCGGGGACAGTTCCGTACAACTCGCTACAGCGCTCGGGAAAACCATCCTCATCGGTACGTTCCCCTCTATCTCTCGCGCATGCAACTCCATATACGCGCTCACTAGGGGCCAAAAAAGTGTCTTTCCGCGACTCGCCCGTCATTTCGTCCCCACTTGACACATGGCCCTGATTTCCCGCGTACGTCCTTAATAATCGCTCTCTCGTGCATTTCCTCATTCCCGTTGATACCCAGCTGGGGGGAACTTCCTTGACGGCCACGCGGTCGACACGTTCATTGCACCCCGATGGAGACCATTGTCGCCTCGCGATTGTCACCCACTTTCGCGCGACGTCCCCGCACGTCAGCGCGGAACAGTTGTGCTACCGCGCGACTTCCATTGACTCTGGTTCGCCTATCATTCTTTGTCTTCCACTGCGCACGATCTCATGTACGTGCGACAGACGGCTGCCGTACGGTATATTGTCACGTTCCTAGAGGCCGAGCAACGGCTCTACAAACATCGTCGGGGATATGTGGTCATAGATGTGTTTTCACTTGTCCCCGCGGGCCCGCAGCGACGCATTGCTCAACGTGTGAGTTCTATTCTTCTATGAGCTTTTCGCCCGCCTCACACTCAGACTCCACAGCTGACGTGCGCCGGTCCTGTCGCAGCTACGTACCGCGCACGGCACCAGGTCGATCCGCATGCTGCTTGCCGCACCTCCCGATTCGAAGACCGCACTCCGGGTCGGGGACGGGCTGTTCTGCGTTGGGCGCGCGCGATGCAGGAGCTGCAGCACGCACCCTCCTTCGGCGGGTCACTGTGTGGACCGCGACCACGGTTGCGGTGGATGGACGGGTGGGTTGGGAGTGCGCAGGTCACGACGAAACGTGATCAAGGTGTGTCTCGTCGGCGATCGCTGCCAGGCTGACATCTTGCTCGACAGTACACACGAGACCGCTTCTGTGCCGCCGGGCGGCTGCATTCAAGAACGGGAACCGTCCTTGTCGCGAGAGCGTGGAGACGGGCGGCGGCGTTGGTGGAGGACACACGATGTCAGTCCTCGCGCGGTTGAGGCAGTGCGCACGGTTTAGAGGCTTGAAGTACCCGCCATCCGCCGGGCACTGAAGGCGCGGACAACGTCCGCAAGATTGGGCGTCGCCCTTGAAGGCATGCGGGTGACTAGTATGCGGATATATAGTACTAGTAGACATGTTCGGCTGCACAAGACCAAAGTAGCGTGATGATTGAGCACCAGGCCAGGTAGGGAAGGCACTGAGCGCATCTGAAGTGGTCTGGTTAAGTACACGGTGCATGCGCACTGTACGGCACGTGGTGGACACCGTAAAATCCTCATAGCAGGAGAGGCGGAATTTATAGTTTGCTCGTGACCAGGCAGTGCTAGACATAGTTGCAACTCAAATGCGCGGCTGGCCGCACGTTCTTTATCTGCCCATCTATCGTCCTGTATCCCTTCTCGTGCTCTACGACATGCAAGCCATAGACCCTACGCGGCCGTCCCCCCGGGTTCCTCCTGAGATTTCGGACGAAATCATACGATGCCTCGACCCATCACCGTGGACGGACAGAAAGACACTATTCCATTGCATGCTCGTTTCCCACAGCTGGCTCCCCGCAAGCAGATATGTCCTCTGCTCCAGCCCCGGCATCCTTCAGCCATTGGAGACAGCCCGTCTATTTCTCACCCGCGAAGTTATTCAGACTTCCCCTCCTCTCCGACAACTTACCACCGGTGCTGAAGATTCCAAGAGACCCTCTCCGTCTCTGGGAGCCGTGTTCATTTGCATGGCAATCCACGCACCCGACCTTGAAGCCCTCACACTCAGTCATGTCGCATCGACTTCCAAAATCCCACATCAGTCCTTCCTATCTATCTCCGCCCTCACGAAACTCACGACACTATCCTTAACATATTGCAAGTTTCCCTCGTTCGCGATTCTTGGACGCACACTTGCCGCAATCCCTAATCTACGTGATTTTACCACATATGAAGTTGAATTCCCTATATCGCCTAACGACACCGTGATCAAGTCGTACACAAGCCCCAGACCGAAGCTGCACAGCGTCTCACTGTACGGGTTTGAAAACGAGGAGCGAAGGTGCCTCGATGTCCTGTTGCACTACATCGCAAACACCTCATCCTGTACTTCACTCAAAACCGTCGCTGTTTCCAAGCAAAGAGAGCAAAACGCCTCCAGTCTGTTTGCGGCACTCCACACAGCCGCTCTTGCAAATCTTCTGCCAGCAGTGGATGACTTCCAATTCGCAGATGAATCTCACGTTGGTACGACTTCCCACAACTAGACACAGACCCTCGTGTCAGCATGCTGACACTGGCACCCACATAGACATATCTTTCCTGTCGAGCTTGCAAAATGTGAGAATACTCAGCCTCAATTTCTACCGGGGTACAACGGATACTCTACTCGAGATCGCGCGGGGCCTGGTGCAAGGAAACAGTCCCCACCTCGTTGATCTCACACTTTCCCTGCCCCTCGTCGCCTTCACCCTTGCAACGGAGGCAGACTTCATCGAGCTCGCCGAACTCACCTCCCGCACACCCTTCTCCAATGTGAAGAAAGCGAGAATTTCCCTGTACTTGGACAACATCTGGACAGAAGACGGTGATATAACGCTGGGGGACGAAGAGGATATAAAGGCATCTGGAGCACGAGCATTGGAAGTCTTGGCTATGGTGTGGCCCCTCATCCATCAAGATGCACAAGTAGACTTGTCTCTAGGCAACAGCTCTTCGGAGATCTGGGAGTGGAGCCGGAAAGAAAAGGATGGAGAGATGAGAGAGAACTGGGAAAGTGAGGTCGAGACGGGAACATGCTTTTGGCAAGGAGAAGGTTTGTCAAACAGTGACATGACGCATCTCATGTTGACTGACAAGCGAACGAGCAGGAAAGTTTTGGGATATTCTCAAACCGGAACCCGAGACGTAGTGAACATGTTATCGAACGAAAGTGAATGCAACGCGGTAGAGGAGATGTCTTTGCTACTCAGAACTCGGCCGTGAATACTCAGATACGATCCCTAGACTTTGTCAGACGACACCGTGCCACGACGTTCGAAGCCTACTTCTCTTTCTTCTGACGGAGTCCTTCTTTTCTGGTGAAGCTTTAGACAGAATGGTAAACGTGTTAAACATACGAATAATGCACTATACTAACCACAAAGCTTCGATCCCAGCCGAAAACAACCCATGCTCTGATTGAATAAGCGTAAATGTTTCTCACAATCCTCTGATGCGCCGATCCAACTAATGTGCGACTGGCGATCTCCTTTACCGAGTGCCCGTGTCAACGTGTTGCGCCGGTGGAAACCTCCCCCGCGGGCGCCGAGTCGAGATCGCCGCGCTGAGTCGCGCACCTGAAGTGCCAGACGATGCCTCTTGGTCGCGCGTGCCGCGGGAAGTCGGATCTTGTCCACGTGTGCCAGGTTGGTCAATTGTCCGCAGACGGGACGGGAGGAGGAGCCTCGCAGGACCGAACAAGTTATGCGCCAGATCGGCAAGAACGACTCACCGTGTGCCCAAGAACAGTCTCGATCGCGGGCGCGCTGCTCCAGAGCGAGATTGCCCTTCTCCGCCACGGCCTGTCCCTGCTTGACCGCCCAAACACTTGCGCGACTTCCCCGATGGCGACGATGTGCGCTGCGGCATGTTCGACGACATCGAGGTTCGCCTCGGCTGGGGTGCGAGCGCAGAGGTCGTTCGAAAGGTCCCAGAAACCGGGCTCGTGGTGTTTGGAGAAGTCGTCGACGTCGGAGGTGAGCGTCGGAGCCTGGAGGTTGGGGCACTGGCGTTCGACAGGAAAACGCTTCTGATCACATGATCGAGCTCCCTCAGGGCAACAGCGTGAAGCGCGCTAGTTCGTCGCCAACACACCCATCACCACACCATCACCAGGGGCTCTCAATATTTGTGGCTTCTCAGCTCACATCGCGCCGAGCTACACTCATTTCTATCTCCACAGGCGGTCAGCGGAGGCTACGCGATTCTTTCCCACACCTGGAGCCAAACGGAGGTGTCTTTTCACGAGATGCTGTGAAGCCACAGGAGAAAACCCACGAGACTTGGTATCAGACAAGATCCGCCAGACATGCATCCTGGCGGAGGAGCATGGCTACGACTGGGTCTGGATCGACACCTGCTACATCGACAAGACGAGTAGCACCGACCTCTCCGAGGCCATAAACTCGATGTTCCTCTGGTACTCGTACGCGGAGATCTGCTACGCCTACCTCGACGACGTCCCCAGCGACGACGAATTGGACACGGAGACGTCGGCTTTCCGCAGGGCGCGCTGGCACACGCGCGGCCGGACGCTCCAGGAGCTCATCGCACCATCCCTTCTCCTCTTCATCTCCCAAGACTGGGTCGTTATCGGAGACAAAATTGGGTTGGCCTCGCTCCTTTCCAATATCTCCGGGATCCGTAGGAAGGTCATCACGCGCGAGAGCCATTTCACCACTGTCAGTGTCGCAGGGCGCATGTCCTGGGCGTCGAACCGACAGACAACTCGTCTCGAAGACGAGGCCTACTGTCTCATGGGGCTGTTCGCCGTCCACATGCCGACAATCTACGGCGAAGGTCGCCAAGCTTTCCAGCGTCTCCAGCACCAGATCATGCAACAGCGGCTCGACACGACCCTCTTCGCCTGGGGCAGGTGGATGTCGACGGTGATGACGTCCATTCCGGCCGAGGAGATCTACAAGTCCTTCGCGACTACGAAGAACAACCACATATATCTCCTCGCGAAGTCTCCACACGATTTCGAGAAGCCTTTCGGGAACATGAACGTCTACTTCACCCTCACATTGACCATCCCTCTACAACCGTACCTTCCCGGCCACTGGAAGAACAGGGTCAGTCTGATGTTGTAGCCGCATCGAGTCATCGTCTCACACGACCTGCCACAGGAACCTCCGCCCAACGTTGACCCGACCACAGGGCCCTTCGGCGTGCTCGAGGTACCCCGCTTCCAGCTCACCAACTACGGCGTCGAGTGCCGACTCCCCGTGTTCGAGTCCGGCGGGATCACCATCGCGGTCCTCTTCTCCGAGACGCGCGACAGGCACATAGGCCTCCTCCTCCACCCGTCGACCGCGAAGATGCAGGACGCCGCGCGGCCCAAGTACCACGTCGGGCACGGGTTCCGCCGCGCGAACGGCTCGCTCTGCGTCCGCCGACTCGTCGCGCTCGGCGCCGACTGGCACGCGTTTGAGTTCAACGGGGAGCGCGTCCCCGCGGGCGCGTGTCGCTGGCGCGACCTCTTCATCGCGGACGCGCCGCCCGCGCGCGAGCGCGACGAGCGGCTCGTGATCTGCTACGCGCTACATTGCCTGCGGCCCGCGCCACCGTTCTGGGTGCCGCACTGGCTGGTCGGACGGCTGGCGGCGCTCGGGCTGGAGCTGAGGCGGCCGACGATCGTGAGCCATCCGAGCGCGGAGGGGGAGCCGTTGCTGTGCATGCTGCGCTTCCAGGCCTTGCGCGGGAGGGAGGCGGTCCAGATCGTCATGGGGACGTGTGACCAGTGCGTCTTGAGCGATGAAGAAGACGAGGAAGACGATGGGTCTGAGGAAGCGTCAGGTGGAGGGGAAGACGACGCGGATGAGGACAGAGCACAGGACTCCGGGGCTGATGCCGAAGAAGTAGACGGTACGGACACCGAGGAACTGGAAACAACCCCAGAGCCCGAGCCCACTACGGACACCGAACAAGAGCCGGAGGTCGACCTGACAGACGACAACGCCACGGTAGCATCCGGGGCAACCTCTGAGACCGAAGAAGCCCCCCGCCTCGGTGCGAACTACACGCATCCCGTCCACTGGGCACGGGTCTCGGTGTACTCCAAGGCGAACTGGAATTTCAAGACCGAATGGACGCACGACTGCGAGACAGACCACGTCGATGCGTGGCCGGGGATGAGCTGCGATTTTGGCGACGACGAGCGCACCGTGCGCCTGTCGTTCGCGCGGAGTCCCGTCGCGCCGGAGGTGACGGTCATCGCACACATCGACCTCCTCGGGACTGTGTATGAGGCGTTGAAGGCGCGAGCGCAGGTCGTTCTCACGCCTCCTCGCCGCGAGGGAGGTCTTCCCGCGCCGAGGCGTACCCTGACGATGGAGACGGCGCCGACAAGGGCATCATCGGAGTCGGAGTCGGAGTCGGAGTCAGTTTCTGGATCGGACATGGTTTCTGTTTCTGACACAGGCTCGGCATCCGCTTCGGGATCAGAGGATGGGCAGGAATATTGGTACGATGCAGAATGAGTGCTGCCATACGGAATGCGCAAACTGTAGTATTGTCACGAGTCGGCAGACCATTGTAAGGATCCGGGGGTGGTGTTCCTCGGGTGAGTCTTGAGGCCGTCGCAGGTGCGTTAGATCCACGTCTATAGTGGGGATACAACACGAGGGTAGCGACGATGGTGGTAGTAAGACTAGCGTAGCGTATGCCGGAGACTTGTGCCTATAGTAGTGACCCTAACCCAGGACCGAGTCCTGACACTACTCAGGTGTGGAGGGAACATATAATTAATGAATGAAATCGTATATCATCTAAAACAACTATTCAACTCTGGCATATGCGGGTTAAAAACGACCATGGTATGCAGAAATGTTGCTCCATAATCCGTTGGACCGACTCTGTGCACGCCGAACGTAGTCTCCAAAGTCACTGCGCGAAGCGACAGTGTTTCTTCCCACGGCCCCCAGCCACCGCGCAATGCGCTCCCAACTCCCTCGATGCCCGAGTCCAATCCCCGCTAGCTCTGCCCATCCATCATGCTGGACCCACGCAGCTCACCTACCATCGCCGACGCGCCATTCAACCGTCCTTCAGCAGACACTATACTCCGCACCGCTGACCACGTCGACTTCCACGTGCATCGCATCATCCTCATCCAAGCATCCCCCTTCTTCGCCGACATGTTCTCACTGCCGCAACCGCAGAACGTCGTGCAGGACGCTCCGGTCATTGACGTATCTGAGGACAGCAAGACCCTGCGTCATCTTCTCCAGATATGCTATCCCACCGATCGCCCGGTGCTCGAGTCCTTGGACGACCTCGTGCCTGTCCTAAGGGCGGCGATGAAGTATTCCATGGACTGGCTGGCCAAAACGCTGTCCAAGTCCTTCATCGCTGCCATTCCTCAATTCCCATTCCAGGTGTGGGCACACGCTTGTCGTTCGGATCTCCCCGAGGTGGCGAGGCAGGCGATCGCAGAGATCAAAGGACGCAGCACAGAGACGATCACGGCGACCGGCGTCCTGGACAGTTTACTGCAGGACGCGGGGCTCGGAGCGCTTGAGGGCATAAGCTCTGGTACTTACTACCGCCTTCGGGAGTGCCTCCGCGACGGCGACCAGTCCACCTTCACTGTCGAACCTCTCCCCAATCCCCTGCCCGCACAGGAAGTATTTTCATGCATCACCGAGCCTCCCCCCGATGTAGCCTTCAAGTGCTCGGACGATGTGGTGATACACGCACACAAAGTGATAGTCGCTCTCCACATCCCCGACCTACTTCCTCCTCAAGGAACGCAATCGTTGCCCTGCGGCACCGCGGACGAATCCGAACCACTCCAAACTATCCCTATTTACGGCACCAGCATGCGCTCCGCGACGTTGTCCGATCTGCTGCGAGCATGCTACGGCGGCGCTCCCGCCATACCCGCCGACACCGTTGCCGTAGCTCGAATGCTGCTCGAATGCCAGAAGTCTCACATCACTACGCATCTCGCGACACTCGTGAAGAAGCAGTGGGACGACCTCGCGTCTTCGTCCCCGTTAGCAGCGTACTTCGCCGCGGTCCAGCAAGGGTTACCGCCGGAGATCATACAGGCTGCCGCTCGGAACACCTTGGACATCGCGCTGCCCCGAGGATACACGCCGTGCATGGAGGACGTGCCCGCTTCCGCCTATCACTTTCTGTTGCAGTTCCACTCCGCGGCAACGGAGGCTGCAAGCGGACAGGTTCAGCGAGCGAAGGACCTCTGGTTGTCTAAGCTGTCGCCAATCGCAATAGGAGGGTACGACGCCAGATACTACGCATGGAACTTTTTGCCCTCAGCTCTAGGATGGATGTCAGATCCTCTGGACGTCGCTGCGAAGGACTTGCGAGACGGGACGTGGGCGCCACGAGGGAGTTTCGCCGAATTCAGCCTGGAGGCTCGGACGAAGACTCCGACGTACAACTCTATATGGCCGCTGAATCCACCTGGTTATTTCAATATTTTTCACGATACGTTATGTGAGGTGTGCCATATGTTGCAAGATGGACTCGAGGAAGTGCTTGCCTCGGTGAGACGACTTTCGCTTGGCACACATTGTCAGTCCACTTACGGGCTCTCAGGTACCCCCGGTCCAAACTGACGCTGAACCAAACGCAGTGATAACGTGCCGCGTGGTCTGAGTTACGGTGCGTAAATTTGTGGAAGCCGGTCATCGGCGTACCTGATGTAGAACCTTTCCTAGCTTGAGAGTGCGAAGGCGAAGGTCGGAGTCGAGAAGCCCAGCTTGAACGGACACACGTAGGGAGGGAGTTTCACTAGGCCCTGGAGTATGAAGTACATACTGAATGTCGTCACTGTAGTTCGCTTAAAATGCCCTTGCGAGCTGCCAGCTGGTGCCCCCTTGCAGGTTGGGCTGTCATTGATTACTCAGCATTCGGAGACGCCTTATCTCCCCTGGTTGAAATTATTGCCCCCCAGGCGCTCAAGCGCCCACCAGTCATCACCGGCACCGCGACCACGAGCTCGCCCAGCCTGATGTTGCCGGAGCCCGGTCACATTTCGCCGACGAGACCACCTACCCATTCTTTTCGTCCGAAAGACGGCTTCGCTCTCCCCCGTATCGCTCAAGCACTCGACCACCACTGTCACATCCGCGGTCGGTCCAAGACCACGAATTGTCAAGTTCGGAGACCTTCGCCGCCATGACGGTGAGGTGAGGTTTGTCATGACACATTTCCTACCCATATGCACGCTGACCGTATCAATCACTTGAAGCAACCAGTTGGTCTTCTTAGATGCCGACTGGTCGTCGGTCCTCTTGTTCAGTGTCACTGGCGCTTCGGTTGTCGTCTTGGTCGCTCAGCATGCGTGGCGCACTGTGCGTGCACGAAACTCTTCTGTTGTTACCCATGACACTCGGGCGGTCAACCCGACTCAGGCAGATTCACCAAGATCCGGCCAGCTTTATCCTCTTATAGACGTGTTCCAGAGCACGCTATGTGCCGCTCTGTTATTCCTCGCCCTCATTCAAGAGAGTCATGTCGTGCTGAAGGGTTGTCATCATCACCTATATTCTATCAGCCGCATCACAATATATGCGAGTGCCTTCCTTCTTTATTACCCTACCTTCTCTTACACTCGGGACCCTGCAGGCATATGCGAGCGTCCTGACCATCGCGCCGGTCTTGAAAAGCAACCCCTCGACCAGCAAGATGGTGTACCCTCACATGCTTTCTGTACTTTTCGTCCTGTGGGCGCTCTACGTTTATCGCGACGTGTGGCCCCTCGCCACGTACACCCTCCAGCCTATCGACGCGCACGAGGGGCCCGTTTTATGGGTCCAGATCTTCATCCTCACGCTCGTCGCAGTAGTCATACCAGTGGTCACTCCGCGCGGCGGCTCTGAGCTGAAGGTGAGCTCCTACCATGTCGCTCGCCGTGCTCACAGCCCATCATGTGCTCCTACAGGATACTCCCGGCCGCCCTGACCTCGAGGAAACCGCCTCTTTGTGGTCCCTCGTCACGTACTCTTTTCTCGACAACGTCATATGGAAGGCCTCGCAGATGCCGCATCTGCCCTTCGATGGGCTTCCTCCTCTCGCCTTCCGCGATCGCGCCGAAGACCTTGTTCGGCGGATGTTTCCGGTCAGTGAGCCTTATGTATCGCGGAGTCTTGTGTTGACGCCGCACAGTACCTCGACCCCTTTCAGGTGAAGAAGCGGAGGAACATCGGTATCGGCCTTCTCACAATTTTCAGTAAGTACACAAGAAAACATATAAAACATAAGCTAATTGCGACTATTTGCAGAGGGGAACTATTTGTGGTATTGCGTCTTGTACTCCTTGCGGGTGAGTCGTCATCGCCACTCGATTGTGTGAAAAGCGTACGTACCCAGCGCCCGAATAGATCGGTTCAAGATTTGTGAGCCCTATCGGAATATACAAGCTTCTCGAGTGAGTGCGCCATTCTCTGCGGCCCAGGTCCTTGCTCGCTCACCGCATGCGACAGATACGTGGAAACCAAGGGGGAAGGAGCCACCATTCGTCCCTGGGTCTGGGTCGCGTGGCTCTTCGTCGGTCCCATGGTCGGCACCCTCGCTCTCCAGTTCTATATGTTCTCTGCAGTGAGTCCATCGAAGCTCTGCGTCCGCGTCTAATTGAAACAAGAATGTGGCAGACACGACTGCTCGCCCAAAGCCAGGCGATCCTCACGCAGCTGATCTTCAACCACGCTCTCCGCATCCGCGTCAAATCGGACGCTCCCCAGGCGGGGTCAAGCAGCGCCGCCGGAGGCTCCAAACCGTCCGCGTCAGGAAGCATGGGCAAGATCTACACGCTCGCGACCGCGGACGTGAACAACATCGTCGCGGGGAGGGAGTTCCTGACGCTTTGTGAGCAGCACGCTTCGTCGCGCTCAGGGCGGAGAACTGAGACTCATCGGCCGCAGTCTTCCTCACCCCACTGCAGATCCTGTTCAGCATGATCTTCCTGAACTCGATTCTCGGATGGAGGTATGTGCTAGGAGCTCGTCGTGCAGCAGCGCCTCGCTAATGCAAACCACAGCGCGATGGTGGGCCTGGCGACTATCATCATGCTGCTTCCCATTCCTGGAAAAATCGCGCAGTTCTCACGCAAGGCCCAATCTCAAAAAATGCGGAAGGTGAAAACGTTGCTTGAGTTCCACTACACTGGGCATCTAACTGCTCGCTCGCTAGACTGATGCACGCGTACAAGAAATCACGGAAGGTAAGCGTTCTTGAGGGGTTTATCACAGAGAGGCAGTTAATGATGGTTTTATAGTAACGACTGTCATCCGAATGATCAAGCTGTTCGCATGGGAGCGCCGCACGGCCGCACGCCTTGACGAGAAGCGCGAGGAGGAGTTGGTGTCCCTGCGCAAGTTCAGCGTGCTGGGGATGGTCAACAGAAACGTCACGTATGTGTCCATCCGCCGCCGTTGTTTCAGCGGAGAACCCCTGATCGCACTTCTGGCAGCTATTTCCTGCCGATCATCACGATGATCTCGACATTCTTTACATATGTGAGTGTGCCTACGACGCTGTCTATGCTGCCGTCTGACTTTGAAGGCAGACGGTCATTATGGGAAATCAGCTCACAGGTAAGTTCCGGGAATGCCGTGGGGGGACGGCTACTGAAGCAGAACAATAGCGTCGCGAGTTTTCTCAGCCATGACAGGTTAGTACTGACGTTCTTGAAGCAAGGTTCCCCACACGAGAGCTCACCCGCGTGATAGTGTTCGACATCATCCGGAGCCAGCTCGAGAGCGCCTCCTGGATCCTCCCAGACATGACCAAAGGTCCGTTTTCCTCCTTCCTCACTGCGCGCTGACACCCCGCCGACGCCGCGGACCTCGCAGCGAAAGTCTCCCTCGACCGCGTGACAGCGTTCCTCTACGATGTGCGTCCGCCGCGCGCACCGCCCCCTCGCATCCCCTCACTTCTTTTTCCCCCAGTCCGAGCTGCTCGACGAGCACACACCCGATGCCGCCCTTTCCGCGCGCGACGACGTCCTCGGCGTTTGCAACACCACCTTCGCGTGGTCGCGCGACGGCCTCGCGGACGCGGACGCGCGCCCGTTCGCGCTGCGCGTCGGTGACGAGCTCCGGTTCGAGCGCGGGCACGTGAACGTCGTCGTAGGTCCGACGGGCTCGGGCAAGACCGCGCTCCTGCTCGGGCTGCTGGGGGAGATGCACGCGGTGCCCGGGGGTCCGGACGCGTACGTCGGGCTGCCGCGCGCGGCGGGGATCGCGTACGTGCCGCAGGAGGCGTGGATCCAGAGCGACACGATCAAGGTAGGCTTTTTGCGTTGAGGCATCGGAGCGACTTGTCGAAGTGACGAATATACAGGCCAATATAGTTTTCGGCGCGCCGATGGACGAGGACAGGTATCAACAAGGTGAGCTTTGTCTTGCAGGTCTCTTGCTGTTCTTTAATTTCTTACGACACCGTAGTGCTCCACCAGTGCTGCCTCGGGCACGATCTCGGCCTTTTCGAGGACGGCGATTTGACACAAATCGGAGAGCGAGGGATAACGCTCAGGTGAGTTCACCCTGATGGCTGCTTTCGAGATACCGGCACCTAAACCCCTTATGTAGTGGCGGACAGAAGGTTCGGTCTTGAGACTCCGACGTATGTCTTCTCTTATCTATTCTTACAGGCACGCGTGTCTCTCGCTCGAGCGGTTTACTCGTCTGCAGATACGGTGCTCATTGACGACGTGAGCACCGTCCGACTCTCTTTCCCCCTCGAACCGACTGACTAAATGAATTGAAGGTATTCGCCGCGCTCGACGTACACACGTCACGATGGATCTTAGAAAAGTGCCTCAATGGGAATCTTATGCGTGGCAGGACGGTTATCTTGGTTGTAAGCTCGCTTGACAGCTCAGCATACGCGGTCCAGTTCTAACAGGTGCTGACGCAGACCCACCACGTTGCCCTTCTCAGCCGCATCGCGTCCTACATGGTTGTGATGGGTACGAGCGGCCAGATCGCGACACACGGTAAGTGGGAAAAGGTCGCCGCGGAAGACCGTGAGGCGTTTGCGCACCATGTCGGGGAAGACGAGAAGGAGCTGGCCGTTGAAGCTGAGGCCGAAGAATCGCAACCGCTTCATTATGGCAAAGCCGTAGCACGCCCCGCTCCCCATGCGGCAAAGAATCTGGTTGCGGCTGAAGAGGTGTCCGTCGGGCACGTCGCCTGGCCGGCCAGTGAGTTCTCTGATCACCACTCCGTGAATATCTCCGGTATGACGTCGCCGTAGTCCGCGCGTACTTTTCCAGTATGGGCGGCCACCACCGCGTCCTCTTCTGGACCGCAGTGGTGACCTTCATCATCGCTTCGCAGCTGCTCGCGGTGTTGCAAACGTACTGGCTCGGCTACTGGGCTCTACAGTATTCCAACCAGGATCCTAGCAACGTGCACGAGTCCTAGTGCGTGTTTCGATCCGCAATACTGTAAATTTCTCGACTGAAACACAGACAGCTTCCTTGGTATCTATGCTCTTCTTCTTGCCGGCGATGTGTCTCTTCTGTGGGCCGGCTACCTCGTCTACCTGTACGGGACACTGCGGGCTGCACGTACGATCCACCGTGATTTGGTCGACTCCATCCTCGGCTCGACGCTAAGGTACGTCTCTCTCCCTTGCGTCTTTCCTTACGAATGACATGGTCCACAGGTGGCTCGATACGATCCCCTCCTCGCGAATAATCACGCGGTGCATTTCGGACATCCAAACCCGTCCGTCTCCCCACCCGCTCTCCCCTCCACGCTCCACGCACACACTCACGTCTCACTTCCACAGTCGACGGCCCACTCGCCAACTCCCTCCGCGCGCTGCTCGAGCAGACCGCGTCGATGGCCGCCAAGTTCGCGGCGATCATCTTCGTCTCCCCCGCCTTCGCGCTCCCCGGCGCGATCTTCGCGGTCGTCGGTCGCTGGGCAGGCCTGCTCTACATCAAGGCCCAGCTGCCCGTGAAGCGTGAGCAGAGCAACAAGAAGGCGCCGATCCTGAGCCACCTCGGCGCGACCGTCGCCGGGCTGGGTGAGTGCCGCATCCGTGCCGTTGAGTGTTGCCCGCGCAAGGATCTGATCCGGGAGCGCTTGCGCAGTCAGTGTCAGGGCGTACGGGGCCCAGGACCGGTTCATCAAGGAGGCGTTCGATAGGATGGACGACTTCTCGCGCGCGACGCGGACGCTCTTCAACCTGAATCGGTGGGTGCTCTGTATGTTGGCGGCAGTACTGGGGATGCAGTGATTGACGTAGCGATCAAGATGGATCTCCCTCCGCTTGGAGGCACTCTCTTCCCTGATCGCTGCTTGCCTGGGAGCCTACCTGATCTATTGGACCCACTCCGATGCCGCGACTACCGGGTTCGCCTTGAACATGGCAGGTGAGTACGCTCTGTCAGGGATCATGAAATCAGGCTGAGATATCCTAGTCGGGTTTAGTGGTATGATTCTCTGGTGGATCCGGAACTTGAACGACTTCGAGGTTAACGGTACGTCGAACCAGACGAAGCAACCGCTGGTTTATTGACGTGTGCTGTTATACAGGTAACAGGTAACGAGGTTCGCGGTCTGTGTTGAAATCGGTGTTGACCATTCTACATAGCTTGGAGCGCGTGGAGCAGTACAAGAACATCGAGCATGAGCCGGCGCCCACACCGTCAGGGGTACCTCCTGCCTACTGGCCAGCCAGCGGCAGCCTTCGGGTCGAGAGATTGTCAGCGAGGTATTCAACGGTAAGCGGCGCCCTCTTGATCGTGCCAAGTACACTCAACGTTTGTCGGGGCTCAGGACGGCCCTACGGTCTTGCACGGGATCTCCTTCGAGATAAAGTCGGGCGAGCGAGTGGGGATAGGTGCGCCCAACTAATCGACTTCGAAACACACAATGTCCATTGCTCATCGTTCACTAGTGGGCCGGACTGGGAGCGGCAAGAGCTCCCTAGCACTCGCCCTCCTCCGCCTGATCTTCACCGAAGGCGAGGTCTACCTCGACGGCATCCGCACCGACACCCTCAATCTCGACGCCCTCCGCTCCAGCATCACCATCATCCCGCAGATCGTGAGTCCCACCCGTCCCTATCTCCATCTCCGTCCCCGTCCCCCACAGCTGACTATGACCCTGCCCCGCAGCCCGAGCTCCTCAGCGGCACCCTCCGCCGGAACCTCGACCCCTCCTCCTCGTTCTCCGACGCGGACGCGCTCTCCGCCCTGCGCACCGCCGGCGTCTCCTCCCTCCAGCGTTCCTCACCCCCCGACAGGGACCGCCGCGCCGCGCCCCTCACGCTCGACGCCGCCATCGCCCCCGGCGGCGCGAACCTGTCCGTCGGGCAGCGGCAGATCGTCGCGCTCGCCCGCGCGCTCCTCCGGGGCTGCAAGCTGCTCGTGCTCGACGAGGCAACGTCCGCGATCGGTGCGTCCCCGTCCCCGCTTCTTCTTCTTCTTCTTCTTCTTCTTTTGTTTATGCTTTTTTTCGTGCCGCACGGTCTCCGCCGGACGCTGATCGCTGACTACGCACGACGGGCCCCCAGACTACAAGACGGACGCGGCGATCCAGCGCTCGCTGCGCGAGGTCGTCGCCCGGGACGTGACCGTGCTCACGATCGCGCACCGGCTCCAGACGGTCATGGACGCGGACAAGATCGTGCGTCCGTTTCTCTTCCGTTCTCCCCTTCACGTATGCGCGGTGCTCAACGATGGGTGGGCCCTTCGAGCAGCTGGTGTTGGACTCGGGTCGCGTCGTGAGTGGCTTGCATGCTTCCTTGCTCGCCGCATCAGAGGTATCGCTGACGAAACTGCAGGCCGAGTTCGGCGCGCCCGCCGAGCTCCTCACGAACCAGGACGGCCACCTGACCGCGTTGGTGAACGAGAGCGGCGACAAGGACGCGCTGCTCGCCATGGCCGCCGCCGCGAGCGCAAGGGAGGACGTTTGGATTACGAACGTTGTATAGCGCGCACTCGTTTGGACTATAGGATATGCGGACTCGACGTGTTGTGTACGGACGGCGCACTGCGGACTACAGAGCATCTATGTGTAAATAGCGATGCGTACGGTATCGGTTCGGAGGACAACGATCGACGTGGGTTCCGGCAACGAGGGGCATTAAAACGAAAGCGACGGGGCGCGACATAAGTCAGTCAGAACAATCACTGCAGTTAGAACAAAGAAAAGACTGGAAGGAATATAGATCGTGACACCAGATCGCCAGAGGAAAGTCTATCCGCACGCCACAGAATGGAAACAAGCACCGTCAGCGCGCGCGCGGTCACTCGGGCTTGAAGCTCCAGAGCTCGACGACCATCTTGCCCGCCTTCTTGCAGAAGATCGCGCACGTCTCGCGCGTGTACGCCACCTTCCACACGCTCTCCCCCGGCTCGCACAAGTCGCGCACGAACCGGCACTGCGCCTCCCCGCCGCCCACGCCCGCTGCGCCGACGAGGCCCGACGGCCCTACGGCCCCCTCCGCGCCGGGCGCCCGCGCCACCGCCGTGGGCGGCTCGAACTCGTACAGGCGCACGCGGCCGTCGTTGCCGCTCGTGACGAGGAAGCGGTCGTCGAGCTGGAGGCCGGAGACGGAGGAGTCGTGCGCGGCGAGCCGCTGGACGACGGCGAACGCGGCGCCGCCGTGGAGGGAGAACGTGATCACCCGCCCGTCGGAGCCGCCCGTGGCGAGCATCGTCGAGGTGAGCTGCAGCTGGCAGACGAGCGCGGTATGGCCTTGCAGGAGGGCGACGCACGCCCTGCGGAGATGTCAGTTCGTGTGTCGGATGTGGAGACGGCGTGTGCACCCACCCGGACTCGGCGTCCCACACGCGCACTGTGGTGTCGAGGCCGCCGCTCGCGATGCGTACGCCGTCGAACGCGACGGTGTAGATCTGGTGGAAGTGGCCGGTGAGGACGTGCAAGCACTCGCCCGTCTCGACGTCCCACACGCGGCACGTGCAGTCGTAGCTGCCGCTGACGACGCGCCGCCCGCACGCATCGAGACAACGCACGCTCTGCGTGTGCCCCTCGAGCACGCGCAGCAGGCGCCCACGCTGGATGTCCCACACGCGCAGGGTGCGGTCACGCGAGCCCGAGACGGCGACTGGCCGCCCGTGAAGCACCTTGAGGCACCGAATGGTTGACGTGTGCCCACGGAGGGTGTAGATGCAGTACCTGCAGTGTGCGCGTGAGCGTGCGCTCAGAAGGAGAAGAAGGAGCGCGCGAGTGGAAGAAAGAAACGTACCCAGACTTGACGTCCCACACCCGAAGCTCCTTGTCGCAGCCGCCGCTGACCACCAGCGCATTCGGCTGCCCCCATCCATCCGAAGCCCCGCCTGGATAACTCGGCTTGCCATACGGCGGTAACTCATTCGCTCCCCCGTCCTTGAACGGGTCGGATGCGCTCGGGCCAGGGGCATGCATGGACGGCCAAGCGTCGCCTCGGTCGTCCAGGCCTACCGCATGCCGGAGGATAGGAGGGAGCATCGCGTCCGACGGCGCGCCCGCGGTGTGCGGGTCGCCTATGTTGTCGCCGAGGGGGATGTCCATCGCGCGCTCGCCGCCCTCGGAGATGAGCGAGACCGCCCACACCCCGGACTCATGTCCGACGAGAGTGCGGCTCAGGACACCCGTCTTCGCGCTGAAGATGTGGATGCGGCTGTTGGCGAGGCCGACGACGACCCAGGACGAGTCGACGGCGATGGACGTCGGGATGGCCGGGTTGTGCACTTGCGGCTGCCCGCCCGCGGCGGGAGTGGGGTCATGCGGAAATGGCGGGTGGAGGGGTGCTCGGTGTACGCGCAGAAGTCGGCCCTTGGTAAGCCAGTTGGTGGCTGTAGACTCCGTCAGCTATCTGCCCGACCAAGAGTGCTTCCAAGGGTAAGGTCAAGTGGATGTACAGGCGACGAGGCACCGTCAACATCATCCAGAAGTACGAGACAATGATGCAGCTTCGCGTGTTCAGTGGATTCAGTCCATGGATGTCCTTCCCATCCATATAGACTCGTCCCCAAGAGCTTCGCTGAATCGCGGGTCCACGAAAGCCAGCAAGGCACCTCGGCGACTTCCGCGCGCACGTCAAGTGACCGACGCCTCCTCCTTCCCCGAGGGAACGCGAAGCCGGCGGCCTAAGATTCCATCCATCACCCCCCTGCCCATCTTCCCACCCCGCACTTGAGCCGACGGCGATTATAAAGAGAACACTCACTTCGCAGGTGCTCGTACACGAAGAACTTCCGATACGGAAAGTCGTCGACGCCCGCGTGTGGCTGCAGTCCGACCGAGTGCTGATATGGCGCGCCGATATCGTCATTGTCGAAATCGAGCGATGAGGTGATCGTCGCCGTTGTCCGTGAGCCCGAGCGCGAGTGGGGGTGGGGGTGACCGCGAGTCAAGCTGCTGAGGGAGAGTCCATGCTCGCGGCGATAGGCCGCGACCGCGTCGGCGTCGCGCGAGAAGCCGTGGCGCACGCACATCGTCTTCCATAGGTAGTCGTCCTTGAGGAGCTCGTTCCAATAGCGGCTCACGCGCGCCGCGCGAGCGAGCGAGCGCGGCTCGTCGATGAAGCTGAGGATGTGGAGGGACACCTCGGGCGGTAAGGCGCGGAGGAAGTCTCGCTTGAGCAGAGGTGCGATGGTTGTGGAGAGGAAGAGCAGCTCCGAGGGCGTGCATTCCTGGATGAGGGCGTGAAGGTGCTGTCTTCGGGCAGCCGGGGAGAGCGTCCGGAAGGCGGAGATGTGGGGGTGCGCAGCATGGTCGGGGGAGGGCTGGAAGGGAGTGAACAAGGCCTGGTCGGGCGGGGGTGATGGTGCGGGAGTCGGTGGTGGTATAATGGGCATGTAGAGCGTGGTGGGGGGCGGAGAGGACGCCATGGTGGGAGAAGAGGGTAGGCGTGTGTGTTGCAACGCTGTCTTTGTGCGCATATATGCACCCTTAGACAAGACGCGAGCATGTCAAGGAGATCACGTACCTATCACACAGTCAGTAGCCAATCCCAGCAATTGAGCCCGTGTTTGCTGCGTCCGAAGCCTTCGTACTCGTGTGCGAAGAGACTGAGTTGGGGCGTCACCTGCTATTGAGGTGTTGAATTAAGTAGCAGGCCGCGACGACGATTGAGGTGAGTGGATAGCCAGAGGAGCCAAGAAGGGAACACATGCGTACCAATCTCGGTGCCTTGTATGATAGAGCAGGCAAGTATCCAAGCTCCTCAGCAGAAGACCAGGTCGTGCTCCAGATAGTGGAGGTCGAACGACAACCGTGCTGGCGGCTCCAATTTCGGGCGTAACGGAGTGCGTCTAGGGCGGCAGTGTCGTGGTTTCCTCGAAGCCAAAGGCTTGAGCGCGAGAGTGCCGGGCCTGACGGTGAAAGAGACGGTGGGGGAGGTGATGATGGTCAAAGACCAGGAGGACGCTAGGCAGGCAACACACGCCACTGAGTCGTTGAGCCGGACATTGCGGGAAATAGCTTTCCATTCCACGGGTTCGAACGCGCGCTCCGTGCATTGCCTTGACAAACGGCCCGGATCCCCGGGCCAGCGCGCTCAGGCGTGCAGTGCCTTGCTTTTTGTTCCTTCACTTCGACTGCGGCCACAAGATTCAAATGTGTTCGGAACATCTCTCTGCCTATGACACTCGTGGTGCGTGCAAGCAGAAGTACTCGATCTCTAAGCCTTTCTAGACTTCAACTCCACTCAACAGCTCGAACCTCAAACTGTCACCCAGTGCCCTCCGCAAAATGAACTTCGTAATGATTACATACTACATCCATGCACTTGCTTCGTTGAACGACGTCATGCATCCCGTTCCCTGTGAATGGGAAGCTATTTGCCTCGGCAAGCTCTCCACGTCTTTCTCCCACCATCGACACTCATTAATACCCCTAGCGAAAAACCGCCTCCTCATGGGGTCAATGCGGCTTGCTGGTGTCACACAAGACAATACGACGAAGCGAAAGAGCCTCGTGTACGACAGGGTGGGTTGCGCTCATACAACGAGGCCGGCATCGTTTATCCAAATTGGCAAGAAGGATGCCGCGGCGAGGTGCGTGTGGGTACCGCGCAGGCTCGTGCGAGCATCAGGGCAACGGGACCGACAGTTGTTACGATTGCGGGACATCGTGCTCCTGTATCTTGGTTACACTTTTATTGCGGCCATCAAGGACCCGATTTGTGGGCGCGAGGGCCACAGAAGGCGTACAGTCGGCAACCAAGGATCGTTCCGAAATCCTCCTCCTGGGTACAGATGGCAAACCTGTCGGCACCGCTCACGTAATGTCACGAAACGTGAGTACTCCGACCACATATCGGACCGGCCATGATGTTTCTTGACCCATGTTTGCCAGCACGTTGCCAGCGCATACATTGATTAGCCAAAACACGAGAGAAGGCTGCGCCAGTCGCCTCGTCCGAAGTCAGTCCAAGGCGTGTGAAGCTGTGGGTATTTTGAAGGTGACGTCTCGGACTTGTTGCAACCTGATGAGCTCTCATACGTTGTCTCTAGTTGCAATTAGCCCAAGGTCGACCCAGTCGAAGTCGTATTGTTATGACGTCGTTGCCTCGTGTTCAGATGATTAGATAAGTCTGCAGGCTTCGACTCTGTTTGAGGGTAAGGTGTCCATGAGTCTCACGCATCGTCATTGTTCTCGATCTCAGGCCTCGTAGGTTTATGAGATTCACGTTAAGAGTTCGCACAGACCTCGAGGTCCATGCAAGCGAGCATCGGACAACCCCTACCACAGCTTCCACCGTTCATCCTCACAATCATCCTCGGGAGTTTTCTAGGTACCTCCGTGTGGTAAGGCGTCCTGATGGGCCGCCCCACTAGCTCAAGGATGCTCACGTAAGTGCCCGAGGGGTTCTCACAGTCTCCCACACTGTCCGCCGCCACCGCCGCCAGCAGGAGTTGATTAAACTCTGGAGAAGAGAAGAGAGGATGGAGAGTGCTGAGCAGGGCGACGGTGGCACGCCGACGTCCGCCTGCACGGAAGCGACGACCGCCGGTGGGGCTGCGCCCTGCCCACGGCCGTCGCCGCCCCGCCCACAGGCGCCGGGGCTCTTTGCCCCATTCGGCACTCCGCCTCTCCTCTCGGCCATGGCCCCGGAGCGACTCTGGCGGGTGATCTCCCAACGCTCTCGTCACAGCGCTGCAATCGCGGGCAGTTGACGAGCGAGAATGCGACAGACACCGTCACGTTCGTCGCCCGCCGCATCGCTACTTATACTCCCTCCCCCCGTCCGGCCTTGCACGCGCCCCCTCCTCCTCCCCTCTCCCCAGCCCTCGCCGCGATAAGCAGGTGCTCTCATCCACCCTTTCTCCGCTCTCCACTGCCGCACGCTACCCAAATCGCCCGCTCCACCCATTATCACCTCGACCTACACTTCCAGCAATCTTTTCACGTCCGCGACCTCGCCTCGCCCGGCATGTCGACCGTATACCCCACCACCTCGTCCTCTTCCACAAACTCCTTCTCTACCGCCGCGCTCCCCACCCTCAACATCCACACCGTCTTCTACTCCACACTCGTCGCATCCTTCCTCTACCTCTGCGCGACCTCCCTCTACCAGCTCTTCTTCTCTCCCTTGGCCAGCATCCCCGGGCCCTGGTACGCAGCCATCTCCGACTTCTGGCTCACCACCCATGTCGCCCGCCTACAACAATGCATGACCGTCGACGCTCTCTTCGACCGCTACGGCCCTGTCGTTCGTGTTGGCCCCAATAAAGTCGCCTTTCGCGACCTCACGACCGCCCGGAGCGTTTACTGCGTCAACAAGTTTGATAAGAGCCCGTTCTACAAGGCACTGCTTACGTGAGTGTATGCGCCACATTCCCCGCAAACCATCTGACTCCCCCCTCGCCCGGCCAGTAACAACCATGACCATGCGTGAGTGGTTATATGCGCGCATATTGAACCCCGCTGAGGTTCCGCACAGCATGACCACCCTCCCTACTGCTGAACACGCTGCCCGTCGCAAGACATGGGCGCCCCACTACAGCCTAGCCCATCTCACCAAGTTCCAGCCGGAGATCGCCGACTCTGTCATCAACCTTGTACAGGTGCGCCTCGCGGTTCGGTACGTTGACGTCTGTGCCTTACTCTACGAATGCCCGCAGATCCTCGACAGAAAGGGTGGAAACGCGTCTGTCTCCTGCCTCGATCTCTTCCGCCACCTCATGGTCGACATCATTTCTGTCTCCGTCTTCGGATCCCGTCCGGGAGCGTTGGACCACTGGGCGGGCGGTGTCCACGACGTACTCGCGATGGCCGTCAACGACTTTCCTACCCGCGGAATCGTTGTGAGTGCACGCATACAGCCATCTCTCGTCGTCGTCGTGCTCATATCCGCCAACAGAGAAGCTTCATCCCCAATTGGGCGTGGGAACTCGTCTGTCGTTTCCCCAACGCAACTTGGCGTCGCATTTGCAGCTCCGATATCAACATGGCCACCGTACGTCGGCCTGTCCAAGCCAGGGCTGTGCAGACACTGAATGACCTATCTTAGTTCGTGCGCGGGCATCTTGACAGGATAGCCGCGAAGATGCACGCCGGGACCGAGGTTGAAGACAAGACATCGAAGATCCCCCTGATCGAACGCATGCTTCAGCAGCGCATCACCGCTACTCAGGAACCTCTCGCCGAACAGACGATCGTCTCCGAGTGCATGGGTCACATGTAAGCATCGTTCGCCGCCCGTCGCCACCTTGACTGACCCGTCGCAGCGTCGCCGGTGTCGACACCACATCTACCTCGTTGTCCTACTTCTGCTGGGAGCTTACGCGCCGCAAGGAGATCCTTCGTCGCCTTCAGGAGGAGCTTGACGAACACATGTACGATCGCCACGCCGTTCCGGACTTTGCGACCCTCTGCAAGCTCCCTTACCTCAACGCGTTCATCAAAGAGGGTACGTCGTGTCGATTCGCACGCTCGTTGCGCGCGCTGAGATGATTCTAGGGATGCGTGTCTACGGTCCCGCGCCTTCCCTGCTCGAGCGCGTTGTTCCTTCCACCACCGCGTCCAAGATCGATGACTCCTTCGACATGATGGGGTACGCGCTCCCTCCTGGGACTACAGTTGCTACCCAGGCGTGGAGCATGCACCGCGACCCCGAGGTCTTCCCCAGCCCTGAGACTTTCCTTCCCGAACGTTGGCTGGTGGTTGAAGGCGTCAAGGGCGAGGACGAGAGGCTGTCCAGGTAAAACGTGATGGTTAGTCGGGCTATGGCAGCGCTAACGCCTCACGCCAGGATGTCGCAGTACCTGATGCCCTTCGGCATCGGCAACCGTGTCTGCGGCGGGCAGAACCTCGCCCAGATCGTTCTGCGGGTCGCGCTGGCAGCCGTCGTCGCGAACTTCGACATCTCGGCCAACCGCGAGGAGACGAACGAGAAGACGATGCAGATCAAGGACGCTTTCGTGCGTGCGATGCCTCACGTCGACTGCGGTGCTGTGCTAACGCGGACGGCCACAGGTGATCCACCCGGCGACGAAGGAGTGCAAGCTCGTGTTCACCCCGCGGAAGTACTAGGCCGAGCACCGCGTGCTGCGCCCCGTCGCAAGATCCGTCCCTGCGAACTTACCTTACATCCCGTTTTAACCTTCCACTCGTTTCCCTCTACCAGCTACTTTACTGCCCTCCCCTAATCGTTTTCGTATTCGCTATCGAGGCACTCCGCTATCGTAGACATATTGTTCGTACTATCCGGCATGGTTCCGCAGGCAGTGCCGTCCACACATCTTAGAGGAAGGATTACGACGAATGGGATACACCGTTGAGAAGTCATCGCCCGTAGTTCCATGCATTGCGCCTGCGGCGTTCCCAGCACATCGCATCCGACGTCGGACCTAGTGGGCCCATGTGTCCGCCGTGCGCTCCGGCGCCAGGGCACACAAACGCCATGGCTGTGAGCACATCCGCAACGGTAGTCACCGGGGGCAAACACCGGCCGATGCGCCTCTCGGAGGAGGAAACATAAAGAGACTGCTCTCAGTCGGTTCGCACCCACCCACCTCCAGCTGGACTGGACGAACATACGCAGACACTCTCCGACGCTGCACATTTTGCGCCCTCTACGCTTCCGCGACAACCTCCGCAATCCCCGATCCATCCAACCTTCCTCATTCACCGCCACCCGCGCCGCATCCCAGAGCCGCGGCGCGCGCCTGTTTGCAAGCTGACGACTTCCACTCGGCGCTTCCAGCGGTGTTCACACACTACTGGTTGGGCTCAATTCACCAACCTCCTCCTCCTCCTCCTCCACTGTCAAGGCCCGATGGCCCCATCGCACGCCCGCTACTGGTACATGTGCGTCCGCCCCCTCCTCCCTCGCCTCAAACCACCCGCGATCGCACGCTGATCCCACACCCCCCCTCCCGCAGCGTCAACGTGGACGACCGCCAGATGAGCCACGAGAACCTGGGCGTGCTCGGCGAGTGGTTCTTCAACGACCACCGCGAGCTCTTCCGCAGCCTCCACCTCCCCCGCCTCCGCTGGTACGCTTGCAACACCTCTCTCTCTCTGCAAGGCTAGACACTGACCCCGTTCTCGCACAGGGACCTCGTGGCCGCGCAGTCCCAGCCCCCGCACGCGCGCCCGCAGCCCGCGCCGCTCTTCCGCCTCCCGCCCGAGCTCCTCGCGCTCCTCTTCGAGCTCCTCGCGCTCCCCGCCGCCGCCGCGCTCGCCGCGACGTGCCGCGCGCTCCTCGCCGTCGGCGCGCCGCACGTCGCGCGCGCGGTCCGCACGCTCTTCGCGCCCTGGGCGGGCCGCCGCGTGCTCTGCCTGGGCGCCGGCACCGCGCGGTGGGACCTCCCGCGCGGGCTGCTCACCGCGCGCGAGCGCGCCGAGTTCGACCGGTGGGCGCCGGGTGCGGACTCGGACTCGGATGACGACGGCGGCGGGGAGGATCATGGCACCGAGCTCGGGCCTGCGCGACCTGCGCGAAACGGCGGCGGCGGTTCGACGTTCCCAGACTTCGTCTGCGCGCGCTACCGCCTCGTCTTCGGCTGGGTGTGGAACCTCTGCCAGAGCGACCCCGCGGACGCGCTCCTCGCCGCGATCGCCCGCCCGCCCACGCCGCGCGCGCGGTCCAAGTCCCAGTCCAAGTCCAAGTCGCGCTCGCGCTCGACCACCCCGCCCTCGTCGCTCGACGGCGATGAAGGTGGCCACGCGTCCGGCTCCCCAGGGAAGAAGACAAAGAAGAAGCCGAAAGGACACGCGCGCACGGCGAGCGCCGCCGCGCGCCTCGTCGGCTCGCGCGACGCCAAGCTCTTCCGCGCCCTCTGCGACCACGCGAACTGGTCCGACGCCGCCGCCGATCCTGTCGCCCTCCTATCCTCGCTGGGCCTCCCCGCGCCCCCGACGCCCCCGACGCCCCCGACGCCCCCGCGCGCACGCGCGCTCGCGAACCTCACGACCGCCGAAGTCGTGCACGAGGCCGCCTTCGCGCGCGCCGCCGCCGCGGCGACCACGCTCGCGCGCAGCCAGGTGCGCGTCGGCTGGGGCCACGTCCTCCTCGCGCGCGTCTGCTGGTGCACCGACGGCCGCACGGGCCTGGGCGGCCACCTGGACCCCTCGCCGCAGCTCGCGGGGGCGCGCATGCGCCGCGCTGCGGAGGAGGGGGAGGAGGGGAAAGTCCCGGAGGAGCGCACGCTGTGGCGCGGGGCGTGGGCGGGGCATCGGTTCGCGATCGTCGCGGGCGACATGCTGCAAGAGCTTGAGCGCGAGCCCGGGTTTGGGGCCGCGAGGGAGGGCGGAAGGGGAACATGGCGGGACGTGAGCGCGGCGGTCGCGGCGGAGGTGTGTGCGATTTGGGAGGGGCAGGGCATCGAGGAACGGGACGAGGAGGGGCTTCGGGAGCCGTATGAGCCGTGGCAGATCCGGTTCGACCTCACGCAGGAGGGGCCGTAGAGTGTATGAGTAGCGAGCAGGGGCTCTGTGCCATTATGTATGCTATGTATCATTAGCGTCGACATGTTGTAATTCTATGGCTACTTTTTGGCCTTCTTGTTCTCCCAGAGCAGCAACTTTGGGAAGGTCTTCCCGAGCGCCGGGCGGCCGAACCCTGCGTCTCGAAGGGACCGCAGGCCGCCGTGGACCCCGAGTGCGTCGAGGAGCATCTCTGCGTGCACGGGGATGATCGGCTGAAAAAGGATCGCGCACTGGCGGAGCGCTTCGAGACCGATCCAGCGCGCGTCGGCTACGTCCTGCGCAGGCACGGACGCGTCCCAGGGCCTGACGACAGTGAGCATGACGTTCACCTGTCGCGTCTCGTCAGCGCCCGCAAAGTCGGGGACGGCGTGCGACGCACCTGTTCCAGCGCGTCTACTACAGCCGCCACGGCGTCGGCGAGGCCAAACCCGCGCATGTGCGTATCGAACACCTCGGGAAGAGAGGCCAGCTGCTCTGCGAGAACGGGGTGTGCTGCGCGCAGTGCAGACGCAGCGTCCGCCGGGCGGAGCGCGTCCGTGCGCTCCGCCATGGCAGGACTTGCGAGGCGGGCGTACGTGTTGCCGAAGTTGGTCACCAGCTCGCGCCGGTGCTTTAGCAGCTGTGGCTCGGACCAGTCTGGAGGGGCGGTGAGCAAGGGCGATGGTGGAGGGGCACGAACGGGTGCTCACCAACATCGATTCTGAACCGACCTCCGACGCGTGCGAGGTAAAACCGCACAATGTCGCTGTCGTGCTCCTGGATGAACTCCACCGGGTCTGCGACGTTGCCCACCGACTTCGACATCTTCGCGCGGTCAACAGTCCAGTGGGCGTGCGAGAGCAGGTTGATCGGGAGGGGGAGACCAAGGGCTTGAAGCATCGCGGGGAAGTAGATGGCGTGGAACCTGGGGAGGGACGTTGGGCGCACATATGAGGGTGGAATGAATGAGTACGCACCTGAGGATATCCTTCCCAATGACTTGAACGTTGGGAGGCCATATCGGTCGACTCGACTCGTTGGGGGCGTTCCACGGGTAGCCGACAGAGGATAGGTAGGTCGTCAACGCGTCGATCCAGACGTATATCGTCTGCTCGGGGTCGTTGGGCACCGGGATCCCCCACGTCAGCCGTGAGCGGTTTCGCGAGATGGACAAGCCCTCGAGCGGTCCTTCAAGCCACGCCAGCACCTCCTGGTGGGCCTGGGGAGGGAAGACGACGTCCGGGTTCTCGGTGTAGTGTGTGCGCAGGGAGTCGCGGAACGCGGAGAGTCGGAACTTGTAGTTCACCTCCGTTTGCCACTCCACCTTGGACCCAGACGTCGTCGAGATGTGCTCCCCGTTCTCGAGCTGCGTGACTTGAGTGGCCGGGTAGAACGTCTCGTCCGAGATGGAGTACCAGCCGGAGTGCTCGCCTTTGTAGATGAGCCCTTTCGCCTCGAGTTCTTTCTAGACGCGTCATCTCGTCAGCGCCGGGATTGCATACACCCCACGGGAACGCAGTTCCACGTCCGAGTGAAAAGACGCGGTACTCACCCATAGGTGCGTGACCGCAGCGACGTGGTCCAGTTGAGTGGTGCGAGTGAAGCAGGAGACGGTGGTGTTGGCATCTTTAGCGAGGTTCTTCCTTGCGAGCGCGCGTTTGAGTAGACGGACGTAGACGGAAAGAGAAAGACTTACGCGGAAGTTCACGCTCAGCTCGTCACAGAACTGCAATGGCGACAGTCCCTTCGCCTTGGCCGCGTTCTGGATCTTGAGCCCGTGCTCGTCCGTTCCGGTGACGAAATGCACCGCGCGATCAGGGTCACAAAGCTTGGCATATCTTGCATATATGTCCGCAATGACTAGCGAGTGTAGGTGCCCGATATGGGGTTCTCGGAGGCAGAGGGTGAGGTGGGGGATTTGGCTGGGTTATACAGATACTCACTGGCATTAGGGTAGAAGATGGGCGTAGTGATGTAGTACGGCTTAGACGGGGGAGACGGTGATGTCGAGTACGCCCTTCTGAGAGAAAGAGCACGCGAACTTCGAAAGATAGAGCGGGTAGCGACCAAAGGTTGCATGGGGGTATAAGTTGAAGGGTGCCACAACATTCGCGCCCAACTCCCAACAAGCGGGAACCCTCGGGCCGGCCCAGGCCCGCTTCCAGCCGCCATATGCGTACAAATCATGCTCGAGATCTCAAAGCAGTATTTTCTAAAGTTCGGGCTCTAGTAGTTGTCGACATACAACAGCACGCATCCCCGCTATATAAGGGCGTGCATCACCAATAAATACGTTATAACCCCTATGGCTTGAACGCGTTCCACGCCTCGTTCAAGCTCCCAAACACCCCGTTCGCGACCATCCGCTGTTCCAGCGTCGTGTTCTTCACGTTCAACTGGCCACCGTCGACGTCAGCACAAACCCTGGGACGTGAGCACAAGAGAGACCACGAACCTTGTCGGGATGGAGCTTCGCGATCGCGCGAGTGTAGCGGATCTTGACCTGGTTCGGACTCACGAGCTCGTGAATGCCGACCTTCTGCAAACCGAGCTCCGGCCACAGCACGGTGTCGAGGCTCGCGATGAGCGCCCGCAGGTTGTTCTCCTTGCCCGCCCGCCACGCCGCGAGCTTCGTGTCGACCGCGTCCTTGAGGTCGTGCTTCGCCTGGTCCTCCGCCTCCGCCTCCGCGTTCGCCTCCCGCACGCGATTCAGGGCTTCCGAGGGCGGCGTCGGCGCCTTCGCTCTCGCGGGCGCGGGTCTGGCGGCGGGCTTCGGCTTCGGCGCTGGCTTCGGCGCAGAGCTCGGGGCCGAGCCGCCGTCGCCAGCGAGCATCTTCTTGCACCGGTTCACGCCCGCGAGCGCGTCCTGCCGCATCCGCCCGCCCGCGAAGTCCGCGCCGATGAGCGCCTCCCAGTCCGGCTGCGCGAGCTTCCACTTCTCTCGTCCCTCGAACGCCTCCGCGCGGCGCCGCCACGCCTTGGCGAGCGCGTCCGCGAGGTCCACGCCCGCGCCGTCGCTCGTGCTCGTGACCTTGGCCTCGCGCGAGGGGTGGTAGGAAGGCCCGATGAGCTCGACGACGGCGGTACAGTCCGTGATCGCCCCAGTCGCGTCGCCGTTCTTGAGCCGCGTGAGCGCGCGGTTGTTCAGCAGCGGCACGGTGAGGAGGTGCCGTTCCGGGAGGGCGGCGAGCGCGGCGCCGTACAACGCCTCGGCTTCGCCGTACTGGCCGACCTTGAACTTCTCTGTCCCCGCGGCCTTCTGCTGTGCCGAAGCGTCGATAGCTGGCTGCGAGGCGGAGATGGTTTGGCGTTGCACGAGCGCGACGGGTGAGGGGGCGCGCTGTGGCCGGGTGGGTTTCGAAGGTGCAGCGGTGGGGGTGGATGCTTGGGCGCGGGAGGGATTCTTTCGACGGAATGGAGAGACGTACACAGAGGGAGTCTCCTCTCCTAGTAGGTTTCCCGTCCTCATCCTCTCTGCCGGGCTCGCCGCCGGCTGTTCTGGCTCCTTCGGGCGGGGGGCTTGCCGCTGTGGTGGTGGTCGAACAGGAGGAGCGGGCTCGTCGTCGTCAAAGTCCCGGAAGCTACCTGAGCCGGTGGTGGTCTCCGAAGGCGCTTCGCCTCCTTGAGCATCCTCCATCCACTTCGGTCGTCCGTTCCTCCGAGGCGCGTCACCGGTCTGCCGTGTCGGTGGTCCTGCAGTAGCCGCCTGACGTTCCTCGTATGCGCGCTGCACTCGCTCCTTGCCCTCCTTCCAGAACGCGTTCGCGCGGTTGAACATACTGAGCCCGATCTCGCTCGCCTGTGTCATGAGCTTGTCCGCCTGGTCTTGGACGCTTCCGCCACCGGGGGGTGTGTCTTCTCGCGAAGGTCGTCGTGGAGGCTGAGACGGACGCCGGGCAGGGGGTCGTTGAGGCTGTCGCGGGACTCCATCCTCCTCGTCCGAGCCGTAGTACCGATCGTGGCCGGGTTCCCGTTGAGGCCTGCGTGCCTGCTGCTGTTCCGGATTTGGAGACGAAGAGGCGGCACCGTTCGAGAGCAGTGTTTCGAGCGCAGCTTGCACGTCAAGACCAGTGTCTGTAGCAGCAAGGGCGACGCGGGCTTGCTGTATCGAGAAGCCCATCTCGACGATCTGACCAAGGATGTGGGGCGGTGGGGATACTGCGCGTGATCGTTGACCAGAGCGTGGAGGTTGGGGGGACGGGGTGTTCCGTACAGTCTGTCGCTGCTGAGGCCAACATCAGAACCAACGTAGCATACACGAAGGCAAATCTTCGCAGAACCAGGACATGGGACACTCACAGCTGCAAGCTGCTCGATCGGCTTCCCCAAGTCTCCCAAGATATCATCACCGTCATCAAATTGGTTCCCTAACAGTCCACCCTCCCGCTCTCCAAAGTCGAAGTCTCCAGGCGTACTTGTCCGTCCCGGCTGAGGTGACGAGCTCTGTCTTGAGGGCGGTGAAGGAGCCGACATGAAGTCGTCGAAGCCCAGTAGATCTCCGTGACTGGAAGACGTCGAGGCCTTCGTTCGGGAGGAGGGCGGAGGAGCCTTCGCGGGTGCGCTGCTGAAGTCGCCCAGGTCCCAGTCGTCATCGTCGGCAGACGGCGGCGGGTGGGGGGCCTTGGAAGGGGCCGGAGGGTTGGTAAACGCACCAAATCCGAAGTCGTCGAAGAGGTCGTTGGAAGAGCTCGCCGCGGTCGGCCTGGAAGACGTCGACGAGCCGAGCGCGTCGAGCCCCGCCCACGCCGACGCGGCCTGAGCCGCCGGCTCCGGTGTCTTCGCCGTCTGGGCCCGCTGCTGCTTCTCCTTCTCCGCGAGCGCCGCGCGCTGCGCTATGGTGAGGGTCGTCGTGTTCGCCGCGCCGGTGGAGATCGAGCCTCCGAGCAGGCTGCTAAACGCATCCCCGTTGCTGAACCCGGTGCTGGCCGCCTTCTGCATGGGCCGTGCCTGGGCGGTGGCCGAGGGCGTCGTCGCGCGCGATGCTTGGGAGGACGACGAACCTGCAGCGGCGAGCATGGAGAAGACGTCATTCGTGGGCCGTTTCGGGGCGACCTGGATGGGAGTGGAGGCGGCGATGGCCCCGAGCTTGCGCGGGGCTTCCGCCGCGGGCTTGGAGGACACGCCGGTGGAACTCCAGAGGTTGGCGAACGCGTCGGACATGTAGACCAGCTATCGACCGCAAAGTGAGAAAAAGAGTGGGTGCCTGGAGCAAGCTGCGGAAGTGGCGGGAGGAGAGAGATGTGAATGCACGTATCGAGCGCTGGATGGTTCGCCGAAAGCGAACGGCGGGGCAGTTGGACGGGAGCGGCAAAATCCTTCCAGATCCAGCTCCTCGCTCCGCAGTGGCCGCAGCACTCGCATGCAAAAATAGTCGTAGACAGAACAATATAGTAAGTCTCAGCTTCCATAATCGTTTAGCGAAGGACGCAAGAGGAACTACATAATCGATCGACGTTGAGCGGACTAAGTAGTTGTATGAACTTGATGTTCACAGATTGTCACTCGTCCAGTCAAATCTACACGGTTATAGAATCAAGCAAGGCATTGGAGTTGTCGAAAGCATGTCGGGCGCAGCCTACAGGGGCCTGGGATGGTAGACACTCACTCTCGCCAAATCATGTTTGGAAAAAGATCCTGCAAGCTCACCTCTTCAACTATTGCTGCACCATTCCGTTCAATTGATGTGCATCCAATGGGGGACGGGATTGGTCCTGCTGACGATTGCGGCCGAATCTGAGGAGATCTTCGGCCGGGTCGTCGATATTGACAAGCATGGCGAAGACTCGGAAATGGCGCGGCGGGAGGACACCCGGGGGACGCGAGCTCGGAATTGAATTGGAAGCTTTAGGTCATAGCGCCTTCGTCTCGAGCATCGAATATTCAGCAAGTTCGTCACCCATCGATGCGCAGCCGTCGTCAGCTTGAACAAAGCTTGAAGCGTGAGGCCTTAAGGGCCTGAAGCTTGAACCTTTAGAGGCCTGACTTAGGGGAGCCTAGCTAACTTAAGTAAGTAGGAAAGATGAAGGTTCGGTTTGGAGGGCGGACAATGGCGGCCCGCGGCCGGAGACATTCGCGTTAAACTCGCGTGGCTGTTCCGTGAGAACCCGACCGACTCCTCTCCGGTTCAGCGCCAAAGCTCTTGTTCCGCATCCACGCACACTCCTCCTGCAGTCCGCCCCCGCCGGCTCTGGATTGCCCTAGCGTCTCATATGATGACCCGCACTGGTTGTGTATACCCCCAATATGCTCCGTATGCAAATAAAACAGAGCTGTCTGGGGCGGAAACGGACGGGACGCCTTCCGCTTATTCTGCCTTCGGAATGCTTCCGGAGTAGACCCGGCTACACGATGCTCCCCGAGAGCCTCCCCTAACCTACATTCGTCTGATCTCGTCGTAGCAACTCGGCCTCCGCCGCGGGTCAACAGCCACAGTCGCCAGTTCCACTCCGGCCTAGTCGAGGCGCAAGCCGCGCCAGTGGGCTCTCGTCTCCGTCAAATCCCGCGCCGCCCGACACGGAGTGTCAGTATAAAAGTCGGAATGACCACGACCTGGACCCACAACAGACACCCCCTCCCACTCCCCGTTCGGTTCGGCCTCGGTCTCTGCTATCGTCTCTCACTCTCGTCTTTCAACTGCATTCGTCGCCGTCACGACCTCAGCCATGAATCCCGCCTCCCTCCCGCACAGCGAGACCTCCACCATCCGCGTCCCAGAGGACACCCCCGTCCCTGCCGACAAGGAGGACGAGGCACCATCCCGTCCCGCGACCGCCCCGCACATCACCCTCCCAACCGACGCCGCGGCAGCACACGAGAGCCGCCACCCACTCACCCGCATCCGCTCGCACGAGTCACACCATGATGAACGCCCCGACCTCTCGTTCCCGTTCAGCACGACCGACACCGGCCGCGCCGGCTACACCAACGAGTACCGCGCGGTCTCCGCCGAGGGGTACATCCCCGCCGACCTGGCGCTGCGCCCGGTGCCTTCGCGCGTGTACCGCACCCCGCAAGTTCTGGCGGACCCGGAGAAGGCGCGCTCGCTCAAGCACATGAAACTTGTGACATGGAAGGAGGACGACCCGGAGGATCCTAGGAATTGGTCGTCAACGTATCGATGGTGTAAATACTATCTCGGTTCTCCCGATACTCCTTGTGGAGTTCTGACATTTCTCTTTAGATATCACTGCGGTGTGCGCGATCGCTGTGGTTCAAGTTGCCTTTGCGAGCGCCGTCGTCACTGGGGACTTCACAGATATTCAGAACGAGTTCGGCGTCAGTAACGTTGTCGTCGCCCTGACCGTCTCGCTGATGGTGGCCGGGTTTGGTCTCGGTCCTTTGGCTTGGTCCCCTCTGGTACGTCCCCGTCCATTTTAGACAGGCGTTCGCGAGGCTCACCTCTGCCTTACCTCGACAGAGCGAGCTCTACGGTCGTCGCTACGTTTGGATCATCCCGGGGCTCTTCTACGTCATATTCAACATCCCGTGCGCACTTGCACCCAACATCGGCACGCTCCTCGTCTGCCGCTTCCTCTGTGGCATCTTCGCTTCCGCGCCCCTGACTCTCGCCGGTGGCACGATCTCCGACGTCTGGGACAACAACGAGCGCGGGCTCGCGATCGCCCTGTTCGCCGCCGCGCCTTATGGCGGGCCCGTGCTCGGCCCCATCGTCGGCGGGTTTGTCGGGGAAACCGTCGGATGGCGGTGGATGATTTGGGTCAACATGATCTTCGCGGGTGTTGTCACGCTGTTCACCATGACCATACCCGAGACGTATGCCCCCGCCCTCCTCAAGCACCGTGCCCAGCGCCTCCGCGAGCAGACGGGAGACGTGACGATCACGACCGAGCAAGAGCTCTTCAAAGCGTCGCTTGGCCAGATCCTCGTCGAGACCCTCTTCCGCCCATTCCGTTCGTGGCACCCTTATTGTTTCGCTTCGTCTCGCTCACCCCGTCGTATGCAGAGATGATCCTCACCGAGCCCATCCTCCTGCTCATGTCCCTCTACATCGCGCTCATCTACGGCCTCCTCTACGCCTTCTTCTTCTCGTTCCCCGTCGTGTTCAGCGAGGACTACGGCTGGGACGACGGCCGCGTCGGCCTCACCTTCTGTTCCGTCCTCATCGGCCTCTTCTGCGCGCTCTTCGTCACCCCGCGCATCGAGCGGAACTACCTCGCGCGCGCCGAGGCGAAGGGCGGGCGCGCGGACCCCGAGGACCGTCTCGTCGGGATGATGATCGGGTGCTGGTTCGTGCCCGCGTCGCTGTTCATCTTCGGCTGGACGAGCCCCCCGACGGTGCTCCCCGGGGGCGGCAACTGGGTCGGCCCCGTGTCGTCCGGCATCCCGTTCGGGTTCGGGAGTGAGTGGTTCCTCGGCGCGGTGGTTGTCGTGTGCGGTCGCTGACCAGCCTTTGAGCAGTGGTCATCATCTACTTCTCCGCGAACGCGTACCTCATCGACGCCTTCCCGGGCTACGTGGCCTCTGCGCTCGCCGCCAAGACTGTCATTCGGTCCGGGGCGGGCGCCGCAATGCCGCTGTTTATCACCGCCATGTACCACAACCTGGGCAACGGCTGGGCTGCGTCGACCTGGGCTTTCATTTCTCTCGCCATGGTTAGTAGTCCCTTATGTATCCTTCGCCACGAATCCAGGCTGATGCGTCGCTCATCTAGATCCCGATCCCGTTCCTCTTCTACCGATACGGAAAAGCGATCCGCGCGCAGTCTAAGCGCGCGGTTGCCTAATCGTCCTTTGGTCGTCCGCGTACGTAGATGCCCGCGTCCGGCACAAGAAAAATACCTCATAGAATTGCTATCTAATCATCAGTAGAGCTAGGCGGGCTCCTGTCGCTAGACGTACATAGACGTGTATACTTATTGTCTCCCATCTAGATCTACTTGTCGCAGTTAAGCTTTCCAATGCACGCACTTACCCGCTGTTTCACTGCCACCGCGTCTTGTTTGTCTCTTGCTTGTGAGTTTATGTAGCACGCGAGCACCCGCGCACACGCACCAAGCGGGGACCCATATTCGCCCGCAAGAGCTGAGGCGCCGAGGTTTGCGAGCACGTGCATGGATGAGTCGCCACTGGGATGGGCGTCTAATTGCCTGCCCTGCGCTGTTCCCACCACGTTGCGCCCTCGACGACGCCCTCTTCACCGCTGAGTCCCGGAGTCTTCAGGCCAGTCTCGTCACCATGTGGACGGCGAGACACTGCAGAAACTAAGCTTCACTCCACGTCTGCTAAAGCCTTTGGTCGAGCAGGCACCGCCCACGCGCAAGTGGGCTCATGGTAGGCCCCGGGCAGGGCCGGATTGCATTGTCAGCAAGGCCTACCGAACGCCTCTCAAGCACGACCACTGCCCCCGTCGCCCGTCTCGCTTGGTCCTCCCCCGCCCTTCCGCCAAAGCCGCGTTTGTGCGCGCGGTCTCCCCATCCCCTCCCCTCGCCCTCGTGAGCGACAATGGGCCCGCCCTTTGGCCGCCGCGATGTGCGCGCCCTTGCAAGCGGGGCGCGCGCGGGGTACGCGAAGCTCTTCCAGCTGCGCGCGCTCGCGCAGTCCTTTGCCTTTCGCGTCCGCGGCGGGCGAGCGTGAAAGGGCGCGCGGGTGCGGGCGCGCAGATCTCGATCGGTCCTCTCCCGCTCCCAATGCCAAAGCTTGACCTTGACCCAAGCTTGCGCCTCTCGTCTTCCCTTTGCGCCAGTGGTCGTCCGCCCGCTTTGGCTGGCCGCCATTGCGGCCGGCCAAAGCGAGCTCTTTGCTGCTCCTCGGGTGTCGGCTTAAGAGCAGCGCGCGGCCGCGAGCCCGTCCATACCCATACTCTTCCTCGACTCTTGCGCAGACACAGGTGTTCCTGCCCCAGAGCCTCTCCCAGACCCCGCCCCCTGCCCGCTACCCGCCGCTCTTGACGACTTTCTTACGTTCCCCTCCCCCCCCTTCCCGCTCCTCTTGTCATGCGCAATATGCCCCTGCACGTGCCTGTCCTCTCCAACGAGCTGTCGAAGTTCTCGTCCCTTGCTGACGCCAACACCGGAGCGGTTCTTCCTGGCTCTGGCAGCGCCCGCTGCGACCGCCTGCCCTCCTTCCTGCATGGGGCCCGCGGGCTGCATGTGATCCGCCCGTGCCGGACGCCCTCCCCTCCCCCCTCGTTCCGCGTCAGCCCCACGCCCGAAACCCAGTGCGACTTTGAACGCCGGAACACCGAGCGCGGCTGGCTGTTCGCCGAGATCAAGCGCGGCCCCAGCCCGGAGCTCGCAGAGGTGGACGCCCCCGCGTTCCAACCCGAGATGCCGCACTCTGTCATTATCAACATCACTGTGAGTCCACCTGTTTCTCTCCTTTCACGACGCGCGCTGAACCGGCTCTGCGTCCAGTGGCCTGGGTACACGCGGGTGACCCGGCCTCGGCGCCTGAAGATGACCGAGGGCGGCGGGCAGAAGGTGACCAAGTGGTCCTTGGCCCAGGAGATTGCGAAATATCTCGAATGGTACCTGGAGGTACGTCCACAGCGCTCTTCGCTTCGACTCGCGAGCTGATCGCTTTCTGTGTGTGCGCGTGTAGGAGGCCAAGCGGTGCACACCGGACATGATGGAGAACCCGCTGTGGACGGTGCCCCCCGGCTCCAGGGTGGACGACTTCCTCCTGCTCTCCGTCAACAACTGGGGCAACCCTTCCGTGTTCCAGGTGGAGGTGGCCTACATCCGCCGGTAGTCGCGCGCGCACCCGCCGGTCCGCGCGTCCACCGCCTTCCCCATCCCGAGCGCGTCTCGCCTCTTCTGCTCTATCCTTTATCTATTCGCCCCGATCACCCACTGTATCACATAGCATTCCTCTCTGTATTCGTCCTACGTTACGCTCCGCCCTACTGCCCGCCTCCCTGTCGCTTCTCGTACATAGTCGCCGTTATCACTTGCGCTGACCGTGCGCGGGCCCCGCGGGCCCCCGCTCTCCCGCATGTACTGTATCCGTAGTCGTTCCCCACCGTCCGCACCTTCACCACCTTCCGCCCCTTCCTCGTCTCCGGACTAGTCGGACCGTGTCCATACCGTCCTTACCCTTGCCCCGCCCTTGTTGTCTGTCTGTTGTTTGTAGCGTAGCTCGTGTTTCGCGCGCGATATTGTTGCAATATAGTGCGCTTCTTTTTAAGATGTCTGTGTGCACTTGCGTGCGCACGTTGGGGGACCGCGAGACAGGCGTCGCCGGCTCGCGAGCTGAAGACCAGAAGATGACGTCACGCGTGTCACTGAGTGGGATCGGGGCCACGTGATCGTGTGCGTCACGTGGTCGTGACGCAATACTCTACAGGCGGCTACTTAAGTGATCTCGCGTCCGTCGGTTACAAAGTTGTGGATCAAAACCAATCGGATTCATCGACGCTGGGTTGGCAGGCGTTTGATTATGCTGATACTATGTAGAAAAAGTACTCTCCGACTCGTTCAAGGTCTTTCCACTCCGTCCGTGTTGCAGCGTGCTAAATCACGGGAACGGGGGGCAACTGGAAAGGCATGAGCGCCGTCGGACTAAGGACTTGCATCGCTGGCAAGGCCTGACACAAGAGCACTTACAGAGGCAAGTTCCTGCGACATCCCCGGCTGCAAGAACCGCCACACCTCACGCAGCGCATCGAGTTGGATTCCGGGTGAGGCCGCCGTGGACACTTTCTTCAACAGGTTCTCGAGAACGAAGTCGGAGACACTGGCCCGCGGCGCCCGCGTCCCGTCCCTGACTGCTTCCTCGGCGCTCTGAAGCATAGTAAGTATCGACGGCGTCGTGGGCAAGTTGGAGGACCGGCGGCCCTTGTTGTGAGTACCAGTGCTAGGGGCTCTTGTCGATGCGGGTGCGCCGACCCGGACTTCCCAGATGTGGCTGGCGCGGCGGTACTGCGCGCACACCCTTGCGCACGCGGCGGAGTGGAACAGCAAGAGGAAGTGGTAGGCGGAAGCGTGCACTTCCTCCATGAGCGTCGTATAGCTCTTCAGGAGGGTGATGTCCAAGGTCTTCTCCGCGGCCGCCTGCACGTCCCCGGCGCGGATCCCGTGCCGGACAGCGGCGAAATAGGCCTCCAAGGGAGAGGCGGTCGAGACTTCGTCCCATCGCTGTCTGACGAGCGACTCGATGGGTGCGGCGACTTGATACCGTTGGCATTGGCGCAGCATTTGAGCGACAGCGTCGACGTCGGTGGGTATTGCTGAAACGCCTTTGTAGCACGCTCCGAGCAGGTTGCACAGCGTCGTGAAGGGCATGTCAACGTGGTGCGTAGGGATGGAGGCTGCCTTGGACGAGTGCAGGCTGTGTGACGACGACGGAGTCTCAAGATCTCAAGATGAAGGACTCGTGGGAATTGGAGAGCGACCATGAGTCCGTGAGCCTCGATGATGACGTCGCTGTCGTAGCATTTCAGTGCGATATCAGGTCTGGGGTTCGCGAGAACGAAGGGGAGTTTTTTTGTCGGTGGGATTGGGCGGGAACTCTCAGGAAAGTAATGGGGAGGGGGTCGGATGACAAAAGAGTTTTCGCTGGAGCGGCGGATGCTCTGTCGGAGGCGGAAGTACGTCCCGGAGTTGATGCCCTGGAAGAGGCTGACGACGCCAGCCTCTCTGATCATGTCGTCCAAAACCCTGATCGCCGGCTTCTCGGCCGTGCCTCGACGCCTGATGTCCGAGATTGCCAGCCTTGCGACAACGGGGAGCTCTGAGCGACAGGCGTGGGCCCACACTTGCAGCGGATCCTGAGGAATGAGGGCGACGAGGGACTTGGACAGAGTTTTGGCCAACCAGTCCATGGAGTACTTCATCCCGGCCACGAGGACAGGCACGATTTCTTCCAGAGTCTCCACTTCCGGCCGGTCGGTCGGATAGCAAGCCGAGAGAAGATAACGCAAGGTCTTGCTGTCCTCGGATACGTCGATCACGGGAACTCTCTGCTCGACGCCGAGTGGCTGCGGCAGTGAGAACATGTCGGCGAAGAAGGGGGATGCCTGGCTGAGGATAAGGCGGTGTACGCGAAAATCGACGAGGTCCGCGCTGCGGAGGATGGTGTCCGCATTCGCCTGGTTGAACGGAGCGTCGGCAGGAGTGGGACGTTGGCTCTGTGCGTCGGGCATGCTGATCGTGCGGGGTTACTTGGCGAGGACAGCAGGGAAGCAGCTTATAATACGACCAATGTTGCTGCGGTAGTCGGTGGGCGCTTTCTAAGCTACATCGTCCGTCGGGCCGCCACGAAATGGTCCAGAGTTACATCAAACGTCCATCAAGTACTCTTCGACGCCTTGAACGCCATCTCATACAGCTTCTCCTTATCGCCACTCTCGTCAACCAGCGCGCGGAGCTTGCCCTGCTCGTTCTTGAGGAGCTCACTGGGTGACCCAAACTCGACCTGCGCAGAACAACGATGTTAAGGTGAAAGGCGCACATAAGCACGGAACGTCACTCACGATCCGACCGGCGTCCAACACGAGGATCTTGTCCGCGTCCATGATGGTCTGCAGACGGTGCGCGATCGTGAGCAACGTGACGTCCGCGCCCAACTCTTCCCGAAGAGACTTCTGAATGACTTCGTCCGTCTGATAATCTGTGTGCAGCATCTCAGCTGCTGTCTAGCGTCACAGACTGCAAGAACGAACTCACCGATTGCGGACGTCGCCTCATCGAGGATCAGCAGCTTGCTCTGCCGGATGATCGCCCGCGCGAGAGCTAAGATCTGCCTCTGGCCGACCGACAGATTGCTTCCTCCACTCGAGACCGCAGAGTCGAGCGTGATCCGTCCTTCGTCCGTCTCGGCTTGCAGCGAGAACAACCCGGCCGCCCTCAGAGCGTCGTTGAGAACTGAGTCATCGTACTGCGAGAACGGATCCAGGTTCTGTCGCAGCGTTCCGCTCAGCAGTTCCGGGACTTGCGGGATGATGGTAATGTTCGACCGAAGGGCGTCCAGATTTATCGAGTTCGTGGCTATCCCGTCGTAGTACACTTTGCCTTCTGTGAGGATGAGCCGGAGGAGCGCCAGAGTCAGAGAGCTCTTCCCGCTCCCGGTGCGACCGACGATACCGACGCGCTCCCCGGACTTGACCTCGAACGAGATCTCGTGCAGGACGCGAGGGCCATCGGCAGAGTAGCGCGCAGACAACTTCTCGACACGTAGACTGCCGGAGGCAGGCCAGTACGCGGGAGGGACGCCATCCGAGGCCGGTTCAGGCTCGTGCTCGATCGTGAGGTACTGCTGGATGCGCTCGACGCTGTTCCCGTTGACCTCGAACTCGTTGAGGATGCGGATCCACCAAAGGATCATGCTACTAAAGCCAACTAGAGCGCACGTGTTGGTATACATTCATCCATGAGAGACACACAGGCGGAGAGCTTACCAGCCATGTTGAGGGAGAACCCAATGTTGCCCGCATGCGTAGCGCGTCCATAGACAAGGTACGCTGCCAGACCCGAGGCGAACGCCGCGCCCAAGGCGTCGATGCGGATCGAGACCCAACGGTTGAGGTTGTAATACGTGCGCGCGACGCGCACATATTTGTCCACCCGCCGGTAGAGCTCTGCGCGGAACTGCTCCTGGGCGCCGTACGCGCGGATCGAGGGGAGGCCGGAAATGGCGGAGCCGAAGTTGCCGAGAACGGGCGCCTTGGCGGTGCTCATCTGCCGCTTGACCGAGAGCTGCGCGTGGATGTACAGCTGGCCGCACCAGCCCCCGACGGCGGAGATCGCAATTCCGGGGATAATGAAAATGGGGGAGAAGTAGACGACAGCAATAAACTTGGTGAGCATCGATGTAGTGATCTGGAGAACCGTGATCAATAGGCTGGGGAAAGCGCTGTCGATAGATGAGATGTCTTGGGTGCAACGAGCGAGGACACGAGAAATGGGGGTCCTGTCGAGCCATCTGTTTATTCATTAGTTGGTGTTAACCGAATGGTGGTGTGGAGGGAGCTTACCTCAATGTCGCCCTGAAGACAGACTGAACGAGTGTCTTGTGTAGGATGCGCGAAGCACGAAGGATCCCGAACATGTATACGGTGTAACAAACCGTCATGGATATAACGGCGACGGCCAACAAAAGGGTGTAGATCGCGAGGTAGCTGCACAGAACGATAAGAATGCTAGAAAACCCCAATGAAGCAAGCCACTCACTATACCACGCTGACTTCGCTCGGATCGTGCCCTTCGTACTGCGTTGACCAATAGCCTAGCCAGTATGTTTGAAGGACTGTCATGGTTTCGACGAGGACGAGCATGAAAAGGGCAGTGAACCAGAACAGGATCGCGTGCCCACCGCCCATGCTGCCAAGATAGAGAAACACTGACGATTTCGTCAGGGACGAAGCCCATGTGTGGCGCAATGCGCGAACACTCACATGCAGACCAGCTGACATGACCCACCGCGATTTCCTCCGCGACGATGAGCTTCCCGTCGGCCTTGGTTGCGACTTCTGCTTCGAATTCAGCAGTATCGACGGTGTCTTCGGTTTTCTTGAGCTCAGCCTCTTCTTGGGCAAGCTCTTTCGACAACTCATCGTTCTTCGCGATGACTTTGGACAGAGTGCCCTGGCCTGACACCCGTCCGTCCGTACTGAGAGAGACAACATAATCTGCGATGGGACTGGCCATGGCCACGTTGTGTGTCTACAGAGATGGGTGAGCGACGTCAAATTGTTGATGTGGAGACTCCTTACCACGAGTATCACGGTGCGGCCCTTGAGCAAGTCGCCCTTAAGACATTTGTCGACGATCCACCGGGCCGTGTGCACATCCAGCGCCGCCAGGATGTCGTCGAGGAGCAGGATGTCCGCCTTTGAGTATACCGCACGGGCCAGCGTAATCCGCGCCTTCTGGCCCCCCGAGAGCGTCAATCCCTTCTCGCCGACCTCGGTCATGTCTCCCGCATCGAAGAGGGAGAGGTCACGCCTGAGTGCACACTGGTAGATGACTGCATGAAGGGCGATTAACTACAAGGCCTCCTTCCGTCACGGAGGCTCACCTTGGTTGTAACGTTCCTCGTCGTACGGTGACCCGAACAAAATGTTCTCCTATTTATTGGCGTAAGCACGGCACATATATGCAATAATGCAGCAATTGCAACCGAGTACCTTGACTGTCTCATTGAGGACCCATGACTCTTGCGCTGCAAACGCGATCCCCCCCGCTCTCGGCAGGCTTACGTACGAGTCCGGACCATGGGGAATGTAGTGCAGCTCGCCGAGCATCGCCATGAGAAGCGACGTTTTCCCGGATCCAGTCGGACCGACGATGAGGTTCGTCTTGCCCCGGCGGAACGTGACCTCTTCATCAATTTTCAGCACGAAGCTGCGTCGAGTCGCACCGGGGGTGATGGTGCCGTCATTGTCGCCCGACCAGGTGAACGCGGCGTTACGGATCCCGATCTTGTCGCTCTCGATCGCGGTGTTCGGGGGGACGACGACCTCTGCGGACGCGGCGTCCTTGTTTGCGAAACCGTCGAGAAGCTCCGTGTCGTAAAGGAAGTTGCCGACGCGGTCGAGCGAGACCTTGGCTGGGGACAGGGGTCACAACCAAGGCCGGATGGACCAGGTTCCGCGAAAGAGAAGAAAGCGCACCTTGGACGACCCGGGGCATGTACATGAAGGTCATCATCATTAACCCGCGCAATGAGTCAAATACTATGCAAGAAGAATGAGCGAAGTCGTCTGCGAGATGAATGAATAAAACTCGCCAGCCATGGATGAGAATACACGAGATGCGGTGAGAACCTCGCCCATCACGAGAGTCTATGTTGCGGACGTGAGTGAGTACGGTACGGAGGATTGAACGTCAGACATCTCACATAAGTGGAGTAGGTGAGGATCATGGTGATCACAGGGATTATGAAGCTGCATCCCAAGTTCCTGTCAGAGCAGCCGAAGACATGATCCAGTGGAAATCTTACTTGACGTTCCGGTTGAGCAACTCGAGGATTTTGAAGTTGCGGAGCCAGGTCAGCTCATCCTCTCGCTTGTCGGCAAGTCTATCTGCGACGCGGGGCTCCCAACCAAACAGCTTGACCATGCGCAAAACGCCCATGGCTTATGAACAGGTCAGGTTGCATTCACGAACAAATTGGCACCATACGTACTTTCCGTGACATTTTGCACCCGAGCGTCGGTCTGGCACGAGTATAAGTGGGAGTAACCGGAGGGAAGAAGATCGCCCGTCGTACCTTCTTCATCTTCTCCCTCGAAACCTTCTGAAGACGAGCGGCGAGATACCCCGGAAGTGGGAAGAGTAGGATGATGGATGCCAAACCAACGAGCGCGCTCCAGCCGAGCAGCGTGTACAAGAACGTCATAGACACGATGGCCTCGGCCGGGGCAAAAATGACTACGGATGACACACATCAGTGTACAACGCATCACAGTGGGAAGGCACGCACTCAATTTCAAGAAATCGCGGCCTTCAACGATGTTGGTCGCATCCGTGGTGACGAGGTTGTTGATCATCCCCACGAGGTTGCCGGCGTCCGCCGACTTTGCAGCCGGCTTCGCCTCCCCTTTCTTGTCATCATTCTGTGTCACGGCGGTTGATGCCTCGCTGACCGTGCTTGCGCGCGCAGTGCGCTCATCTTCCTCCTCCGAACCGGAGTTTTCCTCGCCCAATGAAGCGGTGTCCGGAGTCTGCGGAGCAGTAGTTGCACGGCTCGGTGCAGGGGACTCGTCGGCTGTGTCTGCCTTTATCCGGATGCGAAGCGCGTGGTCGAAGACGAGCTGGGTGATGATCGCCTCCGTGCGGACCAGGTTACGAGTTTGGATGAAGATATAGAGCTGGAACGCAAGCGAGCCGACAACAGGCCCGAGGAACAACCAAAGGATCCAGACCCAGGGGCGGACTACGGCACCAACACCGCCGGTCTCGAGGTAGTTGAGCAACTGGTAGATAGCAATTGGACTGGCGAACGTCGACCCGATCTCGATGAGGCGCAAGATAACAACAGCGACGTAGTCCATCCGGAATATCTTCATGAACCCGAAGAAGAGATGACGTCTCTTCTTGACTTGGAATGGATCGAGTTCCTTGGGGGACTTTAGCCTATGAGAATACACAGTACATTTGGGTCGACTCACCGGGGATGCTCTTGTCACCAGATGCTCGATGCGGTCATAGTCTGCTTGAGGTGGAAGCTCTTCGTACGGAAGATGTGGGACGCGGTGAGCTTTCCAGATCAGATTACCCATGAACGTGTACACCAAGAACGACGCGTAAGACACGGTCTGTTCCGTGTTGACATCCTGAGCCGGGTTCTGTACAGGCGGCTTGAGCGTTGCCATGCTTCCGACACCAAGCTTCTCACCTTGGGGTCGACCGGCACGTACTGGTGCGGTATGAACAGCGGTACAAAAACCGCGGCAAATGACAGGAGCCCGAGTTTTGCCCACAGCAGCGCGCCCTCCGCTGCGTCCGCCGGCACGAGGGTGAAGGTTGCGAGAGGCCAGAGGTCGCGGTACACATATACGCACCAGATGACCAGGAGGACGAACACAAGATGCCCAGTAAACAGCCTGTTGAGACTGGGGCGAGAGAGGACACTGGCGAACGCGAGGAGCGAGGCGTATGCCTACAGCCAGGATCAGCGAGGGACGTAGGAGAGCGAGAAGAGGACGCACATATGTTCCCGTAAGCCCTACTCCTGCCCAGTACGCGCGAAGCGACCCCTCCTGCCCTAAATCCGGCTTCGAAGTGGCCAAGCCAGCGATTGAAAAGCCGAGAAGGGCAAGGGTGGAGAAGAAACGCGCGAGTTTGAAGGAGAAAATGACTGTTCCTCCTACCCTGGCCACTGGCGACTGCCCTTCCACACACGACTCTTCTTCCTGGGGAACATCGCAACCCGAGAACTTGGTGGAGAGTCTGCGTGCGAGGGTGGTGCGCGAGGCTAGCTGGAGGGCGAGAACAACCAAAGATGCGACAGAGAGAACCGCGGGGTAGGTGAGTGTATTACTACAGGTTCTGGAGACAATGATCCTCAGTCTCGTTGACAGATACACGGGATAAAACTAGCGCTTACTGAGTCACCTTGAAGAGTTCAAACGGATGGGATTCAGCAGGCAGAAGCACGAACGCGTGAGGGTGAAGCAGTGGTGCCTGCGTGACCCATGTTGAAGGGAGCAAGCCAGCGACCATGGCCGCGGTGAACACCGTGAGCCTTGCCGATTGTACGTTGTGTATATAGCATTTAATATTGGAATCAGGAACAGGTGGGCAGAGTGTGAGACAAGATTGGACCCGGGTCCGGCCAGGTCGTGCCCGTAATACCCGTTGCCGGAGCTTCGGGCCCGAAACTCCGAATTACGCGTACTGTGTTAACTTCAAGAAGCTTCACCCCGGGGGCGTGCTCAATACTCTGTCTGCGCTCGAAGTTAGATATACTCTTTATTCGGGAAGTCTGGAGGGGATGTGGAGACGCTGCGGGGGGCGATGGAAACTTATTCGGTGCCGTCAACGTTCACCCGCTCTCCCGCTTCGCGATGGCTGGCACGAGCCGGGGTATTTGGCTGTAACAGCTAGCTCGGAGTTTGTGACACAGTGCGCAGTGCGCACCATGCGCACTCAGCGCAGGTGCGGCGGCTGCAGGGGCACAAAAGGCCAAGACTATCATTGAACTGCCTCCGCGCCTGAGACTGCCATTGCGCAGGATGCATATGGGGCGAACACAGTTCTAGCCGCATGCGTATCTTGCCCTTCTTCTGCGAAGAGCGCGCTTCCAGAGAAGTCTCTTGAACATCTGAGATTCCCATGAGACGCTGCGGAAGATCGACATGGTCACGTCGAACTTCATTCCCGTTGGGGGCGCTAGTACTGCCCTGGGGCGACTGTCCTTCGGGGTACATCACCCGCTGTCTCGCATAAGGAAACCGCATAGGCAATGCGAGTACACGTTGAAGAGGGTCGACATAAGATATGCAGGTCACCAACACATCTAAGATACCTGTATAATGATACGAAAATCTACCGTCTATCAAGTACTCTTCGATGAGCTGAACGCCATTTCGTACAGCTTCTCCTTGTCACCGCTCTCATCAACGAGTGCGCGAAGCTTCCCCTGCTCATTTTTCAGGAGCTCGGCGGGAGCGCCGAATTCGACCTGTGCATAACAGCCTCGTTAGGGTGGATCGTGGGCACGCGCAAGGGGCTTCACTCACGATATGACCGGCATCCAATACGAGGATTTTGTCCGCGTCCATGATCGTCTGCAGGCGGTGAGCGATTGTGAGAAGAGTGACGTCTGCGCCGAGCTCTTCACGAAGAGACTTCTGGATGACCTCGTCCGTCTCGTAATCTGTGTACCGCATCTCAGCTGCTGTCTAGCGTAGACTGCAAGAACGAACTCACCGATTGCGGACGTCGCCTCATCGAGGATCAGCAACTTGCTCTGCCGGATGATCGCTCTCGCAAGCGCTAAGATCTGCCTCTGGCCGACCGACAGATTGCTTCCTCCACTCGAGACCGCGGAGTCGAGCGTGATCCGTCCTTCATCTGTCTCGTTTTGGAGCGAGAACAGCCCGGCCGCCCTCAGAGCGTCGTTAAGAACTGAGTCATCGTACTGCGAGAACGGATCCAAGTTCTGTCGGAGCGTTCCGCTGAGCAGTTCCGGGACTTGCGGGATGATCGTGACGTTCGACCGCAGCGCATCCAGGTTGACCGTGTCCGTGGCTATCCCGTCGTAGTACACCTTGCCTTCTGTAAGGATGAGTCGGAGGAGCGCGAGCGTCAACGAGCTCTTCCCACTGCCCGTACGGCCGACGATGCCGACGCGCTCCCCGGACTTGACCTCGAACGAGATCTCATGCAGGACGCGAGGGCCATCGGCAGAGTAGCGCGCAGACAACTTCTCGACACGGAGACTTCCAGATGCCGGCCAGTACGCGGGAGGGACACCGTCAACAGTCGGCTCAGGCTCGTGCTCGATCGCGAGGTACTGCTGGATGCGCTCGACGCTGTTGCCGCTGACCTCGAACTCGTTGAGGACGCGGATCCACCACAGGATCATGCTGCTGAACCCAACTGACGCCGACGCGTCAGCACACACGCATACATGCCGGCGGTGACCACAGAAAACTCACCCGCCATGTTGAGGGAGAAGCCGATGTTGCCCGCGTGTGTGGTCCTTCCGTAAACCAGGTAAGCCGCCAGACCCGCGGCGAATGCCGCGCCCAGCGCGTCGATGCGGATCGACACCCAACGGTTGAGATTGTAGAAGGCGCGAGCGGTGCGCACGTATTTGTTCACGCGCCGGTGGAGCTCCAAGCGGAATTGCTCTTCAGCGCCGTACGCACGGATTGAGGTGAGGCCGGAGATCGCTGACCCAAAGTTGCCGAGGACGGGTGCACGGGCGTTGCTCATCTCTCGCTTTATCGAGAGCTGTGCCTTGATATAAAGCTGACCGCACCAACCTCCAAGAGCGGAGACGACAATACCAGGGATGGTGAAGATGGGGGAGAAGTAGATGACGGCAATGAACTTGGCGAGCATCGATGAGGTGATCTCCAGAACCGAGATCAACTCGCTGGGGAAGGTGCCGTCGATGGCAGAGATGTCTTGAGTGCTGCGAGTGAGGATGCGAGACATGGGCGTCTTGTCGAGCCATCTGTTCACCGATGAGTACGAGACAGCGTTGCAAGAAAGAGATGCAAACTTACCTCAACGTCGCTCTAAAGATGGACTGGACAAGTTCCTTGTGCAAAACACGCGACGCGCGGAGGACACCGAACATATACACGGTGTAACTGACCACGATGGATATGATCGCCACGGCTAGTAGGAGGTTGTAGACACCGAGGTAGCTGAAGCAGAAGATTAGAACATGATATCCCCTTCACAGAGCGGATGGATCACTCACTATGCCACACTGACCTCGCTTGGGTCATGCTCTTCGTACTGCGCCGCCCAATAGCCAAGCCAGTATGTTTGGAGTACTTGTGCAGTTTCGACCAGCGCGAGCATGATCAGGGTCGTGAACCAAAATAAGACCGCGTGTCTGCCGCCCATGCTACTCAGGTACAGCCGCACTATGGCTATAGATGAGGACGCGTATCACACATAGGATGGGCGAGCGCTGACCTGCAGACCAGCTGACGTGACCTTCGGCGATTTCCTCCGCGACGATGAGCTTCCCATCACTCTTGGTCGTGACGGCCTCAAATTCGGCATCGTCAACGGCCTCTTGAGTCTTCTTCAGCTCCGCTTCCTCCTGAGCAAGCTCCTTCGACAACTCAGCATCCCCCGTGAGGACCTTTGAAAGAGTGCCTTGGCTGGAAACGCGCCCATCCGTGCCGAGAGACACGACGTAGTCCGCGATGGGACTCGCCAGCGCCACATTGTGCGTCTACAGTCCTGAATGAGCAACATCGAGAGGTTGGTATGACGGCTGCTTACCACAAGGATGATGGTTCGACCCTTGAGCAAATCGCCCTTGAAGCATTTGTCGACGATCCATCGGGCCGTGTGTACATCGAGTGCCGCGAGAATGTCGTCGAGGAGCAGGATGTCCGCTTTCGAGTAAACCGCCCGAGCGAGCGTGATGCGCGCCTTCTGCCCACCGGAGAGCGTCAGCCCTTTCTCTCCGACCTCCGTCATGTCACCGGCGTCGAACAACGAGAGGTCGCGCCTGAGCGCACACTGGTAGATCACTGCACCGGAAGTGGTCAGATGGAGCACTAAAGCATTTTCGTTACAAAAACTCGCCTTTGTTATAGCGTTCCTCGTCGAATGGTGATCCGAACAAGATGTTCTCCTGCGTATCGGCATCAGTACAGCGCATATGTACGGGCATCGCTAACCCGTACCTTGAATGTCTCATTGAGGACCCACGACTCCTGCGCCGCAAACGCAACACCTCCCGCCCTCGGCAGACTCACGTACGAATCCGGTCCAGAAGGGATGTAGTGCAACTCGCCAAGCATCGCCATGAGCAGCGAAGTCTTCCCAGAGCCGGTCGGGCCTACAACGAGGTTTGTCGCTCCCCTGCGGAACGCGACGTCTTCATCGATCCTGAGCACGAAGTTGCGCCGGCCCACGCCGGGTGTGACGGTGCTGTCGCTGTCGCTAGACCAGGTGAACGTCGCGTTGCGGATCCCGATCTTGTCGCTCTCGATCACAGTTTGCGGGGGGACGACGGCCTCTGCAGATGTAGCATCTTTGGTGGCGAAGCGGTCAAGCAGCTCAGTATCATAAAGGAACCTGTAGACACGGTCCAGCGAGACCCTGGCTGTCGATGGAGAACGCGAACGAGGTCAGCGGGTGCTGTCCTACGAGAAAGCAAAGAAAGCGCACCTTGAATGATCCTCGGTACGAACATGAAGACCATATCCAACTGCCCCCGCAAAGCGTCGAACACTACCAGACGCTACGTAAGGGACATTCCCAATGTATAGGGAAATATCTCACCAGCCATGGAAGAGAATACACGAGACGCGGTCAGAATCTCTCCCATCACGACAGTCTATGAATGTGGAGGTAAGCATGGTGCAGATAATTGAGCCTCGGATAGTCTCACGTAAGTGGTGTATGTGAGCATCATAGTGATCACGGGGATGATGAAGCTGTATTCCATGATCAGTATGACCACAACGTGGGGGCGCGCAGTGTCTCACTTGACGTTCTTGTTCAGTAACTCAAGAATCTTGAAGTGACGAATCCAGGTCAGTTCGTCCTCTCGCTTGTCGGCAAGTCGGTCGGCCACGCGTGGCTCCCAACCGAACAGCTTGACCATACGCAGAACATTCATCGCTGACAGTTATGTCAGCTTGCACGAGAGAGCTAGAAAGGCGAGAGTATACACACTTTCGGTGACATTCTGCACACGTGCATCGGTCTGGATAGAGTTGATGAGTACAATGTCCCGAACGTGGGACTCACTGAACGCACCCTCTTCATCTTCTCCTGCGAGACCTTCTGGAGTTTCGACGCAAGATACCCGGGGAGCGGAAACAGGATAATGATGGAGCCAAGTCCGACGAGCGCGCTCCACCCAAGGAGGATGTACAAAAACGTGATGCACGAGATAATCTGAACAGGAGCATAGATTACTGCCGATGGCACAAGTCAGCGAAGACCCCGGTGTGACCAGGAATACACTCACCCAGGAACAGAAAATCACGGCCGTTAACGATGTTGGTAGCATCCGTGGTGACCAGGTTGTTGATCTTCCCTACGAGGTTGCCGGCGTCCGCAGACTTCGCTTCTACGACCTTCTCCGCTTCTTTCTTCTTCCCGTCCTCCTGCGCTACAACGGTCGACCCTTCGCTGACAGTGCTCGCGCGCACTGTGCGCTCGTCTCCTTCCTCCGCGCCTTCACCCTCTTCAGCCAGTGATGCTGTCTCCGGAGTTTGCGAGGCGGTATTGGCGCGGCTCGGTGTGGGGGAGTCGCCGGTAGTGTCCGCCTTCATCCGGATGCGCAGGGCGTGATCGAAGACGAGCTCGGTGATAATCGCCTCGGTGCGAACCAGGCTGCGGGTTTGGATGAAAATGTACAGCTGGAACGAGAACGAACTGATGGTCGGGCCAAGGAACAGCCAAAGGATCCAGACCCAGGGGCGAACGACGGCGCCGACTCCCTCGGTCTCGAGGTAGTGGAGAAGTTGGTAGATGCCGATGGGGCTGGCAAACGTCGCAGCGATCTGTGATGGTGGCTTGAGTATGGGAGAGGGCTGTCACAGGGGAAACAATGAACATTACCTCTATGAGGAGCAGAATCACCAGGAGGATGTACTCCGTCCTGAATACTTTCATGAATCCGAAGAACAGATGACGTTTCTTCTTGACTTGGAACGGGTCGAGTTCCTGTGGGTGAATCAGCTACTAGCAATTGAACAGGACAGGAAGTGCATACCGGGAACGCCCTCTTGATCAAGTACTCGGTGCGATCATAGTCCGCCTGTGGCGGTAGCTCTTCATACGGGAGATGAGGAACTTTGTGGGCCTTCCAGATCAAACTGTCCAGGAACGTATACAGCACTGTCGACACATAAGATGCAGTCTGCTCCTTGTTGACCTCCTTCGCTGGATTCTGGGAATCTGTGTTAGTGCTGCAATATTGACAACAACACGGCTTCGCCCATCTTTCGGTGTGGTTCTCGGTTTCCCCCGCCGAAACAAGGGGTTCTGAGTCAGAGGTGACTCCAACACCCGCTTGTTAGGCAGAGCAAACCGAATCCCAACCGAACCCTTGCTGATAGACGGACAGAGCCTGGATGCCTTACCTTAGGGTCGACGGGAACGTATTGGTGCGGAATGAAAAGAGGTACAAAGACCGCAGCAAACGACAACACTCCCACTTTCGCCCACAACAGTGCACCCTCCAAAGCATCGGCCGGGGCGAGAGTGAAGGTTGCTAGAGGCCAGAGGTCGCGGTACGCATACACGAACCAGACGACGCCGAGCACAAACACAAGGTGCGCAGTGATCGCCTTGTTGAGGCTCGGTCGCGAGAGAAGAGTCACGAATGCGAGCAGCGACGCGTAAGCCTGGGGCAGGGGTCGGTGGGTGAATGCAGCAAGAGAAAAAGAAGACGCACGTAGGTCCCAGTAAGCCCTATTCCGACCCAATACGCGTCAAAAAACGTTTCCGACTCAAGCTCCAACTTGCGAGTGGCGAGGCCAGCGATTGAGAGGCCGAGGAGGGCGAAGGTGGCGATGAAACGCGCGAGCTTGAAAGCGAAAATGACTGGCCCACCGACCCCGGCCACTACCGACAGTCCTTCCACATACGGGTCCTCCTCTCCGCTGGCATAACGCCCTAGGACCCTGCGGGCGAGGGATGTGCGCGAGACGAGCTGGAGGACGAGAACACCCAGAGACGCGACGGAAAGAACGGCAGGGTAGCTGAGCGCGTTAGCCCAGAATCTGGAAGCATTGTTCAGAGCGCGTCTGAGTTGTGGCAATGAAGACAACGTACTCGTTCTCCTTGGCAAGTCCGAATGAAAGGAGAGGTGGATTGAACGCGGAATGCTGGACTGAGAGTACTAGTGGTGACTGCGCGGCCCAAGTTGAGAGGAATGGGCTGGTGGCCATATTCGTGGCGAGCACTGGGGCCTTTCAGTTGGAAAAGTCCGTCGGCATATGTAGTTATTTGATGACTCCCATACGGTTTCACCGGCGGTGCCGCGACGATGTCAGGTACGAGTAGCTACCACTGTGACTAAGGCCCGTCTCACATACATAGCACCCGTTGATCTCATCTTCCTTTTGGCTCCGACTCACCCGAATTCAAAAATTTGAGAATCTATACTGCGGGTAAATGACATCCCTAACGCGAACGTGTGCTTATCTACGTCCAAACAACCAAGCCGCATACCACTATGATGTTACTGGAGTTGGTACTCGTTCAGTGGCATGCGAGTGACCTGAGGCGTCCACGGCGTATCGGCGGTATCGGCGGTATTCATTTGATATTCAGCGCTTAGATACCAGAACCCGGCCGAAGAGTGCTAGCGCCGGGCCCGGGTATCTCTCTTTCCACACGATACTGCACCGCCTCGAGTCACTCTCCTCTACGACATACAAATGAATTTCAGCGATTCGTACACTCGCGTAGGGGGAGATACATGGGCCGAACGCATGAAACGCGGTATCCTCGGGGTCATCCATCGCGACTCGATCTCTCGGGGAGGGAGTCCGACGGGCCCACCATGTCGAGATAAATACGCTGACGAGAACGAGGGAGGGATAAGCACCGTGCCTGAGCAAACGTTCGCGCGAGTTGAAGGCGAGCCACGACCTCCACATGCGCGGCGGCGAGCGCGCCCGACTCGACGGAGAAGACGTCCACGCGAGGGGCATCACGCTGGCGGATGGACGAGTCGGGTGGCCTACCCAGGGGATGTCTGAGCCATCTCGAGCATGGATGTTGAGCTTGAAGATGGTTGGAAGGGCATTGAAGCTATGAATGCAATTCGCACCCTGACTTGTTTTCGCCATCTGTGCCGTCCTCAGCGTCGTAAGGAAACATCGTCTCGGAGAAGTTGAACTCGCGTGCGATGGAGGCGCACTGGTGGGCGCGCTCACCACGGCAAGCTGGCTGAGTGCCGTGAAGAGCGTCTCCAAGGTGATGAAAGGCAACTCCACCGACGTAACCGCCATGGTCCGAGGAGGTGACGAGGATCGCCTATTGAACCAGTCGATCCTCGAAATCCTCGGGTCATGCGTAGTCTGAGATTGAATGACGCGATGCGTAGGCATGGTGGGCCACTGGGCAATATCCTTCGCTGTCGTGCCAAGGTGCGAGGCTGTCAAAGCTAGAGATACCAATGCATATACGTAGAACCGCGACCTCGACAACAATACCGCATGCCGCCATTACGAGATACAACAACGCGAGGGGGTCTATGGTCTTGACGACGCCTTCACCATGTCGTAAAGCTTTTCCTTGTCCCCGCTCTCGTCTACCAGGGCCCGAAGTGTACCTTTTTCGTTCTTCAACAACTCCGTTGGTGCGCCGAACTCCACCTGTGGAAGCGTGCCGACGATCAGAATACCGAACGCCCTCAGAAGGAAAACGAGACGCACGATGTTCCCCGCGTCTAGCACAAGAATCTTGTCGGCGTCCATGATCGTCTGCAGACGATGCGCGATTGTCAGCAGCGTCACGTCCGACCCTAGCTCCTGCCGGAGCGACTGCTGGATGATCTCGTCCGTCTCGTAATCTGCCCCACCAGTCAACAATGCTGCCGATGAAAATCAAGGAAAGGCTTACCAATCGCCGACGTCGCCTCGTCCAAGATCAGCAGCTTGCTCTGGCGCACGATCGCCCGCGCGAGTGCAAGGATCTGCCTCTGGCCCACCGACAAGTTGCTCCCCCCACTTGAGATCGGTGAATCCAACGTGATCTTCCCCTCGTCCGTCTCGGCTTGCAGCGAGAACAACCCGGCCGCGCGCAGAGCGTCGTTGAGGACGACATCGTCGTACTGCGAGAACGGATCCAGGTTCTGCCGCAACGTTCCGCTGAGTAGCTCGGGGACTTGCGGGATGATCGTGATGTTCGACCGAAGCGCATCCAGGTTGATCGAGTCCGTGGCGATCCCGTCGTAGTACACCTTGCCTTCCGTGAGGATGAGTCGGAGGAGCGCGAGCGTCAACGAGCTCTTCCCGCTTCCCGTGCGGCCGACGATACCGACGCGCTCTCCGGCCTTGACCTCAAACGATATCTCGTGCAGGACGCGAGGACCATCAGCGGAGTAACGCGCGGAGAGCTTCTCGACCCGCAAGCCTCCAGAGGCCGGCCAGTAAGCCGGGGGGATGGCATCGTTGACGGGGACGCTTTCGTGCTCGATGTCGAGATACTGCTGGATACGCTCGACGCTGTTCCCGTTGACCTCGAACTCGTTCAGGAGGCGAATCCACCACAGGATCACGTTGCTGAAGATGACTGTATGTGCTCGTGAGCGCCGTGGCTGTGACCAGTCAACTTGAACGCGCACTCACCAGCCATGTCGAGGGAGAACCCAGTGTTGCCCGCGCGAACACTCGTTCCGTACACGAGATACGACGCGAGGCCGGCCGCGAACAACGCGCCCAGCGCTTCCACGCGCAGCGACACCCATCGGTTGAGGTTATAGTACGTCCGGCCGGCGCGCACATACTTGTCCAGGCGGGCGTAGCTCTCCATCCGGAACTGCTCCTGCGCGCCGTACGCACGAATGCTCGCGAGGCCCGCGATCGCGGCGCCGAAGTGGCCAAGGACGGGCGCTTTGTGGTTGCTCATCTCGCGCTTGACCGAGAGCTGCGCCTTCATGTAGATCTGGCCACACCAGCCGCCGATGACGGTGATGATAAGCCCAGGGAGGAGGAAGATTGGGGAGAAGTAGATGACGGCGAGGAACTTGATGACGAGGACTATGGTGAGCTCGATGACGAACTGCAGGTTACGGGGCATGATATCGTCGACGCTCTGGATGTCTTGGGTGCAGCGAGTGATGATGCGCGATGTGGGTGTTTGGTCCAGCCATCTGTAAAACTCGTGTCAAATCGATTCGAAGTGTCATAAGTGTCGCTCTTACCGAAGCGTAGAACTCAAGATCGAGTTGATCAGAGACTTATGCAGAGTGCGTGACGCCCGTAAAGCACCGAACACGTGCACCACGTAGCAGATGCAGTAGGAAACGACGCCCAAAAGCATGAGCATAGTGTACACCGCGATGTAGCTGTCGTAAACCGAGGTCAGGTCCTATGTTCCAACACGAAAACGCGGTTGACTTACTATGGCGCATTGACTTCCCCGGGGCTCTGCTCCTCGTATTGAGTGGCCCAATGCCCAAGCCAGAAGGCATCGATGGTACTGAAGCCCTCGCACAGGACCATGAAGCCCACGATCGCAATCCAAAAGAGCACGTAATGGCGGCCCCCCATGCTACCGAAGTAGAGCGACACTGTTCGTCAAGTAAGCATTGATAGATTTCACGACGGAAGGCCATCACTTACAAGCATCCCAACCGACGTGACCCTCAGAGACCTCCTCTTTGAGGATGAGCTTGCCGTCGCTCTTGTTAAGGGCTTCCTCTACGCCCGGCTCTTCTGCATCGACCTCGACCGCCTTCGCTAGCTGGGCCTGCTCCTCGGTGAACTCCTTCATAAGCTGGTCGTCCCTTGCGATGACCTTCGAGAATGATCCCCGGCTAACGATGCGGCCGTCGGTACCGAGCGAGACAACGAAATCGGCTATGGGGCTCGCCATGGCCACGTTGTGAGTCTATGCCCCGAATCTCAGCAACGCGTCCATGTTGAGAACGGAGGCTACTGACCACGAGCAAGACCGTGCGTCCCTTGAGCAGATCACCCTTCATGCATTTGTCGACAATCCAGCGTGCCGTATGCACGTCAAGCGCCGCGAGAACGTCGTCGAGGAGGACAATGTCCGCCTTCGAATAGACCGCGCGGGCGAGCGTGATACGAGCCTTCTGGCCACCCGACAAGGTGAGGCCTTTCTCACCGACTTCCGTTTGGTCTCCCGCCTCGAAGAGCGTGAGGTCGCGCTTCAGTGCACATTGCGTGATTACTGGTGAAGCTCCGTCAACGTCTTGTAGACGTACGTGAGCAAATATAACGCACCCTTGTTGTACCGCTCCTCGTCGAAAGGTGAGCCGAACAAGATGTTGTCCCTGATTGTCTCGTTCTGGACCCACGACTCTTGCGCCGCATATGCCACGCCCCCGGCCCTCGGCAAGCTGACGTATGAGTCCGGGCCGTTGGGGATGTAGTGCAGCTCGCCCAAGAGCGCCATGAGGAGCGATGTCTTGCCAGAGCCGGTTGGTCCGACGATGAGGTTGATCCTCCCTCGACGAAACACGATCTCGTCGTCGATCCGAAGGGTGAAATTGCGACGGTTAGGGCCTGGGGTGAGCGTGCCGTCGTTCTCGTTCGACCACGTGAAGGACGCGCTGCGGATGCCGATCGTGGGGTTCTCTGTTGTGTGAGGCGGGACAACGGCTTCCGCAGAAGCAGCAGTCCTCTCGGAGAACTCGTCAAGGAGCTCTGTGTCATTAAGGAAGGCCGACACTCTGTCGAGCGAGACCTTGGCTGTGTTACCCGTGTTAGTGAATGACTGATTTTGACGGATGCCAACTTACCTGTGATCATCTTGGGAATCATATCAAACGTCATGTGCAGTTGGTTGCGAATGATGTCAAACACTGCCGAATTCATTGTCAGCTAATGCATGTGTGAATACCACATGCAACCCACCGGACATGGAAGAAAACACACGTGAGGCTATAACAAATCAGTTTGCTAACAAATCGCATAGGATGCATTAGGTGCATACCTGTGAGTTCCCTGCCCATGATGAGAGTCTGCGGCACTGATCAGTACGCGTAGGAGCTAGGCCTGAATGGTGTAGCTCACGTATGTCGAGTAAGTCACCAGCATGGTAACGATTGGAATAATATAGCTATCATCCATGGATGAGAGAACCGGACGCACTGCAATTGGTCAAGCACCTACTTGATGTTCCCGTTGATGAGCTCGAGGAACTTGTACCGGCGGATGTACGACAATTCGTCTTCGCGCTTGTTGCCGATACGGTCTGCGACACGTGGCTCCCATCCAAAGAGCTTGATCATCCGGATAACATTCATAGCTGAGCAGCGCACATATATGAACAAACACATCGAAAATGGGAGCTCCGGAGGGCTTACTTTCGGTGACATTTTGCACACGGGCATCGGTCTAAAGTAGAGCATGCTCCGAGTAAGACGATTGGTTTTCATAAACTGAACGTATCCAACCTTCTTCATCCTCTCCTTCTGCACAGCTTGCATCTTCGACGCGACGACTCCTGGAAGCGGGAAGAGTGCAACGGTAGCTATGAGACCAACGATAGCACTGCGCCAAAGGATATCAGCGAACCTGACAGGAGAGACTAAACGTAAGACTTACGCCCAGTCCAAGATCACATACAAGAACACTATGGACACGACCACCGAAAGCGGCCCGTAGTAAATGAGGAAAAGCACGTCTCGTCCTTCGCCCAAGTTTTGCAAGTCGATGGTGACGAGGTTGTTGATCTTCCCGATAATGTTGCTGCCACCATCCGCGTCCGCATCCGGCTTCAGGACGTCATCGACCTTAACGTCGACCTTCTTTGCGTCTTTGCCCTTCTTCGGGCTCGCACCGGAGCTCGAAGGGGCGATGGTGGACGCGTCGCTGTAGGTGCTCACCCGCACGGTCTCAGACTCGCTGGCGGTGCTTAGTCTGTTCTCGTCGCTCCCGGTACTCCCTTCGGCATTAGCAGGTGCCTCCGCGACGGAAGCGTTGTCGGGTGTATGCGACGCAGTTGGGAGACGACTTGCAGCTGGAGACTCGGGGGAAGTCTCTGACTTGACGCGGATGCGAAGGGAGTGATCGAAGACGAGTTGAGTGATGATAGCGTCCGTGCGGGCGAGCATGCAAGTCTAACACCGTATTCAGTGCATTGAAAAGAAGGACAAGGAAGGAAACTACTCACCGAAGTGAAGATGTAGAACTGGATGGCCATGGAACCGAGCACGGGGCCGAGGAAGAGCCAAGAAATCCAGAACCAGGGGCGGACCGTAGCGCCTTCACCTCCTCCTTCGATGTACCTGGAAAAGAATCAGAGAATGCAGCGTCTTCGAGTAAGTAAACCCACGTGAGAAGCTGGAAGATGCCCACAGGGCTCGCAAACGTGCCGATGACCTGATACCCATGAGACAAAATGAAACCGCGATGAAGACCGGAATACGCACCCGCAATGTCAGCATCAGGAAGAGAATGACGAACTCCTTCGTGAATACGGCCATGAAGCCGATGAAGAGGTGACGCTTCTTGTGTACTTGGAAGGGGTCCATGTGCTGGGGGAAGTTGAAGACCAAGGATATTCAGAGCATGCCAGTACTTACTGGGAATGCCCGCTTCACTAGATTCTTCACATAGTCGTAGTCAGCTTGTGGAGGTAGTTGATCCCAGCCGAGATGTGGTATTCTGTACGCCTTGAAGACGATGTTGTCCAGGAAACGGTAGGTCAATATGGACGCGATTGACGCTGTTTGCTCTGGGTTGGGTTCAGGCGCAGGGTCCTAAAGGGAAGAAGGGGACGTTGAGGATGCATTTCATCGCAAACAGAGTGAGCAAAGGAACCTTCGGATCGACCGGAATGTACTGCCGCGGCATGAAAAGTGGGATGAACACGGCCGTGAAAGTGAGCACGCCAATCTTCGCCCACAACAGGGCACCTTCCGAGGCGTCCGCCGGGGTAAGGGTGTAGGTCGCAAGAGGCCACAGGTCTCGGTACGAATATACGAGCCACAGAGCGACGAGAATGGCGTTGAGATGCTTGATGACAACATTGCTTACGGTTCTGCGGGCAACGACAGAAACGAATGCTAATAACGATGCGTACACCTGATATCGCCTATTGAGTCGGACGCGCAAGAGGAAGGGGGGTGAAGACTGCACGTACATACACTCCAGCAAGAGCTAACGCGCTCAAACGTGACTTGAATGGGGCATGAGAGTTCTCGTCTTCGTCACGCACCAGAAGAGTCGCGATGGAGAGGGCGAGAAGGACGAGAACGCAGAAAAAGCGTATGAGTTTGAACGTGAAGATGACTGGACCTCCCAACCGCGCTACATTCGACGTGCTCTGCCCATCATATTTTGTTGCCTCCACATCTTCTACCAGTTCCGACGCTGTGTTTGAACGCGAGAGTTTTGCGAGCAGTAGCTGTACGGGGTTGGAGCGGAAAAGAAGGTGCAGGAGGAGGACGGCAATAGAGGCAACTGCAACATATGGCGGTATTGAGAGGTCATTCTTCCAAGGACTGCGGAAGGAAATGAGCGCAAACCGCGATGGAGGGCTACCAGGGACATACCGAAACTCCTCGGCGTCGGACTGAAGGACACGGATGGCATTTAGCTCCGGTGTGGTGAGCAATGCCGCCTGCTGGAGAACGAACTGGGCGTGATCAATGCCGCTCGCAGAAAGCCATCCCAAAGACATGGGAGCCGCGAGCAAAGTGGTGGGAGACAAGTGGGAGACCTCAGGCCTCAGCGGGGAATTGGGTGGGGGTGTAAGGCAGAGTCACTCACCGCTCCCGAGAGCCGACGTTGAAGTCAGCGCTCGGGCCGCGCATCGAGCCTTCCCGGCGGAATACATTTTAAGGGTCTCCGACGTCATCAGACGCCCGCTCGACACTGTGTGAGAGGCGAGTGATAAGAGTGATCAAAGCACTACATAACGAAGAACGCTGCAGACTAGGCGAGCGATCACATGCTGTCTCAAAGGGGCCATGCTGACTCGAAAGATGAACTAGTGGCTGTTATCACTCCCATCTTGACCAACTGCGCATAATTCAATATTCAGGACCACGCACTGGGTCGACCAAGTAGAAGCCAATCGGCCGCAGAGCGGTCGGCGCTGAACGCACATCTTCCTCCACGAATTCTAGCGACCACCTTGACAGCACCCATAACCATAAACGATAGAACATGCCATACAACAATCTCACCACGAATGTCGAGGCTATCGGCCGTCTGTGGTGTCATACCAAAGCCAGCCGCAGTGTAAGTTCTGAACGCGCAGAACGCCGAAGAATCAAAATTCGAAAAATGGCATAAGCGAGAACCCACTATGATTCCCTCCTAGTACTCTGGAGTTCTCGACCAACATCCGCAGTTTCCACCTACGGCTCAACAACCCAAAATCCACGGAGATGCCGACCGAACAAGCAGATGGATCCTGTCTATCCCGGAAGTCGGACAATCTGTCCACGCTACGCAGCATTTTGACCCAGACGAGGAGTCGACACCAAGAGTCTAGATGGAGCACGCACCACGATGAACCGCCATCGCATTGCCTGATTGTGGGAGTCTCATATCCCACAGTATCCATCTCGTATCAAAGCCAATCCCCAACGGCACGACGAACACCGGGCCTCGAGAGATTGGCGGTGGCACGCCCCCATTCGAAGTTCGGGTGTGGGCGAATTTGTCATTGTGAGTGCAGCGCGGCGCGGATCGAAGCCACGTTCAAGTGAAAGTCACGAGGAGAGCTATGAGAAAAGACGGTACGAGGCAGCTGAAGCAGCTGGAGCACAAGATGGGCCGTCGACGGGCGAGTCAAGAGGACAACTGAAGGCATTGAAGCCTCGGAGAACCTCAGGCGAGCACAGGCAGCGAGCGCCGGCCGACGGAGCCGGAGCTCCGACCAATGGGCGGTCCGAGGCGGTCCGGGGGCGCGTGTCCCCAGAAAGCGAGCGGCGGGTCGGGAGAACACCTCACACGAGGACCGTCATGAGCTATGTTTTCACCTCGCCCATCTCTTATTATGCCCGTTGCCACGCTCGGCCTTCCTGCGCCCCCCCTCCAGTCCGAGCACAAACCCGCCTGCGTGTCCTGCCCCGGTGGAACGCTAGGCTTCCTCGACTCCAACCATCTACCCTGAGTCTACGACGGATAGCTCCTTGAGTCATCCACGATGCCCTCTGCTTCATACTTGATTTACTCGGGGATATTGCCTCTAATCAAAACGTGAGCATTCTCGTTCTTGTTTTCTGGCGTGCCTGCAACCACCTACCAGGTACATCACCATTGCTGCCGGCTATGCTGTCGCACGAATGGGCCTCTTTCCTCCCGCCGCTTCGCGCGGAGCCTCGCAAGTCACGATGAACATGGCACTTCCTGCGCTGCTCTTCGCGAACGTTGTCCCCGCTTTCACCTCCTCGAACATCGCTGCCATTGGTCCCCTCTTCCTCATCGCCTTCACCTACCAGGCCATTGGCTTCATCTCTGGTCTGGCTATCCGCGAGTTCTGTTATGTGCCACGAAACTTTTGGCAGGGGATCATTGTGCTGTGCGGGATGAGCAACTGGGGAAACCTTCGTGCGTAATTTTACTCCTTACGTATATGCGTCTCACAGGTGATCCCAGCTACTGCCGTGGTTCTCTCAATCACGCAACAAGCACCATTCGACCCTAGCGTCGACGAGTCTCGTGAGTTGTATCCACTATTGATCTCTATCTTGCGGAGAAGCTGTGTCTGCTACACGGCGCTTGTCATGGAAAACAAGCCCTTACCACCGCATATAGCCGCCTGGCCCCCGGCCGCATATCTGAACTGCTGAAAACTGACCTCCGATTCCCTCCAGTCGGCGTCTCTTACGTCGCAATCTTCATCGTGGCCTATCACATCGTCTTCTGGATGCTCGGTGCCGCACACTCGCTCTCATGGGACTACAAGCCCGATGTCCCGCAGGGCGAGGCCGCCGAGGTACGAGTCTCGTGGAAGGAGAAGCCATTCGGCCGCCTCATCTGCACGCACATCCTCCACGCGCCTGTGCCCGACTCGTTCGCGCGACCCCACCCTGGTCCGTGCAAGGACGAGGAGGCGCTCGTGGATGACGAGAAGATGGGCAAGGGCGTCGAGTTCTCCATCCCGCCCATCGACGGCCCCAGCACATCCGCGCTCGACGTTGCCCAGGCGGACACGCCCGCGGCCCACCCCGACCCGGACGTACAGCTCGCCCGGCGCACATCGCGCCTCTCCACCACGCCTTCCGTAGTCGCGCACCGGCGCGGCTCGCTTCCCACCTCCGTGCATCCCGGAGCACCCCTGCCCCCGGTCCCACCCCCGACCCCCGCGCACTCTACACACTCGCTGCCGCTGCACAAGGACGACGCGGACGCGCACAGCACGACCGCGACGCTGAGCGGGGGCCTGCTCCCGCAGAGACTCGTGCGCGTGTTCCGCCCGCTGAGCGCGATCATCACCCCAGTCACGATCACGCTCGCGATCTCGCTCCCCATCGCGCTCGTCCCGACCCTGAAGGCCCTCTTCGTCGACATCTCCGACGAAGGTGGGCCCGTGTTCAAAGGCCCGGACGGGAGGCCTCCGCTTGCGTTCTTGATCGATACCGGTGTGTGCATTCTGCACGCTCGTGTGGTGGATGTCCAGACTGACACGGGTGCGCTGCAGGCTCGTTTTTGGGCGGGATCACTGTCCCGCTCGCGCTTGTTCTCCTTGGGGCGAGCTTTGCGAACATCACGATCCCACGTCCGCTCTCGCGGTTGCCACTCGCGGCGATGTTCTTCAGCACGTTCGCGAAGATGGTCATGCTCCCCGTCATCGGCGTGTTCCTTGTACAGGCGTTCACGAACTCGGGGCTCGTCGACCGGAAGGCGATTGCGCTACGATTCGTCATGATGTTTTTGAGCGGCACGCCCACGGCTGTGAAGTGAGTGTGTCTGCATGTGTTTGGGTTTTGGAGTGCTGATTGCGCGGTAGCCAACTGATTGTGTCGTCACTATACGCACCGGAAGGGAAGGTAGACACGCTCTCGGTGTGTGTAGTTTCAAGTCGATGAACAATGTGCTGACGCAGGTCTCAGGCATTCCTCTTTGTACAATGTGAGTCTGGTGGGTGAAAGAGCTACGCGCAACGACGCTAACTTTCTATCCCGTTAGACGTCTTCATGTTTATTTCCTCCTCGTATGTTTCCCCTTCCTCGTCCCACGAGCCACACTAATGTGCACCCCAAGGGCTCTCACTGCTGTCGCCCTGCTGCTCTTGTAGCGTTGCATCACTCACGACGCTCTTTTTTGCTTTCACTAACCAGACGACGTCCCCGACAGGTGACCATGCCCAAGCCTTATTCTTACACGACCTCGCCGGGGTAATAGATCCGACCTTCTCCCTTCCACACTATAGATCACTGCTCTCCATAGAGTACGTCCTGCCTCCATACGATCTTACGATCCCCTTATGTGCGCACACACTACCTCGCGCTTTCCGTTCTGTACATAGATTTCGCGTTGGGTTACGTTGTTGTATCATCATCTACGGTCTTTCCCCCAACACATTCCATGATGCGCATGGCTAGCGTCGACAAGTTTTCCCTGGTGGAAAGGGTTAATCCCCCACCCACAGTCACGCCAGAGCCGCGCTAACGCCCCCGAAAGGCAGAAGTAAGTATGCCTGCATACGGAACTTCGAGATCGGTATGATACATATACACAACGCGACGACAACACTGGACCTCTCAAGATAACGAGAGCGAGATCAACACCGTACCGCGAAATGACCACAGCCCCGGCTGCCTCCTCATTCGAGTCCGTTCTAGAGTCAACCGAAAATTTACGTATAATCCACGAAAGAATCGTTTGTGGGCTTTCTGACTTGTGGTAGACTCGCGTCAGCGGGGCCTCTAGAGAGAGTCCACATCTAACATATCCCAGCACTAACTTTCGATATCGTCTCGCGCGAGTTCAACCTGCCGCCACACATCAGCCCGCCGTAGATCGACAGCGCGACTCCCTTGCACTTACGCGGCGAGTAGAGTGTTGGTGTACACTGTATTCCGTGCGTCAGCCAATGCATCGCCGCCGCGACAGGGACAAATCCTCACGCTTCGCGCTAGGGATGCCTATTCCGACGTAGATGAGGTTGTCACTTTGCACGAACGCCTGCGAGGAAAAAGAGAGGGCAGTGAGAAGAAGCGAAAGCGCAGCGGCAGCGCTTCGGAAACTCACGAATACGAGGCTGAGGATGTTCACGGCTCTGCGAGCTGCAGCATTATTTTTCGGATCGATGAAAGGGGCATGGACGTGACTGACCCAGTGAGAGCGCCTTCGACGCGTTCCATCCGGGATCGCGTCAGCCTTTCCAATCTGAAAGTTGAAGCGCTGCATCCTACCTGTATTTATCGCGTAAAGAGCAATGAGATCCATGGCTGAGTCCGTGCTTCGGAGACTTCGTCAGACGACACCGAGTGAAGAATTACGCAGGAACATTTACTTGTGGTATCCTGTGCGATTGCGACCAAGGACGAAGATGAGGACGGCAGTGAGGAGCAGATCGGCGACGACCGCTGCCGTGAATCCGGCGGAGATCAACCACTGTTATATTTACAAATGGGTGAGCATGCTGGGATACTAGCTGGGGGGCACGTACCGTTACATGGTCGAAGGCGTCGAATGTGGGGAGAATGACACTGAGGACTGGAAATGAGCGGTGCTGTGTATCGCGCCCCCACAAAAGACGTACGCCTTTGCTGTTGTTGCTGGGTTCGCCGGGCATGAGCGAAATGCTTACGAACGACGGAACCGAAAATCTCACCCACGAAGAATCCTGATGGCAATGGAGCGATGTTAGTGGTAATACTATCCACGAGGAGAAAGACGTCTACCTAGCATTACAACACAGAGTAGTATCTGTCAACGTCGAAGATATCAGTTTCAGCTCCTGCTTGCAAGATAGATCTAACGCACAGCGAGACCGACTATGATCCTAAAGCCGCTCCCCACTACCGTAATCAGAACCGTGATAAGAGACAAATGCCGTAGAGTAACGTACATTTGCAGACACGTCGGGCGAAGAAGCTTGGGATGGTGATCAACATCGCACAGCCGTCGGCGTCGAAGTCGGGTTCCCTCACCTCTGTGACGTAATGATACACAGTCCCTGCAAAGAATGATCAAGATGAGATGACTGGAATGCTGTGTGATGACTTACTGATAGCAGGGGCAGCGTCTTCGGGGAGGGGTTAGGAAATCTTTCACGGCGTGACGAAAGGTTACTTACATTGAGGGACCTGGACAACAATACGTATGAGACCAGCCACTGAGTGCTCCGCGCAAGCTTACCAGATGCCGCGTTCAAGTACGTCGGGATTGAAGTAGTGCGCTATTAGATAGTAGTGGCTGTGATTGTGCTGAGAGGCGACATACGGGGATCGCTCGGGATAAGCGTACCACATATGGATACAGAAGGCACAATGAACCGTGTCTAATATGCTGCACTCTGCGATGAGTTCAGCGAATCTTTGAAACTTGCATGGACTAACAGCGCTGTCACGACCTGGTTTCCGTGAGGGACATGACCTGGTTGCGCAGAATTACGAACTTACCACAAATTTCAACAATCTAGGGTCATGCGGATATGTGCAAAAGTAATTGAGCGCCTGCAGCAGAGTTATACCATACAGTCTAGTGTCGTGAGCGTTAGCGGTGTGCTGTCTCTTGAACGAGAGACAGTGCTCACACGAGGCCTACGAAGGTTCCAACGAGAAGAGCTCCGAAGGTGTTGTCCAAGGCCGGGATTGAGGGTAATGATGGGGGATCCATGGCCCCGAGGAGCGAGCGCGTGGTGCGACGAGAAGAGATTCGATGGCCTACTAATGGGTCTGAGAATTTATACCATTCACAACGGGCCGGATGTTTGAGGGCGCGTGAGCTCTAAGGCCACAAGCAGTCGCCTGGCATCAATATCGCGACACATCACGGCTTCCGTGGTCGGTGCTGAGAGGCTCGTTCTCACCATGATTCTCTCGATGAGATATCTCGATGAGAGGCCCTTCCGGCTGCCGGCGGTAGCCTGAATTAGGGTGTGGGACACCATGGAACGGCAGTTCCATCTGTCGGCGCCAATGGATGGATCAGTTACGGATTGAACGAGAAGGGAAGACATACCTTCGTAGATCTTCGGCCCCTCGAAAAATCCGACCACAAGCTATGTACACTGCGTTCACAACGCCCGGGGCTGTGTATAGCTAACGTGATCGTTGGGAAATCGGAGAACGAGGTAGAAATACTTGGGAAAGGTGGCCCTGACGACGATGCCTCGTAAAAAAACGCTGGAGCCTATATGCGGTAATTTGGAGGAGTTCCTGGGCGCACATAGTGCGATCTTCAGGAGGAAGAGGCTGCGTTAACGGCAGGATGCCGGGTGATTCGCGGGAAAGGTGAGATTTGAGCAGCGACATCAGTACAGCCCTTTGCATGAAAGTGCGGAATCATCGTGCACTGTCACGACGCAACGAAAGATGGGAAGAAGCAACCGGAAGTTTTGCATGTTGAAGACGTTGAGGAGGAAGTTCGTGAATGAGTTTGAAGACGACAGCCGCTGGGCGAGCTTAATTTAGAAATAGTTCCCACGGTCGATATCGTCACCATCCTCTTCAAAATCGACTTCAACTCCTTCAAATACCCTGGCTACTTCCTACTGAGTATCAAAAGTGGACGAGGCCTATGTAAAATGCTGCAACGTCTTTGTAAGGCAGGCATAGCTCCCTTGAGAAGGTAGAATAGCTCCAGGAGCTGCCATGAGTCGCGATAGGTTCGGCCGCTTACTCATCCGCAATTTCATTCCTTGCTCATGACTCGACGCCGTCGACCTTATAGTTCACCATAAAGCCAGCCACTGTCCCGTGCGAGTCATTCCACTGAACACCGCGAAGATGCTCTCATTCACTACCCTAGATGTCTTCACCGACAAGCCCTTCACGGGCAACCAGCTCGCCGTGGTTAAGGTCCCTGCAGGAACGCCTCTCTCGCTGAACCAGCGCGCGGCCATCGCGCGCGAGTTCAACCTCTCCGAGACCGTCTTCATCCACGAAGCAGAGGATGGGCCCAATGGCGAAGGTAAGTCTCCTGTCGTCAGCGGCAGACTCGCAAGTACTCACCCCACGCCAGCCACCTTCGCGCTCAACATCCACATCGAGGACGGCGCAGAGATCCCCTGGGCCGGCCACCCCACCGTCGGCTCCGGCTTCTTCGCCGCGCGCGCGCACCCGTCCCGCCCGATCGTCCTCCGCCCGCCCGCAGGCGCGATGCCCGTCGCGCGCGTCCTCGACGCCGCGGGCGCGCTCACGGGCGCGCGCGTGCGCGTCGCCGCCGACTTCCGCGACCACGGCCTCCTCCCCGTCCCCGGGCTGACCGCGATGCAGACCGCCCTGCGCGCGGACGACTACGCGGGCGGGTCCGGCGCGCGGGGGTTCCCGGTCGCGTCCATCGTGAAGGGGATGACCTTCATCCTCGTCGAACTCGCGTCGGTGGAGGCGCTGGGGAGGCTGCGTCCGTGCGCGACGCGCGTCCGTCCCGCGGAGGGTGTTTTGGGCAGCCACGAGGGGCTCGTGGGGTTGTACGCGTTCGTGCGCCTCGGGGAGGAAGGGGGCGTGGTGCAGCTGAGGACGCGGATGCTGCTAGGTCCGATGGAGGATCCGGGTACGTGACGTTTACATCTCGTGCGCGCGACGGGCTCCGAGGGGGCTGACTTTCATGCAGCGACGGGGTCGGCGGCGTCTGCGCTGTCGTCGTGGCTTTCAATGCAAAAGGGCCCTGGAAGGTGAGTGTGTATGCAGTTGGGTTTCAGTCGCTCGCGCTCAATTTTCCGGGGCAGGTGGTCGATGCGCATCACGCAAGGAGTGGAGATCAACCGACCGAGCGAAATCTTTGTTGATGTGGTCATCGCGCAAAGCGGGAGTGTCGAGAGTGTCGAGTTGAGCGGCAGTGTCTGCGAGGTCATGCGAGGGGAGCTTCCCATTCCAGAGGAGTAGCGTGGTGTTTGGCGAGGAGGTGCCACAGGTTTCGATTGTAAATCTGAAGCAGATCAACAGTGTATTGAACGATGCTATGATTACATAAGCGGCGTTGATCGGCGAATTTGAGTGCGGGCCTGCTGGTCCCCTGCACACCGCGGACTATACACATGTATCTTCGCTTCATCCAGGACCTCGGCGACCAATTGGTGACAGACCGCGCGACGAACTGCGGCGTCTTTGCCAAGCCCCCTGGGCAGCGCCTGCGCGCGGGTCACCCCCTCGGACCTCCGCCCGAAAGTACTGCCCATCGGCCGCCGATGGTCGCACTTGCGCAACCGCACGCGCCTCCCGATCTCTGGGCCAGTTGTGATGCAACCCACAGAGAGGCGCACTAGCGCTCCTGACATTCGACTTGTAAAGGCACTGGAGAGTTCGTGGCATACCATGTCCAGTTTTAATACACCTAGACTCGAGGTTGAGTGTCACGAAAGAACACGAGAGGAACAGTGTGCATACATCTAGGACGTACGGAACGATGGCAGCGGTGGTCCAGAGTGCGACTGCGTATATAAGCAACTAAGCAAAAGAGGATGGCAGGCAAGAGAGCGACAGGCGGGATGGGCGGTCGAGGCGAGGACCGAGGGGAGCGCGCGCTGCAAACTAAGGTCAGAGGCCGGTGGTTGTCGCAGTGGACCCCTGCGAGTCCGTCTTCCCCGTCTCGGCGAGCATCGCAGAATCGATCGGTCTGCGGCACCGCAGTCGCGAAGGGTTAGCAAACGTTCTCCAGTTTTGCGTGGATGTGTGACTCACATGCTGGAGAGCGGGACCGTGGTGATGTACACGCCGGTGGAGGTGTCGTTGGTCCCGTCGAAGTCGTCGAGGGCGAGCATGGCGTGCGAAGACGCGACGACGCTATACGAGGCGCGGTCGGCATTTGGGTCAAGCAGTCCGAGCTGCACTGAAAACGAAACGCGCACCTGATCACCATCGCAGGGGTCGAGAGCAGGATGTCCATACCGACTGCGCGTGGCAAGACGTGAGCCGCATCGACGATGGAAGACGACGACCAGACACGTACTGTTCAGATCCAGGACGGCGAACACGGCGACGGGCACGTTGACCGCGCAGGTCGCGATGATGTACCAGATGCCCTGGACGCAGAGCACGTCGCCGACGTGCCACGTGCGGCGCTGCTGGAGCTGCTGTACTTTGTGCACCCCGTAGACCGTCGCGGACACGATGATCATGTCGTACCCAAACGCTGTGTGGCGGGTAAGACGGAGCACAACGGAGGGGGAGAGGACTGACTGAAGAAGTAGAAGGTCGAGAGCACCCTGCTGTCCCACTGGACGATGCCGCACGCCTGTAGCTCGGGATCCCACCGCGAGCGCACCGTCAGGATGCCCTCTGCGGATCACACGGGAGGATGAGCGCAAACGAGAGGGCGGAGAGGTCGGCGGGACGCACGGAGAACGACGAGCGCAGCTTGAACCAGGCCGAGGCAGCCAAGCACGAAGACGGGGAGGCACATTGAAAGCGCGTGGAATATTATCAGGCTGAAAGGCGGTGCTCAGCTAGATTGAAGGCCAGGGCAGAAGTGGACGTACGGGCGTGTGCAGAGGATCCAGCTAGCGAACATCGCCGACATGCTCCCGACCGCCTGCAGAACGAAGGCCATCAATCGCAACGAAACAGGTTTGATGCGACGCGGGTTACTGACCGCGAAGAACCGATAAGCAGCTGGGTGGGGAACCAATGATCAGGGTCTGTTTGCAGTGCAAGCCAGAAGGACATAGATGTACCATCGCAGTTCACATGTGTCTTCGTGTTCTGGGAGATCACGCTGGGCAATACCATTAGAGTCGGAAGCGTCGATCGCGAAGTCGCTGAGACTTACAAGAAGAGGAGAGAGGAGAGGGTCAAGTAGCGAGCAAGGAGGAAGGGCACATAGACCCATCGGAAAGGCCGCTGGCGGAGGAGGAGGTTCCACTCGATGCGGAACTGGGTGGCGATGTGCATCCTGGGTGCGGGGTACGGAAGTGCGGTTGAGAGCGGAGGCTAGAAAGGAGAGTAGGAGGATGGACGAACCCGTGGATTCCAAGGAAGAAGACGGCATTCTGCTGGTAGAGGAAGAAAATGTACTCTATCACGAAAGGGTCGTTCCAGTCTATGGCCATACCGGGTCGTCCGCAAAGCTACACCGCCTGTGCGCGCGGTTGCGGGGTGTAGAGACGAAAGGAAGCGTCTGACGGAGACAGCCTCGCCGGCTCAACTTTGACCCAGTGGTGATGTCAAGGCGAACGACTTCGCTTGCTCGAACGAGCAAGAAGGGGACGAGCTGGAGTGGGGGCCGATGGGGCTCCAGGGCTATATAACCGACCGGGGCAGGCTATCCTCGACGTCGTCAGGGCCGGATGGGAGTCGGGAGTTGCGCTGCTGCCGTAAACGCAGGGTCGGGAAGACCATCACAACGATTGGCGTCCGTCCGCTGTCCGTCCGAAGGCCTGGGTCTGGGATGAACGTGGGCACCCTCCTGTCCGGCTGGCTCGCGAGGTGAGAGCGAATTTGCTGTAACCATTCCATCGCCCGAGGCCGCCCGTCGAGCTAACGAAACCTTCACGGAGGCGGGGTCGGAGTGCGGCCCTGAACGGCGGCCTGCGTGCGTGCGCGGTTGATAATGCCGGTGCGCGGTGTAGAAAAAAGCAGCGTGTGCAAACAGTCGAAAGGCAAGGAGTGAGCAGACGCAAGAGAGGCTGCCAAGGCCGCGCCAGAAGCGTTGGAGTGACGAGTGCCACGTGCACAGATGTGACCGGTGACGTTTGCGACTTCACTCGCGAGATTTACCTCTGGAGACTGGCGGTGACAAGTTACAACACTTCTACTTTAGAAGGCGTGAGCTGCGCGACTTAGCCCGTGTGGGCGGCCCCGCTGCGCAGTGCGCGCGCGTCGGCTGCCTCGCCCGCCCGCGACTCCAAGATTGCCGTCACCTCCCCGACGGCGTTGAAGCCGCGGCAATAGATATTAATGTCCCTGGGCCGCCGGGTTTCTCGCGCGGTCTCGCGGGTGCCTAGTACTACTACTAACTAGTACCAGAAAGGCCCGGAGACTCGCTGTCGGGCTCGGCGGTCGACTGTCTTCGGCTGCAGACTTAGCGTCCCGCGCCTCCCCGCGCCCGCTCTCCTCAGCAAGCTTTCGCGGCACTCCGCGGACTCCGCGTCGCGTCGCGCACTGGCAGGCTGAGCGCGCCCGAGCTTTTTTGGCCGGTCTCTGGGGAGCACTTGGCTCGCCTCCACCTGGCTTGTGTGGTGCCGTGTGAGCTCCTCCTCAAGCCTCCGTCAGGCGCGTGGGAGGACACCGGCGTCTATCCCGCGACCCTTGCCAGCTTTACCTTTCCATGAGCCGATGGGGTATATCTTGACGATCTGGAGGTTACTATAGGACAGCATCCTGTGGCATAAGGGCGTGTGGATTGGATAGCATATAAGACTGGAGCACTAGCAATGGGCATATTACCGAGGGGCTCTAGAGGTTACTGTAAGGCACTTGGGACATTGACATGTTGCAACAATTGTCGCGCCTGACAAACGCGACAGTCTTGAAGGAGGCTGTGCTCAGGCGTTGTCCGGCGAATGTTGAGTAAACATGCATGACCGAAACGGACCAGGCGGCGTGGAATCGCATCATTCATGCAGCAAGAGCGGGACCGGCCCAAATGAAATGCGTGCATGATGCGGCGCAACGGCCAGCACCCATAGGACGGACCATGTACATGAACGCCCAACTGCTCATCTCCGAACCCGTGACGACAACGGTACTGTAAACGGTCGCCGATCGACTAGACCGAACGTACGTACATACGATAGAGGTCGCTCATTCGAAGCACTTCTCGAAGTCACCCTCGCCATCGTTACGCGCGTACGCCTGGCTGCGCACGAACGCGTCCAGCGCACACACCCCGTTCCCCCGCGCCCCACAAAACTCGAGCGGCATCAGCGCGTCGTTCACGAACACGCGCACGCTCCCGCCCCCGCCCTCACACGCCAGCCGCTCGACGACCATCCGCCCCGAGAACGGCACGAGCCGCACCGTGCGCCACGTCCTCGCCGGATCCGCGCGCGCCGGATCAAGTGGCTCCTTCTGGCGGAAGAGCCCCAGGGCTGCGAAGATCGCGACCAGCTCGTTGTCGTGCGAGAAGTCGGCGTACAGCGCGCGCCCGAGCGGGAACGTCGCCGGGTCCGCGTCCAGCGTGCGGTTCGTCTGCGTCCCGTCCCGCACCGCGGTGTCCGTGAGCCGCGCGAGGAGCTCGTTGATGTACCCGACGCCCTGCACGCGCCCGAGCGGCTGCCCGTAGCCGGTGCCGTAGAACTTGTCGAGGTCGCCGCTGTACGTGAACGCAGGCGCGCCCCCGAGCGCTTCGTAGACCGCGCACCAGGGGCTGCGGGATTCCGCGGCGATCGTCTCGAAGGCGCAGAGGGAGAGGAGGTTGTAGGTGTCGGTGTCGGTCAGGTTCGCGCCCGGCGCGCCGGCATTCAGGCGCGCGGTCATGGGTGGGGCGAAGACAGCGAGCCATTCGTCCGTCTGTGCGTCCGAGCTGCCGGCCGAGGGGCACATGGCGTCGTCGAGAGTGTCGTTGCCCTGTAGCAAGAAGATGAGACAGTATTGGGCTCTACGTGCAAAGCATGCGTACCGCCTCCGACAAGATCACTGACAGCACGGGTTTGAAGCGATTGTTACTTGCGGCCGCGAAGCCTGCAGTCCAATTGGTGGCCGAGTCAACAACACGCTGGGAGCTTGATGCGCGAACAAATGGCTCCACGCCGTCCGTTAGTAGTGATGAATAACGCTCGAAGGCCACTTCTGCTGATTGGAACGACCTGCAGCTTGTGAGCCCCCGGCAACTTGCAGCAGCGATGGTACATACTGTGCAGCACCGAAAGGGACCAAATCATCGTGACCCAAGGTGTACGTGAAGTTTTTGAGGAAGAACAAAAGTGGGTCCGTCAAGTTCGACGCGCTCTGCAGCTTCGATACGGCAGTCTTGATCCGCTTTCCTGCTCCAGATGTGGGGAAACGCGCGCCATGTCGTTGGAGCTTCGAGGCGTTCAGCGTGGAAGAGCCGCTGACTTGTTCGCGGTACTTACGATGTGCACCTGCACGCCAGATCAGCACTATGCCTCCACCTCGTGTGCGGACCACCCAATGCTCGGCAAGCAAACACGCACCTGATCGATCTGGCAACCTGCAGGCGGGGGTAGATAAGACCCGGCAGGGAAGTAGGGCGAGTACATCGACCAGCTCTCCTGCACGACCCGACTGACCCCCAAAGAAGGCACCTCCGAGCCTCTGTCGCGGAATGCATGGCGCAGAGCCGGGCCCGGCAAGGTCGTCGCGTAGGCATAGCAGACGTACGTGAGCGTGACCAGCATGAAGAGCGCCATGGCTCTCAGAAGCCCTCGCCGTTTTTGTATCGGGGATTGGGCGAAGAGAGGGATGTGGTCGACCTTCGGGCTATGGAGGACCTTCATAAGGACGAGAAAGCTGAGGGGGGAGGAGCGGGGGAAGAGCGGGTGGGGACATGAACGTGGTGCTCACTCAAGACGCGACGAGCGACGTGCGCAGCGGCCTGAGCTCGGATTTGGCAAGTGATGCACGTGCGTCGCGTGCGTCGACGTTCAATCGTTCAAGTCGGGATCCCGCGACGAACAGAGGACTCGATGAGGAGGACGGGCACGATGACGGTGTCGAGTCCTAAGAGTATATATATGCCGCCGCGAGTGTCACAACCCAGTGAAAACGTACAAGTTCCCGACGGTTTCAAGAGGTTTGGATGTCTGAAGTGCGCATGCTCACGCAAGACACGCAAAAATAGTCGAGACGCAACGATCGACGGAACTGTCAAACATGCTGCCGTCGATGGTTTTGCATTTTGACCGTCGCGCCGCAGCATCAGCCTCTCCGTATCGTTTCTCTCTCATTTGCGATGGGGCTCTACTTAACCGAGCTCGCGGGAAAGTCCACCAGCCTTCAAACTTCCAGGAGTGTAGGAGTGCATGGATATCATAGCACCACCAGCCGAAGTGTGATGCTGCCGGATGCACGCCAGCACGGAGGTCGGGCACGCGTGGCGCGAGAGCGCGCATGTAGTCGTCCTATGTTTTTCTGTGTACCATATGTAGCAATATGATGTCATATCATACCAAACGGCATGAAACCTTTGAAAACATACTGACTGTCGGTTGGAACTGTGCGAACCTGCCTTTAAACAGTTTCAGATAGTTTCTTTCCCCGGTTGTTTGAAAAGGGTGCGGCTCTCCCAGGCGACTCCAGATCAAACAAATGTAGCGGTAATACAGCCGTTTGCATACGAACGCGGAATCACTGATTCGCAATTTTCTGGAGACGCCCAGGCACCATGCGCAGATGTGACTCACGCGTCACGACTCGCGCTTGCGCGTCGAGTCCTCCGCGATGCAGCTCGCGCGCGCGCATCTTGAATGTGAACTTGACGGCCTCCGCTGGACCGCTGCGCTCAATGCCGAAAAAGCTGCCATTATGATGAAGCGCAAACTCCACAAGCTCCTTCGCAGCTTCGCCCATCGGCACTTCTGGCGGCACACCTGGCGCACCGCACTCTGCCGCCTCCGGTCACGCGAATTCACGTCCGTCGTCCGCCCCCTACCCGCTCGACCTGCCAACATGGAAGGCTCCCCGGCGTCAGGCATGCCTACCGCGTCGTGCACAAAGGGGTTCAAGTGCGCATCAATGGCTGCACGTTCAAACGGCAGCTCAAACGGCAGCCTGCTCCCGTTCCAACTTCCTCCGGTGCCTGCCAGGACTCGCGGCGGCACGCCCAACAGGAGAACGATGACCCCAACCCTCCCATCCAACCGGAAGGGACTCTCGTTCGAATTCCAGAAGGTGGTGATGCGCGTGCGCGCGGTGTTTTGAGTTGAAGATGTTCGAGTGCATGCTTGTGCACGAGAACGCAAACAGGGACCAGGAGTGGGACCGCAGCTTGGATGTCGCACTGGGGAAGTAGCTTGATGAGTAGACTGTGTATGTGTATCATTGCAACATAAAACAACGATGACGAGGTCCTGGCTATAATGCATATGCACCTCTCCGCACCGCTCGCATGCGGCTTCTTCCCAGTGACCTCGCAGCGTACGACCACTGTTCGGCCACGGCTTTGGCCTCTTCACCCACGCTCAGCACGCTGCACCTTCGCCGCTTTGGAATTTTCCGTCGATCCACGGCTCTCCCGCCATGTACGCCGGCTGGAAGGTCTGCGGCGGAGGCAGCACCGGGGCGTCTGCATGCTCGCAGCCAGACTCCCGCGCGCAGTAGTGGAAGCTGCCCGGGGGCATCGCGGGGGCGGCCGGCGCTGCGAGCCTTGGATAGGACAGTTAGGCGTCGCGGGGCGCGGGATACGGCTGGACTGGGGCTGGTGCTCTTGCGTGAGCAGTAGGCCTGCGCACACCGCCCTGGGTGTCCAGGAAGCCCTCAGAGGTGTGCCCATCGAGGACGGGGTCCAGGTCAGCAATGGTGAGGGTAGGGTATGGCTTCGGGAGTCCTGCATGGCTGGGGAGGACATTTGCGTCGGCGGTGGGATGGTGCTCTTGCGACATGCGGCATGGTCGTACGCGATACTTACCCGACTTGCGCAGGGCATCGCGGAGCTGCCCTGCGCCAACGGAGACGGGGGCGCTGCCACTGATGGTGAATGCATAAAGGCTTGCCAGGTCTGCGCGAGCGGTCTAAGACCTCTGCAGTGGGAGCGCGAGTAGAGTTAAGATGGTCGTCGCGCACACGCGCGAGCCACATCACCGTGCACGCGCGTGGGATCCTGGGACGTGACGCGCGAGTCACATCTGCGCATGGTGCCTGAGCGTCTACCAGAAATTGCGAAATCACGATTCCGCGTTCGTATGCAAACGGCTGTAAGGAGGGGATGGATGGTGGCATGCAGGAGGTGACATGTAACACGCATCAGGTGCAGGAGACGGATCAAGAGCTCGGCGGACCCCTCCGGCAGTCCGGACTCCGGCCGGCATTACGTCCCGCCGTCAGCACGTGCCTCAAGGACCCCAGGGGCCCAGATCGCAGGCCTCGGGTTACATATACACCTTCAACTTTCTGTCCTCCCCCCACCCTCTCCCACCATGCCAGGACCTGCAGTCTACGTCGTCGCAGCCATGGGGGCCGTAGGGGCCGTAGCAGTGGGCATCGCGTTCCATCAGGTCGGTCCTCTGCTCGTCTATCAGTGATAGGCTGCTTGTGTGGGTGACTCACGTTGTGGCGGGCGGACAGTTTGTGTACGAGCCCCTCATTGCCCCCAAGCTCGAGGCGTTGGCAGAGAGCTTTCTCGAGAACCGCCGGCAGCGTTCGAGGCGACCAGTCCCTGTTCCTGCAGCACGAGTCAACGAGCATGGCGATGAAAACGGCTCTCGTCGCTCCAATGAGAGGACCCGCGATAACGGCGACCAGGTCACCACATCTATCGAGCTCGAACAGCTCGCCGCCAGCGAGAGGGCTGCCTGGAGACATGCCACAGGGGCATCCACATCCGGTCTGCGTCACAGGAGGACGGCGGGGGCATTGGACGAGGTGCGTTTCTCCCCATACGGTCCTTGGGCGTCGCGCTCACCGCCGTTGCGCTTGTTGCCTTGCCAGTCCAATGCGTCCCTCCCCCACCGCGTTCTGACCCCCAGTCAGCCCACGCACATCCTCTTTGACTCCTCGGCGCCCTCCTCGCCCGGCGGCTTCTCGAGCGGGGAGATGTCCTTCTCGAACAGCCCTGCGCAGCCGTCTATCGGGCTCTCTACGATCAACGCCTCCACTTCAAAGTCGTCCGCTCCCCCTCAAGACCCACATCACCGCCTCCCCACGCCCGTGTCTGAGCGCTCTGTTCTCTCGCCCGTCCCACGGGCTGCGACGCCCCGGACCGCTCAAGCCCCCCGCTTCCCCCTCTCCGCACGCGAGTCTCCCGAAGCCGACCTCGCCGCGTCGCGCTTCTCCGCGTACACCACGCCAATCGCGGGCTCGCTGCTCGACGACGACTCGCACCTCCGCGGCCTTCCGCAGTCGGGCTCGCGCATACAGTCGCCCTTCTCGGACATCCACTCCGCCGACGCACGCTCGAGTCCGGAGGCGCCCGCGGCGGCCTGCTCGCCGGTGTTCCCGGCGTCGCCGAGCGTGGGCAGCGACCTCACGCTAGACTCGGACGAGGAGTTCGACGTGATGAGCCCGCGCTCGGCGATGTTCAGCCCGCCCGCGCACGCGGAGGACATCGACCCGTTCGAGCTCGCGTCGCACGGGAGCGAGGCGTCGTGGGCCAGCGTCGGCCGGCGCTCGCCCGTCGACTTCTGAGATGTCGGATCATGCTCAATATCGTCCACGTTCTCCCTGCTCTGGGCTTTTCCGTTGTATTAGTAACGATCTGGCTTGCGCACGCTATCAGGTCACGCACATACTCTGTACTTTCGCTGTAGATGTCTCACCCTCCGTCATGAACCACAAGCAATCTGATGTATATTACTTGGCGATATCTGGTGTGAGCGATCTAATGTCAGTCTGTGAACGAAGGTGAAGAGGTGTTTTGTACATCCTCAGATCGACCCTCTTCCGCAGATACAAAACTTCGCCAAAACGCCTGCTCGCGCACGTCGCGGTCGTGGACGCGTGCGTCGTCGGCGGCCGCGACTGAGGGCGGTCCTGTGTGGAGGGATGCCTGTTGAAACGGTGATCGACGATCGCAGTGGAGGTTCGTGCAGCACGTCGCGGACCGCAAGGACACGTTTAAGCATCTCGCAGGTGTTGCATTCGTGAGATCGGTCCCAAAGACACGTCCCAGTGGCAAGATCTTGCGGTGCATGCTGCTTGATAAGGCAAGGGCGTGAATAAGCCCCCTCTCTCTGTGAAGTCGAGGCTCCAGCTAGTACTCATCAGCGCTCAGCAGCCTAAAAGCAAATCAGGTTTTGATCACAAGTTCATAACTATGAGCGTGTACATTTCATAGTGTAGTCTGGCTGGCCTAGAGATCATCGCCCTTTGGATATTTGAACGCATGGCTAGTATGATACCTCCCGGGTCACTCCGAATTGCATGCTCTAGGATATACCGAGAGGTCAAGCACGTGGACTGCGAGCGAATAGTATTGATTTAAGAGCCTACATAAGATGGCGCATGTTGGCTTCCCCGCCGCGCGAGCGACGGGTACTAATCCCGAGGGCCACGGAGAGGCCTGCGCCGTACCTCGGGAGGCGTTTTGAAACGGAGGTCGTAAGGACCTCCGTCGCCCGTAGCATAGGTAGACATAAGCATAGATGAAAGTCACGATATTGAGGGGTAGGGAGAGAATACAAGGACGGGCCGAGCTGGGGCCGGCGCACGAGTGTTCCGGAGCCTGGAAAACATTCCGCGAAAGTTCACGGAGAGGCATTCATCGGGTCATGTGCGCCGCCTGACGATCGCCGTCCTTGTACGCATGAATGAGCGCGGGGAGGAGAGGGAGAGCAGTAGCGATCGAGAGAAAAGAAAGACGACTCGAAGCCTGGGGGCGGCACGCACGACTTTCCCGGAGCCAGATCTTTCCGCTAGGCTGAGCGGAGCGGCACTCATCGGAGAAGTGCGTGCCATCCGGCGCGGGACCATGCCCTACTTTCGCCGCTGGATTGGACAGCGGGAAGCGATCGACCGCGCCCTTACTGAGCCTATCCGTGCGCCCTGTTTTCGAGACCCCGGTCGCTGCTCAACGGTCGAAGTCAGTTTGTGTTCAAAAACGATGCAAGACAAGTGGCTCACCATGTTGGGGTTACCAATGAAGGCATAGCTACCATACGGAAGTCGGCGTCGGCGTCGGCGCGAGGAGTAAGAGAAAGACACACTACTCACATGTCCGACAGAGGCGAGTTGAAAAGCCGTTTCGCGCAGCTCGTGAGAACCGGCGGCGACGAGTGTGGGGGAAGGGGCTGGTCCGCACGCAGGCTGATTCCCCGTGTGCCTCAAGGCATGTGGGACTGCGATGTGGGAGTATGTCTCGGGCCCCCCGTGCGGTGCGGCACGAAGCCGCTGCACGGTGTCTCTCACCTGCCCATTTGGCGGTGAGGATGGCGAGGCGCGAGCGACGCCAGAGCCTCGGTGCGGGGCGAGGAGAGTGACATGGGAGCCGACCTGCTCGATGTGCCACCAGTCCTAGTGAGTGGTCAGCATCAGTGGCGGCGCGCGTGGTTGTCGTTGAAGAGATAGCTCACCGTTAACGGACCCTTCGTTCAGGTGAGCATGTTGCCGTCGCCGCCGTTGAGGCGGGCGGGGAGTAAGGGAGTGGTGTGCCGCATGGGCGGGGGTGCGTCGCGGGAGGAGCTCATCGTCGAGGTGGTGGGGTGGGGGGTTCTGAGGGGAGAGAGCGCGGGGGAGGGGCTTTTATGTTCGCCTGGCGGACCCCACCGCGAATCCGACCGGCGACCGCATCGCGCGCAGATCACATGGCCGCGCATTCGGCTGGTACAAGGCCGCGTCGAGGCCCGCGATACTGGGGTCTCGGCGAGTATCGCGCTGGCCAATCGCCTCCTGCGCTCATGCACGACCAGGTGCTTCTAGAGTGGAAAGGTGCCCTCGGATCTCACAGCAGTCCCTGGAAATTGATGATAATCAACAAGAGTCCTCAGCCGAGTCCCGACAGAATGAACTTCTTACCGAGCGCGAGAAGAGTCGGAGAAATAGCACGGCGACCAGGGGGCACCACAGGCCGCCGTGTGTCGCTGATTGGTCGCAGAGCCCAAGCGGTGGCTCAGGCATCCGAGAGAATGGCACTCACGAATGATCTGGGGTGCTCGCTGGACGGCGGAGTTCAGAAGTGTGGCCAAAGAAGGTTGTTTGTGGGCGTCCTGGTTCAAGTTGTGAGCAAATTTGGGTCCAGAGACTCGAGACTAAGATAATGGGGCTAATGTAAGCTTGAAGATTCCCAAATGACCCAATAATTGCACTCACTCCTTTGGGGCCGTATTCAGGAGACGGATGTGTAGACTGAGCTCTAGAGCGAGGTGTCGGGCAACGAGAAGATAGCAAAGCGCCAAGTTCTTATAAGTGTGCGGCGGGAGCCTTTGGCGCTGGGGTCTCTGGGCAAGGGTTCGAATCCACCACTTGCTGCTTTTATGTCTCTTTCAGTCATCTACGCTTGTGTCTCGTCTTTACGGCCCATTTGATCGCCCGATCCTCGAAAAACACTTCCACGTCTCGCTGTTTGCGCGGCAGGAGCCGAACGTTGCGCGCTGCCATCATCTACACTTCCACTCTACGAACAGCGAGCGAGAGAACGCTCGTTACCCAAACGCCATCGCGACCGGCCCGCTGGACGTCGCCGTCACCTCTCGGAATCTCGCAGCTCGACACCAACTACCACCTGAGGCCCATTATCAACGCTGAGCGCGGGATTGGAGGGCCGAGTGACTCGGACAGCCTGATTAGCTCTGGCTAGCCTTTCTTCCCAAGTCGTTGTCAACAAGGTATGTAGGTGTATCGAGCTAGGCCTGCTACAAAAAGCCTGGCTGGTTGAACCTCCGCGCGTTCGTCGTCGAGGCTCAGCCTAGCGTTGATGTGATGACCTCAGCGGGGCCCCGCGCTGGCACGAGACGCGGCAAGGACGGTAACGGAAGTTCCGACAGCCGATGATGGGCGCTCGTTTGGGAAGGGCGAGTCCCGGTGTCACAGCGTCCAGGACAACGAACGTTCTTACAAACAACGACAGCTCGGGCCTGAAGACATGGCGACGAAGAGGAAGAACCCCAGTGGGCTGATACTGCTCCAGTTTCACCGCCCTACGTTCAACTTGAACAAGACCTCGATCCCACAATTGACGCCTGAGTCGAGGAGGTGCGCGCATACAATGTGTCAAACGTCGCACAGTTGGAGACTGAAACACACTCGAGGTGCATACAGACACTCGCCGCGTACCGACGGCCGAAGTCGCGGCTGCGGTATCCCAAGTCGAGGAGCGCAGCGGTGCTCGTTGCACTCTTTGTCGGAAGAAATGGGGACTTGTATGTTCTCTTGAGCAAGTACGTCTTTGCCTAGGTTGCTCCAAGCCGCAGGTGCTAACAAGCAACCATCCACAGACGGGCAGCTCATCTCCGCACATACGCCGGCGATACTGCACTTCCCGGTGGCAAGTGGGAGCCGCGGGACAAGAGCATCGAGTGGACTGCGGTGAGTATGATATGATATGTGATGCGTGATGGACACCGTGCCTAACACTCCGTTGTCGTTCGCAGAGAAGAGAGGCTTTTGAAGAGGTACGTCATGACGATGAACAGCGTCGCTCGCGACTAGGCAGACATCAAATGTTTAGCCTGTTGCAGATCGGGTTACCACTAGACTACCAGAAAGTACCCACGTTGTGCATACTCCCTCCACACCTGGCAGGCAACAAGTTGATCGTAACACCGTGCGTGGAGTTTACCTCGGCCCATAGACTGATGACCATCTAATCCATCTGTCTGACTGTATCCAGCGTGGTCGTGCTCGTGTTAGACAACACATTACGGGTGCGTCCCTCACACCAGCTGTGGTCTGCTCCCAACGTGTGCGCGGTGCTGACCGCGCCCCCGACGCAGCCGATCCTGAACCAGGCCGAGGTTGCGTCACTGTTCTCCCACCCGCTCAAGTCGTTTCTGCACTCGGAGCCGCCGTTCCCGGCAGAACAGGAGTCGCTCGAGGTCCAGTACCACAGCTACTCGGACTTCCCGTCCGTCGCAGGCCACACGCGCATCCACACCTTCCTCACCGGCCGCGAGGCGGGCGGGACGAAGCCCGTGTTTGGGCTCACAGCGTGCGTGGCCCTCTCTCCCCGTCTCGCTTCCCGCGCCATTCACACACGCCCGGTCCCATAACATACCGCAGCTCGATCTTGATCGAGGTCGCGCAGGCGGGCTACGGGCGCGCGCCGGACTTCGAGGCGTACGCGCCGGACCAGCCTGCCATGGAGGCGCGCATTGGGCACGCGCTCCGGCACGACCCCGTGTTCCGCGCCGCGGAGCTCGCGGAGGGGATCGATCCTGACAAGACGCCAGCGCCCGCGGTGGGCCCGCGACGGAGGGCGAGGCGGGCGGTAGGGGCGAACGCGACGGCGCAGAAGGAGGTGGAGAGACGCGATGGGCCGACGACAGCAGGCACGGGCTGGGGTGGCAGGCTGCGCGCGAAGCTGTGAGCGGGGGCAGGAAGGGGTTCGATATGAAAGGGAGATGGACCGAGTAATGTCGCTTGGTTCGTGCCTCCTTCGCCTGTTTGCTTGTAGGCTGTGGGGTGGCCGGGATGAACTTGGGATGAACGCCGTGAAGGTGAAAAGGGCGTGGCGGATGATCCAAGTCGTCGCTGCTGTGAGAGGGCGGGGCTGACTAAGCACGCCTCGCCCAGTCCGCGCCACAATTGGAGGAGGCGCAGCGTCACCGTTGAAAGCCCTGCCCGTCCTCCGTCTCTCCTCCTGCCATCTTCTCCCGTCTCCCACCCTCTCCGCTGCTGTCCTCTCTGCCTCCCGCCCGCCCTCGACGACTCTACACGACCGCCACTCCCCGTCCTTCGACAACCCCTGCATTTGAGAGACCAACCTCGAGAACTCAGAACATCACCCTCAGCAACACCCGCATGCCGCAGGTCTACCGTCGCCACTCTGAATACAGCCCTCGTCCGTCCGTCGTCCCCCGCCGGCGGTCGACGATGGCACCCCCACCCGCCGCGAGCTCGGACCCCCAGCCAACCGACGCCGACGACTCCATCTTCCTCGCCGACCTCGTCCGCACCGGCGAGGCCTCCCGCCTCCGCCGCCGCGGCGCCATGCGGCTCGACCACACCGGCCCCCGCCCCACCCCAGAGGGCCAGCTCCGGCCGCAGCCCCCCGCGCTCCTGCGCGAGCCGCGGGACCGGCGGGGGTCGTACGTCGTGCCCCCCTCCGCGCTCCGCCGCAGCCCGAGCCCGGAGCGCGTCGTCGAGGAGGACGGGCAAGACGAATACACGTACAGTGCCGGACCCGTCTGGCGCGACTGGGACCGCGAGCCCGGGCCCCGGCCTCAGGGCACGGGGGTGGGCGTTCTTGGGCGCCCGGACGGGGTTGAGGTCCTCGGCGAGGGCACACAGGCGTTCGTCCTCCGCTGTGGAGGCGAGGAGGGTGAGGACCAGTGGGCGGAGGTGGAGGAGCCCCCAAAGCGGTTCAGGCCGGCGTTGTTCCCTCAAGGGGGCGCGCCCGCGGGCCCGTCATCGAGCGCGAGCGCACCCCCGAGACGGCAGGCGCGGCGGACGAACGGGTGTGGGGCGGTGGTGCATGTGCGGGCGTACCCACAGCACCCGCGCGGGGCGTGGATGGCGAAGGAGGAGGCGACGGATGCTGTAGTCGCGCTCGACCCCGCGTACTGCGACCACCCGGCGATGGACAAGTTGCTGAGGAGCGCATGTGGGTGTATACGGGAGGGCATCGGCTGTGCGGGCTGGTACGCGGTCCTCGATTGAAATCCTGCGCTGTTGACTGACCCTCTACCCTGCGTGCAGCGGCAACACGCTCGGGACACGCTACGTGCCCTGCCAGGCTGCGTCCGAAAGCATCTTCTATCCCCACCCCAGCACCTCGACCGCCCCTCTGCCCACAAGACCAGTGCGCCCCTTCGGGCCGAGTTATTGGTACCCGCGTCCGGCCCCGCACCCGCAACGCCGCACCGCTTCGTCCGCGCACTCCTCGCGAGGATCGCCCACCTCATATTACACCTTCTTTGCCGACCGCGTCACCTCAAGCCCTTCCTCGGACTGCCCATGTATCCCACATGCCCGCACGCACTCCCACCCTCAATCACAAGCGACCGCGCCGCTGCCGCCGACGCTAGCAGAGCCTCCCCGCGGCAACAGCCCTGACGTCGACTACGGCTACCGCTGGACCGCCTCCCCTGGGTCCATGGCCACGCCTCTGCCGCCCCCGAGCGCCGCGGAGGCCGTACAGGCAACTTCAACCCCGGCGCCCCCGCTGTCCCCGGTGTTCGCGCTCCCGCCACTCCCCAGCGCGAACCGGAGCCGGAGCCAGCTGCGGCCAATGTCGCGTGAGCCACGACTGTTGCGGCTGTCGATGGAGGTCCAGACGCCGTTCGGGACAACCATGGACGGCGGGCTCGACCTCGACCGCGACGGGATGCCGGTAGAGGAGCCAAGCTCGCCTGACAAGGAGAGCATGTCGTGGCCTGGTCGGTAGACCAAGGTCACCCCTGTGTTCTTCGCCCTTCGCAACCCCTATATACACGCGGGCGACTCGCCTCCCCCAGTACGTATATTCCTCCCACCTTCTATTGCATGCACATCCCCGGTGGCTGTAATCTCGGCCCCCTGCCCTTTTCTCTCTTCCTTCATCATCCTCCCTCGATGGTCTCGGTTCGTGACGTTTCGGGCTACGGGCGGCGGAGGCGGCGGCGTGCACTTATGCATGCGCTGCCCCTTGCCCACCGCTTCGCAGCCCGACAGGTGGACACTCGACTCGATGTTCCCGCTGCTTTGATATACACTATTGCCCGTCGCCTGCTCTCGACCCCTCCCATGCACGCCCTCTCCCCGAGTACTCTTTATCATATCGTCTATCCTCCCTCTTATTTTCGTAGAATATGTATCCCCTGCGCTCACACTCCTCTCTTCCCCTCCTCCCCCGCCCCCGTCTGCGCAGCTCCCTGGATCGATTCCACAGCACGCCCGTCTTCCTCAGGCCTACCCTCTCACCCCACATCGTTCCGTTGTCCCCTTCCATCCCGCTCTCCCCCTACCTTTCCCTGTTCATACTAGCATCACTAGCATCGACTCATCTGTACTATATCCTCTGCAATTGCATTTCTACCATGTGTGTTGGATGGATTGGCGGTGGGCGTGCTAGACGGATGCGAAGCATGGGTCGTGAGTCCTCTACGTATATTTCGAACATAATGGTGATCTCAGCGAAGCACCCGAAGCGATGCGCAACTTATAGCTGCTAGTAAATGTGACCCCCTCCTCGCCCCCACCGCTCGGCCTCAACTCGAAGCACGGCTAGAAGCGCCCGATATTCCTGCAGTAGCATCAATCTTTGCCTCCTAGTGTTTGAAGCCCCGCTACAAATGCAGTACTATGAACCATCAATCGCCAATTTGAAACTCGTATAATAGCCATCGAAACGGCCCAACGAGTCCCGTTTGTCTCGCGCGCTCCGTGCGCCCATCTCTCCGGTCCTCGTCCGACGTGATCTCCCTCACTGGAATTGCGCTGTAGCCGCTACTTACAACGTACACCCAAGCCCCGCGCGACGTACGCTCGTGTCCTACACTGTGACAGCCTGTGCGCACGCTGCGCCGCTTGTGCGACCGGCCTGCGCTCAGCCCGGGCGCCCTCCTTGTCGATGACGCCCTTGCGAACCACCGATTGAATCAAGCTGCCAACTCCCCGAATGCCGCAGGAGTTGATGTTTTCTAGATGCCAAGGGAAAATATCCTGGGCTTTCCAAAGCATTTGCTGATAAAACGAACGAAGGCATCTTCAACTTCTCTTGCCTGCCATGCAATGTGTCCTGCAGGTATCCTTAACGTTAGTGAAGGTTTGAAACGCTTGTGAAACGGAAGAATTTCCGAAGCTTTGACAGCCGTGGTAATCGGGACCAATGCGGAGTCTCTCCGACTCTCAAAAGACATCTGGCGCACGCGTTCTTTCGCCTGCAATCTTTCTCGTTCGGCAAACGTCTCGCTGCCTTCCACCTACGCTGCCTCTATGCGCCCAAAGCCTAGATCTTGCCAACTTGACATGATCGCTGTCCGACGAGCCGCGAGGATCTTCCGGAAGACAAGACCCCGGTCGGGAGTCAAATCGGACCAGGGCGCATCGGGTCGGCATCAGCTGCTGCAGACGACAACCGTGGGGCCTCGCTTTTGTCTGAAGTCGAGCGGCCATCTGCGGTGCGTCGCACCCGTGCAGACTGTGTCATCTTCGTCCGCTGCGGTCTAATCTTGTGCAGCGACGGGACTCACTAGGCGCAAACGCAGTTCGTTGGCGTCGAGCGTCGAGCACTCCCTGTGCCGAAGTCCATCCGGTCTTTATCTTGCCTCGCGGGAAGCCCCACCGCCGAGCGGCCATGGGAGCACGCGTGGGATGGCCGCACAGGGAGAAGCTGATGGTACAAGCCTGCGCGGCAATCGCGGGCCCACCAGATCTCAGAAGCGCTCCGTGCTCGGTGATGGATGCGCCAGGAACGGGCTGTACGCTCGATATATGGTCTCCTCAGCTTTGCCTCCGGGGCCCCCGCCCGCGCGCCCTCATGAGCTCTTCCACACTCCCTTCCGGGGTTCCTGCCCTCGACTCCACCCTCGGTGCCCTCCTCATCGGTTCCTTCCTTAGTCTTATGTGAGTCCTCGCTCGTATCGTGCGCATTCTGGGCGGGAGGCCGACGCCGGGAAGTCTTTTTGGGGTTGCTTTGTATGAGGGATACACGTACTTCAAGAATCGCCACTATGAAACCGCTACGATCACGACTCTGGTGCGTCCCATTTCCTCTCGGCCGCTGCGAGGAGGGACAGACCTGACTTTCCCCAGGTATCCGTTGTGCTGTTCGTCGCTTCTCTTCCTATCTGTGGGCAGGCGCCAACTCTCTTCACAGAGTCTTCGACACCGTGCACGTGGTCTTGATCATGATCAGCGCGTGAGTGAAGGACGGCTCTGGGTCCGCATTCTCAAACTGACGTGGAGCAGGTATCATTACACGGTGACCAACTTCGCAAATCCAGCATCGCTGAACACTGCGTACTGGTGCGTTTCTCTTTGCTGATCAAGACGTTTTGCTCACAAGCTGCAGGTCTCTGAACGTGCGTCCTCGTCCCTTGTCTGCGTTTCATCCTCTCACCGAGCACGCGACCTCAGGTGGTACCCCTCGTTGGAGTGAGTCTTCAGCATTTCTTCTAGATCTCGCGTTGTTGATGCGCCGTGCCCAGGCCGTCTTGTCATTACTTTCACAGGGGTAAGTGGCTGTCGCCGTTCGCTACTGCCGATGCTCATCGTCAAGGCAGTTTCTTCGCACGACGAGTTTCTCTCAGTAAGAACAGTGTTGCCCCGCGGCGCCACACAAATACTGATGGAAGTCATCTAGTCTCACCCCTTTACGTCGTCTTCGCGGTTATCGCTGTGAGTACCATGTCCTCGTTGCATCTGGCCAAGAGCTGATCCCTTGCAGGCGATGGGTGTCGTCACAGCATCCGGTCCGTATTCCAGTCACCTCTTCGCCTGTTATATCAACTCACGCCCTGGTTAACTCCTGCCAGTTTGTACCTTTAGTAAGATTTCCAGCCCTTCCTCCGCTTGACAACGTCTCATCATGCGTTCAAATGCTGCAGTTATCACTGTCAAGGGGTACGGCAGCCATCCGGATCAATGCCCACAATTAAACGCTGATATCCTATCTCGAACGCAGATTCTCCTCAGGCACCTTAGACCTCGTCGTCGGCAACCACGTGGGTTCGGTTGGACTACATTGCGTTGATGAGATCTGATGTCTTCGTCCCTCGCCCAGCTCTATTCCGAGATTGCGCTTGGAAGTGTCACTCTCACAGCGGTCTGCTTGACCGGCTCGCTCCTCAGCGTACTCGTTCGCGCACGGTCATACCAGACGCGAGTACCGAATACGTCCGATTGGCCAGAACACTCACTACGCAAGCTCTGGGTGGTTTGGGTCGTCAACACTGGTGCGCTCCCTTCATAGCTGGAATTTCACGCATCAGTATTGATTCCATTAATCCAGGAACTCTCATCTTGTACGCGCCTTGACCGCTACTTTCTGCCCACGTGATGTGCTCACGGCTCGTTCCAGCTGTGCATGCACCACCGCTCTGGTTCTTGCGGTCGCGTCCCCACACTCGCTGTGGTGGGTCATGTTCTATTTCATCTCTGTCCGACGTGCGTGTTTCACCCCTCCCACGTCTCTCGGCGCTGACGGCTCTCCGCCTGCCAATTCGTCACCACAGTCGATGTCATCACCCTTCTGAGCGTGTACGCACCTGTCCCAGCCCTTCTCACCGTGCCCTCCCGTGACTGACCGCGCGCACGCCTTCCAGGTTGAACTCGCGACGGATCGTGCCCGTGAACGCCGACGTGCTCGAGGCCGGCGGGGGGTACGGCCGCAGCGTGCTCGCGCGCGCGAACCGCCTCGCGACCGTCGAGCGCTGGAACATTCCGGAGGTGCGTCCGGCTGCCCGCGCCTTCTATCGCCGCTGACATTGCTTTTCCGCCCCCTCGCTGCTCCGTCTTTTCGCGGCATCGCTCTCACCGCCCCGGCCGCTCCGTCGCTCCTCGCACGTCGGGATGTTTGCCGCTGCCTCCGCCGCCGCCTCCTCGGATGTGCGACTTCACCCCCGCGTCTGTGCGCACAGCTGCCGGAAGAATCGCCCCCGGCGGTGATCGACATCAAGGTCACGCACGAGGTCGAAGGCCGCGAGAGCGCCGCGATCGAGATCCCCCGCCGCGGCACTCGCAAGTTCCGCCGGTGACGACGGGGACGGCGGACGCTTGTCTCTTACCTGCATAAGTTATTCGCGCCGTGCGCGCGCGGCGCGTCTGTTGTTGTGTTTCTACCACTTAATGATGTACCACCGTCCCGCCTGCTTGGCGCAGTTACTTATCTAACAATCTCGCCGTCGCGTCGGAGGTCGGGATGCTCGGTTCTCGACTGGCGACCGCAGCTGGCGACCCTTCGACCTCTTCTTCTGTGGTTCTCGCAGGCATCTGCACATGGCCTTGACGGGCTTCTGGCCGTCTGGCGTGATCGCGGGAAGCACGTCCTGCACGCACGAGCGTCGGTGTCTCACCTGTCGACCACACGTCCACGCTCGTGCTGATGCCTGCCCGTCGTGAGTCGCGCGGATCGTTTCGGGCTTCCTTGAGGCGTGCGGCACACCCCGCCCGCTTCCGCCCCTGCCAACCCCAAGCCGCCTCTCCTCGAGATGGCGATGTGGTGGGAGCGCAAGGGTGATGCGGGTGGTTTCCAGGGGGCGTCGCGCGCCGCACACGATGGAGAGTCGGCTGGCTGGGGATCTGATCGGTCCGAATTCGACTCTGGCGCAGAGCCATCCGGGACACTGGGTCTGGGCAATAGACAAAAGGCGCGGATACGTCATCGACTCATCCATGGGCATGCGCGCTCCAGCATCGGGCGGTTCCTAGTTTGAAAATATGAACTTGAACCTGGTCTCATACACTCGCTTCCTAAATAAGCAATCCTGCACGCATCGAGTCGTCTTACACCAGCTCCGTGCTTACAACCAACACCGCGCCGATTTATCGAACCAAGATTCCTCGACCCTCCACCGCCCAGGACCACCCTCGAGTCTGTCGCGCCAGTCCACGACGTCGTCCGCCACCGGTCCCTTCAGCCTGTAAATCATCCACTCTGGCCGAAGCCTCTCGACCGGGTGGATAGGGACGATGGCCCAGCGTCGTCCGGACTCGGCGTGCAACCTCTCCAGGGCCTCAGTGAACACCACGGAGGGAGCCGACTGCGCCAGCAGCACGCGCAGGTGTGGTAGGGGACTCCCGGCGAAGCCTGATCCCTCAGGCTCGTCGCGCTCTTCAAATGCTGCAAGGCACGGACGGTATAGTCAGTCAGCCGCGCCCGCACCTGCGTGCGCCCCCCTTCTCCGGCCACAGCGAAAGGGCCGCTCACGCACCGTTGGCCACCAGCGTCGCGAGGCCCCCGCCCTCCCGCCAGCACCCGCCGAGCTCCGACACGCGCAGGTGCGTGAGCCGCGCGCCGCGCGCGCCCCACGCCGCCCACCCGCCCAGCGCCGCGCCCTCCTCCCCGACGACCTCGAGGTGGGTCAGCTTCGGGAGCGTCGCCGCCGCCACGCGCCCGCCTTCCGGCGCGAACGGCGGCCAGTCGCGCCCCGCGCCGGGCGCGCGCCGGCCGACGAGGCAGAGCTCGCGGAGCGCGGGGAAGGCCGTCGCGGCGACGGCGTCCGGCAGGGGCAGCGAGCGCGCGCCGTCGGGGCTGGGGAGCACCGCGGCCCACGACGACCACCGCGCGCGGGGGGGCTCGAGGTTGGGCGCGCGCCGGGCGAGGACGAGGGAGTGGAGGTCCGGCGCGACGCGGCGCAGGAGGCCGCGCACCGCGGCCTCGTACTGCGCGCGCGTGTCCGCGTGCGCGGAGCCCGGGGAGGCGAGGTAGAGGTGGCGGACGACGGGCCGCCGGGTGCGTTCTGGGGCGCAGCGCGCGGTCTCGGCTTCGAGGCAGGCGAGGAAGAGGGCGGCCTGCTGGGGGCGCTGCCGGAAGGTCAGGGCGACGGAGTGGAAGCGCGTGGCTCGGGTGGCGGCGCGGATGTATTTGGAGGTGAGGGAGAGCGAGCAGCCGGTGAATCCTCCGTCGACGCAGGCGAGCCGGGCGATGTCCTCCCACAGGTGTTCTGGCAACGCGCGCGGCTGACACGAGAGGTCAGCGTCGGTCCCATGCCTCGCCCAAACATACGGCTGCTACTGACCTTGAGTGTCCATAAACGTGCCTCAATGGCGACTCGCAGGACTTGTAAAGGGCGCTCATATTTCAAGCGAAGCTGTTGTGCTGCCTCTTGAGCGTAAGACAACATGTGCGCAGCTCGTGACCATGAACCGAGGGGACCAAGGACAAACTTGATCAACTCCTGCATTTTATGCCTGTGACTGATGACATCCCCCTGCGTTCTCCATTCTCCCTACTGTCAGCCTCGACGCGAGAAGGTCCTAAATGTCAGCCACCACGCGATATGCTATGCCTCCACCCCCTGCGCCCACGGTCAGCACCGCGCCGACTTCTCGAACCAGGCCTCCTCGACCCGCCAGCGGCCAGGCCCGCCCTCGAGCCTGCTGCGCCAGTCGCGGATCTCCTCCGCCACCCATCGCTCCTGGTGGAACAGCCGCTGGGACATCTTCATGCGGTCCTTGCGCCTGCGCACCGGGACGAGGCCCCAGCGCGGGCCAGACTCCAAGGCGTGCAGGGCCTCGAGGGGCCGGACGTGCGAGTGCCCGTAGTACAGCGTCTCCTTCCTGGGCAGCGGCGGCTTCGCCTGGACGAGCAGCGTCTGCAGCTCCGGCATCGCCGTGCCCGCGAAGCCGCCCTCGCCTCCCCGCCCTCGCGTCCGGGGGACTAGTGCGCAACGCGCGCGAGCAGGAGTCAGCAGCGGTCGGTGCGCGCGCGCGCTCGCTCGAGGGGAACCGCGGCACTCACCGGGCATGACGAGCGGGAGGAGGTGCTTGAAGTTCGCGTCGAGCGTGTACGTGCCGAAGTCGGTGATGCGCAGGTGCGTGAGCGCCGCGCCGCGCGCGCGCCACAGCGCCCAGTCCCACAGCGGCAGCCTGCCGTGCATCGGGACCTCGAGGTGGGTGAGCTTCGGGAGCGTGTTGTCGACGCGCGTCGGGCGCGGGGCCGCGCCGCCGCCCGCGGCCGTCGCCTGGGAGTGGGGCAGGGGCACGGTCGCGGCGACGGTCGGGCTCGGCGCGAAGGGGGGCATGTCGCGCGCGGCGACGGTGTGCCGGCCGACGAGGTAGAGCTCGCGGAGCTCCGGGAAGGGCTTCGTGGCGAGGAAGTCGGGCAGGGGGAGGTAGACGGAGTCGTCGAGGCCGGGGCGCCGGTTGTTGAAGTCGGGGACCCCCCTGGCGAGCACGAGAGAGTGGAGGCGTGGGGCGACGAGGCGCAGGATGCCGCTGACGGCCAATTTGTACTCCCATCTGGTTGAGAGTTCCGAGTGTGCAGAGTACTTCGGAGAGGCGAGGTAGAGGTGGCGGACGAGGGGCTGGCGCGTGCGTTCTGGGCCACAGCGAGCGGTCTCTGCTTCGAGACAAGCGAGGAAATGGGTAGCTTGGAGGCGGGACTGGCGGAACGTGAGACTGACGGAGTAGAAGCGCATGCCCCGTGTGGCACCGCGAATGTACTTTGAAGTGAGGGAGAGCGAGCAACCCGTATACCCTCCGTCAACGCATGCGAGGCGGGCAATCTCCTCCCAGAGATCCTCCGGCAATCTGGGTGGTGGCTAAAATTCAGTGAGCTTTCATCATTCTTCTGAGTGCAGCCAATACAGACCTCCGGTCTCCGTACCAATGCCTTGGCGGCCAGTCGCATGACCCGTGCGCGGCGGCCGCATCTCAGGCGAAGCTGCTCTGCTTTGGCATTGAACGAGAGCATGAGTAGGGGATGGTGGTCGAGGTGAGAGAAGAGGGGTACCAATGATGTGCGGCAAGTCAGTCTTTCAATCTAGACTTCATGCGACAGGGGCTAATGATTCCCTGCCAACCCCAAGGGCTGTCGAGGTGACAGTGGCGTGTAGCCATCCGGGGCGATGGCAGTCCCGGTGAACCGGAGAAGCACGAGCACCAAACAGCGCTCTGCGCGAGGCGGGGTGCCCATGTAGTCGTAAGCACAAAGTACCCTCCAGACGCCGTTAGGGAGTCTGTGAGGTTTTTCTGGCAGGGTTTCGGCGGAGAATGAGGCGAATCGCTTCGAGATTAGCTGGCGCAGGTGAGGGATATGTCCTCCCTGCATCATCGTCCTACAAATGATCTGACTGTAGATGCCAGCAAGTATGTGAGAGGCTGGCGATCGAGCCCGACATAATTAGGAAGCCAGTGAGTATTATCAGGGACCAGAGCGTAAGTGATGGAAGAGTCGATTTGTATGTAGTCCTCACCTTGCATACACAGCGATGGGTCGTTAAGAACAAGCCAGCGGAAAGACACGAGGGACTGGCGTTCAATGGGGCGCCGGAGTGCGATTGGATCCAAACTGGATCGATCATCCGTACTGAATTCCCACGGCTTTCTGATTCGCAGCCTGGCCTCTTGAACCTGCCAAGAGGAGTCAGCCATCAATGTCCCCGTCAACCATGCTGCGGAGTGCATTCGCAGGAAGGAAAAAAACGCCCTACGCAACACTTGAGCTCACTGAACCGACCTATCACTCTTCTGCTAGTACTTACTGGTGACTCATTATCCGTCTCCCAGCGCCCAGGTTTTCCTTCAAACTGGCGTACCACTGATATGCAGCCTCCGCTATGGGGCATCTCCAGAAGCCTCATCACTCTCTCGAACCCGGTTGGATATATCGTCGCGGACATTCTAAACAGCTCCAAGAAGAATACCTAGGAGTGCGGGAACAGCGTCCCACCCAGCTGCGGACACCGGTCGCGGTATCGTTCCGCTTTCGAACCTATGGTGAGTTGAAGCATCAACGTATGGTCCACGCCCGTAGGTACCTGTACAATAGTCAACTTCGTTCCGCTCAAGCACTCTTGCTCGGACCCCTCCAGACATACGACCCATATGTCTCCGGCGTCCTCTCTACCCACCGCTCCTCCACCTCCCACTTATCCAGCGTCCCCTCCACCTCCGTCCCCCACTCCCTCTCCGCCCTTGCCCTCTCCTCATCCGCCCCGGCCGCCCTTCGCGCCGGTAGCAGCGCCCACCGCATCTCCGCCTCCCGATGCACGCTCTCCAGCTCCCAAATCACCTCCTGGTGCCGCGCCCGCCGCCGCCGCACGAGCCTGCTCTCCCCGTCCCCCGCGCGCGCCGGCCACGGCCCCGGCTCGACGATGAGCTTCTCCAGCCCCACAAACAGCCCGCCTCCGAGCGCGCCGCGGGACGGCGCGAGCCGCGCGACGTCCCGCTGCCCCAACTTTCCCGCCCGCCCGCGCGTCCCGTCCCGCCTGCCGCAGTCGAGGCCCCAGAGACGGAAGTGGGTGAGCGCCGGGGCGCGCCGCGCCCAGCACGCGAGGTCCGCGGTCTCCGCGCCGTCCGCGATCTCGAGGCGGGCGAGGCGGGGCAGCGCGGCGAGGCTCGCGTTCGCGCTGGGCTTCCCTAGGCCGTCGGGATCGGATAATCCGGCGTCGGCGTCGGATAGGCGGGGAGCGAAGTGCCCGGCGCCGCGGTCGAGGGAGAGCGCGCGGAGACTCGGGAAGCGCGTCGCGCCGAGCAATGCGGCAGGCAGCGGGAGACGCGCGGCGGCGGGGAGGTCGCGGTGGAAGTCGTTCCGGAGCGTGAGCGAGTGGAGGTCCGCGGCGGCGAGGGCGAGGAGGGCGCGGACGGCGTCGTGGAAGCGCTGCAGCTCGGGGCTCGCGTCCGACGCGGGCTCGAGGCGACCGGCGGTGAGGAATAGGTGGCGGATGCGGGGCCGAGGACCGCGAAGCTCTGCTGCCTGCGCTTGAGATGCGGTGTAGCACGCGAGGAACTGCACGAGCTGCTGGGGTGTCTTGCGGAATGTGATCTTGACCGAGAAGTATCGCGAGTGGTGGGATGTTTCATGAAGCGACTTGCAGGTCAGAGCAAGGGAGCGGCCTGTGAGTCCTCCATCGACGCAAGCTTGTTCGATGACGAGCAGCAGAATGTCGAAAGGGAGGGATGCGAACCGCGGCATGATTCATGAATGGAGGTGAGGAAGAAAAGCGTTCCTAGCACCGTCCAGCTGTACTCTGATATGTGTCCCACACAACATGACTCAGCAAAGCGCCTTCCCGCAACCATTTCAATACCCGCTGCGTACGTACATGAAGAGAACCCCATGAGTCCGTAGGATTGACGACTTACAATATTTTCTAGATTCCCTGAGCATGTCCGCACAAAGCCATCATTGAAATCAGCCATCTCATGCAACACACTAGTAGTACTTGGTATGCACGCATATCACTGACGTAACGTCGGTTGACCACCTCATCCTGCGCACGATCAATCTCTCGCGAACCATTCGTCCTCTGTTTCCCAGCGCCCAGGCTCGCCCTCGAGCCTTTCGTACCAACCGCGGAGTCTCGCCTTCCGTCTGTCGATCTCCGTTTCCTTCAAGTACGGGGGAGCGGGAGGAAGGAGCGCCCACGCGTGCGCAGACTCCCGATGGGCCGTCTGCACACTGGCCGATATCCCCCGCGATTCGAGGATGTGGTTGGGGCCACAGCGAGGAAGCCTTGAGAACGGCTGTACGAGGAACGCCTGAAGGTGCGGGAAGAGCGTTCCGCCGAGCCGGGGACAACCGGTGAGGTCTTCGCCTGGTTTCGATATAAAAGTGAGTGAGAGCCGAGGACAGAGCCTGGAGCGGACGTACCCGTCCCCACGATCCTCCCTAGCATGTCTGTGTCGAGCCACACCGTTTCTGCGTTGGTGATGCGGAGGTGTGTGAGGCGCGGAGCACGAGATGACCAGCGATCTAGATTCATGGCCGACTTCACGGACGCGAAGACCTCCAGGCGCCTGAGATTGGGGAGCGACGGGTAGGGGACCGCGTTGAGTTCTTCGAGTTCTTCCGGGGATGCGTCTTCCAGAGGTAAAGGAGCGAAGTCGACGATGCTCCACAGCGGTCCAAGGAGGGTCAACTCGCGAAGCGCGGGGAACTCTGTCGTTCCCAGCCACCTTGGGAGGCACAACGGTCGCAAGCGCGGGCCCCCAGCCAGCGTCAACGTGTGTAGATCCCGGGCGACGAGGTCCATGAGAGTGCGGACCTCGTCGTGGAACTTGAGCAGTTCGTAGTCGTCTGGGAGAACCTTGGCGTACGAGTCGGCGGGGGCTAGGTCGGAGAGCGTGTTGGTACTTAAGTAGAGATGGCGAACGCGCGGGGCCGGGGAGTCGTCGGTCACTGCGCGGGAGCGTTCTGCGGAGAGGCAGGCGAGAAAATGCTCGAGCTGCAAGGTGGTAGTCGCGAAAGTGAGCTGAATGGACCAGAAACGCGCAACGCGGGAGAGGTCGCGAAGGGTTCTGGAGGTGCATGATAATGAGCAACCGGTGAAGCCGCCATCTGTGCATGAGAGCTCCAAGATGGGCTGTAAGACGTCGAAGGGGAGGGACATGAGTTCCTAAGTGCAAGACGTGCTTAACAATTATGCGCCTTCATGGTCAATATATAGACGCACCATTGCGGTCATACGTGGAGGAACGGAAGATTGTGCCAACGAGTTCTCATCTTCCGTAACACAGACATCAAGGTCGTGGGATGATGGAGAGTTAAATCGGCCAAGTCCGCGACCATTGAAAAATTTTAGTGATACTAAGTAAACCCTGTGGAAGGCAAAAGCTTCGAACCAGGGCAAGTAGCAATTGACGAGGATTTTATGTCGACGGGGTTGCTCTCGCCCCACTCATCCGGTGAATTCTACGTCCGCGGGGTCGTACAACAAAATCTCCGTTTCGGTACCAGAAGCTGAAACCATACAGCAGAGGCCAAGGCGCGATGCAAGACCGAGCACGCGAACAGATCTTCACGGGTGGCTAACATATGCCGGTCAACACAGTGATACCGTTACTTGTAGAGGCGTTTGGGGAGGCTACAAGAATGCTCGCAGCCGGTCCGCCAGCGCGGTGAATAGTACGCCCTGACAACATGAGACATGCTTAGTCGGCTGCGCGAGGTTGTGCGCCCACTCATTGGGTGTGGGCGAGCGACAGAGTGGGCAGCCCGACATCCGCCTCAGTCGAGGCCTCAAAGGACCACGAGGATAAATCCTACTTGTGAAGGCGTAGACGAGTGGCGCGCGTCAGGTCGGCACTCTCCTTGATCGGGATGAGGTTCGCGAGCGGCACGACTCTGACGAATGCGAGGTCGCGAGGAGGAGGCCAGCGCCGGAGTGGAGGTCTCTGCTATCTATGTTCACGGTAATGGTGAAAGTGTCAAAACGAGGACAGAGAGGGATCGGCGTGGGCCCAGCGTTGGCGCTCCTTTATCCCAGGAGATCTTCAAGGCCCTATAATAGAGTACAGGGAGGTGAAGTTAGTCGATAGAAGTCGTTTACGGACTCATCGAGCTTTTCAATAGTGAGGAAGCCGAAATGTGCGAGCGTGGACACAAATTCCCAGAAGGTGGTGGCTTTTCTCGCTGTCAGAATAGCGAAGCTGAGCGGGAGATGGGGGGAGGTGTTGAGGACGGAGAATAGGCCTGGAGCAAGACAGATGTCCAAGGCATAGTACGGCAGCCAAAGCTGCGATAACCAGAGATTCTGAGGGACCGGATGCGAGGCGCAACGTGACGGAGGATGTCGGTGAGGGATGTGTTTCTAGTGGGGGTGGATACGTTGAGACGGCGAATGTGGCTGCCAGTACGCAGCGTTCGACCTTTTGTCGCGAACAAGCAGAGTGGTTACTCGGAGAGTTCTGCCTGTGCTCGAGGCGGGGGATAGTCGATGGCCAGTTGGTAAACCCACGAGGCCATGTGGCATGCGTATGAGCCAGACGGGCATGACAGGGTCAGGTTGAGAACATCTTTGTCGAGTTGCGCAAGCTCGTGGTGGTCGAAGGAGAATGTGGACGCGCGTCCAGCCGAGGCACACGAGCGACAATGTCCCCGGCGCCTAGCCCTGGCTTGCTTTCGTTCGAAGCTCGACGCAATTCTATCGACGATCGTGGATGCGATTATCGTACGCCCTCAAAGCCGTCCACGGCCCGCCATGCTATAAGCCTGCGCTCTCTCGTCTTCCTTTCGCGCTCTCTCTCCTCCACCCCACCGCTCGCCCACCTCCAAGGCACTACCGCAGCGTGCAGGCTCGGACGTTCTCAACCACAATGCCCAAGTTCGCTGCTGCCGAGCGTTTCCTCGCTGATCGTGATGCACCGTGCTGTAGCCTCAACGTCGCCAAGTCGTTTGGACAGCTAAGGTGAGCTGTCGCTCCCTCATGCGTTGTGCCGTCACTGTGCTCACTTCAACAGTTCGAAGGAGAAGAAGTATGCGCACTTCGTCGGCCAAGCTTCCTGGGCCGGCGCGCGGGTCATCCAGGGCCAGTGGACGCCCTACGCGCAAAAGCTCTATGACCTCCTCATTCTGACGTTCAGCGAGAACGGCAAGCTGGCGGACATGACCGCGTTGCAGAAGAAGAGCGGTCTCTCGGCGGAGGAATGGCAGGACACGATCCAGTACACGGCCCAGGTGCGTTCTCTTCATATCCCACACTGTCTCGACCTGTTTCTGGATGTTGCCTGTGCATCCTTGTTCAGCACATTCGCTGAACGCTTGCGCACCAAATCCTACGTGTCGCGTTGAGATGTTCGTGCGCGCACTCCGCCTCAGCTGTGTGGACTTTAGTTTCGGTTCGCTGACTATATGCGTGTGTAGGTCCTCGGCAACCTTGTCAACTACAAGTCCTTCGGCTTCACCAAAATCATCCCGCGCGTCTCTCAAGAGAAGTTCGGCGCCGTCGTGGAGGCCTCCACTAACGCTGCCAACGTGGTGCCCCTGTGGACCGAACTCAAGACACATATCTACGCTCTCGATCCCGAGCCAGAGTGCTCGATCGGCAAGCGCTCCCTTGGACACGTCTCCAACTACTACCTTGGAGAGCCCATCACGGACGAGGAGGTTGCGGCTATCCAGGAGGCTGCAGAAAAGCTGAGCATTGATGTCCTCAACACTCGGTACGTCTCCTCCACGACGTTGAAGTCACCACCGACTGAACACGTCTGCAGTGTCCAGAAGAACAGCCCGGACTCGTTCGTTCTTCTCGTCGCGTCCGCGGAGCGTAAATCCTCTGTTCAGCACGAGATCAAGATCCTTGACAGGCACGCAAAGCTGTCTGTCGAGTACGGCGACTTTTCTGACGCGATGCAAAAGGCCGCGGCGGCTCTCACCGAGGTTCGCACGGAGCCAGGTATTTTGCATCATTTCGGCTAAGTTCTGCGTATAGGCCAAGAAGTACGCGGCGAACGAGCACCAAACCGCGATGCTTGACGCGTACATCGAATCGTTCAAGACCGGCTCCATGGAGGCTCACAAGAAGGGCTCGGAACACTGGGTGCGGGACATTGGACCCATTGTGGAGAGCTACATCGGCTTCATCGAGACCTACGTTGATCCCTACGGTGGTCGTGCCGAGTGGGAAGGTGTGTCCACGATCCGCCGCTCCCTTTCGAGACTGTATCTCACGTAACGCAGGTTTCACTGCTATCGTCGACAAGGCTCTCAGCGCCAAGTACGAGAAGATGGTCAACGACGCGCCCGAGCACTTGAAGACCCTGCCCTGGGGCACGGACTTCGAGGTCGACGTGTTCCGCAAGCCTGACTTCACCGCGCTCGAGATCCTCACCTTTGCTACTGGAGGCATCCCCGCCGGCATCAACATCCCGAACTACTACGAGATCCGCGAGTCGATCGGGTTCAAGAACGTCTCGCTCGCCAACATCCTTGCCGCGAAGGCGCCGAACGAGGAGCTCACGTTCATTCACCCCGACGACGCAGATCTGTACAACGAGCTTGACTCGAAATCGTTCGAGGTGCTCGTCGCGAACCACGAACTACTAGGCCATGGAAGCGGGAAGCTATTCACGGAGAACGCGGACGGAACGAAGAACTTTGATCCCGAGAAGGTCAGTTTAGGCCCACCCTTGTTTCCCATTCGTCACTGACTTGCGAGCATCGGGCAGATCATCAACCCTCTGACTGGCAAGCCGATGTCAGTGCTTGAGTATATGCGTATGTCGTCAGCTAATGGTCGAATAGCACTTCGTGGTACAAGCCCGGCCAGACCGCGGGATCGGTGCTCGGCGAGGTCTCGTCATCAATGGAGGAGTGCCGCGCAGACTCTGTTGGTCTATACCGTGAGTGCAACGTCCACCAGCGTCGTCCAAGTCTCTTACGTTGGATCGACAGTCGTCAGCAACCTCGACATTTTGAAACTCTTTGGCGTACGTGCCCTCTCTGAGTCCTTTCAATAATCCTCTCATTCACTCTATTGTAGTACACAACCCAGAAGGAGATCGAGGATATCCAGTACATCTCCTACCTATGGATGGCTCGCGCTGGTATCCGCGCTCTGGAGTTCTACGACCCTGTGAACAAGAAGCACGGTCAGGCGCACATGCAGGGCCGGTACGTGGTTCCTCCAAGTTCCATCCTCACCCCGTCTCATCTCGCACCCCAGCCTCGGCATCTTCAACCACCTCATCACCTCCGGCCTGGCCCGCCTCGAGGAGGTGCGCGGAGCAGACGGCTCGCCCGAGAACGCCTACGTCCGCGTCGACCGCGCCAAGGTGCTCGCCGAGGGCCGCGCCACGATGGGCAAGCTGCTCGTGCAGCTGCAGGTGCGGAAGAGCACCGCGGACGGCGCGGGGGCGCGCGCGTTCTACGCGGAGCTCACCGCGCCGCTGCACGGCTGGGAGGGCGAGATGCGGGACCTCGTGCTGCGCAAGAAGCTGCCGCGGAAGGTGTTCGTCCAGCCGAACACGTTCGTCGAGGGCGACGAGGTCGTGCTGCGCGAGTACCCGCTGACCGCGGTGGGCGCGATCGAGAGTTTCATCGAGCGCGCGCTCTGAGCTCGATGGCGAGGGAGCATGTCGTCGGAAAATTTGTACAATAGCATATTGGAAACTTCTGGATCACACTACTGCAGTGAATCTGCCGATGTGCGTTCTCTGCCACGGGTGTTCAACTGATGCCAAATGGATGCAGAATGCAGACTCTCGTCTACATTTATATCATCAGCGGCACATGGCGACTACCAAGCCTTGAGACGCAGTAGATATCGAGCGCAGGCCGGCGTCCGCGACACCGCCCGCTCACTTCTCATTCAGCACCGCCCCGAAGTCGGCCAGCATGCACCCGTCGAAGTCCCCCACTCCGTACTTCGGGGCCCACCCCAGAGCCCGCGCACGGCTCGCCTTGCAGCGCACGTTCGAGCCGAAGAGCATGCCGAACGCCTCGCTCCCAAACACCTCCGCCAGCTGCGCCGCGCTGGTGAGCGACTCCGGCTCGGGGACTCGCCCAGCGCCGTGCGCGGCCTGCGCGAGCCCGACCGCGTGCGCAACGGCGGACCACGGCAGCTCGCCGTTCTCGAGGAAGTACAGGCCCTCCTCGCCGTGGCCTACGGCTGCAGGGCCGGCGTAGACGGCGTCGAGGAGGCGCGGGTAGATGTCGGCGGCTGCGGCGGTGCGTCAGCGCCGCGGATTCAGCACGGGAGAACGCGGTGGACGCACTGTCGTCGATGTGCACGATCGGCCACACGCTCTTGCCCTCGCCGACCACCGGCGGGCGGCCGCGCGCGATGGCAGTGCGCGCGAGGTGCGCCATCGCGGACGAGGACGCGTTCGCGATCCGGGCGGCGACGAGCGCGTGGCTCGTCATCCCGAAGACGATGCTCGGCGCGACCATGTGCGCGCGGACGTGGCCGGCGACGTCGGCGGCGACGATGAGGGTGTCGACGGGGCGGTGGATCGCGTCGGGGGGGATCGACTTGACGTGTTCCATGTTCATGTCGTCGTAGACGATCGCGTCTGGGCGGGCGGCCCCCCGAGAATCTTCGAGGAGCATTCCGGTGCCGGACTGAAAAGCCGGTCGGTCGTCAGCGGCACCCAGTGAGGCGACGTAGGTCTTACCGTGTGGATTAAGATGGGAATCTCGCCAGTCTTTTCGTGACGAATCTTCATGCCCGCGAGAATGGCCTGTGCGGAGGGGATATCGTCGCAATCCGCCTGGTAAGATAGGTCAGTTGGCTACAGGTGGGCCCAAATTGTGACGCTCTGACCATGTTAAAAACCACGTTCGCAGCCTCCGAAGCGGCCATAATCTTGTCGACGTCTTCAAGGCTGCCGACAAGGGGCTTAATCCCGAACTCCTCTTGGAGAAGCTTGCCTTTCGCCTCGCTGCGTATCAGAGCTGTGATTTCAAAGTTCGCAGCATTGGGATGCGCAAGAAGGCGAGCCAGCACTGCGCCGCCGATGTAGCCTATCCGGAAATCCCATTAGAAGTGCACCCCGTAGAGGCCCCTAGAGTAGACGTACCAGTTGCGCCAGTGTAGAAGATGTTCGTCTTGGTGGTCATGATTTTGGCTGCAGTCGTGGACATCGTCGAAAGTCTTCATATAGACGCAACGGGCGTTGGATCTCAAATCCCGCAATCGGCCCAAGCGAAGTAACCGGCGATTATTGACACAAGAAGGTCCGATCGGAGGCTATATAATTGCAATCCTCGGGCGGTCTTCCTCCCACCCACGGGCTTCTACGGCTCGGTAATACATGGTGAGGGTACCTCATGCGGATACTTCGACGTGTACGGCATTTCCAACGTCCAAGAATTCAGCTGCCGCTGTTGTGAACACGCGGTCCTCCCTCAGGCCTGCTGTTGCTCTTGACGGACGATCAGCAAGTCAACAGCAAGTACAAAGACGCACCGGTGGGCCAACTTCGGAGTCACCTTGCTGTTCAACGCTCCCAACAGCGCTCTAACGATTCCCTCTCGGTCCTCAATATCTCAGGGACGCCAGTAAAATCCTCATCTGGAAAACGGTGGATGATTCGTGTAAAGCCCGACCAAAGTAATGGGAAGAAAGTGACGATGAACTTAGCAGCAACCAGTGGCAAGTGGGTTAGTCACGCGTGACGCCGAACGGTAAGCTTATCACCTGACTGCGGGAAGGCTATTGCCTTGCGTTCCTCACCGATACAACGTGTTCAACGATATTGCAATTGATAACATATACTAAGTGGCGTGATACATGCGGTACGGACAACATGATGAGTGACATGATCGACTGTGTGTGGAGACAAACGAGACGCGATACCCACAACTCGGGGCAGGAAATGAGAGACGGATGACGATGTATGTAAATAAAACCTCCGGAACGCGAAACACGGCGCACAGCTAGAAGTGGTCGACGGTGAAGGTCCACTTGCCCTCCTCGATGTCGAACGCCTCGAAGTGGGTATGCTTCATCTTCGTCAGCCGCTTCAGGTGCTTCTGCGCCGCGGGCTCCGCCGGGTCCTTGACGGGCTCGCGCGTCGCCTTGTCCAGCGCCCAGCACTTGTCCAGCGCGATCCGCGCACGGACGTTCAGCCCTGTGCCCGGTGGCGGCTTCTCCGCGTCATCCGCATCAGGATACACCGAGCACTCCTTGTCGTCGAACCGGATGACCTCGCCGAGGAGCGCCGACAGGCGCGGGAGCCCTGTGAGGTCTACCGGTTCGAGGAAGGTGATGGTGCCGTAGCCGGCGCGGCCGGCGACGAGGCCCTCGAAGTGCGCGAGGGTGTCGTACGACTGCCGCTTGAGCTCGTGCAGTGGCGGGCTCACCCAGTAGTCGCCCTCCTGCAGGTCCCCGTCCTTCAAGCCCGCATCGGCGTCGGCGTCGGCCGGCGCGGGGCTCTCGCGGAAGCCCACCGAGTGGCCGCCGGTGCTCTTGGGCCGCGGGGTGGGAGTGGGGGACTCCGCGGTGTGGCCGGCAAAGGCGCCGTCGGATTCGCGAGCGGCGATTGCAAGCTTGGGGTTGAAGGGTGCACCGGGAGAGGCAGAGCGGGTGAAGAGATCTGCAGCTTCGACCTTCTTGTCGAGCGTAAGCTTCTTGACGCTTTGACGCGACCCAGAGCCAAGCGAGGGACTAGACCCGCCGTTGGTGAGGAACGCATCAGGACCGAGGGCGCTTCTGGACGCAGCCTTGCTCAGGGAGAGCGCATTGGGCTTGCCGCCCAGTAGGCTACTGCTGCCGTTGATCTGGCTCACGCCCAGGCCACTGCTCATGCTGCCGTTGGGTGGAGTCGATATTGAGCCGAATCCTCGCAGCTTCGAACCGGCAGGAGCATAACGGAGTTGCAGCTGAGGACCCGGCGCGCGCGTAGGCACGTCCGCGAAATATCCTGGCTTCTTCTTGGGCTGGTCAATCGTGACAGCTCTAGGGCCTGAAGGCAGCATGCTGAAGATGGGCAAGTTCGTACTGATCGGCTGCGCAATGGAGGCCGTCAGCGGCGCTTGTGACTGGCCAAGGGTAGAGGCACCCATGTTCGCAGTAGACCCCCCAAGTGTGCTGCCAAACATTCCTCCTCCAAATCCATTCTGCTGCTGGCCTGAAGGTGTCGCGGCCAGGGTGGGAGCAGTGGGCTTGGCGCCGAATAGAGAGCCAAAGGCGTTCGTCTGTTGGTTCTGCGGCGGCTGTCCGAGAGTCGAACCAAACAAGCCCGTGTTAGTTTGGGGTTGAGGCTGACCAAGGGTGGAGTTGTTGTTCCCAAATGCGTTGTTGCCGAACAAACCACCACCAGGGGGGGTCGTGGTCGCTGGCTTGCTGCCAAAGACTCCACCACCGAAGGCATTCTGCTGTGGCTGCGTTCCCTGCTGAGCGTTGTTGTTGTTGTTGCCGAAGAGGTTTCCGGTGGTACCAGTGTTGTTACCAAATAGACCGCCTCCAGCCTGGGCCGGCTGGTTTGGTTGGCCGAACACTGTTCATCATATCTCAGCACAACTCTGCTGATGTCGAACGTAGGTAACGTACATCCACCTGATGGCTGTGGCAGCTGCTGCTGGTTGTTGTTTTGACCAAATAACCCGCCTCCGGTATTGGAGCCAAACAAGCCCGTCGAGGGCTGGGCGCCCTGCGGAGGCTGAGCAGGCTGCCCAAAGGCACCAAAGCCCGTCGTTGCAGGCTGAGTCGCGGGGGTAGAGCCAAAAACAGAAGGCTTAGGTTGCCCTGATATGCACATGGTCAGTGCAGCTGGGATCATGACAGCTTATAAGCTTACCGAACGCCCCAGTCCCGGTCCCCAAACCAAAAGCACCCGTGTTGGTCTGCGGCTGCTGCTGGCCAAACAATCCTCCCGAATTTTGCGGCTGAGTATTTGTAGATCCAAACGCTCCGGTCGATCCAAAGGCGCCAGTCCCAGAACCTAAGATACATTAGTAAAAGTTACTGATAATGCACTGTGAACGTACCGAACGCCGGTTTTGGCTGATTGTTGTTGGCACCGAACGCCCCGCCTCCAAACAAGCTGTTCGTCTGTTGTTGTGGCGGCTGGGGCTGGGGCTGGCCAAAAGCGCCGAAACCTGTCGAGGGCTGCTGCTGGGCGGGCTGGCCAAATGCGTTCGTAGTGGTGGAACCTCCGCCGAAGATGCCGGTGCCAGTGGTGCCCGTGTTAGCGTTCTGGCCAAAGGCACCACCACCTCCAAATGCACCCATCGTGGGTTGGGTGCTTGCTGGTGTACTCCCGAAGGCGCCACCACCGAAGGTTGAAGGGCCTGGCGCCGGCTGGCCAAAAGCGCCAGTGGCTGGCTGAGCAGGCGCGCCGAAGGTCGACTGACCAAACGAGCCAGCCGTTTTCCGCCCCTGTTGGTAGTCTTGGTGGCGAAGTTCCTACGCGACCATAAAGTGTTACGAAGCCACGATATAGAACAGCTGAAACGCACCTCGAAAGAAGAACCCCGGTACTGGGGCATAGCAGATATACTCTGATACTGCAGGGTGATATTGGAGTTCGCACCATCCTTTTCAGTGAACGCGGTGAAAGGTGGATTCGCCGAACCGGTGGTCACCGGGGCAGTTGCATCTGTCGCTGCTGCTGTTGAGCAGTTGAATGTGTGGGTAGATGGCAAAAGATACGTACTGCTTGGTGCCGCTCCAAACCCAGTGGCGGGCTTGTTCTGACCGAAGGCGCCACCGCCTCCGAATGCGTTCCCAGTGGCTGGGGGTTGGGATCCAAAGATGCCTCCATTGGAGGTCGTGTTGTTCGTCGAGCCAAACGCGCCCGTCCCTGCGCCCGTGGCTCCAAATGCCGACCCGCCCGTGTTCCCAAACGTTGACGTCCCACCGCCACCGAACGCACCGAAGCCAGTCGCTGGCTTGGGCTGCCCGAACGCGCCCCCAGTCGTCGACGTGTTGGAGCCGAAGGCGCCTGAGAATGAACAACACGAGATGAGCGCGCAAGACGCGTGTTAAGAAGATAGAGCACGCACCGAAACCGGTCGTGCCCGTATTGGCGGTATTTCCGCCCAGTCCACCAAACATGGGGTTTGCTTGTGGCTGCTGCGGTTGCTGAGGCTGGCCGAAGGCGTTGGGGGTGGTCGAGCCGAAAGCTGTGAGAGAGGCCATGATGGCGTGTCAAAGGGACGGGCGCGAGAACGAGTCGGGAGGAAAGCGACTGACCGCTGCCGGAGCCGAACGCTGAGGGTTGGCCAAACGCTGAGGGCTGCTGCTGCTGCTGCTGGTTCTGTTGCTGCTGGTTCTGCTGGTTCTGCTGGGGCGTGCCCCACGTGGACGACACGGTGCCAGAGCCAAACATGTCGTGAGAGAGGGGGGCGTGGGCGGGCGTGAGGTCGTGGACGTCGTGTTCTGAGTTGACTCCTGCGGCAGCCTGTCCTTGCCTCGCCTCTTCTTTCGGGCGGAGCTACAATCCCTGCACGTGCCCGGCAATGCGGCCCGCCCTCTGCTTTTTCGCGTAGCGCCTGTCCGCAACTTTCGGGAGACCGAGCAGACGTCCCGCGGTCCTCCCTCCTCCTTTCCTGCACAATGCCCCACGGCTCGTTTCCATCCTCGAGTCGTGCGAAGAGCACGTTCCAAACTGTAGACCGCGAAACAAAATTCAAGCATCCGCCCAAAGACAGTCACACCGTCCCCATCCTCAATGAATTCGTGACGCCAATCCTCGAGTCCTTTAACGCTCTCTTCGACGACTCTGGCCTTCCTGCTGATGTAGGGGACAAGCGGGGGCTCATTAATATGGGGCTGGAGGACATTGGCAAGCGGGTGGTGTTTGATGGCAAGGGGACAGTGGGCACGGAAAGCGGGCAGAGTGGCTGGGGTAACCGGTTAGCTAGTGAGTCCTGCCGCCGTTCGCGTCCAATGCCCACATCAATCGGCACGAAGTGTGGTACGACCAGGTCACACTTGCTCGCCCTATGGTTCCCGATCGAGACAAGGATGCAGTGGAGAGACGAGTGTTTCCAGCTGAGGTACGGACGTTCAGTTGTTTCAATAAGAGGACTGCTTTCCAGCTAGTTTTTGCAGGCCCGTGAACGTCTGACTTCGTACCGTGGACGTATGACTGCCCGCATATGTTGGCAAGTCAACGATGGTCCCGTAGAAACGGAGACTCGCGACTGTGGCCTTCTACCTATCATGGTCCGCGTGAGTAAATGCGTCCGATTCCCCTTCAACCAAATTCCCACTCCCCTCAATCCGCTCAATATCATCGAGTTGAGGACGAAAACCAAGGGGCCACCATATTTCTAACTGTTCTTATTGTTTAGTCTGTCCGCTGTAACCTCCGCGGGCTGTCGTCCGCCGAACTGGTCAAGCGACATGAAGAACCCGAGGAATTCGGTGGTTACTTCGTCATTAATGGCAACGAACGCCTCATCCGCTACCTCATTCTTCCCAGACGACATCACGTCATCTCCCTCATTCGCCCATCCTTCGTCAACCGCGGCCCTTCCTACACGCCTTACGCCGTTCAAATCCGTGGCGTCCGGCCAGACCAGACAAGCGTAACAAACACCCTCCATTATCTCTCCAACGGCAGCGCCATGCTGCGCTTCAGCTGGCGGAAGCAAGAATATGTGATACCCATTATGCTCATCCTGAAAGCACTCGTGTCCGCTTCGGACAAGGAGATTTTCGAGGGCGTCATGATGCAGGATTACGAGGATACGTTTTTGTCGGACCGTGTAGAGCTGCTACTTCGCAGCTTCAAGACATACAGCCTGTACACCGGCGATCAATGCCTTCAGTACCTTGGTGACAAGTTCCGTGTCGTCGTGAACATGCCGGATGACTGGACAAATCAGGCGATTGGGACATGGCTCATCAGTAAACTTGTGCTAGTTCACCTATCCAATCCTCGAGACAAGTTCCGCATGCTCCTGTGAGTGTATGTCTTCCGTATTTTTGACGCATTCTCACCTACGAGCGGTGATTCAGATTCATGCTGAGGAAATTGTACGCCCTGGTCTCCAAGTCTTGCAGTGTGGACAACCCCGATTCTCCTCAGCATCAAGAAGTCCTCCTCCCTGGCACCCTCTACGCTATGATCATCAAAGAGCGTCTGGAGGAAGCCTTGAACGGCTTCCGGGAAGGCGTCGCCGCCGACGTACGGAATTCGAACCCGTCTGTAGACTTCTTTGATAGTGAGCGCGCATCTTGCCTTCCAACATGTTGCGCATATTCACGTCTCGTTAGAGCGGTATGTCCGGAAAGTCCTGGCGAAAACAAATTACGAGATAGGCACGAAGATGGCAAACTTCCTCGCCACGGGTAACCTGGTGTCACCAACAGGCTTGGATCTCCAACAGGCTTCCGGCTTCACGATTGTAGCCGAGAAGCTGAACTGGATGCGTTACATCAGCCATTTCCGTTCTATCCACAGAGGTGCCTTCTTCGCCGAGCTGAAGACTACGACCGTCCGAAAGCTTCTCCCTGAGGCATGGGGTAGGCAATATCTGTAGTATGTTGGAAGACTAGTCCCATTTGACCACTCTGCAGGTTTCCTCTGCCCAGTGCATACACCCGATGGATCGCCTTGCGGTCTCCTCAACCACCTATCCCGAACCTGCCGTATTGTCACACAAGCTCTCCCTTCTGCACATATACCCGCCCTCCTCACCAAACACGGCATGACACAAGCCTTCACCCCCTCGGTCGACGGTCGAAGGAACCTCTGCGTCCAGCTTGACGGCCGGCTCATCGGCTGGGCTCCCCCAGCGGTGTGCAAGCAACTCGCCATGAACCTCCGGATATGGAAGACCGAAGGACTCCACGACGTCCCGCTCGACCTCGAGATCGGCTACGTGCCGATCTCGAAGGGCGGTCAATATCCGGGTCTGTACCTGTTCGCCGGACGGGCGCGGATGATGCGACCAGTGAAGTACCTTGCCAACGGGAGGGAAGACCAAGTTGGCTCGTTCGAGCAGGTGTACATGGACATTGCCTGTACTCCGGCTGAGATCGAAGACGGCGTGTCCACGCACGTCGAGCACTCGCCCACCAACTTCTTATCTATCCTTGCAAACTTGACGCCGTTCTCGGACTTCAACCAGGTACGTGGCTGGTGCTCTTGTTCCTGATCAGGTCCTCATAAAGTACATTCCCAAAGAGCCCAAGAAACATCTACCAATGCCAGGTCAGGAAATTTCAATTAACGTCACCCCGCCACGTCTAACCATTTCCTTGTCTGCTTAGATGGGCAAGCAAACAATGGGAACGCCGTCCACGGCCCTGCAGCACCGAACGGACAACAAGCTCTACCGCCTCCAGACCGGACAATCTCCCATCGTGCGCCCGGCGTTGCACAACACGTACGGCATGGACTCCTTCCCGAACGGCACGAACGCGATCGTGGCCGTCATCTCCTACACGGGTTACGACATGGAGGACGCGATGATCCTCAACAAGTCCGCGCACGAGCGCGGTTTCGGCTACGGCACCATCTACAAGTCCTACATCGTCGACCTCCAGGAGCTCTCCGGCTCCCGCCGCGCGACCTCCGCCCCCACCCTGCACTTCGGTGTCGGCCCAGAGATCCGCATGGGGGACGGCGAGCGCCAGCACCCGGCCGCGAAGCTCATCGACGCGGACGGGCTGCCCGCGGTCGGCGTCCGGCTCAACCCCGGGGACCCGATCGCGGCGTACGTCGACGACACGACGGGGCGGACCAGGTTCGCGAAGTACAAGGGCGACGAGGTCGCGTACGTGCAGACCGTGCGCCTCATCGGTGCGTCTCTCCCTCGGTGGCGTCGCGGCCCGACGTTGTTCCTGATCCGACTCCCCCTTTGTCTCCCACGTCCGCCTTTCGCCTGCCCGCTCCAGGCAGCGACGCGGGCGACCAGGAGCTGCAGAAGATCCAGGTCACGCTGCGGATCACGCGCGCCCCCGTCATCGGCGACAAGTTCTCCTCGCGGCACGGGCAGAAGGGCGTGTGCTCGCAGAAGTGGCCCGCGGTGGACATGCCGTTCACGGAGAGCGGGATGCAGCCAGACGTGATCATCAACCCGCACGCGTTCCCGTCGCGGATGACGATCGGGATGCTCGTCGAGAGCATGGCGGGCAAGGCGGGCGCGATGCACGGGCTCGCCCAGGACGCGACGCCGTTCCAGTGAGTCTCCGATTTTGTTGTCGTCGGTTCCAGGGAAGCTTTGTGTCGAGGTTGACACTTTCGCGTTCTGCTCTCCACCTCCACGTGGGCGTATGCATGCCATGCATGTATGCGCGTGTGTGAGGCGGAGTCGAGCCCCTCTTTTGCGACCACTTGCTTACACGAAATTTCCGCAGATTCACAGAGGAAGACACCGCGATCGAGTACTTCGGTGACCAGCTCCTTGCGGCCGGCTACAACTACTACGGCAACGAACCGATGTACTCGGGCATCACTGGGCAGGAGTTCGCCGCAGATATTTACATCGGCGTGGTCTACTACCAACGCCTCCGACACATGGTCCTCGACAAGTTCCAAGTGCGGACGACAGGCCCCATCGACCCCGTCACGCGGCAGCCCGTCAAGGTGTGTTCTAGCTCCCACGTTGCACGTCCACTCCGCCATTCATTTCCGCCCTGCTTCCCTCACTAAATACTGAGTTCAATTTCTTTCATTTCCACCCAGGGCCGCAAACGCGCAGGTGGCATCCGGTTTGGCGAGATGGAGCGGGACGCGCTCATCGCGCACGGCACCGCCTTCCTCCTACAAGACCGTCTCATGAACTGCTCCGACTACTCGACCGCCTGGGTCTGCCGCACCTGCGGCTCCCTCGTCTCCCTCGGCTACGACGACGTCTCCCTGGGCGCGGCGGCGCTCCCGAGCGGCCCCGGGGGCGAGTACTGTCGCGTCTGTCGCGCGGCGGCGGAGGAGGTCGACGTCCGCGAGCGCGCCGCCCTCGCGAACGGCGGCGCGCACGCGGCGGGGGCGGGGGCGGGAGCTGACGTGCGCGTGTCGATCCCGCCCGGGCACGTGCTCAACGCGGGCGCGCGCGGCGGGGACATGGACGTGATCGCGGTCCCGTACGTGTTCCGCTACCTGTGCGCGGAGCTCGCGTCGATGGGCATCAAGATCTCGCTCGAGGTCCGCTGAGCCACGCGTTGGTGGGGGTCCGGACTAGCGTCGCACGGGGACACCGGCCAACTGACCTACCTCGTCGTCGTGGATTCTGGAACCCTCCTCGCCTGGCTACCGGGCGGGATCGCGGCCCTCGACCGGGCTCCGGCATACAAAAGTACTTGCAATTGGCCGCCGACGCGACCGTTTGTGCGTGGAGCGCGGTTCAACATTGTGTACAACATTCATAGTATATCGAAGACCCCTGTCGTCCCGCCAGGCCTGACCCCATGTGGTGTAATATACCGGCACTGCGCCCCTAATTTCTTGGACGCCGCGAATTCGATCGCCCAGCACCGACAAGCCCGCTCTACTTGGCACCCACGGAGTGGTGGGCGACCAGCGGCGCACGTAGGACGCGGCGTTCCGTACAAATTTCCGCAATTAATGACATCGAAGCCGCGCACACAGCGCCGTGACGTGTGGGTGGTTCCCCGGCGTGACTGCGTCGACACGGACGTATCGCCCGCGCCGACGCAGGCGGCCATCACGGCGACCTCAGAGCTCGGTATGCTTATGTGAGACGTGAGCCCCAGCAACGAGAGAGAAAGGAGCGCGGCACCATCGCCGATAAACGTCTCGAGACCGATCGCCCGAGGAGATCACAAGCGCACGACGGCGCGCCGCTCGATCGTGCTAAGCAGCGTACGCATGCACGGCCTCGGCCCGGCGCGGTATAATTCTAATCGTCGTTCCAACTCCTGAGTCGGGGCCCCGCTCGTCGCAAGCAATATGAGCTGTGCCGCGCACAGACCGAACCAAAAGGACGGCACGCAACGGGGGGCGCGACCCTGCGCGACCCTGCGCTCGCGCTCGCCCGTCATCTCCGTCCGCGCGCCCCGCAGCGAAGAAGCGACGTCGGATAACGGCGTCCCCGACCGACTCCCCGCCGGCGGCCGGGGGGGCATCGCAGACGCCGGACACGCGGGCGCCGTATTTTAATGGGAAGGCATCTATAAGAATTTACGGACGATATCATGTGTGCACTGGGACACGGCGGGGGCGCCGCGGCGCGGCCGGAACCCCGTCTGGACGGCGGCGTCGGGAACGAGGCGCGGCCGCGATTGGCCAGGGAATGAATGTGCGCATTGGCGGCGGCCTGCACCTGCACTGTGGCGCCCTCACATCCTCCGACGCCGTCGAGTCGTAACATGCTCGGTGCATGTGCGGCGGCCGCCCGCGCGCGTTCCAACCCCAAGTGTGTGCGCGCGCGGGCATCAGACGCACGCGCTCCAAGGGGGGCGAATTGTGATAGCAGCTGGCAGCTGTGATGCGCACACGAGTTCGCGAGTCCGCGCGTTCCGCGATCTCCTTCTTCTCCTTCTCCGACGCGCGGACGGGGGAGCGGGCGCGCCCCGAGAAGCAAGGTCAGCCGACCGAGCACGCTGGCCCCTCTTTCGGACCACGCGAATCCGAGGAGGGGGGACGTCTCGGCGTTGCGGGGGCGGGCGGCGCGGTGATGGTCATTGCCAGAGGCGACAGATGCAGATCCGGAGCCTGGGCGCGATCACAGGAACGGATGGCCTGACGGGATGGTTCGATGGCGCGGGGAGATGACGAGAAACTGAGTGAGATTACACCGCTATACACGCGCATCAGGTTGGGAAGGTTGAGAACGAGCGAGGTAGGCGAAAGAACGGACGACCGCTGGGATACGAGAGGGACGTAGAAACACAGGCTGTAATATGACCGGTACGTTACGGGGAAGTAGAGTGCATAAGTATGGGTGGCTAGGTGTACGTCAGGAGCCTGGCAGAGAGAGGATGGCTATGTACGTTAGGTGTACGTGGAGACAGTATTCGAGACCGTAGGCGATGACACCAGCCTCGTTGTGAGCCCGACCAGGAGCGCGGGGGGAAGGGAAGCAAACGTGAAGCGCTGCGCATGCGAATCCAAGTGGGCGGCGGGAAAGGCAAGAGTAGAGTATGGGGGAATAGAAGAGAACGACACAAGGTGAACAGTGACAGAACACATCGCTGGCCCTATAGCACCCTCGCGCCTACGAGACGCGATCCAGGTCCATGCCGTCAAGGTATATGCGATAGAGGCTGAACACCTGCGGGTCCACGCTCGTCCGCGGCACCGTCACGCTCAGCCGCCGGTCAATGTGAGCGCGCGGAGACGGCACCGACTCGAACTTGCTGAGGTTCCCGCTCGGATTCAGCGGGGGGAGTGGGCAGCGCGAGCCCCGCTCTGAGGTGTACGGGGACGGCGACGGTATTGGCGAGGTCGTCGTCTGCCGCGGGCTCGGCTTCGCTTGAAGCTTCTCCGGCGGCGGCGGCTGCTGCTGCTGATGCTCCTCCGGCGGGGGTGACGGTGGAAGCGACGATGGGGGCGACGGCGGAGGAGACGGCGGGCTGAGGCTCCTGCGGAGAAGAGGGAGCATCGCTCTTGTCAACGTGCCCGCCGCCGCCCAGGAACAGTGCGACTAACCCGCGCTCGATGTCGTCCGCGTCGCGCGCGGCGAGAACGAGGGCGTCCTCAGTTTGTGCGATCGTCGCCTCCACCGGCGCCGTCGACGGGAGCTCCCGGAACGGGAAGCCATTCCGCGCGAGGAAGAGGTCGACGACCAGCCGGCACTCGTCCGCCGTCGTCGCGCGCGCGAGAAGCGCGCGCATGTCCTCCGCGTCCGTCACGGTCAGCGTTGGCGGCAGCGGCGGCGGAGGTGGGAGCTTCTCCGAGGGGGTGACTGGGGAGCGCGACGTCGAGCGCGAGGCGTACCCGCTCTCCGCCTTCGAGTGGCCGTGGATCGACTTGCGGTCGACCGCGGACGAGGGCGACGTCGCGCAAGCCGCTTGCGTGCGGACCACATCCGAGGTGTCGACCTTGACCGGGAAGCCGTTGAGCGGCGCAGGACGGCGCGAGGCAGGGACAGGCGATGTCGCCTCTGGCGCAACCGAGGGGCTATCGTCGATGATACGCGCTGCGCGGCGCCCGTTCGCCATGTGCCTGCTCCCTTCTCCTGAATCAGACCCGCTGGGCGAGACCACACCATCTTCCGAGAACGTAGGCACGGCCTTGCGAGTCCCGCGCCGGGTTAGACTCGACGACTGTGACAACGTCGAGCCTTCATCGGTCGACACTGCCGACGATGTCTGCGAGTTCGAGACGGAGAGGGGTGGTGGCAGGCCCGACGACGACGACGAGACGGAATGCGAGGGTGGCCGAGGCGGCGGGGTCGCGATGATGACGTTGGGGTACATCGTAGCGCTGCCGGCAACGTTGGGGATCGAGCGCTTCGAGTTTAGCTTGTACGAAGGCGGGGGAGAGGTTGCCATATTGGCCTTGGATGGCTTGCGCGAGAGCGAGCGCGGCGTCTTGGGTGCCTCCTCGTATGCGCTGTGGAGGCCCTCCTTCGACCCGCCGATGGTGAGCTTGGACATCATCCGCTGCAACCTCCCCGAACGGCCCTTCGAAGACTCGAAGGAGATAACGCTCGCGTTGGCGGTCGAGTTGTACGACGGCTCCTCTGGCGGACCCGCATCGAGGAATGCGATGAGGTCCTGGGCGGCGCGGGAGATGTGGGGACCGCCGGAGGGCTTGCGCGGCGAAATGGGGGAAGAGGAGGTGGTGGGACCACGAGAGGGCTTCGACTCACCCACGTCCCCCTCGCCATCAGAGCCCGCCATGATGTCGTCCAGGTCCATCGACTCCCTAGCGCGTTGGACCTTCCTCGTCCGCTTGGGCGTGCTGTTGGGGCCGTCCATCGCGGCAGGAGCAGGAGCGGTGTTTTGCGTCTCTAGGCGACGTCCAGATGGCCTCTTTGAGTTCGAAGACTTGCGGGAGATCCCGTCCTCGTGCCGGGGATGTGGGACGTTGGAGATAGAGACCGACCGGAGCCGCGGATCGCTGGCGCGGGTGGGAGGGTTGGTCGCAGAGGGGCTGGCCGTAGTCAAGCTCATGTTGCGTGTGCGCATCGCGGCGTTGGATTGCAGAGGGGGCGCCGTCGAGCCTTCTTCTTCATCCTCAATTATCGAGTCCACGTGGCGCAGGGCAGGCCTGCCGTTCGGAAACCGCCTATGCTCAGTAGGGTTGGCCGTGGCGGCGCCACTGTCTACGCCCTTCTCAGCCTGGCCCGCGCGGCGACCTTGACGGTCGCGCTCTGAGCGCTCCTGCTTGTAGACCTGGGAAGGATGAGCGCCGGGGTGGAGTAGAGGCGCAACGATCACGAACCTCCATGCTCTTGAGGCGATCGGGTGTGAGGGAGACCTTCATGGTGGTACCGGAGCGCATGAGTTCGTCGAACTCCTGCGCAAGCTCCGCTTCGTCCTGGCGGAAGGGGGGGAGTGAGGTCGGGAGGGAAACTGGGTGGGCGCCCGGCGCACCTCGAACTCTCCGCTCTCCCGGCCGGGCCCTGTCTCGGCCGCGCCGGCAAGCGCCGCATCCACCTTGTCGCTCGCTTGCCTCGCGTGGAAAATCTTGCCGCCCCGACCTTTGTCCACCGATGTCCGCGACTCGCCCGAGCCCACCACCGTTATGGACTTGGTCGAGTCCGTTGACAGACGCCCTCCGCGCGCCGACTCGCCCCCGAATGGCGACGAGGCCGAGTTGCGCGCCGACCCAGTCCTGTCTATGCTGCGCGAAAACGACTTGCTCCGCCTCGGCCGATGTGCCTTTGACAGTGCCTCAATGTGCTCATACACTGCCCACCGTCAAACGCCCCATCAGCTTATGCGCGCGCCACCATGCGATCGAAGTGCGTGCTCGGTACGCACCTTTCATGGCCTTGAACATGCTGTAGATCGTGTCATCCTCCCCCAGCGCAATGAACAGATCCTGAACCGTCGCCAATGTCCGGCTGCTGTCTCGTGAGGCGACGCGGCTTACGTTCGACAGGACGTGCCTTCGAAGCGCGCCCGCGAATCAGCACCGCGCATACAGCCAGCAGGAATGGGAAAGACGCACTCGCAGATCGCTCTGAGGCGCGGGGACAGTATGAGTTCGGGAAGCGTGTAGGTGACAGATGGGAGCACGTACTCGAGAATCGCAGTGAGATATAGCGCGGCAGGTGCCAGCAGCGTAGGTGATGGGGGTGTCGCCGAGCCCGTGGCCTCCATCCGCTGTTGTAACCGCTTCTCCGCGTCGGCATCCTCGTCGGTGTCATTCATGGTTGAGTACGCCTCGCATTTGAGGCGCAGGAGCTGGCGCGCGGCGACGGAAGTGGATATGGCGCGCATATAGTAGGCAAGGATCGCAGGCTCACCTCGTAGGACCACTGAAGGTCGTACGCGCCGCTGTCACCGCCGCGCGAGGATAGTGAGGGGCGCCCGGAGCCTGTGCGATCCCAGTACGCCTTGAGTTCGACTTCAGCCTCGAGAAGAGCCTCCTTTCCGAGGCTAGTGGGAAGTGTCCGCACGAGGGCGGCTTTGAGGCGGTCGGTAGCGAGTGAGCGGGAGACAGTGAGGATGGTGTAAAGGACTTCGTCGAGGAGGACATTGATGGAGTGGAGGGCCTCGGGCTTGAGCTTGATGGGGCGGACGTCGGAGAGGATGACCTCCGCGGAGCGTGCGGAGATGTAGGCGGGACACTGCGCGGCCATGGCGGCGGGACGGAGGAGGGAGGTGCGGGATGGGAGCTCAGAACATAGCAGCAGCGGAGGCGGAGGGAGCGCACCAGTCGCAGGCGCTAGCTGCCTGATCTGACGGGCCGCGACTGGTCACCCAGTGACCCCGCTTGTCACACACTCCTCAGGTTTGCCAGTCACCCATCAGATCCTCTCGGGCCAACCCTCTCACACTCCGACTGATCCAAGCGGCATAACAGCGAAAGCCTACTTTGTCGTAGCCCCAGCCTAGTGCGCGCAGTTGCTATGGCAGCCGTGTATCCTCTGGCACTCTACATATGTATGACATCACTCCACGACTGGTGCTTCGACGTTCGTGCATCTCACCGACCGAACCAAGCTCTCGCAAAAGTACGTATATTGCTCGCCGTACAAACTGGGTACCATGAATCCAAGCTTCACTACGGCTCATATCACCGCGCACCCGCTCTCCATCGACCCACTTCCGGCCCTCCCCTTCTCCCCCGCCTTGTTCCCAGCAAATACGTCCGACAGTCTCCGCTCTCTCAGCGGCTCTAGGACCATGGACCGTGGCTGCCAGCGTCGCCTGGATATTCGCAGTGGGCTTCTGGCGTGCCCGTGTGCTGAGCTAGCGCTGATCATCCGCATTCCCCTCAGGTCGGCTAAATTCCCCCGGCGTCCAGCCAGCGGAGTTAGCCGTCGGCCCTGGGTGCTGCACTAGCGCCCTCGCTAGAAGACCCCGAGTCCGGGGGCGGGGGCGCAGGCGACGACGTCGAGCGTGACGGCCCTAGCACAGGCCAGAGCAGCGCCAGGGCGTCTGATGCCTCGAACTTCGGCGGCGAGAGCCTCTCCCACTGTGGCGTCGAAAGCGACGCCACGAGGCTGGGGGAGAGAGGTGCGTTGGATTCTCCGGCGGCCGCGCCGCCCTCCATGCCTCCGCCTAGGCCATAGAGTGACAAGATAGGTGTGTCGTCGGGTAATGTGGGTGCGCCTTCTTCGCCCTCAGCGCGGCCACTTTCTCCGTCGGACTCCTTGCTGGGCTCTTGAGCGTCTGTCGCAGCATCCGGCTGGGGCTCGTTCTCCGTTTCTTCCTGCTCTTGCGCAAGCTTATCTCCTGGGTAGAACACCAATCCCGACTCTACCAACCTCGACACTTCCTCCGAAGGCATGTCCGAGCACTGCAACCAAGGCTGTCGTCCAGCATCGTACCCTCCGGCGAACACCGAATACTGGTCATCCGCCCAACGGCGTATGTTAGCGAGTGCCTGTTCTGGAGACTCCGCAGCCAGCTCCGCGGCAGCGACCCTCTCGGCCAGGCGTCTCGAGCCACGTGCAGGCTGGGCGGCGTTGGAGCGATGCCACGCTGGCTTGAACGAAGTGATGTTCTCGAGTACCTGAACGCAGCGCATTAGCTCGCTGCACAGAAACCACGAATGTAGAAAATAAACGACGCAGTGGCCTGGAGCAATGATAGATAATTCTCAACTGCGTGGTAGTAATGTTGCAGTACGCCAGGTCTTCAGACGCTTGCCTACCGACTTGCGAGGTACGAACGACTCGAAGACTCCAACTTAGCGTGCTGACAGAGGGTAAACCCAGTAGAGTATTCCACATCCAAGCCCAAACGGCAGTCCATGTGACGTAAACGAAGCGCTCGAAGACGCGCCCTTTGGCGTGCCCGAGGAAACACTACGCGTCAATTTATGATAGCCGAGGCAAGGACGGGACAGCGAAGGCACGGTGGAAGATTGACCGCAAGGCGCAGTGGAAGTCGCGCACGCCAACAGGCAGCCGCGCGATAGCGCTGTGACTGTCTTACAAGTGCTACGACGAGCCGCGCGCACAACTGCAACCACGAAGAACGAAGACAGGCATACAGGGAAGATGGAGAAGCAGAAAACTCGACTGACAGCTTAGACCTCCGGCGACAATGGCCTGATGGGACTCGAACGCGGAACGTAAGAGATACTCACCTTCGCGCCGAGCCACTGGTGCCGCTCTTTGGAGATGGGGTGTCGCGCAACGCGCTCAGTAACCGCCATCGCGATGTGCGCGGGGAGGACGCCGGGGAGTGGTAGCAGTGGCACTGTGCGCTCAGCGGGCTGTCCGACTGTGGGCTTGCGCATCGAGCCGTTGCGGTGCCTGCTTGATTGGTGGTGATACAGCAGCACTTCGGGGTAGCTGAACGATTGCTCGCAATCTGTTATGGGCGGGGTCAGACCGGGCCTGTCGAACGCGTCAAGGGTACGCACCTTCGAACGCGCATCGGAGCGGCACGTGCTTGACGAGGTGCCTCAAGAGCGCTTTCTTGCCCGAAAATTTGCCCGATAAGCAGCCCGCCCACTGGCAAGCAAACGTACCCTGCATGACGATCGCCGTCAGTCTATCAGCTTCGTTCGATGGCCAGGGTCACAGCCGGCGGGTCACGGACGTCGCCAGAGGCGCCCTTCTCCACACATCCCACCGGGCACAGCCATCCCGGGACCGCCGGCACTCAGGATGTCGAGATGACGAAAAGCTTAGAACTACGCTCACCCATTCCTCATTCTCTCGGGCGTGGATAGCGACGTGCCGTTGTAGCGCGGCGCCCGAGTTGAGCACGACGTTGCAACCGCGCCATTGGCAGGGCGTCTCCCGTAGGCGGCTGTGCGCGAAGTTCGCCGCAGTGCGCCCGGCCTCTGTACATCAATGATGCAACATTATGGGATCCAATACGAAAATAGGCCGATGGGGAGAGAGGTCAGCATTATCCGTGGTGGGCGCGTGAAGGCACTTGCCTTGCTCAGCCAAGTCCTCCGTATCTGTTACAGTATCCGGTGAGTAAAACAACAAGTAGCATGTGAATGCAAACTCACTGTCCCATGATGCGAACTCATCGACCGAACTCTCGCGGGACGATTGACCGGCCGACTCGGAGGTACGTCTGGTCCGTGGTGGTGGGGTCTTGAGGCGGGCAGCGTACTCAGGGAGAGGTGGCACTTGCACATATGGCTGCGTCTTCCTCCTCCATGATGACGACAAGCCCACGTCGGAATCGGAGTCGATCCCTCTCGGTCTACCTTTACCCTTATCTTGGCCGTACAACAGTGTTGGAGGGGGCGAGCCGCCTTCAATCTCAACATATTCGTCCTCGACAGCTTCCTGGGCCAGACTCTTTGGTGGTGAAACTTCGATGGGGGAGTTGGAGGGGGTGGGAAGGAACAGAGATGTCCTGGAAGCAGCCGCTGCCTTCATATGAGGCGCCGGCGCCGACGCCGGGGGCTGTTTGGGAGAGTGATATTGAGGAGGCGAGCGTGATTGACTCGCATCCGCGACGCTAGCAGACGCAGCGTCGATTATGAGACTCGTAACAGGCTGGACCTGAGGCAGAGGCGGAGGCGACGGCGTATGGGGATGAGTAGGTTCGTGAGACTGGATGTCGAGCACGGGTGGCGAAGACGATCTGACATTATCCAATAGCATTGCTTGCACCTCTTCAATCCGTGCATCTTCCGACCCAGAGTCGCTCATCGCTTGTGGGATGCTTTTAAGCACTTCAACTTCTATTCTCGCGTCCGTTTCTGTCTCCGGAATGTGGACCTCCGCGAGCAATGGCTCAGGTGACAGGGGTGTGATGTACGCGCTTTCAACTGGAGGTTGGCCAATTTCCGAGCTTTCTGACGTTGTCTCGACCTCGGCGTCCTCAAGACGTTCAATGGCAGAGTCGACAGGGGTGTCTGTAATGGCCATGTTCCTAACAACATCGGGGCGAGTGTCCATCGGAGAAGGGGGAGCGGGTATGGGTTCAGGTGTATCGCCTTCCTCCTCCTCCTCCTCCCGTTGTTTCACTGATTCTGAGGGTTCTGCTATCCGGCCCGCAGGTTCCTCAGTTCGCGCGCGTTTTGACGGTGTAGAGGGTCGAAGTTCCGGCGAAGCTTTCCGTTTCATGGGCATTGAATTGGAAGGAGACGGTCCCGCAGACACTGGAGTAGGCACAGATGACATAAGAAGACCAGTTGGAGCAGGGGGCGCAGGCATGATGGATGGGGACGGTGCAAGACTTGCAAACAGCGTTGAAGGGACGGAAGGTGTTGAAGATTTGGCTGGGGTAGAGCTGATAGGTGCCGACGTCGTAGGTGCAGATGAAGTCGTAGGTGCGGATGGGGTCGTAGGCGCAGGTGCCATAGGCCCGAGAGGCTCTCCTGGCCGGCCCTTCGGCCGCCCTAGGGCACGCAAGATGTCCATGGCGAGACGCCGCGTGTCCGCCTTGTCTGGGGTCCACAACTCTCGCCTGCCAGAAGAGGTCTGAGCACTGCTCGACGCCGAGGTTTCTGTTGACGGTGGAGTTGGATCTGTGCGGGGAGAGGATGTCTTCGGAAGGGGCAAGGGTCGCATCGGGTAAGGTGGCTGCGTTGTGAAACTTTGCCCATTGTGATACACGAATTGCACTTGGCCATTGGGCATCCGATATGCCATGGACGCGCCGGGTTCATTAGGCTGGTACCATGCGAGCGGTCTTGCCTGAGCGGAATGGTGTTGTGAAGTGAAAGGGGTAAATGGAGAAGGTGTTGGTATCGTGGAAGATGGTATGGGTGCTGTCGAGCGGCGGGAAGTTTGTGAAGTCGACGGCAAGGACATGGGAGGCACAGGGAAAGCGGTAGGTGTTGTTTGAAGAGGTTGTGAAACAAGAGTGGAGGAAGATGGTTGCGCGGTCGATGACTTGTCGGTCGACAACGAATATTGGGACCTCGCCAACGAAATTTGAGGTTGGAGATTTACCGCTGGGGACAGAGCGGGAAGTGTGGAAGGTTGCTTGGTCACCGAAGATTCCGCGGTGGAGGCAGGTGGATTAGTCAAAGCAATGTTGTCGTGCGAAGACGAGATAGACAATGGTGGTGCAGACTGGATAACGGTACTGCTCTGATGTGACTGTGAAAGGCGGACTGTCGTTGAATCAGGAGGTTGTTGTGGCGCAAATGAGGATGTTTCTTGCGGTCTCTGTTGAGGAACTACAGGGGTTGACTGCTGCCGAGGAACCGCAGGAGCCGCTTGGGAACCTGTAGAGGCTGGTAAAGGGGCAGCGTCGGTGGCCAGCTGGGGAAACGCCTGAGGTGCTGTAGAAGTCGCTTCCTGCAAAGGAGCCACGGGTTGCGGAGTAGTCACAGGAAGGCCTTGCAGTGAGGTGGAAGCACGATGAGGTTGCACCGGCGGGGAAGCAGAGCTGGATAACTTGTTCTCAGCCGAGGGGCCTTGAAGGGGAGCCGACTGCTGAGTTTGTTGAGCGGTTGCGGCTGCCTGTCCCTGTGCTGTGTATCATCGTGAACACCTACGTGAATCCCTGATGCTTATGAGCTCACCGTGTATTGTTTTGATTGTTTCGTAGATCTTCGTGAAAGAATTAACGATCACATTCCGAGGATAGCCCCGTATGGAAATCAGCGCGGACGGTACGACTCGGTTCACGGGCGAAATACCTTCAACCGATGCGATGCGGCTTCTATAAGTTCAACGTGTTTCGGGCCGATCCGAGCCTCTTGAACGGCTTCTTGGGCTGTCTTCGGGGCATTGACCTGCTTTCTACGTATCGCATGCAAGATCTGTACCATGCAGGCTTGAACCAATGACGGATCATTGATCTGCAAGGAGTTAGCAACAAAATGCTACCCCCTAACGCGACGAAACTCACAGATGTGAACAAGATTTGCATCCTACGTTCGGTGTCTGGGTCCACACTCCTCAGGGCACCGGAGTCTGTGGACGTCGGAGCACTGCTCGCGATGTGCGAACCATCTGCAATAGATTGACGAGAAGTACTAGTGGAATGTGGCGCAGGTTGCACGACAGACTGTGATATGCGAAGAGTTTGTTGGCTACTCTGCGTTGACAAGTCTGAATGACCTGCAGACGACGTGCTCGTGTAACGCTGAGAATATTGAGCGGGCAGGGCGTGTGGCGTATACTGAGCGTACTGAGCGTGCTGGACTGGCTGAACCTGTTGAACTTGCTGAGCCTGACCTTGCTGATTATACGCTAGGTGACAAAACTGAGCAAAAGTCGATTCAAACCAATCAGATGCACGGACCTTGAGCAGCTTGCGTGTATGCAGACGGTGTGTATGAAGGCTGTGTTTGCGAGGCCTGACGTCCAATAGCGGGCTGGAATTGAGGGTGAGATGTAGTACCGGAGAACGCCAGTGGAACGTTTTGCCTGCCGACGAAGGCGGGTGGGATGTTGGAGTACATCGCGCTGCTGGGACCTGGGTTCATGTTGTTCACGTATTGTTGTGCGTTCTGGTACGCCACATTCTGGAATCCAGAGTTGAAGTAGCCGGAACCTGGGACCTGCTGCTGAACGCCGCCGTTTGAATAGGCCCGTTGACGTTGATTCATACGGTCCAGCTATTATTCAAAAATCAGTCAGCAGAGGCCCCACGATACGAAAAGCGAAACTATGGTCCATGCGAAGGACAGGACCAGGCCTCTGGACTCCGAATCGGAGACGGTCAGTGCGACAGAAGCGGCTTGTGCATGCGTGAAGGAGCGCAGAACAGCCGCGAATGAGAAAGAGAGAGTATCGGTATCTGAGATGGGATGCAGCGCCTTTGAAAGAAGAAACCGCACGACCACGGTTCGCTCCCAAGTGTTCAAAGCTTGGCGTTGAATAACTCACAGGTGGGGAGCTCGCCGAGCCGGAGACCTCAACAATACGCGCGGAAGACGGTATCTCATTCGTGTTCGCTACTTGCGCTTGTGGGTAGAATCCTTCGTTCGAGCTCGAGGATGTCGCAACGGGTGCCGACGCGAAAGAGTAGCTACAGAATGAGGCATTCAGCAGCCACGAGCCTGCCCAGAAAGTAAGACTCACCTGGGGTTTTCGCCCGCCTCCAATGCTCTTATTCGTTCTCTATATAAGTGGGACGAAGTTGGCACGGTAAAAAGTAACGAAAAGGATTGCTAAAGTACTCACTCTGCGAGCTTGCCCCGCTCTACGGCCTCTTGGAGCTGTTTCCGCTCGTAGTACCTCAGTATACCCTGCGTCTGCTGATTTTCCATTTGCTCAAGTCGCTCTCGGGCTTCTTGTATGCGTGCCATGTTCGCGTTATACTGCTCGAGGGTGAGAAGAGTGTTCGACTGATAGTGTATAAGGTCATTTGATTGGGGATCCGAATAGGGGTTCTGTCCACCGCCGCCATGATTCATAGCAGCGAAAGGGGTGGTGGGGGTGGTGGGGGGTGGGGGGGAGCCAAGAAGGGCAGACTCGGGTGGGGGCGTGACTCGTGATACAGAAGCTTGAAACCCAGGTTGAAAGGCCTCTTGTAACGCGCCACTTACCGGTTTGCTTCCGTTAATCAACAACTGACTAAGCGACGCGACGCGACCAAAGGGCGCCTACGCGTCTTTCGCGATGCTCGGCTCCCGTAGGGCCCACTCACTCCAAAGGCCAACCTACACACTCCGAGGCCTGCAGAGACTGCTACTCTGTTCTCTCACTGGTCTTCTTCTGCCTCGTCAACGCCATCAAGCAGGATAAACATCAAGGCTCAAACCCGTCTCGAATCATTCTTCAGCTCTTAGCATGCTCAGCACCGTCCGTGCGCGTGTTCTCGCGCGACCTCCAGTTACGCGACCTCGCCATCTCGCCTCCGTCTCGTCATCTCCCACTACATCGTCCAGCCCGTTCCAAGTCTTCGACCGCAATGCAAAGCAAATGCAAAGAGACCGTGCCGCGTCGCGCAAAGAGGGAGAGCGGAGCCGGGTGGTAGACTACGTCCGAGATGAGGTTGCAGAAATGCTCTTTGAGCGCATGCAGGTGCGTTCATTCAACCATAAGACTTGCGTCAAATTTGATTTCTCTGTTCTCTCTAGGACATCAAAAGGAGATTCAACACTGTCCTTGATCTTGGTTCTGGGCCAGGACACTTCTCCAAGTTGCTTGGACCAGAAAACACCCGAAGGGTCGTCATGATTGATTCCAGTGGTAAGCTGACCAATCTTGCATTCGGTTCTCCGCCGTGACACCAACCCATAGCAAAGACTTTGCACAGAGATGATTCAACAGAGTTCGATCCCGAAGGTCAGTGTCACTTTCTACACACTAGAAACGATGTTGAGTAAGTTCAATAGTGGAGGTTCAGCGCATGCAGGCCGACGAAGAGAGCCTACTTCACGTAGTTCCTCGGGACTCGCAAGAGGCCATAGTTTCGTGTCTAAGCCTCCACTGGGTCAACGATCTCCCAGGTTAGTTGTGACCAGTCAATTTCCGCGGCCAGAAATTCAATCTGCTCGCGATAGGGATCCTGGTACAGGTCAAAGAGGCCCTGCAACCAGACGGCGTATTTCTAGGAGCCCTTTTCGGTGGTGACACATTGTTTGAGCTTCGAACATCTCTGCAGTTGGCTGAGGTTGAGCGCGAGGGCGGTATCTCGCCCCACGTTTCTCCCATGACGGGTGAGTCCAGCTCTCGTGAATTCAAGCAAATCATGAAGGCGTGAACTAACACGTCAACAGATACACGGGATATGTCCAACCTGATGGGGCGCGCTGGTTTCACTCTCCTGACTGTCGATGTCGACGAGATTAAGGTAAATTACCCCTCTATGTGGGAGTTACTCGAGGACCTGCAAGACATGGGTGAAAGCAACGCTGTCATCGGCAGGTAAGCATCCTACCTTCGCAATTGCACGGGGGACCTGGCCACATAAAGACCCTCGCAGACGACAAGTGATCCACCGGGATACGCTGGCTGCTGCATCCGCCATCTACAGAGGTAATGCCACAGGTCCTCTTGCGTTGCAGAAGCTGATACCCTTCGAAGAGGTGCACGCTAATGAGGACGGCACAATACCTGCCACATTCCAGGTGATTTTCGTGGTGAGTAGCACAGCGCATGGGCGAGGAAATAATAGTAACGCGCAGATATAGATTGGTTGGAAGCCTTCTCCCAACCAACCACAGCCATTAGAGCGTGGCTCGGGCCAGACCAACTTGAAGGATGTTTTGTAGGCAGCCACGACATCATATTTGACTTATTCGATACGTCGAGGTGGAAAGCTTGCCTACTGTTCGCCGTCTTGCTCAAGTTCTGCGAGATCAAGAACCCGAACCTCTACCTCGCCGTCTTCCTCCCCATCTTCGTTTTCGCCTTCCTCTTGTCCTTCCTCTCCATCATCGTTGGTCGTCTCGTCGATATTCTTTCCCCCTCTACGACGGCCAACGGTGTTGAACTTGCGTTTCGGTATTACCGCATACAATGACTGTTTCCAATCTCGAGTCTCGACCCAATTGAGCAAGATTTCAAACGTTTGATTGACAGTCAAGACTTTGCGTGTCGGCATCTCTGCGAGATAAGTTCCGATGGGCAGTCGAGCCGAACGGATATTTTGCTCCTTTGACTTGTTGAAGCAGAGATTCTGGTACGAAGTCTGTGAAGCACATTAATATGGTGAGCGAACTGTGGATACGCACCTTATAACGATTACGGTCAACAATACCGCCCAAGATGTAAGTCTCCCCTTCCTTCAGTTCCGTCAACTCCTCGTCCGTGTCCGCGGTGAGGTACACCACTGTATCTTTCTTCGCCCGGCTGGGCTCCTTTCTTCGTCCCGATTTTGTATTCGCCTCTGCCCCTGGTTGCCCCGACTCCTCCCCTTTGACCTTCTCGCCGCTGGCTCCAGCTATCTCTGCCTCTTCCGCGTTCACTGGCTGCACCTCCGAATGCCCCGTCTCCCCTTCCCATAGCCGCTCGTATCCCTCTTCCCACCACTCGGCCCCGTTCCATCTCAGATACGCCGCGTTACCCTGACCGTCCATCCGCTCTTTCGTCCGCCCATCGAGGGATGTGAATAAGAGCGACGCGAATGGCGCCGACGACTTCCGGTTGGCGCTGTAGGTGTATGCGAGCTGCGCCGTGAGCGACTTGACCTCCTGCGCACAAGTCAGCCTCTCGCTTCTCCATTCCACGTCGCTCGGGAGGAAACAACTATCGCGCTAGACACTCACATTCTCGGACATCATCTCGTCAAACGCCAGGTCAACCACCACGCGCGCGTTAAATGGTTTCTTCGGTCCTACGTCCGTCTTCTGCCGCTTGCTCCTCCTCTCCCTCTCCGCCGTTTCCTCGTCCTCATCCAGCTCCCCTGCGGCGCGCCTCTCCGCCTGGACGCGCTTCCGCTCCTTCTTGCGTTCCTTCTCGGCCGCGCGGCGGTCCTTTTTCTTTTCTGCGAGCCATGCGGCTTTTGCGAGCTTTTTCTGCTGTTTCTTGGAGAGTGGCGGGTTACTCTCCGCGGTCACCTCAGAAGCGTCGCCGGGGGCCGCGGGCGGATTGGGATCCACTGCACTTTCTCCCTGCATTGCGAGGAAGGACGAGAGTGAACCCGAAGTCGAGAGTGGCAGAGAGCGAAGCCTGCACAAGACCCGCGAACAATCGAAACTTGGATTGCCAGTGTGTGCTGCGGCACGCCGGGCCGCCGGGTATCGATCCGCGAAGCTCATATCCCGCCAGTCTCAACGTGTGGCGGAGGCTCTCGCATGCGCTCCTTCGTTACCCCCGCTCATATCCTTGGACTCGTCCTTGGTACCCTCATCGCACAATACTTTGGGCTTTTCGGCCTTATTTTTCCTCGATCAACGTACCAGAAATCTGAAATGGCCGCGGCGCTCCAGCCTCTCAAATTCCTCACCGTCGCTCCCCTCGCGAAGCATACCGCGACCGTCATCTTTGTCCATGTATGTAGCCGCAAAAGATCTAGCACACCGTTTTGTGTAACGCGAACCTGCGCGCTGTGAACGACAGGGCCTCGGTGACTCCGGACACGGTTGGAAGCCTGTTGCGGATATGTTCGCCCGCGAGCCCAGCCTGCAGCATGTCAAGTGGATCCTCCCTCACGCGTGAGTGCACGGTTCGTCGCCCCCCTCACGCCCACCTCCCGCCCCATCGCTCCTTCCGTCTCACACACGCGCTCGGCCAGGCCCACGATGCCCGTCACGGGGAACGCGGGGAGCCAGATGCCCTCCTGGTTCGACATCTACGACTTCGGGAGCATCAACGGGCGCGAGGACGACGACGGGATGCTCAAGACCGCGCACGCGCTCAACCAGCTCATCACCGCCGAGGTTGACGCGGGCATCGCCGCCGACCGCGTCGTCCTTGGCGGGTTCTCGCAGGGCGGCGCCATGTCCTTGCTCACGGGGATCACGAGCGAGCGGCGGCTCGCGGGTCTTGCCGTCCTCAGTGGCTGGCTCCCCATACGCATGAAAGCGAAAGCGGTGAGTGCTCTCGACCGACTCCTCGCGCGTGCACACTCTGATCGAGGTTGTGCGGCAGATGATCTCCGACCGGGCGAAGAAGCTGCCGATTTTCTGGGGCCACGGCAAGGCGGACCCCATCGTGCGCTTCGAGGTCGCGCAGATGTCGCTCGAGTTCCTGAAGAAGGAGATGGGGATTAACGCGGTTGAGCCTGACGCGGTGCTCGGTGGCGGAATCGAGTTTCACGCGTACGACGGTTTGCCGCATTCCACGGTACCCGAGGAGCTCGATGCTCTACAGGCATTCTTGCAGAAGACGGTCCCAGCGCAGGATTGACTACTCTCGTAGACGTTTGTATTTTATCACCTTCATGCCGACTTATCGGAGAAGCATTTGTCACGCGCGTGCTTGAATGCCGCTGCACCACTTCGTACACGAATTTTGATTCGGAACCATGGCACTCACATGGCAACATTTAAATAATCACACAGCATGCGACCCCGCCGCCGTCTCATGGCGCATATATGCTGAGGTGATGACCGACGCTACGCATTATAGGCATTTCATCTGTCCGCCCCCAGATGCCTGACTATGAGTAGAGCATTGCCCAACAACGGCGAAGTGTATGACACACACAGTGCGGAATCTGTAAATCCAAGCTGCTAAGCATTATTCATCACCAAGAGGCCTGCAAGTATAAATAATGGGCGTTGGGACGCGCCGCCGGACCGTCCTCTTCAACTTCGACGTCGTTCTTCCGGCGGTCTTGGTCACCAAGTCAAGTCTGTTCAACTTTTCGTGGCGCGTCCTAACCATCAGAACTAGTCGAGAAATGGAGATGGCCACCACAGCCGAGATACCCAAGTTCGTGAGCGTACCGCCTCGCGCAAGGCACACGGCGACGGTGATCATGGTTCATGTGAGCTCTGCCTATGTCGAAAATTGTCTACGATCACTGTGAACCAAGCACTATACCCGTGATAGGGCCTCGGAGACTCTGGATATGGCTGGAAGAGTGTAGCACAGATGTTCGCTGACGAACCTGGTCTCCACCACGTCAAGTGGGTTCTCCCGCACGCGTACGTCTACCCCGCCCTAGCCTGATCGATCAGGCTGCTCAACGTCGGCCATGGGATGACGCTGCTGTGATTGCAGCCCACCCAGAGCGGTTACAGCCAACGGTGGTCGAGTGATGCCCGCGTGGTTCGACATCATCGAGTTCTCCATGGACCTCAACGCACCGCGCCAGGACACCGCCGGCATGCTCGCCACGGCACGTTCGTTCGATGCGCTCATCGCCGCGGAAGTGGAAGCGGGTATGCCCGCAGAGCGCATCGTGCTCGGAGGGTTCTCGCAGGGCGCGGCGATGACGCTTCTGACGGGTCTCACGACGAAACACCGGCTTGCGGGGTTGGTCGTGATGAGCGGTCGACTCCCTGCGAAGGACTCTATCAAGGAGGCGAGTGCTTTGCATGTGTTCGCGGACCGTTCGTACATATGTTGATATTGAAACATGCGCGGCTTTACAGATGCTATCTGAGCATGCGAGGAAGCTGCCGATCTGGTGGGGGCATGGAAAGCAAGATCCTCTCGTCACCTTCGAGCTCGGGAACAAGTCAAGGGAAGTCTTGAGGACGGAGATGGGCATCGAGACGGTAGACTCGGAAGCCGTCCTCGGGGGTGGCGTTGACTTTCATGCTTACGATGGGCTTACACACTCGACATCCATGGAAGAGTTAGAGGACTTGCAGGTGTTCATCAGGAAAGTGATACCTTCGACAGATTGATAGAATTATCGACGACGTACAAGCGACCAATGCAAATAACGTAAACCGATGAATCACTCACAGCACAATAATTGAAAGCAACATGTCCAGTGTTCAAATGCGCCAGCTGTACAGTGTCACTTGCGTACTCGCGTCGACCGCCGTAGAGCGGCAGAATCCCCGTCGACTTCGTGGACCTTCCTCTTGCTCCGAGCGGGTTTCCTGGGAGCAGGCTCATCTTCGCCACTTCCATCCACCCTTTCGTCATCATACTCAGCAGCTTGGTTCTCGCTCTTGGGTTTGGCCTTTGTCCGACCCTCTTTGCCCTTGGCCTTGGCCTGACTAGTACTTCCATCCACGTTTTCCCATCCTCCCTGGTTGGCGAGCTGTTCGATGACGTTATAAGTATCCTCCTCCACTCTTTGCACGCTAAGACGGCCTCTATTGATGAGGGCCATGGCTACCGAAGGCGTATGAGAGGTTGTGTCAAAAAGACAGTTTGGGTAGTACCTTTAATGGCGTCAGAGCCTTTTTGTTCAATGTAGGCGACATTCTCTGGCACATCAGCCGATGCCGCTACGCTCTTGAAGAATGAGAGAGGGACAAAGTGCGATGCGCGAGCCTTGAAAGTGACCTCGACCATGTACCACTTGGGGTTCTCTTTGTCCGATTTCTGTGGTGTGGGTGTGTTAGAAATCGCCGACAGAGGTGGGTGGTTTGTACGTACGGCGTCATAGTATGGGTGCGAACTGAACCAAGTTCAGAGCGAGAACACATGAGACGAGATATGACTCACGGGTCCCAGGCCGTGTCTGTCGTTGCTTAGTCCACGAACAATGCCAGGAGGCAGACCACGATGCTCACAATCTGGATACGCTTCCTTCGAAACTTCTGCAAACGCGGCGATGCCTAACGAGACGTTAGCACGTGGTAGAGCCGCGAGATGTCGGGTTGCTGCAGATGCCTACCAGGTTTCTTGCAATTGGAGTGATAGAACAGGACCTGAGACGCAGATCATCGCATCGGCTAGGCTCTTCACCAGGAGGCGGTCTCCCTATGACCGGTCCCGCCCACTCACTTTGTCACCAACCCTCATCTCCTTCATCAGGTTCCGGGCCTCAGCGTTCCGCACCCCCTCCCATGGTGTGGTCTTGCACTCCTCGAAGTCGTCGACGCTGAACTGACGCGGGTCGACCGAGGAGCGCGCGCATGCAACCACACGGGGCGCACCTTCACGTCCTTGCCCTTGACGACGCGCGAGTCGGGCTCGGCCTTCATAAGCCAGTGCTTCGGAGACATGTCGTAGTGCGCGGACGACGCGGGGACGACGAGGAGGGCAGACGGCGGTGGAGGGGAGAGCGCGAGGGTAGACGCGGGCGCGAGTGACGGGGTGGCGGAGCGGCAGCAAACACCGGACAACACGCCGCGGTTGGCGGTCTTCCTCACTCATCAACCTCCTCCATCCCGCCCGCCCGGGCCTCCCGACCCCGCCCCTGCTCCAGATTTCCTGCCGCTCGCGCCGCTCGGTCCTCTCCAGCCCCTGCGCCGCCCTTTTGGCAATGAGCAGTGTCGACGCGGCCAGTGAACCCGCCCCAGCTCTTGCTCTATCCTCGTCCCCTGCAGACCAGCCGCCAGCCCCGTCTGATGCTCCCCTTCTTCCCGAGCCCCCTTCCACTGCCGAGACGCATACACCCACACCCGAGGTAGAAACAAATGCTCCCTCGACGAGCGCCGCAGAGGGTGGCAGCGCGCCGGTCCTCGTCGGCGACTCTTCCTCGTCCCAGGGCGAAGTTTTGGTCAGCAGCACGGTTGGAGAGGCTATGGAGGGCGCGGATGCGGAGCAGGTCGCGGGAGGGATAGACGAGTCTCAGCAGTGGACTGACGACGACAGTCACGAGCTCAAACGCGTCAAAGTGTACGAACTCATGGGTTCCCGGTGGGTCGACCAAGGCACCGCGTTCTGCTTCGGCGACTTTCAGGACAACGAGGCCCTGCTCATCGCACGCGCCGAGGAAGACTTCAACCGCATTATCCTCACGACCACTATACGAGCCACCGACGTGTATCAACGACAACAAGGTACGAGATAGTCGTACCTACGCGTCTGACGCGTCCCGCCCTAGCACCTCATAACCCTCCCCGCTCTCCAGAGACTTTAATCGTTTGGACAGAACCGGATGGTGTCGACTATGCGCTCAGTTTCCAGGATCCCGAGGGATGCGCAGAGGTATGGCAATTTATTGAGGAAGTTCAACGGCATATGAACTCGGGAGGTCAGTTCAACCTTGCTCTCTAGGCGTGTCTTTCATTTACAAATACCCTTCTTGAATTCTCACCTACAGAAGACATGGCTCTGACATCTTCACCGCTTATTGGCCCCGAGGGCCCTGACCAGTCTATCACAACGGCCAACATCATCCGTTCAGGCCGCCTGCCGCAGCCTCAGATGGGAATTATTGGAGAGATAGACACTGCGATCAAGACGCTGGCCAGGACAGCGGTGGTGAAGGAAAGGGTATGCGAGTACATTCAAAATGAGGTGCGTAATCGTCGTCGTTTCATGCTCGCGTGAGGACCAACCACGCCCGCGCTTCCACAATAGGAATACATCAAAGCCCTCATAGATGTCTTTCAACAAGCGGAAGACCTCGAAAGCCTTCCGGACCTGCATGCATTGTTCGGTTGCATGCAAACCATTCGTGCGTCACATTTTACCCTGCTAGAGCCCTTGCTCATAGTTTCTGTCAAGTTCTGCTCAACGAACACAGTCTCTACGAACATATTCTCGATGACGAAATCTTCGTTGGAGTTGTCGGGATGCTCGAATGTCCGTCACTCGGTTCTCTTCGTGTGTCCTGTCTTCCTGATTTTGAGCGCAGACGACCCCGAGTTCCCGAACTACAAAGCCAACTATCGCGAATTCCTCCGAGATACATCCCACTACCACCAACCCATCCCCATCCGTGATGAAACTATCCAGCGCAAAATCCACCACACGTATCGTCTCCAGTTCCTCAAGGATGTCGTGCTCGCGCGGGCGATCGACGACTCGACGTTCAATGTGCTCAACTCCTCCATCATTTTCAACCAGATCGACATCATTACCCATGTCCAAAACGACCAGGCTTTCTTGCGCGAGATAGCTGGCATGTTCATGGACGATGACCTACTCGCCCTCCTCGGTCTCCCAACAAAACATTCTGCAGAAGCGTCCAAGGAGCCGTCGTCAGAACCCGACAAGATGGACGTAGACTCCGGTGTGAAGCAGAACGGTGCGCCGAACGGTCATACCGAGGACTCATCAACCTCAGACAACGCGCTGCCGGCGGAGGAGCTCACACGACGACGAGAGGTGGTCTTCCTCGTCCAGCAACTATGCATGATGGGCAAGAACGTGCAGCTCCCCGCGCGCATGGCGTTGTTCCGCGCGCTCGTCGACCGCGGCATCGTTTTCGCCGTCCAGTGGGGGCTCTCGCAGCCCGAAAGCGACGAGCAGGGCCGACAGATGATAGCGACCTCCGGGGAAGTTATGATGGCTCTGCTCGACCATGACCTCAACGGCGTTCGGGGACACGTGCTGAAGCAACTCGGGACCATGGAACGGGAGAAGGCGAATGGCAGGGATGTGCGCAACAAGGAGACGGTTCTCATGCTCATGTGCAAGGTCCTTGTTCGAAGTCGCGACCTCGCAGTACAGAGTTTGGTCGGGGAGGCGTTGAAGCTGCTATTGGAACTCATGACTGGCGACGGGATGGATGGTCCAGTGCGTCGCTATATTTCTCCCTATATGCGTATATGCTGACCTTCCTGTAGAACATCGGTCTCAAGATGCTCCAGCAACGAGCAAAGGACGATCCTGGAATCGAGAAGTTTCTCGATTATTTCTATAAGTTCTGCATAGATATTCTCTTCAAGCCATTCCAGGAGATTCCGGAGGCCAAGGATGTCTCAGGTGCGTTCTATTTTTAATCAATCGCGAGGTCGCCCTCTCAGTCTGTATGTTGTTGGTAGAACCCACGTTCGTTCTGTCGCCAGAAAAGACCAACCTCTTCCTTTGGCTATGCGATCTTATCTCCAACTTCACCCAGCAACACTCCTTCCGCAGTCACTTCTACGTGCTCTCGTCCAACATTGCTCCTCGTATTGCTACCCTCCTCCGTTCCAAAGATAAGCACCTACGACTAGGTATGTTTTAGATTCTTAGGCACCTCCACATCGCAAGACTCAACATGCTTCCAGCTGCTTTTCGCTTCTTCCGCACCTGTCTTCGGTTGAAGAACGGCAATGTATGCAAGTACCTCATCAAGAGTGATGTATTCAAGCCCATTTTGGACCTCACCACCCGCGAGTGTCGACGTGACAACCTAGTCAGCTCAACGTGCCTTGAGTTCTTTGACTTTATGCGTCGAGTAAGTCACTCCCATGCCCATTTCGTTTGCTCGAAGTTCATGCATCTTGCCTCGCAGGAAAACGTCAAAGATGTGATCAGCCATTGCATGACAAAGCACGGTGAACTGGTCAAATCATTAGCGGAGTCCCCATTGGTCGGTTCGAGGTTCAAAGACTTCATTGCGCGGTGGGAGATGAACATCGAGCCGCCACCACTGGAGAAGATGGACAAGTACGCTCGTTCAGAACCCAGATCTGTCCAATGTATTGACGTTATGCCTAGGCCTGCAACACCACAACGCTGGACGCAGCCTCGGCTGCTCGACACAGCCGAGGAGGACTACTTCAACGCCGATGACGACGAGGAGGTCAACACAAGCACCCCGCCACGCGGCATGCACAACGGCCGCCTGCGGAAACGGCCGCGGGGCTCCGCGATCCCAGTGCGCGCCGGCCCCAAGCCCTTCAACGCCCTGTCCCGCGGCACACCACCGCTCGGGAGCCTGGTCGACTACGGCGACGGCGACGACGCCGCCGCAGATGGCGAGAACGTGATGCCGACCCCAGGCCGCGCTTCGCCCATCCCCGGCGGCTTCGTGCCCCCGTCGTACAACGCAATTCCCGCGTCGGAGTCAGGCGGCGGGCCGCCCGCCAGCCCGCGCATCGCGCACCGGATGGTGCTCAAGCCGCCGCTTTCGCTTTCGGACGACAGCGACATCCTCGAGGAGCTCTCGAAGGGCAACCCGTCGCTGATCCCCAAGATCTCTGGGCTCGGCGACGGCGCGCTCGGCGCGAAACGCCGGCGGGACGTCGACGACGACGATGAGCTCCTCGAGCGCCTCGCGAAGGCGAAGCGGCCCACGCCGAGCCCCAGTCCCAGTCCTAGCCCCGTCTCCGCGAGTGCTGGGGCGCCGCGGTCGGACGGGCTGGGACCCGTCCCGCCGGACGCACCCGAGGAGCTACTGAAGCTGGGGCTGGGGGCAAACCGCAAGACGATCAAGATCAAGGTGTCGCCCAAAAGCGCGGCCGCGGCCGCGGCGGGGGGCGCGAAGGGCGGCTCTCCGGGGGCTTCAAGTCCGGGCTCGAAGGAGGGGGACAACGGCTAGCGGCACGGGCGCGCGCGGTGGGATGGACGACGGACCTTCGCTGGACAGTAGGCAGCACCTTAGCTTTTTGTTCGTTTACATACACACGTTCTCCTCCCCCGGTCGCACCCCGCGGCACGGTTCGCTCTGTTGATACGCACGCGCATGTTGTAGAATTCGCTTTCTTTACTGATCGATGTTGTTCGAACTCATGGTGGGCTTTGGCGGGAAAGTGGCTTGTCATCCAATTTGGCCAACAAGCAAACTTCGACCAAGTCTCTAAAGGAAGAAGCGACAAGTGAATGCATATCTCTCAAAAGCTCGGTTTACAGTCTCTTCGCGACGACCACACCACGAGCTTGACGAGCCATGAACTCGTTTCAACGGCCAGCACTGCTGCTTGCGCGCGTAAATAGTAGTATACATATATCGTGAGGCAAGTGAACACGAGCAGTGAGAGTGAGTGTTATCAGGCATCGAAAGGCGGTCGAGGCGTGCGGCTTGGAACCCTGGGGAGAAAATAGCGAACAGCATGTATGCAAAATGCAGGACGACAGACGGGAGCAGGCGTACGGAACTTTATGCAGGCGAACGGGAACACGGCACGACAAACGCAGCAGGAGAGCGCGGCCCTGACAGCCGCGTACACTAAGAGGGATAACTATGGGCGTGGGTGAGCGAATGGTCGACTATAAGCATCTGTATACTTGATTTATAGGGCTAGGATGATTGGACGAAGCGGGTGATGAAGTGGACGAAGGTGGATGGTAGTGCGACGGGAGACGGAGCGAGAACGTCCGGACAATTGTACGAGCGCGAGAGCCGAGACTAAATATGCGACAGAGGGCGAGACGGAAGTGGAGACTCGAGGACGACATAATGAGTACATGGGATGTGCTACTGTGCGTTGCGTCAACCTGCAGGGCTGGCCTCTATATGGCGGCTGCAGGCGGGGAAAGAGGATGTGCGATATGTGTGTTGCTGGCGTCAGCGCTGGGCTGATCGGGTATCGAACATTGCGGGATGCCGAACGGAGAGAAAGAGGTCGTGCCCGCCGCAAAGCCGAAGGACTGGGGGTTAGCGCGGGGGAAGGACGTCGAGGTGGTGAGCCCGCCACCAAACGTGCCAGACGGCGGGGGAGGGGAGAAGAACCGTGGCGGCGGCGGCGAGCTGGTATAGTGGTACGACGACGTAGGTGAGGTCATGCCTGACATGTCGCGGCGCATGCCCCGAATGGTGTCGGCGGCGTCAGCGTGACGGAAACCTTCGCCAGGGAAGACGGGATCGAGAACGCCGTCATGGTCGCGACTGAGGCACTGTTGCTGTTGCTGCAGCGACGACCCGTTACCACCACTGCCCGGAGTGCGGACGCCGAGCGGGTTCTTGCTGTACGACAAACGGATGCCACCGTTCCGGACGAGGCCACCAAGTGTGTCTCCCGACAGGGTGTAAAGCGCCCTGGTCGCGTGAGCAACGTCTTCAAACTAGATGAAATTATTAGCAATAAGCTTTACGAGATCGGAACAGGACATACCTCAACGAAGCACATAGGGCTGTTGCTCTTCTGGCGGAAGCACAGGTTGCGGAAGCCGGGTTTGGTGGAGAAGAACTCGCGCAGTTGGCTCTCGAGTAGGCGGTGGGAGGTGCCGCCGGGTGACGTCGACGTGGGCAGGTTCCCCACGTAGAGCGTGTTAATGGGCGGGTTCTGATCGGCCCCGTTCCGTCCTCCGCCTGAGCTCGTCCCTGAGGCCGGGGACGGAAGCTGCGGAGACGTCGCGCCGGACTCGGTTGATACAGCGAGCGCTCCGATGGACTGAGATAGGTCATCCTCCAGCCCGCTTTGCGAGCCGTTGACGCTGGGCGGCTGCGAGCTGGGAAGAGAGGACATCGAGGACTGGCTCATTGGCTTCGTGTGCCCAGGGACTGACTGTGTGTCGCTGCTCGGCGACCGGGGGCGCGGGCGAGATGGGAGAGAGGGGTGACTGGGGAGCGATGACTGGGTGGACTCCGGAGTGGGAAACTGCGTGCTGAGGCAACCGGACGCCGGGACCGAGGGGCTCGCGCCACTTTCCAGTGTAGTGGGCGGCGATGCTGCGGTGGGTGACAGAGGCCGGGGAGGAAGACCGGTGAGAGGATGTTGCGGAACACCCATCTTCCTCAGCTGTGCCGCCGCGCTGACGTCCCGGAGGTTGTTGCCCCACTGGGCGCTGAGCGGCTCGTGATGCGATGGCGGGCTCTGCAGCTGTGGCGGCGACGTAAAGCCGTTGGGCGTGATGCACCCGTTTTCCGCGGAGAGGAGGGAGTTAGCGCCCTGTCGGACCATCTGCTGAGGGACAGAGTGGAAGGCTTCGAAAGCGTAGCTGTTCTGGCGGAGCCGGGTAGCCTCCTTCTCCTTCTCCTTGCGCTTGCGCTCCCGTTCCCGCTCGTCTTCTTCGGCCCGCTCGCGTGGACCACGCGTGCCAAACGCATTGATGCCCGGCGGGAATTCTGCGCGCCTGCGGTCCGACGCGTCCTCGTCGCGGCCTTCGTACGACCTGTCACGACGTGGTTGGAAACCGCTGAGGTCGATCCCCATGGCACCGAGGGCTCCCAGCTGCTTGTCCCGCTGGGTGAGCGCCTCTCCCGCCGTCGGAAGACTTGGGAGACTCATGAGCCCCTCAGTTCCAGAGGCACCCGGAACACCACCTGGGAAGGGGGGAATGACGCCGGGGCCGCGCTTGGTATGCAAGTTCTTCTTCGCCATCTCCGCCTTGAGCACTGCGCCCTTCTCCACGTCGACGCGGCGGCCTTGTAGCACGTCGCGAGCCTCCAGGGCCTGGTCGCGGGTACGGAACTTGGCGAAACCAATGATCTGCTTGCGCGGGGGCTGCATCGGCATATTGTTCTGCATGAAATGGCCGTCTTCCTGCGGGCCAGATGCGGACCAGGCAGTCATGGGGCCATCTCGACCACCATCAATCAGGACGCCCCCTTGATTCATGGTGACCAGGTTGTACGGGTCGTTGCCGCTGAACGACATGAGCAGCCCCGACCGTCCGGGCTGCCCATTGACGGCTCCGTACGACGTGGACTCCTTGTTCGGGATCTTGAGCGTCGCGGCCTCGAACCCCGACGAAAATGTGAACATGTTCTGAAACTCTCGTTCCTGATAACAAGAATAGCGTGCGTGAGCAGACTGCGGGTATGTGGACGAGGAAGCGCACGATTACGTACCGACATGTCATCCGGGAAGCCGACAACGAAGATGGTCGAGATCTCCTCCTGCGCTTGGGAGCCAGGTGCGGGCCCATTCGTGTGATTCATGCTCGGAGCGCTGGCAGCCCCGGGTCCTGCGGTCTGTCCAGGCCCAGCGCCGTTTCCGGCCAAAGGACCCCCGAACGCCGGGTGTCCGTGCGCAACGTTGTGACTACCGAGTCCGTTCGTGTACGGAGGCTGGAACGAACCCTGATGACCGTTCTGAAGAAGACTCGGCGCCACGCCTGCGTTGGACTGCTGCTTCTGGAGGATGATGGGGGTCTCGAGGTTCTGCCTGAAGGGATCCACGTTCGTGAACAGCGACTTGGCCTGGGTGGGTGCCTTGGAGGAGTGTCCCCCGTTGATCAAGGGCTTGTTCGCCGGGAAGTCGAAGGTGCGCCCCGAATGAGAGTCAATATGATTTGGAATGCCCTGTTGCAAGAGCGGCGCCGGGAGCCCAGACATCTGCATTTGAGAGGGTCCGAACGTCTCGTTCGAGGGGTATGCGGAGGGGAACGCGGAGGAGGTATCGCGGAAGGTGTTGGGGTGTCGCGAGCGGGGGAAGGAAAAGGATGAGGACGTCCTGAACGGTCCTGATGCGTAGCCGCCATTCAACGGCGAGTAATTAGGAACATCGGGCTCCGAATAATCGGGTGCGGGGAGTCCGATGCCGTTCATGTTGTTGTACATTGAGTGGGTGGTATTGTTTTGGGATCCAGTGGTGAAGAGGTCTGTGCTGTGTTGGTGCTGGGGGGACTTGAGATGACTGGCGAGAGCATGATGGGTGGGGGAATCTGGCCGTGGGGGGACGAGTGGGGATTGCATGGAGATACGGTATGGGATCGAAGGAGAGCCGACAGACGACACGGTGGGCAAGGAACCAAATGGCGCGGACGCGCCGGCGGCCTCTGAGTCAGACGACATCGGCTCCGCATCTCCCTGGGCGTCGATGTTGTCGAGGAGTGATTTGTTGAGGTAGCCCTCGTCAGAAGGCTGAGCGGGGGAGAAGGGGGCCGGGGCGCGGCGGGCGGTCATGGAGGAAGTCATAGTGAACAGAGGACAACAATAGTGTACGAGTGGGGAAGGGCGAGCGAGGGGAGGAAGATGGAACGACGAAGAGCGCGAGACGAGTTCAAAACATCAACAGCCAGGAGGGCAGCTTGCAGAGCGGAGCAGGGCGGACAAAACGCGCACGGTCGTCTTTATAAATACAGACCGGCGAGACTAGGGCGAGGTGGGGGCGGGGTAGTGTAGGCGGGGGGCGGGGGCGGGACGAGGGCGAGTGCGCGACGCGTTTGAGTGGGAGCCGAAGGAGCGAGTGACGCGGGGGAGGGAGGGAGCAGCGGTGGCGAGGGGAGATGGCAGCAGGCGAGCAATAGATAAGACGGCGCTGAGGACAATGCGGCCGGCGTGGAGGGAGGTGCGCTCGCTGTGGCTGGCGACGAGCAGAGGCTCTGATCGAGAGGGTGTGGGTCAGAAGGCGGGCGGCCGGACACCCCGGACTGCACAACGCCCCCATTCAGCTCGCACTCCTTTCCCACGCACGGGCCAATCCTGCACAAACTCTGACAAACCTAACCTTAATTTCCCAAACAAGCCTGCACGTGACAGAAAACCAGCACTCACCGGCGCCTCTTCTCCACCTGCACGGGCGCCTCCATGGGCGCCGTCATTGTCCTCCTGGGTGGGGGGAGCGCATACAGCGACTCCATTGTCTCCCAGTGAACCATTGTGGAGGGCAGACTTGCCAAGATCTGTGCGGCCATCAGCCATCCGGCGTGTGAGAGAGCAAGTGTGTGTAGCAGCAAGAGTGCAAGCAGGGAGCGGGCAGTGACATCGCAGGCGGGGCGAGGGTGGTGGAAGGAGGAGGAAGGAAAGGAGCGGCAGAGGACGCCCTCCTCCCGTGAGCCACGCGAACGGCGTGCCCTTCACGGTCACACCGTAAATAAGCTGCCGACGCTCGTCGCTCGCGCTTTTGCCGGCCTCGCAACGTTGTCTTCAATGCCTTATCCTCGTTGCAGCTGTAGATTACTTCCGGCCATAAGTATGATTAACTGCGTCTACTGTAAGGTATCGTCCTCACGAACTACAACCGGGTGTCCAGAGACAAATCATCGGGGCCATCGGGCGTAATAAGTACTAGTGCTAGGTATGGCGTAAGACCTGCCCGTCGGGGAAAACATGATGCGTCCTGAGAAGGCCGTTGGATATCCAAAGCGCGCCTCCAAAGCTCGAAGGCGTCGTCCCTAATACCTAAAACCGTTGAGGCCAAAGATTCCAACCAGACCTTCCCAGCGGATGAAGCACACTCACCAGTCCGTCCCACCCTAGCTCGCCATTCCTCTCTCGACCCTCCGCACCCTCGCCCGCTCAACCTCCCACCCTGTGGCCCACTGATCACGCTCAGGATCAACACCGCCCACAGCGCGGCGCTCACAAACCGCCAGCGCGCCCGGGTCGCCGCCGCCGCGACCGCGTGCGGCGACCGCGGGTCGTAGTACGGCAGCAGCGCCGCCTGCTGGGCGATTGGCGTGGGGCCCCAGCTCGAGTGCCCTGCGCCGAGAGCCGGCCTGGGATCCGTAGATTGCGTCCACGGCTGCCCTTGCGGGCCCTGCGGATATGGGGAGTGGGTGTATGGGCGGGACGGGTCGTAGAGGAAGGGGGTTGGAGCTGGTAGCGGCGGGCTGCCGTTCCCGCCAGAGCCACTGACCCCTACGAGGTGATCGACTTGTTGATGAGGCCCATTCGGCGCGACCGAGTATGCAGGCGGGGGATCGTGAGGGCCCAGCGAGGGTGTTAGCTTGGAGGTCATTGTCGTAGATCGTGAGTGTAGAGTGAGGAGAAACCTGGAGACCACAAGCGCGCCTGTGAGGCGTTCTCTGCCGCAGAGGCACGTTGTTTCAGAGTCAAAGCCATGAGGTCATCTAACCTTAACCCCCTCCACCAACCTTCCTGGGCTGGCGTTTGTAAATGTCGTACATCATTACGATTCCACATTGAATCCAAGTCATACAGTAGAGAATTCCATGTATTAAAATGAGTAGTGGTAGGCTTAGTTGGGCCCGACAAACTGGTACAATATCCTCCGCACCAAACCAGACAGATATTGTGGGTCGTTCTGTGAACACCAATGTTAGTATACACGTCGCTCCCACATATCCAGAACCATCACCAACCTGGTAAGTGCTCTAGGAGTAGGCGAAGGGGATAGGGACATTGAGCATGTCATCCCACACGACATCCACTGAGTACGCACCATGACCATCCCCATTCCGATGGCCGACAACAGCGGCGAGCCCGCCCGCCCGAGCGGGAACACCCACCCCCGCCCACGTGCCATGACCCAAGCGCTTTCTAGCCCCTTGGGAAGCACGTACATGGCGAGCTCCTCGCGCCGGTGTTTTTCTTCCACGAACAGCGACATCCCGCATAGCAGTCCACCGAGCGCGTACGCCGCTTTGTTGACCATTATGTCAACCATCCATTGCGGGAGGGTACGCGCGAGAGCTGCGGCGACAGTGTTGCCACCTTCCGATCCGCGCAACGTAACGATTGCGTCGTACGCATTGTTCTTGCCACAGAAGTACGCTGGTAGGGTAGAATGCATTCATCGCTGTCGAGTGAAAACAGAAGGGAGAAGACTTACATTGGTAGATGAGTACGAACGTCCCCAAAAAGGCCGAGCTCCTCCCGGTCCCGAGGGCAGCGCGCATGAGCATTTGGAGAGGCTCCTTAGCGAACTTCTTGCGGCGGAACAGCACAAGGGGGATAAGGTGCAGCGCTCCGTAGATCGGCAGCATCCAGCGGAACACCTCCCAAAAGTGGGCCACTTGCACGACTAGACATGAGTCACACTCCGGGTGCACAGCGGCGCAAGGGCCATAATGTAGCCCGTAATCGCGCAGAGCCTCAGGGAGCGTGGCCTTGGCCACGCGTTCGGAGAGTATGAGACGGTTGTTCTCGGTGGTACGCTATGCAACTATCAGTGAATTGCAAGATTCTCGTCAACATCAAAGACCTCACTTTAAGCGCGATGATGCGTTCCATGTCTATCGGGTCAAACTTCCCGTCACGGACCAGGTCCATATTCACTTTGATTGATTCAGCGGGAACTTTGGAGGCGGCTTGCACCCTGCAATGATTGTAAGCACATACTTTAGTCAAGTAAAAATCTTGGACACACCATCTGTTGTATGCGGGACTCAATGTGTCTGGTCTCATCAAGAAAGCATACAGAATCTGGCCACAGCTGCACACCCGTTAATACCCGCGTCCCTGCCAAAACCCAGTTGCGGCACGCACCAAAGCGAGAAGATAAGGACGTCGCCGTGAGGCACTTTCCATCCATGCTTGTCCGACATGGCGTTGAACGAGCCCTGGATCCCTCTGCCGCCTATACCTCAGTATCTGCCTTCTCCGCCATGCCCAGCAACCGAACCCACTCACCGCACGAACATCTGTTGCGCAATCCCCGCTCTCCTCGTCCGCTTCTCGCACAGAATCGCGACGCTCCCCGCGATCGCGCCCGCCGCGGCCGAGTACCACCTCCTCGTCTGCTTGCGGACCCAAATCTGGTGGGCTTGCGCGCTCATGGACAGCCGCGCGCGTCGGGGCGACGCCGTGCCGCGCGCAGGCACACCCATCTCGGTGTCGTCGAGTGTGCCATCGTCGAGCGGTGATTCCGGGGGCGCGAGCGACGAGCCGCTCCGCTTGACGGTCTGGCGGAAGAGGGAGCGTTCGCGCGCGCCGTGGCCGCTCAGGGCCGCCGACTGTGGTTGCGGAAGGACGAGTGGGAGCGAGTTCAGGATGAACTTGTATAGGGTGACGAAGGTGCCTGCATGGTCACATGAATGGAGGGTGCATGGGGGAGAAGACATGCAGGCGCACCGAGCATACCCGCCAAGCGGAATGAATCTTCACCAAACAGCGCATGACGGATCAAACTCAGTCGGAACTGTCTGCGACAAAAGTCAGGATGAACACCGCGGAACCGCATACATCACGCTTTTGCACGAACAAAGGGAGACGTACTTTGGCACCTTCCGTATCCTCGTCAGCAGCAAGATGAAGCTGATTCCCGACCGAATGAGAAACCCGAGCGTTGCCGCTCCTGCACATGATTGGGGATGACTACGCGGCTGGCAAAAAAAGGACAGAGCACGTACTGGCACCACCGCGCAAAGCATGCTCAAGACACTCTTGCAGATCCATGACCTCCACCGGCTTCTCCCCGCGGTCGCGCCAGACGACCTTACGGGCCTCGCGAATCCTCTCCTCATAGTTGGCGAGGACGACGAGGTTCTCGAACGAGGCCATCGCGCGGCGGGGTGTGAAGTGGATGTACGACGGCGTGCGGCCGAGCTTGGGGGGGCTGTCGGGAGTGCGTAGCGAGGACGCCATCTAGTCTAGAGCGCATATATCGGCGGCAGCGAGGCAGTCTGGCGCGTGAAGGTGGTGCTGGGGGCAGATGGCACGGCCGCGGGAAGGGGTTCGTCAAAGCGTTGGGGTGCACTGTGCACTTTTGGGGAGGACGTGGGGAGTGGCAAGCCAGCTGGGAGGGAGCCCGGGCAGGCTGGTAACCCCGCTCCCGCCGCGTCTCAGTCTGGAAGGCGACGCGACAGTCCGGCTTGAAATCACGCGCCTCGCCTCTCGAGCGCGCCGGGGAAGGGCATCCACTCAGGCGCTGCGCATTCCTTGTGGTCTCGTCGTTGGACGCATGATCAAACACCCGAACCAGGCGCTCTCTCTACCCCACATTTCCCCGGTCAAGAAAGATTTGCCATCTCGCAAGCAAGGACGAGCAACATTGAGAAATCACTGGATGTGTGGCCCCACATTGCGCTCTAGCTCGGTGTCGTTCACGCGAGGGCCCCTTCATGGTGGCATCAACGTCGTCCAGGGATGTACTGAGCTTGGTTCGAAGTGCGCGACACTGCATATCGCGAGTGTTCGCAGTTTGTACTAGCGAGTCATCTACCAAGACCAAGACGCATCGTCGGTCATGAGACAAAGATATCATATCACAAGTCCACTCCGAGATGCGAAGGTCCGGGAATGTAAACTAGATAGACGGCGTCCAGAAACTGACTACTACAGTGCTACTTATAAGATGACTGATGCGGGGAGCGTGTCCGTGGAGGCTTAGTGAGGGGCGTGGGTCGTGCGTGGGTCGTGGACGGGGTACGGGGAAATGCAATGGGAGATGCGGAGAGAAAGAGCGGGATAGCGGCGAGTCACGAGGCACGAGTATAGTCCGATACGAGTCTGAGAGTAAGATTCAAGTCCATCATGTACATAGCTGGGGCTCTATCGGTCCGGGGTGTCCGTGGAAAAGGTACCGTCTACGACTGCGACAGGATGTTGTCGATCGATTCGTTTAAGAACTGCTTCTTACTCGACAAGTCCGCCTTCGGGAACCGCGTCTGCATCGCGTCGCGGGCAGTCCTAGGATCATCACAAGTCAGCGATGACAAGGGTACGCACAAAGAACGACTCACTTTTTCGTCACGGTCATGAGGTCCTGAGTGCTCAGATACGCCCGCAACGCGATGATGAGTTCCTCGTCCGTAGGGTCCGTGCTCTGACTCGGCCCACTCGAGAAGGGGTTCACCGTTGTCGCGAGCGAAAACGTCGACATCGGCCTCTGCTGCATACCCATCAAACCCGGCGCCATTGGAGGCGCGAACCCGCCCTGCGAGCCATGTACTGAACCTCCACCAGTGAACATGGGCATCATTGTGTTCCGCGGAGCGTTGGGCGGCATCATCCCATACATGGTCATCGGGCCCGCCATCGGCATTGCTCCACCATAGTCGGAACCGTGCACGGAGCCGTTATTGAAGCCCATGAACGGCAGCTGAGGGGCACCAAATGCCGACTGCGGCGCGCCATAGTGCGAAAGGTTCGACTGCGAGTGGTTCCCGTGAGACATTGAGGCCGCCGGGTTCGTCATATTCGTGTCCCGGTAGTAGTCGCCCGTGGCCCCAGGTTGGGATGGAGCATAGCTCGGTCGAGGCGAATGTGTGCGTGAACCTTGAGGTGGACGTGACGGCGACTTGCTATGGTACCCAGTTTCGTCGGAATGACGCGAACCAGTTTCCCAAGCTTCTGCCTCATACTCTGCACCGATGTTAGCGTATAGCGGCAACTTGAGTCATACGTAAACATACCGCTAAACTTCTTGAGAGGGATCATCGAGTCGTCGTACTTCTCTTCGTCGTTCATGATGACCTTCTTGTTGCTGCCTTCACCGATGACAAGACGAGTGTTACCCCAACTGAAGTCGTCCATGCACCAGAAGGCGTAAATGGGGAGGAAGAACGAGTACACGGGGTACGAGAGAAGGTAGACAACCATCCAACCGATGAGCATGAACTCTCGCTTGAGGAGGAAGATCACTGCTTGGAGACCATAGACCGCCGCAAGCATGATGAGCGAGAGGGTGGGCAGAGGAGCCTGACCAAGGGCGACAACGATGATGAGGTAGAAGAGCTGCAGAAAGAGGTGAGCGAGGCTCGCGAGTACTCAGACTGAAAAGATGACTCACGTAGACCACCGTGGCGGGCAGAATGAGTGTGCCCAGGAGATCGATGAAGACAAAGAACCGCATCGAGAAACAGCAGAAACCGAATAGCTCAGGGAGGAATACGAGCTCGCACAGGTTGTGTACCGTCGAGTTGATCCACCGACGACGTTGGGAGAACAGTACGCGCCATGACTCGGGAGCAATCGTGTGTGCGACCGCGTCAGGGGTGAACTTGGTGCGGAACGTGGGGAAGTGTTTGAGGAGGAGCGTCGTGAGGTAACGATCTTCACCGAGGGAGAACAGGTTCTTCTTGTGCAGGGTGTCGACGATGGGCTCGGCGTACTCCTCGATGACGCGATTGGAGATGATGATCGGCCGGCCCTTGTCTGCGGTACGAATCCTGTACATGGAGAAACATCCCGGCAAACAGGTTACGGAGCCGAAGAGACTCTCGAATGCCTTGGACAAATTGTGCGAGATGTAGTACTCGTACACCTGCGAGATCGGGTGAGTATGAAAGCCATGGCAGCTAGAGAATGACAAACCTGAATCATCGTCCACCAAGACCCTTCCTCGTTGTCCAGCTTGGTCTCACCACAGATACCGATAATACTAGAGTCGTCCGCCGCAGAGGCGACCAAACGGTTGACCGACTCAGGAGTGACCGTCTGTATACATGATGAGTTCTACAACTTCATAATAGGTCACGCAGAACTCACGGTATCAGCATCCACAGTGAAGATGTACTCGTAGAACGCCGGATCAATGCCGATGACGTTGCGCATCTGGTGGTAGATCTCGAGCTCGAGCGGAGCCATGGGCGAGTCGAAGTGTACGCGGTTTAGGTACTGCATGATGAGAATCTGACTGTCACGCTTGCCACGGTTACCGGGCTTCGTGCGCTCAGTGGGTTTGCCAACCTTGACGACAACGATATACCTATTCACCAGCGTCAGGACCGAGAAATTTCCTGAGCGATCGACGATACTCACGGGACGACGTGGCCCTCAAACTCGTATAGACCAGAGTACACTTTGCCGTAGTTGAGCTGCTTCGACCCTTCTCCGATGGCCTTGTACAGGAGAGGCTCCGGGTCAAGCTTCGGGTCCACACCAAGGATGTCGAGGACGATGCGCGGCGTCGTGCGATCGTTGCCGGTGCCGATGATGTTCCCGTCGCAGATGATAAAGATAAGCTTGCGCTTGTCGTCATAGTTGAGCGCAGCGAGAGAGTCGACTGTGCGGCGGAGGGACTCCTCGCCTTCGGTGTAGCACGGAACTTGGCAGAGCACGAACTTGTCAAGCATCTCGGGGTTACGCTTAGGTGAGAGCTGAAGCGCCGCCAAGACTGGAGAACAGGAGACGTGAGCACTGAGGAACGTTGTACACGAAAACGAGCTTACACTTGATGCCGATGGAAACCATCAGAATGATGGAGATGACCAGCAAGATGATATTCTGGGCGGTGCACCGGGCCGATTGGCGAAAATCGACTTTGCCCACAAAGAACATGTGGCTGACACAGTCGAACTGCGCTTGTCCGTCGCTCAAACGCCCCAGGATCGAATTCATGCTCTTCGTGATGTCCTGACCCGGCTGCTGTTGAAATAGGTCGACTAAGTCGGAGTTGATGAACGAGAAGCTGCCCGAATCAAGCGACTGCGAGTTGATGTAATCCGACAAGTCATAAATGTTGTCGTTGTAGGTAGCCCAGAACCTGAGAGGCGGTTAGACATTGCAGAAGCATGTGGATGCCGTGCTTACCTCTGATTGTCGGTGTCACCCGCGGCCGATTTGATGGCCGATTTGGTGTACACAAGGGGTCCTTTCTGGTAGTTCTGCATCTTGGGAAGGAATGTTGCAGTGTACCAGTCGTTAGTTTTCAGCTTGGCGCTGTTGAGGGTGGCCTGGGGACCCGACTTGTGCATGGCTTGTGAGACCAAAGGAGTGAAGTTCGCCGGAGTGAGGGACAGAGTCGTGTCAGTAACGAGGTCAGAGCAGCCAAGGTAGAGCGGGATGGGGAAGTAGCCGGTCAAATCCTGGCCGACGAGCTCATCTAGAACGTCGTCCGTGTTACTCTTGAGGTTCGCCACGTCGGAGTGTTGGCCATGGATGAAGTTGGACAGGTCGTAGACCTCGCCTTGTACGGTGACCCACCAGTTGTTGTCAGTGGTGTGCTGGGCGACCTCATTGAGGCTCCATGCTTTGTCGAAGTCAGGACACAGCAGTTTTCCGAATGCGACGATGTAGAAGATGACAATCCCGTTGAAGATGAAGATGAGCCAAAAGATGGTGATTTTCTCCCGCCAGGCCAACTGAATGTCCGGGCGCTTCATACGACCGATCTTCGCCAACATAAAAGCTGGGATCCACCACGTCGTCAAGCGCACGACGAAAAGCCAGTACCTGCGAGTCTTGCTGGTGGGAACCTCCTCTACGGTGTCTGGAGCCTTTGCGATGATCCCACCCTCTTTCGAAGGGTTCGGTGTGTCCGGAGCCCGCTCCTTGTAGTCATAGCCCCACGCACCTCCGCCAGGCTCGCTGTACCCTGGAGTTTCCGGGTAGCTTGGCGTGGGGAAGGAAGGGTTGTGGCTTTGTGCGCTTTGGGGACCGCCGCGGTTAAGGAGCAGGTTGTCCTCACTTTCTCCGCCGTAGAAGGGACCTGGGGCACCGAGTGACTCTTGATGCGTGTATTCCGTGGCATCGTCGGCGGCGACGCTCTCATCGTCAGCCACCGTACCGCCCCTCTTTGTGTCCTTCTCTGATGCCCGGAGAACGTCCTCGACAACCTTCCACGCGGCGTACGTGAGCCAGATCATCCGGTGGCCGATGACGTAGTCTTCGCCCTCCTTCCATCCGTTGGATGATGCGCACTGCCTGATCCGCTCCGAGTCCGAGCCGCGAATGGTGGGCACATACCGATCACAAAACGTCGACTGCTCGAAGTCGACAATCAGATCGTGCTTCTTCCGAGCGACGAGATCGGGAAGGAGCAACGCTCGGATCTGGGCCTTGACACGCCGCTTGTCGAACGAGTTTGCCATGCCAGAGTCATTGGGTCGGATGCACGAGACGGTCCAGAGGTGGGCGCGGTCGAGGTTCCACATGATTTCGGAGAGCGTATAGTTGATCTGCGTGGAGATGGGGTACACCTTGGAGGGATCGAGCCGTGCGTGCTCCTCGCCAGGGGGAACCCTCGAGCCGTCACGCGACGCGATGACGGTCGGGGCACGGAGAGGGCGGGAAGAAACTTGGGCTTGCACGATGATGCTCTCGTCCTTTGAATGGCGCTCGGTCGCAAGGCTGGGGCCAGCCATGAGCTTGGCGATGAAGGGATCGGTGGATCCGCGGAGAAGAGTAACGAAGGCGCAGTCCAGGATGTCGGTGTCCTTCTCGATGAACCCACGAATATCGTACGTGCAGCTGCCAGCGTAATGGTTGACGCCAAACGTCATCTGGTCGGGGGCTTCAGGGCTGCCCGGGGCGATGAACGACGTGTGCACGCCGAAGCGTGACACAAGCTCCTGGAGCATCTCTTCCTCCTTCTTGTCGCCGCTCTTGCCAGACTTGTGCGACGAGCACGACTTGTTGAGGACGCCCAGGAGGCCGCCAGGTTTGCGATGTGCACGCTCGTTGAGCTGAGCGCCCCGGAGCAGTTCGACACAGCCCGAGTTGTCCATGATGGAGATGGCAGGGAGGGCGACGCCATCACCCGTCAGCTGGCTGTTGTGGCCAACCGAGTCCTCGAAGGTGTTGCGGAGAATGTACGAGTGCACGAGCTCGTTCGAGAAGTTGATGCAGAACTCCTCGAAGCCAGACTGGTTCTGTGTACCGATGAGAGGAGTGGGACCACCAAAGTACATCGAGGCGGACTGCGTGATGCCTTTGGTCTGGAAGCCCGGCTCGTCGAAAAGCACGACCTGGGTCGCCGGAGGTGGGTCTTGCGACGACGGCGCGAACTTGTGGTTGGCCGTCTCCGTGACGAACGCGAAGAGGATCGCATATAGGTCCTTTGCGAGTTGATCCCGCTGGGCGCCGCTCTGGGTTGCATTCATCATGACCGTGTATAGCTCCTTGCGGACGTAGCTCGTCTTGTTGGTCAGCACCTCGCTAAGCTCCTCGGAGGGAACCCCGAGCAGACGCGCGACCTGGTCGAGCACCAGGGGGTTCGAGATGTATGCCGAAACGTCGCGCGCGTCCGCCTCGCCGAATTGAAGGTTGCCGAGGAGGAGGATGGCGACGATGAGGCTGAAAATGGAAGAAAAGTGCTTCGCCTTGAACCCGAGCAACTTCATCGCTACGCGAAGGTCTTCCATTGCGATGCTGTCGTCACTGAAGGGGCCTGACGGGAGCCGGTAGCAGCCCGACGACGACAGGAGGGCATAGTCGGACACGTCCTCCAGTCCATAGCGATCTCGCTCGTCTGGCGTGGCACCTGCGAGGAACTGATAGAAGATATGGTACGTGCGCTCCTCGTAGGTCAGGCGGGAAAGGCGGGACTTGTCGAGGCCGTATGTAAGGACTTTCGCTCCTTGTATGCGCCCACGGTCGTTGAAATGGAGCTCGAGGTATCGACTGTGCCGTGAAGCATTGGGGCTAACGAGTGTCTTCGCGTTCCCGAAGGAATCAAGGAGTGTGGAAAGCGACTTGAGCTGTTCAGAGAGCTTGGCCTCCTTCTTTGAGTGAGTCGACAGCCGGAGGAGCTGGTTGACGAGCAGCTGGGAGCTTGCACTCTTGCCAGACGCCGTGATACCCCTACATTTTGCAAGTTGGCACACGTTCACAGGGTAAGGAGGGGCAAGACGGGACTTGCCTGAAGACGACCGCTTGGGACTCTGTCCTCCTCCGCATGAGAAGATATATCCTCGCAGCGAGGTCGTAAAGATGGGGAGGGAGGCTCTGGGTGCCCGGGAGCGGGAAGCTGGTGTCCTTGTAGCATCGCTCCTCGTACTCCTTGGCACTGATGTCGTTCACATTGGCGAGAGTCTTGTATGGATTAACAACGATGAGATTGGATGCGCCGACGCGGGTGTAAGGCAGGTCTGAACGGAAGCGGGCTTGAAGAACGGCAAGGAGGGTGTCGTCGGAAGGGTAGACCGTCGCGGACGAGGAAGACGAGACAAGATCGGTGAGGTCGCCTGAGGCAATCGCCTGGGCGGCGTGGGCAGAGGCCATGGCCTGGAAAGGAGGGGGTAGAGGGCGTCGACGCCGCTCGAGAGGATGAGCAGACGACGGAAGGTGGAGAACAGCGAGGGAGCGGCCCACGCAAGGGGTTCAGGCGTCAATCCCACGGCGACCAGCGCCACGGCCCACTGCCCGCCGGGATCGCGTTTCGTCAAGTGCCGTTGTCTGTTCCGTAAGCTCCGATACATACACAGAATTACACAGAATTACTATCGGACAGCGTTGGTGATGACTATAAAAAGTCGCCATGAGGATTCTGAGGGAGCAATACAACCTGCGGGAACGCATCTCCATTACATCCAGAATAGTTACACACGTGGTCTACTTCTACTCATCCTCGTCCTCCTCTGCGTCGTCTGTTGCTATAAGAGGTAGGGAGACGCAGTGAGTGAGCGGGTGGTGATCTAAGAGCAAGGCAGTGGTGAGAAACGCACCTGGCGAACTCCCGTTTACGCGCGGCGCTCCGGGCGCAAGTGTATTCCCTTCACGCTGCAGTGCCTCCGGCCAGCCCTCCTCAAAAATCTCAGGGTGGGCAACGGGGTCCGCGACCGCTGCTGCGAGCTTGCTCTTGTTTTTCGACGTCAGGTCACCGCGCCATGCTTCCACGACCCCAGGGACTTTCGATGGTGCGTATGTCCGTGCGAACATGGCCGCCTCGGGCGCGCGGTGCGTCTTCACCAAGAGGTCGACGCACGGCTTCGCGTCGCCAAGCTGCAGCAGGGCGGCGAAGGCGAGGTTATTCTGGCCCTTGTCGACTACCAGGGGCAAAAGAAAGTGACGTCAGATGGGAAGCCCCACAGCCGAGGCCACGTGTACGCGCCTGCCTGCCCAGCGAGCTTGATGAGCCCCTCGCGGTCCCCCGTTGCGAGGAGCAGGAGCATCAGCGCGCTCAAGTCGCCCGCCTTCTCGAATGACTCGCGTGCCAGGTCGAATCGCCAGACTGCGAGCGCGCGGTCGCCGATTGCCTTCCACTTGGTCTCCGCCTCCAGTTCGGGCACGGTCCGCGCTATCTCGACGGCAGCATCGAGATCCTCCAGCTGTAGCGATAGCTCGAACTTTTGGTCTGGGTCAGTCGTGACCTCCAGCGCGAGTTCCTTGAGGCCTAGATGTGGGTTGGTAATCTATCAATGGTCGAAATAAGATGCTACGGACCTCTGCCTTCCAGGAACGTGGCGATTTTGTTCCGCTGCTCTTTGGGGATGGCGGGGAGAATCTCGTTCGCTGCATCCATGTCCCCTCGAAGCACTGCCGTCTGGTATTCGACCACGCTAAGCGATAATGAGTAGCTGTAAACATTGACATCCTTGTCAACGAGGTAGACGCGGTTATGTTGTGGGATGTAGCCGAGGAGGAAGAGGGGACTGCAGAGAACGGTCAGTCCTAGTTATCGAAATCAACGAGTGGGGACTCACGTATCGAAGGGAGTGATAGTGTACGACTCACTACCAATGAAGTAGTTGAGTCGGTTGCCGGCAGTGGTGTAGATGAAGCAATCGCCGATCCACTTGCCAGTCTTGGAACTGTTTTGCGGTCAGCCCTCGCCGTTCACCTCGCTCGGTCAACACTCACCTGTCCGAGATCTCAGCAACGAGCTCGAAAGCCTCCTCGACTCCCTCGTCCCCAATGTCGACGCCAGCCTCGAGCTTCTCGTTGTACGCGTCCCTGTCGAAGCGCAACACATAGAGCGAATCCTCTGACGCAATCGCAACCAAGGTACCTGTCCCTGACCAGTACACCTATAGGCCTGTGTCAACGGTGACAAAGGCCCGGAGCGCCCTGGCCCACTTACGTTCTTCGCGTCGACTTCTATCCTCCGGACAATCTCACCGGACTCCCAATCCCAGAAGATTACAAACCCAGCGCCCCTCGCGCTGAGTAGCGTGCCGCCGTGGATGCCATCGATCGCCCAGGAGCCGACGCCCTTCATGCCCGCACCACCCCGCTCGCGGAAGTTCTTGTACACTCGGAGCTTCATCCGACCCTCCAGTACTGCGTAGGTGTTCGAATCCCCGGCCCAAGCGAACGAATTACCATTGCCGAACGCCTTGTTACGCCACGCGAGCGCCGTGTAGACGATGTACTCGCCGTCACCGACGACGGTGACGAAGCGACCGTTCGGGGAATGCATGAGCGACGTCGCAAAGACTTCCGTTGAGCCCAGCTCCTTGATAGAGAGAGGTATCCGGTTGCCATCCGCGACGGAGTCCTCTTGGATGGTCTGGATGTTTGCGGAGAGAACTTCGTTATTGCGAGTGTAAATGAGCTTTCCAGACGAGTCTAGGCTGTATGTGGGCTCATCGCGTCCAAGCTGTGAGGTCGGAAGTAGTATTAAATATGTGGGATGGAAATAACAAGGCTAGACCGTACGAACCTTGACGACAACAAGACCCTCGTCGTAACCGACCGCGACTTCGTTCGCTGCCTTCCTAAGGGCTACACACCACGCACGTTCCAGAGCATAGCTGAGCGTGTTCTCCAACCGGTACGTCCCGCTGTTCCATAGCTTGACTGTGCCGTCTTCACCACCACTAATGATGATGGGAAGGTTGGGGTGGAACACCGCGAAGAGGACGTTGTTCGAGTGACCTTCGAGCGTCTGAACGCAACTCTTGCTGAGGTAGTCCCAGATCTTCACGGTCTTGTCGTCGCTCGCGGTCACGAGGTACGGCTTGTCAGCTCCGGGGTAGAACTCGACGAAGTTGACGCCCTTGTCATGCGCTTCCATCGTGAAGTTGGGCGAAGGGGAACCAAGGGACCACATCTTCACAGTCCTGTCCAGACACGATGAGGCGAACGTGTTCGGGTCTTTCGGGTTGACCGAGATGTTCATGATGTAGTGTGTGTGTCCTTCGTAGGTCTAGATCGAGTCGGAAAGATGATAAGCAGCATATAGACTAGTTCACACACCTGGATACATCTCCACTGCTTGTCCCAATCCCATGCTTTGATTGTCATGTCGTCGCTTCCCGTCAGAACGATGCTCGCAGTAGGGTGGACGGTGAGGCATCGTATGTAGTCCGGATGTGCCTCAAAGGCCGCGACCTTTTCGTGCGTGTTGTAGTTGAAGACACGCAGTTGAAAGTCGTCGGAGCCAGCCACGAACCAGTTCTTGCGGGGGATAAAGCGCACGCACCGGACAGGGACCTCCGCGACCTCGAACGTCTTGACTAGCGCGCCAGTGTCATGGTTGTAGATGTTGACCGTGCCGTTGTAGAGACCAGTCAGAATCCAGGGCTCAGTGGGGTGGAAGTCGACCCCTTTTACGCGGTCTGAGCGAGTAAAGAGCTTGCGCTAAAAGCAGACCTGAGCATTCAAGCACGGCGGGGTCGCTATGTACGCGTGGGACGCTCACGTTGATGTCCAAGAGCATATCTGCGCGTTACGGGAGCGCGAGGCCGAGGAGTGGGGAGGTCGTCCGAGGTCGTAAACGTGAAGGTGAAGGGCAAGCAGACGTGGAGATCAGCGCTGCACGCGCGCCAGTTGATCTAGCCACCCTTCTCCCCAACCTCACTGTGCAATACACTCTGCTTGCCCCAAGTTCCCTCACTCATGCATATGTGCGCCCCGTTCGTGATCTGCACTGGCAACCGCTTCGTTGAGGTCCTCTTCAACGCGCTCAAGGCAGACGGCGACACATGGTTTCGCGCACTTGATTGGACTCGCCTCAAGCTGGGAAGGAGAAGTCCCGGTGCGGGCTAGCGCATCCGGCATGGCACAGTGCGCATGGGAGAGACGTGAGTGCATGTTTCGGAGCGCAATTCATTTCCGCGAGCAGGCGGCGTGGAGGGCACGTCTGTCGTTGCTGAGGCGGTGAACGGCGACAAACGGAGAGGATTTCCCCTGGGTCCCCCGCCCTCTCCTGCGCCGTCGCGTGGGCCGAGCCCGGCGATTATCGGGGGCGTGGTTGGCCACGAGTCGCGAGATGGGTGGGCGCCGTATTTCCGCCTGCGCAGGACGGTGTCTGCGGCGGATGTGAGGGCGGGACTGCTGTGCGTCTGCTGGACACGTGTGTGCAGCACCCATCGCATCGTTATCTCGTGGAAAGTGCCCCTCGAAGGCCGTCGCCCTCGCCTCGAGCAAACCGCCTGGCAGCTGGCAGCTACGCGAATAAAAAAGCCCACACACCTCCATCTTCTCTATCAAGGAGCCTGGCCTCCGCCGTCCCCCAGTCCTCCCACCTATCTCTCTCTCAACATGGCCTCGCAAAGTCCCAAGAGGGCCGACTCGATCTCGGGCTCTCCGCGCCCGTCCCTCAGGAACCGCATGACCACCGCGATGCGCCGTGCGTCCACGGGCATCACCCTCACCAAGGGCGCTCTCTCGCGCCCATCCTCCAAGTCATCGCTGAAGGAGGCCGCGAAGGAGGGTCTCAAGGTCGACGCCAAGCACGCTCCCAGCACATCCGAGTCGGGCGTCGCGCCCAGTCCCGTTGCCGAGTCTCCCGCGCGCGAGCTCGAGGCGAGCACCTCGGAGCCCGTCGGGCCTTCACCTCTCGCAAACAATGTTGTCTCTGCAGACGACCCCACCACCCCCACGACGACCGCACCGGAAGCGGCGTCCCAAGAATTCACCGGTTCTCCAGAACAGTACCCTACATCTCTCCCCGCGCATATGCCTTCCTTTACCCCCGAGCCCCTTGGTTTCAGCGATCCCATACTGCCCTCCGTGCCGGTCGAGGAACCCCCGCATGCAGAACCGACTCCAGAGCCGCAGCCTGAGCCATCTCTCGCGCCGCCTGAGGTCGTTCTCCTTCAGGAGCCCACAGTTCCGTTAGGCGAGGATCGGCGCCCCGACTACTTCTCCTACGGCGACTCCGACTCAGTACCAACGGTCGAAACTACCGACCAGCCCGCACCTGTAGAGGCTACTGCAGTAGAGGCCATTCCAGTAGACGTCGCACCCGCCTCCGTGGAACCTGTTCCCGAACCTGCTCCCACGGAACCCGTCGCTCAGCCGGCTCAACTTTCTGAGCCCATACCAGAACCCGTGCGCCAGCCTGAGCCTATTGCCGTGCTCGTACCCGTCCAAGCGGAAGAGACTCGTCCTTCAGAGGGTTCCTACGTGCACGTCCCTTCCGATGGAGCGACCTTTGCATGGGGTGAAGACTCGGCTCTCGAGCAGTCCCATATGCCAGAACCGCATCACATCCCTGAGATGTCGCGCTCGGCCTCTACAAGTCGTTCCTCCATGTCGACTTCGTATGGACAAGTTCTTCCGGAGCAGGAGAGGCGAGGGCGCAGTGGAAGCGTTCGGTGAGTACAAGTCCTTGTCCGATGATGATACCCTACTCATATCCATCAGCTTTGCCGACGATAATCCTTTCGCCGACGTCTTCGCAGTTCCCCAGACCACGCGAGGCTCCAACGTGGAGCCTGTGGACAACGTCAAGATGCCTGAGTATGTGATCAACGCCTTGACGTTATTGCTGGCTCACGGTTATACACAGGCCCATTGTGGAGCCTCAAGCCGAGCGCATCCAGGACTCGCCCATGCCCGTTCATTACCCTCTTCCCCCCATGGCTACCGTCATTGGATCGTGAGTCCCCGATATATGATCTTGCGAGTTGACATGAGCTCATCTCTTCCCAGGCACTACCAAGCCACCTCTGGCGCATACAGCCTTGGTGAACGTGACGGGTCATCCTTAGTGGGCAGCGTCCACGAAGCCAACCAGTGAGTCACTTAGTCTACCATTACAACCATTTTTCCTAACACGGACAGGGGTAGCGAACGGATCCCCCTCTTACAAACCCCCCTCCCAGTCGGCAAGAGCACGTCGGCTGTTGGCAAGCCTGCCAGCGTCCTCGCGAGCTACAACACCGGCGGATCTGACACGGGCAATTACAAGCTGCGGGCTCTCGGCTGGTCCGAATATGTCCTCCCAGACAGTTCGACGTACTTCCACCATGCCGCCAAGCGAGTGACGACGGACATAGACCTGCGCAACCCCCGGTTCCTCACGCACGTCACGGAGCACATTGAGAAGACTCTCCCTGTGCAGACTGTGCTTCCGCCTCCGATCGACTGGGAGCTTTGGCTCAAAAGCGTGCCGCTCCGGAAGGAAGGTCGTGCGGAGCAGAGCTGGGTCAACCACAAGATGCGGCTCATCACGGCAGACCCACCGCCCACCGTGTCAAACGACGGAGTGGTCACAGAACGCTTTTCAGAGGATGATCGTGAGCGAGCTCAGCTTGTTTCATATGATGTCGGAACTGATCTCCCAACAGGACTTGACATGGAGTACCGCTACTGGGGCTTCCTCGAGGGCCACCCGGCGCACACCTCCATCTCGCCCGACACCCAGACCGAGGCGATGGACGCGCTCAAGTGGTCCTACACAGACTGCATCCTCCCCTCCGCGCGTCCCGCGCCGCCCCCGTTCGCGCCGCAGGAGTGCCAAGAGCTGATGAACCTCCTCCGCTCATTCGAATCCGGCTCGCGCAACGCGCTCGTCGTCCAGAACCGAGTCGTCGCCCGCGTCCTCCTCCGCATCGCGCACTGGCGCCAGGCGCACTTCCGCCCTCACCGCGCGCTGCCTGCTGATGCGCGCAAGGGCGTACCGCGCCCACGTACGCCCGTCCTTCGCGCGGTGCTCGACTTCGTCATCGGCTGCATCTGCTTCGGGATCCCGTACCTGTTCCTCAGCAGGACGTTCCACCAAGGCTTTGACGAGGAGAGCGGGCTATACAGCGCAGGCCCGATGCTCATGGTTAGCGCTTGCGCGTGCTTGGTGGTGGGTACTCCGTCTGGACTGGGTGCAGGATGGTGCTGACGAATGGGCTCGCAGGCTGCGGTCATCCTGAGCGCATCGGTCACGTTCTTGTCTCTGCCTCAGCTGGACGATATTCCACGGCTTGCCGGGTTGCTCGCCATCGCATTCTCCGCGTCGAGTATGGTGTCGGCTGTCATCGCGCTGTTCCGATACAAAGCGGAGCTCGATCGGACCGTCACGTACCTCGGCGGAGAAGGCCTCATGGTCCTCTCTGTAAGTCTTTGTGCCTCCATCGGGTCATGCCCCGCTCACGCTTTCGCAGAAACGAAGCCTCATCTTCTCCATGCCCCTCGTCTTCCTCGCCTGGGCCATCGCGTCCTTCATGACCGGCATCACCCTCTACTCCTTCCGCGGCGTGACCGTGAGCACCGGCGTAGAGATCCGCCGCCCCTTCGATCCGTACACACACTGGGCTGTTGTCGGCACCCTCGGCGGCCTCGGCGGGATGCTCACCATCGCTGCGCTGGTCGCGCGGAGGTGAGCGCCCCTGTATTCGTGAACGTGTACGTTCATGCATGACGTATTTATGCTCGCATCCACACCTGGCTCCATACCCACATGTCACATTTACCACTGCATTGCATCATGTCTCACGTCTACCGACTCGCCCACCTGAACAATCATACTCAGTTACTCATCGATACCGCCCTCACAGTGCGTACGCTACAATAGCTTTTCTGTTTTTTTGTAGTGTTGCATCAGTATGTTGGAAGCTACGGAAACCATATGAAGACTTCCTCTATGAAAACCCTAAGTCTTGACTTACACACGGTGACCCAGCCCAAAGCAAGAAGGATGTGGCAGGCATATGAGTTTATGACTTACCGAAACCGCATTGGCAAGCGTGCAGCTGCAAACGCCCGCAACTGGGTCTCTGGCCACGGCTCAACGTTACGCAGAATGTAATATCCAGAATATACGACAACCGGTACAGATCACATCTGCCATGCTCAGCACAGAGCTGTCTTCTCTGAGTATAGGTGTCTGTCTGTCGGTGCAATTGATCGTAGGGCTCCTTGCGACTCTGATCTTCAAGCAGCATCCCAACGAATCACGTCAGCCAACTCTATCGATACGCTTCTGAACGAATTGCTCAAGGTGATCGTAGATGAGCAAAAGCCAGCAATTCTTGTCCCCAGGCTTGCTGTCCTGGTATTCGAATGCCATCACAGGTCGCAACGCGTCAAGCTATCGTCCTCCTGGTGCTCGCTGGCGGACAATCGTGTATTATACCAAGTGGCATAGTCTTCCCTTGGCAAACCTTCCACGTATGAGGATTTCAAGAGTGCCTGAAGCGATAGCGAGCACTGCCACTGTCTCTCTACAATAAGGCTGCTCAACTTGCCCCCGCTAACTTCCTTTTTCAAGCACTGCAGTTGCGAAGATTGGGTGTGGCCATCGTGCCTGGCAGGCACAACTCTGGATCTCGGCGCTCGCCCTTTGCGCGCTTTATCAGGCTTTATTAGCCCTGGGTGCTCCGCGACTTCGTTTTTCCAGGTGCCTGTGGACGACCCTCAGACTTCAGCACATCCGTTTCAGTCACATTTTGAGCTCCCCAGGCCTAATGTTCACCGCTCCGAGGAGCGAGTAGGGTTCTGCAGCGTGCGGTTCACAAACTCCTCGGAGAATACAGCGGTATACCCAGGCTCTCCATTCGCATCGTCTTCCCTTTCGCCCCCGCTCCCCGGTCGCGCGCATCACTAACGTCGTCCTCGACATCCGCGAGCCCGCACAAGTGCTCTGTACCACGGACGGCGGAAGTGTGGCGGGCGCGTAGCGCCGGAGGTCCGCGTGAGGCTCGCGGTGGGCCAGGAGATGCGACGCGGCGGGTTTTTGCCGCGTTCAGGGCGGAGGTTTGAGAGTCATTTCGCCGTCCAAGGTCGAGGGTGCGGAAGAGTGGCGGGAGCTGCTAAACCACGCCGGTTGTGGCCAAATGCTTATTAGAACTTGCGCGGAGCAAGACGGAGGAGGTTGGGCGCGGGGGCCGGACCGGTATACTTTATCCTGAGCACTTGCTCCCCGTGGCGTTCGATACTACGGCTATCTTGACTTCTGCCGCTGCACGGACTAGTTCCTGTTACATCGACTTATCTCGCGGCCCGTGACGCCACCACGCGCCCCATGAGCACTCCCATCAGGTTTCGCTCGCCTCTTCGCCCACCGCTCCCCTTCCGTGTCTCACGAATGCCACTCAACATATATACCCCGTGCTCTCTCCGCGAACCTTGACCCCGTCCTCTTATCGGCCTGCGCGCGCTCAACTCTTTGCTTCGCTCTCTAGCAGATCGTTGAGCCAGCTATGTCTCGCCAGCCGCTCCCAGAGGTCACCCCAGATGTCGGTCTGCCGTCTCTCGCGAAGGCAGATACGCGGGACGATTCCGGGAAAGCTGGGTCAGAGGAGGGGGAGGTGGTCGCGCTCGCGCCCGCGAGCAGGGAGGAACCGATTGTCACTCGCAGGGTGCGTAGCTCTTGAATGCTTGCTCACACGAGGGGTTGACGCGAACATTGGGTCTGTAGGAGCTTTGGAGCTACTATCGTGCGTGTTGCCCTAAGATATGCGTGTGGTGAGACTTACAGCCCGGCAAAGTGTACTACAACGGAGACAATGTGCGTGCTCGTGTTTTCATCGATTCCTCGCGTTGACCAAGGAGTCGCATTGCGTTTCAGGGTGTTGGTCCGAATGGTGAGTGACTGCGGGACAGTTTGATTGAGGATCCAGCTCTGACCCTCGCGGTAGGCTACTCCATGACGCTCTTCCAAGGACTTGCCACCAGCGCCGGTTTCGACCCCGTGAGGGGCCCTGGCTCCAGTTGTCTCGACGCAGACGCATCCGGCCAATGCGTCCTTCCATGGGGCAACGGCACCAAGGCCGTCAGTTCAATCGTGCTCATCGCCAACGGCGTCAGCTTCGCGGTGCGCATATAGCTCTCCGCCAATATATACACTCCCTCCTCATGCTCTCTCCAGGTCATGACCCTCATCTTCACGACGATCGGGTCTGCCGCCGACTACGGCACCTTCGGGCGCTGGCTCCTGCTCGTCATCACCGTCATCTGCTGGGGCGCGCAGTTCGCGAGCATGTCCCTCACCTGTGCGTCTCCATCCCCCTCCTCGCGCACGACTCCGTCCTGACCTTCGTCCGCGGGGCAGCGCCGGACCGATGGGGCGTCGCGATGGCGCTCTACATGATTGGCTTCATCACCTACGGCGCGACGCTCGTCTTCTACGCCGCGGTCTTCCCGCGCCTCGCACGCAACACACCCCACGCGCGTGCGTTGCGCGACAAGCTCGACAACGGCGAGATCTCGGCGGAGGAGTATGAGGTGGAGGAGAGTCTGGAGAAGAACCGGATCAGCAACATCAGCACGGTGAGTCCGACGAATGCGGCATCGCGACTTCGTGCTAAGGGGTGGGGTCGGACAGATGCACAGCAATGTTGGGTACATCGTCACACTCGCGCTGAACCTATCGCTCCTGCTGCCGAAGATGAACGACCCGAGGGTGAACAACTTTGTGCTCGTGCTGTGAGTGCGCCCTTGTCTGTACGGAGGATGGTGCTTATGAGCGTGCAGGACGAATGCGTATTGGGTCATTCTTGGTATCTGGTGGTGTACGTCCTCTTTGGTTTGCGGTAAAGCCCATGTTAAACGCTTGTATTGCCACAGTCATATTCCAGCAGCCACGCCCGGGTCCTCCCCTGCCCAAGGGCGAACACTACGTCACCGTCGGATGGAAGCAAATCTGGGTCGCCTTGCAGCAGTACAAGAAGCTGCCATACACATTCTTGTACCTCATCTCCTTCTTCCTGCTTGCCGATGTGAGTGGCTCTCTTCCGGCGGTCCGATCAGAACTGACATACCTACGACACGTAGGGTCTGAACACCACCGGAACGCTGGTCTCGATCTGCCAGAACGACAAGTTTCAGTTCTCCTTCCTCCAGAACACCTACCTCGGGCTGTCTCAAGCTATCACGTCGACGATTAGGTGACTATATGCTCTCATAGCGATCTGATTCGTCTCGCTGAGTCTTTCCCAGCACACTCGGGTTCTGGTACATCCAGAAGTACTGGAAGATCAGCACCAAGAAGATGGTAAGCTCCAACACATCTCTCCGCTTCTCCTTACTCAGCACGTTCACAGTTCGTCGTCACCAACGTCGTCACCATCTTCATCCCCCTTTGGGGCATGATCGGCATCTGGACGACCAAGTTTGGGTACGTGGTCCGCGCTGCATCCAACCACAACTGCTCACATATCCCGTGTCCAGCTTCCACAACGTCTGGGAGTTCTGGGCGTACAATGTCGTCTTCGGTCTCTTCCAGGCGCCGTACTACGCCTTCTCGCAGACGATGATGGCCGAGCTCACCCCGCCGGGCTTCGACAACATGGCGAGTCCGACACTCACTATCTCCAAGCTCCCCACGCTCATTCCCTCTCTTGGTGCTCTAGTTCTTCGGCCTCTTCGGCCTCTCGAACCGCGCATCGTCGATGATCGGCCCGAACGTCATCCAGGCGATCATCAACAACACGGGCGACAACTGGAAGGGCTTCCCGTTCCTCTTCGCGCTCTGCGCCTGCGCGAGCGTCGTCATCTGGTTCGGTGCGTGCTCCCCTCCTCTCCGCCGCCCACCCTCGTCCGTCCTGCTGACGCACATTCCAGGCGTGGACGTCACGAAGGGCCGCCGCGACGCGGTCGTGTGGGCCGGGCGGCACCGCTCGTACGCGCAGACGGGCGTGCTCGTCGCCGAGGACGACGAGCCCGAGGATCCAAAGAAACAGCAGTGAGGCGCGCCGCCGGAGGGCTTGTTCGTTTCAATGCGTTTACGGGCTTGGGATGCCTCGACGTCGCTTGATTTTAATGATACCATTACTCTTTGGTCCTCTTGGTTTGCATGGAAAGCGTGGGTGTACCGAGACCGAGACCAGGCTGCTTCGGTTCCGTTTGCATGCCGCACCGCGCGTCGAATTCAAACTTCCTCGACTCTCCAACGACTCGGCCCGGCCTCGAGCTTGTCGCGCCGGGTCAAGTCCGCCACCCAGTGTTTCACATGGGACAACTTCTCCTTACACCTGTGCGCGGGGAGGCGGGTCCGGTGCGACCCAGCCTCGGCGTGCATGCGCTCGAGAGGCTTGACGTTGGAGGCCGCTGGAACTGATGTTTTGTTAGAGGTCGGTTATGCGCAGGTGGGCGAGAGAGCTCTGGTGGCATCAGGGGGAGCAGACTGTTGACGGCGGTTCGGTATGGTATTGTCGCCCGTTGGGGCGAGGTGGATGCGGCGGACGATGGCTTCTTGGGACCAACGAGCCGGCTCTGTCATGAGCCTCAAGGCGAGGATTCAGCCATTGCATAGCTTAAGAAGGGCGAGAAACGTGAGAGAGGTGCATCCCTTGCGGGGCGGGGCGGATGTGCCTGAGGTCGAGGGGAACACCCAGTCCATCCTCCGTTGACGCGGGCGAAGCAGGCGATATCCTCTCAAAGGTCTGCTGGTAGGGCGGGAGCTAAAAAGTTGACAAATCGGCTTCGGTTCAGAATGACCTCCGCCTCTCCTTTCCGAACCACTGAGCCTTGGAAGCCTCGTGTACAATGCCCTATGGTAGTAGACGTAGGTGGCGGGCTAAGGACGGGTTCTGCATTCTGCACCCATTACCCCTCTATTCCGTCCATCCACTCGCCCACTGCTGCTTTACGCACGGCCTCCCGGTCGTCAGCCGAGAACGGACGCGGCGGCAGTAACTCGCAGTGCATCCTCGCCCCGTCCATAGTCACCGCGAGGCGCGCGAGCATCGGACGGTGCGCCTGAGAGTCGTGGGGCTGCACCAGGGACGGCCGTATGAGCACCTGCTCGAGGCTCGGCCAGACGAGTGGCCCCTGCCAGCGCATGGCTTCGGGGCCGAGCCCGTTGCGCACCACCAGCTGTGTGTCTGCGCGCGCGTCAGAACAGCCCTCCCCCGGGAACGCACTGCGCGGCGAGCGGGCGCACTCACCTCCGTCGGGGCGCAGCAGCCGCCGGAGCCCCGCGAACAGCTGTTCAGGCGCGTCGGGGTGCACATCCGAGATCTGCAGGCGCGCCAGCCCCGGCGCGCACTCTGCCCACCGCGCGAGATCCCCCGTCGTCCGCCCGCTCGAGATGCGCAGGCGCCGCAGCGCGGGCAGCGCGGGGTACTGGACGCGCACCTCCTCCGCGCGCTCCGCCTCCTTCATCCAGTACGGCGCCAGCGGGGCGAAGTTGGGCGCGCGGTCTTCGCCCGCGATCGTGAGCGCCCGGAGCGAGGGGAAGGGCGTCGTGCCCAGCGACGCGGGGAGCGGGACGTCGGTCGCCCACGGGCGCGCCGCGGGGAGGAGCGCGAGGGTGTGCAGGTCGGGCGCGACGAGGCGCATGAGCTCCGCGACGTGCCCGGTGAACTCGGCGTGGGTGGGGGAGTCGTGCTGCGTGCCCGGGATGCGCTCGCGCCAGCCGGAGGAGAGGAAGAGGTGGCGCACGCGCGGGGTCGTGGCGCGGGTCGCGGCTGCGACTTCGCGGGCGGCGGTGAATGCGGCGAGGAAGGTTTGGAGCTGGTGTCGGTCGCGGGTGAAAGTGAGTTTGACGGAGTGGAAGCGTGCGGAGTAGGAAGCGGCGTGGAAGTAGCGGCAGGTCAGTGCGAGGGCACGGCCGGTGGCTCCGCCGTCGGTGCAGCAAAGTAAGAAGATGGACGCGAGTAGATGGACTGGGAGGGAGGTGATAAAGCACACCTGTTGCAAATGGGTCAGCAGATGCAAAACGCATGAGCGAGTGGGATCGCACGCTTTGAGTTTGTGTGGAAGGTGTCGATGAAAGGTTGCGAGTTAACTTGGTACGAAGTTTACTAAGGCGACGCTGCATGGGTGGCGACGGTCACGATCTCTGCTGAGTGTATCCGGGCGGCGTGTGAGGTGAAGGCGAACAACCAAAACTCGACGTTGTCGGGAAGCGATATAGTGTCCTCTCTGCATCGCCATGCAACATCCGGGTCATGTGTCCACATGGGTGAGCTGGCTAGACAACCAAATTAGCAACTAGTTTGGGAATTATCGGCCAAGCGGTGCGCGGAGTTATCACCGACCGAACGCTGTCCAGTACTTAGTTCGCGTACTCACCGGTCACCAGCGGATACCACAATGACGTCCCTTGAGAGAGGGTCATGCACGGCAGTTCTCAGAGCAGCGAGGCACTGAGGGTGGGCTGCGGATGGAATATTGAAGTAGCACAAGCGGTCACCACAGGGCGAAAGTTGTTTCTCTCTGCATCGCTATGCATGCGCAGGATCCGATCAGGTATGTTGACATGTGCGTGAGTTCGATCAAACTGGCACTGAGTAGCATATTACAACAAGGCAATGCGCGGTGGTGTCGTCAGCCGAGCATAGGCATATGTAGTCGAATGGTGTGCTCGCGTGGAGCGTTCCACGATGCCCATTGAAGAAGAGATGTCCGATGAGGATGAGGAACGTGTTGAGTTCAAACGGATGCTCAGGCGCCGACGCCCGATCGGATCTAGGCTGGATCGACGAGGAAAGTCCCACGGGTGCCTGGGCAGGGTGAGCATCAACATTCGAAGCATACATAGATATCCCAAATCTTAGAATGTGTGCAATCAGCGCCTTCATACTATGACCATTCGACATGTGGACAAGAATGCTCACTTCATGTAAAGTCATCCGTTCACTTGGACAGAAAGAGACGTGTACACGTCCTACCAGCGCTGTCGTGGCAGAGAGACAACGGTCTGACCAGCTAGCGTCGGTCTGCGTCAAGCTCAGGGCATTGAAATTACCGCTCAATTTACTTCATGTTCTGTCATGTACTCAACGTCAGCTCAACCAAGTCCCTGTTCCCTCCTAATCAAAACCCAAGTACATGCCCTCCTCCTTCAGCTTCGGGAAAATGCGCCTCAAGTACGCGGCACACCGCGCCCGCGTCTCCGGCATCCAATCCTCCCCGGGCAGCCACACCCGGCTGACCTCGTTCACGCATCCGTCCAGCCCAGACATCGCCCTCACTTCCTCCACGTCCCCGAGCGGCGCCGCGTTCGGCAGCGGGAGCAGCACGTTCACCAGCCTCGGGCACCCGCGAGCGAGCGCCTCGAGGTCCGTGATCGGGTACGTCGGCGGCACGCGCGAGTCGAACGGGAGCTTGATCGAGCGCAGCCCCGGCCACGCGCGCGCGGCGTCCGCGAGGTCGCCGGGCGCGAGCGTGAGCGCGCTCTCGAAGTCGAACACGACGGCGAGGCGCTCGAGCGCGCCGGCGGCGTAGAGCGGCGCGAAGAGCGGGCGGAACGCTTGCGTCGTGGGCGGGCGGGGCTCGTCGTCGTCGTCGTCGTTGTCGTCATCGTCGCCGTAGCCCTCGAGCGTAACGTGGCGGAGTGTCTGCGCGAAGCGGGCGCCGATTGCGGTGGTGATGCGCATGAGCGCGACGACGGCGTCCGGCGCGGGCGGGTGGTAGGAGGGGAAGCCGAGAGTTATGATGCTCACGGAGGCGAGGCGTGGTGCGTGCGTGGCTTCGAGGATAGCGGCGACGAGGTCGGAGGTGCCGGTGAGCGAGAGCTCGGTTGCGCTCGGGAGAGAGATGGCGGGGATGTGCGGCGGGGGCGCTTCTGGAGGGACGAAACTCGCCACCTCGAGCGATTTGAGGTGCGGGAGCGAGCCACACGCAGCACCAATGACGGCGAAGTCTTTGATGCTTCGCAGCGTCAGCTTGTGGAGGGAGGCGAATCGGCCGAGGGAATTTACGGAGGGGAGGCGGCTGGCGTGGATGTCTATGGTGCGGATGTGAGGGCACTGCATGTGAACGAGCCGCAGGCCAGCAGCGATGGTGTAGTCCGCAGGATCATCCACTAGGAACGTCGTAGCCACTGGGGAGTAGTCGGTTGAAAAGTTCAGGTTGAGGTGGGCTAATAGAGGAGATCCTAGGAGAACGATGAAATACGATGAATACTCCATGTCATGGAACCAGGAAATCATCGTCAGCCGAGGAAAGAGAGCGCGACCGCCGCACTTTGCAACCAATACTGCGGTCGTGATTCCATCAATCCGCTCCCCGAAAGTCGTGTACCGGCGCACAAGGTTGGCGTAGAATAGTAAACGAGCCCATTCTTCATCCTTGATGTCCCCGCAACTGACCTAAAGCACATGGCAAATCAGTAAAGATAGCTATATGGACATCACATGGCGCATACATAATGCTTGAAAGGCAATTGAGTGTCATTGTCTTGGCCCGTGATGCGTTTCACCGAGGACGGCAGGAGGGCGAGCAAGCGACCGATTCCTCGGAGGGTTTCCCAAAGGACTTCTACGGCAGGTTCGGAGATCGCACGCGAGACTTGAGCGCAGCTGACCAAGGTTCTCCGGTCACCAAGACTTTGGTACATAACCTCCCTCACGACTTCCGCGATTGACCAAACTGGATGAGCCATCGCAACAAGCCGGCTCAGGGGACTGTTTCGTTATCATTTCGATTAGTGGAGAACGACTTTCTGCATGACTGGCGACTCACGAGTGGCGCGGAAGCAAGTGGCAGAGAAATCAAGCAGATACAATTGTTATGGGCTTCAAAGTACTGGTGGACTTGGGGCTGTGGTCACTGTCGCACGACCCTATCGACGGATATCACGGCCAGCAGGTTTTCGTCTTGAAGCTGCACAAGAAACGAGTTTGAAGGGAGCGAGCGCCCGCGAAGCGAGACGAACAGTGTCTTGTGCTGACCAAGCAGGAACGGCTGGCTGTGGCCCGTCTTGGATGTGCAGGTAAGGAGGAACTTCAACGAGTGCGGGAAATGCTGGAGTTCGAGGGCAAGACGAGCTTGCACGGAGCACACACGCAAAGGGGCTGTATATAGTAGAACGGCAGTGGTCGTGAGGGAGGAAGATGTGCAGCTGCAGGCCGAGGGGTGTCGTAAGCGAGATCGGCGTACTGGTGTCGTGCCAGTCCATATGGTGCCTCGCGACCAGTGGCACAGACGTATGAACGTCGGGCGGAAACCACCAAATCGGCCTCTAAACCGCAATTGCACACAGAAAGCCGCCCAGACCAAGGGCCCTCCGACTTAAAGATATTATGTGCTATGGTACATATTACTTGAGAGTGACGGGAACCAACGCCTGATCGCGCGGGCAGTCAGCACAAGTCATCCAGTCCACAGCAGAACGACGCACCTTCTTGACAATCTCGTAGACCCTCTTCTGCCCCGCAAACAGAATCGCCGCGGTGAGCACGCTCTGCGTGAGCTTGCTCCCGACACCCTTATACAGCCCCTCGACGCCCTCCTCCTTCACGATGGTCTTCACACCATCGAGCGGGGACTTGTAGTGCTGCGCGCCAGCATGACCCGCCTGCAGCCGGTTCTTCACGACACTGGAAAAAAAACACCGCGCAATGACACGCATACAATCAGCCACGACGTCGCGTCGATCACGCACGAACGGACGACGATACGCACATGTACGGGTACGTCGACCCAGTCGCGACGAGCTTCGAGAGCGCGCCGAGCAGGAAGTAGTCCAAGTCGGACAGGACCGCGACGGCGCCCTTCGCGCCGCCCGCACGCAGCCGCTCCGTGCGGCCCTTGACGAGGAAGTTCTTGAGCTGCTCGAACACGGTGTACTGGATGATCGGGTTCACGACCAGCACGAGCGCGGGCCCGATCCCGCGCCAGAACGCGGTGAGCCCGTCCTGTGCGAGGATGTGCTGGATCGTCTGGAGGATACCCGGCCGTGGGGCGGGCGCGGGTGCGGACGCGTCGGGGCCGGGAGCGGTGGGGGTCTTGGACATGGAGTAGACGGCCTGGGTGGTCTGCACGACCCAGATTGGGTTGCTAATGACCGTCGTCGCGGAGCCCGCGATGAGCCCGGCGAGCATGGACTCGAGCGCGCTGAGGCCCTTGCTGCCGGTGCGCGCTTTGAGGATGAGGTCGCGGGAGCCCTCGTAGAAGTAGTAGTACACTCTGCTCGAGGCATGAGCGCGCTGGATGCGAGGACGTGGTGCAGGTGCGTGGAACGCGTTCAGAGCGGGGACTCACCCATTCGTGACAGCAATGCCGAGCAAGCTGGAGTTCAGTCCGCTGTAGAGCCCCATGAACCCCTCACGCTTGAGGATGTCGCGCACGGCCTCGAACGTCGTCTGGGGAGCGCGTCAAGACCACGGCGGAAGTCGACCACACAACACGACGCACCTTCTGCTCTTTCTTAGTCTCTACTGCGGCACGCGTCGAGAGGAAGATGAGAGGGCTGAGAAAGGCGTATGAGCATTATGACCTCCTAGGAGAGACAGTGAACACTGACTAGGTCGCGGACATGGCGACAATGCCGCCAGCGGCACCGGCGAGGGCATGGATTGCAGAGTCGCTGACCATGTTCGTGCTGTGTGGGGGAGAAAGCGAGGATGCAAGAGGGGTCGTCAAGTGGGGGCCATCGGTGTTTCGGGAGTGCGGACGACGGCATGCGAGATGGAGGTCTATCACATGCGCTCAATCCCCGGCCATTCACACAGGCGCCTCTTTGGGATACCGGCGCGGACGTTGCGGCGTTTGGTACAAGCGTAGCAGTTGTGCCGCCCGAACTACAAGACGAGTCTAGGTGTAGAAAATGCCGCCTTACTAATACTACAACATGTATGGATGACCTCTCGCGAGCACAATCCCAAGAAACCCAAGTCCCAAATCCCGGGCTGAGACTCAAGAGCTATCCCCCGCACCGTGTGTGATATCCTCTCCGGCCTCGAGCCGCGTGAACAGCGTCTTCAGCTCCGTGATGTCGTCCGCGAAGCCGTTCGAGCTCGAGCCCGTCGCCGCAGGCCGGTTGTTGAATGCGCCGTCGCCAACTGTCGGCTGCCCGTCGTCTTCTGCGAGCCACTTGTCAAGCTGCGCGATCATCGAGCGCGCCTTAAGCCGGAAGTGGGTGCGAATAACGTCGCCAAATGGCTCAGGCGGGTTGCGCAGGTTGCCAAGCATCTGCGTAGCAAAGTGAGGAGGAACTAACGGTGGAGAGGGAAGGGCACGCACCGCTGTCCGCACAACCATGCGCTTTACATTCGCGGAATCTGTAAAAAAGAGGTGAGTTCAAACACTGTACAGATGCGAGGTGGCGAGCACGCACATGCAATCGACTTCGGCGTTCCTCCGCTGTTTGCCCAGCCAGGCTCGTTCAAATATGGCTCGTCACAGAGGATCATGGATTGTATCGAGATCAACACTTGAAGTAACGTCGACTTTCCCGCAATCCAGCCTGGTCCTGACCATGTTCCGAGCAGCGACAAACATACTTTGCCGTCCTAAAGAAAAATGAGCAAAACAACGTAGAAGGCGGTTGCATACTCACCGCATACAAGTTGGGGTTAAACCGGAATTTACCACCATTTGTCTGGGCAAAACCGACGTAAACTTGTGATGCGTGGCATGAGTAACTACAACACTGACCGTCATGTATTTGACACTTGGTGGGGATTGGTTGTAATTTGGACCAAGGAAGACATCGAACAAGTAGCTGTGAAAGAATCGTGAGATGGAGGCAAATTGGCAACTTGCATTTCACCCACCATCCGTTGTAATATCTGAACAGAGCTCTTGGAGGTCAGTACCGATAATACCCACAAGATGAGCGTACTCACGGAGTACCCTCGGGACCGGTGATCAAAGCCTTGATTACGTCGACTCGTGTCTCGTCAACGCGCAAGAATATGGACGAATTCCACGCCACTGGCAAGTTGGTCGTCAACACCGCAAGCTCCTTGGCGATCGCCAGTGACCTTTTAGGAATGTCGGAGTTTGCCAACATCCGAGCCTCGTTGTTGTAGTAAAACTTATAGTTCGGTGGCTGGTCCTCCCCGTTCTCCGTGGCCGGCTCCGTCGAGGGTATGGTCAGGTCGCAGTACTCGAACCGCACGCGGTTCGCCCACTTGACATACGCAACCTGCGCCTCCTCCTCCGTCTGCCCCGCCGGGATGGGGACCTCGTCCTCGTGCGTTGCAGACGTCGCCGGAATCTTCGGGAGCCCTGCATGGAGTCGGTCGACGAACGCTTTGCCCTTCGTCTCGACGAGTGAGCGGTCGATGGCCTTAGCGGTGTTCATGATCCGCTGACAGAACTTTAGCAGCTTCTGGTTCTCCTCGGACGTGATAGCGCCATCGTCCTTGCCCTTGCCCTTGTCGTCGATCGTCATCCGCTTCTGCTCTTCAGACATCTCGAAGGTCTCAGGCTCTGACGTCTTCATTCCCTCTAAGCCTTTCAGGGCTGCCTGCGCCTGGATCACGATCGCCTCGAGGAGCTCGCGAGGGCCAGAGCTGCCTTCGTAGATGATAGTGCGCTCGCGGACGCGTGGGGTGCCTCTTGGAGATGGTTTCTTGCCCGCGGTTGTCTTGACGGAGGTGACCACCATGATTGGCATCGCCATCATGCTTGCGAGGGCTTCATGACTAGATATTGTCTTGACTCGGACTATGAGCACACATCGTTGATGTCTCGAACTGCTGCGTACATACCTCTAGCCACTCGAACAGCTCGAAATAGAGGACAGAGCGATCGGACATATCAGTCAAGGAGTCGTTCCGCAGGAGCTGACTGCTGACGAAGTTGAAGCGTCGTCGAAGGTGAGCGAGCGCGGTGGGATGGACGAGGTAATCACTGGCGTGGCCGCCTCCTTCGCGATTGACGGATGGAAGGAACGTGCGGATGTTCAATAAAAGGGTGGCCAGCTTCTGGTCCTTGTCCTTCTGCGCCTGAAGGGCCTCAAGCTGACCGGACATCTACTCAGAAGCGGGTGAGTACAAATACGAAGGACGAAAGACGATCAAACCGCACGTCTTCTCTCACGTCTCCAGCGTAGCCCGTCCCAAGTTTTGGCTTTTTGCCTTTGACAAGGTTCGGATAGTAGTTGTCCTCGTCGTCATCGTCGTCTTCATGGAGCTCAGTAGGTATGAGATGTGATGCCGGCGCGTCAGGCTTACGGCGTTTCCGCGACGTCTTATCGGACTTCGGCGCAGCCAAGTCTGCCACGTCCACGAACGACTTCTCGAGCATCGCGAGCCCAACCCCAAGAATTACACCCTGTAGATTGGCGCAGTGGAACAGAGAGATGTCGACGTCTAGCGAAGCGGCGACTTTGGTGTGATTCGACGTGCTGGATTCCCCGCAGGCAAAGCAAAACTGCTTGCAACATTGACTACATATCTTGGACACGAAAGATTCCAGGTGTTTGATATATGCGGGAAAATTCGGCTGAGCTCCACTGATCAGTCGGTCTCTCGGCGCACGACAGCGCAAATCAACGTACGAAGATCGTCCAAAAGTTGCTCTTTTGTCGGTTGTAGGTAGCCCCGCATCCGTGAGGACATGGCACCGAGCCCTCGCCGAGCTCGCGGTAAAGGCTGAACAGGAAGCTTTGCTCGCTGCCTTCTGGACAGCCCTTCATCCATTGACCTTGGGTCATGAGTGGCATCTTCTCGGTGCACCTAGGTAGTTTGACCATCTCTGGTTCCTCCTCCACTTCGATGACCTCTTCTTTCCGATCTTTCGAGAAGAATATTCCTGGATATACAATCAGCATATGAAAAGTCTACGCGTGACCAGACCTGGTCCACAATGTGCAACTAAGGCGTGGAGCCTACGACGGTAGCTCCCCTCCCATCCAGGAAAGCTTGCGAAAGTATTCTCGCAGTGGGACAAGGCGACGCGCGCTTGTGCAACCAAAGGGAGAACACATACCTGCATAAGGATCCACTGCCGCAGCGTTCGACGCTCCTATATCCTCGTAGTCCGAGTCGTAGTCAATGTACTCGTCCTCATCTGTCTTGACGCGTGAATCGCCGCGTGAACCAGTATAAGTAAACACGCACCGTCCTCCCCATCGCCTTCTTCCGCCTCTGCCTCGTCGTCATCGTCGTCGTTCGGGGTCTGGACGCGAGAGATTTCATGAACACTCGCCGTGGCGGAGATTATGCCGCGTACTCACCAACATGCGCGGCTTCTGCTTTGTCGCCTCCTGCGGCGGCGCCATCTCGACGTCGCCGTCGCCATCGACGATGTGGTCGAAGCTGCCGTCGAATATGCGCTCCGCGGCCTCCATCACGTCCTTGTGCTGCTTCAGCGCAGCACGCGCTTGCGCGGGGGTCGCGCCCTAAGGAAGATCGCGGTGGGCACGGGTACTCTTTACAATAAGGAAGTGAAAGACTGACCATATCCACAAGCTGCTGCACCTCGCGTTCCATCGTACGGTTGCGGGCGGGGATGAAAGAGGGAGGATGGCTGTAGACAAGATCGTTAGGGCCTTCTACTACAATTTAAGCGCTCATTGTGTGGTATGCGGTATTTGTTACGTAACGTACGTGCTGCAGGGGCTCGACCTGACAATGAACAGATTCGCCGTGGGGTGCAGCATTCACCCAAACAAAATATGCAGAAATGCGGAACAAAACGATGCATACACGAGAGGGAGTGCATGTACAGATCAAGTAGAGTATTGGCACAATGATGCGACAAGAGACCAGTAGACGTATGGCAGTATGCACTGCGTAACTTCATCTGTAGTATCCTCCTCGATAGCGCGGGCCTTTCTGCGGGTCGCGGCGCTCCCAGTCGCGGTCGCGGTCGCGGTCCCGCTCGCGGTCATAGCGACCATAGCGTTCGTCACGGTCCCTCGGCGGTGAGCTCCGCCTGTCCCTGCGCGACGCGCCACGGATCTGCAGTGACTCCGTCTCCTGCATCGGCGCTGGGAGCTCGTAACCGTCGGTTCTCTGTTGCTTGTTTCCGCGATCGACGCCGACGGACGAGGTTGAGAAGTCGAACTTGATCTTCCCGCCGCCCCCTCGTGTGTCGCCCTTGTTCCGGGAAGAGCCGCGGCTGCCCTTGTTGTTGGGCCGTGCCCGGTTGCCTGCGAACCAGTCGTCGTCATCGTCATCTGCCTGTTGTTCTCGGGCACGTGCAAGACGTTCCCGTTCCTTGCGGCGGCCTTGCTTGCCGACCTGCATGGGCATATTGCTCCCGAACCCGTCCGAGAACGCGTTCACTGTCTCCCAGTCGCGTGGAGCACGCTTCGACTGACGCGGGGCCTCGGACGAAAAGGGGCCGGACAGGATGTTGTATATGCTAAACGCGGAATGCTCTTCAGGGTGGTCGAATGGATGTTGAACGTCGTTGCAATCCTGCGTGATCTTCGATGTCAGTCTCTGGACAAGACGGAGATGGAGCGGACTCACGTCACCGAGATGTCCGCATCCGCCGCAGTTGTAACACCACTCGTCCGTAGCGATGTACCCCTCACCGCCTTCTCCGAGAGGAAGGAGTCGCTTGTCTTCACGGATGCGCAGGATGTCTTGGCGCGCGTCATCTTCGACGTATATGTACATCCGCCACAACGTCGGGCATTCCTGCATCCTGAGGTCAGCTTGGGACATCGAAAGTCACCAGAAGTCCCTACGTTGGTTTGATGCGTCCGCGCGCCGCACCTGTCACAGTCGTGGGACGAGTAATACCCACCCTGCCGTCCGCGGTTCGGGCAATTCTAAGTGTGACACGGTTGTCAGGCATATCGCAGCGCACTACGTTCTGACAGGCCTACCTTATTGATATGACCCTTCATTCCACAGGTGAAGCACACTTTGCTGACAGGACAACTTCGAGTGCCGTGTTCATCCCGCGCACCGCATGTGAGGCACTGTGGTAAAACCGAGGTCGAACTAAAGCCGTGCGCTGCAGCCACAGAGAACTCACGATGAGGTGGGGACATTCGGCAGCTTTGTGGTCGCCCTCGTCCCCACATTTCTTGCAGACGAATCGGGTGGGCTTCGAGGGTCTAGCCCCCTGCGCTTCGAGCTTCTCCAGTTCCCAATATCTGATCATCCCAACCTGTCATATGCGGTGTTAAGAGGCATTAGCCTGTGAGCAAGATAAAACGATATCGGTAGGTGGGGATTGGTCGACCGCGGACCTCCAGCAAAGGATCGCGGGAGGAACAATCCCCGACCGCATCTGCTCAACACGCCACAGAGTCAACGAAACACACCTTCCTGTCATCGTCGTATTCGAGATAGTCGATGTATCCATCTTCGTCGTCCGAGCCCCCCGGCGTAGGCATCTTCAGTGGCGGTAGATCCGCATCCTGCCCCTCGGGCGCAACAAAGACGTGTCCCGGAAGTAGAAGTCCATCTGTCTTCTTATTGTCGGACGCCTTTGCGCGTTCTGAGGACGCTTGCGTAGCCGAAGATGGTCCGGCAAGAGGAGGGGGTGGTCGCATGGCTGCAGGGATGTCCATGGGCGTGAGGTCCTCGAAGAACAACGCCTTGTCATCTGCAGCAGAACCCTTGGTGCGCTTCTTGCTCTTCGTGCGTTCGCGAGAGCGCGATCTTCGACGCTCGCCGCGGTGGTCATGGCCGGGAGACCTACTTCTTCGCCGTTCCCTCTCTCGTCGACTCTGACGTTCATTGTCCCGAGTACGGTCCTCGCGGTAATGATCTCTGTCTCTGTTGCGTCTCCGCTCCTCCTCCCGTCGCTCCCTCCTTCGCTCGTCGCGTTCCACATCCTTTTTCTTGCCACCGGAAGGTTCGGTTAACCTCTCTGCTAAGGACAGGTGGGGTGGTGGTGGTGGCTTTGAGCCGGACGCGACGGGCGAATCGTCCACCAGGTTAATGACGAGGTCGGATGGGGGAGGAGTATTGCGTGAAGCGGGTTGTGAAGTCTCGGCTGAGCTAGGATCCCCTTGACCGTCCGCCGTGCTCGGGTCGCTGCGCGAAACTTTGCGCTTGCGCTTCTTGCGTTTCTTCTTCGTGTGGTTTGTCCCATTAGGCGTGACCTCTTGGATTGCGTTGTCGTCCGAGTCGACGTCGATGACGTCTGGTTCGGCAGTAAGGTCGATGACTTGCGGCTGGATTTCCCTCGCGACCATGACGAAGACAGCAGAGGCCTGCGCTGACAAAGAGCGGCACGCCGGCAGTACACTGGGATGGAAGAGGAGGAGTGCTGCACGCTGCACTGCTGCTGCAGCTTCGCGCGAAACTTGCAACTTGCCGGAGCGACCACGTGCCACAAACACCAATCGAGTCGAGCTCAATATCTGATCGACCCATGCTTTTTGCTGTCTCATCTTTCTTCCTCGACGACGATGGGCGACTCACTGGCAGCGTCTGCGCCCCAGTGGGAAATCTCTATAGAGAGCTTGACCTACTCGCACGCCGCTGGTGCTCTGCCATCGTTGTCTAATGTCACTATCCAACTGCCGAAGGGCTCGCGTACCTTGCTCGTCGGTGCAAACGGAGGTCAGTATCGTTCACATTACTACAAAAACCAATCCTATATGCATCTTGATCTCTTTCATGCAGCCGGGAAGTCAACTCTGCTGCAGATTTTGGCCGGCAAGCGTTTGGTGTCCGGCACAGAAATCCGCGTCCAAGGAAAGGACGTATTCCGCAGCACTCCGGCAGGCATCACTTTTCTCGGGACCGAGTGGTATGTGGCTTCCCAAAATCATCTTACGCATCTTTGTTGGAGCCTACATCTGCATGCAGTGTTGTGGATGATAATGGGCATGCATGATGAGCTAACATTGGTTTCTGTTATACAGGGCGATGAACCCTGTTGTACGCGGGGACATCGTGGTCTCAGACTTTTTGAACTCCGTGGGCGGTTACCGGCACAAGGAGCGACGCGACCGTCTGCTCGATCTACTGGACGTCGACTTGGACTGGCACATGCACCAGATCTCGGATGGCGAGCGCCGTCGCGTGCAGCTCTGTATGGGTCTCATGGGCAACTGGGACGTCCTTCTTCTCGATGAGGTACGTCCCGCGGAACCTTTTTGCACTTTGAGATGGATGAAGAGGATGCTGTTGCGCCTGCGATGCCCTGAGCGGACTTCGAAGCTTTGCGCGTACCTTTGCGCAGCGGGAGCTCGGTGGAGCTAGGAACGAGGGCCTTTGCGACCTCAAGGTCGAGGAGCCAAGTGTAGCGCTGACGTCAAGTCCCTGTGCTTACCCTGCCAGGTCACGGTAGATCTTGATGTCCTTGTCCGCGACGACCTCTTGACGTTCCTGAAAGAGGACTCGGAAGCCCGCGGCGCGACTGTTCTGTGTACGTTTTCCCGCCGGTCATTCTGCCTCCGATGCCATGTCTCACACGCCGGCATCGCAGACGCTACACACATCTTTGACGGGTTGAACAAGTTCCCTACGCACGTCGCCCACATGCATCTCGGGACGTTTTTGACGGAGCCCACGCCGTGGCCCTTCGTCGACGGCACGTTGGCCACCATGTCGGTGGAACTTGGGCCAAGTCCGACGCTGTATGCGGTGGCATTGCAGTGGCTTAAGGAGGATCGAGAGCGGCGTCGGGCGCTGGAAGCCCAAGGGCGCAAGCGTCGAGGCGCACGTACGGACGCGGTGAGTTTGCGACGGATCTGATGGGTGCGCGCGCTGATGGCGTGGACACAGGTGCCGAGCGACTCGGAGACGTTTTACAAGAAGTAGGCGTGCTCGTCTAATGTGACGGTGTTGATCGCTGATGTGCCTTTAGATACGACTACAGCCACTAGAGACGGCTTGGGTCTGCTTGGGTTTCGGCCTCCGCGTCTTCGCTCAACATGAAGGCTGTCTGGACTGTATCAATAGCACACACGTCATTGCCCCATCTGTATTGTTCAACACAAGTAGCTACATTGTTCAACCAATCAACGGTTCTGCCGATGCTGCGCGCGTGGAAGAGGCGGGAAGACGGCGGTGCGGCGGATGATGAGCCCGGAGGTCTGGATCGGGCGGCGTGACAGCGCTGATGGCTGTCACAGCCGAGGGTAAGAGTCGGCGGCGAGGGCAGACGCCGCCCGCCAACCGACTCTCGAACGCCGTTGTCGTTGAAGGACACCGTTCACAACGTGCTGGCCAGCAAGGGCGCGCTCCCCCTTCTCTTCTCTCTGTAACCCCCACGCTCTTTTCGTCTCTCTTTCTCGCCATGTTCGTCACCGACCTCCCTGTTCTCGTCCCCCGTGCCGACGCCTCTCTCAACGGCACCCGAGGCAGCGACGGTTGTCTCATTTGCTCCAACCTCCCTACCACCTGCTCCGGCTGCAAGTCCACCGAGACATGCACGAGGATCAACCGGTGCGTACTCTGAACCTTCGTCCCTATCTCATCCCCTCATCGCGTGGCGACTGTGCATCCAGTGACTGCAACCAATGCCCCGTCCCATATTGCATGCCCATTTCCCAGCAAAGCTCCAGCAGTTCCTCTGGAGTCAGCAAGGGCGCCGTTGCCGGTGCGGTCGTGGCCGTTATCCTTGTCCTGGCAGCCACCGTCGCCGGTTTCTTCTGGTACCGTCGGCGGAAGAGCATGATGGCGGCTGCGGAGACCGAAGGCAAGCCTGACGTACCAGCCCGTGCAGAGGACGTTCTCAACAGGCCCGATCCCAACGAGAAGCCCAATTCTCCGCCTACTCATCTCGACTCCATCAGAATCTACTCTCCCAACATCCAGAACACAATCAACCTGGACCCCGCTGCGTCCCAGGCCGTTCATTCGCAGGCGGCCCCGGACATGTCCTCCCACTCCAACCCCTTCGAGGACACCCACTCGATCCAGACCACCTCCACCGGCACTCAGTCGAACGTGATCCCCATCGCCCTCGTCGCCCCAGGCTCCGTCCGCTCCGGCGCTACTGGTTCAACGCAGTCCCACGAGCGTGAGGCTGCGCAAGCTGCTGCCAATGCGCGCGTCAACATGAACCTTGACCATATCAACGTCTCTGAAGACTCCGTCGCTCGCAACGTGCCCTTCGCCGGAAACAACCGCAGCTCGTACATGACCACTGGCAGCTTTGCGAGCGAATTCCTCGAGACCTCGGTTATCGTCACCCCTACCCGCGGTACTGTCAAGCAGGTCGTTGGCGTCGCTAAGGCCGAGGTTATGCGCGCTCCGGAGAGTCTTAGCCGCTCGTCCACTTTAACCAAACCCGCGCGCTCTCCCCTGGCGGCCGCCAGCTTCGGCCCAGCGGATGTCATGCGAGAGGAGCAGGAGGTTGTCGTTCACTCGAACCCCTTCGCAGACGGCAACTCTCCTTACGGGCAAGGCAGCTCTCCTGCCCCTTCAACGGCGACCTTCGGCAGTCCCGAGCCGTCCTATGCTAACAGCAACCGCACGGATTCCCGAGGCGAGTCCCACTGGCTCCAGGAGGACCCTTCGCACCTCTACATCGACGAGCGCCCTGCTAGTGTTTACACTCAGGCCTCGGCCATCGTTGCGGATATCAGCAACGCTCGTCGCGTGCACCTCGGCTTCGACCAGATTTCTCAGATGCCGGTCACTCCCGTCAGCGCGGCTCTCAGCACTCCTCGTACGCCGTACCGCTTGACTAGCGCCAAGCTTGTGACGCCGGTTGTTCACCAGAGCGCCGCCCTCGAGACCGGCAACAGCGGCTCCGTGGGTGGTTTCGAGCGGCAGCAGGCTCGTGCGCTCAAGGATCTCCACGCGGAGTCAGGCAAACGCGTGTCCATGTCTTCGGTCATCACTACCTCCACCCGCGCCGACTCCATCCTCGAGAGCTTCCCCTTCGTTCCCCCATCGCCGATATCGAACCTACCTCCCCGGACTCCCCCTCGTTCGCCGCTCGCTCAGCAAACGTTCGGTGACGAGCACTCGCAGTCCGCGCGCGAGATGGTCAACCGGGCTCGCGCATCCGCCTCGTCCCACAGCACGCTCGGCAGCCTCGTTCCCCCTAACCGCAAGACCCACGGTCAGGGTGCCCCCTCTCAAAGTTCCACGATGAGCAACGGGCTTGGCGCATATGCCTTCCAGATTGACACAGGCGCGTCCTCCGAGGCGAGCAGCACTGCGCCGTCCTCGTTCAACAACAAGGGCGGCGACAACTCGCAGCGGAAGCGCGCAAGCTTGGACACGCTTGCGCTGACGAGCGACTTGTCGTCGTACCCCCTGGGCTTCGACAAGCCGCCCGTACCTCCCGTCCCCCGGCGGTGAGCGATGGACGAGCGACGTCCCAGTGGCCACGAGCGCGGTGTATGAATAACGAGCGTGTATCATGGATCCTCGATGCCCCTTGCCCTCCTCCTCCCACCAATCCCCCCATCGCCCTTCACCTGGTTTGACTTTGCCGCCTGGTTGATCCGGGCGAGGCTCATGTCCACACAAGCGCTGTCGCTCCCTGCTCCCCAAATGTGCTCTCATGTACGTCTGTCTTCGTACCCTTGAATTCTAGACGGTGATATATCTTATTGCTTCCTATTTACTCAGTAGCTACGAGCGTTTAGCCCCTCGCCCCCCTCGATCCCCATGTTGTCATTCCTCCTGCCCCGTCACCTACCCGCTGCAGGCTTTACATTTCGCTGCCTGCGGTGGTTCTTCTCTGTGTTTTATGTCCGTTGTGCGCTCGGTATTGACGTCGGTGCCAGCGCCGCAGATTGCTGTGGCCGCGAGCCGTTGTCTGCGACGACGACTGTGGGTTGGTTGCTTGTGTAGTCACTATTTATGCATTCCGAGGTGATGCTGCCCTTGTTCCGCCCCGGGCGCGCTCGCCCGTCGGCTTGTGGGTGTGTACGCATGCCAGTTGCTTGTAAGTAACAGTAAACTGGTCCAGGTGTTACGATAGCTGTTTATGCTCCTGGCTTCATTATCCTTTGAAAGTCCGGCGCTCCGTTCCACCTTTGTTCCTTTGTCACGTCGTCAGACATACGACTTGGCTTGTCACACCTTATGAGCGGCGGAGGCTGGCATCCGCGTTGCTACCGGGCTGCGACACCGGTCGCAAATGTGACAAGTGTTGCAGCGCAGCGCGAGGAGTCCCCAGTTCTTCCGACGCCACCGTGACCGCCTGCTGAGGAGATAGGCTGGTGGTGGCCGTCGGCCGATCATTTTTTATCCTCCCTGACTCGTCTCATCTCCGCGCTCCGACGTGGTTAGCTCCCCTATTTCTCACTCGGCGGCATGCATGGCCGATCAAGGTCGAGCCGGAGCCTCGGCCAGAGCGGAGGCGGAGGCAACGAGAGGGTGCGTGTGTCTGTTGCAGGTCGAACGCGTATGAGGCCTACAGTCGGTTCGTCTACACAAGCGTTATTCCTGACTTGCACATCACTGCCATTCCCCCTCCAGTTCGTCTACGCATTCCGGGAAGACATGCTTCATCATCTCGAACCACGCATCCGCGTCGAGTTCCTCACGATCCATGACTAACCACCTTGCCTTCAAGCCGCCTTCACTGTGGCCTCGGCGCCCACGCGGCAAACTCCCAATCGAGGATGGTATACACCTCAGTCGTCCCCGAACGCCAACCCGCCAGCCCTCCTGGTAGAAGTACGTTTTTGGGCTGCAGATCTCCTTGGCAGAAGACGATGGGGATGGCCAGACGTTCCACGACGGGCCGGACGAGGGGATGGAGGGTGGAAGTTAAACCCGGGCATGTCTAGCCCAAGCCAAACTTATTCGTGGAATTCGGGGGAGGTTTGGAACAGACTAGGGTGGTCTTCAAGCGAGGGTCCTTGATGGGCGCACCGGCGGCATTGCAGATGCGGTCACTAAGTACCGCCCATTTTCGAACTGCTGTCGCGGCTCGGCAGAGATGCGTCTCATGTCCGACGGTGTGAGATCGTCCCATATGGCCCCGCAATCTTGACCGTTGGTGTGGTTCATGAGGATATAGGTGTAGGTTTTTCTCGATGGTCCAGAAGAGTTGGCGGCGTGTTGATGCCCTGAAGCCTGCTCTGGAGGCGCCAGGCCACAATTTCGTTGCTGTTGTCTCCTTTTATTCTTTTCAAAACGAGTTTGAACGGGAGAAAGGAGATGGTCGCGGGAGAAGTGATCACATTAGGACGCGACCCGCAAGCGTGATAGGAGGCAATCCGTGTGTACAGAATCCAGATAAGCCTTGATGCTCCCGGGAACAATATACAAGGTGGTACGGAGCGCAATATGCCACGGGGGAAGTGCCGTTGACGAGAAGTTTCGTTTGGGACCATAAATCCGCGGAGGCTGAGAACGAACATGTGTATGGCGTCAGCTTACTGACAGGAACATAGCGGAGGAGCGCAGGCTGGCGCTGGAAGGACTTGGACGTCCTGGAGAGACTAGTAATGCAAGAACGTATCTAGGGACTGTATAGTTCTCACGAAAGATACTTAAGGGATGACTTACCACTAGACATGTGTCGATCCCATGAAATCAAGCTTCGGAAACGACCTTTTGCACCCCAAGACCACGAGGGAACGACGATCGTCTTGGAGCGACCAACAGGACGATCGGCGAGAAACAAGATTGCTCAATATGGAAAATTTATTGCCATTTGTGGACGGTTCGACATGTGAGTCTTCGATACATAACTGGAAAAACTGAGGCGTCCATGTCCAACTTCTTCTCAACTTTTACCTTGGCCCCTCCGAGTCCACTTCTCTCTCCAGTCGGTCTGGCCCGCCGCGGGGTTGTCGGGCCGTCTCGTGGGAGTTTCGTCTATTACGTCAAGTCAAATATGGGCGCCCACGCTGTTGAGGACAATACCACCACCTGTGAGCGAGGTGCCTCGTTTGTTTGGACGCCTTATTTGCGCACCTGACACATCCACACTCATCTTATTCACGGTACACACATCCTCTGATCTTCTTGCTCTCCGCTCATAACCTCTGTCTGGTACAGATCTTGCATGCCCACGAGATAACGACTGCCTTGGGTGAGTGTGAGTTTGCCTGCGTCATTAGCGCATACACTCAGAACGTCAGACGACACAGATTTTACGCTATCGAACCGCATAATATGGAGTCTTCCGCCTCGGAATCACCCTCAGAGTCCCCCATCGACATCGACGTGCAGTCCCACACCTCCCACTCCGCACGATCCAGTTTCAGCGACCACACGCGCAGCAAAGCCCGCCGATCCAAGGATGGCACCGTCAACGGCTCCATGCGAGACGTCGCCCGCGTCCTCGTCGCTCGCGAACGTGAAACCATAGAACTCAAGCGAGCCCTCTATACCCTCAACCAGCAGTTCGAAGCCGAGCGCCAACGCGCCGACTCCGCCGAGGCCAAAACCCGGGAGGTCCTCGCCCTCTTCAAGTCCACCAACGACGCCAAGATCGTGGCCGAAACGGAAGCCGCCCGTGCAAACGAGGGTCTCAGATTATACAAGCTCCAGTATGAAAACGCACAGAATGAGATGCGCCGGGCGCAGAGCCTTCTCAACGACTTGGAGACCCAACGCGTCGACGCAGAGGCCGCGGCTGCGAAGGCGAGAAGCATGGCACGGAAGCTGAGGGAGGAGAAGATCACCATGAAGGCGAAGGAGGAGGGACGTAGGCAGGGCCTCGAGGAAGGCATAGCCCAAGGTCAGATCATTGGATATGAAGCGGGACGCGCCGCAGGATACGACCGCCCCGCCTCGGAGCAAGAGTTCGTCCCAGAGCCCTACGAAGACACCCGAAATAGAGAGTACCAGACTTCCCGCCTCTCGAGGCCATCCATGTCGGAAGACTCGCTGCAAGAGGCGATGACCGACTACACTCAGCCCGTTGACACCATGCTGTCCATGCCGCCTCCAGTGGCAACCCCAGCTCCTGTCGTACAGCCCGTTGCTCCTGCTCCTTCGCCCCCAAGTCGGCAAGAGGACAGGTCGGTCCACCCCATTCCGATCCGCAACATTGCGTCGCCCTCGCACCCGCACGTCGTACCTCCAGACAACTGGATCCCCCACCTCGACAATGACTCGCGTATCCGTCTTCCTCCTCCCCATGAGCTGTCTCCCATGCCACCGTCATCACCATCGCCAACGCTCTCCGCCGTTCTCAGCAATGTCAAGACGATCGAGGACCCACCACCGATCATGATTCCTCCCCCCGCACATCAGCAAGACCGGCCGCGGGCGACCACCAAACACAAACGGCGCTCCTCTTTAGAATCCCAGTCGACGACCATGTCTCAATTTGACATTCTTGGGCCTCCCTCTACTGGACCCATTACGCATACACTCAGAGGCACAGGAAGGGACCGACAACCGGTGCTGAGCGCCATCGTCGAGGAGCGGGAGAGGACGTCTTCCACCGCGTCACCGGTGTACGGCGTGAACAACGTGAGTGCCTTGTGTGTGTATGCGGTCGATGAAATACTGACACGCGCATACACAAGGCGTCCACTCAGAGCTTCCGCATGCCGACGCCGACTCCCGGTATGCCAGTGCCGTGCTCTCTGCCGCCTCCACCGCGCTCAGTGTCGCCTCAACCTCCGCCACCACTAAACCCTATGTATGGTGACCACGATCCCATGCGGAGGTATGAGAGCAGAGAGAACTTGTCCAGACGCGGCGAAGGCGTTTTTGGCGACGGGGGAGCTCCTCGGTACGCAGGCTCCGAGAGCAGCTACCGGGACATGGACAGGACGCCTCGTTACGGCTCGCCTGTCTCGCCTCGTGGGCAGGAGCGCGGTTTCATGCCTCCGCCCATCACGCGGTCTGATGGGAGCGATCGGGAGCGGGAGCGGGAGAGAGAACGCGAACGGGAGCAGGAGAAGGAACGGGAAAGGCAAAGGGACCGCTCGCGCGAACGGCAGCGCGCATGGGAACTCGAAAAAGAGCGTGAGCACCGGATGGAGCTCGAGAAGATCGAACGGGAACGGCGCGAACGGGAACGCCAACGTGAAGAAGAACGACGTGAGGCAGAGCGACGCCAGCGACAGCGAGAGGAGGAGCTCAAGAGAGAACGCGAGAGGCTGTACAATAGCCCGCGATACCAAGCCGTTCGGAATGATCTTTCTGCCAACATCTACGGTAGGGATAGGCCAAACGGGATCCCTACCCCCGTTCGCATTGACCCGCCACAATACGTCCCTAGTCCAAGCGGGTTGCGAAACATCTATGCTCCCCCTCACTCACCCCATTCGACTCCTGACGACTCACCTCCCTACCCTATCATGGCCCCGACGCCTAGTCTGCGTCCGCCGCCGCGCTCCCAAGAGCTGTCTCCTTCGTCGAGCTCGAATAGGAACAGCACTTCCTCGGCCGACATTGTGTTTACCGTTGAACCTCCAGTAAGTCTGGTTGTCTGACCGTCGTACCACGCAATGACGTTCCACCCAGTCTCGACCGGAGTCAAACATCTCAAGAACCGATGCGGCCGAAACGCACACCTCGTTCCTCAGCGCTGGTGATGCCGACCGTCCGCTACCTATGCCCGAGGAAGAGCGGCCTGCCCCACCTCCCAACCCAGTCATCCCGGGCCCTATCGTACTCAACACTAACCAGCTCCCTCCCGGCTTTGTTCAGATGGGCCCGCCTTCCCCAATCAGCTCCGTCGGTGCAGCCGGCGTTCCCCTCCCCTCAACAGTGGGCGCGTCCGGTGTTCCTCTGCCCCCCTCCACCGTTGGCGCTCCCTCCATTTACGCTGGCACTCCCCGCCGCTCAGAGGTTGGCTTTGGCTCAGAGGCGCCGGTCGTCGTGCCTCTGGTACCCTCATCTGGAAGTCGTTCCTCGCGCTCGACTTCGACGCGCGGTGCAAAGGGCAAAGAGTCCGCACCTGCAAGCGCCTACGCCCGCTCGACTGTGCGCAGCGCACGGGGTGACGACGATGACGATGACGGCTCGAGCATTTCCTCCGGCCTCGGCTCCTCAGACTCGCTCACGACGCCGCCCGCCCGCTCTCGCAAGCTCCCCTCGACGCGCTCCGGCCGCTCGACGGCCGCGTACGCCGCGGCGCCGGTGCCGACTGGGGTTGCATACCCTGGCGCCGGGTCGGGCTCGCAAGTGGGCGCGCAGACCCCGCGCTCAGTCGCAGGCTCGACGATGACGGGGCGCGCGGCGCGTGTGCCGCTTCCCCCGTCATCGGTTGCGAGCGGCCCGACACGACCGGGTTCCGCTGTGTCGCGTGCACCGTCCGACGGCTCGCGGCCCAAGTCTCCATTGCTGGGCTCGCGGTCGCCGCTCATGGGCGGCCGGACATTGTCTCCCGTGCTGCCTGGGGGCATGTTGCCCGACATGCTATCGATCCCGATCCCAGAGCAGGCGCCGATAACATCGCCTGTGGTGTTCGCACCACTGTAAGTGTTCCTGTTTGGACTTGTGCGGGATAGATGGGCTGACTGCTGTGCATAGATCGCCCAGTCGACGGAGCACGCTGGCGCTGGACGGAGACATGGCCCCTGTTATCCCTCCTCGGGTGCCGTCGCCGGTCACATCGAACGTCACGACGACGACGGCGAAAGCCAAGAGAGGAAAGAAGACCAAGAAAGGTTGAACGACCTATGCTCAACGATGGACGTAACATCGCCTATGGATCCGAACGCACGCGGCTGACAGAGCCGCGTCCACCATCACCATTGTATATTCTGTAACATAATCGTGCCCGGTCTGGCAGTCTCACGCCCCCCTCCGCTCTTTTTCTGCACGGCTCTCCAAGCATGTCTCGTTTCGTTTCGTTGCTTTCGGGCTCGGATGACGCCCACCTGCTCGCGTCCTAAGTTGTTTCACCGGTACCGCCTCGACCTAGACGTCCCGTCTCTGTTTTGGTTCTGATCTGCTCGTTTCCCTCGCTCGGGTTCGCTTCTGCTGTACTGCACACATGTTCCGTACATGTATCGTGTAGGGACCATCGTACATGGCTTCGGGATTTTAGGATAACATCCTACTAGTGTATCACTTAGATGTATGCGCGCGTTTTGGCGCGCACCGTACCGCGCTGTGCCTGTGTCTCTCTTTATGCCAATGCCATATCAGCCTAGGTAACGTTTTGTTCGAATTACTCAAACTCTGCTCAATCGACACAACGGACGAGCGCGCCCACGAGGGCCAAGGGAATCGGGATTATTAGCCGAATTCTAGTTGAGCTCCAGGCAGATTCTAGATGGCGTTATCCTCAGGGCTGACGTAAGCAACGTTCTTGGACATCCTAAACTCTGAGGCCTGAGGCCTGAGGAACGGAACGGAAGTGAGTCCGTGCTTGATAAGGGAACTTCAATAGTTGTCCGCTCTATTGAAGGTAGAATCCTTCGGAGCTGGAGCGGGTCTGGTGCGGCGCTCACATGGAAGTGGGCTTATGCGGAACATGTATTGGTGGAACGGAAGGAGTGCGATAAGCACCGGTTTGCTTCCTTGGTGGGATATACGCTTGAAGTTGGGAGTGCACCCTATGATGCGAAGCCTGCATAGTCACGGATCCAGTGACGGCACAGCGCAGTTCACCCGCCACGCAGCAAGCAACTGGGCGAGCTAGTAGCGCGTACATAGCTTGTACTGGCATAGCACCCGCGCGCGTGCATACGGAACGCGTGCCGACGTCACACTCGTGCACGGGAACACAACACAAGTACGGCGATAAACGCAGTGGAACAGGTCTGCGGTGCTGTGGACGGTCGTCAGGATGGCAGCTGGATGGGCGGGGCGGTGAGGGGCTGATGGCGGAGGGTGGCAGACGGAGCGGAGGATGGGCGGGCGCCTGGGGAATCGTATATGGCAAATGCCGGACCAATGGGGACGGGGATGGGGAACGAGAGGCCGCGCCGATTCTCTGCACAAGCCACAAGCCAGTCGCAACCGCGCCAGCCGAAACAAGCATTCTCACTCTCCGAACGTCCGAGATGGCCAATCTTCCACCCTCCCCTCCCCCTCCCCCCGAACATTGCCCAATTAGGTAACCTCCCCCTCCTCGTCCCCCGTCCCCCCCATGGACCCGCCCCCCAGCGACGTCGACATGCCCCCCGCCGATGTCCCAGATCCCCCCGACGACAGCGACGACAGCGACGACGAGTCCGACAGGACCGCCTCCCCCGCCCCCTCTCCCCCGCCAGCGCACTCCCTCTCCCCCGCCTCTGCCGCCCGCCCTCCGTCCGCAGAGCCCCCGCCGACCTCCGACACCCACGACGCCTCGTCCCCATCGTCCTCCGACGCCCCCACCGCGCCCGACAGTGGCCGTGGCCGCAAGTCCAAGCCATCATCCTCCAACGTACCCGTGGCGGGACCGAGCGCTAAACCCAAGTCCGCCAAATCCGCTCCTCCTCGTGCCTCCCCGTCCCCGCCGCCCCCGCCGGCCCGCCAGCCTCTGCAGACGATCCGGCTCGAGATCCGGCTCGGGGGCCAGGAGGACTACGAGGTCAACATCGCCGACCTCGCCAAGACCACCGGACAGCGCCCCGGGACGCCTGTGCCCGAGGAGGTCAAGCGCGACTCGAGCGACGACAGCGAGGGCGACGACGAGGCCCCGCCCGAGGTCGTCCAGGCCGGCGAGCAGAAGGTCAAGCGGCGAAGGAGGGTGAGTGTTCTGTCTTGCACCTCTCTCCCTGTCCGTGCGGCGTGTGGGTGCAGCGCGTCCGTGCGCACGCCGCCCGGCTGTGCCCTGCGCGTCGGGATTACACGCTCGCTGTACACTCGGCTACTCCTTCGGCTAGTTGGCTTCGTCAGTAGAGCTTTGGCTGACGGCGTTCGCTTGCAGCGGAATCATGCGTCAGAGTACTACGACACCGCCGACCCGTTCATCGACGACTCCGAGCTCGCACAGGACGAGCGGACCTTCTTTGCGCAGACCAAGCAGAAGGGATTCTATGTCTCGAGCGGGCAAGTCGCGCTGCTGAACAAGTGAGTGCTTTTCTTAGCTTTCTCCCTCCCGCCGTCCTCCCGCCGCCGTGGTTTCCACCCACTGCGCAGAGCCCCCTCTGCCCCCGCGGGGATGTTCCCTATTTCCGGCGGTTGCTGATGTACGCGCCTCTCTAGACCCGTCGTTGGGAAGAAGCCAAGGTCGAGGAAGGTCAACATCCTTGCACCCTCAGCTTCAGTCTCGGCCGCGCTCTCCACCGTTCACGTCACGTTACCAGCCCTCTCGGGCGCGGGACCGTCCAATGGCTCGATATCGGCGCCGGTGAAGAGCGAGGACGGCTCCCGCGACGCGCCAATAGCTCTACTTTCCGATGCCGAGGATGGCAGCAAGATCAAAAGGAAGCACAGCGCGGACTCGAGCAATACTGTGAGCATCTCCGAGGGAGGCGCGAAGAAGCGCAGGAAGACGGTGGAAATTGTGAGTGGGCTTGTGCTCTTTACTACCGTCTCGTGCTCACCACTTCCAGCAACCGTTTCATCCCGAGCTCGAGAAGGCTATCGAGGTTCTGAAGGAGGCGATCGCGAAGGAGAGCTGGGACGTGAAGGGCAAGTTCCCGCCCGGTCTCAAACCTTTGCTTGGTCAAGTCGCCCTCAAAGCCGTCGTTCTTGGTCAATATGACGAGAACTTCTTCAATTTGATGCCTCGGCTTTTCCCTTACAATAAGTTCACTATGACTGTGAGTTCTGCACGCCCTCCGTTCTATCAAGCAACAACTTATCCCGCGGGTGACAAAGAAACTTATCAAACGGACCGTGTGGCGGGATCACACGAACCTCTTGACCGACCGTCAAAATGCTCTCATCGAGGACCTCCGCGTTCTCGCCTCAGCCGGATTCGCGAAAGCGAAGGAGGAGTGGGAGCGGAGCGTGATGATGTGGGGTACGTCTTCCCACTGCAAAACGGCACCTCCATCCCCTCACATACGGCGTGTATACAGAACGACGCCAGGAGCGCGCCAAGGGCGAAGGCGGCGCAGACGGCGCGCCTGCTGGCCCCGGGGCGGGCCACTCGCACGAGGGCTCCCCCGCGGCCAGCGACCACACGCCGAGCATGGGTCCGACCCCGCTCGAGGCGCGCACGTCGATGGACGATGGAGCGGATCACGACGACGGCGCAGGCGGCGGTGGCGGGCGCGGGAACAAGGACGCGCACCCGCCCGCGCAGCGGTACCGTTTGACGGACCAAATGAAGGGCATCATCTGGCAGCTCGTGTGTCTGAGCAACGAGTGCTGTCGGATCGAGAACGAGAAAAAGTGAGTGGTGTCTGACCAGGCGTGTTGTCAAGGTTCAAGTGGCTGACCGACTGCTTTCTGTAGCACTTTGGAAGGCTCGAATGCCATTGTGAGCGACCAGGGCGTGCGCAAGAACTTGTACCAGAAGGTATGAGGCTTCAGCCATTGCTTCTGTATTCTGGGCACTGACGTGAACGATGTGTTAGATTGTCGCGGCGTTCCCAGACGGCTGGCTGTCCTCGGGTCAGATATCTCGAGAAGGTTAGCGTGGATGACTGTATGCCTTCGGAATCGGGACTCATGGCTTTCTCTTCTCACAGTGAGCGTCATGAAGAAGAAGTACGAGAAGGAGTCGATGGAGGCCGAGTGAATCATGCATCGGCGGTCACCGGCCACACTTCGCGCGGAACACTTTCTCTGCCAGCGCTCATGTCTTCGTCTTGTGTTCGACATTTTGCATGCGGCGACATGTACTCCTGCCCTTGCTTTACTTATTGTGCTCAGTGTTATTCTCCCCGCTCCTTACTCGTACATTTGGTTAGTTACGTTACTGTATGCATGTATGATAATGTGGATGGTCGGCGCGGATTGATGCCCTCGTGAAGGATGAGTGAGTGCCCTGGAATCTCTAAGTTGGATGTCAATGGCACCTCTCACTACGTATGAGCCTCTATGTTGGAAAACATTGGTGTGGGGGATTGGCGCGTACAGTACTAGTGTGTTCTGGCTTGACTTCGTACCACCACTTCATGTCAAATTTCTCCCCCCCCCCCTCTTGTTTGCGTACTCGACCACCAGCCAGACCGCTCGAGACTTAGTCTCATATCAAATATCAGCGCCTACAGGTTATCTTCGGCGACATATTCATCAAGTTCGGCGTCCCGTTCTCACATAAAAGCGTTTTGTTTCCGAAGCATCTGGCCCTGGAGCGGCCGCTGGTCACACACCGGTCCCCTTGAGACATCGCGCGCAAGTCGGGCGCACGGAGCAATCACTGGCATCATCAGGCACCTACAGCGAACAATCGAATTCCGATGGACCAGTACCGCCCTTCTTGCCCGAGCGGCGGTGGTATATAGGCCGCACGCTGGGCATGGTGGTTCTCCAGTCTGCCAGTCAGCTCACCCGGACGTCGAACGTCGAGCTTTCGCCTTTTCGTTTTCGCTGCTTTCTTCTTCTCTTCCTTTTCTCCTTCGCTGCGTCTGGTTTCTTTGCCACACCACTTCTCTTTGAAGCTCTTGCCTCTCTCCGTCAATATGGTTGCCTTCAACACGTACTTTGCTCTTGCTCTCGCCCTTGTCGGGTCCGTCGTGGCTGCTCCCACTGCCGTTCCTGAGGCGGCCCTCGAGAAGCGTGTTACACACACCGGCCGCGTACGTTCAGTTTCTCTCAGCCTTGACTGTGACCAGAGCGGCAGCGCTGACACCTTCAAAGGGCACTTTCTTCAACGTCGGCCTCGGAGCGTGCGGCAAGACGAACGTCGACAGCGACCACATAGTCGCCATCCCGTCCTCGCGCTTCGCCAACGGCGATCACTGCGAGCAGGTGAGCGCATTTCGGCCTGCATCTGCGCACGCGAAGTGACCCCGCCCGCGGCACAAGTTCGTGCAGATCACCAACACGAAGACCAAGAAGACGGCGCTGGCGCTGGTCCGGGATTCCTGCCCGGGCTGCGGCGGTGGCGACCTGGGTAAGCACAGACACTGACCCCTCCGACGTTGGCACGGACTCACGCGGACACCGCTTTTCAGACATGAGCCCTTCGCTCTTCCAGGCGCTTGGTGCGACCCTTGACCAGGGTGTGATGACTGTATCGTGGCACTTCATGAATAAGAGCTTCCGCGGATAGGAGGAGGGTTCAGGCGAGCAGGATGTACCGCCTGCTCCCGGACTCTGCAGTCAGTATGCGAGGAATTGAAGGAGGAATATTGCACCTTCACGATCAAGCTTCACAGATGTACAAACTGTTTAAGGTGAATGCTATACGTTTACGACCATGGTGTGCGCCTCCTCACTGGCCTGCATCAAAGCCGAACACCTGCCGATTCCGACGAATCGAATTGTGCTTCGTGTTGTACATGCCATCATACATGTCGCCTCGCTGCATTAACATACCCGCAACATCCGCAACAGGTTTTCAAGGATGCTCGAGTAAATATCCCCCTTCCACAGCGACTGTCTACATCAAGTTGTTAGACGTTGTCCATGGCCTGGCACTGAAAAATCGAACCTGGCCATAAGCGTACTCGTTACAAGCGAGGAACAGCGCCGTCTGCGCCATGTCCTCGTCGCTCCCCGCACGCCCAGCGGGTATGCCCTTCTTCTGGCCGTAGTCCGGGGCGGCGTCGATTCTCGACTTGTTCGCCTCGTCCGAGTCCTCCGCTGCACTCCCGTCAGCACGACAAAGCCCCGCGCGAAAAGGGGGCAACGCACTCGTCATCTCGCTTGGGAAAATGCCTGGAGCGATGCTGTTCACCCGCACGCGCACGCCTGGTCGGCGGAACTCCTGCGCGAGGAGCGTGCTGAGATGGATGGCGGCTGCCTTGGAGACGTTGTACTTGAAGTGGTGCTGCGTTGTGCGAGTTATGCCGGACATGGAGGAGATGTTGATGACCGCGCCCGTGTGGCCATCGCGGGCTGCAGCGTTGAGCAGCGGGAGGAACGCCGCGGCGGTGAAGAAGTACCTGAGCCATCGAGAAAGCAGAGGTTCAGCACGTTCCCGTGTATGTCAATGCGTCGCCGCTCACCCGATCACGTTCGTGCGGTATACCTGCTCCCAGTCCTCCAGGCTCTCGTTCCAAAGCACTTCCTTGAGGGCCGCTGCGCTCTCGTCGCCCTGCTCGATTTCGCTCGAGCCAATGCCGACCCCAGCGTTGTTCACGAGCACATCGACGCGCTGCTCCTTGGCCGCCACCGCGCGCACGAGCTGCTCGATCGACGCTTTGTCCGTGCAGTCCGCAGAGATGGGGACGATCTGGCCCTGCGGGTGGGTGAGCGCCTTGCCCCACCTCTCCGCGGCACTGTTGAGAGTGTCCTGGCGGCGACCGGCGATGTACACGCGCGCACCGTTGTTGGCGAACGCTTGGGCAATCATGAGGCCTATGCCGGTGCTGCCACCGGTGACGACGCAGACCCAACCTTCGACATCGAAGAGGTTCTTCAGAGAGAACTTGGCGTTTTCGGAGTTCATATTGAATCGTGAGGTGTTTATTGAGAGGTGCGGGGATGGAGGACACGGCGATGTGCAGGAGCTAGTTGTTTGAGCAGAGAGCGGAGCAAAAAGAGCATGCATTCTGTTCGCAAGACATGGCAGTAGTTATATACGCACGAGCCATGTCGAAGAAGATGGGGAGACGGGCAAGGAGGACGTCGTCGAGTCGTCACTGGTGGCGCGATGAGCACATTGGCGATGTGCCCCGGCGGGCCGTGTCTCCGCTTGGGCGCCAGAGCCTCATCTCACAAACCCTAGGATCAGTGCAACGGACTCCAATTTTTCCTCATCGCTTCACACTCCTCACCCACCATGGCCGTAAACGGTGTCAACGGTTCTGCGTACGACGACGAAGACATCGACTACTCTGACATCCAGGAAAAGTGTGTGCCTCTGGTCCGCTGTTGTTAGAACGATGTTGACCCTCGGATAGATATCAGGTCGAATACGATGACGGCCTCGAGAACATCCTCATCGTCGACGGTGTCCCTGTCATCGACCAGTCGAAGCTCGAAAGGCTGCTGCAGAAGATCTCCAAGGACTTCAGCAAGAAGGGATTACGCATAACGCCAGATCAAATCACCGTTCCCTTCGACCAGGCGAAGGGCAAGAGCAAAGGGTTTCTCTTCATGGAGTTCAAAACGCCAGACGATGCGTCACGCACGCTCGCCACCATGAACGGCCACCCCTTCGACGCAAAGCACACATTTTACATCAACCGCCTCACGGATTTCGACCGATACATCGACATGGACGAGTCGTACCTGGAGCCGGAGCCGGAAGAGTACAAACCCAAGGTGCGTTGTGCCGTTTTATCCATTGAGCGTTGAGTGTGGACGTATTCGCAGGAGCATTTGCGTGCATGGCTTGCGGATCCTCAAGGCCGTGATCAGTATGCCACCTACCGCGGAGATGAGGTCGAGATTCACTGGCAGGGCAAACCCTCACAGTGCGAGGTGGCCTACAGCAAACCCGTGAGTGATCGCATTCTTGAAACATCTGCGCCTATAACCACCTCCCATCCACCCATAGAACTGGACAGACCTGTACGTCTCATGGTCCCCCATGGGCACCTACTTCGCGACCCTTCACCGGCAAGGCATCCGTCTTTGGGGTGGCCCGTCGTGGGAGCCCCAGCAGCGATTTGCACACCCACTCGTCAAGCTCATCGACTTCTCGCCGAACGAGCAGTACATGGTCACCTGGTCGTTCGACTCGATCAACGTCCGCGAGGGCGCCGAGCAGGGTCCACAATACTTCTCGCCCGAGGACGAGGGGAACAACATCGCGGTGTGGGACATTAAGACTGGCAACCTCCTTCGCACGTTCCCCAGCGTGCACCCTGAGGGCGACGAGCAAAAGAAACAAATGCAGTGGCCTGCGCTCAAGTGGAGTCCGGACGACAAATACGTCGCCCGGGTCACGCCTGGGCAGCAGATCAGCGTCTACGAGCTCCCGGGAATGGGTCTCCAGGGAAAGAAGAGCATTAAGATCGAGGGCGTCGTCGACTTTGAGTGGCGCCCACTGGGCGACAAGGACCGAGAGGATGTGGAGAAGGCAAACAAGCCAACGGCGAACGGGGTTGCTCCAAAAGCTAAGAAGGTCTTCGAGAACATGCTTGCGTTTTGGACGCCCGAAGTCGACAACGAGCAGCCGGCGCGTGTGACGCTGATGAACTTCCCCAGTCGGGAAACATTGCGACAGAAGAACCTGTTCAGCGTCTCAGAGGTACCACTTTTCCTATTGTCTCGTTCAAAGTACAATGGCTGATGGCATTCACTAGTGCAAGCTCTATTGGCAAAATCAGGGCGATTTCTTGTGCGTCAAGGTTGACCGCCATACGAAAACGAAGAAGTCCACCTTCTGCAATCTCGAGATCTTCCGTGTTCGGGAGAAAGATTTCCCGGTAGAAGTCGTCGAGCTGAAAGGTACGGCTTGTTTTTAATGTGTTTTTGGGGATGACGGATATCATCGACCATCGCAGACACGGTGACCGACTTCTCCTGGGAGCCCAAGGGCGAGCGTTTCGCCCTTGTCTCCTCGAGCGATCCGAACGTGGGCAACCCAGGTCCCGGTATCACGATCAAGACGGACGTGTCGTTCTATCAGCACGAGCGCTCCAAGGGCAACTTCAAGGTGCTCCGCACCCTCTCTGCGCGGACATCGAACACGGTCCGTTGGTCGCCACGCGGACGGCATGTCGTGCTCGCCACCGTCGGCTCGTCAAGCAAGTCGGAGCTCGAGTTCTGGGACCTCGACTTTGCCGTGGACGAGGCCAAGCGCGACACCGCGCCCTGGGGGAGCGGTATCCAGCTCCTCGGCAGCGCCGACCACTACGCAGTGACCGACGCGGAGTGGGACCCATCCGGGCGGTACCTCGCTACGAGCGCGAGCGCCTGGCGGCACACGGTGCGTCCCTTCCGTCTGCCTCTTGTGTCCTCCCACACGCCCGCTGACGCTATTGTTCCCTTTTGCACCCCTTCCCATGCACGTGGCGTCCGCTGAAAACATGCAGCTCGAGAACGGCTACGCGATCTGGGACTTCCGTGGGCAGGAGCTCCAGAAGCACATCCTCGACCGCTTCAAGCAGTTCCTCTGGCGGCCGCGGCCGCCGACCCTCCTGTCCAAGGAGCAGCAAAAGACGGTCCGCCGCACGCTCAAAGAGTTCTCTCGCCAGTTCGACGAGGAGGACGCGGCGGAAGAGAGCAACGTCTCCGCGGAGCTCATCGCGCAGCGCAAGCGCCTCGTCGACGAGTGGAACGCGTGGCGCGCCCGTTGCCGCGAGGAGGCTGCGAGGAGCGCAGCAGGCGCGGGAAGGGTAAGGAGCACGAGGCGCACGAGGAGGCCAAGGAGGAGATCGAGGTCTGGATTGACGAGGTCATCGAGCAGATCGAGGAGGTCGTCGTCGAGTAGGCCCACGGCCCCGTTCGGGCGTTCTGGGGCGGCGCGTGGAGCTGTTGCCCGTTGGGCTTAGCTATAGTGCTCGTTCCACAATCATTGTATTTGTTGTTGTTGTTGTATCCATCTGCTTGCGGGCCCAGCCCCTCGTCTGCAGTTTCGTTCGAACTTTCCGACGGAACACAAGTGCGACTGGATCATTTGGGGCGCGACGCCCTCACGACATGAACACGAGCAATAATTGACAGCGCTGCGTGTTCCAGGGAAAAACCAAGGGCCGATTCACTCATGGTCGCGCGCGCACACCACGGGGTAGTTGTACATTCGCCCTGACTCATTAGTTTCATTGTACGGACCGGTGTGGACAGCGAGCAGAGACTATCGAGGTGCAACAGGAACTAGACGGGGACGAAACAAAACAAGAGAACGCACTGAGAGGAGAGAGGGCTTCGCTACGGGAAAGACGAGGGGCTAGGCGAGGTGTGGAGGGAAAACAGCGACCGCGGGGACAATTTGGAGACGGAAACGTTCGGGACAACGGCAACGGTAAACGAAACAACTGCGAGAGGATAGGAGAGAGGATAGAGATGTGCGGGGGTACGATGTGCGAGGCGTGTGCGGGGCCGGTTCGGTAATGTAACAGTGCCGCAAGCTAACATAAGACATCATGGGTAAAGACCGGGGGTTCGGTTGGGTTCGGATTTCAGAGCGTCGTGAACGGGGACATTGGTTGGATAGCCATAGAGATGTGGACGAGAGAGAGACGGAGGGAGGAAACGATAGGGTGTTTAAGGGGCCCAACAGTCGGAAGAACGAAGTCGAAGGAATGATGCTCGATGTGGGATTGTTCTTGGCATTAAGAGAGCTTCATAAGGTGCGGACGCACAGACATGGACGCCGGTTAAGCCGACGCCGTTCCGGTCTCGTGGTCGTCGAGGGACAAGCTGGCGAGCGTGCCGTTCACATCCCGGATGGCGTCCTCCTGGGCAGAGACGGCGAGGACCTCGACCTGGGAACCGCGGCGAACGGGCTCGGGGCGAGCGATCGGGGCTTCCTGGCGGCTCGATGTACGAACAGGCATCGTGCTACCGGTAGGCAGCTCGCCCAAGAGCGAGAACCTTTGGGCAACGCTCGTTGAGCGCGAGCCCGACGTGGGCGACACCTTACCACTGGAAGTGGCATCATCGCTGGTGTACCACGGAGAGTAGCCCTTCGGGGTATGTCCTTGCGAGTTGGAACTTCCGTTCGGATGCACAGCGGGGTCCGGGGAGAATGGCGCAAAGCTCGAGGACGTCGCCGATGTATTGCCCGTCTGGCGGCTGAAGATAGGTGTCTGGAACGCATTGTAGGTGGCGACGCGGTCGTCGACGTTGTTGAGGAGAGCAGCCGCGAGCTGACGCTCGTTATTAAGCTGCTCCATAGCGGCATGCCCGTCACTTCGCAAGTTCTGGAATCCTACCATCTCGAGCAGGTGCAAAGCCTGTTCACGTGTCAACCCCAGTTCATCCGGCTGCCTAGATGGCTGGGTCCCCGGAAAGGACGGGTCGGGGGAGCGTGTTGAGCAGGTGGCTGGTGACCTTGAACGGTGCTTGACTGCGGCGGGAGCTGGTTCTGGACGATCGACGTCTGGAGGTGCGCCTGAAAAGCTGCCGCCTGAGCAGCCTGAGCAGCCGCCTGAGCCGCTTTGTCTGATACCCAATTAACATCCAGTTTGTGCATATATGCATGGTGAAACCTACATTGACTGCGGCCCCAGCTGAGACGGATCTTGCTGCCACCAATGGGGAAACCTTGCATCTTCTCGATCGCGCGTTCGGCGTCGGGCTTGCGCACGAACTGCACAAAACCGCAGTGCTTGCCAACGGGGACCTTGACCTGAATACGACATCAGTAAAGTACAAACGGTCGACCACGACGGACCCACATAGTGAATCTCTCCGAACGGTGCAAAGAAGGTCCGGAGGGTATCTTCGGAGATGAGGGGCGACAGCCCACCCACGAACACCGTCGTGTTGTACGGATCCGACGACGTCAACTGTTCACCGTTCGGCCCGACAAGGCTTGACAAGATAGCGCGCGCCTGGACGGTCTGTTTCCACGACTCCTCGTGGTACGAGTGCCTGAGCTGGTCGGCGCTAGGTTGACTTTGCTGTGCCGCGATGGAAGGCACACCGCCGGCATTCGAAGGCGTGGTCGATCCATTGACATTGCCATTGCCATACTGGCCGGACTTGAGAGGTTCATCAGAGGGCGCGGAGGCCAACGTCGACGACGACGCAGCACTCGCCCCTGAACTGAGGGAAGGGGCGGACAAGGACAACATAGATCCCGAGTTGGACATCGACTCGCTCGCAATGGAGTTGGTGGAAGCGGACGACGCGCTGCCGGCCAGGTGGGCAGAGACGCTGTTAGCCCCTAAGCTGCTCGTGACTGAGGTGCCCTGCGAGACGAGGTCCTGCATCGGGAGTTGAGGCGGCATCTGCGGCATCTGAGTGAATGGCGTCTGCGTATAATCATAGATGGCTGGCGGCAGCTTGTGCTTGGCAGTCGCAGGCGAGATGCGCACTAGAATGGAAGAGGTAAGCATCTAGTACCCAAAAAAGAACAATGGGCGTACTGGGCCGTGAGAGACAGTACAGTCCGTGCATCTCGATGAGCGCGCGCTGCTGATCAGCTTCTTCCGTGAACCTTAACAGACCTATGAGCGATCCGGGGGCGCATATAGTCAACAGGGACACCGTACCTGACGAACCCATATCCGCGCGAAACGCCGGTATTGGGGTCCAGCATGATCTTCGCGCTCTTGCAGCTGACGAAGGGGCGAATGAAGCGCGGCTCGCGGTCGTTACGGAGGCCCAGAACGGGGTTCCGGAAGACTGCGACGAGATCCGAGTTCGAGACCTCAGGTGCGAGGTCACCGACAAAGATACTGTACTCCTTGGAGAATGGTCCTTGAGCACCGGTGGCGAGGATCGGTTGGCTGGGGATACCTGTGGGAATAGGCGCCGCGGGGACGGACGACGCCCAGTTGAGCGAGAACGTCTTCGAAGAGTTCGGCATGATCAAGGGCGGGTTGGCGGTGTTGACATGGGCCAAGACTGAGGCGGCTTGCGCTTGAGTGGGGAAGGTCAGGAAGCAGTAGCCCGGGTTGTTGGCTTGCGGCGACGGGGAGTCGGGCGTGGGGCGAGGGACCTTGATAGTCACAGGATCCCAGCTATACAGCTTGCAGACCTGCTTGGCGTACTCTTCATCCATCCAAGGCTCTAGATCACCCCACCAAAGGGTGTTGCGCGGCAAAGGGGATGAGGCGTTGGGAGAAGGGAGAGACGAAGCTTGCGAAGCCGGTGGAGGGTGCACGGAAAGGGGGCTTGCCGACTGTTGGGGGAGGGCGCGGCTGAAGGAGAATGTGGGATCGCGGTCTGTGTAGGGCGGGGACTGGGCGGCCAGCGGGGAGGGGTAGAGGTCGGGGATACCGCGCGGAGGAGAGGGGCGATGGTGCTGGTTGAGGATCAAGCCAGACGAGAGCCCGGACTGACTCTGTGAGGCTTGTGAAGAGAGGGTGCCGGGGATGTCTCTGGGGACGCCAGGGACGGCCGAGAACGGGGACGGCTTCGAACTCCAGCTCGCACCTGCTCCAGATGTGACGGGGAGGCCCTGGCCCGAGCCGAGCATGCGGGGCGCGACGAAGCCACCGGGGCCGGACATGGAGTGGTTTACCAGCGGCCGACGATCGGTGGAGAACGCCTGGGAAGGCGGGGGCGAAGTGGAGGAGTACGAAGAGTGGTAGAACGTCGACGAGCCGTACTCCTGTGCTCCGAAGTCCCGCCCAGATCCCCCCTCCCTCGGCATGAACTCCCGGAGATGCAACCCAAAGTCGTGACCACCGCCCATCGGGTGGTCACCATTCCTTCCGTCGAAGGTCGGGTGGTCGTATTCCTGGCCGTGCTGTTCGGGGCGTGACATTGACATGGCTGGAGGGCGTAAAGATCGGAAAGGGAGAAGGTGGCGATCGGGAGGGGTGCGGGGTGCGGGAGGCGAGGAGGGGTGCGCTCGGGGCGGCGGGTGGGGAGCGAGAGGGAGAATCGACAGCGAGACTAAGGACAAGGGGACTCGATGCAGAGGAAAAACAAGCAGAAAGAGCTATGCGCAAACGACAAGTCAGCGACAAACTGAGGAGAGCGATGTGAGAAAGATGAAGGCGAGGATTCGACAGCGATACGACAGAAAGGACGGACGTCCTGGGGACGGACGCGCACGAGAGGTTTTTCTAGCACGGCGCAGTGGAGGGGGAGGGAGAGAAGGGCCCAGCTGGCGGAGTGTAGATTGCGCCTTATGCGGCGCTGCGGAGTTTGGGTCCTGCACCGCGGCCACGAGGCTCTCACTCGGATCGCTACCCGCGCCTCCTCCCCTGGGTCCTCTCCGTCGCCCCTCTCCGTCGCCCGTTTCTCTCGCCTCCGCCCCGTTCCCAGCACTCCCGCGTGGGTCCGTATGGGTCCGCCTCAGCCGTCCTGCAGCCCTCGGCCTCCCGCCCCGCCCCGACGCCCGACGCAGTCCCGCCCCCGCCCGAGTGGAAAAAGCCTCGCCCGCCCGTGCCTTTCTCCCGGGCCATCGATCCCCTGCTGCGTCATCTGGTCCCATCGGAGCACCACCCCCACACTGGCGCCCGGCATTGTCCCCTCACTCCAGCGCGGGGTTTCACCACGCCCGTTTGCGCGCGACTCCGGCGACGGAGCAGGCTTCCACACCGCTTTCGTCCCAGGCAGCCCACCTCGCCCATTGTCCTCGTCTGGCGCGCACTTGTCTCCCATACTCAGCAGAATGAAGGCCCGGCCGTCACATCTGCAGGGCCCATCACCATCATCCCGCGAGCCGCTCGGTGGCGGGCCCTCTCCCCGGTTTATTGTTCTCCACTCTGCCTTCAATCACTCTTCGCGAATCGAAAACATCCCAATCGGGCTCCCCATGCGCCGTGTCCCGGGATCGCTTACTTACTTAACGTCCTCGACGCATGCCTATATACGTGGCGCGTTGTCCTGGAAGGTACCCATCGGAGCCTCCCGGAAGCTGACGCCATACAGTGCTAGTTTGCGTAGTGCTCTCATCGCTGGAATGAGCTTCGAATCGCAGATTATCAGGTCAGCTTCAATCCATCCCTCCTTGAGGAAGTGGCACCGAAAGACTCAGCGCAGCACAGGGTTTCTTGTGCACCATTATTGGTATCTCCCGTTTCGCTCGGCAGCATGGTAATTCTTATCTCATTTCAACGCTACTATGCAGCGTGCACCTGTGCATGGCGCAGAGGCAATCATTTGGCGTCTATGAACGGCTCATCACGGTCCGCGGGGAGCGACTCGAGCGAGCTCTCCCATGGGAATGTGACGTCACCCCCGCCGAAGCGGCTGAACGCAAAGTTCGATCATTCGTCCAACTGCTCAGGAAAGTGACACCGGCACTGATGAAGGAAGTGTACCAAACAGAAGCACGATGCAGTCGGAGACATCATAGTCGAACAGCGTCGAAGACTTCCCGCTCTGCCGACCTCAGATTGATTTCAGGACTTGGTGAACAACAGTCAGCCGCTGTCGTCGCGCGCGTAACCAAAGCTGAGAGAACCAAGGAGAGCGTACCTTCGAAGACTTATTTCGTGCACCCTGAACAGAAAGTGCGTACTGAAACTTTACATTTTCTCCGTTCACTGACACAGACCTCCTGCGTTATCAAGCTCACGTTCTATATGAGAAGCACCGAATTGTAGAGGAACAATGTCCGACTATCCACCAGGTTCGTTCGCGTCCTTCGGATATGTTCCCAGTCAGCAGCGTGCATACAGCGGCCATAGTCATAACGAGCAGGTAAGCACGGTGACGATACGAATACCACATGTGCAGTAGGATTCATCTCAGTAAGCAGGGGTGTAACCTGGTGTAGCCCGCAACACGCATCGGGCGATTGCGCGGACTCAGATTGCTCTGCTCAACGTGGCGCTACTACGAGTGGACAATGCGTGCGGCGCGGGCAGACGATCTGGTTCTGCGGGTTTCCTATGCCTTGCATCTTCTAGAGGGTTTCATGTACGCATTAGTTGTTTTTTGTTCAAGTAGAAGAAACCATCCGCATTTTTGGAGCTGCATGTCCCCACAAACTGGGACACGAATCAATTGCTTATTTGGGAATAGCCGGCGGTACGGGATTAGGCTCAGTACGTAAGCGCAGGTAAGCGCATATACCCACCTCGCGCGCGTAGAAGGGCGACTTTGTCGTCGACGGCGGCGAGCGCGACCGTCTTCTCGACGTCAAGCGTTCTCACACCCCGTCATCTCCCTCCCTTTCCCCCCTTCGCCTTCGCTCCGAAGTTTGCCAGCCGCCCATTTCCCCCTCCTTTCGGGCACCATGCCGCCCTCCAGACGAGCGTCCGCGGGACATGGCGTCGCCAGCTCGTCCTCACGCGTTCATCGGAGCAACGGCTCAAACCACAGCATATCGGCGCAGAGCCCAGTTGTACCACAGCAGACCCTCCCGTACTCGAACATTCCCCATTCCCCACAGCAAAAAGTAGTTCAGGTCCTCATTAACAGGCTCAAAAACAAGGTGAGCGGAGATCTGGGCGGATGCTGACGTCGTTCTATTCGCCGTCACCAACTCTCTGCTCACAGCTCCCATGCAACTCGGGATATCATTGACGGAGCTGGAGGCGGATGAAGCGGTCCAGCAGACGATAGAGTCCTTGATTGACCTCTCCCGGGATTCCTTGGACATGATCTCCCTGGCGCTCACGGAACAGCTGGAGAGACTAGCGAAGGTGCGTCCTGCCTCCTTGCGATCTTGCGCACGTTCTGAGGGTCTCCCTAGCAAATCGAGGGAGCCGGATTCCGTGGTGTAGATATCCTCCAATCGCAATTGTTCCTCCTCAAGGTCCTCACGTCCGCAATGGCGTCCCGCTGGGGCGCGAAAGACGAAACAAGACCAGGCTCGCGAGGCAGCAGGTTCCCTACGGGCTCCAAACCCACCACCCCGACTCATCCGTGCACCCCGGTCGCTTGCGCCACGCGTCTTCCTAACAGTTCTCTATGACTAGTGCTACGATAGTGGAGCCCCCCGCACTCGACGACAACTGCGCCAAGTACATCGTGAGCGTGATGGTGCTTCTACTGCGCCAGGCCGCCCCCCGCAAGCACAGACTCACGTCTGCGGCGAACATCTCGTTCGAAGCGACGTACCAAGACTTCGAATCGGTTGAGTCGCACGAGTTCGGCGGCGCGGACGACGCGCACGTCACACTCCCACCGCCCATTGCCCCCGGCGCACCGCGCACGATGAACCGCGCGAAGAACCCGTCGTCGACGAGCCTGAACTCGGCTGGTGCGCCGTCAACGATATCCGGGCGGTTCCCTCAACATACGGCCGCGTACGAGAAGACGTCATTCCTTGTCGCGAAGTCCGTGCTTTCCCTGCACTCGTCTATCGCCAAGTTCACGGGGAGGATCGTCTACCACCTCTCGGCATCCAACTGGCCCGTCGTGCTCAACCGCGTGCGCCAGCGCATACATGGGCTCGCAAGCGCCGCAGAGGTCGACCCGGATGTCGTGGACCTGCAGCTGATCACGTTCAGCGCTCTCGACCGGGCGAAGATGACACAGGCCCTGCAAGAGGCGTCGTCGCTGCTCATGAACCTCAAGCGTGAAGCACAGATCCCGGTCGCGGTCGCGCTTCGGACGGCGGTCTGGAATTGGATCGAGCTTTACCCGGACGAGTACAACGACGCGCTCCGGTACCATCGACGGCTGGACGGCGCGCCCGAGCGCGTGTTTGACTTGCTCTACGACGTCCAGGATGCGTCTCGCGATAAGGCCGCGGCGTGGCCGACGCTCGCGGTGCTCCTGTGCATCAGCCACGACCGTGTCAAGGGCGAGTTCGAGGCGAACGCACTCGGCGGGCACAAAGGCCAGTACCGGAAGGACCGCAATATCACCGAGCTTGTGGTCAAGAATCTCAACTTCAACTCGAAGCTGGTCGAGGTCGCGATCGTCTGCGCCGTCGACATCTGCCGCGCTGCGTCCAGGGTGGCACTACAAGCGGGCATAGAGAACGAGAGTCCGCTTGTCTCCATGGCGTTCGACATCGCGCACGAGCTGAAGGTGCGTGGCTTCTTACGTGTGCTGCCGGCATGCCTTCCCTTCCGTTCCCTGACGCGTCCGCTCTTGCCACGCAGATCATGCTCCTGAAGTGGACGAAGGAGCGCCCGTTCTGGGAATGCCCAGATGAAATTGACGTTGCGCTGTTCGCTGACGTTCTCGCCGCGCTCTACCGGTTCCTCCCAGAACAGGAGTCGCTGCCCATCTTTCAGCAATGCATCGAGCCCGAGCGGTCCGAAGCTTCCAAGATTTGCGTCGTCAAGGCCGTGTTGAACTTAATCGTCGATGTGAGTCTCATGACATGCTACGTTCGGAGCACGCGCTTAGCATGCGGACATAGGGATGGAAGATGCCATGGCAAAGGAACATCCAGCCGCTGAGGGACATTGTTCAGGATCGTCTCATGACGATTTTCTACGTAAGTTCCGTGCTTCATTTGGACCAGCCCGCCCTGAAAAGGCGACACAGGTTGCGTACGTTCGTCGAAGCGAAGTCGACCATAACGGGTCCACAAGAAAGATCAACATCCGTCCGAAGGCCAAGCGCTATACTTCAGAGACGCTTCCCGATCGCGACCTCCTCATTCTGTCTTTGCTCACGCTCTGGCGCTCGGACATCTGGTGGTACCTTGAGGCGCTGACAGAACAGGTTGTCGACGAGGTCTTCGCGACCAGTGTTAGCGTATATGCGACGCCTGCTGATCCAGCGGTGCGATGGTCGCTTGCGCGAACGTTCCGATATCTGGCAGAGAGCATTGCGCAGTGCCCTGTGGATCATCCGAAGAGACTGGTTTTCGCGCGGTGGATCTCCGAGACAGGGTATGCCGCTATATCACTGCAGCGTTACAACCAACGCTGACCTTTTTACACAGGCCCGCTGTGCTTGCTTCTGTTGCAACCAACCTGCTGAGTGTCCGGACAGACCTGCAAACTCAGCGTATGCTCATCCAGCACGCATACGAGACTATGTATCGTTACGCCAATGTTGAGAAGGTGCGTGGAGCGCCATAGCCTCACGCGTAGATCATTGGTGTTGACTGTACTGCTAACATGTACAGGATTCAGTTCTCTCACTCTCCACGCCTACTCCGACCTCTCACGTTGCCGCGTTCTCGTTGGCTGAAATCGCGTTCCTTGTGTCCCTCTGCTCCGCCGACGGCGTCGTCTCTCTGACGGCGTGCAACTGTCTTCGCTTGATGGCCCAGATTGAGCGTCAGCCGTGCAACCCCAGCGGCCCCGTGTCCGAGACCAGCGTGGAAGAGGCCATCAAGCGCCATCCTATCTACGAGCAGCTCGGCGACCCCAAGGTCTCCATGATTGGCCGGATTGGACACCAGAAGCGCATTCGGAAGCTCATGCGGCTCATCACTGTGCCATCCGCGATTCATGTCGCGGTCTGGCAGGAGTTGTACTTCCGCTGGTGCAGTCTGACAGAGATGACAATCCACTTGACATTCGAAAGCACAACGGACGGATTGGAGAATGGCGTTGCACCCGTGGGCGATAAGGCACTCAGCATGGAGGTAGGTACATGCGGCCATTATGACATGGAATCTGACCCTGACCTCGCCACCGTAGGACCGACAAGCACAGTGGCAAAATCTCACGTTGTTCCTTGCTGCCTTCGGGGCGGCGTGCACACGAGATAATCACGACCCAGCTGCGCTCACGAAGATCATCCCTGCGACGATCATCCCCGACAACTGTCGCGTCCTCCGCAATCCACAAGACATTCTTAACAACTTCCTGAGCGAGACTGTGAACCTACTCGTCAGCGACTTGCCGCAGGTCCGCGACATTGCTCGGGAGGCTCTGAGCAATGAAGCTAGTTTCCGACTGTACGGTCGCATTGTCAAGCAATTGGACGAGTATGTGATCCTATTGATCGACTCGATGGGACCAGTACTAATCTCGTAACTGCTTATAGTGTCATTCGAATGGTGGCGGACGACGAGCACGTCGACTATGCCATCTTAGTTGTGTTCCTTGACCAGTTCCTCGCCATCGCCAAGGTCCTCAATGATCACGTCCACGACCTCTCCGAAGACCTTCGAGCCATCGAAACCGCATCAAACCTCTATACCGTCGCGACCTTTGTGGGGCGCCTCCAAAATAATGACGCTTCCCTCCGGCTGAAGCACAAGTACTGCGTACTCATCGCGAGCATATTTTCCCGGGGAGAAATATTCATTATGCGCACCAAGGAGAGCAGCACCGTGCGGCAGGGTATCTTGGACATCATCCTCGACTGGCCGCCCGATGCGCCTGAGAACGGCCAGCTTGACGCGCAGCAACAAGAGCTCACGGTTGCCATCTTCAAGGCGGCTATTGTACTTGTGGACCGCCTCAAGATCGAGGCCAATGAGGGATCGACGCCCGAGGAAGTTGCACACGCGGTGTCACGCTTGTTCGTGCGATACGCACTAAAGATCAGCAAGATGTGGGAATCCGTCAGGGACGACGGAACAGTGAGTCGTGACGATTCCACGCGGCGATGACGGAATCTGAACGGATTGCTAGATGAGGGACGACAGCATGTCGGAGAAGTCGTGGACGTCCAGAGTAAGCTCCAGTTCAACCCTGAGTCTGGCGTCACTGACAGCACAGTAGGCACGGCTGCAACAGCGTGAAGGGGAACTCCGCGAGCTGCTCGTCGACGGCCTGGCCGCTCTCGTCAGCGCTAACCCTGACTCCGGAGTGAAGCACAGCTTGCAGCTCGCGTCTGACGAGGACCCGACAAGGCATCTCATCTTTTCGTACGTCTTCATCCGTGTGCTCAATGAGCGTATCACGTTTGCGTCCTACGACGAAGCGCCGAAGGTTGTTAAGCACAGTCGTCTTTGCGAGGTTCTTATTCCTTTTTTCTATCTTCGCGAGAGCGCTCTTACTGAGGCTGTCTGTAGCTTGTCAAAGGCCCAGACGTAAGCAGCAACTACTCTCGTCCATGCCCTTGTCCTGACTTCAGAAAAGATGCAACTCGCGCTGGCGATCTGTGAAATATGTCCGCCGAACGAGGTGGACACGATGAACACTGTCATGCTTAACCTGTTCGATACTCGCTCGTCCCTCATGGCCTTACTCAAGCAGATGATCGACACTGAAGTTGCGCGCACCGGTACAGATTCATCTCCAACGTTAGGCGTTTATTTTGCTCATTGTTCTGCCAGAGAGCGACACCGCTTTGTTCCGAGGCAACTCGACCTGCACACGGTTCTTGTCCGCCTTCGCGCGCGTCTACGGATACAACTACCTGCGCTCGCTCATCGCTCCGCTCGTGAAGCTCGTCACGACCATGCCTCCCGGCCACGGATATGAGCTCGACCCGGCCAAGGTGACGAAGGATGAGCTGAGACAGAACAAGGAGACCGTTGAGTTCATTACGGGCAAGTTCCTAGAGATCATCGCCGCCTCGATCTCTGCGCTTCCATCGTGAGTCTATCTTTTCGTCTCGATATGTGTTGACTCAATGTTTGCCTAGGATAATCCGGGAGATCTGTGCCCACATTGCCAAAGCTGTGTAAGTTTTCTCTGGATGCCCCGTCCCACATCAAATTGACACTGGCTCCGATCAGCAACGAAGTCTGGCCTGAGGCGAAGTTCGCTGCCCTGGGCGCCTTCATTTTCCTTCGGTATGTTGCACATTTCGTTGGTCCAATGGAGAGAGCTAATTTCTCAACAGGTTCATATCTCCTGCTATCGTCACACCCGAGACTGTCGATGTCACTATGCCACGCGACATTACCGTTCGCAGAGGGCTCATGGTCATCGCGAAGATCATCCAGAACTTGGCGAACAACATCCTATTCGGCAAGGAGGCGCACATGGTCATCCTAAATGACTTCCTTAAGAACAACATTGTCACTGTCACGAAGTTCTTGAGCGATATCAACGTCAGTCATACCACTTTTCCCTCGTACTTTCGCTCAACTGCTTGGCAGAAACACGCTCCCCCTAACCCGGAGGATGAGGCAGGGGAGATACTCGAGCGCTCTTACGACGAGACAGACACGATCGTGCTTCACCGCTTCTTCGAGAAGCACGCTGACAAGATCGGCAAGGAATTGCTCAGCTCCTCCAAAGTCGCTGCGGAGAAGGCCACTCCAGAAGCTGAGGTGCAAGCCGCGAACGGCAAGCGTGCTTGGGATGCGCTTTGTGCGGCGCTCGTCGAGCTAGGCCAACCTCTTGAAAGTCCACGGATATCGACGTTGACGAGCAAAGAGCATCGAGAGTACCTTGACTTGATGACACGATGCGACCGTCGGGACACTACATCCGTGCAGGACCTCTTCGTTGAGGGAATGACCCCGCTTGTGAGTTGCTCGGTGGTTCTGTGCGCATCTCATTCTGATCGTGTTGCAGGATTCGCCAGCTGTATTCGTTCTCTCCGTGTCCAAGGTCGACGTAGAAGTGCTCGAATTGGAGCTCTTATTGTACTATGCCTTCAAGGTACGTATCCTGCTGATTATAAGATTTCTCTAGCTGACATCCATCTCAAGTGTGTTACGTCAAATACCAACGAGCATCGAGACTTTGAGATCATCTTGGATCTTACGGGTTTCACCTCTACATCTCAAGTACCTGCACAGTGGCTCAAGTTCGCTACGGAGACGATACCCACTGACATCTGGAAGCGCTTCTCCGCCCTCCGCCTCCTCTCGCCCAATTCCTCTGCTATCAGGTACCTTCGCAGGCTCTACAACAATCTCAGTTCCAGTAGGCTTGCATCCAGACTGCCTGTGTGTACAATACTGATGTTCTCGTTTAGGTGCTCTCGAGTCACTACGCATCACTATCCACACTACAGTCGCCGATCTAATGGCCCAATACCCTGCCGGGCTTACCCCTCGTTCGCTCGGTTACGCTAGTATGTTTGAATGTACGCCGACCAAAGTCACCTTCCTGACGCTCCTCCAGTTAGTCTGGGTACCGAGCATGCCGAGGACTTCGAAGATGTCACAATGCAACACACACAGTCACTACGAGTACCTGTGACCATGACAGTATCTGAGAGCCATATTCGGATAACCACGGTACGGTTTTCTCGACTTGACCTTTGAAACCTCGTTGTGACCGTGGTGTTCTAGACGAAAGCGCAACCAATATCCAACGTTCTTTCTTGCAGGGCCACCGAGATTATCACTCTCAGTAGCATCAACGATGTCTACCCGTTGTCTGCTGCGCACGATTCACACGACTTTGTTATACGCAAGGTTCGGCATGGTGTAACTATCTATTTCTCCTCTCCTCATCGAGAAATTATCATCAAGGTATGTTACTTCCATTATCACCCTGCTGTGCACACACTGATCGTCTCCACAGGCCATCCGCGCTGCAAAGTCCAAGGCCCTCACAGTGCAACTCCCCAGTGTTGAGCGTCAAGATCGACTATCCAACGTCATCACCACCATCCTTCGCTTAGCTTTCATGGGCTCTTCCTCGGACGAAGAGGAGACACGCAACGCAAGTCTTCAGCTTCTTTCTGCTCTCTGCACCTATCTCGATTTCGAAGGTCGGCCTGCCGTGCCGAAGAAAGGTGAGTTAAACCTGCACGGACTATGATGCCCGACCACCTTCGCTGACTCGCGACGATAGGTCTATACTCTACGGGACATCCTGGCTCATTCTTAGTCCACATCAGCGATAGTCTGGCGGGTCACGCTCAACATTTGACGCTGGATTTCATCTCCGAGATGGCAACAAACATTCCGAAGTTGACGGTAGCACAGCGAGCAAACGCCCTACAATATGTGGGGCCTTGGATCAAGAACTTGCCCTTCTTCATCGACCCCTGTCACAAGTTGTATGAGACTGCAGGTACTCGATTCCGCGACACAGTGCGTGCTTTGGTGGATGTCACGACCCAGGAGTCAGAGGTGAGTAGCTGTCGATCGCTTTCGTGCGACGTCCCTCACGTGTCCTTCAGCTCCACAGCTACGTGCAGAGGTTCATCTGGAACGAGGTGGCGAAACTCGAAGGGAGCACCCAAAATGCGGTCCTGGACGAGCTCATGCGCGCTGCTGTGGACGGAGGGGCGGGCTCCGTGCGATGCGAACGACTGGCAGACACGATGAGTGCCCTCAGCAGTATCAATGTCCGAGGCAGGGTATTGGCGCGCATACGCAGGGTGATTTTCCTCGACCTATCGCCCGCCCCGGCGTATACTTACCTGCACGTTTAGGTCATTGGAAAGACTGCCGGGAAGCCGACAAAGACGCTTGCGGACAACATCCACTGGAACGAGATTGCTTGTCTCACTCGGCTCGTTCTGGTGGTCGGCAATTCTGCAAAGAACGTCGTCCAGTGCCAAATGTTCGTTCCAGAACTCATGCATATCGTCATGCTCATCGCTGCCACTGGGCAACTATACGTCCGAGGAAATGTGTATGGCATGGTCACCCACTTGCTTCACTCCCTCTACTCCCTGCGGATCAGCGAGACCACCGCCAGCCCTGAAATCGTCTCCATGGTCGACGAATGCTGTACCCCTGAAGGAATGAGGCTCTTTGGTCTTGCGAAGCCGACACCGACATCCGACTACGTACTATATGACCCGCCCAGTGCCAGGGCGATGATCGATGACCTCGAGAACCTCACAAGGTTACTGCTCAAGGTCATGGTCGTTGTCGGTGGTTCAACAGGTGATCGTCCTTCTCAGAGCGACGCCTCCAGACACTGATACTTGACAGGGCTCCTCAATACCTGGCGAGCGCGTTGGATGAGCTTGATCACGTCCTCCGCTTTCCAGCTCTCTCCAGCCGTACAGAGCCGGGCCTTTGTCGCGCTTGGCATCCTGGCCACTGCGGATGTCGACGATGATCTCCTCTATCAGATGCTCGTCGCTTTCAAGACCGCACTATCTCAAGCCAACGAGGCGGACACCTCGTCTGTCGTCAGCATGCTCCGGTGCATCACGAACGTCGTTCCGGCCACCAATGGCAACTCCCGATACCTTCCTCAGCTCTTCTGGCTCGCCGTTGCACTCTTGGAGTCAAGCCACATCTCGTTGTATGTCGAGGCGATTCGTCTTCTTCGTGTCACGGTCGAGAACATGGAGATACACGGCCACTTCGAAGAGCACGGCGTCAGAGCGACACTGCTGGAAGGACGCATGCCGCTCGACGAGATCGCGTCGCAGCTCGATCACATCCTAGGGTTGTCCTTCACATCAAACTTCTCGTTCGCCCTCGCCGCCACAATTTTTAAGGGAGTCAGACATTCGGCACTCCGAGAAGCAGCAGAAGGAACGTTGCGAAGCTTGCTGAACATCACCGTTCGCTCATGCGTCGACATCGACCACGCCGACGAAGGTCCTGGGGCTCCGATCTGTCAAGAAGTCCTCGGTTACGTATTCGCGCTCATTCCCATGTCCACGAAGGTCGGCAGTTATCGCAAACTGCTGGAAGAGGCGAACGTCGACGACTCTTGGTTCACTGAGCATACAGTGCTGAGCGGCGCTGAGGACGACCCTGTCACTCGGCTCCCAATAGGGCTCATCGGTCTCGGCGACAGCAATACGGCGCTTTTGGTGATATCCTTCGTCATCGCGATGCTTGCCACTGCCCAAGGGGACGACACGGAGTCCGCTATCCTCTACAACATCCTCTCCGACGTCGCGGAAGCATGGCCCGAAGTCATCGGCATGGCGTAAGTCTGCTCTCCAACAATATTAGGGTCGAATGCAACGTTCTCATCGCCCTTCACAGATACGAGAGCTTGCAAGACAAGGTGAAGGAAACGTTCGCGAACTCGAACAGTCCCGAGATCCTTGTCGCCGTGTCGAACATCTTCCGTGTTGCCGCGCACGAAATCGAGCGCTCGGGTCCTCTCAGCTCACGCACTCTTGGTGGCGCAGGCTCCGCATCCACGTTGAGCACCGTCGAAGAGAACGTAGTGCACGGACCCGGCCGTCGGCACCTCAGCGCGCTCGAAGAGCAGGGAATGCATGGGCTGGCCAACAGCTTCACGTTCCTGCCCCTCAACTGTGGCCAACAAGCGACGAAGATGATCCAGTGGATCTCCGAGCTCGTGATGAAGATGATCGAGTAAGCGCTCGGCGTGCCCCATTCGAACTGTGTTGGTTCGTTCGCCCATCTCCCAGGCAATGTACATGTGTATTGCACGCTCTGCGACTGACACCATTACCTACACTATCACCCTGCCGCTATTACGCTTTCTACTAGTTCCTCCGTCTTCGTCTTGTATCCCCGGCCCGCAGTGCTGCGGTTATGTTTGTATATACCTCCTCGACGTGCCTCCCACCCTACTATCCCCTCCCCGCCCTTTGGGCAGGGGCTGCAAATTCTCTTTCGTCATTCGCCCCAACGTAGGGTATATCGTGTGCTGTACTCGGTGTACATTAGCTGTAAGCCCGTTTGTGGACCAATGTTTTCGCGTCCGTGGCCTGTGTCGATGTGTCGTCGATATCTCACGTCCTGTCTTGCTTCCGACCTGTATATCATAGATCCTCCCCACTTCCCCCATCGCTGCGCGCGGCGCGAGGCCCAAACTTCAACGTTCAACGCTGCTGGATGGTGTGGCGCCAAAATCCAGTTCAAGTAAGTCCCAGTCGAGGCGTTTTGAACTGCAGTGCGACGTTGTGCATGATCCGGAGCTCTCGCGCATCATATATGGATGCGCTGCTCGTGCGCACGCCAACTACCCGCGTACAGGGGCGATGGGGTTCAGAGGGTACACGGCTGGGGAGTGCCAAGTGTAGATCGAGGTGGTAGGGTTCGGTGCATCATGCATCAGAACCCGACGCGGCTGCGCGTGTCGGAGGCGATGCCTGGGCTGGCCGCTGGACGGCACACGCTCTGTGAGGGGATCCGAGGGGCGCTCGACGCCGCTCATGACGCGGCGCTTGGGGTCGCAGACGGTTCACGAAGCTCTCCACGTGGGCTGCGCAGACCGGCCGCTGGAACCTTGCGGATGACGGGCTGCACGTCGAAGGCGTTTGTACGGTATCAATAGCCGCGCCGTGCACGGCGGCCGATGGCCTTGTCGCATGCAGTCTGCTTTGTATAAAACTATCGGGAAATCTGGACTTGTCGAGTGGATACTGGCTGGTATCGAGACCGACTGTGATTTTTCCTTGCTGCGCTGTTTTGCGGATTTGAAGTCGTGAAGCGCATTCAACGCTGGGCGCTCACTGCGCGTCACAGGAAATCCGTAGCGATAAGAACGAGGAACGCGCCGAGCTTGTATGCATACTTCGCGGGTGGCGGTGTATCAAGGTTGTGGCGAACCGCTGGTCATATGTTCGACTCCAGTGACTGCGCAGGTGCGCCGAAATGTGCGCTTGGCTGCAATCGCCACTGAAGGCGCCGGTCAGTTTGCTAGCCTCCATCTGACATGCCTGTAGAGTTGAGCTATCTTCGTGTTTTTTTTTTCGCGCGTACACATCGCACAAGCCTTCGTCTCTCGCAAGACCCTGTGGCCCTCCCTCAACCTGCTATCCGAACGCCACGACCCTGTGCTGCGTCCTGCCAAACTTGCCGCGCGCATAGGCTTGAAGTGCGGTGAGAATCAGAATACGCCGGACACACTGCGCAGTGGAGCTTTGACACCTCGAACGATGAGTATCGAACGGGGCAGTGCTGCTGTAGTAGGATCCAAACCCCCGGGGCACGTCGGAGGCACTTGAACATGACGTCGGCACATGGCTCGAGAGACTGCGCGCGGCGTGACGCTGGCTTGTTTGTCTTGAACTTGGTCCGTGCCGAGTCGGCGGAAGCCATGGGCGTCTGAGCGTCTGAAGGCCGAGCTGACCGTCCCGCCAGCCGAGATGATTTCTCAGGACGGACGAGGTCGAGTCAGAGCCCAAGCACCCGATGGGGGCGGAGGAGATGGGCGCTGTGGAGCGCGGCGTCGGGAGGAGTCGGGACGTTGGCTGAAAGGCGGCGTTGCGCAGCGACAAGAGAGTTCGACCGCTGGCATTTAGTGTGAGCATGGGGGAGAGAGCGGCGGCGATGTGAATTGAAGACGCTTGAATGTGTGCAGACAACGAGCCCGAAGACGTGTGCCGGTGAACGATACAAACGCTGACAAGCAATGCGCAGCGCGAGTGGATGCGGCCAGTCTCCCCCAGGCCGATCTTTCGAAGGACGGGTGCCGACCGAGTGGGAGAGGAAGGCGCTGTCACCGGCGCGGGAAAGGCTGCCACTGCGCACGCGCACCTGACGCGCAGCGCTCTCACCCTCGCTCTGCTCTCCCGCCTTATAAGCCTGCGCCTCAGCACGCCCGCCGCGCTCTCCGCCGCTCGCGACCTCGCCGCTCTCTCTCACTTGCGCTAAGTCCCGCAGCAGACGATCGCAATGAGCAACATGGACAGCAAGCACCGCGCGTCCACCCCGAGCGAGTCCTCTCGTGGGAACGTAGTCGACCATGACGCTCCCAATGGTGAGCCGCTCAGCCCATGACGCCCTCTCCTTCCACCGCCATGCTCGAGCCGCCCTTCCGCACGCTCTCTCTTCTCTCACCCCCATCCTTTCCTCCCTGACCATGTCATTCAACGCGTCCCCAGTCACAGACGACTCTCCGCTCCGCACCGGCCCCAGCCACGCCGCCGGCATGAAGCCCAACGGCGAGCATGTCATCAAGGTCCAGCCGCTCAAGCGAAGCGAGATGCAGGTCCGTGCCTCGCACGACTCCCCATGTGTTCTCCCACATACTCACCTTGCGCGCCTCACATAGCCATCGTACGCGCAGGATCTTGGTACTAGCGAGGTCAGTCTTTCTCCCTCCTACCCAAGTCGATTCCCGTCTCTGACCTCCTACGCACTCGCCCCAGGTCACCCATGGAATCTACGGTTCCCTGCTCCAGTCGCTCGGCTCGTGCATCGGCGTGTTTGGCGCCATCCCGTGTTGCCCATGCCCGAACCCGTTCAGGGAGGTCTACCAAGGTGCGTTCCCTCGGTGTGCGCAGTGTGTGAACCCCGGATGCTATCGTACGACCCAGGCTCGGTCGGCCTCGTCTCTCGCTTCGGCCAGTTCTACAAGTCTGTCGACCCCGGTCTCGTCCAGGTCAACGTCTGCACCGAGTCCCTCCGCATCGTCGACGTCAAGATCCAGATCAGTCCCATTGGTCGCCAGAAGGTCATCACGCGCGACAACGTCGACGTCGAGATGTACGCCCCCTTCCTCCCTGTGCCACGCTCACGCGTCTGACTAATCGTGCACTTCGCTTTCACCTTCGCCCAACCCCGCTCCCACAGTGACTCGGTGATCTACTTCCAGATCACGAGCCCGTACCGTGCTGCGTTCGGGATCTCCGACCTCCGCCAGGCGCTCATCGAGCGTGCGCAGACCACGCTCCGGCACGTCGTCGGCGCGCGCATGGTGCAGTCCGTCGTGACCGAGCGCGAGGCAATGGCGTTCGAAATCGCGGAGATCGTCGGAGACGTCGCCGACAAGTGGGGCGTCGCGATCGAGGGCATCCTCATCAAGGACATCATCTTCTCGCCCGAGGTCTCCGCCTCGCTCTCATCCGCCGCGCAGCAGAAGCGGATCGGCGAGTCCAAGGTCATCGCCGCGCGCGCCGAGGTCGACGCGGCGCGGCTCATGCGCCAGGCCGCCGACATCCTCGCCAGCCCGGCGGCGATGCAGATCCGCCAGCTCGAGGCGCTCCAGGCGATGGCCAAGACCGCGGGCAGCAAGGTCGTCTTCGTCCCCATGCACCTCCAGAGCGACATCATCAGCCAGGTCTCTGGCGGCTCAGGCTCCCGCGCGAACTTCATCGCGGAGGAGAGCGGGGAGGGCATAAGCAGCTCCGTGAACCGCGCGGGGCTGCTGAGCAGTGTCGAGCACATGTGAGGATAGGCCGAGGCGCGCTCTGACCTCTCCGATTCACGCGCTCGCGCCCATACCCTACCGTCCCCCGGGCTCTGTCCCTCTGCCACTTTACCCCCATTCCCCCTTGCTTTTTACGTTCGTGCGAACGGTGTATGATAGCCATGACTTTGACGTCGTGTACGTCTTGTTTGCTTACGACTCCGGCTATGACGACCCGGGCTATGTTCGGGTTGCTCGCTCACGCTATCGTGTTTGTACTCTACTTGTGATCCCCACCTGGATCTAATGTTTGATACCTCTTCAACCAGCACCACCCTGACGAATATCTCGCCGGGCCGAGTATCACGGCGTGCACCGAGGTCGTCGATTGGTAATTGTGCTGTGCATGTCGCAAGTTGTACGTGACGTACGTTCATTTTCCAGCTGTTTCAACGCGCAGATATCGAGTCTTGTGGCGTATCGGCGCCTGTTGAGCACGCGGTCCTCGGGCCCTCCACATCGCGGAGTTGACTCGTCTCTCGACTGCAACGATGACCGGTTGACCCCCTCGTCGCCTTCGCTGCCGCCTCTGCCACCACCTTCGAGCTACCTAGGTGAGTTATCGGACTTGCTTTCATTGATTTCTGGCAATATCTTGCGCTGGTGTGATGCTGTTCTACTAGAATATCTCAACTCTCGGCGGCCTCGACACTCGTCAGAGGGAGAGCATTATTGGCGGAGAGAGTTACTAGAACCCCGGTGCCCGCACGTTCACCCTCGTGTCTGCGTATATGCGCCCCTTGCGACATTGAGATCACTACGCTTGCGAGGCTGCCCAGGCATCTTGTACATCCATAGAGCCTGGTCGGTCACGCAGCAGGTCCGGCAGAACAGAACTCTGACAGGTCCTCGTCCTCGTCCCCGCCTGGCATTTATAGTACCGGTATGCGCCACGTGTCCTCCACAGGTACTCTCGAAAATGATGGTCTTGCGGCGCCGCCGATGCTGCCGCCTCTTTCGTCATCGACGACCTGGAAGATTTCGAGTCTGAAACGATGACGTGCTGCCGATATCGAATCAGACGGAAGACGCAGGCTAAACAAGCTATCTCGGGCCGGGAGGATCCAGCGCATGGCACCGCGGGGCCAGGGCCTGTTTGCATGAGAGCTGCACCGTCCCCGAGCAGGGACATCCTCTAAGCGAGTACTTGTGCACTCGCATACTGCGGCCACAAGAACGCAGAGCACCCGTTGGGCAGATGCTAATAGCGCTGGCAGCTCCGCCGAGTGGACGAAAGCACCCGAAGACGAGCGGGAAGCGGGAGTTATCGTGCACATCGCGGTGCTGTACGTGCTCGAACATGTTCCGCCTCTGCTAACCGTTTTGACGGTCTGTCACAGCGGGTACATAAACCCCGTCGACCGTCGTCGACCGCGCTTTGGCAAATATTTTCCCTCCAGCCCTCTCCCCCTCTCGCTGTCACCGTCCTCCGTGCATACGATGAGCGAGCGGTCGAACCTGGACGTCAAGCGCGGGTACAACGGCTTCCCGGTCTTCAGCGTGCAAGACATGAACGCCGCCAGTGGGTCCCGCAACGCCATGCTCGCACCTCCGGACGTGCACGCCTCCGCGCTCTCAGACCCAGTCTCGGACGCGGACGCGGACGCAGACGAGCCTCCTCCCCCTCCCTACGAAGAGGTTCTCCACGCGCACGCATCCTGGCCTTCCCCGACCGCCGCCACCGCGCCCTCTGCCGCAACGCCGTACGAGCTCCGGCTCCCCGGGACGGCGTTCTCGATGCTCTCCTTCCCCGAGCCCCAGCTCGGCCCCGCGCCCGCGACCGTCGAGTGGCACTCCTCCGCAACCTCGTACGCGCCCTCGGTGATCTCCACGGGAGGCGCGTCGAGCACGAGTGGTGACTGGTCCGCGTCCTACGCCCCTTCCGTGACGTCCGACTGCTCGTCCTCGCACGCCGACTGCCCGTTCGACCCGCGCGCGTTCATCGCGAGCCCCACTGTCTCCACCGCGCCCTCGCGTGCGGGCTCGATGTACTCCTTCGTTCTCGTGGACGAGTACCCCACCGACTTCGACATCGGCACGGGCACGGGCAAGGGCCGATCCAGAGCCCGGTCCATCTTCACGACCTCCTCGCACACGGCCTCATCTTCCTCCTCGTCTTCCTCGTCCTCGCCCGCCTCGCCCGCGCTTACGGCAGACGCCCCCACCCCCCGCCTCCCGCCCGCAGCGTTCGCCCGCCCGCCGCCCGCGCACCTGAACTACGCGCCCTTCCCGCCCGCGGTGCACCACGCGCACAGCGCCGCGCTCGCGCGCGACGGCTTCCCGCTGCGCCCGCCCGCGTGCGCGCACGCGCCGCACCCGCACCCGTTCGCGGCGCACGACGTCACCGAGGCGGACTGGGCGCGCTTCCTCCGCGACGTCGCCGACGCGGGCGGGCTCGCCGCCGTGAGCGGCCTCCTCGCGGGCGCGGCGCCCGCGATGGTGCGCGCGGGGGTCATCGGAGGTGCGTCGTGTCGGCGTCGAGGTCGGAGGAGTCGCAGTGCACGCGGGGAGCTGACGCGCGGGCGGACGGGCAGGGTTCATCGCGGGGCGTGCGCTGCGCGCGCACGTCGACGGGAAGCGCAAGAGCCCCGTCGCGGACGTGATCGACGAGTGGAACAGGGTGCGTGCAGCCTCTCCTCCTCCCTCCTTCGCGTTCTTCCGCGAGTTGACGCCAGAGCGCGCAGCGCTTCTTCCACCCGCGCCACATGGAGGCCACGCTCGCCCAGGGCGCGTTCTCGTACTCTGGGACGTCCAAGGGCCCTCCGCCCGACATGGCGCCGCCGTTGCAGCCGCCGTCGGCGTACTGCCCGCAGCGGCCGAGGCACAGGCACTCGTCGTCGCTGTCCTCAGCGGCGTCGTCGTTGCTCTCGCGCACGCCGGACGCGCACGTGCAGGTGTACGAGGATCGGTCGGACGACGAGGGCGACGAGGGCGAGGGTGAGGGCGAGGGCGAGGGGCACGTGCAGAGCGTGTGCGCGGGCGGCGCGGGCGAGGAGGCGGGCGGCGGGCGGCGGTTGAGGCGGCGGAGGCGGCAGGGGCGGCGCGAGTTCGCGAGGGACTTGAGCCAGAGCGCGAAGGAGCGGTGGCGGATCGTCATCGTGTACAAGCCGCCGGTGTTGTGAGCGGCGAGCTCTGGGTCTCGTCGGGTGTCCACACATATGTCTGGTATAGATGACCTGGATGTATGTCTCTCGATTCCCTGGTACGACCTCAAGTCAAGTTCCACGACCCTATGCTCCTTGCGTCCGGGGTGAGAGGGCGGACGCTCATTGCCGCGGGGATTATTTTCGGTGCATCACCCGCGAGCCTCGTTGCAGGCCAGGTCAATCCCGCCAGCCGCGGACTCTTGCAGATATGACATTGACAAGCGAGTCCTGAAGGCCATCATTGTGGTTCGGCGCCTCGCCCGCTGGCTGCATCGTGGGCACCGCGCGCGGTGGGGTGACGGCTTGCCAGTGACTGGACAGGTGCGTGCTCGCGGTGGTCACTGTGTGTTGTCCATCTGTTCGTTCTGACTAGATATCTGCGCGACGACAGCCTTCGCAACCTTCTCTGTCTCAGGTCGACCGTGGGCCCGGGCGTTGACTGGTCCAGTGGGTAAGTACGCTGGGGAACGGGACGAAAAAAACATGATCCGAAGGCGCAGCTGAACCACAAGAACGCGGCAAGGGGCCCGGGGGTGCGTGTCCCGGGCGCGGACGTCGTCAACGAATTAACAATTTCAACGTCGTGCGGGTTCGCGGCTCGCGCGAACGCGGTAGCTGTCGCGCGAGCGAAGGTCTATGGCACCGCGGGGAAGTGTGTGCTTCTCATTTCTTGACCACGACGACGGGCTTGTTGCTGCCATCGTCTCTTGAACCTCCGTCCCCACTGCCGCCTCCGCCTCTTCCTCTCGTCTGTACAGACGGACCGCCGCTCGCTTGTCTCGGGATTTCTGCCCTCTCTGCCGTGAACCCACTGTCCTTCTCCTGTCTTGCCTTACGACTCTTTTCTCGACTTCAACCTGCATATATCCCCTCTCCGCCCGTTACAGGAAGAAATTACCACGAACAGATCACCGAAGACACTCACCCAACCCCACAACCCCACGCCCAGTCGCATTTCCCTTGATTCTGAGCACATGCCCTTATCCACGACATCCCCCGCGCCCACCATCTCGAGCGCGGGCGCATACACCATGGTGCTGGCGGCCAGAGGGTCCGTGGAAGCCAACAGGGACGCCACGGAGGACCTGCACAGAAGCCCCGACAGCAAGGGATCCCGCGGAGGCATCCATGGGCAGACGACGGCGATCATAGCCGCGGTCCTCGCGGTGGTCGTCCTGCTGGCCGCGGCGGGCATGGCGTGGTACTTCCTGCGCGCGCGAAAGCGGGAGGTCCGTCCGCCGACGCGGGAGGGGTCCAAGCAGACGTACATCTACGCGTCCCTGCAGGAGAAGGTCGACCTGATGGACCAGATCGAAGGTGCGTCCGCCGTCCCCCGCGAGCGCGCGTGCGTGGACTCACCGTGTGCGCGGACGCGGCGTCGCAGAGCTCCCGAGGTTCGCGCTGGCGCCCTCGCCCGTCCCTTCGCCCGCGCCCGTCCCCCGACCGACGGCTGCCACGCCGCCGCCGCCGGGCCTTGCGTCCAGCGCGCACGACGTCGACGAGGAGCGCTACCTGCAGAGCCGCTCCCCGAGCCTCGCCTCGAACCCGTCCCGCCGCACAAGCCAGGAGAGCCAGTCGCCCGCGCTGCCCGCCGCGCCCGCGATCCTCCGCCGGCACAACCGCGACCACAGCCTACCGGAGGGCCCGTGCGTCGCGGGCCCGTCGCGCACGCCGTCTCCGCCCGCGGTGCGGGAGTACGTGATGCGGTACAACGCGCGGCGCTCGCAGTCGCCGACGGGCGTGGTGGGCACGGTCGTGGAGGCGCGGATCCGATGGGTAGGGGTGGGGGCAGGGGCGGGGGCGGGGGCGGGGCGGTCGCTCAGTGGCGACGAAGAAGGTGGGGAGGGCGACGAGGAGCCCTTGCTGGAAGAGAGGGAGCGGACGCAGGCGAGGCTGGAGGGGAGGCCGGAGCAGAAGAGGGCGTCGTCTGAGCCGAGGCTGACGCCGCCTCCGAGCGCGAAGGTCGCGGTGGAAGCTGGGCCGAGCCGGTCGCGCTCGTTCGCGGGGAGGCGGGCGACCGCCCCGATGTCCTTCTTGTCGCTGTCGTCCTCGGAGGACAGTGGGGAGTCGGATCCCGTGGTCAGCCAGTCCCCAGAGCCCACGGCCACGCCGGAGCCTGCACCAAAGCCAGAGCCAGAGACACAGGCGCAGTTTCTGTCGCCGCCCCCGGCGCAGCCAAAGCCAAGGCCACAGAGACAACCCCTGGGCCCGGTAGCCTCGCAAGTTGCCAAGATGGAGGAAAGGGCGGGAGTAGCGTCCAAGCCTGCGAAGTTCTATGAGGACTCGGGGATGCGCTTCAAAAACGGTGTCCCCGTCAGCCCTGCACCCGCGGGGAGGCGCAACCCGAACCCGCACTCGAGGAACTCGAGCCTAAGGCCGTTGCCAACGCCCCCCACGGAGGCGACAGAGAACGTGAAGCCTGTGGTCTCCGCGCCCGGGGCATCGCTGAAGAGGAAGGGTGCGCGGCGAGAGTCAGCGAAGGACGAGGAGGACGGGGTGAAAGGAGTGGGATACGGTGGAGGGCTCATGACGATGGGGTACAAGACGCGGGAGAGGAGGGTGTCGTTGGCTGTGTCCACGATTTCGCAAGTTCCGCCGAGGTATACCGCAGAGTGAGTTCGACAGGACTTTGTATGTAGTGATCAGCGTCGTGCAGCTGAACGAGTCAAAGACCAATATTTGTACAGCCCAACTTACCTTACTGACTCCTACTAGCCATTAATTGCTTGTACCGTTGAAACAGCTCACGACAACGATGAGTTGAAGCAGAGCCAAGAGCGGCAGCACCAAACCAGGCACAGCCGGCACGGTTCTTCCGATCCATCAAACCTGCACGGGTCTACCCCGCGGATTGACCAAAATCCAAAACTGACTCTGATCCACCACGCCACAGGGCATGTAAGATTGTGGTAGAGGGTGGTACAATCGACAATCCCCTCGCCTTTTACTAGGGGATTCCGTGTACGACCCTTACTCAATGCCACCAACGAATTTTTCAATGTTCATGAACTTCGCGTTCGGGAAATCGGTATTTATTTTGATCATTATGACTCAGTGTACACTCAAGGTGTCGGAAAAACCAAATCGGCCTCGCGAGGCCTCGCGAGGCATTCCGGACTGATCGGTGTTGCGAGGCCTCGCGAGCTAGGCTAATTAGCTCGCAATGTGATTACCGCCGTGACAGCGCCTTGCAATTTGCTGACAGCATGTCACAATCTGCCTAGCTCGGCTTGCAAGCCCTTGCAAGAGCCGCGCGCCAGCTTGCAATCAATGCGGTCACGCTCGCGATTGAGCCTCCGGCGGTTGCAAGCGGCTCGGCATGTTGCGACAGCCAAGCGGAGATCGCAATAGCAGCAGGTCCCATTGCAATTTAAAGCGGAGATTGAAAAGAGGCAACACGCGATGCAAAAGAAAGGGTAATACACGGGTTTTAGCTTCCTTCAGTCGCTTCTTACCCTCCTAATGATCCTTTCTATGAGAACATATCACATATTCACTTGCTCCCTTCTATAAGGCGTATTATTGATTATTGACTCGATCTAAACGGACTACAATTGGTACTATTTCGCCGACACTAGTACTCTACTAATACTCTACAACTACGACTAGATTCACAACTATGGCATACAAATTACGCTACTAGATGATTAGTATATTGTGATTACACTGAACAGAAATGACTCACAGTATGGGGATCGAACTCGCGATTGCACGTCGTTAAAGAGTGAAGGTCTATTGAGGCGTGAAAAACCATTAGTCCATGGGTCTGTTAAGCAGACTGTTACATACCTCTATATACCACATCGTTTCAGCGCGCTTGTGAACTTGCTACCGTCACCTGGCAGTATCCCGTGCTGCCCAGTTAACGGGCATGAGCCCAATAATCTGCAACTGTGTGTCCAGTCAATTTTGCCAGCATCAAGCGACCAGTACCAGAGCGTCGGTGTGTGCACATGAGCCGCGCTCTCGGCCAAACAAACCTAAGCTACCACCGAGATACGCGTCGACAACGACCTTGAGCTCCGGGTCCGGGTGCTGAACATGCAGTCACTTAGACAACAGCGCGATAGATGGGGCTGATGGACAGGGAGGGGCCGAGATGGGCGGCTGTTTCGGATATTGCGTTGTCTGAGGTGTTGTCGGCGACGTAGGACGAGGCGCGGCAACGGAAAAAGAGTGGGTGTCGGAGAATATGAATGAGGGGGAAGCACAAAGAACGGCGCGGGCGATGCGGAGACAATGAGAGCTCAAAACGGCTGGATCGGGATGTTTCAGGATGCGGGAGAGTCGAGGGCGGCGGGTTCGCCAAATATCGGCGATGTAGAAAGAGGCGGCGCGACTGAGCGTGGGGGGAACGCGGAAGTCAAGCATCCAGTTCGGAAGGCTCGCGCCGCCACCTTCGCCCGCTGACGAGATCTAGACGCGGGGTGACGACAACGATGAGGCCGTCCCAGTTGTCGTCCATGAGGACGATGTCGGACGCTTCCTTCGTGACCTCGGTGCCCGTGACGCCCATCGAGAAGCCGACGTGCGCAGCCTTGAGCGCGGGCCCGTCGTTAGTGCCGTCGCCGGTGATCGCCACGATCTCGCCGAGCTCCTTGAGGGTGGTGACGAGGATGCGCTTGTCCTCGGGCGACGAGCGCGCGAGCACCTGGAGACGCTGCACGGTCACGCGGCGCTCGGTGTCTGACAGCGCGCGGAACCGCGGGCCCTCCATGACGATGCCGCCGGGGGTGAAGATGCCACACTGAGTGGCAATGGAGCGCGTGGTGAGGACGTTGTCGCCGGTGCACATCTTGACCTGGACGCCTGCGCGGGCGCAGTCTGCCACCGCTTTGCGAACGCCGGGGCGAAGAGGGTCCTCAAGAGCGAAGAGGCCAGCGAGCGTGAGATCGCGTGCGAGATCCGTCCATGAGACCTAAAACAATGGTCAGAGAGGGCGTTCAACAAGGATGGGGTGACGTACTTCGTCGGCCTTGGGTGACCAGTCGTCCAAGTCTCGATAGCATACAGCGATGGTGTGGAGCGTCTGCGACGCGTACGACGTGATGCTCTCCAAGATCCGCGCCCGATCGTCTTCGTCGGTGACCTTCGTGACCACATTTTCTCGTTCTGTGACAACAACCTGGCGTGCGCACGCCGCGACGAGCACCTCGCTCGCGCCCTTGACGTACAGCCGCGCACGACCTCCCGGAAGACGCACCACGACACCCATCGCCTTGCGCTCGCTCGGGAACGGGAACACCTGTAGAGCCTCAGCAGCCTCTCGAACGGCCTTGTAGCCCGGCCATCTCGAGTCGCGCGCCATCGCCAGCAGTGCGGTCTCCGTCTTGCTGCCCACGAACACGGAGACGCCGGTGTTTGCGTCCGCATCTTCGAACGCGGTGCAGTTGATCGCAATGGCGTCGTTGAGGAGGGCACGAAGGGGAGGAGGAAGCGCGCCGCTGAGGCAGCGGAGCTCGATGGGAGTGGCGTCGGGTGTGGCGCGCTCGGGATTCTGGGCCAGATCGCGGACGAAGGCGAGGTCGCCGCCGATGGTGCCCGCCACGACGGTCATGGCGTTCTGCGTGAGCGTGCCGGTCTTGTCGGTGCAGATGACGCTGGTGTTCGCCATGGTCTCGCAGGAGTTGAGGACTCGGACGAGAAGGTTCTCGCGTGTCATCCGCTTGGTGGCCAACGCCAACGCGAGTGCGATGGCTAGAGGTAAACCTAAAGATGAATTAGAACGCATGCTTCGAGACAGCGCGAGCGATGGGCGTACCTTCAGGAACTGAGGCGACGACGAGCGTGAAGGACAAGATGAGAATGTCCACGAAAGCCAACCCTTTTTGGCTGGGGCTCCTACAAGGGACGTCAGCGATACACCGTCAGAGACGATCGCGAAAGATCCGCACATGTGGGGAGTGTCAGTGCCGATCTTGACGAAGTATCGAATGAGCAGCCCGATGAAGAGCATCAAACCGCCAAGTGAGCCTGCGACGGCGATCCTGTTAGCTAGATGCTCCAGCTTGCGCTGAAGGGCCGTGCCCTCTGCTGTCGCGGAGCGCTGTCCATGTCCCGTCAGAGCGAGGTGCGTACGGAGTGACAAGCATACATACAGGTCATGATGCGCCTATGGAACGAACGAGGCCTGACGGTGATGACAACGTACGAACCTACGCCCTCGAGGATCTTGCTACCACTGATGAGGAAGCAGTCGGTATGCGGAGAGGCGTCCTTCTTGTCGTGGTCGAGCGTCTTCCGCAGCTCCAAACAATCCTCGTACTTCATCTTCTTGATGACGTCACTCTCCCCTGTCGCGCCCGACTTGTCGCAGCGCACGTTGTGGCCTGAGAGAAACACACCGTCGCACAGCATGATCTACGTCGCTGACGACGACGGCATGCACGTCTATGAGGCGCTCTACACCCCCACGGACGACCTTGACGGTGCGCTCGTCCTTCTTCGCGTTGAGCACGCGGAACTGGCGCTCCTTCTGCCAGTCCGTGAGCGAGCCGACGAGCACGACGACGACGATCGCGACCATGATCGCGACGCCCTCGACCCACTCCACCGCGGGCTCGTCCGGGTCGCGCCCAGGCCCAAAGTCCTGGAAGAGGCCGAGCGCGAGAGAGATGACGGCGGCAACGGAGAGCAGGATCTGGACGGTGGGGCGCGGGTTGGAATGTGACGAGGGTGGAATGAGCTGAGGAGGGGGAGGGGGAGGAGCCAGGCGGTCTACTAGGACCGGATAGATCATGGAGGACGCACCACTCCTCCATCTTGAGAAGCTTGCCGGCGGCGACGGCCTTGACGACGTAGCCCTCGAGCTTCGCGGTGTCGAAGCTGCCCGGGCCGTACGCATGGAGGCAAACATGTTGAGCGTGGCGCAGCCAAACCTCGCGGCCTGCATGGACTCGTCGAGATAGGACTCACCGCTGGTCGTCACGAGAATCTGTTGCGCTGCCTGAGCACCACGTACCGACCCCGAACCCCACGAAGAGACAGCCAGGTGAGAAGGGAGGCACATACCGAGCTGTTCGACCCGAGCTGGTTCTTGATCGTCTGTGCGCGGTCGCGCTGCCACTGCGTGTGCGCGGCGATGTAGTCCGGGCCCTTGTCGACCTCATGCTCGGCCTTGAACGCGAAGATGTATATGAGCACTTTCTCCTCCACAGTTTCGCGTTGTGTGCTCGTGGTGTAGGGTGTAGTACCCCAGCCGCCGTCGAACACAGCGGTCTGTGGTGCAGCCTGTTCGTAGAAGAAGCCGGTACCGTAGATCGCGCCGTAGATCAACCGTAGACGTCCCCGGCTGCGAGCACGTTGAAGCTGTGCATCGAGATGAGAGCTGTGGGCGTGGAGGTGAGCTTGGGGTTGCCCCACAGGAAGGAGGGGGTCGGAGCGAACCTTGATCCCGAAGGAGTGGACCCTACACTCACTTGTACCCCGAGCATGATCTGACGCGTGCGCCGGGCTATCCCAGAGCGTATAGACAAAAGTTGGGTGTCTGGGGTTGAATGTGACGGAAACGGAGTACTTACACTGGGGGCGTGCCCTTCGCACATTTCACCATCGTGTCCGCCGTGTCCTCCGGGTCCGCGTCCGCGTCACTGGAGATTGTGCGCCATCTTCTTGGGTGGCTGGCTGCTGGCGTGGTGGTTGAGTAAGCGGGATGTGGATCGAATGGAAGTGCGAGGGGTGCGGTTGAGGTCAGGGAACATGATGGTGGACAGAGGAAGAGAGCAATGCCTGCGCTTATCCACGAAATCGCGCCCATCTACACATAGACGCCGGGCCGGTGCGAGACTCATCTGCACGGGCTGAATTGTGTACCGCTGTTCAGGTCTCGCGGGGGTATGAAACCCACGCAGAACAGATTAATGACATCCGTTTGTGTTGCCAAAATACATCATATGTTTCCGGAGTAGCAAGCAATATCTGAAATGTGTAATACATTCACGGTCAAAGTATCTAGTAGCGTGAGCCTAAGGCTGACCGGCCTTCCGACGAGACGCAGTGGCCCGTGTAGTGCGACGGGTCTTCGCATCAGCGGAGAAGGGCTGAGCTGCAGCCAGGGTAGGAACAGTATCAAGGGGGATCTCGCCGTTCTCCACTTCAACCCGGGCGGAATCGGTGGGGACGATAGTACCGGAGTCTGCTGGGGCCTCGACCTGGCTTGGGACGGAGATGGACTCTGAGTCACGAGGATGTACTACCGCGACCGGTTCAACCGCCACCGTTGTGCTGACGCTTGTGCCATTGGTATTCCCTGCGCGAGA